TTTTCTTTAAAATATACTCTTTTTCTGATCTACTTTTTTTCGGTCGAAATCTTTTGATCTTTTTCATGATATTTTAGTGCGTTATTAATCTATTACCAACTGCAAAATTTAAGATAACTTTATAATACGAACAAATGAGAAAATTCTAATATCGTTCAAAATACATATAATTATTTTTTTAGGCGTTATATAAACTGTGATATTGGGGGTCAATCCATTTTTCAGGCAGTGTAAACTATTTTTAATAAGATGCATGTCTATGTATTTCTATACTCACAATCAGAGCACTAATGTGATATAAGGTTCCTTGCAATATTTTCAAAAATATTCGCCATTGAAAAAACCTACTGTTCTCACCGCGCCAACCTGCTGAAGAAAGTGGATAAAACTGTTATCAAAATGTTTTGCCGAAAAAACGTTACACAAGTCTCAGAATCAGCAGTTCAAAAATTCATATAACTAACATACACTAGCTTAAGAAAAACATCCTAAAATAGAAATTTTTTGCAACATAAGAGTATTTTATTTCGGAAAATCATACAAAATTCAAAATTATATAGAAATATCATCTCTATTTTCACACCTGTCAAAAATTTTCGCACCTTGGCCCCGAAAAATGAATGCGTCCAAGAAGAAATAGTGCGTGTTTTTGGAGAGCGAGATCACCATTTTGGGAAGTTTTTCCTACGTAGTTGAATGAGATTGAGTATAAAAACCTAGTGAGCTAAAAATCAGGGAAAATTAGAAAATCAAGTTTTGGCAAGAATATGCAGAGCTCACAACTCATTCACAAACCGAATTTATAGTACAAAATTCTTCCGCAAGCTAATTTTCAAAGCAAATTAAAAAAAATTAAAAATGAGGTGAAATTGAGTTTTCTACTGAATTATGATTCTCGGAGAAAACTTGCAAATATTAGAAATGTTTCACAATCTTACTGCTTTTATGCTGTTCAGAATTATTAAATTATAATCCTTAAACCAAAATGTTTAAATTCTTTTTTAAATTCGACAAACCAAAATTAGATTTTTTGAAAATTGTGTGATTTGAATTTCGAAATAATTATTTTCAAAATGTAATCAATTTCCGAAAAAAAACATGAATAAATGAAGAAAAAACTTACAAGACCCATTCAGGAAAATGACAAAAACACAATTGGCCCCTTTTTTGGAGCCCCCATTCAGGGAAGTGACAAAATAAGGGGTTGGCCCCATTCAGGAATACGCCAAATGCATTTCTGGCCCCATTTTGTAGAGGACCCATTCAGGTAAAGTGACAAAGGCCCCTTTTTTCACCTTTTTTGGCATGTGCTACGCGCGGTCCCATTCAGGAGAAATGACAAACGCATGGCCCCATTCAGGAGGCCCCATTTTGAGAGGAGGAAGACCCCATTCAGGGGACCCATTCAGAGACTACCAGTGATTCGCTACTGTTTCACCTGAAAGTCCGCAGTGAAAAATTGTGCCTTTCTGTTTGGTTTTTTCGCCGGTGTATTGATGGTCTGATTATAGGAATAGACATGCATCTAAATCAAAATAAAACACATAGCCGAACTCTGTTGAAAAAATAGTGATATTTTCGCGGGGATTTTCGTTTTGCAAATCGCGGAAACCTCGCGCGCAATCCACTGAGCTTCTCCGAAAGAGAGGCCCCTGAATGGGGTTTTCGTGTTTTTACGTTTTTTTCACCCTGTCAAAAATTTTGCCAATTTTTCAATCTATGCGGCTGTTATGGCGCGCGCTTTGAGCACCACTCCGCGCCAATCTGAACATACTGATATTAAAAACCAAACATCAAAAAATTATGATAAAATTGACGAAAAAAATGAGAATATGAAAAACAAGAGTTTATAATATACAGCTATATGTGAAAACTATACGACCCGAATTGTTTGGGCCAAAATTGTGTGACATTGATCTGAAATTTGACTGCCTAAAAGGTCTTATCAATATTTGAAGCATTCAGAAAAACGTCGAAAAAATAAAATATTCAAAATATCATTCTGATCAGATATAGCAGAAAATTGAATGAGTTCAGACAGAAAATTGGATTTCGGAGAAAATATACAAAAAATATACAATTTGCGAAATTTTCTTTTTATTTTGTTTTTGCCTTTTTTCCTGCATTAAAGAAAGATATTAATTCTGTAACATTTTATTACAAAATATTAATCTGAGTGTTAGACCCATTTTGTTCTTAATAAAAATAGTTCATCTCGGATAATGAGTATTTCATTTTTTTTTGTATTTTCTAAATCTATTTTTTTCCAGATGAAAAAAAAACTCAAGTTATTGTGATTGAAATTCAACTAACTTTTTTCAGATGGACGATCGAAAGAGCTGATAAATCATTCTGTTGATGAAGGAGAAGTCGATGATAATATAATGATTGACAAAGATTGTTGAATTGAATGAGGAGATGATGAAGTTATGGCCGTTGCAAGCGGGACCATAAATCATGTCAATCCATCAATTTGATTCAGAATTCTGTGACACTCCTTACAATACCCGATCTTTCCCCGCAATTCATTTTCCATGATTGGCAGCATTCTCGAGGTCTATAACAACAATGTAAGTTTTCTTATTTTTTTCTGGAAAAATAGATTTAGAAAATTAAAAAAAAAGAAAAAGAATCATTTTTAGAGATTGAATATTTTCATTAAAAACAAAATGGGTCTAACACGCATATTAATAATTTGTAATAAAATGTGACAGAATTAGTTTTTTTCTTTAATGCAGAAAAAAAAGGCAAAAACAAAATAAAAAGAAAATTTCGCAAATTGCTCAGGGAATCACGGGCGAGATCTCCGCGATTCGCGGGACCCAGAAATCCGCGAAATCGCCGCGAACACGCCGCGATTTCGCGGTTTTCTGTCTGCGAATCGCGAAAATCTCGCGGTTCTCTCTCAAAAATCAAAAAGTAGAGGCGCCGCGAGACACAACTAATCGCTTTTAATCATACTCACTCGGCCGACCTCGATCCGACACTCTCCGCCTCGCACACATTCCTCTTACCCACTTGACCATCCACGCGCACGACTCATATCGCTGAAACGTGTTTCATATCTCTGCACTCTTGTCGTGACTGCCTGCGAAATTCACGCGAAACGCAAACTTTTCTGCGTTTTGCGGAAATCTCGCGACAAAATATTTTCGACCGAGTCACTTCGCTAAATTTGCGCAATTCGCAAATGACCACCGCGGAGTTTCCGCAAAACGCTGGACGCCCGCGAATCGCGTAGATCTCGCCCGTGATTCCCTGAGTGTATATTTTTTGTATATTTTCTCCGAAATCTAATTTTCTGTCTGAACTCATTCAATTTTCTGCTATCTCTTTTCAGATCAATTTCACTGAATTTCGCCTCAAAACATTTGGGTCGTATTAGTGTCAATATTTTCAGACTTTGATTTTTTGAACGATTTTCTAAACGAAATTTTAACAAAAAATCAATTAACTTGACGCCGACAATGCTTATCGATTCAGTCCAGACTCCATCCACATCAACACAAGCCTTGATTTTTTCTGTTATATTTTGCGCTATTATTTTCAGTATTTTCAGCCTTTGATTTTTTTTGAACGGTTTTCTAAACAGAATTTCAGCGAACTTGTACGAAATTGTTGCAGCAAAATGGAACGAGAACCTTCACTGGAGGATAGGTTTTGAAAGGTGAGAATGGTAGAAATACTTCCTTACTGACTGATCGCCTGTCAAACAGTAAGTGGTCTGAAGTTGGCTCATAAATTCAATGAGTCACACGTTGTAAGAAAGTCCCATTTCATTCTTATAAGTTTCCAGACCTGTCATCCCAGATTAACTGAAACGTGCAAGTTTTTCAATGAAAATCACAAATTTACAGCATAATGGCACTCCCAAAACAATAACAACTGTTCCAAATGCCCTGCAATTTACTGAATTTTATTATTTACGATGAGTGGAAAAGTACATCGCGAGAAAAGTGATAAAAAAATACATTGACATATCACGGGTGCGGGTATCACTTTTTGACCAGTAGGGTGTTTGAATTTGAACTATTTACAAATGTTGATAATATTGAGAAAAATAAGGAGTTGATGAATAGAGAAAAATAAAGAAATAAAGTAAAAAATAAAAATGAGCCGTGTAATAAGAAAGGGAATGACACATTAGCGTTGACTATTTTGGAATTGTAATAGAACTTGGAGTTTGCACAAAAATGTTTTATGACTTTTTATTTGAGTATTGATTGTGAGACATAAAGGCATATCTTTGAAAAAAAATTATCATGACGATGAATAAACTTAAACTCATATAGAGACATAAAAAACATACAAAAAAGTTTTTAAAAAATTTGGCTATTTCCTCAATGAAGAAAAAAAAAAATGTGCTTATTTTTGCAATAAAAAGCTATACTTGAATGAAAATGTTTCTTTTACCAAAACAAAAAATGTTTATAATTTCACCAACACATTTTTTAGAATGTTTATTTATTGATCATCAATTAGTCATCTCCAAACATCCCCTGGAGATTCTCATTTGGGCTCGAATACTTTGTAGCCTGTGTAGCTACAGACAAACAAACTAAAAACCTCGAGAAACTCTATCTATATATATATAAAACAAACTAAATAAATGTTGTAATAAATTTCGAAATACTAAAAGAGAAAAAAGAAAAGCAGAGAAATTTCGCCATTTTTGGTTGTGTCGTACACAAAACAGCAAAAAAAGACTTGACAGAGAGCGCGTGAGATTTAGAGGCATGAAAAGAAAGTAAGAAAGAGTACGAAAAATAAAAGGGACGCGTAGCGAGACCTCTCGCTAAACAACATGTAGTGTCATTTTGTAGCTATGTAAACACATATTTGCTGTGTGTTCATATTTATTATTTTATATTTCTTTTTCTCTCTCCTCTCATTATTATTCAGTTTTTCGTTCTATTCTTTTTGAAAAGGGAGAGAACAATATCTATATTGATTTATTAGTAATTCATTTGAAACTTCAGCTAACTTTGAAGCAAAAGGTGATGGATGACGAGAAACAATATGTTGGTTCTTCTGAAATAGATGGGTGAGTCTTTTTCAAAGCGAAAACTTTTATATTCTTCAAAAATTATAGTTCTTTCAGAGATACAACCTTGGATAGTTATATCTTCGATGATGACAGCGATGAAGATGAAGCTATTGCTGCAACTGATAATCCTCAATTTTGGGTAGAATTATTGGGAGTTGCAACAAAACCAGATCCTTATAAAGATTGGAGCAATATTTATGATCTTAATAGTCAGATTGTTTTACGAAATGATTGTCGAATGTTGGCAGCGCGTGTGAATTATAAAAAGACTGTTGTTGAGTTAGAGGAAATGCTCACTCTTTATTGCAAGAAGAGAAATTGTGATTATTCGAAAGATAATGGATGGATTGAGGTATACATTTTTTATTTATTTCAAAACTGAAATGAGAAGAATTAAACAAATAATTGTTTCAGATTCTCGAGAAAGTTATCCAACTCAATTTTTCAAAAAAGGATGAATTCAATGTGTTTTTCGCAATCACAACAAAATATATCCCGAATAATACACGCTCCGGAGCTCAAATCTATGATCTTTTCCGTTTGTTGTTGCAATATCATTCACCGGATTTGAGCAATTTGCTAGATTCGTTGAATATTTTACCATCGGAATATGCTCAAAAATGGTTCAACACTTTGTTTGCTTATAATATGCCTTTCAAGATTTGCATCGCTCTCTGGAAATGTATATTTGAGACGGTTAGTTATTTTACATATGTCAAATAACTGGAACTGATTTTTGAAATTCTTATATTTAACATTTTCAGGGTGATCCATTCTTGGTATTCCATATGGCGGTCAACTTGGTTTTGGAGAAAAAAGCTTCAATCCTCAAATTAGGCGACAAAAAAGCAATTCTTGAAGATCTTAATTCATTAACCGCCAATTTTGACATTAAAAACGTTGAACATCAAATTCCGATTTGCGAAAAGCAATCAAACAACACTCCAGCTTGCTTCCAAAAAGATTTTCACTATGTTCTTTTTGGCGCAAATTTTGATGATGAAATCGGAGATATTCAAGTCAACAAGTTATTGTGTTTGGCAATTCCAGCAATCGATTTAGCCTCTAGTGATGATGTAAGCATTTTTTCTGTTTTGTTTTGTATAAAAAACTATAAAAATTGATTTCAGGACTCCAGTGGGAAAGTCAATTTCTTTGTTATTGATGCGAGATCAAACATTGATTTTGATAGTGGTCATTTCATATCTTCGTTCAATTTAGATTGTTCAATGGTAGACTGTTTTTCAGAAATTTGGATGAATAAAAACTTTTTTTTAGATCGTTGATGATCCTGCTAAATTTGACATTGCCTTGGATGCTCTGTTTGAATATAAAAATGCAAAACGAGACAACGATCATTTCTTGTTCCTTGGTTACGGTGACGATTCTAAAGATCAATATATGAATATGGTGATTGCTCAATTTATTCAAAGAAAACTTCCACATGTTTCATTTGTTCAAGGTGGCTATAAAAGTGAGTTTTACTTTAAAAATACTGAAATTTCAACAATGAATGAAACATATTTTTCAGAGTTACACAATCATCTTATGGAATTGGGAAAATCAGAGTTATTATCCATGCATAGTGATGAGACGTGTCTTGTTTGTAACAACGGAAAAGTGAAAAGTAAAGGATGGGGTTTTATGTCACGTATGAAATCTGCAGTTGCTAATACATCAAGTCGAATGAAAGAAAGAGTTGAAGCTGTTGTTTATCCAATTGGTGAAACATCAGCGGATCACGTGCATCACGTTGATCCAAAAGAAAGACATGGAAAACGATATAAACAACAATCCGTATTCAGTCTTGAAGATAAAAGTGATGATGAGACTTCTGAATTGAACACATCTTTCAACCTTGATTCAAATGGAAAGGTAATACTCAATTTTTCTTTAAAAACGGTAATTTAATTTATAATTGATTTCAGCTTGTCCTTCCCTCAGAATTTATTGCACATTTTGATTGCAAAGAAATATTCCAAGATGGTCAGATTGATGCTTATATTGCCGTCACTCGCACTCAAATACATTTCATTCACGATTCAGGAAATGGCCAATTCACAACATATGTACGTTATCACTTATCGAATCTTACCACAGTGTCAAGTAAAAGCAAAGTGCCAGAAATCTTGACATTCAAATTTGGTAATGATATTGAAGGCACCACATCACGACTTCGGTTAGTTCCTGTTGTTTTTTAAATATTCTTTTTCAAAAAAAAAATTGTTTTTTTACAGCTTCTATGTTCCAAAAGCTGGAGAATGTGTTCAAGCTGTCAAATCTGCATTTTTCTCATTTAACCCGGATTCAAAAGAAAAGGATTGAGCTCGCTGAATTTCGCTTTCACTTCATAATTTGTAAAAAGTGTAATTTGTTTTTTATGTGATTTTAACATTTTCGGGTTTTATAGTCTAGATATATTTTTTATTAGAATGTATAATGAAATGATTTAAAGGTATTATGAAACAACGTGCTTCGAAAGTTTTCAGAAAAAGATCGCATTGAAGATGAGAGTCAATGTTCCGTCTTCTGAAATCACACCGGAAAAGCTTATCCCGCAAGAACATTAAAAACACAGTTGACTCTTGTGATACCGTAGTTTTAGTGTTAGTCTGTCGTATCAAGACCTATTTGAACAACAAGACGTATTTTGGTTTGCAACGCACTCAGTTTAGCGTTTTTCTGGGTGTCTCTTTTTTCTATTTTTTCGTTCGGTTCCACATTAAAATTGATGAATCCTTACTTTTTTGGGTTGATAAGCCACAGATTTCTGATAGTGGAGATTATTTATCAAAATATTGTCGTTAATTGTTCATTTCTTCCTAACATTTTGTCGCTTCTACCTAATAATTCGTGAAAAATTTGGTGAAAGCATTTTCAAGTTTAGTCGTTCTGTTTCATTATATTCACTCAATGTCAGGATATCAAAAAATCAACAATCTGAGAATTGTTCAAACAAAACAGTGTTTTATCTAACAAACATGTTGTTGTTTTTCTCTTCTTCAATTGTTTTTTCTTCTTCCTCTTCCCTTTCTCTTGTTTTTGTTTTGCGCGTAAAATGTGTTGCATGCAGAAAAACGAAAGCGTTCACACAAAACAGTTCACTTCCTTTTCCCATTAGTCAACGTGTTTCAAGATTATTCTAGAAACCAAAGACTATCAGATTGATGACGAATTCGGCGAAATATGTATCTTGCGAAATAGTCATTGTGTTTTGATCTTTTTCACCTCTTTCTCTCTTTCTTTTCATCTGACCTTGTTTATTTTTTGTGCGCATTTCTATCACTTTTTCGTCTCATTGTGGTATATGTTTATTTTTTTTTCTAGAATAATAATTTTATTGATTCTCCTATTTTTGTCAACCACTCTTTGATAAGCTTTTCAATAACATTTTTTCTAGATGCAAGTAAACACTGAAGATATCACTGTTGCCTGGGGACAACAGCCACATCAACTCGATTCGCAATATGGAAAATGGCGTTTGGCGGTCTTCCAAGATGTGCAAGAATCAATCGACGGTTCAAAACTCTACTTTTTGTATGATCCAATGGCTGATGAGCAAAGTGGAACTAGTGGACAACGCAAAGGATATCCGGGCCTCATCATATTCGATGTCAATTTGAGATGTTTCGCTGGCGAGATTTCGGTTCATTCTCCAGGAAAAATGAAGTTTTTGTTTGCACTTCGATGTCCATCACCACAAGGCGGAAGTTCGTTTGTTTTGGTGACTGAAGAGGAAAACTATGGACAGATTCGTTTGAATATTTCGAGAATTGATTTGGCGCAAGATGGATTGTCGATTGCCAATGTTCGACCAATTATTAATCAACCATTGGTGATTGGTGGAGAATATATTTGCTCAATGCGCGATGATGCTCCGGAAATTGTTGTTATGGCTAATCCAGGACTTCACGTAAGCACTTTTTTATAAGGGACTTTTCTGATGTTTTTAAAAGCTCGGGTTTCTCATCTTCATTAATCAAAATTCCAGATTTGGCGCGTTGATTGTATGGCTGAAACTGCTCAAGCACCAATTGCTGATTTCAACGTGCCTGGCGCAGAACTTGATCACTTCTATGATGGTTTCTTGAACAATGGAAATGTGATTTTCCTCTCTGCTACTCCAGATGGACATTTCGATAATACTCGTGTTCATATTCTCAATCTTAACAATCCACAACATGTTAGTGTTTTATCTTTATTTTTTGTCTAAACCAAACTATTTATCGATTTTCAGATAACTTCTCAAAACACAAGCGGTGATCCATCTCGTGGTATGCCAATGCCAAGAAAACAATGTGGTTTTGACTCGGTTACCAGTAAGTTTTTTTTAAATCAGAAGCTGAAAACCCTTTGTGGACAAAATATATGTTTTAGAAAATGAATCCAATTTCAAATTGGGTATGATTTTTTAGTGAAACTTTTTTTTTCTTAAGCTAACAGTTTTGTGTGACATTCTACATATTCCAAAATACATTCAAATTTTTTCAGATGCGATTTTGATGGCTGGCGGAGAAATCGATAGAGGATATGGAAATGTTGAGCGTCTTGTTGATTATTGGGTTCTTGACACAAGAACTTTCCAATGGATGCAGGTTCCATCTCAAATGCCGTGTCCACTCATCGAGCCAAGATTGACTTCAGCAAACTCTGGAAATATTTATGTTTGGGGAGATTTTGATCAACCGCTTCCAGGAATGCCACCAAATGGAACGCATTTGAGAATCTTGAGAGTTACTGGATTGGAAAAGGCTAATCATCCACCTGGTTATACACCATATCAAGCGCCAGCACCACCAGCTTATCCACATTTGGATGACAGCAAATCGAATCCACCATATCCACCAGCAGGAGGTAATCAAGGAGGTTACCCAGGACAAAATCAAGGAGGTTATCCAGGACAAAATCAAGGAGGATATCCGGGACAGAATCAAGGAGGATATCAAGCTTATCCACAACAACAAGCACCACCATATCCATCTTATAATCCAAATCAAAATGCTGGTCAACCACAATATCAACAGCAACAAAACCCACTTCCACAATATGCTGGAGACAATTCTGGAACTTATCAAAATACTCCAGATGGTCAAACTGCTTTTTATCCAAACAAAAAACAAAAGAAGGATTGTTCTATTCAATAATTTTGTTCTGATTCTCGATTTCTTATTCCCGCCCGATTTGAAACTATTTTACCTGTGAATATGCATATTTTTTCAATCCCAACCCACCAATTATTTTATTTTTGTCCAATTGATTGATTTGAAATGAAAACGAGTTGTAAGCTTTGGCTTTTTGTAGATGCATAAATATTTTATCTTGCCATATGGTTGAAACGTATTTTTTTTGTTTCTCTGGGAACGAGAAAATTTTATGAGATTTTCATTAATAGCAATTGATTTTATTGGGTGAAGTCAAAATGGATCGCGTAGATAAGATATAGCTCCCTGTTTCCAACAAAATCGAGCGAAGAACTAAATTGAGAAGTTCTTCATGTTAATTTTTCCTAAATTGAATGAATTCCATTATTTTAAGTTTTACGTTCAGCTTTGTTTGCATCATTTAATTTTAGTAAAGAATTTGTTTCAAAAATTCTCCACATCCTGTATTATCCTCTTTCCAACATTGTTTCAATTTGCTCCCATTTTATTCATCACAATATCAAAAAATAAACAAATAAAACCAATAAATATCACAAATATTTCAATATTCAATATCATGTCTCTCACATTGAATAATTTCTAAAACTCGCTCAAAATTATTAACCGTAGTGCCTTTTAATACTTTCTCGCCGACGTCAAACATCAAGCCGCATACATTTGGGTTCTCTCGTTGCTCGTTCCTAAAATCAAATTCAGCCGATAAACTTCGATTCATTCAGAGAAACTATACCTCATAAAATCATGTGCCCACCAAGTGTTTCGATCTGTATCAATTCCCCATTTTGGTGCTGAAAACATTGGACCGAGAAATCGAATTTTTTGAATATTTGATAACGCAATGATTTTTGATTCTCTTCCAGGGAAGAAATATTTCTTGATGATCAAATATTTATCCGTTATCTAAAAAGTATAAATATCTAATAAATTTTAAAAATAATTGAAAAATAAATTTACCCTAACATATTTATCTTCATAAACAACCATAATAGAGTCATCAGTTTCATGATTAAAATTGACATCAAATTCATTCGGATTCTCTTCATATTTCGGATCTTCTGACACTAAACACGTTCTAGCTGCTCGTATTTTCTTCGGAGGCGGCGGCTGTGAAACATGTTGTGCACCAGCAGGAACAGCAGACCAAGTTTTGACACCTGATATTTATTTCATAATTTTTTCAAACAATATAAAAAATAACAAAAAACTTACCTTTCTCCATTTTTAAGGTTGTTGAAAATAAATGAAAATAATACGAGAATAGAAAAACAACGTTGCTATGGGGATTTGGATTTTGTGACAGATAGTGTCTTGATTCGAGCAATAAGGTGATATTAATTATAGGATATGTGGAAATTCGGTTGGAAAGCAGGTGAAACGGATTTAGCTGAAGCTCTTCGAAAAACAATGTATTATCTATAGATGTAAGATGTAAGATGGAAAAAGAAAAAAAAACGAATGAATGGAGTTAATTTGGAATTTCAACAGATGATTGACAATAAAATATGAGTCATTACAGAGCATTTTTTTATGTTTTTCTAATAATTTTGCGAAAAAAAGTCTAAATTTCAAAAGTTTTGTGAAGTTTTTATTATTTAATACATAAATACGTGAAATTACAAAACCTGAATGATTCATATGTTTCAATTTTCTTAAAAACCAAGTCAAATAACACAAATGAACCAGACCTGTGAAATTTTTACGCGGTACGGAAAACGTGTAAGATGAATTAAGTTTTTCAAATTTCGAAATCTTGATGTTTCCGATGTTTGTAGATGTTACCATGTGAACCAAAATGAACCAAATTATAAATTATATGTATCACCAACAAAAAGTCCCCCAATTTCCCAATATTTTTTGAATTCAGAGTGATATAATTATTAGTCTGTTTTAATCTTGAATTTTTCTTAATCTTGAGATTAATTCAGTCTGAACAAGGTTTTTTTCTGAAATCAGAACAGTAAGATCAAAAACTATTTTTTCTTGCTGAAAAATTGGTTGTCTGTTCTTGGAATGATTATGATGTGAGCCAAACATTCAAAATGAAAAATTTTTCGAAAAAAGGTATTTTCCAGGAATTATGTAGAATTGTTTTTGGAACATGAGCAAACAATCAAATCAAATCAGATCTTTTTGATATAATCGTTATGTGTGTTCCAACTTTGATTAATCACTTTATATCTTCTTTTTTTCTTTCTTCACATCTTGTTTTTGATCCATTCCTTCATGATTTTTATCCAACTTGTTGGTATCAGGCACCAAAACTTGTTGAAAAACAACAGCGAACACATTGAATGAAGATGAGCAGACGAAACTGAACGAACAAAAAACGGTTGAAAGTGTAATCGTTAAGATATTACTGCTAGGCTGTTTTGTGTGGAAAGAAAGAAAAAAAAAGATGAGGCACACAAAACCGAAGAAAACACATGTGCCAATCGTTTTGCTGAAGATGAAGATGAAGATGAGAAGAGAGTGGGAGGTTTTGAATTTCCCTTCAGTCACATCACAAAAGTATTGAGATATTTTTTTTTCTTCTTCTTCTTCAGCTTTTTTTGCCGTCCCGTCCAACCCCTTTCTGGCACAGGAGGAGAGTTATTACACTGTTCGTCAATATGTGTTAGTAGTGTATGTGAAACGGAGGGAGATGGTTGACGAACCAACTCGACTGGCAGTTTCAGCTTTTTTCGTGACTCTTTCTTTTATTACGTTTTTGTTTTTGAATCAGAAGCAAATTCAAGCATTATTTTTTCAGCTTTTGATTTGAACATGTATTGAGTTACCGAAAATACTATCCTAGACTGTATTTTTGAAAATTTAAAACTCAAGCTTTGGTGTTGGTTTTTGAATCAATTTACAGATTCCATAACTACGGAAGTATTAATTAGAATAGCAATTAAGAGTTCATTGATTTCAGAATTCATAACAGATAGCGGATTTTCAACAGTGGAAATGTTATTCCCAGTACCAATTCTCACTGCATTTATCACATATGTTTTTCTCTAAAAATTCCCACACTAACAAAAACTTTGAGAATCGGAACTACCGTATATTTTGCGGCATCTCATGCAAAACCAATCAAAAGTCTAAAAATCATCTCTATCTTCATTTTCTCAATTTTCATCTTTTTCATCTTTCACATATCTTCTCCAGCATCTTCTTTTCCCGCTTTTCATATTTTGTTGCTCACAAACAAATTGTTCATTTTCAGTTTTTCAAACAACAATGGTTTTCGAAGAAGACGACGATCTTATCAGATATGGCGGAGCTCAAGCCGATGATGGCGGTGATGATGCCGCCAGAAAGGCCGAAGAACGTGAACGCAAGAAGGCTGAAGTCAGAAAACGTCTTGAAGAAGCTGGAAAGAAAGGAAACAAGAAGAAGGGTTTCTTGACACCTGAAAGAAAGAAGAAGCTCCGTGTATGTCTGAAAATCATCAGAATTATAGAAATAAAATAATTTCAGAAACTTTTGATGATGAAAGCCGCTGAAGACTTGAAACAACAACAAATGTTGAAAGAGCAAGAACGACAAAAGACTTTGCAACAAAGAATCATTCCTTTGCCAGACGTTGATTCAATCGATGATCAAGGAAAACTTCTTAAAATTTATGAAGAGATGTTCGCTCGTGTCACATCTCTTGAAGAAGAAAAAATACGATATTGCCGCTCTTGTCGGTAATACTGAAGCCGAAATCAATCAATTGACCATCCAAGTCAATGATCTCCGCGGTAAATTGTGAGTATTCTACAAATTTCAGTAATCTGGAAGTCAATATTTATTTTTCAGTGTCAAGCCAGCCTTGAAGAAGGTTTCAAAATACGACAACAAATTCAAATCATCTGGAGACGGAAAGGGACAAAAAGCCAACTTCCGTGATAACCTTAAAGTTGTTAAGAAAGAAACTGGAATTGATGATATTTTGGCCAAGACCAAGAAGAATGAAGGAAAACCAGACTGGTCCAAAAAAGATAAGGGAGCTGCTGAAGAGAAGAAAGAAGAAGCTGTGAGTCACTAGCAACTAAACTAGAAAAAAACAAATACATTTTCAGCCAGCCCCAGCCGAAGCTGCTCCAGCTGAAGAAGCTCCAGCCGAGGAACCACCAGCAGAGGAAGAAGAAGGAGAGGAAGAGGAAGAAGAATAGATGTTTGGTTTTCAATATAATTTTGCAATGTTTTTTTTTGTCTCTTGAACACACTTTTTTCTAGAACTTGTATATTTATGATACACACAAACACAAATTCTTTCTTTTTTGTCAACAAAACCATTTTGATGCACCAATAAACCTTCTTGATTTTTATTTCGACGAAAATAAATAAATAGATTTATTGGATTTTGAACGTCTAGTTGAAATACATTTGCAAGTTATGTTGATCATTTGATCAACAGAAAAAAAAATGTTGACTAAAAATAATGTTTACTCGTAACGAACGACGGACGAATCAATCATCACAACAAACCATGTTATAAAATGAGAACGTAAAGTTGTTGTTCTTGTTGATTTTTACCATTTGTAATAAATTATAGCATTATTATTATAGTCTGAACCTGGTTGGGATTTGACATGGTGACCCAGGCAAGGAACTTGATGTTTCTAGTCTATCTATGCGTACAGATCGATTTGGTTCCCAAATTGCCAAAAACAAATCAATTGAATCAATAAGAATATGATTACAAAATTCAATATGCCTGATATGATGAGACATACTTCCGGAACCTATGTGGAAAATGTATCTCTCACAATTTAATATATAATTTTTTTCAACATTATTTTCAACAAATTATTATTTTTTCTGTTTGTATTTATTTCATCATTGTTTTGCGACTTTTTAAAAACATAGGTTGATACAATCTCAGTTCTCGGGTCAGTAGAGTCAAAGTTGATCTTTTGAAACCGTTAATGGCTCTGATTGCATCTGCGAGATACTCCTAATTGTTTTTGAACAATCGACAAATGTTTTTCGCTCATAGTTTTCCATATTATCTACGGAGTTTGATGAAGCGTTAAATGAAATTGATTGGCTATAAACTGACAATAAATCTTGTTTTCCAAGAGGTAGGTTTTGTGGCTAATTTTGAGGCAGTTAGACAATTCCGGAAACAAATCCTTTGAAGGTTTCAAAAAAAAAGCCTTAACCTTAAGTCAGAATGAATGTGATTTCCTATTTTATCCCTTTCTTCGATGAAAACTCAAATGAACCTTTTTTCAAGGTTTTTAAGAAATCTTTAAATAATTTTTTACAAAATAATGTTTTCAGTTTTCTCGAATAAATCTCGCAAAGAGAACCCTATCCTTTTCGAAATCTAAAGATTGTGACTTTAGAAGACTCTTGGCCACTTTGAATGACACGGACAACATACAGGATGATTTTCAATTTTGAAGATCTTATCTATTCATGTATCTTGATTATGCTACGAATTTTTGAAAGAACCCGTTTCGTAGTTGAGTGCATACAATTGTTTATCACGAATTAAAACGGAACCAACAGATTATTGAAAAAAAAATTTGAAACTTTGAAGGAGCACAACAAAAACCTTCGAGTCAAAAATTAATAGAACTCTGCAGAATTATATAAAGTTAAATAATAAACATTTTTGCGGTTACAAATGTTGTTTTTGAAAATAAAATATCGCATTTCCAAGAATTGCGGTTTTTTTTCCGTGGAGTAAATATAATTCACATTTCATAATATTAATTAAAACATTCAATGCCATTTCTCAAACGGTTTTCTGAATTCTCAAAACGTTGAGAACGTAAATACGTAGTTCAATTCGAAACACACCGTACTCACATCAGGTTTTCCAGTTTCATCCCACTACGAAAAATGCGATTTTTAATCTATATTCTGCATAGGCATCTTGCGCTTGATGGTATCATCATTTGCCTACAGTATTCATTCTGGTGAGAAGAATTAAAAGATCGTGAAATATATAATGTCTCTTAAATTTGCTAGTTTACAAGGGCTCCGTGGTATTTCAATATGTTTAGTTCTTATTTTCCATTTATTCCCAAAAGAATTTCCAAGAGGTTTTGTTGGAGTTGATATGTAAGTTTTTTTCAGAACTCTGATTACTGATTAATATTTCAAAACATTTTAGGTTTTTTGTTTTATCCGGGTTTTTGATGACAAAAATTTTATCGTCCGATAAAAGTTCAACTTTTGAATTTTATTTGAAACGTGTAAAAAGGATAGTGCCAATTTATTATGTTACCTTAATTTTTCTAATAATCTCTGCAGTCATTTTTCTACTCAAAGATGAACGAACAGAACTGATATATAATACAATATGGGCTATACCAATGTTATTGAACTTCCAATCAATATTTGAACACACAAGTTATTGGGATCAGGTTAGTTTTTTTATCACTCATTGTCAAAAATAAATAAAGTAAATTAATTATTTAGATATCCTCAATTCGATATCTCACTCATTTCTGGTCCATTTGTGTTGAATTTCAATATTATTTGATAGCTCCATTGATTCATTTTGGAGCGAATCATATGAAAACATCCCAAGAAAAACGATGTTACTATCTGATTCTGATAATTCTATCATTAGTTTTTCAACTCACAGCAATACAAGAATTACGATATGATTGTATTTTGTCAAGAATTTGGCAATTTCTAATTGGTTCACTTGCTTATGATCTGTCAAAAGATTATGGCTCTCAGAAAAACAATGAAAATCATTTGAAAACAAAACTAGTGTCAATTGCAATGTTGAATCTATCAATTTTAATTTTTTATAACCCTGAGTTGTTTGGGGAAGATCTCGTAAGGTGAGTGATCTCCGAAGACGATTTCTTCTGATCTGCAGGATTTTTTCAGATTTATTTTCACGATTTTTGCATTTTATATCTGTCTTAACTGTGAGAGTTTTAACAATAATCCAATTTTGACTTCAAATCCTCTTATCCATCTCGGAAATTTATCATTTTCAATCTATTTGGTTCACTGGCCAATTATCAATTTGTTGAAATATATACAATTTAAGGATTTTGATGAGACAAATTTGAGTTATTTAGAATTTATGACTTGTTTGACGTTGATCTATTTGGTTTCAACTATTTTCTATCATTGTTTTGAGGTGAAATTTATTCGCATGGATATTCAGGAAACTAAAAAGACAATTGGTGTTCTGATAATCACGCTGATTACACTTCTTCCGGTGTTAGCATTCAAACAAAGCCTTATTGTTCACACTCTTCCAAGCGACATTCAAAAACAGATTTATTTGAATTTCGACAGAGAACATCAATTCAAGCAACTCGAAGTTAAAAACTGCGATTTTTCAAATGATCAGATTTATTGCGCTCAGGTAATTGAATTTTTCCCGAACACCCCGGCATTAACTTTTTTTTCAGAATTCTAGTGGAATTGGGAAACTTCTAGTGATCGGAAACAGTTTATCACATCGAGCATTTCCATTAATCCAAGAATTTTTGAATGGCAATTTTTCGGAAATTCGTTTGAGAGCTAGAGATGGATCTGCACCATTATATGATTTATATCCACCATTCACAGAATCTTGTATTCAAGAAGCTTATGATTTTAAACCTGACATGATTTGGGTTGTTCAAGGAGCAAAGTGAGTTAGAAAATACTTTTATCAGATTTTTGTAAAATATTTTCCAGTGAGGTTACATTTCCACGTGAACCATATAAGAGTAAACTGAATAAAGAATATTTGGATAGAACTTCTCAAAAAATTCTCAATTTACTGCAACTCGCAAATCCAAAAGTTGTGGCGATAGATCTACCATTTTTCATCAAAGACCATCGGCATTTGACATTTTTCGGAAGAAGTAAATTATATCGACGTGAAAGTGAAGAAAAGTTCGAGCGAGTTCCGATTAATGTTGGTTTTATTTTCAAAGACAAGTTGATTTTCAATTTCAAAAATTTTTTTCAGGAAGTTATGACTCAAATAACTCCAACAATTGAGCGTCTTCGAAATCTTAAATGCAAAAATTGTATTTTCAACGATATTCAAGGAAACCTTTTGCAAAACAATACGAAATATTTTGAATTTTTCGATCGAGAAAACATGGTAGCATTGAGTTATGATGGAGCACATTTGTCAAATTTGGCATATCGAAAATATTTGCGAAACGAGTATATGAAAACTATTGAATACTTTTATCAAAGTATTTGATTTTTTCTTAAAAATTATACTATAGATTTTTCTTATTCGTCATTATTGTTGGAAAACGGGTTATAGAATAAATGCATGAAATCACTTTTGCATTTTTTCTCAAGTCGAGTGATTGGAATTTAGATAACGCCAAGAAACTACAGAAAGTTGTGAACGTTGTGATTCACAGTGACAAGCTTTCAGATTCATGGATCAGATTTCAGATAAAATTGCCCAGCTGGCTTCACAACTAGAAAAAATAAGCAAACAATGAGAAGGATATTGCGTCGATAATTAATTGTAAACATGAAACATATGTTGAAACTTGGTCTTGAGAAAAGAATGAGCTCACAAGTGTTAAGATATTTGGATTCTCAAATTTTATGATTCTCAATGCATAGATTTTCCGAATATTTTTCAGAAAAGTCGATCTCTCCTTTTCGAGAGGCCAAGTTTGTTTTCTAAAAATAGTTTATATTTCCTAGAACGCATTTTGATTAAGATATATCACATGACAAAACGTTTCACGGTCTAGCAAACTTCAATAAAAAATATATAAGATTCATTAGTTCCAAATAAAATATAAAGATCAGAAAAATAGAGATTCAATAAACATCACAGAACTACGATAAATAAATAAAAATATGTATATTTACAAGTCAAAGTGTTTCTCATTGAGAAAAATAAAGAAGAATTAAATTAGACCCAAAGCTTTTGCGGACTTGGTGGCGCTTCATACAGGATGCAAGACGAATTGCGAGTCAACAAGGGGAACGGCGTGGCACTTCGACACGACAATGTACGGCTCCTTTCTCGTGGAACAATCGCAGGTTCTTCCTCGAGGCGTTTGGCTGAAATCGATAAATGTCTTGAGGAGCATGTCTTCGACATTACGTTTCTATCAAAGACGAAGATCGAAAGGTAGAAGGCGTTGAAGGAGAACTGCAAAAAAACAACAGTATAAAGATTATATGAAACATTTCTTGTAAATATTTACCTTTGCAAGGTATAACGCTTTGCATGTGTAGAAAAGTATCAAGTTATCCCCATTACCAAAAAATGGACGGAGAACTCTGAAAAGTGCATCCGGAATACAAAATGCGATACTAATCGCGGTGACCGCCATAAATCTTCTCATTGTTGCAAGTCGTTTTTGCATCTAGAATAGAATCAAATTTGATTAATAAGATTAATTAGTGTTAATAATCCTTCACTAATCCCAATTCAAAGAAACCATGCAAAACTCACTTTCTCTGGATCTTCTTCGAATGGAAATACAACTTGAAGATACGCATCTGACGTCTTTCTTCTTGAACGGCACAAAAACACTTGAAGGTCCAACGCCAAAATTGTGATTGATGGAATAAAAGTGCTGGCAATAATGTCAAGAGTGTTATAAAGTTTTGATGTAGTCTGCAAAAACATCTTTTTGTTTTCTCATTATTTTCTCACATTAGGCTTACCTCCAACTGCATAACACATCCATATTTGCCTTCTGTTCCAGTGACGGTTGTGAAAAGATAGAGATTGAGAACTGTTGAACAAACTGCGGTTGAACCCAAAAGTGTCCATGGTGCTTGCCAGGAAGTCGTGTAGAACATTGGTTGGAACGCGGCGAAATAACGGAGGCTTGACATATATACCCAGCAATACATACTGAATGTGTGAAAGCAGCGATGCAAGAATTCCGATGTTTTGCACGAGAATGGCAAGAATTGAATTTCAGCATATCCAGGAAAATATGTGATCGACATTTGGAAATACGAAAAGATAATCGAGGACATATCACAACTCGCCATACACAGCAAAAAGATTCCAGTTCCATTCAAAAACTGAAAACAGACAGAATTATTTTATCTAGCTCTATGAATTAAAAGTTCTTACCTGATCTGTATCCTTGAAAGCCAATCTGATCATTCGATAGATCACAAAGATGTTGAAGATGAATCCAGAGCAGACAATCAAAGTGAAGAAGAGAATAAAGATTGGATTGTGGCTCCGAGTATCGGTGTATTCATCGGAAGGCCAAAGGATGATACTATCAGAAGACATTGTTGTCAATTCCAACTTCTGAAAGATTTCGTATTCAGCAGCCATGATAAGAATGAAATGAAACGGATTAGTTCTTCTACTTCAACAAGAAAAGTTGGGCGGAGCTTGAGCGAGAAAACGAAGCCCTGGCGAGCAGATTAGGGGAGAAAAAAAAAAGAAGAAGAAACGGGGAGAGCGGATAATAAGAAATTGGGAATCCCTTTTTGACACAGGTGTGTTTTAGCAAGAAGCAAAAAGAAAAAACTAAAACTATTTTGGTGGTCTTGAAAATGTTTCGAAGACTACTGAAAATTCAATGAGCCGATGAATTTTTGCGGGGTGGAATTTGATCGAGTGGAAAATGATTGACGAATGGATGAATATATGATTTTTCAGTTTCAGTTTGGAAAAAAAACTAGCTGGAAATCGTTGAGAATCATTTCCTGAAAATTATCAAATCGGAAATAATCATCGAATAGAGCATAGTGGAACTTCCGCTGTTTTAAGATTCTCGAATGTTTAGTGATGGTTCTTAGATAAATGACATCTTCATATTATTTTTTCTCATTTCATTGTCAGAGAAGTTCAAAAGTTTGATAGACGTCGATTGTTTTTCAGTTTTTAATTGCCCTCTAGAGAATTTGGTACAAAGTGTACTCAAAATTCAAAAGAATAACAAAAAAGAGGTAAAAGACCACAGAATAACGTCACAGACATTCTAATGATTGAAAATCAGTTTTCGGATAGATCACTTTGTTAAATCAAAACTTCTTTGGGTATGAAAGAACATACCTACCATAAACCTCTGAATCTAATTTTCTGCAAACAAAAACTTTTTTGATTAAATTCAATTATTTTCACCTGTTCACACACAAATCTCATTTTCATGTTTATTTAAAGCATAAAACCTCAAAGAAACGGAAAAAGTGATAAGCCTTGATGAGGAAAGCAGATTCATGGCTTTTGCCCCAGTAATCCAGAAAAGTATTAAGCGCTGTTTATATAACTTGACGTACATATGAGAAAATAAGTCAATAAGCCTGGAACTATTCAAAACATCACAGATAAGATTTGATAGGTCACAAAAAATTTATAAGTTCTGATTCATTTTTGAAAATGAAGAGGACGAGTATTGAAAATTATTGAAAGAACTTCGGCGAATATTCAATCAGACAAAGAATCATACAACGTCCGATAAATATTTGATGAAAACTAAAAGTCGGCCTGAATATCAAAATTTGGTCCTATGTAGATATTTCAATAAAAGGCCCGATTCAAAGACTCTCAAAAAATAAATGCGAATTACAAAAGTTATCAATCCAACATGACTTTATAAAAAAGAAAAATCGAGATTAGCTGTTTCGAGAAAATTCGAGTTAACTTGCAGACTGAAATCTTTTCTATCTTCTTAAAAAACATCAAACAACACATCGTCACAGAGATATATTTCTTTATGTATGTATGTATCAGATGTTCATTCACACCACACAAAAAATATCCAATTTCTTCACAATAAAAAGTTCAACTAGGCAAAAAAGAAGAACAATGATGATGCATAAAATTCCCATTTCCCCGTCTTTGCTTTTTCACACTTTCAAATTCTTCCAAAGAAAGAAATAATAACAAAAACATTGCGGAAAAACGAAAAAAAATAAGAGGATTTTTTTTGGTTGCATCTGATGAGAAAATGAATTCATGTAGAAAATCTGAATATTTTTTGCATATATGTAGATATTTCTAAAAACAGCCAGGAAAAATGCGGAGGAAAAATTGGATACGGAAGGAAATCTATGTCATTGTTCATTGGGAATATAAATCATATGGTCAATATTTTTAGCTTTGTCATTTCAAATACATTTTACATGAAACCAATTTTCCAGCAAAGCTTTTTGTTGTCGAAATGGAAAAAAACTAATTTGCTTTTTTTTCGCTTTCAAAAAAGGTCACATCTGAACCTTTTTCTCTTGATGAAGAAACCAAATCAAACCAACCAAAAAAACTTTTCGAAAAATCGAATTATTTCTAGTCAGTCAGCTGGTGAACATTTCAATTATCTTGTCATAATTACATCTTAACATTTGTTTATTCAATCAAAATTTGAGTTTGGTTGGTTTAAAACAAGATTATGAAACAATTTTTTCTTCATCTCATCTTTTTTCTATCGTTTACGTAGGACGAAAATTGAATAAAAGAAAGGAGAATCCATTTTTGGTTAGGTGAACACAAAATATTCAAAAAATAAAGACCAATTTGATGTTTCAGTTGACATCAAACTACATTCCATTTTTGAGAATTCTCGAGAAAGATTTATATTTTTTTTCGACGGATGAAGACTGATAATCCGGTCTAAAACTAATAAAGAACGTGTAATTTTCGAAAATGGCTTATCTTTTCATAATCACTGAAACATGTATTGAAGTTTGGAATTTTTTTCTGTGCCATAAGGGTGAAACCCATAAAATAGGAGAACTTCCGGATTTTTTGAACCAAACATTTTTCAGAACACCAGAAAATCAAAAAATTAGCGGCGCATGCCAATCTGTAATCAAGAAATACAAAAATTATCCCAAGTAAATATGAAAATTTTCTTCAGACAAATAACAGACAATTTGTTTGTTGTGATATTTGCATTTAAAACTACAATATTCTTTTTTGCTTCAGCTCCTCTTCTCAATCTTTAGTTTTTCCAACAAAAAAAGATATTGATAAACAACAAACACATGGCTCTTCGTTTTTTTTTGCCTAATCCGAAATGGCACTTTTTCTATACTAACTAATAAGATTAACTGTTTCGCGATGTTTATCTATAGATATACGTAAATGCCAAACATTTTCCGGAACAAACATGTTTGTTGAAATATTATGTAAATGTACGTCAGAAATCAAGAAAAATAAACGAACGTATGTAAAATGAAATCAAGAAAGGAAGAAAAATAAAACCCGGGATGCAACAAAATGTAATTAGATTTTTAGTTGAAACTACTTTTTGCAAAAAAACGTCATTTAACTCTTCTCAAGATGAGTCAAAGAACATGTATATATAAATAATGATCGAGACGATGAAGCAGGAAATTTGGAGCTGAAATATGGAAAAAATATTACATAATTTGTACATATGAAAAATTAACCAAGAAAGAAAGATCATTAGAAATTATGTTTAAAAATTTCCAATGATCTACATTGGAAACTTCGATGATAATAAAAATTTTCAAAGGTCATTTTTACATGTCAAGAAATATGAGTTTTTTCCGACTCTGTGTTTTTTGAGTTATGATAATTTGATGGGAATTTCGAAAGTACTTTTCTCACGTTCTCTCAAAAGTTCAAGATTGCGTTCAGATAAACAAATTAAAATATAGGGTTTGAAAAATAATTGCTCTATAATTAACGTAGAACAGTTGAACTTACATTAGACACTGATTTCGAGATAAACAAAGTAAACGTATGAGAAAACTTTATTGTAAAATTATGGAAAGGGGTCGAATTTTATATTATCTTGGAAGAAGCTAAAAATTTGATCTACATTTTAGAACACAAAAATGTTTTTTTTTTTTGAAAAATCTGGGAATTTGAAAATGGGAAAGTGACAACAAACAGTCAAAACTGTTGAGCTCTAACATCGAAATTTAAAAAAATTGGCTCATAAAGAGGATTCGGGAAAACTTTTTCCTCATTATTAATTTTGAGGAAGTTTCACAAAAATGTGTATAGTTTTTTTTCGTGAATAAGTGATAACTTTTCAAAGTTATAGTAGGTAGTAGGAAAAAATTAAGATTTTTTGTTTAATAGTTGTGGGAAATATTTTCTGTCTGAAAATATTATCGATCATCATAACACTGGCTACTGTATGACAGTCTATATTTAAGATGTCGACAGAGGGAGGGGGATGATGCTATTCTTGACTCACGTACTTTGGATAAACCTGAAGAAACTTTCTCCTCTTTAGTCTCTTTTTCTAGCTAGAGCCCTTATCCATTTTATTTGTTTTCGTTATCATCGGCCTTTTCAATCTCAACATTCTTCAGCATTTTTTTTGTTTTGATTTTCAGAGACACTTCGTGGTCAATGATTCACAAAAAGATGTCTGGTGCCAAATTGATATAAATACCTCAAAAACGATACAATTTAAAAATAAGAATACAAATGTGTTTTTCCTGACGCATGTTATTATAGTGTTTACCGCCTTGCTTCCTTAGCCTTTCAGATAATCTCGACCAAGTTCATAAATCAGTTTCATTGACAAATTGACTCATCAATCAAACATATATCAACCATACTAAAATCGATAAGATATTTTTTTGCAAAATAATTGTTTTCTAATTCTCACGTTTATTTTCGACAATCACAATATTTTGAATTTTGAAAACACAAAAATATATTTTTTCAGCCGAATTTCTGGGATCAAATCAAGTTGTAGTGTTGTGCAAACAGAAAGACAGGCGCACTTGTACTTTGAGCAAAAAAGAAAACCTCGACATAGCAAGAAAAAAATGTTTGCCATTTTGTGATAATAATTTGAAGATAATGAATAATCAAAAAATTATATTTTATTTTTCAGAGAATCACGGATGGGTGTTCTCGAGTATTTTGTAGACAATTATATTGTCATTTTATTGACAATATTTGTTATTTTGTTGATTCGATATGCAATGCGACCATTGAATAGGATAAGAAGATTAGGTGATGTTGGATTGTTCTTTGGAAAACCAGAGGTAGGATTCTTTGTGTGATTCAAGTCAGAAGAACAAATTGAGAAAAAGGGGACCAATTTCCTATAATAAAAAATTTAATGAACATTACTGGAGTTTTTCCAGTCTCACGTGTTTTCCAATCTTTAATTCGAGACATTTTAGTTAATGATAAATTTTCATATCATTGATATCAAGAAAATTTACAGCTTTCCGGAGTGTATCGTGAACGTCAAATTGAACGACTAAAACTTTATCGAAAAATGGGAGAAATGCCACCAGTATTTCCAAATGGTTGGTATTGTGTTTGTGAATCAGAAACTCTTGCAAAAAATGAGATCAAAGAAATAACAATTCTTGGGCAGTTTCTTTCATTAATCCGGTCAGAATCTGGAAAAGTTTATATAACTGAATCATATTGTCCACATATTGGTGCAAATTTCAATATTGGTGGAAGAGTTGTTAAAGACAATTGTATTCAATGCCCATTTCATGGCTGGATTTTTAGTGCTGAAACTGGAAAATGTGTTGAGATACCATATGAAGATGGAAGAATTCCAGATCAAGCAAAGGTAAGTTTTCAGAAAAAAAATAAGCTGCGGATTATAATCCTTGCAAAAACACGTATGTATATAGTTCATTTCAGGTTATGACATGGCCAAGTATTGAGATAAACAATAATATTTATATCTGGTATCATTCTGACGGATTAGATCCACAATGGGAAATTCCAGAAATTCCGGAGATCACTGAGGGATTGTGGAAATTTGGTGGAAGAACTGAACACGAACTAATGTGTCATATTCAGGAAATTCCGGAAAACGGAGCTGATATTGCACATTTGAATTATTTACATAAATCAGCGCCGCCAGTTACAAAAGGTCAATAATAAGAATTTAAAGTAAATACATATGTGTTTATTTGTAGGCTCCGATATAGTGAAAACCAATTTGAGTGATATGAATCCAATTGTTGAACATGTATGGAACGGAAAATGGGAAGTGAAATCAGATGAAGATAAACATTGCGGTGTTATGCATCTAGATCAATATATGAAAATATTTGGATTCCGAGTTCCTCTAACTAGTAGCAAACTTGTCGCCGAGCAGGTAATTTTCTAGAATTCACTGATTACAAATTTGTTATCAGTTTTGCGAAACAAAAAGAATCATGTCATATTTTTATATGATATATTTTATTTTTTTATTGTTTGATCATGGCAAGGTTTTTTCGGCAGTCATAATTGATGCAAACTGTAGCCAGACTTGAGATTTTTCAGCATGGCCCTGGAATAGTTCACATGTTATTCGACTTTGGGTTTTGGGGAAAAGGCGTTGTTTTCCAAACGGTGACCCCTGAAGAACCTTTGCTACAACGTGTTCGATTCCGAATTTTTTCAAATATTCCTTGGTTTTTTGTCAAATTTTTCATGACTGTTGAAGCATTGCAATTTGAAAGAGATGTGTATATTTGGTCGAATAAAAAATATATCAAGAATCCACTTTTGGTTAGAAATGATGGACCTATCCAAAAACATAGGAGGTGAGGAAAAACCGCTGGGGCCTCGAATTTTTTCAAACTTATTGTGTTAAATTTTGTGGGTAGCAAATAACTTTCTGTGTATTTCGTAACACACTTTTTTCGGGTTCAAACTACAAACATTTTGTTAATAGTGATTTGGAACAAATGTTTTTCAATAAAAAATATGATTTAATTTTTTTGCAGATGGTTCAGTCAATTTTATACCGAAAACAGTCCAAGAATTGAAAAAGATGGAACATTGTCAACTCAAGCAAAATCAATTTTCGACTGGTGATTTTCCAATTTCTTAGTTATTTTTTTCTGAAAATTCCATGTACATACATACATTTCACATTTCACATTTTATTTGAAAATAAATACATTCAATTTTTCTAGAAAAAATGTGGCCATTTAAGTTTACGACCCATTTTGTTGCGACTCGTTCAGAGTAAAACAAATATATTTTGGTGGTGCTGGTTTTTTTGTTGCTCATTCGGAACTCGATCTCACTTATTATTCCACCCTCCAAAAACAACGGAAAAGCGGAATTTCATGTTTTTGTTGTCAAAAAACGCGACTCATTTTGGTTTTGTGAAATTATTCCTTCCCTTCCCTCCCATATATTTTTCATCGTTTTCTTCCTTTTTTCTTCATCACATATCGTTTTTCGGCTTGACTCATTTATATTGGTCCCCCCCCACCCTCCTATGTATGTCATATTTGCTTTTTCAGCTCACTCAGCTCATTTATGCAACATTTGATGTTGCGATTTTGATCGAAATTAAACATTTCTAGTGCTGTCCGAAACCATTGATGCATATTCGTTGTATAAGAAAATTTGAAATGAAATGAAGTCGAGCAAGATTTTTGCTTTAATTATTTATTTGAAAATTTTCGTTTTTTTTCGCGCTATCAGAATCGTCACTTTTTTGAGTCATTTTTTTAGAAAAACTTAGTCTGATCAAAAATATGATCTCTAGCGTCGAGAAAAATGCATTTTTTGGTGTTTGGTAGATTCTTTTTGAATAACCTTGAAGTACCGATGGAAACCTATATCTCTATGAGTTCGAAATAATTAATATTTCTGCGGCTATCAGAATTGTCCCTATTTTCAAGTTTGATGTTCGTGTTTTAAAGATATAGTGTCTAGTGTCTCGTATATTTTCTCCAAATTTCTGAAAGTTCTCTGGGAAAACTGCACCCTTCTCAGCGTGAGCATATAGAATTTATTAAGAAATTTTTCGAAGCACTGTGCCTGGAATATACCGTAAGTCGAGCGCGACATTTTGAGAGCACCAAAAAAAACGTCAGAGTTCAAACGTTGTAGCTCAACCTTGAAGTTGTTTTTACCCAAATCTGAATGTATACCTTCATAAACTTTTCACGCAAAACACATCATATTCAAAAAAATTGTAGTCTTCTTTCTAACCTGATTTTCCTTATTTTTTCCTGCTCTCCCGCAAAAAAAAACTTCTCTCTCCAGCTATTTTTGGAACACAAAAAAATCTGAACACTTTTTGCGGTAACTAACCCAATTTGCTATGACTATTTTTGGGCATAAAAAATATTTTGTTTTAAAAATTGTCTTGAAATTTGAGAAGTTCAAAAGTGCGAATATGATCTCTTTGTAGGTCAAATTTTTCCAGGAGCAAAATACATATTTGCTGTTTCTGTTCTTGCTTGCAGGAAAAAAAAACTAGATTACTTTCCTTTTATTTCCTTATTTCACAATCATTCAATTATTCAACATGACTTACTCAAACATAGACAAAATCAACTGACAAATATTATTCTCATTTATTTTTCAACAAATGCGTATGTTCATATTCATATTCATATTTTTATTTTTATTATTATATAATAATATGGCTCATTGTTATACACCGGAAATGAGCTAGTGCTCTTCCTCGTTTTTTTGTCCATTCGCCCCCATTCCACCCCCAAAATAAGGTCAATTTTCAAAAAAAAAATTTGTTATTATTTTTATCGTTTTCCAAAAAATGCTATAGCATAGTTGTAATTTATATGCAAATAGCCAAGTACATTTTGCCATTTTCATTCATTTTGAAATTCGATACGGTATGATACTTATTTTTTGCCGTTTTTTTCTGGAAAAAACAAATTGAGATAGTTAAAAACATTTTTGTTACTAATTTTGGAATGTTTTTCGTTTTTGTTTTAAGTGTGTTCTAGTTTTTCTATTTGAAAATCAGAGGAAGTTGGTTTGATTTTCGATTATTGAATTATCTAAATTCTAGGTAACCATTTGCTAATTTCATTTATCGATAACACGTATCAAGAAATCACTGCTCAAAAACATTTAAAATAAATTATTTCAATTGACTGAACAAGTTAATCAAAAATCAACTTATTTATGACAAGGAAATATAATTTTTGATGAAAATCAAAGGTTAGCTATAATTTCGTTGTATTTACTTTTACGTATGTTCAGTTCAGACAACGTTTTCGAAGATTAAGAAATCTGACTATTTTGAACCTCAAAAAGAAATCAGTCACAATGTCTGTGAACCCCAAACTAGAATGTTTTTTGATTTAGTAACATTTTCCACCCAGAATCAGTTTGTCAACAACATTTCGTGATCTACAATTACCTGATATTTGTATATTTACGATTCATTAAACAGAATCTAAGTTTCACAATCAAATTTTTCTGAAAATAATATTTTCATGTTTTTTTCGATATGAATAAAAATATGAACTCAAGTCCTTTTTTATTTCATTTTTCGGAAAATATTTTTCTCTCTCTCTCTTTTGTATAAAAATTAAATTGACTTTGACAGAGAGCATAACTCATTCACAGAAAAATAACAAAAAGGTCATAATATCCATACATTCAACCAAAGAAATTTTGTTTAATAGAGATTCTTCTTTTACTTGTTTTCCTCGTCTTTCCCTTTTTATTTTGCATTTTTTGCTAACCTTTTCATATTTTTCTCCAAAAAATAAAAAGTCGTTTTATTTTCGAATACAAATAGTTCCTCTCGATGAATCAGAAAAAATAGCTGTGGCTGAAAAGCCAGATGAGACAACGCAAATTGCAGTAATTTACATCAGAGGCAATTTTTATTCTAATTTTTTCAGAACATTTTCTTTCTTGTTTAAATCAAATAGTGCAATAGTATCGAATACTAAAAACATTTTTTGTTCCAAACTATTGTCTAGGCTCGATGGCTCCATTCACATTTCAGCAGCATTGAAAAAAAAACAATGCAAAACGAGTTGTCAAGCATTTTTCGAGCTTTTCTTGTTTTTCGCATAATATTACTTCTTTTCTCGCAAAATTTTTATTGTTTTTTGATCTACCAGACATCTGTTTTTCAAACAACATACAATTTTTCGATCGAGAAATTAGTAGTTTGTTTGGATGTGAAAAATAAAATAAACACTCGAATGAATATTTTTGCATTACTGTAGTTATTTCTGAACTCTTCTTTTCAAAATCTCAAACATCAAAGCGTGCAAAAATACATTTAATTGGCTTAATTGATGATTTTTTTTTTCTAGAATACTTTTCTATGAACCTAGTTAGTTGAATAGCATCACTTGTCTGAAAATGGAACTTTTTTTATTTATTTTTAATTTGAGAGCAGTTATTTTTGTTTCAGCATTTTCCAAGTATTGGATAGCGTTTCCCTTTTTGAAATAAAAAGAAATGAAATCATTTTCAGTTATTGTAATATGGAAAAAAAACCTAGCCAAATTTAATTGTTTCTGCATTTCTAGACAATGTGTATATGTATGTATGTGCTGTTTGATTTGATTTGCTTTTTCTCTTATTTCCACCCATCTCAAGCTCTTTTTCTTCGCCTTCGCCTTCTTTTTTTCGCCTTCTCAAGGATCTCAAGAATGAATGTGAATGTCGAAGAAGAAAAAAGACGGCAAAAAATAAAGAAAAAACTTAACAAGATCGCTCCTTTTGTGAGTGTGAGTGAGGAGTATGAGAAGTCAATATATGTATGTTGTAGAAACACAAAACAAAAAAATTCGGAGTCAATCTCGACTTGTTCTTTCTCTTTTTTTTTCTTCCCCATTCATCCAATTTTTCACCTGGAATACTTTCTGTAATTTATCAGAACAATTTTTTTGTGGGTGTACTTGGGCGAGTTTTCACCTGCCTAGAGATTCTAATACACAAAGCAATTTTTATTCATTAAAATTTTCATGTTTTCACTGAATAACTCTGAGCGCCAGTTCTTCAATTCTCAGAAAATATTTTTTACTAAAATAGATTTTTTTGGAGTTTTCGTGAATTTTTGGAGTTATCAAAAATCAAATAGACCAAACCACACATAATATGCGTAGTGTGAGATTTGAAATAGGAAGTATTTTCCCAGTTTTTTATTTTTAAAAAGCAGTGTGAATTTTACTGTGTAAAATTACGAAACCCAAAGCTTCTCACAGCTTGTGTCAGGTATATCAAAAATATTTTCGAGAAAATTTCAGGGTTCTGAAATACACGATGTGTGATTTGTTTTGAAAATTATCAAAATCAGACTCAACAATTATATTTTCCCCTCGCAAATCTACGTGTAATTCAGAACTTCCACTTTTCCAAACTTTCATTACATACAGTGTTGTCTTGTTCGGAAAAAGTTCTAAAAATAATTCAATCTTCAGAAACTATGCGCTTCACTGAACTTTTTTGTCCATCCAATCCTTTCTTAACTTCCTCAAACTTTTTTTTATTCATGTAATGAACCACAATTCTGAACGTCGACTTTTTTCAAATCAAACTCTTGGCTCAGACATCCGTTTTTGTTTTTTTTTTGTGTTCATTCACACCCCCAAATTTTCTTGTTCTCTAGAAAATGTTATGTCTTCACTTCACAATTCTACCGGGATTTTTTCGTTTTTCACTTGAACACAACATTTTATTCATTTCAAGTTTTGTTATTCAATTTGACTGGAAAAAGACCTAATATATCTTTTTTTCCAAAAACAAGTGGAAAATTTTTGTTCGATGTTTGGTCATTTGAAATAAATAGTTGAAATTATGAAGAAAAGAGATGATTTCATAATTTCAAATTTCTGGCAATACATTTTTGTTTCTTCATAAAACAAATTGTCATTGGTTACCAAAATTTTATGGTTACCAAGATTTTTGAATTCGTAGGTGGAGTAGCAGGTTCCAAGTATTAGTTTTTGAAAAACTACCCAATTATTTTGTTTTTCAGTTTTTAAAACTCTGTGAATCATGAATAATTATAAAATTAGACCATTCAACTGGAAAATGAATATGAAAATCAAATCTTCATTCTTATTATTTTCACATATGAAAATCCCTTGGACCAAAACATTCATGTTTGCAGAAAAAAAAACTTGTACTCTGGTTTTAGCCAGTTTTTTCCCATCTGAAAAGCCTCTCAATTTTCAGCAAAAAACCTACCGCAGACGGAGCCATTCGCCCGCTTTTTCTTCTCTTTCGAGATCTCAAAGTGAGAAAAAAATTAATCGGATTTCATTTTCTGTTCGAAACGTTCCCACATTTACGGGCCCCTTTCTCTTCACATTTTTTACATGTGACCAAAGTTTTTCTACTTTTTTTTCTGAAAAAAAAGAAAAAAAAGTTTTCTATTTTTGAATAACTTTGAATAAGCCTAATTCAATGTTATTAATTTTAATTGAGCTTTTTTTCTTGAACTTTTTCTCTTTGAATGCGATGAAATTCAATATGATGTTTCAATAAAAAAAATGATTGAACCCGCCCATATTCAAGCATTCGCAGGTGGAATGAAAACTTTTGATACTTTTTTTTTCATTCATTCAGTTTTCCTCGAACTTATGTGAGAAACTTTGTTAACGTTTCAGAATTAAAAGTGACTCACAAAAATTGTTTTTATTTCAGTCCTGGTCCAAATAATGCGATGATGAGTTCAAAATTTGACGAAATGATCAATTCATTTCTTAATTTTGGATCCAGCACATCGATTGTGGCTGTGACTTATTCAGCAATCGGGATTATCGGGTTTTTCTGCAATATGACCACAGTCATCATGATTTTGATCAATCGAGTATTTCGATTATCAGCCTATACAATTATGGCAAATGTTGCATTGGCTGATAGTGTTGTCATGTTAATCGGTGAGCAAAAAATCACAGCCTTCTAAATCCTATTATTTTTTTCAGCCGGAGTCGCTTGTGGCATGGATATGATGGGTCCCAATACAACAACAATGTCTCTTTTTGAATCTACAGATTCTCAGGTACCAGAAAAATATCCTCTCAATTTTAGCTTGTACCTCATTTTGCTTTTCAGACGATGAACATATCAAAACCACATCCGGAAGTGAATTATAACAAAAATGCACATTTCATCCTCTCGTTCTCCTTTGTTGCTGCTTGGACTGCGGGAGTTGTAAGTTCGAAGAAAATTGTTTGATTCACCTGTTTCTGTCAATGAAAGCTTTCTTGACAATTGTCAGAGACAGGTGAAAGAATTTGCAAAATTTCATTTTTTAAATTAAAATTTAATGGATACTGTAGATTTGATGTCTGAACACTTATGTTAGTTGGAAAACACTAGGAAGTATTTTCTTGGTATATCTAATTAGAATTGTTTTCAATAGTTCTGAAACCAAGATTTTTCCTATCTTCAAATAATTTCAGATAAGTTATGCCATGCTTGGAATGAATCGATGTATTGCGATTTGCTATTATGGAACCAAAGCTCGAAGTTTGAATCGAGTTTCGGTTGCGATTGCTTGCTCTGGGAGCACTTGGATTGTTGGAATTGCTGCAGGTTTGTTGCAAGGTTGCAAACTCTAAAAACTCAACGTAATTTTCACATTCTAGCATTCGTTGGAACATATGAGAAACCAATGATCGGAATTCAAAGATCAATGTGGACAATAAGTTTTATGGAATCTCAACCGCATCAAAGTATTGTTTTCCATATTTTTTCGAAAATAACATTTGTTTACATTTCAGCTTTATTTTTTGCAATTCTCTGTGCCGCAAATCTTTTTGGTTTGGGTGCTCAATGGGTTTGCTCCACTTTGGTGCTTCTCAAAATTCGACAGGTTAAGAAGAAGATCAGTAAAAATAAATTGAATCAAAATTCTGCAAACAGATTTAGAAAACAGGTAATTAAAAAGATGAGAAATAAAAGAAGTGAATTTTGAATATGAATAAAATTTAGGCACGATTAACGTTCCAATTTTTCTACCCATCAATTCTATGCACAATCTCAACATTTTTGTTTTTCATCAAACCTTACACATATCAATCATTAAGCGGATGGCAACTTGTTCTACTTCATTTGGTATGTTTCTCACAATTTCCTGAAGACTTTTCCTTTTTTGTTTCTAGATCTGGTTATGTAATCACACGTGTAATCCATTTATCTATGCATACTTCAACGATCGTATGAGATTAACATATAAAGAAATCTTAACTTGCGCAGCAATCAGATATCAAATAAGAAAACGGCGTGCAAGTCATTTATTCCGAATGCATGGTCGACATAATGTTTCCAGGTATACTTATTTTATTTATTCATGTTTTATTTTATTTATCAATAAAAGACCAATAATCAAAAATCTGAATGAAAAAAAGAAAGAAAAAAAACGCTAAATTAATTATTCAGAAGATCAAATGCAGCTGGAATGAAATCGACCAGAATATCTGCAAGATCAGGAGGGCGCACAAATCGAGACGGCAATTTCGTGCGTAATTCATTGCAGATGCAGGTGAAAAATTGTTGAACATTTGGAACTTAAAGTTTATTATGTCTTGTGTTTTTTCAGAGTCGAGATTTCGAGCAACTCTGCGAGTTTATTATGAGAGTTAATCCATTGTATGATTCAAGTGAAGGATGGAGAGAAAGTAGTGATGATGAACCATCTTTCCAACCAGAGGTATTTTACATACAAAAAAAGAGCGGTTTTTGATGTTTACCAAGTGATTGGCAATCTAAAAATATCATATTTATGTTTTGAATCAATCCACATCACTTTATGATTCTGAATTTGTACCTACAAAATTCAAAACCAAAACAAACAAATTTTCAGTTCACAAAAGAGATGGATTCAATTCGTGAACAAGGATCTTCTCGATTCGAAAACAATGATCGAGAAGCAAAATCAATTGTATTAGATCTTGGCCGGCAAACTGTTGAACATTGGGTCAAATTTGCCAAAAAAGCAAGCATCTAACAAATGTTCCATACGTGTATTTCATTTTTTGTCGGATTTTTCTCACGCAATGTTTTTTTTTTCTGAATCTCACATGTGACCAATTACTAATGATTACTTGAATTATTTTAATGATCTCGAAAAATGTTGTTCTGTGATTGATTAATTATTTATTTATTCGAAAAACTTTAATGAATTGATCAGTAATAATGAATCAAAACTATTGGCAAAAATGAACAAAACCCAAAATAAATATGAATGTATGTAATATACAGCAAAACCAGACAAGATTAATGATTTTCTGGAGTTCTCGATCGAGACAATGAAGGAACTTGAAGAGACATTGAAGGTTGTGGTTGTTCACGTTGAACAACTGAATGCTCTGCACCGTTCACAGAAGTTGGCTCGATAACTGAGAAAAATATATTTCAATTTATTTGGCTTTACATTTAACAAGAAAAACAGGAAAACATACCATGAATTTTGACATCGGATTCGGCATCCAAAATCAATCGAATGCACGAAGAACAAGCTCCCATTTTCTCACAAGGCGAAAGAATTTATGTGTGTGTGTGCAATTCTCAAATTAGAAGCCAAATCTGAAAAATAAATCTTGCGTGTAGTCGTTTTTTGTGTTTTTTTCCGAAAGGGCGATTGACAAGGAAAAGACTCCGCCTTTTTCAATTAAAATTGTGTTTCTCGCTTTTTTCGGCCATTTCACACATGAAAACACGTGGGTGGTCCTAATGATATACTACCTTGAAATAGATTGTGACAAAATAATTTTTGAAAATTGATAATGATGATGATTCTGATTTCAAAAAAAGGTTTCAAGGAAAAAATATTGTTTTTTAGTTATTCAGAAAAATGAAGAAACTCTAGTCAGAGAACAGAACAAAAATAGTTATTTTCGATATTTTTACTTCTAGGAAAACAATTGAGAAAACAGAAAAATCAAACTTCATATTAATTTTTTTGTTGAATCAGAGGTATCTCGGCTAAGGTTTTGGTTTCTAGTATTGAAAGTTGTACTCTAAATATTCAATTCTGAACTATAAAGAGCATTTGGAGTTTTTCGACTCATTAAAAATTGAAAGTGAAATAGCCAAACCTAGTTTTGAAGTAGCTAGAGAGGAAGACCTAGAAGAACATTTTCAAGAATCTGTTAATCAATACAAAAACTTCGACTTTGTCTCTAGACTTCGCGGAATGACTTTAGTTTTTATCATTATTTTTTGGGGGTTTTCGAGTCATCGGTCGAGACAAGTTCTTGATTTTTTGAGTCAGAATGAATAATTGTGAACGACTGACGTCGAAATTCTCACCAATTAGGTGATTACAGTAATATGGGAATTTCAGAAAAATATATCTTGTTATGAAACAATGTTTCGTATTATTTATGGTAAAAATATTTCTTTCACACTGAAAATATCAAAATTCACACCGAAAACAACAAAATACTGTAGGATGTAGACAAGGCGTACGGACACCGTCTTCTGATTGCCGGAAATTAGTTTTTAACCACGCTAATAGTTCGAGATATTATTTTTGAACATTGTTCAGGCTAGACGAAGAGTCAAAGAACAATACGGTGGAAATTGGAAATCAATTGAAACCAAGTGAAACCCTGACCTAACGTACCAAACTTTTGAGTCTCACCTAGTTCAATTCGTAACACAAAATATTAATTGAGAAAACGACATCATTAGAAAATTTAAATTCAGCAAAAAACTTATTCAAATAGAACCAAACCTTCAAGAAAATGTTTGACCAAAGTATGTTTAGAATAATACATTATAAAAAGAGTGCCAGCGTATTCTTTTTTTTTAATAAAACATATCAGAACATAAATCATCACCATTTTCCTAGAAAGCTACCAAAACACAATCAGAGCTCAAAAATCTGTTTTCCAAAAAAAACACACACAATAATCTATAGAATATTTTCCAAAGTTTACCAAGTTGGACAGAATAATCTTTTCCAATTGAATAAAATTTATGAGTGCTATTCGAAGCAAAAAAGAACAAAATGAGTCGGCCGAAAATTGAGCGGGAAAAAATATCTCCAAGGTGAAAATAATGAACTTTTCTGTCTGATCGTGAGAAACAATGATTTGGAAAAGGGAAGAGAAAAAACCAAACGGAGTTAAAGTTGAAGGAGAAGAAAATCTGAGATCGATAACATTAATTCAGCTGCCTTTTCTTTCCAGTTGAATAGTTCGAAAAATAAAAATAATGAAAAAAAGTATTCACCTGATGCTCGAAAAATTATAGACTATTCACCATGTTATTACCAAAAATTCAGTTAAAGTTTATTGATTTTTTTTTTCAGATAAAAAAAACAAACCTCAAGAGCATTTCGGAGAAAAAGTGAATAATTATGATTCTAGCCTTTTTCAGTTTTTTATTCTGAAAAAATAAAAGATTATTTTCTATAGCTAGCGAGAGTTACCAAAAGTTTGGGGGCAACCATAGCAACGCAAAAAAATTGACTTATGTTAGGTAAAAAATAATAATAATTAAATTCGATTTCTAATTTTGATTTGTAAGAATATTATTTTTCTGCAAACAAAAAAGAAAATATGTATGTTTATTAAAGTACTTCAGTGGATTATGTATGTAGTTAAAAAAATAGAACATTCAAGCTGGGAAAAAACGGGGCAAAAGTTATACATGACAATGGTAAAGATCAATTATATTGGAGATCAAGAAAAACTAGAATCATATAAAAGGGCAAAATTTGAAGAAGAAAAAATGTGAATCATTAAATTATGTCATTTTGACATGAGACCATTGAGGAGCCGATTTATCGGCTTTGTTCATCATATCAATTTCGATCAATTTATCAACTTTTTCGATGCGATCAGCTGTTTTGCTGAGCCACACTTCGTCTTCTTGTGTGACCTTTGCAAACACATATTTCCATGCCATTGCGTTGATTTTAAGCATATCTCTTGACAAAGCTGAAAATTTTTGAAATTAAATTCAGGTTGAAATTGAGAAATAAACCCACTTCTTAATGAAGCATCTTCTTTGCAATACATGTCTTCCATAACAAAGAATTTTTCAATTTTTCCGATTCTCATAGCAGTTGTGAAGATTGAATATTTCACTCGAACCCAATCGTTATCACTCATTTTTTCTTTCATCTCTTGGAAGACCATCAAAAAATGCGCACAAATCTGGAGGCATTGTCTGAAAATTTTATTTTTTATAATTTCATTTTTTTTCCGCTGAAAAAATTGTACCTGAACTTTGTAGAATGTAGCCCATGATACGAAAATTTCATTGTAGAAATAGCGGAAAACTCGAACGGCTAATTGGCGGTTCCTAAAATAGAATAGCTATGAAATATGTTTCTTTTGTTTGCGACTTACATCATTTCCGGATGATTTTGTGATTTTTGAGTTGCACTTCTTTTGATTGGTGGTTTTGTTGGTTTAACAGTTGGATTCCAATCAGAAGGACATGCTAAAATAGCAGTTCCACTGCTACTTGGCTCACACGGAATGCTGCTTGTGTTGAGCCTTGATCGCTTGGTGAATGATTTCATTTTTGGTTTGAGTGTTGGTGGTAATGTTGCTGCGAGATATGCTTCAACTGTCATACGAGCATCGAATTTTCTTTTTCTAGATTTCGGCGAGATTTGTCCAAGTGTTGTTGGATCAATTGTTTGGCTTGTTGATTCCAAGTTTGGCAAAGCAGTTAGACTTGCGACAACAGCTTCAATTGTTTCTTCTGGCACACCAAATTTATCATTGATATTGTTTTGTTCAAATGTATCTCGTTGTGGACTAATTGGTGGGTTTGTTAGACGAAAATTTTCAACATCAACTTCTTTTAACGAAATTGGAGAGAGATTCCTGAAAAAAACTGAATTTTGAATAGTTCTGTAAAAGTATGAAATCTTACTGTGGAGAATCGAAATCTTTGGAATTTTGAGTCTTTGGGATTTCAACTTGAAGATTCAAATCGCGCATGAACTCTTTGTGCTCTTCACGTTTCAGCATTCGTTCATCACGGCTCTGAAAATAGTATCAAATTAATGTGAAACATTTAAAATTAGCTCACCAAAACTTTTGCTTCTTGCTTCTCTTCTCCTCCAGTTTTGCTTTCTTCACTAGTTGCTCCTTCAAGAAGACGTTTATTTTGAATACGTGAACTTGTTCTGAACAATCCCAAACTTCTACGTTTCTCTATATCCAACAAATTGTGCAATTTTGCTCGATTTGCTCTTTGATGTGCCCAAGAGTTGAAAAGCTGAAGAACAAATAATGTGTTTCAGAAACATTCCGGTGAACTAACTCTTTGAAAATTGTCTTTCACGAAGATTCTATAAACCGATCTCATTTCAGTCGCTTGTTTCTTATTTTCAGGTCCCAAACTTTTGATATAAGCCATCCATGAATCATGATCATTTGCCAAACATTCATAATGTGTTCCACGATGAACATCCAAATAAATATCTTTCCAGACTTCTTTCTCCAAATGTTCTTCAGAAATTCCTGATTTTCTTTTTGCAAATTCAGATGCTGGATGTTGTTTGAAGAGGCGCAAATCATGCATGTAGAAGAGTTTTGTACCGTCTTGAAGATGAAATTCTTTTGCGCGCAAAAAATCAGGGATTCTCCATTGGAAAAACTGAAAAATTAAATTTTATAATTTGCAAAAAAAAAATGTTTGATTACTTACCGAATCATTAGCTTGTGAATCAGTTGTGGTGCAATGATAGTTCAAAAGTTGAAGGTAGATCCAAAGTTTGACCTGAAAATGAACCAATACATTTATAAAATTGTTCTAGAAAAAACGTACGCCAGTTGGAACACAATGAATATCCAAAGTATTCAAATCTTTGAACGGGTGTTGTTCTATATGACGGTTCATGAAGAGAATCAGGAGAGCATCGAGTTCAGTAGTACTGAAAATATACCTTGAATTAACAATAAATATTTTGAAATTAAATACTCACGCATCCTTTTTCAAAGCCTTTTTGAGAAGAACTTCCAACATTTGTGTCAACAACAAAGATCGATAAACATACATTTCATCAGCTCCATAATTTTTATGCTCTTTCATCAACTCGTCTTCAAACTCCAAATGTGTGAATTCGGGCAATTCCAGATGTTCTCTAAAAACAAATCGATAAATAAAATGTTTTTTTTTTCGAAAAAATACGAAAAACTAACCTAAATCTTGTCATGATGAAAATAACTTCAAGGCATGTTTCCGACCAATAATGCTTCCAAGCCGGATCTTCCTGAAAAATGGTTTTTTGGGATTTTTTTTCAAAAAAAAAATGAATATTACCTCATTGAAGGCCCGACTATTCGAGCGATTCGAAGCCATAATAAAGCGAGAAAAAGCAGATACTTATACCCAATCTGAAAATTAATTTTGTTGACAAAATTTCATAAGAATTGCATATCAAATTCAATATTATATTCTTTAAAACGACAAAAAAGACGAAAAAAAAGAGCGAAAAGAAAGAATAAAACGACTCGAAGGGGTAGAAAAATAAGTTCAATGGAGCGTGTTTTCTCTTTTCTGACGTCTATCTCTCACGAATTCCTATTCTATTTCACAATTTTCTTCCTCTTTTCTGCACTCTCCTATGGCAACCGTTTGTGGGTCTATTTTTTGTGTAGTAAATTTTTTTGATAGAAAAAGAAATGAGAAAAATGCTTGACGTTTCGTGTGGAAATAAAATATAAGGGGGAAATTGGAAACGAAAAAAATTGAAATTTTTTGAATTTTTATTTTGATATTTTCAAGAGTAAAACTGATAAAAATGAAACTTTTTTTTCTAGAAAAAAACATGTTTTGGAAGAAAAAAAAACAATAGAGTTCAAAAAATGTAAAAATCAAAAATAATTTTTTTGAGTATTTTTTTCTGAAAAAAACTATTACAACTGATAAAGATAGCATAACATCTAAAAGTTTTGAATAAACTGGGGATTATATGAAAAAAAGAGGCGGTTACTAGGAATGAGCTCTGAATCATTGAGCTCTCCTTGACAACAATGATATTTTTTCTTTGAATGACTTTACTTATGCACTTCCCGAAAGATAGATTTATTTGAACTAATACCACAAAATATTATAATAATAATAAGAAGGAAAAAATAGAAAAAGCATAAAACAATAAAGCATTTTCAAAAACAATCATTTGAACGATATGCTGGAATGATAGGAATGTGAAAAAAATAGGTCTAACAAAGTTTTCTAATGTCCCAGAAGTTAGAAAAAAACAATTGAAAAAAATTATGCCTGTTGAGGTCTGAAATGATGTTCGATGTGATGGTTGTTGGTTGAAGCCATAAGATGATCATCTCCCAAGTTGTGAACACTTTGTTCGTGAACCAATGAAGCACGACCAGATGGATCTTGATTCTTTTGCCATTTTGGAATCCATTTTCTCACAGTCAATGCAGCTTCTTCAGATGGGAAGAGCTCGGCGAAAATGCGTCGCATGTAGAAAGCTTCTTTGCTGTGTGGAGTGTTATGTGGGAAAAGTTGAGAAGCTTGAGCGAAATCAGCGTCAGATACTTGATCAGCACAATGTTGCATCAAAGAATCGATCCATGAATATCCAACACCGTCGGAGAATTGCTCCTTTTGCCTCCACAAAATTTCATGTGGCAAATATGGTCTCTCATCATTGTTGAATGCAGATCTCAAAACATATTTCTCACATCTTCTACCATCCTCCAATTTTTGTGGTCTCTTGAATTGTGGTGCTGTCAAAATCGATGCTTCCAAAAATGCTTTATCCAAGAATGGAACTCGAACTTCAACTGAATGAGCCATTGATGATTTATCAGCTCTCAAACAATCAGAAGTGTACAAATGAACAACTCTGTCAATGGTTTCTTTTTGGAATTCTTCATCTGATGGAGCATTGTGGAAGTAGAGATATCCACCGAATATTTCATCAGCACCTTCTCCAGAAAGAACAACTTTGATTCCGAGTTTGCGAATTTCTTCAGATAAGAAATACATTGGAGTTGAAGCACGGATTGATGTAACATCATAAGATTCCAAATGCCAAATCAATTTTTTCAAGTTTTTGATTCCTTCCTAAAATAAATCAAATTATTATATTCATAGATTCAAAGATGAAAAAACCACTCACCTCAATACTGAAATAGAATTCATGATGGTTAGTTCCAATATAATCAGCAACTTTTCTTGCAGCAACAACATCTGGTGAAGTATGATCAACACCAATTGAGAATGAATGAACAGTCAATCCCTTTCTTTTCATTTCTCTTGCAGCAATTGAAGAAACCAAACTTGAATCCAATCCACCTGATAAAAGAACACCCAATGGTGCATCAGACATAAGTCTCTTATGAACAGCTTTGATGAAAGAATCATGAATCAATTTCAAATCCAAAGCTTTGATAGCTTTTTTGTAATCGAACCATTCCGGTTGGAAATATCTAACAAATCCAGTCTTTGGTGTATAATAATGTCCCGGTGGGAAAGCAGCAATTTTATATGCTCCACAGGTGTCCTCCAAAGTTTTCATCTCGTTACTATAAAAAACAAAAGAGATATGAGATTTAGATTAATTGCTGCACTCTTTCTCACCTGAAAAAATATCGTCCATCTTGATCGATTCCATAGTACATTTGTTTGACTCCAACTGGATCTCTTGCAGCCAAAAATTCACCATCACAACATAAAGCAAAAGCGAAAACGCCATCCAACAAGTTGCAAATTGAACCACTTCTATATTTTTCATACAAAAATATAATGACCTGAAAAACAACGAGTTAATCTAAATCACTTTTGGTGGCCTTTAACTAACCTCTGAATCGCAAGTAGTTCTCAATTGATAAGTTTGAAGTTCGTTGTCACGAATCCATTGATGGTTGTAAATCTCACCGTTGTGAATAACCTGTAAAAAGTTCAGAGTACACTGTGTTTTGAACATGGATCTCTTTTTTTATGTTCTCGATAAAAAGTTATTGTTCGGGTTGGTCACTAATTGATAAGTGCAAATAAAAATTATTTTTGTTGATAACAATCTAATTTTGACTAGATAAATGTTTACAGATCATAGAACTTTGAGTGGACAACGAGCATTTGAAAACTAACCTGTCTATCGGGTCTTGTTCCTTGGAGAGGGTGAGAGATTCCCAAATCCATAATAGCTAAACGTTCGTGCACCAAAATATCACCAGTTTTGTCATCTTGATAACTTCCACGGAAATCTGGACCACGATGAGTTTGTCGTCTGAAAAAATAAAGATGAGCCTTGAAACCCCCATTGAAAAACATACTTGGATAATTCTTTTGCCTTCTCCAAATCGAAACGTTGTTCACATTTACCAGCTTGTTGACAAATTGCAAAAATACCGCACATTTTCTTGAATAATTATTAGATAATTATTATTTGAAAAAAGGATAACGATTTTGATGGAGCCAAAAGGTTTTTATAGCAAACCACACAATGAGGGGCGGAGAGAGGGCGGAGTCAAATAGAAAAGAACAATCTGACGAAATTGAGAGAGAAACAATCACACGCAATAATAATAATATTTTGAAAAATACAATGAAAGATGGAGAGAAAATGAGAAAAAACGTTGAGGATGAATTGAAAATTTACGAATGGTAGTAATAAGGAAAACATTGGAAGTAACTTTTTTTGTTATCAGTTGGCACGTAGTTTTGTTGTTCTTTCATGACGTTTTTATGGTTTGATGATTGCTTTTTGACATTTTCTGGGACCTGAGGGAGATTGTTGAAGGAAGTTCATATATAGAATGAAAATTAGAGTCATTAATGACGATAGCTGCATATTTTTATCTATTTTTAAGGCGACCACGCTGAAAGAAACTGTTCGAAACATATTTGATTTGCTATTTTTCAGTATTTGCCACAAAACTTATTCATAGAAAAGATATAGCCAGTCCCAGTTGTTTGGAAACCTTTATTTTCACCCGCTCATTGTTCCCTAAAGTTGAATTTTCAAAATGACGAGTAACTTTTTGAATTTTGATCGTATACGTCAGTACTAACAAAAAATTGTCAATAAAAATTGTTGCCCCTACCTTAGACTAGTTTCCTACTCATAATAACTTTTGCCTTTTCTGAGACCTTTAAGAAATTGTGGGTTGCACTAATTCAACTTGATTGTGATGTTAAAATATTCCTTTTTTCACGAATTCTCTTCTAGTTATGTGGATTTGGAAAAAATGTGAAAATTCCAGAAAATGTTGCGATTTCGCATTTCACAGAGAACATTCTCTACGTATATGTTTATCTTATCTGAACCAATTTAGATGTTCGCCAGATGATTTTCGACATGTTTTTTGTTTCCTTTTTACTTCATTGTTAATCGAACGTTTTCCTACATTTTCTCAACCCATTCCGTCTCATATCAATGTTTCTAAAATTGTTTTTCTCGTTTTTTCTCGAAGCATCTTCAAAGATTGACTGATTAGATAACACAAAAATAACTTTCAAAAATCAACTTTTCCAACGCGGCAATAAACATTTTCTAGTTCTCTAATAAAAAATGTGGTCAAAGGGTAAAGAATGGCGACAAATTTTTACACAAATTGCTTCGCTTGCTTCCAATTTTTTTGTTTTGCAAAGAAAATTAATAGGTGTCAAGAAAATAACTATATTTTGAGTCATACTTTTCCATCTTGTAGAAAAATTGCAAAAGAAAAAAAAACAATGTATTTTTCTTCCTGTCATGTTAGACAAGATTGCACAATCTTTTCTCTCTGCGAAAAAAATGTTTTTGTTTTTTTTTCGGCCAGCGAGTGTTATGATTCGAATTTGTAATGATTGATAGCGGTTTTTTTCTCAAAATTATTTTTTTGAAACAAAAAAAAAGATTTTGAGTTAATAAAAATTAATAAATGATCTTTAGAAAGTTTATGTTTGAGGTATAGCAATCTCTGAAAATAAATTCAGAGCGTCCAAATCCAAGACAATATCTTCTAGGAGATCAAATTGTCGATTCCTTGTGAGTCTCCAGATGCATCCTTGAACAGTTCAACGTTTGATCTTTGCATACAGTAATTTTATTCATCTCGTCATAATTATGAGTGTTTGATCTCAAAACAAGATAAACAAAAAGGTATTCCCCCAACAATTTGCGGAATCCTTCCCTTCCAAACAACACGTGATTTTTGCATACAGTAATATGATTCATCTCGTCATAATTATAAGTGTTTGATCTCATAGATATTCAAACAAGATAAAAAAGGTATTCCCCCAAATTTTGAGAAATCCTTCCCGCCCAAACATCACGTGGTCTATGCATACAGTAATATTATTCATCTCGTCATAATTATGAGTGTTTGATCTCAAAGATATTCAAAACGAGATAAACAAAAAGGGTATTCCTCCAATTAATTTGGGGAATCCTTTCCGGCCAAACAACACGTGACTGATTTCTATCAATTTAGCAATAAATCAATTTATGATAATACAAATAGTTAAAAATAGATCTTGTTTTATGGAAAAAGATCACGAGGTTGATTATTTTAAAAATCACTGTGACCATTTGATACTACTTTTTTGTTCATATGTTTGTACTTTGAAACCTTGAGATAGCAAAAAATTATATTTTTTATCCAAGTGTTTTCTGATTCTTCTTTGGAAACTCAAACAACATACCGTTAAGCAAAAAAGTAAACCTTATAATGAAAATAAATAAAAATATCATTTACTCAAACAGTCTATGTTAACTATTGTACTTTATACTATTTGTTTCTGTATCGGAAGTTTCTGATATCTCAAAAATAATCAGGGAATTCTATATTGATATTTAGTCCCAGTCCCAACGTGCAAACACAAATCTTAAAAACAAAAAGACAAAAGCACATGTTTTTGTCTTGTCTAAAACTTTAACAAATGTGTCTTTGACAACAAAAAAATAACAAGAATGATCTTTCTAATTTTACCACTTGTCATGTATTTGATTTTTTATTTTTGAAAGTGACAGAAAAAACAACATTTCATTTATAAAGATTGTTTTCTCCTTGTTTTTTACCTCGTGGATGCTATGATAAGGGGTTTCAATCAAACAAAAATAGATGTTAGAATTGTAAACATTATCAGAGTGAACATTGAAAAATGAACATTTGACGACGAACATTGAAGATTGGCTGAAAGAAACTGTTTGTTTGTTTGTGATTTTTGAAAAAACCGTGTGTACCTTGTGAAATTTTAGCGTATAGGCCATTTCCAGAACTTGGGGGAGATTGATAAGTTATCCAAACTTGATTTCCACATGAATCGAATTTCTGACTTGAAGTAACTCCATTCAGGCTGAAAATAAATCTTGGACAAATAATATTGAAAATATTTTCAAACATCAAAGGGTTCTTATGGTTCTAGAAAAAATATACGCTCTTGAAAATCACTACGAACTGAACATTTGAGATTTGCTCTTTCCGATGCTGATTTATCTTGCCATTTCTTTTTCTTTCTATCCTTTGTTATCAATCTTCAATTTTTTGTTTCGTTAAACTTGTTGTTCTTCGTATGAACGTCAACAACAATCTTTTTGAGTGTACTTTAAATTTATCATCAATTGTTGTTTTTTTTCGCAGTGGTTTATGTACCTCTTCCTGGTCACTACATTCTGAAACATCCTCTCCCACTCAATATCAATCTGGCTGTTTGGAGAATCAGCAAGAAATTCGATGGATAAGCCAGTTTGCACGTTCGAACCTCCAAGCTGGAAAAATACATATTTAAAACTAATTTTTTTTTCAAACTGTGACTGACCATTTGAATAGAAAATGTTTGTTGTGTTGTTGCCATGGTTGTTTTCAAATAATCCGAACTTGTTAAAAATATCGTTTGATTTGGATAAAATGTAGTGGCGAAAATGGATGCAGAGATACCCGAAGTAAAAGTTATGTCAACCTGTGAAGTATAAGAATATTCCAAAAGCAAGTAATTCGAGAATATCATCGGGGGCAATGAAGATTGTCTGCAAAAACATTTATTTTTGTGAAAAGTGTTCCAAATGAGAAAAATTACCCTGTTCCAATAAGATTATTTTTTGAAAGACCAAAATAAACATTGAGATTGATTTCATTAGGTAAGTTTAAAGAAAAATAACTATTCTGTAGATAGTTCATATCTGTGAAGTGTAAGATCTGAAAGAAACATTTATTTTGAAGATACATTAAAAATTGAAAACAAATACCTTTTGACAGTTTTCTCCATTTAACGATATATTCCCACTACTTCCCAAATTCATAGAATATACTAACGATTTCCCACAATTTGATTTTGAATCAATTGTGACGTCAGTTATCATTGCTTGGAAATCTAGAACTTCTAAATTCAAATATTTAGGATTTGATCGAATATGAAGAATTGCATATTCAGAAGATGATTGTAGAAATGTGGAATATCCTTGAAAACCAGCATTATACAAGGCTCTTAAAATAAATTCCCTGATAAGATTGATTTTTCTGAACAGGTTAAAAATACCTATTATCAATGAGTGGTGAAGATAGCGTGCTACTTCCATCGAACAAATCTACAAAGATTTTGTCTTGCAAACTTGTGAAAAAATAAACTGAAATCTGAAAAATCTGAAATATATATCACATCAATAATAAAAATATCCTCACTTTTGTTCCGGGTCTTCCTTTGATTTTGTATTCAAAAGTCTCTGAAGAATTCAAATTCATGTTGGAAACGTCTTCAAAGGTGTGGGTTTCGCTAAATTCAATGTATTTCGTCACATATTTTTCTGAAAAAATATCTGTTACTTATAGTGATATTCAAATGTTCACATACTTTCAGCTAATTCTAGTCCAAAATCAAATCCAATTCCAGATTGAGTAAGTGGAAAAACTGTGAGATTTGTTGAATGAAATTGTACTGTGAGTGGTGAAACGGTACCCAAAATGGATTGAACCTGGCCATTTTTGTAATTCATGCTAAAACAAACCTAAATTTTGTTTTCAGAAATTTTCAGAAACTAACTTTGCTAATGAAGTGGTGTATGGATTCAGAATATTGATGAAATCAACATCATCAGTTTGAGTGTAAGATCGTAATTTGAATTTGTTGACATGAATTATCAAATCATATTTTGATTGATTGAAATATAAGTTAGTTAAACAATTTAACGATGGGCAATATGTTATTGCTCCTTCATTGAATCCTGTTGATGTGAGTTGGCTATTTTCAATAAGAACCATATCAGATGGACAAGAACAGTCTGTAAAATTATTTTTTCTAAAAAATCGTTGGGAAAACTCCTGGAAAAAATAAATAGTTACCAATGTGTTGGATTGATGCAGTAAACCCGGTTGCTCCAACAACTTCATCAGATTGAAAAGAAAAAGAAATATTCTCCGATTGACTCAAAAATAAATTAGAAGATTGAAAACCTTGATAAATTTCTTCATATTTTGATAAACCATCCACATTCATTGTATCGCAACATTTCTCACTTTCATATTGAATAGCCAATGCAAAATATGAATTTTGTGTTTTTCTTGTGAAACCATAGTTACAATCAAGATTATTTTGATATATTTCAGTGGAGAAATCAGGAGTTCCGAAATTAACTTTTTCACTGATTTTAAGAGAGTGTAGTCCAGTTGCTAAACAGTTTTCATTCTTTGAAGTTGGAATTTCATAAGAGTTCACCAGGATATAAAATCGTTTTTCTAGAAAACTATGTTTATCTGAAAACGAGAAACTGATGTTTGCTGTTCCATTCTCGAAATAATAGGGAACTGGTTCATCTTCAGTTGCAAATCCGCTAAAATAAAATATTCATAAATTGATAATTCAATGTACTTCTATACCTAACATCTTCGGATATTTCTTCATCATAGATTCGGAAATTAGAAGCATAATCCAAATTGAAATCATAAATTGCAAAACGAATTCCTTTTCTCGAATTTGAAGAAAAACTGATGTTACAACTCGAATAAGTTATGTTCGGTGTATTTGGATAATTTTGTGATATAAAATAATATGTTTGACCATCCTTAAGTTCAATAAAACTTCCACAATCGAAAAAAGAATCATCCAGAAGATCTGTAAATTTCAAATATTTTTCCCAAAACTTGATATCACCAGATGTTGTTTTGTTTATTTTATGGTCTAACAGGTGTGCACTTTCTTCATACTTGGGGAAAGGTGTGAAACCCGCCATAATTTTTCCTAAAGGCAAGCCACGCCCCTTTTCCACCAATATAAAAGGGGTGCCTGGATCAGTATAGACATGCTCATTCTCATATCGGAATCGGGTTTCGTCACAGCTTCGGTTAACTACAAAGATGCTATGACAAACTAGCGACTCCGGTATGAGAATTTTGAGCAAATCATTTATTCTCTGTTTCTATTATTCAAATAATTTTATTTACTGATAGCTTTTTTCTCATTATCATTTCGAAATCGAGTTTTGTCACAGCTTCGGTCTATAGAAAAGATGCTATGACATAACATCGAGTTCGGCATGAGAATTTTGAGCAAATCATTTATTCTCTTCTCCACACACCATTCCATATTCGTGGGTAGTCTTAGCTTTTGAAATTGAAATATTGCTATGACACTCAGCGAATTGGGAATGGCTAACGGAAGTTATTTTTCTTAATATAATAGAGGGCGAGATAGTCTCCGTTTTTTCTCACATTTATCAGCAAATCGATAGAAATTTCTTGTGTTAGAAACGGTCAACGGATTAGAGAACGGGTTTTTGTTCACAAGGAAAATTGTGGATTTCGCAATTCTTCAAAAACAAAAGAAAGATCAAACACTGAAAAACCCACTTCCAATTCAGATACACCCTATCGGGATATTCTTAAAAAGGCAGATGAAATATTCACGGATACTTTTTTAAAATGTATTTCAGCTGCTTGTCTGCGTAAAAAAATGAACTCACTCCAAAACCACCTTTTTTTCCACGAAAATTAGAAATTTGTTTCGATTGTTTTCTGTTCTGTAGTTAATTTTACCACTAATAATAACATTCCCGAGTCTTCTGATAAACATAATTATCGAGTTTTGCCATTATTTTTCAATATTATTGGCTAGAAAATCAAATGTTGTACAAAAACTGTTCCGGGTTGACAGCTTTTGATTCATATTTTGCAACTCCAGATTTTCTTATATTATCAGGATATTTTTTCGGTATTTTGAGCTTAATTGTGAATTTTGTCGGCTTTTATTGTGTTATTTTCAAAACTCCGGCTACTATAAAAGGATTGAAACACGTCATGTTATTATCAACTTTTTGGTACCTAAAAAGACACTTTAGGAACAAACAAGATAATTATTTTCAGGGCATTTGCTTCTGATATGAATGTTAGTTTTCTCTTTGTTCCTCTTATTCTTGCTCCAGCGTTTGCTGGAATTCCATACGGATTTTTGACACAAAATGGGTTTTCACTGTTGTTTCAAGTAATTTTGTTATTGTATGTTAATTTAGGCAAGTTTGGTCAGAAAAAACCACAAAATCAATAAAGAATTGCAGCAGTTGTATGTTCAACATGTTCTTTAATTCAAAACCGATACTGTCAAATATCTGGGAAATGGCGAAATGTATCAACAACAAGAATCCAAATATTTACATTTTTCTTTAATTATTGTTTAGGCGGATTTGCTTTTGTTTTCATTTTATATTTTGCTCCGGAACAAGAATCAGCTAAATATTATATATTCACAAACATTCTTCCATGTCTACCACAATCTTTATATGATAGTCAAGTTTATGTATCTTCAAACAACACAATTCAAACAAGTATTGTGATGGCAATTCCAACTGCTGTTTTTATGATCGAGTTTATTTATTTCACAATTGCCACATCATCTCATTTGAACATTAATTCAAACAATAATTTGAGTCTTACAACAAAAAAAATGCAAAAAATATTGTTCCGTGCAATTTGTCTACAAATATCTGTTCCTTCTTGTGCACTATTTTTACCATGTCTTTATGGAGTATATTCCTATCTTTTTGGTTATTATAATCAAAGTTACGCCAATATTGCTATATCATTTGTTGGTGCACATGGCACATTTCAATCACTCACAATGATTTTCATACATCGACCGTATCGTCAGATTTTTACAATTAGAAAAGTCTCAAATGTTATTGTTCATTCTGACAATGCTTGATGGTCGAGTGCAAAATAAAAATAAGTTAAGCTCATTTGAAAAATAATGTTATAGTTCATCCAAAACATTTTAATAACAGTTTTTTCAACCATCAGTTCAAAGTTTCAAGTTCAAAGTTTGTAAAAAAATGAAACATCATGTAATATGGAACACCTGCAAACTTTTGAACTTTCTAAGTATAAGTAGTAGTTTGCAGCAGTTTTTCTCTTTCAATTCTGATTATGATAATGATTTTTAAACTATCAAGTTAAAATTGCTCAAGAAGCTCAAGTTATTTTTGTCTTCAACATCACCTTTGAAATAAAATTATTATATTTTTTGCGTTTAATGAATATTTGCTTCTCACAATAAAAAGGTGTAAGTTTTCACACCCTTTTCTATTCAAAAAATATCCCACTAACCATATGAAATAACTTTTCCAAAAATTCCTGAATGTGGAAATCCATCATTTTGATCAATCGAAACCATTGCTAAAAACGCTGTAGATTGATTAACTCGCAAAATTTTCGGAACTAATCCATGATCCATTGCATCGCCACAAATGCTGGAAATATTTTTCGTTTTGTTTTGTTGAAAACTTGAAACCCCTCCTTAGAAAAATGGCAGAAAAAGTGCATATTACACAAACCTTGAACAGGCGTCATCACTCATTGGACATGCTATAACACAATCATGAGCACTGGCAAGAAACTGTTCAAAAATCACGGCTACTCCTTGATTGGGTTCAACATCAACCCGTTGTTTCCTGAACATTAACAATTTTTGAATGATTTTCTCTGAAACTTTATCCTAAAGAAAGAAAAAACACTTTTCATCCCATTCCTAATGAGAAATGAGCTGAAGAACATCATTTGTTTTTGTTTGTTTTCTGCAATAAATCAAAAAGTGTCTTACCACGACAATTGTCCACTATATGGTTTTGGCCAATTTGGAGTTTGAATCAATAAAATTTCATCTTGTTTTTGACTCAAACAGAAATGAACTAAAATATTCAAAAATAAAATAATCATTGAAATATTGAAACTGATAAAAATTGCATATTTAACCACACTTTCTTATCTTCATTTCTAGAAAAATATTTTATTTTCAAAGCCATATTTTTTTCTCGAAAAAGTTCATTGCAATTCAATAAACCCATCAAAAGTTCATATTTTCATTTTGATCCATTTGAAATTGTTTTAACCAAGTGTAACAACATAAAAATTCCAATCCAGATGTCTACGATTGCAAAATCAAATGAGGTGATAAAAATTTAACTATAAGAGAAGAAAGTGCTGTTATCTTTTGAGAGTTTGGAAAGCAAAAATATTACAACACAATCTGAAAATACGACTTTTTGATTTTTTATGTGATATCTATAGCAGCGAAGAGCAAAGATTCAACTCATGTCACGATTTATTAAAACAATTGTAGACTTTTTTTGAAACATATGTGATTTGGAGAAAAGCTTTCGAAATGGAATTTCGCAATAGCAATATTTTTCCAGAAAAAAGGGTTTAGAAAGAAGTTCAAAAATTTACACAATAATTTCTTGAAATTATCCAAATATTTGAAAAGGATTTTAAACTGTATAGCTCATTTTTAGCAATACATTTTTTTTTTCATTCAAACTTTTCTGTGGGTTTTTTTATGGTTAATATTTTCAGCCAAGTCCAATTCAAGTATGAGATACTGCATAGCTTTTCTGAAAATACTTCCATTCATCCTGTCACCTTATCTGTAATTAATTACTCTTGAAAATATATTTTTGTTTACTCACGCAAAAAAACATTGAACACATATTGTCTATCCAGACAAAAAAACTCTCTCAACTGTCACAATTTGATAAATGAATCATATCTTCATTTGATTTCCAACAAATCGTTCAAAACTCAAATCCCACTCACAATCAATTTCAAAATACTGTGACTCATAGAACATCTACACAAATATACTTATCGTATCGTTTTTCAGCTGACACAACCAACAAAGTTGACTCTTTTAGTGTGAAAAAGCTATATTTTTTCGAAAAAGTTATGTGGGATGTTGAAGACAGAAGGCAAAGAAGAAGAGAAGAAAGAAAAGGGCGGGCGTTTGACGGGTTCCCGGCAGCCTTTTCGCCTCCGCAATAATCTTTCTCATTTTATTCATCTCTTTTTGAGTTCCTCAAATCTTTTAAAAAACTATTTCGTAAGTGAACTTGAACATTTTTTGGTTTTCTTATTAGAATATTTTCCAGGGATTTGATATTTTCATTGAAGGTTGTCCTAAAAATCTTCTCATTAAAAAACTTCGATAACATATTCTCCAAATTTATGTTCTTAAATTCCTTCAAGTTCAGATAAGACCAAACAAACGAAAAATATCGTTCAAAAAGTCTTCAAATTGTTTGCAAACCTTTTTTTATCAAGAACTTCTCAGACATTCTTCAAACACTCGAAAAAACAACAACGAACGGATGTGTTGACACATTTTCAACCACAACCACTCAAATACAACAAAAACACAGCAAAAATCCACAGTATAATAATTTTTGCTCAAAGATCGATTTTCTTCAATTTTTCTCACTGATCATAAAACTTTTCACCGAGGCCAGTTAGTGTAATCTCACAAGTGTTTCTTGATTTCCCTCATCTCGCATTTTTCTCAAATTTATCTCCTTGTTGTTTTTTTTTGAAGAGTAACTTTTTTGCAGAGTCACCATGGCTCCACCATCAATTTACGGAGAACCAAAAATCCGCTCTGAAAATGGATCAGTTTTCCTTGAAGTTATCGTAACTGGTGCTGATCCAGCTAAGATTCAATGGTTCTTTGGAGCTGATGAACTTGAAGAGAATGAGTTTTTGAAATTCTCTCATAGCGATGAAGGAGGCAACCGTACCAAATTTGTAGCTGAAATTAAGGTTGGTCAGAAAATTGTGAATTGAAATGGGTTCCAAAATCAGCAACCTATTTTTCTTTTCTTTTTTAAAATATTCCAAACCTTCGCATTTTGTAATTGTTTTGTAAAAAAAATCCAATTTCAAAATCAAGAGCCACATCGAAAAGTCCAAAACACATTTTCCGCGATAAAATTGGCACCAATAAATCACATTAAATGAGCTTCTTTCAGGACTTTGACAAACCGTTGGCTGGAGAGTACAAAGCTGTTTTCGCCTCGGCTGATGGACAAAATCACTCGACTTTTAATGTGACTGCAGGAAGTTTGTCTAACTCGGAGAAATGGTGATAGAGAAGGAATAATTATTTTTTGCAGATGCCCCAGACTTCCACGATAAACCACATATTGTTCAAAGAGATAATGGGAACGTTATTGTTATCAAAGTTCGCGCCAAGAGTCATCTTGAAATGAAAGCCGAATGGTTCAAGGTAACTGAATCTCTCGATTAATTCTGAAATACATTTCAAAAATTCAGGACGAGAAGCCGGTAAAGTTCACTGACCGTGTGAAAGCTGTTGTTAAGAAAGATGATAAGGATAAGGATGGTTATCAATTTTTGCTCGAAATCACCGGACCACAAAAAGACGACGAGGCAAAATACAAATGTGTTGTCAAGAATTCCGAAGGTCAAAACCAACAATCCCTCAACTTGGTCTTCGATTAATTTCTCTTTCTCCCAAAATTTTCTCATTTTTGCTCTCAAATCATATTTTTGTAACCTTTTCACAGTAGAAACAAATTCCTTCACAATTCACGTGTGTTGATAAATGATATTCATTTTTGTTTTCAAAATTAATTTTTCACATCAATATTTGCATTTACCCAAAATTTCGAAAGAAGGAAAAAACGAAAAAAAAAACCCAAAAAAGTTTTGGGCAATGTGTCCCAGGGGGAAAACCAATATATACATACATATATGTGTAGAAGAAAAGAAAGGAAAAAATGACGAAGAAGAGAGGCTTTCAAAGAACTTGTTCGCAGTTTTTTCTCTTCGTTTTGAGTTTTACTTAAAGAATTTTATCAGTTGCCAGTTTTTTGAACCTTGGTTTTGGTTTTTTTTGGAACTTGAAAAAGCTTTTCAGCAAGTTGAGTGAAGGAACGAAAAAATTTTGGAATGGGATTTTTGTTCTCTTGTGGTTTCAGAAAAGTTGTCAAGTTTTTTGAAATTATATTCTGGAAAGCTGAAAACTTTTCTTGAAAGTATTCACACGGTTACTGTAACTCAATTTTCATATGGGGTTTGTTGTTTGAAAAATTCAAAAACGTAAAATCTTGATTTAAGTTTTGTTCTACTACCTCAAAATTTCGCCGCATTTTTAGACCTGACACAGTCCAACGGTGAAAGCTAGAGAAAAATAATTCTGATCTACCGGAAACAGTTTTGAAAAATATGAAGTCTAGTAATTTAGTATACTTCACAAACTGAAGCCTCTGAAACTGTGACCCTTAAACGTTCCAAGATTCAATCCCTCTTCTGATAATCTCTAATTTCTCATTTGAAATAGGCTAGCTTTAAAAATACTCACATTTGAATATGCAAATCCAATGCTTCTTTTTTCTTTCTAGCATCAAACTAAATCTAAATTGAGCCGTAGCCGTATCTTCTAATTATTCCACCACTTTTGCTCTTTTCACAAAATCTGCTGAAACTCAAATGACTCACTTACATAGCCATTAAAATCATAGCAATTTATAATTACTTATATTTCCTCAATTTTCTTCTTCTTCTTCTTTCAAAATGTTATTAGTGCAGATTCAATTTTTCCTTCTTCTCCTCCTTCTTCATCGTGTTTTCATTCTTATTTGGTCTCGTGTTAAATCAGGAAAAGTAGTGCATCGAAAAACAAACCGAATTATTCAGGATGTGAAAATTGTCGAAATAAATGGGAAAAATATTGCGAATTATGGATTTTGCGAAATCTCACAATAAAAACAATTTTTTGTTACAACTGAAAAATCTATTGATTTAGGGGATGGTCAGAAACATTACGATTTGAAAAAATATCACTTATTTTTGCGGTGTCCAATGTAAAAAATATAACAGAAAATGCAAAAATATATCGTCCAAAGTCTATCTGTCTGCGTCTCTCGAATATACACACTGTTTCACTGTTCGTGTCTGCGTCTCTCGAATATACACACAATTTCTCTGTTCTGTATTTCGACTATAAGGCGAGCTTTGGACGATATATTCTCGCATTTTTTTGCTATATTTTTTTGGACATCGCAATATGATTTTCTAGAGAACTATTTTCTGGAGCCCCTTTTTCGAGATAAACCTAGCTCGTTTCTCAAAAAATTCTAAACTCAAGTTTTTTTCATTTTAAAAGGTTTTCTGAATACCTTACTATGTTTTTTACAAGTTTCCAGAGTTTCACCCAAAAAATTTTCCCGCAATTTTTTGAGCTCTGACACAGAGCAAAAAAAGTTTGAGGTAGTGAGTTACACACTATGTGAAATCTTACAGAGAGATATTTTGCCAATTTATAGCAATTTCTAAATTTGAACTTTTTTCTCAAGTCCAATGTGTTCCAAGGAACATTTTTGTTCATCAGATAACTAATCTCATAAAAATCAAGTGCCCTCTATTATGCAGCGCACCAAAACTTGATGTTCCTAAACTTTGAATCGTTTTTTGTTGCTCCTTTCTTCTTTTTGCTCTTTTTGTTGCTAGATAGACAAAACTACATTACGTCCAAATATAATATCCGCCCGTAGACTAACCAAAAAAAACCCTAACCCTTTTAAAGTTTTTCTTTTGGCATTGCTCTTTGTAGCCTATTGAAATTTTCAATCTTTTTTCGCGTGATAATTTATGGTTTTTCTATTCGTTCTTTTGTTTTTTCTTTGCCAACGTTCGCTAAATGTGAAATGTGGAAAAAATGAGGGAGAAAAATTGGATTTCACATTCGATTGCGTTCAATTTTATTGGATCATGACTATATAACTTCCCCAGATAAATATTTTATAATATGATTCTCTTTTTGTTTCTTTGTTCAAAGTGTCTCGTGTCTTATTTTAGTTTCAGTAAGTGCTCTTCTTTTTAAGAAGAACCTCGATTCGGTTCAGTGAAAACGAAATGAGATCCGATTTAGTCCCTAAAAGTGTTCTTGTTCTCTTTTTTCCTTGTCCCTTTACTTTAAAATGAGGATATATCTTACAATTCAATTCAAACGATCAAACTACATTTTTAAAAGTGAAGTGTAAATATTTAGATTTTTGTTGTGTTAAGTTTTTTGTTGAGCAAAGAACTTGTAAATAAATATATTACAAAAGATTTTTTTCAAAAATTGGAGCATATCTATTATACTATGACGTGGCTAATGAAAATTAGATATTCTTCACTGATTGTTGATGTAAGTTATTTAAAATTCTGTAAAACTCTGGAAATTCTAGGTTTTCAAGAATAATATCATATGAATTGTCAAAATTTTTTTTTTCAAAATAAAAAAGTCAATTTGAAGATACCGACATGAGTTCCTATAACTCACGGAAAGACTTCAAACTTGGCAATTTTTCAAAAATTATGCATGATGTCACCCACTTACTTACTCATCCCGGAAAAAAGCCAACAAAAATATCAAATAAAATAAATCATCTTTTCCTCCCTCAAAAAATGTTGCAAAAATATGAGACCCATAAGTAACTTCAGCCATCTTTCTTCAGGTTCTATCTATGTCTATCTATATATCTATTTTTCAACATGTGTCAATTTCAATTTTTCTTCTCCGTAAAGAAATGTTGCCATTTTTCCATATTCTATATTTATCCGCGAATACTCATATTCACACACAAAAAAAGAAATCCATCCTCTGAAAAAATTCGGCTCAAAATAGGTTTGAACATTGGTGATTTGCACCCCACCCGCCCTAATCATCGTATGCAAAACCAATCTAACATACGAAAAAAAACGTGTAACGAGTCTTCTTCCGAAAAAAACCGATAAACGTTTTTGAAACTTTTTTTTCTTCGTTTTTTTGTTGTCTGGTAATTTGGACTAGCTTGTTAAGGTTAGGTTATAACTTTTTTGCTCCGTTTTTTTCTTCCATGTTTTTTTTCTATAACAGGTTTTTGTGCATTTCTTTGACATAAGGCTATGATGAGACTTAAGCTTTCACAATTTCTGGTCCACCATAAATTTGAGGCCCATCAAATAAGAAGGCCGAATATTGCAAACCCATTTCACATTCATGTTTTGCACTAATTTTTTCAAGTTTCTCTTTCTTTCACCCGGTACATCCACTACTTTTTCAAAATATGACGCATTTTTTTCGAATCTCTCACCTTCATAAAAAGAATCGCTGAACTCGAGAGAAAAAAAATACATAATGCAACAATTTTCAAGCGATTCTTGGTGTTCTATCTACCAACCACCTATTATAAAATAAAAATGAGGGTGTTTTCGTTTTCCTGAACTTTTTTCTTGTTTTCTCTATTTTTCTGAATCTGAATTTGAATCACCGCTTGTTACTCGAATAAAATTTTTTCGCTCAACTCAAAATAATGTAGGGGGAAAAATAGAATAAAAACAAAGCGATTTTCAATCTTTGAAGGCGCTACAATCATAATAAAAAGGCCAATTACGATATTCTTTCTTCTTCATCTTTTTTTCCGCTTTTTTCTCGTATTTTCTGAGTCGTTCACATATTTTTGGCCAAAAAAATTGGCGAAAAATACATGGAAAAACTGTCATGACAACATTAAAAAACATCAATCGCCTCTTTGCCGGCGAAAAAAATTGAAATTTTCTGGCGTTTAATAGATTGGCCTAATTTTGATATGGTCAGAATATTTCCAAATGTTTTTCCAGTGGCTACTGAATCTTTTGTTTCAGGAAAACTACTGTAGTGGAGTTTTGGTTCAAATTGAAAATAATCTCTGATGTTTTATATAACCTTCAGTCTTTTCTCAAGCATTTTTTGAAAAAGAAGAATCTAATTAGTCATCCATGAATTTTGCAATTTTCAGCCTATCCTATCCCAATTAAAATCTTACTCTATTCATAATTTTTCATGTTGTTGTCGTCACAGCTCATATATATTTCAAGTATGCAATTCAATATTGTACAAATTTACTGTTTCATCCATTATATTTATCCATTTTTATTTGTACACGTGTGTAGGAGTATTTCTCTGTTTTTTCTTTCTCTTACATTTTTTTCAAATTTCGGAATAAAAATCGAAAAAAGTCTAGTTTAATCTTTCTAGTAGATCTCTGACTAAACTAAATTATAATAATAAAAATACTAATTCAAAACGAAAAAAATTACATTTTTGATGTGAGAAAAAAAAGTGACATGACACGTCAAAAAAATGTAGAAGAAATGGAAAAAGAAAACTCATAAATATTTGATCGTGCATGAAACATTGTTGCGTTAAATTAAAAAGAAATTAGGTATTTTTTTGTAGTTTTCTCGTGTGTAAGTTTTTTTTCGTTGATTGATTAACATTTTTTGTATGCCGAATTGTATGCAAGCGCGTTTGCGTGCGCGTGAAGAGCATGCAAAGTCTGGATGTGAGAACCAAGAGTTCACAATGACGAGTTTTTAGAATTTTTTATGTTAGTTCCTTTTTAAAATCTGAGCCACCAGTGTACGTATTTGAAAAAAAATCAAAAAATCTTGGCATTGTTTAACACCATCTAAATTTTCATCATGTGATTCAAAAGGGTCCAATTTCACAATCAGAAATAAATGTAGACTATTCTCTAGTTTGGACACAATTTTTCAGAAATTGAATATTGTGAATTTTTGATTTTTGAACATACACGAACATTTTTGTTTCAAAAAATTCTGAAATATTTTGATTTCTGACCCTGAAACCAAATATACAAACACAAAAGTTATTGATTTGGAAACAATTATTTTTGATCAACCCAAAAATTTCCTTGATTTTCCTGATTTATAAAACAAACTTTGATTATAAATTAGATTATTGTCGGATTATTAAGAATAATTCACGAGTCTCGACAGAATTTATTATTCTGAACCACAGAAGTAATCTAACAATTTCTGATCACCAGTCAAGTTTTCTCCCAAAAAAAAATCCCGAAAGTTTGTGCAAGCTATAATTCTCTAATAGAACGAACCAAGGCGTGTGGTTGTTAGTTAGTAGTGTTTTTATTCTGTTGTTCTGCTGTAAAATCTTATTTTCTTAGTGGGTTCTTTTTTGTTGGTGGCCCACCGACCGACTCACTAACATAAATCTGATTATTTGTTTTTTTTTTCATTTCGTTCTTCTACTAGTCTTCTTCTTTTATTCCTTTTCGTGGCTTTCAACAGACTCCCATCATTTCACTGTGAAATCGTTTAGCCAACGCCTCAAATTTCATTGTCCTTCTTCTTCTTCTTCATTCGTTTTTTGTGCACCGAAAACGAGGACGTCTTCATTTTCCACTTGATTCTTTTTCGTTTTCTTCCTTTTACCACCCAATTCCAATCTTTACACTTTTTTTGTTGGTTTGGGTTTTGATTTAAATTCAATTTTTTTCCTTGTTGTTTCTCTCATGCTCATCAAAACGAAAAAGTAAAAGAAAAAGAAAACTTTTATCGGTTAGAGTTGAAAAAGGTCTACAATATAAATAAACTATGCCAATTTCTCAATTATCAAGGAATGATGAAAATGAGAGGGGACGCCTTTTTTTGCAAGCATCTCAATTTATTTTTGGCCAAAAGTACTGTATCTTCTCGAGTTCATTGGGCTTATTTTGTTTCACTCATCTACTCTGAAATTCCTTCGTCTTTCTAAACAATTACGGTATCTCAACTATCACGCTAAAAAATGGGCGGAACCTTAGAAAAAAATTGTATAAAACAAAATCTTCTGAAAAAGCTTTCAGACAGACAAAAAAACATTTTTTCTCCCAATTTCTGAAAGAATTACTTTTTTTGTCGGTGTGCTCGAGAGAAGTACAAATTTTATTTCAAATTAGACGAGTATTCAAGATTACTCATTTTTTCTTCCTTCATTTCTTTCTTTCTTTCTTTCTTTTCACTCATTTTCTTTCAATTCTCAACAAAAGGTTGGTTTTTTGGTTGGTAGATAGATCTATGGAACCATGATAAATCATTTCCAACATTTTTTCGAACATTTTTTCGCGCGTTGCTTGAAATATCGAATCAATTATTCATTGTTTCGAAAAAACCTTCATGAATTCCGACAAGAGTTTTTTCTTTCTGTTTCTCTATTTTTTCACCTTTTTCAACTCTGAAAAGGCCTCTTGCCCTCAGAAAAAAGAAACAAAAATAATCTCATTTTTTATGCAATGAAAACACAAAACAATCCTTGTTAGGTTTATTTGTTGCTTACAGATGTCAAACAAAACAGAGAGGAATCTTTCGATGATCGATGTCATAGTATTTACTGGTTTGGAATCATTGGGAGTATGTGCGATTCTTGGAAATTTAGCGTTGATTATTGTGTTGCTCAGGAACAAATATCTACAGAGAGCAAGGTTGGTGAACAATTCTTATTCCAGAAAAATTATTTACTTTAATTATTTTTTGAAACGATTTTCAGTAACTCTCAAGAATTTTTTTTCGATAATATAATAATGATTGATAAATTTTTAGATATCATTTTTAAGATCTCAAAACTAAAGTTCTCAATTTCTGAACTTCTGAAAACCAAACATCAGAGGATTACCGTATTCAAATTGCTTCGAAAATTCTTGAAAAATGTATTTGTTGAACAATTTTTTGTATTTTCGAATAAATTTGAAAATAGTGAACTTGCGGTAAATCGAGTTCGGGGATCAGACTGTTTCCACATTTCTGGATGTTTTGTGATTAGAACTGATTTTTGAGATTGCTTGGAAGGTTCAACTTTCATTAGCAAATTTTCGAAATCTAGATTTGATAATCTGACATCAATCGCAGGTTAAAATATAATAAAAATTTTCTATTCCAGCTTCATTCTAATGTTGAATCTCGCAATTGCCGACGTGATTCATGGTTTTGTAACAACTTGCCATTTCTACCCACCAATTTTATTACAAAAAATGCACATCAATGAATTGGGCATCCGATTTTTCAATATTTGTGATTGGACAGCTTGGGCAATTACACTAACGTAAGTTTTACTCTTGACTTGAAATTCCCTCAATTCACATGTTATTTCAGACATATGTCTGCAATATGTATTGATCGATTAATAGCAATCATTCTTTATGGAAGATATAACACTTTGATGACTGTTCAAAGAATACGGACGTTTAGGTATGATACAACTTTTTCAGAGAAATTAATAAAACAAAATTTCCAGTTTGTCATGTTGGGCTATATTTTTGGGAACAAATATCACTTTGTTTTATTTGAAAGCATGTTGTATGATCCAACCACTTGAAAAGAATCGATTCTATACATTCGGATATAAAACAAGTGAGTTAACTTAACTTGAAAGTTATAGCGAAATAATTATTTTCAGCTGGTTTCAATATATATGTTTTGTTATACACGCCGTTTGAGATAATAACAATTCTCATTTTAACATTCAGCAATCCAATAACTTTGGTTCAATTGTATCGTAGACACAAAAGAAAATTAGCGTTGAGACAGTAAGTTTGTCAAAAATAGAATTTGCTAGATTTTTAGGCTTTTTTGCTGAAATTAAATAGCAATTTCAGTAAAAACACCTAGCCTTGCAATTAAAGCCAAAGCCAAGCCAAAGCCTAAGCCAGAGATAATTTTTACTTTTGATAATCAACCAAATATTTTTCAAAAAAATCTGCATGGTGTTTTCTGCACTATTTTTTTTCTGAAACTCATCAACCAAACAATTTTTGCTCTCTTACGGCTTTGGTAACATAGATTTTTCTTACATATATGTAACAAAAATTTAGTATTTTTGCACGTTGAATAACATGAGTGCAGTGCATTGTTTTTCTCAAAATATTTAGGCAAGGCGCAACTCACAGTGTTTCGGCTTCATCTTCTTCAATTCTCAAACAACAACGATCACAGTGGCAAAGGTTAGTTTAATTAAAAAAAAATATTAATTGAAAACAACTAATGATTTTAAAAAACCCGACTCTAAAAATGTTTTTTTTTCGATTTAGTTGATTTTTTGTTGAGAACGAAGACAAATCGTTTTGAGTTTCACACCTCAGCTTGCCAAAAAATGGAATTTTAGGTTGCGAACAACCCTGACACCATCTAGAATAGTGTTAGTCAAGCCAAACAAATACATGTAATTTATTGATTTTTTTTTTTTGATTTTGCACGTTTTTTCCTCACACTTTTTGCTTTTTTTAACCACCCGCATGCTCACTGACTCACCAATAATTGCTTGCTAAAACCGGAAATGATTGGAGTGATATTAATTTGGATCAGGTGAAGATTTTCAGACATAGTATACATTTTGTCAGCTCAAAACACAGTGTGTAATGCACTACCCCTAACTCAAAAGATTTTTAACTTTTCAAAACATTTTCAGGTAGATCAAAATGATTTTTCTCTGAAATTCCAACTCTATATTTTGATCAGATCTTCACTTTTCTCATTTTTTTTAATTTTCTGAACTTTTTTAATGAGATGTTTCCAAGAATTGTTTTTTCTCTTCAATGTTTTCAGATAAATAACTAGCTGAAAACGTGTGATTAATTCAGCTAATTTAGAAACTTCTCTCTTTTTTTCTAACTTTATGAAACAGTAATATCCAAATATCATTCCAGTCATTTCTTTTGCACCCCACTAACACCTAAAAAATTCCAACTAACCAACCCAACTCAACCCAATTTTCGATTGAATGAGAAAAAACAACGTGAAAAAAAACAACTCTGGCTTTTCGCTGTCCAATTCAATATTTATTTTAGTTTTGCCTGCAACAGATCTCTGATGTTTGATTAGGAATACCCATTCTGTCATGTTTTCAGAGCAAGCACTATGCTACTAGAAATGTCGATGAAAATGGGTAGTAAACAAATTACAAACGATGTTCGAGAAATGGCTGCAAGACGAGCTAATCGACAACAACAACGAATATTATTGCAGGTATTTGATGAGAGAAAATAGGAAGAGGGGGGGGGCACTTTCAGATTTTAAGAAAAAACAATATTAACTTGAATATTTCAGATCACAGTTGTTGCATTAATTTTCTACATTTATATGTCTGCATATTATGCCGTCTCCTATAGTTCATTCACTGAAAATAGCACGGTTATAATATTCAACAGTTATTTTTATTCAATAACTCATATGATAAATCCAGTCATCTATTTTTCATTTAACAAAGAGATGCGTGCACAATTACGAGAAGCTCTTCGAGATTTTATCAAATTTTTCAGTTGCAAGAAGAAGGATCCATATGGATTCTCAAATGCTTCAACTAAAGTTAACCATAGCTCAAAGATCACGTAAGATTTTTTATTTTCTATTTTTTGATTTTCCTTTTTAATAATTTTCAGAATGGTGGCTGCTCAAAGCACAAGTTGTAGTGAAACATCACCATTGTTTTCCTCCGCGCAGCATTATAAATCTACTGGTACGACAGTGAAAAATTTGGAGGATCACGATGAGGAAGAATCTGTGAATTCGATTGATGAGGGAAATAGTACTGGTAATGAATCTGCTGAAATTCGAGCAATTGTTGAGGGAACTGAGCCATGTAGGAAAATTTATTGAATTTCTCCAATAATAATTTAATTTCAGCTGATCAATGTTCATCTCCACAATCAGATCTTTATACAACTCCACCAGGTCAACTTCCAAATAATAAAATGAATTCCAAAGATCGATCCACATTTATCAATCAAATTGTGAACGCACTTCAATATGCCAGCAATAAATCGTTGAAAAATGTTGAAGAAAATGAGATGGAAGAAAGACCTAGAAAAAGATTGGACAAATCGGCAACAACAAACGATATCAGTAGTGTTATCAAACAAAGGTGAGAATTTGATATAGTATTTGATGAATGAATGACGGTTTGCGGTGTTTAGGTATATTCGATTTTCAAACACTTTGCAAGTTTTTTCACGAGATTCGATTGACAATCTACTTCCCGAAAACAGGTTGGACTAATAAAAATAATCAACAAATTGTTGTCTTCACGATTTTGAAATTTTCGCATGAAAATTTAGCACTTTGTGAAATATTTTTGTACAAAAGAATTTAATACATAAACTTATGGTAAATTTTACCCAAGCTTTAAATTTTATAGATTTATGTCAATGGGAAGTTTGGAGCGAAGTTGTTTATTGAATGACATGTCGGGTAATAGTGATTCAACAAATGAGAACAACAAATCGGCTATGATCACTAGGTAAACAAACACACATTTACAGGCTAAAGATCGAAAAACCTAATTTTTATTTCATAGATCATCTTCCACAAGTTCACATACAATGTTTCATAGCGCTGTAAATGATGAAACAACGGGTTATTTGCTCAATGAGGATATAGAAATTGATAGTGATGATGAAATTGCATATTTATAATCTTCTTTACATAAAAAAGAAATTTTTTTGGGTCATTTTTATATTGAAAAGTTATTTATTAATTTATGAAATATCATGACGTGTAATATGGAAATATTGCCATTTTGCTTATTTATGAATAAATTGTTCGATTTTATTGTTTTTTGTTGAACTGGATAGTTGATTTAATCCATCATTTGAAGAAAAAAAAATGTTTTTTTATTTGGAATTCTAGACATAGAGATATGAAAATGTGTCATTCATCACTTTGACACCCTTATGTTGCGATTTCTGTTAATTTTTCCACTTGTTTGCGCGTCTGTTGGTAATCAAGAGAGCAACGTATTGTTGCTACCTGCCGATGAAGATTCTACAACGTCCACGAGTACAACAGCTGAACTGTTGAATCCATCTACATATCCAGATAATGAGAATTATATTGAATCCACAAATACAACTTCTGAAAATTCTACTGAGCCCACAACCACAATTGGTAAGAAAACAAACTTTTTACATGTTTGTATCATGATCATAATTATTTTTTGTATTGACTTCTGAAAACTAATATAAGTTTGAAAATCCTGACAATACCTTCTCTACTAACAAGGGATATAACTCCCAAAAACCGAAAACACATTATAAAAATCCTCATTTTGAAGTTTCAATGATTCTCGTTCAAGTGTTGTAAACGTAGTATCAAACTATAAATTTTATAGTTCAAAAAATGAGAAAAATTTTAAAATATGTTTTCTTCATGAATATGAAATGAATAAAAAACGATAGAGAACAAACATGCTGGATTTCTTGGTTTTAAGTATGGAAATGATGGTAAAGATCAAAATACTACTGTTGCAACTTCTACTGCTGCAACAACAGTTAAAAAGTATAGCTAGTAAGTGATTTTGAGTCAAAACATATATGTATCACATTTCTCGTTTTTCAGTCAATGAAACAGCAGATGATGTTGATGATTACGTTCTCCCTGTTGAACCAAATAGAAGTAAGTTCTTGTGAAAACTTGAAAATAATCAAACTTCATTTGTCACAGGTAGCTATGATGAACTTTCTAGACTAGTGGAATTCATTATAAAAAATCAAACTTCAGATGTTGCACCAATGTTTCAGAGTGAGTTTTTCCACACATTACATCACACTCATTTTTTCTTGGTTTCTTGCAGGAGATCAAATGGAAAATAATATACTAAATTATACACTTTTTATTGGACAACTTAAAGTTATTGGAGTGGATGATGTTAATGAATTGGTGACAATTGCTGCAGAAGTTTATCAGGTGTGTTTATTACTTTTGTTCAATTATAGTTCATTTTGTTTTCAAGCTTTGGAATGATACCCGGCTGGCTTGGAATAGTTCAGAATTTGACAATATACAAACAATCTTCACAAGACAGCACAAAATATGGAGCCCGCCTATGGTTGTATTTTCAGCGTGAGATTTAAAATGAAACACAATGTTTGTAAGTTTTTGAATATTGCAGAACTGAATTAGTTGATCAGCGTGATAATGAATTTCGAATGGTATCAATAACAAATGAGGGTCGAGTGAGAACATATATTCCCTTAAAACTTACCACAACATGTAAAATGAACACAGTAGATTTCCCATTTGATGATCAAACATGTGTTATAAGAATAAGTCTTCCACCAGTGCCTCAAAGTGTTTATCGATTTCAAGTTGTATTGGCTGATTCTGTGAAACATAACTTATGTGCCATGGTAAAACTATTCTGATTCTCACATTAGAAAAATATATTTTTTGGAATTACAGAGCAATTCAGCATGGGAAATGTATGAAATTTTTGCATATGTGAATGTTACGCAAACACGGTTTGAAGGTATTCAATACGTGAAACAGGGAAATGTTGTTATCAGATTAAAGCGTTGTTCAGGATATTATATGGTTATGATTGTTCTCCCTATCACAGTTATAAATGGTTTATCATTAGTCGGTGTTTTTATGAAAAGCAAAAATGGAAATCTTCAAAGAGTGGGTTCAAATTTTTATTTTACATAAATATTTTTTTTTTTCAGTTGACTGTGGGGCTTACTCATGTTATGACAATGACGTTTATTCTAGCAATGCTTGGAGAAAAACTTCCCAGAACTGATTCTCTTCCACTTCTTGGTAAATATATTATAATCAGTTTATGTGTTATGATCATTGCTACAATAATATCTACGAAAAAGCACAGGATTCTTGCCTGCCTAGAAATACAATCCGAATATATTATTGTCAAGTATGTTTTATAATACCGTTGATTCAATGTTTGATCAATTAATTTAAATTTAGTTCCAATCCAAACCGATCTTCTTCTACTCCAAGAACCAGACAAATTAGAATTCGAACATTTGTGATGGTCATATTTTTGATTTTAAATTTATTCGGAGCACTATATATGTTTATGAGATTTGTTTACTTCTTGAAAGATCACAAAAGAGAAGGAAACGCTTGTTCGTGGATTCCAACAAACGAACAAACTTTAGATGGATATGCGATGATTAATGAAACCGAACTACCGAATAAGTTTCACCCTACCTTTTTTTCAGAAAACTAATTATAGTTACAAGTTAGATACGTGAAATAAATTTTTTTTTGATATTTGTCTTAATGTCAAGAATTTGAATTTGTCATTCAAAATTACTAAAAAATAGACTTTTTAGGGTTTTCAAAATCAAAATAATAAATAAAACCAGGTGAATATCTGCTAAAAGGCGTCACGATGTTGTCTACAAAAATTCGAAAAACGAGTTGTGCGTTAGAGCGCATTTTCTTGTTTTATTTAGTAGGTTTTACTCGCTTGTCCCTTTATAGCTCAAAAACTTTTTTGCACAGGGTTCACTACATAGTTCTTCATTCAAATTTCAAAATTTACAAATAATTGGCTATAATTTGTGCACATATATTTATATTCATGTATCTTCTCCTATTACTACACTAATTATGAATATGTTTTTACAGACAGTTCCTATTTTTCTTCTTGGAAATATAATTAATTATATTTATTTTCACGCATTCTTGGATTTTCTTCTCCGCAGCTGTAATTTTCCATCTTTTTTCATTCTAGCTATGAGAAATAACAGGCCCAGCAATAAAAAAAACGATGGGCATGTTTTGCAAAAAGATTTTTTCTCTTGAAATTGGCATCGATTTCGATGTGTAAAAATGGTCATAGTCATTTTCATTTTTCGATTTTTTTGGTTGGCCAATTGTTTTGAGTTTTGAGCTATGTAGCTAGAATTTTTGATTGTTGAGTTTGAAGTGCAATGATTTCTGAAATAGCCAAAATCTTGGATGAGTTGGCAAATCCGTTTTATCCGGATTTGTCGATAATGTTTGAGGACTGAAATTCTCTCTAGAATACGAGCTCTGAAAGTCTTCCCAATTTGTGCTCAAATTTTGTATGAGCACAAAAAAGTGCTAGTTTTCTAACGAACTCTTTTCTTTTTTCTTGCCAATTTTCCGCCAAAATCATCTTCCGACACGAAATGTTTTTTCTCAAACTTCCGACACAAATTCAAGAATCTCAGTCAGTCGCGCTCTTTTTTTGTTCATACATAGATTTATCTTTTTCTCATTTGTGCCCTTTTTTGTTTGCTGTGTCCCAAAACGCTCATCAGTCAAATGGAGCTAGTGCATAAATGGATAAAAAAACGTTTCTATATTTTTTTTATTTTGAATTACATGGTTGTTTGAATTCATTTTCAGAAACAATTGTTAGGTTCTTTAATAATTTTTTGGTGTTCACCTAATCTTATAATTGTTGTTGTCGCTCCTTCGCCCACGTAAAAATTCATGCATTTTTTCCTGAAATAAATTTTTGGTTTGTTTACTCTTGGTTGGTTAAATTTTAATAAATCTGACTAAACCTTTTTTTTCTCGATGAAAATATTTGTTCTTTCTATAATATCATGAGAAAATATTTGGTTTTTTTCTAATTTATTTCATCTATGATGTCCTAAGATTCTCGTGACAGATTCAAGTGCATCACCGAAATCCTCCCACTTAGATTCTAGATTCAGATGAACTTTTTTCTGACATTCAAAGTGGCTTAGGTCCCTCATTTATTCGACCACTCTAAAGTTATATAATTTTCTTTATATCAACAACGAAAGTTAATTCTGAGACCTAAAAACTTCCCTTGTAGGAGTGCTCAACAATTTAGTTCAAAAAGCAAATTACAAATTTAATTGCATTTTTGAAAAGTGCCAGAATTCAAATTACCCTTTCATCCTTTTTTTTTCTTTCTCATGCATAAATTTCTAATCTTCCCTTAAAATTTCAATCCCAAATTTCATTTCATCTTCTGTGTTTTTCAGTTTTGTTATGCAGTATGGATTTCTTCTATCAACCCTCATCACAATATTTTCCAAAATATCTTTCAATGAATCATTTCAATTCTCTCACTATATGCCACCATTCAATGATAGTTCACGAATATATCAATTATGTACCGCAGAAAATGACAAACATTTTCTGAATCCAAAATATTATGAAAATTTGGTAAGTTTAAGCGGATTTTTCATTGAATCTAAAACATTTTATTTGATTTTTCAGATGAATTTCTATATTGACAAATACACTTTATGTTGGACAGAATACGAAAAAATTGTTCCGAACAAACATTTTTCAATTATTTGGTTCTTAAGAGCTTTGACGTCAGTATTTTTTGCAGGGAGCTTTGGGTTAGGGGAAATTGATATATTCATATAATTCCAGAACAATGCGCAGAAAGTGCACATTTTCTGTTTTTATTTTATAAATCATGAAAGTGCACAAAATTACTTCCTCTAGGTATAAATTAATTAATTTTCAGAGGATGTGAAGTGTCTCAAACACTAATCAGCAAATTGAAACAGCGATATCATAGGAAATTTTATTTTGAATTTGTCAAATATTCATATATTATGATTTGTGAAAAAGGTCATCTGATTCAAGACAAAGATCATTTATTGTTATCTTCGTATGCTGGACTTTTCAATACACTTTATCAAGTTGTAGATTCAAATAGACAGTTAGTTTTTTCTTTCGATAATTCCATCCCAAAAAAAAATTCCAGAGAAATTTGCACCAAAATCTCAAATGACTATTCCGATTTATATCGTCGATGTTATGTCCCAAAATTCGAAAGGCGAGAAATGAAAATTCAACAAAGATGCAATGCTGTTTCAGCGCCACTTTTAAAGTTTCACGATTTTTTCTTGAGATTTTCAAGAGATGGTAAGTGAAAGACAAATTAGATAATTCAATATGTTTCAAGTTTTTTTCAGAATGCACAACTTTTGAGAACTTTGTTTATAAAAGGAACTCGCATATGAATATTGGAAAAGCATTGATTGGTGACGTGGATTATATGAATATTATCAGCTCAAATCTCGTTGCTCATATTAACTCGGACTCGGATTTACCCAATCTTGTGTTAAAGGTTTGTTGTGTTGTTTGTTTGAGCCTTCAAAAAAAATTTTCAGACTCGATTGATCCTTCAACATTTCTCCATAGCTTCAATCAAACTTTTCAACCAACTGGAGAAAATTGAAGGGTTAGTTATTCGATTTTCTTTCTTTCATTTCTTGATTCCCGATTTTTTTAGATGTGTAAATGATTTTCGAAATAATATGACAGAAATTTCAAACATCACAGACATCAATGAGGAGGAAAAGTGAGTTTCACCCTCATTCAAAATCTAAAAAAAACAAAAATTTTCTCATTAGAACTCGAATTGAAATGCATAGATGTTGCCCATTCAATAATACAAATATTTGTGAATTGAAAAGTGAAAAATATCAAGACCTGGCTTATAAAGCATTTCTTGGTTTTCGAATTGAGGGATGTTTATTGATTGCAGTTTTTATTAACACAATTCTCTTGGCCATGCTTTTATATAAAACTCAGAAAAATCTATCGACAGCCACTGTTCTTTTCGTGTTCAATATTATGTTTTCAAATGTTTTATTTATGATGTCATTTTCATTTTTCTTTGTGGATTTGAATTCCAACAAACCATATGGATCTGAAATCACTGATGGGGTAAGTTGAAGGATATTTTTTGGTGAAAAAATATCATAAATTTAAATTACAGTATGAAGGAAAGGCGCCACAATTGATAATTGCTGAAACTTTGCAAACTCATGTTTTTGCATCAACAGAATTTAGAAAACATTTGGTGCAGGAAACGCTGTACTCGTTAGCTCAAAACGGATCACTAACTGGCCTTATTCATCTTCTCGTGCTAGTTTTGGTAAATATATTATTTTCTTTGAATTCCCCGGGCAATCTGAAAATTTCAGGTTGTAATAAATCGCTCAATGTCTGGAAAATCAATCCATCTTTCAAGAGTTTCTGTAATTTCAGTGTTTGCTTGTGTGTGGATATTTTTGATTGCGTCCCATGCGATGTTCTCAACAATGCAGATGAATGCAATCCAAAATCTTGATAAACTTTTCGCAGTTTTGGCGAGAGGAAAAAAGACACCAACAAATTGCAAAGGAAATTCAGATTATGAGGAAATTGGTTCACATTGTGATCGAACTGCGGTTTTTCATTCATTTGGTGTTTATCTTTTGAGAGTGAGTATTTTTTTCTCTTGGTGATTTTTCAACCCAACCTTATTTTTTTCTAGGGCCACACAATCTTCACAGTCCTCTTCCTTTCCGCATCAATTGTGATATTTGTTATAACTGTAACCTATCATATAAATGTTCGACGGCAACATGAAATCATTCATAGTGAATTACGGTAACTTAATTGATGTATCACAAAAGTCTTTCATATATTTTCCTTAGAAATCAGTCCCCACATCTTCGACGTGAGCGATTATTTCACACTTTGATCCTCTCAATCATCATATTTTTCCTTTCCGTTTTGGGACAAACTTATATTGAAATTGCAGTTTTTTGGTATACTGAAAGAACTATTATTGCTAAATTGGCTGAATGGTGAGAAAAATTATAATTAATGAAAATCATAAATAAATTTTAGGTACCATCTTGCAAGAATTTTGGCATTCGTTGATCCTGTAATGAATCCATTGATTGTAATTCTCCGAACGCCGGCGTTAAGAAGACAATTACGATCACAATGGAGCACTTTTCGATCAAGAGCAAGTTCGAAAACAAGAAGTCGAGATGGGCATAGTCATCGTGGAGAATCTATTAAAAAAAGTATAAAGTAAGGAGCGTTTTGAAAATATTTTTTCTACAAACAAATTACATTCTTTCCAGAAGAGAAGCTTCAAGTGTCAAGTTAGAGAAAGAAACCGAATTAATGTTGAAAAACGCGACAGATCGACCGGTAATGTTTCCCACATTTATGTATCTGATCAATTAACCCAATACTTTTTAGCTAACTCGAACATGTTCTCAGCGAAGAAGTCAAGATTCACAAACACACAATTCAGTTGTCTAATCTTCTTCCCCTTCCCTCACTCTAATATCATTCATTCAAAGAAAAAATCTCATATTTTGTGTCCATTTCAAAACGGGATTCGCAATGTCACTCATTTTTTCCTCAAATATCTATTTCCAAAGCCCTAAAAATCATAATTCAAGTTTTTTTTGCATTGCATCTATCAATCATATCATTTCAAAAATTATGATTATCGTTTTCCTTTTTTTATAAATTGCTATGAGATTATCGGATTTCTTGTTTTTTCGAGAAACGAAAAAAAAAACACGATTTCTTCGCATTTCGAAATTCATACATAATGAATTGAAACATTTCTTTATATTATTGTTAATTATTATTATTCAATAGAAAAAAGCGAGAAAAAAAAATAGAAAAACCACTCGAAATTGAGATTTTTTCGAGTATGGTCATTTTATAACAGATTTTCGGATTGAAAAGACGAAAAAAATCGGTCAAAAAATCAGATGAGAAGAGGCTCTTTGAATTCGAAATTGTCAATGGGATGGAGATTTTTATTTTCCGAGAATGAGAGAAAGATCTTCGAAAATGTGTAGTTTTTCCTATAATCAAATCAAAATATCATATAACCTAGACCTAAATTTGATTATTTGTATTGTATTGTGTGTTAATCAGGCGAAAATTGTATTTATGAAATTAGTTAGTTCAAAAAACCGAAAATTGGTTTTTTTCTATTTTTTAGATATTTTTCCACAAAAACTCAAAGCATTGCCAAGTTTTTTTTTCATTGAAGCAACCTTATTATATAACATACTGTAGCTGTTCAAAACAAATTGATTCCGGAATTCCTAATTCAATAACAATTCCAAATGTCACAAACATCCTCATCAATCTTTCCCGTCATCCCCAAACCTAGAATTTCCTTGTCCTTTTTTTCTTGTATCTGAAAAAAACGCGAAACTAGCTTCTGGAATGAATTTTCCATTGTTTTGTTCCATTTTAATAGCCAAATACATCTCAATAAATCCATCTTCCATGTTTTTTTGGTTGTCTCTATCAAACATTCCGCCCGATAACTAACTGACCACAGACCAAAATAAAGAAAACTGTTTTGTCTTTTTCTTTGGAATAGTTAGATTTATATCTAGCTCATATTCAGCATTTTTCGAGGAAAACTGACATTCACGAAGTTATTCTGGAATTTTATTTTGAAACATTATGTTTTGTGAGAAATCGAAAACCGTTTGAAAATGTGTCTTTTTTACTATCTCAATCATTTTCTTCTTTTTCTTCTTCTTCTTCCAATGCGGGTCAATTGAAAACAGAAAGCGAAGGAAGAAGAGAAAAACGAACTGGATAGGATAGGAGAAGATGTATGTGACCGGCTGACTGTTTTGAATTGGCTTTTTCGCTCGCTATATCTTGTTATGTGAGGGGAAGAAGAAAAAAAAAGGGGGGGGGGGGTGTTGTATAATTTGTGAGAAGAGGATGGCCGAGAAGCCAAACGAAATAACCACGCCCATCTCACAGTTTTTATACATGCGTGTACATTTATCGCCAGATTTTCTACCCCCAAAAAGTCTTGCCCTATTGCATTCTTGTTGAATTTTTGCCTCATTTTTTGAAACGACTTGATCATTTTTATTTTATTTTATTTCCAGATTTTATTAGCAACATGAAGCGGCTAAGCATACTATTATTAGTTGTTCAAGGTGAGTGATAACTTCAGGGGATTTTTGAAAATAATTTATGAATCATTTTAAAACTGAAAATCTTTTCTGAAACATTTTCAGAGGAAAAAAAAATTTTGAAAATCAAGCGTCTTAGAAACATTTGAAATGTAATTTCAAAAAAACCCAATCATTTTTTCATAAAAATCTTACTATTCTAGAGCAAAGATTTTATAAGCTTTTTTCAGCTTATGTTTCAAAAAAATGTTGATATTTTTAAATAATTATTACATTTTTTTAGAATTTAAAACTTTTTTCTAAAATCTTCTCAGGTATCTTCTGTGCTGTAGCTTCTGAACTCTTTAACCCAATTTCAAAAATTCCGATGTTTCGCAATGTTTTTGTCTAACTTTCCCAACAAGATTTTTTGAATATCCATTTTTTTCTTATCACCAAAAGTTACTAAACCGTAGATCAAAAACTTGTTTTTTTGTTTTTCATCCAGAAAATCTCACATTTCTCCTTTTCTTCCTAGCTTACAATTAGCCAGCAAAAAAACGACACCAATAATTAAGTTCATTTCTTCCGAAATGTTTCAAAATGAACAAGGTTGACTTATTTATGCTTTGATCTTACTTTTCACCAATTCACCCACAAATCTATGAACCTCGTGACCTTGAAATTTGATTGACCGGGACAAAGAAATTCTGATTCAAAAGGATGATCGGATTAAAATCCTGGATCGTTCGAAACTGACCAGCTTAAAAATACTCACTTTCTCTTTTCTTCCCTTGTCCCTCCGCAAAATCTGATAAATTCTTAAAAACTTGATAGACCTCCGGGTTTTTTCGCTTCTCATCATCCCGATTCATCGGAATGATGATCAGATTAACTTTTTGAACAAGCACTGGTGATTCATCAGACAGAAAAAGGATAAAAAATCGGGACAAAAATGAAACAGTTTTCGGTTTTTTTTTCAATTCGGTTGTGTTTGATTGGGTGATCAACCCAGTTTTCTTCATCCTTTTTTCTCTCCGTTTTTTTGTGTATGTTTTCATAGACAAAATGGATAAAGATGTTGTTGGTTGAATTCATTCATTCAGTCAGTCAAGTGCGTTTTCTCTCATTTGAGAAAATTTGACCTACCAAAACAAAGTTACCAGTTTGAAACCAGAAACAGGAAAAATGCAAATCCTGACCCTAGCAAACAAAGCAAAAAATAAAGATTTGAATCTTATCCGATTTCTTTCTTCCTTGCAAAAATTAGCAAAGTTTTTGAAATCTGTCAACCAAGAAAAATTTAAAGAAGAAATAATAATTATTTTGTCATTCAATTCATTCATACAAAAGAAAAAATATACGCAATAAGCCAAACCGATTTTGGTGTACTTTTTCCAATTTATTACGCCAGAAACTAGCTTTGAGGAAATCTGAATTATTAACGATTCATGGGCAAGAAAAATTTGCATACAAATTTTATAGAAAAAATGACCAGGGAATTTGGAAGGCTTGGAACATAGAATAAAAACTTCGTACTATAATATTAAATTCCAAGTTCACAAAACTATTTTCCTAGTCTTTTTGAAGAAAAACACATTTTTTGAGTTGAATAAAACTAAAATATAGTCTGACCTCTTGAAATTGTATAAATTTTCTGGCGAGCAAACAATAGATTTTTTAGACTTCAATAAAACTAATATTGAGTTGCTCGGAAAACTTCAAATATTTTTTAAACTTTTCCATAAAAAACTAGGGCCAATCTAGATATTCTGAACATTTTAAAATTATTTTTTGGTTTGTTTCATAATAAAAAGTTCAATATGTTTGTTCCAGGTGTATTCTCTTGTTTCCCAACTTCACAACGATCATATTCCTATGGAGCTCCAACACAGCAATTCGGACCCGTAAGTTGTCTGTAGCATGAAAGTGTTTTGATTTTAATTTTTTGGGAATTTTTTTGGATTTTTAATTCGTTTTTGTGAGTGTTTCAAAGCTTTGGCCGGCGGGTTGTTTTTTATCGCATGTTTTATTCAAAAATTTTGAGAAGCTTGTTCACAGGTTTTTCAAAAATTCAAAAATTCGGAAATTTATCAAAAAAAAAATATAGTTGTTTGCTTGCATGTGCTTGTGTAATCGTTTTCATTTTTTGCGTCAATGTACAGTGCACTCCACAATGCTGCGGTTGTTCTCAGGCTCAATCAGGTGCTGCAGTTGCTCCAGGTCAACCAGTTGGTGCAGCTCGAGTTGCTGCCGCCGGAAAAACACCAACCGATGCTATTTCAGTGAAAGGAATTGAAAGTGAGTAAAAACCGGGCTAAAGTGTAGGGAAAGAACGAGAGACGGGGGAGAAAACAATTGATGTGTCCAATAAAAATTGCAGGATGTTCCCATAAAAATAGTTTTGTCTCATTTACAATCTGAGGAGGAGATGAGAAAGATGAAAACTAGCAATTATAATATTTTTATTTAATCTTTCGACACCGATCACATACATATTTTCACTTTTCTCGCATTTTCTTTTTGTCACTCTCGATGACAGCAAAAAAACATGGATTTAAATTTGAATATGGGGACTGAGAGATTGAATCCTAAAGAGAAGAGAAAATTTGAAAATTTTGAAGGATCCAGAAACTTTTGAGCTCCAAATTGTTTGACTATAACCAATTAAATTCAGTGGATGAATATTTTTGATCTACACGAAAAAGTTCTCAAAAGCACTATATATTTTCTTTTGACTTGTGATCCAAATGTTGACAAAAAACATAAAACTCAATAAATTTGAATCAAAAAGGGTCTATAATTTTTCTATTAATTTTCAAGAATCAAAAGTATTCCAGATGATTTCGAAAAACTTCAAATATTTTAATTCTCCTTTTTCATTTGTATAGAATGGATCTGAAAATGTTTCATGAACATCCAAATATCAAAAAAAAATAATATTTTTTCAGCAATGCTTGGCAAAAAGGTCGAATTAACCGAATTCACAGCCGATGGTTATAATGCTGAAGGCGGTGGCCCAGTTCAATCAGGTTTGTACATACATACATATTTATTCTTGATGATTCTCGCCGACAAGAAACACAAGAAAAAACGTTTTTTTTGTCTTCTTGTACCCCATTATCACAATATGTGGACACACATATGTCGTTTAGATACTTTCACTTTGTGTGTGTGTTTTTTTTTTGTTTTGTTAACTTGACAAATCTTGAGGAAAAAAGTGAGAATTTCCGGGGATGAGGGAAAAAGATGAAAACGAACTATTTTAATTAGAATAATTTATTATCGAACGTGAGAAAAAAGTTTGAATTCGAAAATGTGTTTTGAAAGAGAAAAAATGAACGGGAAATAAAAGCTTGAGAAAAAAGATCATGAAATCAACAGAAAAAACTTCAAGGAAATTTTTTTTAGGAAACGCTCTCACCTGCAACTTCGATGGCAAACCATGTTGCTGGGCTAATGTCCCACCACCAGATGATCAATTGGACTGGCAAATCGCAAATGGAGTTCCAATCCAACTTCAAAACCGCGGAGTTCCACAACCTGATGGATCTTACCTTATTGCTTATGCCAAATCTGCAGCTCCATCTGATGAAGCTCAATTTGCCTCATGCTCTATTGGATGTGCCTCAAGTGATATTGTTGTCAGAGCCAAGTAAGTTCAAAAAATTTGGTAAATTTTTCATGAGCAAATTTTAGGCATTGGCAATCAGAAAACGTTTTGCTTCAAGTCTGCCTCCGTGAATCATTCCCAAGTAACGCTGAAAGAAATCCACTCTTGAATTGTCAAGAATTCCCATATGTTGATGGAATGGGAACCACTGAAGTTATCTTGCCAAAGACTTCCCTTGTCGATGTTAGTTTTTCTTCTTTGCATCAAAAATCTATAGATATTTTATAGATTGTCTTCGTTGCTTCGAACTTCATCGGTGATCAAGGAGACATCGCAATCCTTGACGATATCGAAGTTTCATACGATAGAAATGGAGATGAATGTCAAAATGATTTCAACGAGGAAGGACTCGAAGAAACTCATGAAACTGAAGAAGGTGAAGAGACTGAAAATGCAGTCAAGCCATCATCTGGAGGAGCCGCAGCTGCTGCCAAACGTCGTGAACTTTTCGAGAAAACTCAACCAGAAGGTCATATTGTTCCAGCTTCAGAGCGTTTCGGATCACAAGGATTTAGAGTGAGTGAAACGTTTTGGAATGTAGTACTGAAATTGGGATTTTAAGGGAGGAGAGAAGGCCTTCGGTGGATCTTTTGGAACTGATAAGAATGGTAACGCTGCTGTTGGAACTGAACATACTGAAGAAACTGTTTTCGCATCGGTAAAAACGTAAGTTCATTAATTTTTCTAATTTTTTGAATTTTCGATGAAAATTTTGATAAATTTTAAAGTTCGAGATTTTCCCAAAGTTTTTTTTTTCAATTCAAAAGAAACCCTATTTTTTAATATTTTCAGCGCTAAACTTCCATCAGGACATGTTGCTCAAGGGGCCAAGACTGCGGAATTCAGCGAAGCTATCTGTAACGCCACCAAGTGTGACTTTGAAGATGGTAAGCTTCCAACCTTCAATTATCCCCATCCCCAGCAAATCTCATTTTTTTTTTCAGAAAGCACCTGTCTCTACAAAGATGCTCACACCACGCAATCAATCCGTGGACTCACCACCAAATTCAACGTCGTCACTGGACAATTCATGAACAGAGTAACTGGAGTTAAAGAAAGTACCGAAGGAGATTATTATGCTGCAACATTCTTGTTCCCAAGAGAAATGGCTGGACTTGAAGCCAGCGTTGCTCCGTTCACTGAACAATCGAGAGTCAGATTCCATTATTATGAAGGAACTCATGGAGTTCAATTGAAGGGTTTGTTGATGGGGGCAGGCTGGGGGGTTTCTGTAGGGTTCCCGGAACTTAAAATTTGTAATTTTAATATCACTGTTGAAATTCAAAAACATCTTTATATCTTTCTTTTTTCAGGATGTTGTTCAACTGTTGAAAACTGTCCATTCAGTTCTGATAAATTTGTTAGTGTAGCTGACCGTGCTTGGAAAACTGCCTCATTCAAATGTCCAAAGGGAACAGAAAAGGTAACTTTCCCCTCATCCTCCTTGATTTTTTTCCAAATCTTCAAATTTGCAGGTCATTTTCATTTGTGAAAACACTCGTACAAATCAAGGAGCATGTGCTGTCGATGGTATTGGTCTTGTTGAAAACGACGGACCACTCAAAACCGCCAAGCCACTTTGTTAGACAAGGAAAATTTTTGTTGTATAGAAAATTTGAATAACCCGGGAGATTTTCCATGCCATATAATATATCATACATGCTCCTTTTTTACTTTTTTTCTGGGTTTGTTCCCGAAAAAAAATTAAATTACTAATATTTTACTTTCATAGTTGAGTGTAATATTTTGTGTGCAATTTTCACTTTTTTTTCATTTTCATTTTCAGCTGAAAATACCAGTTATATTTGTTTTTATGTTCGGAATTTTTTAATAGCATCAATTTTAATCGATTCTTTGTTTTTATTTATTTATTTCTGTAATAAATATTATGAAATTTGGAATTTTTACTACAAAACGCAAAAGTTTTTCAAGTGACCACCATGTTTTTACATTTTTCTAGAAGTGTCCGTTCTTTTTTTTCTTCAAAAAAAAATAGGAAGAAGAGAACGAGTGTAACCGGCAGATGGCAAGCAGTTACACTAAAAAATAGTGTGTAATTATGAGAGACTGGGAAAAAAGAGAGCTATGTTGTGTTTGGCAATACTCTTCACTACTTTTCTCTATTTCTATTTCTATACTCCCAATTTACTTTTTCATTTTTTTTGTGAAAAAACTTTCTCTTCAAATTGTTGTGAAACAATTTTGTTGATAAGACTGACTCATTTTTGAAATGTTGATTCATTTTTTTTTTTGTTAAACCGTTTTAGTTTTAAAAATTGTAATTTTAATGTTACTATTATAGAGATCAATATGCAAATGACATATGGAGCGGATGTGAATAACGATGATGATTTGAATAAAAAGTTTCAACGATTGCTACCTAAACAAACACAAGATGTGGTGAGTCATTTACCTTTTTATGCTGGAAATTTAAAATTCAATTAATTTGTGAAAATTGAGAAATTATTTCCAAAAGAAAGAATGAAGGCCAAATTGTTTATTTTAAAAGTAGCTAAAAATGTCTTGGAATATTGTTTTTCACTGATGCGAAATAACTGAAATATGAGAAATTTTTGAATATTTCAGAATAATAGAAGTTTTGAATTGATTAAAAAAGTTTTATGAACTAGAAATTTCGCAAAATATAGTTTGAACTTTGAAAAAATTAATTTATTCAACAATATTAGTCTATAAATTAGGATGAAGAAGAAATTCTGAAAAAAATTTGAAACATTTTGAAAACTTCTGGAAACAAAAAAACTAGAACAAGTCTTCGAATCTTTCTGGAAAATATATCTTCCGAATCCATCAAAAGTTCTCAAATAGAATGTTTTTTTCCAGATCGCCACAGGGATTCTCATCCTAATTATTCCATTCGGATTATTCCTTCATTTCTTCTATGTTCTCCCAACATGGTATACCGTGATGTCTGAAAATTGGCTCTACCGAGTGATTCCAATCCTATTTTTTGCTTTCAATTTATATTCAAATTGGATTTTTATGATCAGAGTTGGACCAAATGGAAGAAACGCGATTCTTCCAAATGTTGTAAAATCTGGTTTCAGATATTGTCATTCCTGTCATACAAACTCACCACCTCGAGCTTATCATTGTCCAGGTATGTTTTTTTGTTCATGAAAATGATGTTATCTCATAATAAATTTTATAGTTTGCGATATTTGTGTGTTCCGACGTGATCATCATTGCTCATTTGGTGCCGTTTGTGTTGGACATTTCAATCAACGATATTTTGTTGCGGCAGCTCTCAATTTACTTTTTATGACTGCACCATTAGTCAGGTTAGTGATAATAATGCGGAGTATTCTGTAGATTTTGAGAAAAAACAATGATGTTTAGATATGGTTGGGATTTATTGGCGCTGAAATTGGAAGGGGGAATTACTATGGGAAGAATCTGGCAAGTTATGCTTCCACATGTTGCGTTTATTTTAAGGTGAGTTATTTTGAGATCGTGAAAATCTAAATATGCATTCTGAAGTTCTGGAACAAAATTATTCCTTAAACCTTATAAGAAAACATAGGTTATAAATTTTCATTTTTTAAATTGACATCAGTTAACCCCCAATTTTACATTAAAAAAATTCCAATTCGAAACCGTTTTGCAACTTTTGTTTGTTGACTTACGTTTCTCCAAACTAAAAAAAAATCCAATTACCACACCAAGATTTTTTATCATTCAAAATTTTTTTCAAATTGTTTCTTTGTATTCCTCAAAAAATATTGATAAAAGTGCACTGTGATTTATCGTTTATCAAACATCAAAAAATTACAAAATATTATTTTTTTTTAAACCGTTCGAGTTGTCTGATCTTCTAATGATCTTCAAAGCACACATTGGTTTTTGAAAAAACTCAAAAAATCAAATGTTCAACAACCAAACAATGTTTTTTGCAGATTCATCAGCCTTAATCAATTTCTTCATGTTCTGATTTTTGTATTCACAATGACTGTTTTCTTATTTTCAATTTATCTCGTTGCTGCTCAATGGTTTTGTATTTACAACGGACAAACACGTATCGAATATCTTATGGAAGTTCATGCTTATCAACTGGGATTCTTTGAAAACATCCGTCAATCTTTGGGAACTCGTTGGCCACTTATTGCAATCTCATGTTTTATTCCATCTCCACTTCCATCAAATGGAATCAATTATGTGACAAGAGAAATTCATAATGCACATACAAAAGATCTCTAAATTCTCTATTTTTCCCCTTTCATATTACATTTATTACTGGTCCCGTTTCTACTTTTTTCCTCGAAATGAATCGATCGCCATTTTCATTTTTCTCCGAAATAACAATGAATAAAAAATTGTTTGAAACAAGCGATAATCAAAAAAAAATGGGCAAAGAGTAGCGCTGATAAGAATGGTACAGCTAATAGAACAAGAAAGAAAAAAGAAAATGTCGAAAGATAGATTAGATGATGATTTGAGGAGGCACAAAAAAACTAGATAACAGTCATTAGTGCAACCGACTTTTGGTGCTTCTAGTCGACAACGCCAATATGAAGTTTTTATGTGAGTTTGAGGGGGAATGGGGTTAGATCTCTCTGGGATGCGGCGCGAAATTCATAAGATTTCGCTTCTTAAGTTCATGTAAGTTCAAAAGATCAAACTAATTTCATAATTTTTCTAGTGGTGAGCATTTTGCTTGCTGGAGTTGTGGCAGCTCAAAATCCCGATCCAGAAGGCCGTGATGAAAAATATACCTACAAACAATTATGTTTGGTTGACAACAAACCACAAGTTCTTGATGGTAAGACTTACTTTTTGTTAAAAAATCTTAACGTTAATAAAATTTTCATAATTCAGGATTCGATTGTCGTTATCAAGTAGCAGTTGCTCGTTGGCAAAACTCTGTTAACACAACTGGTTGGACATTTTTGGAAGTTGAAACCAAAGAAGGATATTGTCCACAATTGCAAGCATATTCTGCTGGATATCTTGAAGGACTTTTATCCAAAACTGTTTTGAATTATCATTTGCAAAATGCCAATGAAGATTATTGCACAAACTTCTCTGGATATTGCGGAAGATTGGCTGATTTCTTGACTGAAAATCAAAAATACATTGAAACAAGTTTGGCAAACAGTGCTCCAGATGATCTTTATTGGGGAGCTGTGAGTTGTTTTAAATAATTTTTTTTTAGAAAATAAGATCTTTCTTTAGGTCAACAGAACATACCATCAACTTACTGGATTGATTGATGCTTATGAAGGACGTGAATTCAAACCAAGAGTTACCTATGAACTTCATCCAATTTTATATCTTAACTTGAATGGAGATTTCTATGATTTGGAAAAGAAATTGAACAAAACAAGAGATCCAGCAATCGACCAAACTGGTGGAAAATGCTCTGGTTTGATCAAGGTTGCTCCAGGAAACGCTGATCTCTTCATTTCTCAAGTAACAATGAGTGGATTCCAAAATATGTTGAGAGTTTTGAAATTGTACAAATTCGGATATGGTGAGTCATAAATTCTTGATTTATTTACGAAAAAATACAGAATTGTTTTTTCTCAGATCGTCAACTTTACTCAGGATACGCTTCAGCTTTCTCCTCATATCCAGGACTTTTGTACTCATCTGATGACTTTGCTCTCCAAACCTCTGGTCTCGCTGTCATTGAAACCACTATCAGTGTTTTCAACACCTCACTTTTCGAAAAGACCAAACCAGTCGGTCAACTCCCAACTTGGGTCAGAGCAATTGTTTCCAATCAATTGGCTCGAAATGCTAGAGAATGGTGCAAGATTTATTCACAATACAATTCCGGAACATACAACAATCAATGGGCTGTTTTAGATTACAATAAATTCCAACCAGGAAAACCACTTCCAAAATACGGACTCTTCTACGTTTTGGAACAAATGCCAGGCAAAATTGTTTTCTCTGATTTGACATGGTTTATTGAAAAATATTCATACTTCCCATCTTATAATATTCCATTCTTCCAAGAGATCACTGATATTTCTGGATTCAATGGCCAAGTTGCTAAAATGGGAGATTGGTTCAAATGGGGATCCTCACCAAGAGCCAAGATTTTTGAAAGAGATCATCATAATGTTCACGATATTGATACACTCACAGCTTTAATGAGGTGAGGATTTTTGGGAATTTTTTTGGAAATTGAATCGAAAATATATTTCTGATCTTCTTTTTGAAAAATGTGAACCAAGGGTGTACTTTCTCCAACATTTCTGAATAATTTTCCCAATATTTTCTAGATACAACGACTACACCAATGACGAATTCTCCAAATGCAAATGCAACCCACCATATTCCGCTGAAGCCGCAATTTCAGCTCGTGGTGATTTGAATCTTGCCAACGGAACTTATGAATTCCCAGGACAAGGACACGTCAATCACGGAGCTTTAGATTATAAGGGAACAAATGTTGAGATGATGAAATCATTGAGATTTATCGCACAAGGTGGTCCAACTTGGGGAAAAGTTCCATCCTTCAAATGGAGTCAATTTGATTTTGTGAGTTATTTTTTTTTCAAAACCGTCTAATTTATCATTGTTTATTTTTTCAGAAAGATAAGGTAAAACATGTTGGACACCCAGATGAATGGAAATTCAATACACTTGTACACAAGTGGGAAACTGATATCAAGAATTGATGATTTTTATTATTTTAGTTGAAAATGAACAGTTGTTTTGTTTTAGCCATATTTTGATGAATGAAGTTTTTTGTTTTTTACCAGTTTTTTTTTCCAAAAAAAAATAACAAAACAAATCATGGAAATTTTTTATTCTTCAATTCAATTCAATTCAATTTTCACGGAACACCAAGTATGAATTTTTAGTGACATTTTTTAAGGCCCACCCAGTTTTCCGCAAAAAATTCCGTTTCATATTTCCATAGAAACATATTTTTAATAAAAATTATTCATTCTTCCTGTTTTTTTCCCCCAGAAAACAGTTTTGATAACATTTTTTGTGAATATAACTTTTTTATAGTTATTAATTTTAGATTATATGCAAAACAAAACATATTACTCATAGCATTTTGAAATACCATGGGAAGTTTGATAATTTTTTCAAAGTTGTTTAACCAAGTGAACTTTCTGTGTCTATTTTGTTCGAAAAAATTGCGGAAGCAAAATAACATTCTTGTGTTGTCTTTTGAGCATTCCCACCTTAAAAATTTGCGCTACAAAGTAAGAGCAAATAACACGCCCATGCACTGTATATAAACACATTTTCTTGTGTTTAGTTTTTAAAAAATTTTCGAATCTAAAGAACTCCAATCATGAATTATAGAGGTAATTTTTCACTTTATTTTTTCTAATGAATTTTTTTTTCAATTCTAACTTACTCAAATTAATTTTTTTGCAGCATATAACATTGAAATGGCCAACGAACCTGTTAAATTCGACACCGATAAATGTCAAAGATATTGGTTCATTGCTGTAGTTCTTGTAAGTTGAAAAAAATTTGAATGCAAATTAATTTGAAAATTTTTTTTAGGTGTCAGCTTTGAGCATTGGAGGTTTCATAATATATCTGGCATATGACAGTGTGGTTATCAGTGAAAAATGATAATTTTTTGGATTTAGTTCACCACGGGTTATATAATAAAACTTTTTGTTTTTGTACATTCTTGATTTTGAAAGAGAAAAAAAGGAAAAAAATTAAATATGTGATTTAAGGAGTATCGTAGTAATAATCATCATGATTTCTTGATTGTTCGTGTCCGCTGTGTTCTTCTTCAGGAATAGCTTCAACTTTTTTCGAGTTTGCATCTTTTCCAGGAAACAGTGTGACTCCAAGAAGTTTTGCTGATTTCTCAGGGCGAGATATGAAAAACCTGGAAAACGTTTTCGTTGTATTTTTCGAAAAAATGTTCTTCATAATCTATTCTGTTACCTGGATTCCCTTAATGTTCGATTCGCCATTCGAAATTTGTATTCACCAAGGGCAACCATACAGCAACTGGAATTTATGACTTTTTTGAGGGGAGAGAATATAACAATATGTTGAATAAACAATAAGAATATCTAGTTTCATTCTTGAAATTTTGTTAGGGATTGAAGCTTTTGTAGATTTTTTGTTGTAGAAAAATTTGGTTTTTTTTATAACGGAATATTGTTATTGTTGAGATAGATCAATGATCGTCAATGTGATTAATGGTATCCAGAGTTGGACGTTATTCTTTCCTTGAATAAGAAACATAGTTGTACTTGATAGAACTTTGTAAAAACCATTTTGAAAAGTACATTCTTTGGGAGATTTTCAATAGAAGCTTCTCAAACATTAGTAAAACAATTTCATTATTTGCTAAAACAGTAAAAGATCATGTCCAATGGCTAATAGTAAATAGTTTGGCGCTGTTTCTCTCTTTCAAAACCAATATTATTTGCACCTCTAACTATTCAAATACTTTCAAATTTCTGACCCCTTTTCTACCCACATGTTTTATTTCATTAATGACATTCACAACATAATTCAGCATCGACCAAAAAACGAAAACGTAAGAACATACGTTTTGTGACGTTTCACATGAACTCTCTCTCTCTCTCGCTCTCTGTTTACAAACATTATCATAATTGAAGCTGAATTGATGAGTGGGTGTCAAATTATCAAACACCAAACAACAATAAAAAATGTATTGTTGCTGAATTCCGGAAATTATCAATATTTAATGTCATATGAAATGGTTTTTTTTCTCATAAACATGACCAAAATTAATTTCCAAGTTTTTGAAAAATGTATCACGTAGTCATATTTATCTTTCCAAATATTTGTTTAAAATTATGACGCAGGTTTCAGTTTTTTATGATTATAAACCTAGACTCACCTGAAAAACAGAGCAAACAATAATATCATTAAAATACCACCAATAATCCAATATCTATCAGCAGTCAATTCACAATCACAATACATTTCTATTAATAATTTGAACGAATGAACCAAACCAAATGATAAAGCTAAAAACATTCCCAGGCAGGCTATACCAAACGTTAAAAATAATAATAAATATGAAACTGATTTGCACAATATACCTGAAAAATTCATTTTGATTTCATTTTATTTGTCAAGTTTTCTTTTTTGTTTCACACAACTCACTCAAAAAATATGCAATTCTTGGATCCAAAATAACCAATAAACAGTAGAATATGTGAAGATTCTGTACCTTTTCGTTTCTTTTTTGGTTTTTCTCTTTTTGTCACACCATTTTCTAATGTTTCAATTGGTTGACTTGTACAAGCATTTCCTATTTTTCTTGGTGAATGTTTGAAAAAACATACTGATAGATCATCTGTTGAGCTATTCTGAAAATTTTCATTTTTTTTAATTCACAGTTAGATCTTCATGATAAATTATTGACTAATTTGATTGCTTCTAGAAGTTTTTGAGTATTTTCAAAACAGTTTCAAATATCTCTCTCATTATTCAAAGACAATATTTTTCTGCAATTTTTATGAAAATTACATCTGAATAAATATAAACAAATAAGATTACGGTAACACAGTAATCTCTTTTGCTTTCACTTTTTATTTTTTTTTAAACCAACAAAAACTACATGGAATGAATTTCAAACACCTTTCTCCGCTCTTATATTTTTCATATGATTACCGCTTTACAACAATGCATGTCGCTATGTTTTGCATGCAAAAGGGGCGGGGCTTATTTTATGCATGCAGAGAGGCCGGTTCAATTACCCAAGTTTGAGGTAAACGCGCGCGGTTTTGAATATTTACTGTTTATTTCTTGATTAAATGATTAGTTAATAGTGTATAAAGGTAAAACTGCAGAATTTTTTCACGTGATAATTTTTGCGTGATGAAATATATTATATTTTTCATGCAGAAAAACAAAAACAATAAAAATATAGAGAACACAAAACAAAAAAGGTTGGAAAAAATTGTTTTTTTGTATTTTTTTATTAATTTTTTTGTAAATGAAAAATAGTTTTCTGCATTCCCTCAAAGTGATGTAAGCCCAAATTTCAAAAAAAAAAAGACTCACACTATCCGAAACAAGTCCATCTTCATAATATTCATTTTCACTATCAATATCTAAATTTGTTATGACACGATTAACCAGCTTCTTCAGATTTTTTGCAGTTAAACGATTTGCTGGATCTTTCACAAAAATTGCATCAACTATTCTTTGAACTGATTTTGATGAACTTGGAACTAGAACTTCTGCGGTGTATGGCAAATCCTTTAAAAAAATCCTAGATGTTTGAATTCGTGAATTCTAAAAAGTTACCTCTCCGTTATCTTTTTTAGCATATCCAAATAAAACTTTAGGTATCTCACTAACATGCCCGAAATACTCAAAATGTGGTGGATTTTTCAGCAAAATCTCTACAAATGTGCAACCCAATGCCCATATATCAGCTGGTGTTTTGTAAGCATTCCGATTTCCTGGACCAAGTTCACTATTCAACACTTCAGGAGCTACATAAAGCAAAGTTCCACGGAAATCAAATGTGATTTCTGAAGATATCACAGCTCCAAAACCATCCACCGCAAGATCTCTAACCAGTCCGAAATTTCCAAGTTTCACATGATCATGACTTGACAACAATAAATTCGCTGCTTTTATATCTCGATGAATCACAGGAGGAGAAAGTGAATGAAGATATTGTAAAGCATCCGTAGCCTGAAATCTTGCTGGTGTTTTTCTTTGATAGTTTTTGAAGTATGAAACTCACCTCCAACAAATATCGCATTGCAACACTTTCCTCGACATTTTCTCTCATCACTAAATCTTTCAAAGATCCTTTTGGTAAATATTCAGACATTATGAAAATATTTGTACTGAAAAACACTAATCTTATTTTTTAAAATGAAGTTCAAAAACTTACGAATCAGAATAAAATCCAATAAAATTCACAATTCTTTCATTATCGTTGCTGATTTTATGAAGATGCCGAAATTCTTGTATAAAATTATCAAGCCTCTGAAAAGCGAACAAGGTTGTAAACGGTTGTAAATAAAAAAAAACTCACATTCGATAATTTTGCAGCGTCCTGCGACCAATGGTCAAACATGCTCATTTTCACTTTTTTCACAGTCTCATAGAGTTTTGTATTGTTATTCACATATTTACAAACCTGGAATAAATATGTTGTTTATTTTGAATTTTGATTTGGGAAAACTGAAAACTGTTTTCGAAAAATCATTTGAAAATTTCATTTCTCTTGTTATGAATCTGTTGTTTATGAAATAAATATAGCATAATTTTTTTCTGCTGCAGAGAGAAGATTTCTATAAGCAAAATAATTTTAAAAATAATTTCATAAGTTCAAAAGAAGAAGAATTTCGGCTCAAGTTTAGTTTTTTTTACCAATAAACGTAGCTCACCTGCCCAAATCGTCCTTTTCCGAGATCATCAACATGATCATAACATTCAAAATTGGAGATTCGAATCGGATCTCCGGCAGGTACCCGTTCATTTATCCATTTCAACAAGTGTTCGCTCAACTTACCCTAAACCAAATTTTTTTTTCAAAATAAAAATTCAATTTTTCTGCATTCAACTCACCTCGAGTGCATGACTTCTCCCAAAATTTATTGGCATTCCCGACTAACAAAAACGAATTTCTTTGTGAATCGATCCACGGATCGCCGAAAACAAGACTGAAACTTCTAATTAAAATCAATTGAATCCAAGAAAAAGTGTAGAAAAATAAAAACGCAATGAAAGAAATGAAATGATATTGTGTGGAATTATTGATAAAAATCAAAATTTGATTACGATTCTTTTCGTGCAGGTCGGTTTATAATCAGTAAGTTAGTCGGGTAACCCCACCCAGGCTTATTGAGAAGCAATTTAAAGCGGAGACCGGCTACAAATTACGGAAGTCACAATAGTTTGAGTGTATTTTGATGAGGGTCAGAGTTCATAGAACAAACAGCACAAAAAAGAGGTGAACTGATAATTTATCTTTTTCCCTTTTTTTTCTGACGCTGTTCCATGAGTTGGATTTTTTTGTTGGATTAATTCCATTGTTTCACGTGTCACAATTTTCCCCGAACAAATTATTTTGAGTAAAAATTTACCCGAGGACGAAAATTTGACTGTTTACGAAATAAAACTTATGAGAGTTTGAAAAAATATCAACAATTTTGGGAAAAAGAACAACAATGAAGATCAGGTCACACGTTTGGGAAACGAAAAACCATTAAAAAACCCTGATCAGTAAATTTTCAAACTAGACATAATTGCCGTCAAAAACCTTTCTACCAAAAAAAGTTGAGAAATCAAATGACTGATAAGAGTTCTCTAATTTTTTGCTTTTCTGCATACTTGACGCCAAAAATTCACATCATCACTTTCTAATGTGTTTTTCCTCGATATTTATCAGACTCAATTAAATGTTGCAAATGGACACGACAATAAAAATTTTATACATTTCTTCTCTATCTTACAATTTACACATCAATAATAAGTTGGGTTCGCTTTTTTGACAGAATCAGTCATCTTTCGAACTTTTGGTGACATTTACTGGTACAATTGGGATACCTTTATAAAATCGAACTGGTTTTTTTGGAATCGTTGTTGACGTATTTTCAGCAGGTTTCAGAAAATTTGAAGGATCTTGTGATTTAAAAATTTGAACTGTGGTTGTTTCTATTTTTGGGAACACTTTAATGACCGGTGGAATTGTTGTCGTTATCATTTCTGAAGTTGTTTTTACGATGCTTTTCGTGGATGTCGATTTTTCCGCTGGTTGAATTGCTTTGATCAGATATGGGGGAGGTTTCATTAGTGCAGTTGTGGCTGATGTTGAAGATGGCTTTGGAGTTGTTGAAGTTGTAACAAGATTTGTAACATAACTTGGAGAGAATGTTGAAGTAGGGGTAGATGCAGATGAATTTGATAGTATTTTAGATGTTGTTGTGGTTGTGAGTGGCTTCGTTGATGTGGATGTTGGTAGGCTTGTTGAAGATGTGGAAGAAGTGGTTGATGTTGTATTCATAGGTGAAGCAATAATCTTGATAGCTGGAGTTGGCATTTTTGTTGTTGTGGTTGTGGTTGTTGAATTTGTAGATGTGGTTGGGGCTGTTGATGAAACTGTAGATGTTGTTGGAGGAGGGGATGATGTTGATATATTTTTAGCCACTTCTGAAAAAAAGAATTGAAACTACATCGGAAATTACTTATGTTTCTGATGTTTTTAAACTACACTAGTTAACTAGAGAAGATTTTTTAGTTTGAACCAGGTTGTGTTCATTTCTTTGAAAAAAAAGAAGGAATTCATGGAAACATATTTTTTTGTAAAGTTATTACGTTTCCAATTTCTAGAAAGAAAGAACTTTTCAAAAAATTCTTGTTCTATGAAAAAATTCCCTAACAATCAAAAAAAAACTTCCAGACTTTCATTTTCCAACAAAAATTACCTGAACTTGTAACTTCCATCTCACACATATTTTTATCTTCATCACTCCCATCCTCACAGTCTTTTACTTTATCACACAATTTGTCTCGTTGAATACACTTTGTAGTTGATTTGCATTTGAAATGTCCATAGCTACATTTCTTCGGGATTTTCGAAAATGCTTTTTGATAGTTTTCCAACAAATTTTCCGGTTTTCTGAACCAATGTACAGATGAGCAATTCAATTCATCTTCTCCAGAATCACAGTCCTAACAAAAAAATTAATAATTTTTTATCTGAATTTTGAAGTTATAAATAATAAAACGAACCGGATGACCATCGCATAACCATTCATGAGGAATACATCGAAATGATCCTTGTTTTTTGCATTCTGGTTGATTTCCGAAGCACGGAGAGTTGGCTGAAAATATAATGTTTTTTAAATTTCTCATACATATTAATATCACTTACAAGATTTATGTTTGTCACAAGCTTCATGTGCTTCATCTGAACCATCAGAACAATCTCGAGCACCATCACAAATCCAGTTTTGCATAATACACTGAGAATTATTGTATTTCATTGATATTCAAAAAAAAATGAAACTAACCTTTCCATCAGAACATGTAAATTGATCATCGTGACAATCGGAATTCACACGAAATATAAAAACAATATAGAAAAATACGAAACTATACATTTTTCAAGAAAAAATAGAATAGTACGAGTGTTCAACAAAGACTTTTCATTGCTTCCGGTCGCCCTTGGAGATTTTTAAAAAAGTAAATAATTCTTCATGTTTTTTTCGCTAGCCTGGTGGTCAACTAATATGCATATTTTAGCTTGAGATACGTTCACTCATCAATTATTGATTTTGTGAAGTGATAAATGAAACGATGATTTGAAAAATATTTTGGAGAGAACTTTTTTCATTAAAGAAAAACAGAATTCACATTATATTGAACAGAAATGAATCACTTCAAAAAACAAATGAAATAAATTTAATGTGAAAACTCGTGGAAAAACGATGGGATAACAATAATTTCAAATAATTTTTACTGGGAAAAACATCTCAAGAAGAACAAATTTAACAAACAGGGGGGGGGGGGATTCGTAACAATTTTTTTTAACGTTGATTGGTTAACAGTTGAAAGTAAGAGATTAGATGAATGTGACTTGTTGAAGTTTTGATTGAGATATTGTTCCAGTATTCACTTATTGAACCTTTAAAAAATAATTTGTGTCTTATAAATTCTTCTTTTTGTCTTACCAAGCTTTAAATTTGTTCCACAAAGATCCTGCTACACTTTGAGATTCCGATGCATTTGCATCGACTGGACGATTATTTTCCATTGAGTTGACAGCAGGTTTCTCGACAGTTCCGTCGTCATAATCAAACTCTAGTTTTGGATTCAAAGAGAGTCCCGTTCTAACCTCTTGATCTGAAATATAATAACAAATCTAAATTTGGCAATCTGCAATGTGTGTAACTCACCGTATTTAAAAGATTCTGGCGTTCTGAAGAGTCTCTCCGACGATGATGGTTGTTGTGGAACATCATCTTTGGGTGAAGATGTGCTCATTTTCATCCGCTTCGGATTTTTTGTGAAGCTTGAAGGAAGCTTGTCGGTAGTACTCGAAGAAACGTCCGAATCTGAAAATGAAGAATAATCTGTTCAATCAGATTTTTCTTGAACACATATTTATATTCCACTCACCATATTTAATTGGCACACGTTTTGCATTTTTGCCAATTCTGATTGTTCCTTCAACATCATCATCCGAATCAACATACACTGACGGAAGCAACGAAAATTCTTTTTTTGGAACTGGAAAATCATGAATGAGAGCTTCAGCTTGTTTGATAGCAAATATTTTTTCTGACTTTACTAGCTTATATACTCACGAGTTTTTAAATTTTTCGATGATTCGCTCCAAAAATTTTTGATTTCTTCCAATGTGATTCGTTTGACAGGTGTTGGTTGCTTCGAATATTTGCCCACTTTTTTTGATTTTTTATATTTTCTCTTGATTTTCTTTTTTTTGAGCAGGTTGGCTGGCAATTCTGGAAACATCGTTTTCGGCTAAAATTGCGCTAGCTCTCCTTCGCTTCTGATTATTTTCCGCCACACGTTGAGCAATGTTTGTTTGTTCAAACATTTCTGAAAAAATATGATTGGCCTAAAAAATAAGAAAACACAAAAGAAACAAGAAAAATGGGAGCGCGAAAAGCAAGCGCACAAATGAATCATGAGGGAGAGTTGAGTGAACAGATGTATCTATTTTTGATGGCGCAACACTGACGCTTTTTGTGTTGGGTCATGCGCGTTTTTGTGGCAATTCAAATTATGTTTTTGTGTCATTTTGGCTCACAATTTTTTTTGGAGAAGGTGCTTCGAAAAAAGTATGAATTTTTTAAAATGGTTTTGGAAAAGACATAACAAATTTAATAAGGAATACCCATATTTATAATATTTGATTCATAATTATGTTCCTAATGCAAACAGGTGAAAATACTTATCAAAGTTTGAAAAATTTGTTTCATTACTTTCCCATTTTTTCCCAAAAATATTTCTTCGCAATATTTCGTATAGTTTTGATGTTAAACACATTTTTTCTCCGCAAAAATTTCCCCACACCTTATTAGCTTTTTTTTTCATCATTACGAATCTACAAATCCTCGTCGACTATAAAACAAACTTGCACTTTTAAGAAAAGTTTATTCTAATTCGGGCTTCGCTAATTAATTGCTCAACCATAAAATAAAATTCATCCTAATTAAAAATTTTATATGTACATATTACGAAAGAAAAACTCACATTATGTAGCTTTACTTTCACACCAAAAACTTTTTTTCTTAATCAAGTTTTTCTCTCATTCAATTTTCTCGCCCCTTTTCTCGTCTACCAATATTAATTCAAACAATACTCCGCATTCTGCCACCGCTCTATCTCGCTTGTTTGTCCCTTTCATTTTGGTTGTCGTGTTCTTATAGCGCTTTTTTCTGTTTCAATTATTCGATTGCTTTATATTTTTTAGTGTTTCACAATAGAAAAACTTAATAATTTTAAAGTTTGTGATCTTTCAGGTTACATTATCTGTATATATTTATTTATATCAACAACGAAAAATGGCTGAGGAAGAAGGCGATGATGCACTCACTCAAATGATGGAAATTACAACTTGCGACGCCGATACAGCTCGCGAATATTTAGAAAGATGTAACTGGAATGTCGAGACTGCTGTTAGACACTTCTTTGATGGCAATGATTTTGTGAGAGACGAAGTTGTTGGAGATGATGATTATGAGGATGAAAGTGACGACGATGATGCGAATGATATGGTTGGTAGGATAAATGAAGAGCGGCCCAGGGAAATACCTCAACCCGCAAGACCGAATAATCGAGCTGTTGTTCCAGCGTGAGTTTTTTTTTGTAGCATTCAAAAATCAATATTTTTCGATGACACCAAATTAGGCATGTTTTAGTGTGTGAAACAACACGAAAAATTGTTTTTCTTGAATTTTTTAGTTATAAAAAGTTCATTTTCAGATACCACAATGTTTTCCAACTCTTCGCTCAACTTTTCACATTACCAGTTCGAATTCCAATATACATTCTTTCATTCGTCTATAATTGGTTATTTGGTCGACCTGTTCCGCAATATAAAACAATGCATGAATTCATCGAGTTAAAGCATCCAGAATTTATAGCAAAGAAGTCATGTTTTTATCAGCGGAACTTGTCACAACTTCGAACTGATTATCAAATTCACAGTTGGAAATATGTTGTTGTTTATATTCATGATGAAAACGATGATAAATCGTTCTTTATCAATTGTTTTGAGTCAAATATTTCGAGAACAATCTCTGAAAATAGTGGAGTTTTATTTGGAACTATTGTTGGATCAGATGAGGCTAATCGATGTGAGTTTTTTTTCAGATCTTGCGATTTACAATCAGAGAATTTTTCAGTGAGACCAGATAACTTTGGATTGCGGAAATCGTGTGTTTTGATCTACACAATTCAACGGAACACTTTGAATAGAAAATTGATGATCACAAATCTTGATGATCCGGAAGCAGTGAATCGTAATATTATAATGACACTTCTTGATATGATTTCAGATGAAGCAGAAAGAGAAGCTAGAAGGTTTGTTGGTTTTATTCTAAATCTTTTCTATTAACTTTTTTCAGAAATGTTCAAAACGAGAATCGTCGTTTGATGGATATGCAAAATCGTGAATATCAAGAAAGTTTACAACGCGATCTTGAACGAATTGAAAGAGAAAAGGCGGCAAAAGCTGAAGCTGAACGGCTGAAACTTGAAGAAGAGGAAAATCTGCGGAAACAAGAAGCGAGAATAAAGCAGATTCAAGATTATAAAAATGAAATGGCTAGTTCAAGTAAACCAACAGAAGGAACTTGTGATTTAATGATCAGATTTACAAATGACAAGAAAATTATTAAATTTAGTCCTGACGAGAAATTAGAGGTATGTTCATTTTATGAATTTAGACCACGTGTGAAAAATTCATATATTTTTTTTAGAAAATCTTCAACGAAGCAATGGCTTCTGATAAATGTCCACTATTCATTCAAATGCATCTCAGTTTTCCAAAAAAGCCGGTATCATGTCTGCCAAAATGGTATTTCGATATATTAGAAATAGAAGAGCTCGAGCCAAAACAAGAATGTCTTGATCAAGGATTAACATTCGAACAGGCTGGTATCACACATGGGTCATTGGTTTATGTCGATAATCTCTAATTCAATTTCCAGTCTTCAGAATTTATTATATTCCCATAATTTATTGATTGTTTTTTTCGTTTTAATGTGTCTAAAACTTTACTTGCTTCCTTTCATTCTTTTTTTGGTTTTTGAAATTCAAATTTTGTAATGAATATTTATTCTTAAAAAGAGAAAAAGCGTTTTCAAGCTTCATTTACAAATTTCTCGATATTTTCTTGATTCATACGGAAAGTGTACCATCCCTCGGTTTTTGTCAAATTTGCATAATCAACAGTGTTATACAAGGCGATCGCATTGGTATTCCAATCAAGAACAGTCCACTCCAATCTTTCGATATTCTTCGCTTTTGCCACGCTTGCAAGACGTTTCCAGAGAGTTCGGGCAAGTCCACAACGACGGAATTGTGGACGAATGTACAAATCTTCCATGTGAAGATACTGCAAGATTTCAAACTTTATATAAAATTCAATTTTACTAGAAACTCACTGGTCCAACCCAAGTTGAATAGGCATAATAATACAAATTCATTCCAGCAGGTTCATCTCCATCAAAAGCAATGAAACCGTGAACCGATTTATTCTCGATATCGCGTCGGAGTTTTTCTTCAGTGTTGGTTACACTACTTCTCATTTTCTCGAACTCCGCAAGTTCCTGAAGTATGTTCTTATGTTTTTAGCAACAGAAAAATTACTTACATGAATCATTGAAATCAGATGAACGGCATGATCCGGAGTAACTTCAAGGATTGTGAATGTCATAGCTACCTGGAAAATTAATGAATTAATACAGAAATCAATGTAAAACTTTTCAAAGAATACTATCACATAGATCTTATCACATAGATATTATTCTCTTATCATCGATTTTTGATGAAATAAAAAATTATAACAAGAAAAAACGTTTTATTTCGTATGAATGGAAAAAAACACATTAATCGTTGAGCAAAAAACACGCCAAGTTATCCTTGACGCGCATTTTTAGGAAAATTGCCGTTTTTTGTGAGCGTGGGGAACAGAAGAGTGTGCAATAAAAAATAGTTTTGGGAAAATGTGTTGAAGTAATTTGATATGCGTTCAAAGAAGGGAATACGTGTGAAAAGCAATTTAAGAATGGAAAGCATCAACCTTGTGGTTTGAAATTCAAAAAAAAACACTGTTTATGATGCAAACAGAAATTTGAAAAAATTTTCTATCTACATGAACCTTCAAAACTTTTTTTGATACATTCCAGTGAATTTTTTTAACTTGAACCTGAAAATTAATGAAGTTTATCAAAAAAAAAAATAATTTATCAAAAATTTACATGAAAATAAAAACATAAATTGTAAAAAAAACGATTATCAAAAATAAGATAATAAATATTTTTGAAGAAATCCGTTAGCTCAAAAAGAATATAATGATTTTTTTCTAAAAAAAAAGTGAGATATTTGAGAAACTTTTGACCAAATATTGAGCTCTCATAAATTCGAACTATGATGTCATTGTTGATGTTTCAATTTGTCACATTTCCGATGTATTCAATGTATGAATTTTTAGTTTTCAAAATTCTGAACACTCTGCAAACATGTTGATTGAATTCATCTCATTGTTTGGCGATTATGAAGATTGGTTTTGAATTTATCTATTTATAAGTCAAAACAGTTGAGCAACATATATTTCTACGCCTTTAAAAAACATCAAGAAGAACTTTAAAACGCAGTCCAAAACTTTCCGAGCACTGTTGCATGAAATAGCTTCGCAATTCTCTCAAGAACAATTTCAAAAATAATTTTCATATTAAATGCTTTGAAAATTTTTTAAAAAATATTTCAGACATTAACGAACACACATTCATAATTTTTATATCCCCTCAAAACGTTTTAATGAAAAGAAAGTTCGAAAGACCCCCAAAATAGTCTTGACTTTCAATTTTCTTACAAAGTTTTGAAAGTTTGTCACGTTTCTGACAATTTTTTAAACCATTGTATGGTGAGAAATCATTCAGCTGATTGTTTGTTGACTACACTTCGAATCAGCATCTTCAGTGTACTGTAAAAGGGAAACCCCCAATATTACAACTTCTTTTTTGCAATTTTTGTCCAAAGAATAATTCACCACAACCCATCTGTAGCAACAAAACAAAAGTTGTTTATCCATTTTTTTTGCAAATCACCACCCCCCCTCTCTCTGTCCCCCTAAAAAAAGCGCGAGCGATACTCGATTTTACGTGTAAAACAGAACGGTCGTTTTGATTTCATCTTAATCATTTTCTTCCTTTGGTTTCCTCTTCATTTTTCTATTCATTCTGACCCATTCAAAGTACGGTCGTTCAGAACACGTGCTGTTTTAATGTTTTATCAACATGATATAGCCCCAAAAAATTGCCTTTTTCTTTTTCATAATTGATTACCCATCACTTGTGTTTTCTTCTTCTCTTTATCTTTCTATATTTTTTTTGTTTCGAAAAATGCAACAATAATACACATGATTGGATAGGAATACGGTATTTGTGTGTGTGGTGTTGCCAGTTTTGATTTCTGCAAATACATGGTCAATAAGAATGATTCCCGATTGAAAATTTTGAAAATAAAGAATCTTGTTTATTCTAAATTGTTGCGAATTTTCGAACCTTGATTGTGAGAATCATATATTGATAAGAGAAACAAACATCATCTCATAGATCTTGTTCGGTTCAAAGGTCGCTTGAAAATCTTTTATCAAAAATGTTCCCAAATTTTTCCAGAAACAAAATCGAATAAAACTTCGTAGATCGCAGCTTTATCTTGATCTGTTTGATCAAGTGAAATCATTTTAGGTACAGAAAACAGACAATAAATTTTTTTCTAGTTCCCCTATTTCCCACATTGATATGTTTCTTATCAACCAATAAATGTTTCATAACTCAACTTTTCATGTAACATCTCATATGAAAAAACTAAAATTGCGAAAAAAGGTGATTTGATTGATATATTCTCATCGCTCAAACATTTATCGATTAATTCATCCACTCACGCCTTATTGTCATTTTCTCAATTTCTCTTCTCAATTCTTTATATTTTTCATTTCATTGCTGTTTACAAATGTGATGCAATTATTGGGTTAACAATATATTTATTACTGTAGATTTCGAAAATGAAAAAAAAAATGAAACGAAAAAAGAGAGAATACAAAATTTAAGAATTGATGGTAATAAAATGGTGTTCCCCTGAAGTTATTTGTTCAAAGTACATTTACACTTTTTATTGTTGACAGGTCATTTGTCTGACGTTGATGAATTTTGAGAAATCATTGGTTAAGAATCTCTACACGATCTGGAGAATACAAAAATGCACAAAAATCGAATAATATTACATCACTTTTAAAAAACGTAATAACCGTATAATGAATCATAAAAGGTGTTGTAAATATCAGTTGGTACGTGGGGAATCCCTTTGTGAGTACTGTAAAAATATGACATGTGAAAATAACGTGACTTTTCAGAAAATCAAAAGAACATGAACATATTCTACGATTTTGGGAAGGGTTTCACAGACTAGATTGTCTGAAATTAGAGTACTTGTATATGGCATAAATTGAGCCCTCAAGGCTCGAAAAAATTAATAGATATTGTTAGTATTTGAAATGAATAACTAGACCCATCTATCACTTCCTCCCGGGTTTACTGAAAACCTTTCATATAATTTTGAAACAAATTTTCTATTACTTCAAAATATTATTGCTAAGCTAAAGATTTTTAGACACATTTTTTGAGTTTAGCAACTTCCCTCCTTTTTGAAAAATCAATCTTTCTAGACTTCTTGCCATTCTTGAAATCAAATATTCAAGTTCAAAGTCTCATCTCACATATCCCCTCAATAAATCATTACAACGTGTATTTCTCAATATTATTGGGGAATACCCTTTTTGCGATAAAATCAATATCATATCTATCGTCTATGTAAATCACATGATTTTTATGAATATTTGCCCGATATCAAACAACCTTTGAATATTTAAAATCGCTCTCTGATAAACATCATGAATAGATATTGTAAATCACACGTATTATCATCTTTTTTCAATTGGGTACATTTGACCGGGGGAAGCCCATCCCCGACAAACTCCGCCCACATTCACTTTGTCTATATAAAGTTCTCACTATCAATAAAACGTATTATTAAAACAACTACTCGACTTTTTTTTTTTCGACTTTTCTAGCGTCGGAAAAAAAACTTGCTTTCGAACTTTCAAAGTTTGCATTCTTCAAACAACTCGGTTTTTTGGAACCCCACTATATGGATCGGTTATTGTCATACGGACTATGCTGATTTGTTCAACAACAACAACTACCAATTTTTCTACACTGTCGCGTCTCATCAAGAAACTGCAGTCTACTGGTAAGATTTTCAAAAGCCTCTTTTCTTTGAATTTTCTAAAAAAAATTTTCATTTTCATTTTATTCAAATATGCATTTTTGCAGAACCCGGATTCTTTGTCCCTGCTCCACTTACTTTTGCCGCTGATTGGATTTCAACATCTGTGATTTGCTTCGGACTCTGTGAATTAACTATTCGTGTTGCCACTGCGTCCTCCAAGTGTTGAAACAATGTCTTCGTTTCCAATGATGAGCAATCGACATCATTGCAAGAATCATCGAAAGAGTATTCAAGGCGACTCTGTAAGTTGAAATTTTTAACTATTTCTTTCGAAAAAACATAATGATGTATGTCAAAAATGTTGTTTTCGTTGTAATCAAAACAAAAAAGAAAAACCAAAGTTCAATTTGATATTCTTTACAGCAAAATCAGGCCAAGACGTCGCAAAACAACGTCTTCCACAGTAGTGCGAATAGTAGTAGTGATAACCAGACCGCGACAACACTTCTCTGTGATCGTCCAACAACTTCGGCCAGTGTTACAGTGCCGAAATTTGTTCAACCGAACACACGATTCCAACCGGTTGCCAAACCGATTCTTGGTGAGTTTTGAATTTCGAAATGTTCGATATTTTTCTCAGCATTCAAACTCAGAGAAAACACAAAAATTAAATTTTTGAAACTAATCAGATCAATTATTTTCCAGCTCGGTTCAGCAAAGAAAACGTCTTTGCCAATATCAACTACCTCATGGGGAACAACAATTAATCCCAATAGTAATTCAAGACTTTCGATTTAATTTTTTATACTTCGATTTTTTCGCTGAATTTTTTTTTCTGCTTGTAAGAGAAATTAGAAATAATAAAGATTTCGCTTGAAACTGGTTGATAATTATAAAATTCCGATTATTGATTGGAAGTGTGGAAAAATATCTTAAATTAATCGAAAGTTGCTTTAAGAGACGTTATTTGTAATTTCTCGAAATACGAAGAACAAAAAAAAAGTGATGATCTTCGATTTGGGTCTATTTTTGGTAAAATGATGCCCCACGCCTATATAGTTGGAAAATAAAGTGAAATGGCGCAAAAAAATTTTTTGAGGTCGGGGGGATTTTTTTGAAAAAATTTGGCCGATCCGTAAAATGGTTCAAAATTCATATTTTTCGACGTTCAAAAAAGCATTCTGCTCGTAATTCAATGATCTTTCCAGTGGAAAAACGATCCATAATTCATTCTCTAATTTGAAATAATTATATTTTCAAAAGTTGAAAAAATGATGAATTTTCGGTTAAAATCATCATTTTTGATCTTAAGGAGTCAAAAGCGCACTTTTTAACTGCGTGCAATCGCTTCCTTTCGCAATTTTAGCCCCGGGGGCGTATGTTTAAAAAAATTAAACGCGGAACCTCGTCTTCATCCAGGTCGCTGAAAAGCGCCCACTAAAACATTTGTAGGTGCATGTTGTGAAGAGATCACTTGAAACGCTTGATTTTGCTAATCTAAGAGTCACGGGTTCAATTCCCGGTGGCGGCTTTTTTTAAAAAGTGGTTTTTTGTTCGAAAACCCATTCAGATAGATACAAATTTCATGTCCTAAAGACAATATACTAAAGGATGCAAAAGAATAATACAGTGCATTTTATAATAATAGATTCACCTTCTATATTGATAACATTGGCTAAACCATCAGTTATTGAAGCAAACTGAGTCAAAAATTGACACGTACGCACAAAATCAGGCAGGTAAACTCATTTTCATAGAAAATAACCAAATATAGAAAGATATCTGACCGATGTTCAAAAATTACAAAAAATTTGGTGTTCAATAGGATCACGATTTTTGTTTGCGAAATAAAGAATGTAAGCAAAAATACATTTGAAGTTAACAGGGCATCATTTGCTTTAATTTCCGACATAGACATTTGAATTTTCACGATTTGAAGATTTACCATTAAGATCATCATGCCAGTACAAAAATGTGTTGTTTTCCATTATTTCTCGATATTTGATCATCTTATTTTATTACAAAAAAGGTGAATCTATCATTTTGAAACACCAAATTTTTTGTAATTTTTGAACATCGGTCAGATATGTTTCTATATTTGGTTATTTTCTATGAAAATGAGTTTACCTGCCTGATTTTGTGCGTACGTGTCAATTTTTGACTCAGTTTGCTTCAATAACTGATGGTTTAGCCAATGTTATCAATATAGAAGGTGAATCTATTATTATAAAATGCACTGTATTATTCTTTTGCATCCTTTAGTATATTGTCTTTAGGACATGAAATTTGTATCTATCTGAATGGGTTTTCGAACAAAAAACCACTTTTTAAAAAATGCCGCCACCGGGAATTGAACCCGTGACTCTTAGATTAGCAAAATCAAGCGTTTCAAGTGATCTCTTCACAACATGCACCTACAAATGTTTTAGTGGGCGCTTTTCACCGATCTGGATGAAGTCAAGGTTCCGCGTTTAATTTTTTTAAACATACGCCCCCGGGGCTAAAATTGCGAAAGGAAGCGTTTGCACGCAGTTAAAAAGTGCGCTTTTGACTCCTTAAGATCAAAAATGATGATTTTACCCGAAAATTCATCATTTTTTCAATTTTTGAAAATATAATTATTTCAAATTAGAGAATGAATTATGGATCGTTTTTCCACTGGAAAGATCATTGAATTACGAGCAGAATGCTTTTTTGAACGTCGAAAAATATGAATTTTGAACCATTTTAAGGATCGGCCAAATTTTTTTCAAAAAAATCCCCCCGTCCTCAAAAATTTTTTGCGCCATTTCACTTTATTTTCCAACTATATAGGCGTGGGGCATCATTTTACCAAAAATAGACCCAAATCGAAGATCATCACTTTTTTTTTGTTCTTCGTATTTCGAGAATTTTTGAGTTTTTACAAATAACGTCTCTTAAACTCCTTTCCATAGAGCTCCAAAATTTAAAAGCAGTTTCTCTTGTAAAAAAATTAGCCTAATAGTTTTTCCTACATTTATTATGCAAAAAAATTTAGAGATTTGAGAAAAAAGTTCTGTGTTATCAAACAATTTGAGGAATTTAATTCGTTTTCACAATTTTCAGCATGTTGACTGAAACAAATTTAAAATTCTATCCACCATCTGTTTCGCCACTCAAAAATGTTTCCTCCTAACACAATTTGACTGCACGGAATTTCAAGTTTGAAGAACTCTGTTTGACCTATAATACTTATCACGTTTTAGAATGTTCTAGACACAATGATCAGTAAATAACGAAAACCTGATTCTTAAAAATATGACCTGTAAACAGTGAGTCATTATTTTCAGACAGAACAAACTATAATATTTTTTCACATGTGGTTTTCCTATTTCCCTTTACTTTTTTGGATGGTCAACTGACAATCAAGAAAGTTACTTTCAATTAATAAATTATTTCAACCCCTATAACTTTTACAGTGAAAAATAAGCAAACTCGTTCCATATTCGCCCTTTTTTAGAACAAATACATAAATTCAAACCAATGTTCATCCATCCATTCATTCCACTTTTTTTGCTTCTTCGTTAAAATAATAATAAATAATTCGTCCCTTTCCCAAAAAAATGCGCTTTTTTTGTCCGCAAAATTTGTTCATGCACTTTCAAGTTGGTAAAATTTTTCCTTATATTAGAGAGATAATTAATTTATTTAAATAAAATCGGATATGAGTTGGTTGGTTAAACATTGTTTTCGTTTTTGGCCAACATTTTTGAGTGCTCTCATTTCCTCCACTTCTAAATAAATTCATTTTAGTTAATTGTATGGTGTAATAACATTGCGTGAGATTCATTTAAAAACGAACGAACGAGCAAAGGTGTATGTGACAGATGGAGCTTGCTAAATATGAGCAATTTCAAAATTCCTTCTCACTTTTTCACAAACCAGTTCGTCATGCATTACAAATTATTTCAGAGAGGATGCCTATAAGCATAATACATATTTTACATACATTTTTTATTTATTTATCTATTTATTTATTTTTTCCCCTGGATGTACTTATTCTATCTCATAATATTTTATGCATGTTCTTGTGTTTATCTCGAAAACTTTATGTATATATACTTTTGAAAAGTAATAATAGGTTTCTAAAGACCACCATGTAAGAAAAACAAAACAAATAGCAAAACATTTTTTTTGCAATTTCACACTTGACTAAATTCACACATTGCATTGTTTTGTTTTTTTTCTAGGTTTGTTTGGAAACTTATTTGAAGTTTTTTGTAGAAGTTTCGTAATAACATCAGTTCTTTTTTCTAATTAAGAAAATTTGGGCAACAATTTCGAAATTCATGTTTTCTTTTTGCTGGAAGTTTTTGAATTGGATTACTTGGACCCAATTTAAAAATTCTATTTGTGATTTGACTCGAAATTTGCTGCAGTTTTCAATTTTGAAAAAATCTGAAAATTATTTCCATAAGACCCACCCGCTGCTCATCTTCCCACCCAATTTCCGGTCTATAATAGTGATCTTCCGACTTTTTTGAGTATACTTCATTTTTATTTTTATTCACATTTTTATCCAAAACTTTTCCTTTTTAAATTCTTTCATTTCTGAATGCATGTATACATTTCTTAAGATTTCTCGGTTCCAAAAACTAGGAAACATACGTAAATAGATGAAAAAAATTGAGTTATGTTTGGGTGAAAAGCACTCACCGTTTTTCGTCCTGGATAAAAACGAACAAGAAACAAGCAAGGACGAACACTACTCTCTACTCACATGACTAAATGAATTACGTCTTTCTTTTTGCCCGACAACGACATCCAATTTCGGTTTTTGTGTTGAGGAAAATTGAAGGAAGGAAAAAAAGTTTTCAAAGTTTTTCAATTTTTAGTTTCCTACTACCTATTCCATATCAGGTTTCTGTTTTGGAATGTAACTTCAAGTTCCTATAGTTTTTTTTCAACTTTTGAACTACAGTACTTGCCTCTGATTCTGAAGCTAGTGCTCGAAAAATCTGGTTTTGATAGTGGTGGAATCTTCACCACATCTAACCTTTATTTTTGGGTGAGCTTTAACTGTTGCATTCTCTAAAATCAAAGCTCACGTTTTTTTCTAAAATTCACCTTGATACACCAAAATAACTAACACATCCTGACACAACAACAAATTGAGCACATTTTCTCACGCCAGATTTTATTATCCAGCATTTTTCTCATTTTCCCCTCAAAATAACCTCCGTTACTCATTCATTCATTCAGTTTTTTTTTCGGTTTGTGGTTTGACCAACCAAAATGCCCTCAAAAATAAGAGAGAACGCATTTATTACATTTTTCCATTTGTTTTTGCAAGAAATTGGTTCCCCGTTTTTTCTTGAGGATAGATGAGAAAGTAGAACTTTATAATAGGCCTATGCAGAATAATATTTTGAAATAAAAAAAATTAAAAACAACATATGTTTCCTATGCAGAAAAATGTCAAAAATCAAAATATACAGTTTCCATTTTCCGAGTGGAGACAACGCTAAATTGAGAGAGTGCAGACAGACAAAATGATTTTTCGAACAACAAATACAAGAAACTATTTTTTCTGTCTGCGCTCTCTCAATTTCGTGTTGTCTCCACTCGAAAATAGTAAACTGAATATTTTGTGTTTTTGACATTTTTCTGCATAGGAAACATATGTTTTTTTTATTACCAAATACGATTTTGCATAGGCCCATAAGTTTTTTTTTGCTTGAAAAATAATTCTAATCTAGAAAATGCTGTGCTCTTTTCGGTTCACAACTAATGTAAAAAAAACCGCTTTCTCTAAATTACCACCTGTTAGTTAGACGAAACCAATTATGTAAATAAATCCAATGTATTTATCTCGTTTTTCCCTTACAAAACACAAATCATCAAGGCGTGGTTCTCATGAGATATTTCTTTTTGCTTTTTTGAATTGAAAGGCGCCGACAAAGAAACTTTTCATATTGTTATTCATAACTTTTTCATTTTTGTTGTGTTTTTGTGGAACAAAAAGATGTTCATCACCTTTTATTAACAAAACTACATAAGCATGTTACTCATAATTTCTGCCGGTTTTTAATGAATCAGAGCTGATCCACACAGTGTAGACTCAAACTGTAGATCAAAAATATTTCTCTCTAAATATCTCACTTCCCCGTTGATTTCTCCAAGTTTAGCCTTTAAAATTGAGCCAGATCGAAAAAAATATTCGGGTTGCACTCTCTGATAGTTTCCAAGTTAAGGATGTTACAGTAAACCTTCTGAGGATTTTCTCTCTGAAAACTTGAATTCAAAAACTAAACCTCCACATTTTTCAAAGTAAAAAAACACTTCTCCAAGTTTTCTCAAAAAAATTTTCCATTTTGCAAATGAAAATATTTGTTTTCTATTTACTTTTTTTCCAGGCAACCAACCAACTCATGAAAAGAATATCTAACTGACCAAAAAAAAAAGTCGGGTTACTTTTTTCCAAAAATATTAGTTTTCCCCTTTTTACATCCCATTCACCTCCTCATTTCATTTCATCATTTACTTATTTAGCTAGCCTTACATACACAAATAATTTAATTCCGAATCAGTTTCTATTTCAAATTTTCGTTTTCATTTTCGTTCCTTCTCTTCATCATTAGCATAGGATCCTCCAATTACAAAAGAACTCCACGTTTAGTTAATCCACTACCATCTATTGTGAAGTAGCGGCAAGACCACCCGGATTATTTTTTTGTTGTTTTGTTTTTTTTTTGTTATATCCACCAACGGTGGTGCACTTGACCCATCCACCAAAGACAATTATACTCATGAGGAAAAAGAAGACCTCCTCCCACTTGAAATCATCAAGTTTTAATTTCATTCTCCGTGCTTCTTAAGAGGCGGTCATTTGTTTTACTTATGCCCCATTGAATCTCGGCTCATTTTTAGTGGCTCATGTTCGTTTTTTTTTTTGGTAAATTTTGGCAAGAACCAGTTCACTTGAAAAATTATAAACAACCAACCGATAATAAAATTAGTTTTCACAATAAATATTATTTTTTGTTAGAAGAACTACCGAATATTTCCAGTGTTTGTTTAACTTTTACCATTTATATTATATTAGAGGAACACATAACCGAACACATAACAAATAATGCGAATTGATGAATAGAAAAACGGAATGTTGAAGAGCACTTTTATTTTATTCCGTTTTTCTTTTCGACGTATTTATATTAATTAATGAATATAGTATTATTATTCTTATGTACTATGTGTATGTGAAGATATTTGTATTTACTCGATTCCGAAGAAATTATAGGAAACATCAACAAAAATCAAATGACCGAGTTTAGGAGCTCTGTAGTTAGATATAAGAAAACATACCTTGTACTTAAAACATCGTTTCAACACAAAATCCCAAAATCTTTTTTTCTTACAAAATCAATTTTCTGAAACTTCTTGATAATTTAACCCAACTCAAAGGCTTTCCAAAATTGAAAAAAAAAAAAAAGACCAGTTTTGGACTTTGCAACCCAAATTTTCGTATATTTTCTTACCCTTTTGTTTTCATATTTGTCTCTTGAGACAGTGGTAAATCACATCTTCAATAATTCTTTGCTTCTTATTCCAAATGAACAAACGTTATACTTTTATATACAACAGCAACAAAAAGTTCAACCAAAAAACATAAAAACAAACATTTCTCTTCAATTTATTAATTAGAATAAATCATAAATCAATTAATCATATATCTTCTTAACTTGTTCGTTATTCTTCTTTTTTATTGTTGTTAATATCCAATTATCCACTATTTTACTATATGGTTGGATTGGATAAGAAAAATCGTACAAAATAAAGAAAAATATTTTTTTTTCATCTCATTCACAATTCAACATGTTCTTTTTTTCCTTTCCGCATTTTTCACACATTAGTTTTTGCTTGCTTCATGTGTTCTTTTTTTGAAGTGACACTTTTTTCCTGAAACTGATTCAATTTTCAAACAACACTTCGCAAAGTATTGTTTTTGTCCATTTTTGTTCGCTTTTGAGAAAAAACTCATTTTTTCTCTTGTCCGCACACATATATAAGTAATTACATGTTTCGAGCGCAAACCAACAAAATGCTCAATTTTTGAAGCCGTTTTTTTTGTGAAAACAAATTTATTTTCGAATATTCGATTATTTTTCTGGGATCCTGGGAGAATAAGTTTTAAAACAAAATTTTCAAAGTGCTACTGTAGTTAATATATATTTGTTTTGATAAAGTTTGAATTTTGTTGCGGAATTTCTAATTTCTTCTAAAAATTGGTTTTCTTACCTGAATATATACAATTTTCAAATATTTCCTCTCACACAAAAAAAGTTTCTTTTCACTTGCGAAAATTTACTAACCCAATGAATCAACCCAACCCAACCCAACGCAGCCATTTTTTCACACTTTCTCTCTTTTCAACTAACAACCACGAGAAAAATCAGATAAGTAGAATTTGAGTCATAGTCGGTCGGTACCTTTACATTTTTATTGCGTCACCCCCCGTTCACTATTTTGGGTGTGGGTGCATTTTTACGATTTTTTCCCGCCTTCTTTTCTGTTCTGTCCTACCGCCTACCCTCTTTCTAAATTTCAATTTCGTTCGCCAAAAAAATTTTATGAGCTTTTTTGTTCTTTCATTTCACATACATGAGTCCATTTGCCTAAAAGTGTTCTTTTTCGGTTTGTATAAAATCGAGAGAAAAAACAATGAAGCCCCTTTCAAAGCCGAGATGCAAAAGTCATAGAAAAAACTAAAACTAAAAATAAAATAATCCAATTTCTAACAAACAGCATTATTTTTCCCATTTTTTCTAGCAGAATAAATGGAAAACTAGATATGATATGTACATGTATGAAATAATCGTATTTACCGCAACTTTACATATTTATTTATTTATTTATTTATTATTTTTCGAGTAATTCATTCAAAAACAAGTAAATCTTGATATCCAAAATATTATTATTTATATCTATTCATCATTTAAATCTAGTGAGTGAGTACTTCTACTACTTATTTGCATAAGAAACACTTTTTGAGTTGACTGTTGAGATGTTCAATGTCAACTGACGGCACAATCTGCCGAAAATAGAGCTCCGCCCCCTTTTTTTGGTGCACATGACACCAAGCTCGCACTTCGTCTTATTTCAATTGACAAATGAGATAAATTTTTCACACTTTTTTTCAGTTTTTTTTCACTTCTTCTTCTTTTTCTTCTTTTTCTTCTTCTCAATTGAAGTTTGTCTTTACAGATTTTCCGTATTTCCAACAAAAAATTCCTTTTGCTGAAAATTTCTAGTATGATTTCATTGTAGGAGTCATAATTTTTATTAGAACCTAAACCATTTACAAAACTTTTGTTCAAAAAACCACCTAGCCTTACCTTTTTTATTGTGTGTATTGAAGGGATCAACCATGTATTGTTTGCATAAAAAATATTCATATTTATATGGTCCCTGAACAAATAATAGTGCTTTTCTTTTTATGGTTCCGATTGTTTTGACCCGAAATTTTTTGGCTCAGTTTGAAAATAGTGTGTGTTTCAGATAACAAAGGGTTTAAGAAAATATCAAGAGTTTTTTACAAAATATTGGACGAGTCTTTATTTATTTTATTGAAAACGTCTTCATATCATTTGAAACCCTTTATTTCTGAATAGATTTTTTTCTCAAAAAATTTTTTTTTTGTCAAATAATTCATCTCTTTATCACCTTTTGTCCTCTTCCAATCACATTTGATTAGCGTTTCGACATTAAAAATCAAGAATTGAAATAAAAATCGAGTCCTATGATTATTTTTTGCTAATCTTTTTTGACTTATTCTCCTATCTATCTGCCCTAATCTCCTCCCTTTCTATTTATTTATTTTTTTCATATGTTTTGTGTTTTTTCTAACATTCATACATAGTTCCTAAAAGTTATTACATGACCTTGAAATATTTTTGGGTCGTTATCTCTTCCTATCAAAACAGGAAATGTTTTCTTTTCATTTTTTTCAGAAATTGATTGATCTATCTTTTTTTGAGAAATAAAATGATTTTGCACACACACTTGTGATTGCTTCTTATTTTAATTACTGTAGATTTTCTATGACGCAATATAATATAATATAATTGATCGTTTTTTGCATCTGTTCCGATTTTTTTCACACTTATTGTTTTTTTTTCAGGTCATGTGCTAAATATGAAACAACTCAATATTAGAATAACACTAGTTTTTGTCTATTTTCTTCTCTATGCAAACGCTCAAGACCAATTTCTCAGTGAGTTTCTGAAGCTTTTTATTTTGCGAAGATTTCTAATTTTTTAATTCAGGTCAATATGATTTACCAACTCTAGATGTGAAATCAGATCAGCTTTATCTTCACAAAAAATTACCAACCAACCTCACATGTACTGTAGGTGCTGGTTGGTCAAATATCCATGTGAATAAAGTAACCTGGTATAAAGATGAAGTTATTTTACCACCAGATAACCCGGATTATCAACAAGCTCAGACAAAGTAAGTTTCTATTTGGAAAACTCCCAAAATAAATCCATTTTTTCTCAAGCTTGTCAATTCTTGGCATAAAACAACAAAACGAAGGGCTGTATCAATGCAAAGTTGAGTTGAGTAATGTCAAATTATCAAACGGCAAAATCATTTCAACAACTTTGATGTCAGCTCCGTTGAGAATGCGAAGAGCAAGGCTCACCAAATTTGACACAATGAACATTCATGTGAGTTTTTTCTTTTTTACTAGCGTGACACTTGACAAGTTTTCCGAGCAATTTTTTTCGTCGTTTTTTTTCTTTTTGCTATTTTAAAATTGAATACATACATACATAGTAAAAAAATGGAAATAGGAGATATGGAACTTATGTGAAACATATGTTGCTGTTGAAGAAAGAAATTTGAACCCGGCCCATTGATTTCAACTAATTGTAGATACATAAACACAACAAGATGTTAGTTAAGATACTATTGCTTGAGCGAAGCAACAGACTCATTTTGGTGCGGGTAAGAGGAACATTTTATTATATTATAATATACATACATATCCTTACAACCATCTGTCTCGGCGTCTCTTTTGTTGATGCCTGCTCTGGGTAAACATCAAATTATTATGTGGTAGAAGAACTGGGTTGGGTGTTCCTGCTTGCGCATATTTATATGTATGCAGTAATGAAAATTGAATAATGAATAGGGGATCGTATGACAATACGAATGAACAATGAACTCGGTGGATTTGATTAACAGAATTTGGTTTGGATGTTTGTGTTTTCTTAATGGGAAAATGTCATGTAGAAGAGAAAGAAAGAATCACTACAGTAGACTTCTGTTTTTTTGTTTGATGGAAAATAATTCACAATCAAAAAAACTGTCTAATTTTCAGGGTGGCGTCACTGTTAGTGAAATGGAAGTGGCTAGACTTCCTTGCACTGGAATGCCAGATATTGTACCCGGACCACCAAAGATTTGTTTCCAAAGAATGGGATCAAATGAATGTTTGGGAGATGGAGGCAAAAGTGAGTTTTTTTTCAAATTTCATTCCATTCCCAATCCCTCCATTTCTAGATGATACGAAATATTTGATGACAAACAGTGGAATGCAAATTTCGTTGGTTCAACCATCTGACTCTGGATTCTATCATTGTGTAGTCACAAATCTATATTTGAATTTGACACGAGTCTCACCAAATCCAGTTTTATTATATGTTCGAGAAATGAATCATACAGCAAAGACTGATGCTTCCAGTTTGACTCCAACATTAATCTATCCAGTCTCGAATTCATCTCTCGATTCTCCGATTGTAGTGGATGTGACTGAAGGAGATGAAGTAATTTTGGAATGTGTTATGTCGATGGCAAAAGTGATTTGGCATAAATATAAAAATGAATCGACATCTCAAAGTGACTTTGATATTTATAAAAATTCAAGATATCAACAAATTTGGGGAAATCTTCGGATCAAAACTGTAGCTACTGTTGATTCTGGTTTGTATTCTTGTATTGGTTTACCAATGGTTGGCACAGATATTGTTTTTGATGAAAACACAAAACCAAGAGTTAATTATAAAGTGATTGTCCATGTTAAAACCTATGGATATCCAGTTATCAGCACCAATATTGTGAGTTTTTTTTTTGAAAAACAAACGAATATTTATTGAGAAAATGTAATTTTTTTAGTTATCTTGTCGTGGTGAAAATATGGCCTATGAAATTCCGATGCTATATCTAAATGGTATTCCTGTCAGTCAATCAGCTGATCTTTTGGGTGAAGTTATCAGCACAAGTTTTTACTCCAATCCAATTGAAGTCAAATATAAACCAACCGAGTTTGGTCTTAGTTTCCAATGCGCTTCTAGGCCAGCAATGGAAGAAGCAGAAGTTTATGGAGAAGGACTAGAAACTGGAAGATCAAAAAACTATTACGTTTTTTCGGTAAACCCAAAAAAATCGATTGGTGATGATAAAATAACAATTGATGTTGGAAAAGATGCAGTACTACCTTGTGCAATTGAACCATACTTTAGAGGTTCAACGTGGTGGACAAAAGATGGAAGAGATGTCAGCATTGTCCACGGAAGATTCAGTTTAGGAGAAGCTCATTCATTACTTATTCCAAATGTGACATTAAATGATGAAGGATGGTATTCTTGTAATGTTGGCACAACAAATCAGAAACCATTCTACAAAAGAACATATCTCAAAGTCACCGAGCCATTCGTGGTTCGCAAGAAAAATGATGATTTAGAATTGGAAGATGTTCACGGATTTGTGACTGGTAATTCAGTTCGCCTTCAATGGGCAGTCTTAGCAGCAGTAACATCCTTGGCTAAAATTGCCAATTTTTCAATTGAAGCTCAACGATTTGGAACTAGTGAGAATGATTGGTTTGTCATTGAAACTGTAAATTCACATGTGAGAGCAACAACAGTGCAAGGATTCGAACCAAATCACAAATATAAAATGCGAATCATTGTAGTTCGTGAGGATGGAAGTACTGTAATCAGCAAAGAAACTAGTTATATGTTTGTCGGATTTCCAAATGGTGATGTTGTTCCAACAAAACCCGAGGTACTTGGAGAAAAATCCTTATGAATAAAATTAAAAAAACATATTTTCAGATTGACGGAATTTTTATGAACAGTCAAAACACTGCTGTAGTTATGTTTTCACAAAATGATGCAAATAGAAATGCAACAGGAAGAACATTTTTCGTGATATATAAAAAAGTTGGAGAAGAATTACAGCAAATGGTAGGTTCTTCATTATGATTACCTAAAAAACCTATTTTTTGCAGACTCAAGTTGAGGGAACTCAAAGAGAAGCGCTCATCAACATCAAACTAGATACAGATTATTTGATCCATTTGGTGGCTGAAAATGCGGCTGGTAAAACGAGCAGTCAGGAACATCTGTTTAAAACAACAAGTGAGTGATTTTTTATCTTCGTTTAGTCTTTTTTTTTCATTTTATTACCAACCAAGAAAAATGTTCATTGTGGACAGATGTGTTTTTAGCAGTTTGTTTCGGAAAAAGAATAACTGGCAGTTCGGTTATTATTTACCAAGAAGATTATTGTACAAGCTAAAAATACTAGGGGTAAATATTGATTTCCAAAAAAAATTAGTTGAACTTTCTTCTCATCTCAAAATGTATCATGTTACAACTCAAAGTGACTGACATGTTCAGTAACTTTTCATTTTTTTCTTCTTTTGAGTTTTCTTTTCTGTAGATATGAAAAATTACAATCAATCAAATAAAAATTTGCATTTTTCCCGTAGAAGAAACGGAAAAAATAAAATTTCCATAAATTCGTATGTTTTTAGTGCTTTCTTATATATTTATTTTATAACCTGTGTGAGAGAAATATTACACTTTTTGTGATCTGACAAATTCTTCATCATTATGTTCCTATAATTGTGTTTGTTTTTTCTTTCTCTCCGGAGATTTTGTTGCTTTTTGTATATGTATCTTTGATGTTAGTTTTCATTATTTCAATTGTTCTTGAGAATAATAGCATCTATATTTTTCAAAAAAAAAAGAGACCAGGTGGTCAAATGACCTGGATTTTTTTGGAAAGATAGATGAGTTCATTTTTTGAAAAAAAAAATCATTTTTAATGTGAGTTTCTGATTCAGGTAACCTTTTAAATCCCAGTAAGTGGTGTGTTTTAGGTCCTCAATGAAGACTAGTGATATTTACTAATTCGACTGAGTTGAGAATGATTTCAAAGTCAAAAATTGCTATTTCGGTCACTTGGAGCACTTACGGAGCTCCGAATATTTTCTTTCAAAAGGTTTTCAGCAAACTTTGGTGCAAAGAATTTCAAAAACCTTTTTTTTCGAAAAAAAAACATTTTTGATCTTCTCAAAATTTTTCAATTTGCTTTCTCTCGAAACTTTGCAAAATCATATGACTTTTTTTTCAAAATTTCAAAAATCAAATAAATTCTTCAAAGCATTAGGTGTTCCTCTTTCAAGTTTGAAACATCAAATTTTAATAATAATAATAATATAAAATAATCAATTGTATGAGCAATACAAATGCATATTGTGTAATTCTTTTATTTTCTGCAGTCTTTTCATTATCTGTTAGATGTATTATTTTCCATCCTTCTACTCTTCCCATTCAATTTATCATTTTGCCACAAATACATTTTTCTTCTTTCTTTTTTTCTCTATTCACTGATTCATTTATAATGTCACCTGCTATGACTCATTGATAAAATGACCGGTTTTGAATATATATTGCACTTTTTTAGGCTACTTCTGTTCTTGATCTGTTTTTTTGTTTCTTATCATTTCAGGAAGGGTGGGGGATCTTCTGATGTTTTGAATGAAAACATTTTTCAATCAAGAAACTTTTGATATCATTTTTCATTTTTCCAGGAACAGGAATGTTGCTCCAAGCCAGAGTTTTCTGGGATTCGATACAACGATATTTAACATTCAAAAACATTGCATTATTTGGAATTCTATTTACTTTATCTTCAATGATGCTGTTGATTTGTTTTGTGGTATTTTGTAATCTACGATCGGGAAAAGGACGTCAAAAGAGTCAAGCGAACGGAAAATTTTTGGATACTTCTTATCGAATTTTCAACGAACAAAAAGTGCATAAATCTAGAATTCTAGATGACACAATCGATAATTTAGATGGTGATGAAAACTCGCCATTGAAAATAAAATCAGAAGAAAATGATTCGGATAAATATGGCGGATTTCATGTGCAAGAATCAGATATGCCAAATCTATATGGAAATATTGATGATATGATGGATATTGAGTGTAATCAAGATACGTTTCCACATGATCCAACTTATGTTTCTTCTTCGATTCGTCAATCATCTGGACTTGGATGTGGATCTCAAGCTGAAATTCACAAAACAGCGAGATGTTATTCACCAGAAAGCAGAACATCACATGAAATGTTGGTTTCTTCATATTCAAGAAGTGCTGCGCATTCAACTGCAAATAGTTCATCACCTCAATTGAATCATCCAGGAGGCTCAATTCAACGAGTAAAAGCCTATAATTATCCAGATTCATTATTATATTCACCAGCTGGAACAACTTGTTCGATTGCAGAAACTACTAGTAGTGGAATTGGTATGACACAAAATCGATTGAATTGTGATTCGCCAACAAATCCGTGAGTTTTTATTTTCCAATAAAAAAAATCAAAAAAAGAAAACCATATCAATGAAAAACATTTTTCAGTAGCGATGAAGGAGACAATCGATATGGTGGCTCATCACGAAATAGTCATATTTCATCATCAGATGGTTCAAAAGTCATGTCAATGGGAACATTTAAAGGAGGCTCAACATATAATAATACCTTTGCTGATACATTTGATCGACGTAGATCGGAAAATGTTGCATAACTTTTTTTTCTGTTTCACGGGTTTTCTACTGACTTCATTTTCTTGTAATCCAAATATTGCTTTACTATTTTTCATTTATTCTCGAATATTTTGAGAAAGTGTATTTTCTTGTTCATTTTTTTCTAACGGGTTTTGTTTTAACTGCGCTGCTTTTTTTGAAAAATATAAACTTTTCGGCTCAAGATTGTTACACAAAGTTACAGGGAAGAGAGAGAATGGTCAACAATTGACGAACAAAACAAGAAAACAGACAAAATGTTTTTATATCAAAAAATGAAACCACAAATGTGTCAACTTTATATTTGTCTACATTCTAATTGGTTTGACATTTTAGAAATATTAATTATTTTTAGAAAAAATTAATAGTTGAATTACGCACATTCAATTGTTTTGTATTATCGTGGGAGTTTTTTAAATTATTAAATCTTATTATGGAAAAAATACGCACGACATGTTATTTTTCAAATACAATTTCAATAGAAAAAATATTTATTTCAAAAATCCGCAAAAATTGTTTCTTCGAACAGTCGTAGTGCAGGTGTTAATAGAACCCTTTCAATATTTTCTAATTTTCTTACGCTGCCCAGATGTTCATTCAGACACGTGTTATGTCATTATCATTCTATTCGAAACTTATATTGAACAAAATTTCCAAAACACTTGTTCCAATTTTTCCTAAAATATTTTCCTTTGAAAATTTAGTGTCAGTTATTTTTTCAGAAATTTTAGATTTGCAATTTTTTCCAAAATCTTTCCGCTCCCCAGATTTTTCAGACACGTCTTATGTCATTATCATCCTACTAGTCGAAACCAATATTGAACGAAAAATGAAATTTTATTCGTATTTTTTCCAAATTCATCATAGTTGTCTTGAGAGATTCCAAAAAAAAGAAAATATTCTCGCCTCTCTTAATACAAATTTTCTAAAATTTTTTGTCAATCTCACTCTCCATTAAGACCACATCCACTTCCAATGGTTCTAATAGCATTCTGACTCCATTTTCAAAAAAATACACTTTCTGTTTGAAAAATAAAATAAAAACTTCAATTCATTAGAAATGAATATTCTCCCTATAAACTGGCAAATATGCTCTAATGCAAATATTCGCAGAGACATATTATTTCATATATTCATTTTTTTTATTTCCTCTACTTTTTTTTTGATTATCACGAGAAACATTTCGTGTTTTTCCTCATTTTGAAAATGTGTCATCGTTTTTTTTTGTTGTTTTTTTTATCCAGAAAATCATTTTCATTTTTATTTATATTTTTCAAGCCCATAATCTATTTTTCTCAAAATTTGTATGTATTTCGAGTACATTCTGATTAGATTTTCAGAGGAAAAGGTTACATTTCTTCTCCATCAATATCTGGTTAGTTAGTCATTACTGGATTTGAAAACATGTACTTTTAATTTCAGAAAAAAATCTGGTCTCCGGCTTAACTTTTTTAACGATAAAATTTTGATATAATATGTTGAACACTATTCTCCCTTTAGGCGGTGTAGTAAATGATTTTGAAAAAAATGTTGGCATAGTGCCAAAACACGGTGTGGACACTAGTTGTCCAGATGTGTCACGAAAAGAGAAACATTTTTGTTTTGTTCGCGCAATAAGATTTTTCACTCTTCTCAAAAGTTCATTTTTCGTTAATTCATTCCGCAATATTATATTTTATATATGTAATCTGTTTCTTTTTTCACCCCAAAATTTCTATTTCTAATTATTAGGTTCGTTTCGTATGCAAGATTATACATTTTCAATTTTCCATTTTTAAAGTAATAAAGTGCACATATTTGTTCTGAAAATCTCGTGGGTTTTTTATTGTCATCTATTTTTTTTTGAAAAATTTTATGATTGAGTTTGGATAAATAATTATCTGGTGGTGATTTTGTTTGTTCAGTTTTCTTATCAATTACAATTTCAATCGTTTCATTTACAGAAAGATGGAAGACTTCAGCACTGACGATATTTCTAAACTGGTCGATTTGGTGCATGATAAAGTTGTAGATACTGCAACTCGTTGGGAAGATGGAGGTCTCGCAATGCGCAAATATATTTCCAGTTGTAATGTTTTGTTGCTGATTTGGAAGCATAATAAGAGTTTGGAAGAAAACGAGCGAAGCGCCGAAGATACTCAATCAACCAGTTCGGACGATCTTTATTTATCAACTGATAGCGATGATTCGACAGATGATGAAGATAATTATAGATATAATTACTGTGAAGACGGTTGGACAAGTTCAGATGAATCAGATGGAGAGGATTCGAAAACTGATTTAAACAAGGTATGGTTGCGAAAAAAAAACAAAATAGTAGGAAGTAAACCAGAAAAAGCGAGTTTTTCAATTTTTATTAATTTTTGAATTTTGTATTTTGAGCGGGGCAGAGAGAAATTGTTCAGAGTTTTGAAGCGATATGAATGTTTGAAATTAATTATATTCAAAAGATGTTGTTCAAAAATGTTGTCTACATATGCATATTAAAATCTTTGTTATAAAAAATCATATTTTCAGGAAAATGAGACGGAAGGCAAGAAGCGTTCACACGAAGAAGAAGAAGAAAACGAGACGTCAGCGTGCAAAAAGCCATGCCTTGATTAGAAGCCGATCTCAGAAACATACGGGTTCCTCCGATTTTTTACTTGATTCTGTAATAGTTTATATTGTACTTACATTCTTGTAATTTTAACCTGAAAATGTTTTATCAAATAAAACTTTAAATTCACCAAAAATTGTATAGGCATTTTCAAAATCTACATTTGAAGTCGAAATTGAACTATGTACATCAAAAATCTATTCTGGTACATTTATTAGCTTGAAATGGCTAATCAGAGCGTGAACTTTTTTGTCCAACCGCTTTCTTCGGCAGGAAAATGATCATATTGGTTTTATTTTTTTTTCTGAAATTTTCTTGGAATTTTTCAAATTTATTCCCAAAATTTGCTCTTCATTTTTTGCGGTTTCTTCAAAAATAAACTAGAATATTCTGCAAATCAATCCAGATAACATTTTATTTTTTCCAAAATTGCAAAAAGGAACAAGGTCATTCACAAACCAACGAACCAAACAAACAATTTATCGATTTTTTCTATCTCCCCTTTTTTTCTGTTGCGATTTTTTGTTTTTTGATGCTAAAAAGATTTTTTTCGGTTGCACATCGTTCAATGGCTCCAATCAAATTCATCGACAGTTCAGAATTGTGAGTTTATTAAAGCATAAATTGTGCTTCAAATGTTTAGAAAGTTTTCGCAATCTAAATAAATGAAAGTGTGTTTTTTAAGATCGAACAAAAACCAATTTTATGTTCAATGGCCAGCAGGTGGTCGAGCAATTGAAGATGGACAAAACGATGAACTTGTTTTCGAAGATATTTCAAATGCCACAGCAATCCCAACAAATGGAAACTATTTTTCAAGAATTGATCAAAATACAGTGATCATTGCTCAAGAAAAATTTAAATTAGGATATAAAACTGAAAATCAAGAAATTGTTGAAGAAGATGTGGAAAGTGGACAAAACGCCGTTGTTCCAGCAGGTGTTGAGTTCTCGATTATTGGAAATGATGTCAAAGTGTTGAACCGACAAGTGAGTTTTTATCTTTTAATTTTTTTTTGATATCCACAAAAAAAATATAAAGACTCATGCTGTTGGCACATTGCCTCCAGTTGCTGTTCCAAATCAATTGCCTTCTGATTTTGCCGCTGGAAAAATTGTGAATCTTGTTGATGCATCTTCCGTTGGTGCAGTTCTCACCAAAAATCGTGAAAATCACGTTGATTTTGCAAATTTTCCTGGATCTAATACAAATGCATCGAATGTTGGAATCCTTGAGAACACATTCAATATGGAATGGCAAGATGTTGATGGAAAACGACAAGTTCATTTTGTTGGAACTGGTGGAGTATTAACAGGAGGTGAAGGGAATCCTGGTGTTGTGCTTGCTGGAGATAAAGAGATTCATGTCAATGTAAGTTTTATATGATCATAGTTGCTTTATATTGAAATTCTTGAATTTCAGCTGCTCCTGAAACGCATTGATGGATCATTCTACCTCGATGCTAATCAAGATTTCCTCATGGTGACTGCTGAATCAAATACAACAAACGGAGATCCAAATCCAGAAACCTTAAAAATCGCAAAATTCCCAGCTTCTGGAGTCAAACTTCCAATTGGTTTCTGGCATTCTGTTCCATTCCCAGTACCTGGAGATTCTAAGTTATTTTTGAATGAGTTTGTTGTAAAAACCAACGCAAATAGCGTTATTAATGTTGCCGGTGAAACCGGAAGTCCACTCAAAATTCACTTGTAAACGTGTTACTTTTTGTCGTTTTTTAAATTGGTTATTTTCCTCATTTTTTAAAATTTTTATGAAGAAATGGATGATTTGGTGCAACGAATAAAAACAATGAAGATTGAATTTGAAAAAGAGCAAGAAGTGAGTCATTCAATTCATTATTCAAATTTTATAGCATTTTTCAGTGGGGTAGATATGTAGAAGGTGATATTCTACACAATGTTATTGACGAAAAATCTGCAAATAATATTTTGAGTTATGTTTCTGATTCAGAAAATGAATTATCACTTGAAGAAACTCTTCGATATTTTGATATTGTTATGAATGGATTGTCTAATCTTTGCTCTGATAAGATTTGTCAATGTCAAGCAGAATGGCTCAAAAAAGCTGATTTAGTTGAAGATATTCTATCAAAGGCTAGAAAAACTATACTTGATCGCTGGACAAATCTTGTTTTCAAAAAATGTGGTGGCGAATTGAATAAAAATGAAGCTGTTCATCAACTCGAAAATTTCACATTATCATTCTGGAGAGCATCTTCAGAACGAAAAGGAAAGATTATATTTTTCCCCAATATTCATATTGAAATTGTGCCATTTTTACAATCAATAAGAATTTTTCAACATTATGAGAGGAAAACTGATGAATTGCAGAGTATTCTACAGAAATATCCTATAGAGTTTTTATACGAGAATGAAATTCGGGATGATCATGAAGGAGATGATGAAGAGGTTTTTGAAAATAATTTGAAAGAAGAAATCAAGCAGAAAACTATTCGGAAAAGAAAGAAAAGAAATGATAAAAAAGGTTTGACGTGAGTTGGGTATGTTTCGAGTGTGAGAGAAGAATGAGACATTTTCAGAAACACAATGGAGCTTGCTTTGAAAACTGGATCAAAGAAAAAAACCAAAAATAATCAAAAAAGAGTGGTAATATTTACAATTCATAAAACACAAAAACATTTTTTTACCAGTTCTCCTCCACAAAAACCGATCAACATATCAAATTGACACTTTATTCGGATGTTTCCCCACTCTGGAAAAAATCAGCAACAAAACAACGACAAACTGATGGAGATGAACACAAAGTTGATTTTAACACTGAATCTCATCTTGGTCCAGTATATCATATTTCATCCTACGAATCGGGGAAGAATACACAAAAATATGGTTCTTGGAATATCACTTTAGGTTTGTTTATTTTTCAGGATACTTTTTGTGAGCACCAATGTTTTTCTTAAATTTTTTTGCAGAGCGACATATAGAAGAACGCAAATTGAATGGTGAAAGTATTCAAATTTCTCTAAAAGTTCCTGTAGAAGAAGTTTTTCTCGGATCAAATGAACCAGTTATAGCTTTCCGTGATGAAAATTCTGAAGATTGGAAGAAAGGAGTTTTTACAACTCATACACAATTTGATCAAAGTAAGATTTTCAAATTCAATAAGTCAAAACCAACAAAAGTTTTTAGATACGTTCATTGTTACAACTCGATTATCAAAAATGGGATATGTTGCTTTATTTCAACATTCTGATTTTCATTATCCTTATAAAAAATGGCATATCGAGTTTGGTGAAGAGACAATCAGTGTTAAACTACATACAAACATAGTGGAATTGAATTTTTTGATCGAGGGAAATTATTTTTATCTTGACACAATGGCTGGAGATGAATTCTCAAAATTGCGAAATCTTCATCAGAAAAAGATGTCATTGGCAACGATGATGATGAAAATGGAGAAACACGGTGTGCATATTATACCAAGTGATCAAACTATAGACAAACATCGAGATACGAAAAAAGAGCTTCCTTTGGAAATTTATGCATATCGATTGATTTGCCTTAACCAAATTAATTGCGAATCTTGTCGTATGAATTGCACCGTTTCTTGTGATACAATTGTTTTGACGATTGGAGGTTCTCCAAAAAATATATCAACAAGGTCGCCTGGGAATTTTATCGCGAATTTTGGAGATGCAGGAAAAAAACGAAATATTCATAAAAATATTTTGAGTGTTGCTTCACTTTTTCAATTTCTTATGGTTACTCGACCAATAGTTGTGACAAAATGAGAAAAAAAATCAGATAAATGCCCGGAACATTCCAAAAAGTGAAAATATAATAAATGAAATCTAACAACCAGTTAAGTTTTGATACATATCTCAAGAAATAGGCGGAATTAACATTGAAAATTCATTTGATTTCAATTGTAATGACTAGAATAAACCGTTCAATATTTTTTATTTCATTTTTAATACCATTTTCATATTCAATACCTGAATCTGGTATTTGTCCGCCAGTATTAGATCTAGCTATACTTTTTGATTCATCTGGTGGAACTCCCAATGTTTTTGAACAACAGAAAAATTGGACAATTGGTATTGTTAGAGAGCTTCCTGTTCATCAAGATGCTGTTAGAATCACACTTCTACAATATGCAGAAGAAGTTAAAACCGAGTTCAATTTGTCGAGGTTTTCTGAGAGGAATGATATGATCAAGTATTTTGATGAAATTTCGTTGTTGAGAGGGAATACAAAATCTGGTGGAGCATTACTGCAAGCAGAAACAGAGCTGTTTGATTTAGAAAATGGAGCAAGGTGGGTGGTTTGGACTAACTCGCACTAACTTATCATATCTCACAAAAACATCATGCTCTTCATACTTTTCCTATCTTCTAGACTGAATGCCAATCGCATCGTGATCATTTTCACCGATGGACTTTCAATGGATAATCCAACAAAACCAGCAAAAATCTTGCGTCGTCGAGGTGTCAAAATTATTGCAATCAGTGTGAATAGTATTGGATTTGTTCCCGAAATGCTCGGAATTGTTGGTGATTCTGATAATATTTATGGGTATATGATTTTTCATTTTTTTTTCTCATTCTTTCTCAACTTTTTTATAGACCAAATGATGAGGATCGATTGAAAGAGAGACTATTGAATGAGGTGGAAAAGTCAAGATCTTGTGAAGTTCAACCAAAAAAACTGACAAAAACTACAAGCAGTTTCACAACGACTAAAGCAACTGAAGCTCCAGTTATTTTTGAACCAGCACATGTTGACAATGTTGAAGTTGAAGATGATGACGAAGATGATGAGAATCATATTGATTCAATCAATGATATCATTCCAACAGAGTCAACTGAGGGAACAAAATCTACAACAACAACAGAGACTCTTTCAACAATAACTTCAAGTTCTTTGCTTGGTAGTAGAATTATTGCCAAGAATAACACAGTGGCTGATGAGTTAGATAAACTTGGAAATGAAACAGCGAAACTTCTCAAAGAAATTGAAGACGAGAAAAATGGCTTGGCTAAGCTTATTGAATCTACTTCAACATTGAAAACTACTTCTACAAATGCTCCATCTACGACCAGATTTTCAACACTCCCTACAGTTTTGTCTTCTACAACCTTATCGTCTGCAAAACAAATTACAAATACCAAAATTGAAAAACTTTCTAGTACTCGATCATTTTTCAATACAAGAGTTACATTCCGCCCAGTCACTACATCAACAAAAACTTCATCTACTCAAGGTTTAACAACAGTCATTCCCTCTACGGAAAAATCTACTAAAGTGACAACAAATTCACTTCCTACCCTCAAAACTGTCTCATATACTCCAACAGCAACACCAAAGAAACTCACTACAACAGTTCAAACAACATCTTCAGTGCCACCTACACTTCGAACATCTTTACAAACCACTTCAACACCAAAACCCACTCAATCAACAACAGAATCAACATCTCGAAAATGGACACCAACTGGAGTTTTCAGAAGAACACTCCCTTCTGTAACAGCTTTCCCAACATTGCTAGCAATGGAAAAATCAGTGACACTTCCAATAAATAAGAATATTGTAGATGAGACAAAATCACAACAGAAGAAAAAGATTCGAAGAATTATAAAGAGAAGAAGAAATATTCCATCGAATTTGGAACATGATAAAATAACAGACAGTGTTATTGAAATTATTCCAACGACACCGACGTCACCTGCTAAGTTTTCAAGAAATACTTTTCAACCTGAGATTACAGAAGAAGAGGAAATCGGTGAGTATTTTGAAATTCAAAATTCCTGAAATTGTCTGCTAAAAATTTATTTTCAGTTCAACCTGGTGTTCAATGTCCAATGGATATTCTATTCGTTGTTGATAGCTCTGGTTCGATCGCTCAAACCTATGACACACAAAAAGATTTCCTAACAAGCCTTATAAAACGCGTTGAACCATCTCGAAGCCATCGTGTTGGTCTCATTCAATTTGCTGGTCCACATTTGCAGAAAATGGAATGGTCTTTTGATACACATTCAAAGAATTCACAGCTTCTTTCTGCTATTCGAAGTGTCCGACATTTAACAGGAACCACATATATTGGAGCTGCTTTGGAACTTTCTTTGATATTACTTGATTCGAGAAGAAAACATACTGATACAACGGTTATATTAGTTAGTGATGGATTTTCTCAAGATGATTCTACACAACAAGCAAAACTTCTTCGCCAACTTCCAAATGTTAAAATGTATGCAATTTCTATGAACACCTTGACAAACACGTGAGTTTTCATTGGAAAATTTGAACCGTATCGATGTTCTTTTTTATTTTTCAGCAAACAATTGACGGATATTGTTGGTGATCGAAAAAATGTTTTTATCAATGAAGAAAGCAAATGGTTTGAAGAATTTTTCACAAAAAAATTGAAATGTGTTCCAACAAATAGATGAATTTCATTTTTTTTAAATTTATATTGTTTTTTTTCGAATGTTATACATATTTTTATGGGTTACTGGCTTAATAAACATTTTAATTTATTGAAGAAACAACTAAATAAATATTTCCCGGAATATTCTGGGAAAAATTACGGTTCTTTTATTTTCCCGCAGAAAACCGGAGCAAAAACAATAATTTTTTTCTTTTTATCTCATTTTCTCATTTTTCAACATACAAATATGTGTGCAACATTATTTCTCTCGATAAAAAAGGGGAGAAACATTTGTCTGTACACTGCGTCTCTAACCAGAAAAGATGAGAAACATTTTGCAATAGCGCGCGTTTACTTCATTGTTTGTCCCTGTTTCCCCCTTCATTTGTTTTTTATTTTTCGCTCTTTTCCATTTTTTCCTTTTTTTTCTCCATTTTTCGCCTAAATTCAGTAATTTTCAGCGGGTTATCAATATGTATCATATGCTACCGTTTGCATATCGTCCAGAGATAAAAGCATCACGGAGGCAGCATGGTGCATTTCAAAATATGGTTGCTGAGCTAGTCGAAAGAGTTTTGTTAGAAACAGAAATTGTTGATATTGATAACCCGATCGGCAGCAAATTATTCAATTCAATTGATAGATTTTTCTCTTATGGATTATTAACGGCTGACAAAGCGTATTGGCGATGTGTTCAACAATATATTCCGCGAGCCGAAAAAGAAATGTTGATTGCTGAATGTGGCAACGCTAATGATAGGTATTTATCGATTGGTTGGTTGAAAACCGCGTTCAACAAAGGCACTTTGCACTTCTATATGCTTTCGCTGAATAATAAGGATAATAAACATTATTTGACTCGATTTTATCACGAAAATGCTTGTATTCGTAATTCTGGTTTACTTGAAGCGATTACTGGATTCGTTGAGAAATTTCAACATGTACAATTTGCCTTCTATGTGAGTTTGTCTTATTTTCCTCCACTAATCTTCTTTTCTATTACATATAAGATGATTTCAGAGCACCCGACAGTTGCGTATTGAGCCAGCTCCTGCAGTTGTCATAGAAACTGCACCAGTGACATTATCATTGCGAGCCGCTGCAAGACAACGAAAAATGACTGAATGTGAAATGCCAAATGAGACAGTGAAAAATGTACTGCCAACAGAAGTTCCAGCAATTTTGACATCAGCTGTTGATCAAGAAGTTTTGCTAGATGAATTGGTGAGAAATCGAAGGAATCGATTGTATTCGGAGCAAGTGAATGCGCAAAAAGCAGCTTATGAAGAGGAAAATTGTTCGGAGCAAATTGAAATTCCTGTTGTTGAAGAACGATTAGAAGATGTTAGTGTTTTTTGGGATAGATTTCAAGTTTCAAATAACAACTGAAAAATGATTCTTTATAGGTTCTTGTGAAAACGATGTCTGCTATCAATATGGATTTGAATGCTGCCACACCATTGGAAGATGTTTTGCTCCAAGAGCCATTCGAAGATGAAGAACATCATTTCAAGTTATCTGAAGGTGAATTCCAACTTCCACAAGGTGATATCTTCAATCTAGCAATGAACTATTACGAAAAGCATTCCGAACGTATCAAAGAATCATTCACTATTTTCGAAAACTTTCACGGCGATGCGAAAAAATTGCGATTCTTCATTATGACCAACTTTAATGTATATATACTGAAACAAAATGATGATGCTCAAAATGAAAATGGGAATACATCACCAAGTCCAGTTGCTGGTAGTCGATATAGTCCAATTCTTCGTCTTCCACACGATCGAATCGAATGTATTCAAATGGGTATTGATAATCTGTCATTTAGTCTTGTATCGAAAGATGGAGGATTTTTCGTGTATGATACTGCAAGTGGAGAATGCGAAGAACAAGAAATGTCGTATTCTGCATCGATTTGTAGCCACGATGCGGGTGTTCGTATGTTGAATGCACTTATGCAGGTAAATTTTTACTCGAGCTGAAGCTATTTGGAACCTAATAATTCGGTGTTACCTTTCAAGATCCCCCTATGCTTTTCAGGTCACAAACTTCTCTGATCGAGATCAAAAAATTGATCTACACGTCGATGATCGAGAAGCCTACATGATTTTGCTTCAACCAAGTTTAACCAAACAAGTTGGCCCAGTCAAAATCAACTCAGGAATTCTATGTTATTGGCTCGAACAATCGGCACACGATGAACAAGCTGTTGATACAGTCTCAGGTTATTTATACAAAAAGACAATCAGCGGAATGAGCAATTGGTTGCTGAAAAATCAAGCTGAACAAGAGCAAAAATATTGCATGATTAGTGGAAAGAAAATGTATGTTTTTGTTGATTCGACATGCAAAGAAGGAGAACAAGTATTCGACTTGACGTAAGTTTGATTTTACAGCGAAAGAACCATTGAAAAATATCCGAATTTTCAGCGAATGTGAATATGTTCAAGAAGGTCGTAATAACTTCATTTTGAAATCATCTCAAGGTTCCTTCGAATTTGAGAGCACTGACAAAGAAGGTTTCTCCGAATGGCTTGGATGTATTTCAAGTGCTATTGAAGATGCAGTAAGTGTCACCCATAGTTCAAATTATTTCAAAAAACAATGTTTTTTTCAGGGTTTGCCAACATACCTTACGCCTGCTCTAAACATCATCACCGACGAAGGTTTCTTTATTCTTCAGGAAGGTGAAAAATTCTGGACCGATGGATTCATTCGATTTTTGCACAAAATTGAGAAATCAACAATTCAAGAATGTATTTTGGTTTATCCATCAGAAGAAAAAGTGATGTTTGGAAATAAACAATCAGCGATTTGTGTTCGAACAACAAAAGACGAACTACATTACTTTTTCGTGAGATTTGCATCAGAAATCAATCGAATTGCTATTATAATAAGGGACAGGTTTCAAGGGATCCCAGTTGTTACATTGGATACGGAAATGGCCAAGGTTTGTTATCTGATTTAGTTATTGGTGAAGCGAAATTCAAAATTGAATTATTTCAGACTCCTCTTGGCAAGAAGATCCATGACACATGTTGCTCTGTTTTAAATCTTTGGAAGGAAGTGTAATTATTCCTGTATTATATTGTTCTGTTTTTTCACTTTCACTTCCATCTTTTTTTATTTCTTGTATTATAATTTTTGCCATCTTTATCTGTACTTACATGAAAACTCTCCGGTCGAAAAATAGGATTTCTCTTCTCTCACAGGGCCATTAATTAAGTTTCAATTTTCTGTTTTTTCAAGTAATTTAACTTTTTTTGTGTTTTAAAAACACCCTCCAATCCCGATTTTTGTTGTGATTTGTTTTGTTTTGTTGAATCAGACGATCTTTTTCTCAAGTTAATAATTTGAATTGTTTCGATTTTGTTTTTTTTCCAAAACTGAAAAAACAATCGGTTGAAATATTACCGTTTGATATCTTTATTCATCCCAAGATCAATATAATCACCATTTTTCAGCCTAGTTATGGATAACAATTTAGCCGAACCAGTGGAAGAGATTCCATTTGATGTGGATATGGATAGTAACGATGAGGATAACGTCAACGAGTTCAACTATGAAGATCATTATGGTGATGATATCGAAGTGGATGAAAGTGGAAGTTCAGATCACAGTGAACCAAAAAAGAAGCGATCGAAACTTCTCAATTTGCCAGCAGATCGACTTCCGGAAAGATATGTGCAAGAATTTGAAGGAGGAGAGGAGATGTATGAAAAATGCGAGCATTCTTATATGAAAATCAAAAAGCGCACACTTCACGTTGTTGAATCACGTGAAAAGCCAAAAATTCCAAGTGTGATTCAGCTTAATGTCAGTTTAATTAAAAATATATAAATGATAATGTTTTGTATTTTTCAGATGGAGAATCGTCGTGTTACAACAAATATTGACTGCAATAAGTACTACATGAAAGTTCCTCAAAAACACAAGCCATATGTCACCAAAACTCGGATCGTACCAGCTGGATATGCACCATTCAAAGCTTCAAAGACACAACGAAGAAATGTTAGCGCATATATCAACCAAAAAATTCGAACCAAGCAAGATCGTGAGTTGTTTTTGTTTTGAAAATCATTAAAATATACATTGCATTCAGGTAAACTTGCAAAACGTCTGGAATTTGAGAGAAGAACTGAACGTCAGAAGAAACTTGAGGAAGAAGAAGTTAAAAGAGGGCAGAATGTGAGTATGATGTTGCAAAAATACAATTGACGAAGGTTTATATTTGTATTATTTCAGATCGAAGATCTTCGTAACAAACTTCTTGATTTGGATAAACAGAAACATGATTTGTTCATTAGTTTGAAAGCTTGTCTTCAACAAGAAAACTTCTATAAACAAGTTTTGGAAGAAGAAAACAGACGGCTTGCAGTTATTGAATTTTTCCGCAACGAAAATATTGATAGTAATCAAGGCACTTCAAGTTCAAGTCTGATTCAAAAAGATCAATGTGGAAAATCAAGAAACGAAATGATTGCACAATACAATGATCTTCTCGGAAAAGTAATCGAAGAGAAAGGAATTGAAATTGCAAGACTTGAAGCGCAACTGGCGGTTGATCAGGCTCGCCTTACAGAATTGATGAACAAGTTTGGGCCTGTCGTAATGACGGAGGATGAATTGAGATCTAAAATTAGAAAATTGAAAGAAAGTGAATGCGATGACCGAGACGAAGACACATTATTCGAGTTATTGAAGAATTGTGTTCAAATCAAAGAAAATCCAGAGCCTTCTGAGACATTAGATGAAGTCCAACGACACACAATATTTGACGATTTGAAACATTGGCATCAAAATTATACAAGTGGACAAATGCAGGGAGAACAAAGAAAATTGTTCATTCGTTCGATTTTTTGCAACCCTCTGAATTGTTTTACATATAAAATACGCGGAAATGTTCCATCAAACATTGAAGATTATGTTTTGATAAACCAATTTTGTGAAGAAGCAGATCCATGGTTTCCGGAATCAATCGATAGTAACAATACCCAGGCGACTATTCAAAAAACATTGGACTATATCACTGAACGTTTGGCAAAAGATCTTATCACAGTTTCCGAAAGAGTGTTTGTAGATGAATTGAAAGATTCTTTGAAAACAATTCTAGAAATTATGTCGTCACAAGCTGAACAAAAGGTTGATGACACTTCGAATCTGGTTGAGGAACACCAAGGAACAAGTGATTCATTGGAAAATATTCTTGAAAAAGATTTGATTCCAAATATAAAAAGAGAAGAGCCATCTGAATCTGTGGAAAGAAAAGGATTTCCATTTGTTTGTGTCAAAAAAGAACCTTCTGATTCACCGGCTGCTTTCTCTATGGCTCTACAAAAAGATATTGCAAGAGATGCTGATGATTCTCAATTATTCGAGCAAGAAAAAGAAGAATCAATTTTGAATCAGAGTAATGTCTCACAACCAATGGTAAGAACTTTTTCTATTTGGAATTATGTGTGACTTAATTTTATTTTATTTCAGAAAGAAGTTTTGCCAGTTGAAGATCAAAATGTGGTTAATCAAAGTGATGTTCTTGGAACAATGCAAAAAATCAAACAAGAGCTTTTGGAGGAAGAACTTTTGAATGTGGAGAATGATCCAACTTATGTGAGACCAACTGAAACACCAAATTCCGCATATTTACTCGACGACAACGATGATGATATATTGATTGATGAGCAACCAAATATCCCACAACAAGTAAATTTGCAACCAGCGGTGGAACAACAAGATGATATATCAGATGATGTGCTGATTGATGTTGAAAATAGTTTTGTTGAAGAGGAAGAACAACCAACAACATCTCAACCAGTTTGCGCATTGCCACCAGTTTTTGATCAAGCACAGTTAATTCAGCAACAACAACAAGAAATGATCAAACAACAAATGGAGTTGCAAAAACAGCAACAAGAAGCTTTCCTTCTTCAAGAACTTCAGAAACAGCAAATGCAATATCGTCAACAACAGGAAATACACAAACGTCAACAACAAGAAATACAAAATCAGATGACGATGTTGCAGGCTCAAGAACAGTTGCGTGCTATTACTCAACAGCAAATTCCTATTGTAGCACCACCAATGATGACTATTCAATCACAAATGATGCAAATGCAACGGCCAATGTTCCCAATTATGCCGCAAGTTTACCCAACTCAATTTATCAATCCCGTAAGTTTTCTAAAATTTTTAAAAATTTCAATCGCATTGAATTGTTTTCAGTTCCCCAATGAAATTCAATACATTGGAGCATTCGGCCCAGCTTTTGGAATGTAAGTTTATTTGTGTTCATAAAAAAATTATATTTGTTTAAATTTCAGGAATCCAACGGGTTTTCAACCAGCTTTGTTCACTCCACGCCCACTGTAAGTTTTATTGTACCCAAAACCACAATCAAAATTTAAACTTTTCTTTTCAGTGATCGTGAAATCAAACAAGAAGTTATCACACCACCACCAAACGATCAAATGTAATCAACTTATTTATTTTACCAACCCTTCCAAGATCTTTAATGCCAAATTACCGGTACTTATTGTTGTATATTTTATTGATTTTCCCCTACTGTTATATAATCCCCCGCCCCCAAAGTTACCAGTTCAGACAAAATAAAATAGCTTTTCTATTTCACTGGTTGTCAACAGAGATTCCAAAAAGTAAAAAAAAACGTTTGAAGATGAGTAACATTACATATTTCAGATAGTTCTGAAATTTGAAATTTTCTGGTCAACTTAAAACATTTTTTTAGAACCAACAAAATTTTCAAAAAAAATTCAATAATTTTGGATCAATTTGAAAAGATTAGTTGACAGAAGTGAAAGTTTGCCAGAGAGTATTTTTAAAATATATTTTATTTTTTCACAAATATGATATCAAAAATTATATTATTGATTTTGATCTTCAAATGTTCTCTACCCGATTCCGTAGAGACTTCTAATGATCTTCTGGACCATGAAGGACATCGTGTGAATTTTTTGAAGTTTTGCAAAGTTGTAGCTCCAAAACTCAAATCAATTATGTTAGAAGATTCATCTTTCGTTCAGAAAAAACGCGATTTTTTCAAACTTGTGTTAGAACCTCTTGTGCCAACCAAAAAGAAATCAATAATCAGTTTAGTTAATCAATTGATTTATGTTTATGGAAGAATTCCGGAAAATGTGAGTGATAAATATGAATGGGTGGATTGAAAATTAATTTGTTTCAGTTCCAAACCTTGGCTGTCAAAATTTATGAAAAGTATGTCGAGGGGAAGTTCAAGTTTGATGAAGATACTTTTGAGAAAATTGTGAGTTATATTTTTTTGTGAAATTATTTTCAACTTACAATTTTGAATCAGAAATGTTTCATATTTTGTTTACAATATTTTTTTCAGGTTGCAAGTTTTAATAAACAATATGAACGCGGGAATATGATGAAAATGTGGAACTCAAAAAATGATTTTGATCGAACAATTCCAGCTTTTCGTGAAATATTCTACGTTGATTATGAAGACTTCAATGAAAGTTCTGAAGTAGAGAAGAACATAATCGCAATTCTAAAATATATTTTCGGTGAAACTCCAGCAGAAAACTTCCATCAAGAACTATAAAATAATATTCATTTCACGGAGAAAAAACAAGCTAAATTTTTAATGTCATTTCTAAAAAAATAAAAATAAAAGTATCAATATTTTACAACGAATCAACATATGGAACTTGGCTAATATTTCCGTAACTTGAAATCGACAATTTTTTCACAAGTCGTTGGGCGGCAGCTTCAACATCAGCAGTAGAAACATTGGCGATTTGACTGATATAATTGTCTGATGAGGTGAGAAGTTGAGCGGCTCTTTCAACTGAATAAACATCTGAATGAGCCTTGGCTCTCAAAGCATTGTTAAGTGCTTGTTTCTTGACAGCTGGAAAAATATTCTTTATATATATATTTGTTTTGTATTTTTTTTGATAGAAGAGTACCTTCAATATCAGCAACCTTGAATGATTTCAACGCTCCAACAACTGATGAAACTGTGGCAGCAACTTTGTTAGCTTCAGAGACAATGTAAATTCCAGCAAGTCCTGAATCTGAATGAACAGCTTGGAAAGCGTTGACAGTCACATCACTTCCAACAGCTTTGGCGATTGTTCCGTTTGGTTGAGTTGAAAATCTGCAAGCAAAAATATTTTATTCGAGGTTCAAGGATTTGAAAAAGAACTCACTTGACTGGGGATGAATTTCCAAGAGCAGCCAAAAGGACAGCTTGAGCAGCGACAGCTTTAGCATTATTTCCAGCAGCTCCTTCTCCAGCAACAATAACATGGGCAAATTTGTTGTTGGAAGCAAGACGATATTCTCCTCCCTGAAAACATATATAAAAATTGTATAGATATGTGTGTGTTCTTATCTAATATATCCATCATTCTCTGTACAATGTGTAATGAGGTAATAGATTTTTACGCGCGCGTTTAGCTTATCGTATCCGTTTTTGTCGAGAACTGATAACAAAACTTTTCAAGTTTTTTTCTGCCGTGTCAGGTGTCCAGGGTGATGTTCGTAGCAAGTTTTTTGTGATGCTATATAAAATCTGATGGCTTGTGGGTAGAATCATCATCTTTCTTTTTTGGTAAAGATGTCGACTGTCGGCTATTTCGGTGCGGGGCTTTGCCTCGTTGGTGTGTTTTCGGCACTTTTCTCGATTGGGCATATTGTTCAAGACATCAACAATTTGAGAAATGAAGTTGAAGGACGTGTTGATTCATTCAAGATTCTTGCTGATGATACATGGGATCGTTTGTTGATTCTTCAATCACCAACTGGTGAATCTGCCAACAGAATGCTCTCAACTTTCCGTCAAAAACGTTACGTCTACCCAGGAATGTGCAACTGTGACAATAACTCACAAGGTTGTCCAGCTGGACCAGCCGGACCACCAGGACTTCCAGGAAAGAGAGGAGATGAAGGGCGACCAGGAGATATTGGAAGACAAGGAGCCAGCGGAATCTCACTCGCTGTTACTCACGATATTCCAGGAGGGTGTATCACTTGCCCAGAAGGACCAGCTGGACCACCGGGACCACTTGGAGAGCCAGGTCGTCAAGGATTCCAAGGAGTTCAAGGGCCACCAGGACCATCAGGTGAAGATGGAACTCCAGGCCCACAAGGATCGCTTGGAGATAAGGGAGCACAAGGACCAAAGGGTTATGATGGATCTGACGGACCAGACGGACAACCAGGCACCACATACTTCCCAGGAGCTGTTGGACAACCAGGAGAACCAGGATGGATCGGAGAGCAAGGTCTTCCAGGACATCACGGAGAACCAGGACGTGATGGAGAACAAGGACCACAAGGGCCACAAGGAACTCCAGGAAACCCAGGACACGATGCTTATCCAGGACCACCAGGAACACACGGAAAGAACGGAGCTCCAGGAAAAGACGCCAACTATTGTCCATGCCCACAACGTCAAGAAGAGGGAACCACACGTTCCCCACCACCACCACCTCAAACTCGCGCCACTCAACCACCACCAACTCGTGGAACTCAAGCCCCACCAACTCGCGCCACTCCACCACCCCCAGCACCAACAACTCGTGCTCCACAACCACCACAACCATCGGTCACCAGCCCACCAGATACCGGATATCCAACACCTTCTGAGCCAAGCTATCCATCTCCAAGCTATCCATCCCCACCAGTTTATCCAACTGATGTTCCATCAATTCCATCTCCACCACCAACTCCAACTGGACAAGGATACGAAGCTCCATCTCCACCACAAAACGGACATTATAGAAACCGTTATTAATTTTCTCTTTGTTCTGTTTTCCTATCAATAAATTATCAATTTTCAAAAAAACTTACCAAATATGGGCTCGAAGATGTTGAAACTGTGTTGCCTTGAGCAATTGGACTGTAATTTTCAGCATATCTGACGAGCTCTTCTTGCTCAACATTTGTGGCAAATAAGATTCCATTTCCAGAAACCAAATGAGTGTTCTACAAAATCAGAAATTTTTTCTCTAGATTCAGAAAAAAACATACAGCAAAATTGGTCAAAGCGTCATTCGAAAGTTTTCCAATTCTTGAACATGGTGAATAAACTGAATTGGCGAGTCCACCATTTCTATAAGCGGCACGATGAATTCCTTCAAACGCAAAAACAAATGGATTTCTGTAGGCATTATCAGCACGCAATGTTGGGATAACATCTTCTTTTTCCCATGGTTTGAATGCTGGTTGACCGGCAGCGTGTCCGAGAATTGATAAAGCTGTGGCGGTTTCGTCGCGTGGAATTGTCATTGAAACTCCAAAAACATCGCGGGTAGCGAAGGATTTCTGGAAATGCACTTTTAGGTTTGTCGTTCGGATATAGTACTTCAAAAATCAATCAGGAACATCTCCCCAGATCAATTTCAGAAATCAAAAAAAACCCCTACCAAACTAGCTCCAGCGACAGCAGATGACCAAACAACACTGATTCCTGGATAATTTACAGTATCTCTTCCAACATAGTTTCTGAGAGTGTGAACCAATCCAGCTTGATCTGCTTTCTCATATCTTGAACCGGCACGGAATGCAAGAACCTGAACGTAAAATTTACATTTTCAAAAAAAAAACAGTTAGGATAACTCACCAATTGTGAAAGTGGACCGTGTGAATCGATGGTGGCGACAGTTAATCCCGAAGCGATTTTTGTTGTTTTTTCGACTGGAGCAGACGCTGATTTTTTGGCGGCTGTGTGAGCTCCGCGAACCGAAAGACGCGACAACATATCTGAAAAATATCAATATATTCCTGAAATTGTCTGAAATTTTCCAGAACTAGGCCTGAATCTATGAAAAAACCAAAAAAAAACCAAAAAATGGACATAGCAAACCAAAAGCGTCAATCCCAGTAGAAGACTGACGCATTTCTAATAGGCGCATTGTTGAGAGACGCAGAAAGTTAGAGAAAAGGATGTCCCTGTGACAAGAAGCGTTGTTTGCTTTGGAGCGTATTTGCTCCATTAATTTCAATGGAAAAAATAATTTACGATTTCGCAATAATTTTTTATAAAATATTTATTTTAAAATAAAAATAGATAAATAATATAGAAATATATTTATGTTTTTGATAAAACGTGTAAAACATGGATAGAACTATTGTTAGAAAGTCGGATTGAAGGTTTTCCACGTGGCGGAGTTGTTTTGACAATTGGTGTAGCACGATCCTAAATAACGGTGAATTTTCAAATCAAAATAAATCAAATATGAATTCATTACATCAGAACCTACCGCCGTCTTCAACTTAACCACAAACGCTCTTCTTCGTTTATCAGATCTCAACGGTCTAGTATATCTATAAAGGGATAGTAATCTTTCAGAAGCTGATAAACTTTGCTCAAGCATCAATATAACTTGAGCCCATTGTCTTTTCCATTCTTTTTCAGTTTCAGCGATTTTCTCATATGTTCTAGTCATCATAGCAATCAATAAATTGAGCAACATAACAGTTACAATAAGTTCGAATAAAACGAAAAATAGTTTTGCCAATAATCCGATATCACTTGGGCAATCATTGATACTTTTATAAATGCTTCCAAATTCTCCAACACTCATTATAAACATTTTCATAATAGCTTCCATTCCATTTGGAATTGTATTTTCAAAACGTTCGGTTTGATTTCCTGATAGCATTGGATCTTTGTCAATTTCATTTTGGGCTCGTTCGCAGGCCATGAATATCATATAAAATGCTGAAAAATAAGTTGCAAAAAATTAATTCAGAAAAAATACCTTGAGCAAAACCCATTAGAAAAAATGAATATATAAGAAGAAATCGAAGCATATCTCGAACAATAATTTTGTAAACCATCAACACAAATGGACCAACAAATTTCAAACTTCTGAAAATCATTTTTCTTTCTGAAATCATCATAAAAATTAGACCCACCGACAATAGAACAAAAAATGAAGTGTGCTCATGAAAACGATACAAATCGCTAGAAAGTTTTCGATTGCTAGGAAGTTTTTGTTAAGATTACAACCGAGCCGAAAAGGGATTGTGCAAACGACCAAAATTTGGCAAACTTTGTGAAGAACTTTTTCAGGGAAAGCATTCTGGAACACTACTGTTTGAAGAAAAATAGAAAATCATATACTCACAATTGATTTCCACCATCTACTAAACCCTGTTCGATTTGCATCGATGAAATCTTTGAAAGATCTGACAAAAACAGCGATCAAGCATAAAATTTCACTGACCATCCGGATCTGAAAATAAAATATTATTTTTATTGTTAGTCCAACACAAAAGTTTTGTTACCTGATGTTTAGTGCTTGAAGTATAATCCCAAAGATGACATTGTGGAGGTAATTGATTTTGTCGCATATATCTATTTGCTATTCTTTTTTTTGGAGCAGGCCAGCCTGAATATGCATTAGCTAAAATATTAACTATATCATCTTCATCATAATATTCTGTCCCATTCATTCGATCGAATTCAGTACGCTAAAATAAAATTCGATGATTCATAACTTTTTGAATAACAAACTCACAAATCCATGTGCATCTCTCGTCATAAATGCGGTATAAAAAACAAAAAGGAAATAAATATACCCGGTCAAACTTATGAATAATTGTTTTTTACCAAAAGTTTCCCATTTTGATTCCAAGACTTCTTCGATTAAACCATCGAAAAACTCAAGATGTTCAACTTTGTCCTGAACTTTGCTTTGATTTAAAAAAAACACTGAAGCCTTTCTTACCCCATAAACAACGTTGGCAATAACAGAATTTGGATTGAGATCTCCATCACTTTCTTGAATCGTGTCAACATCGTGAAGAGGATATGTTTTGCAAACAACAGGACCATAACGCCAGGAGATATCCATGTCACATTCAAGAATCAAATCGTAAATCTAAAACAAAAACGTTATGATATACCTAACCGCAGTATTACTTTTTTCTTGGCAAGTCGGGCAGCAAGGGCAAGTGGAGTTAGCTTGAGATTGTTGCGAATGTGTAGATTTGCTCCAAGTTCAACAGCCAACATGAACATTTCCTGGGAAAAAATTGAGCTTTGGTATTAATATAAAAAAACAGAAAACTCATGTACAGGTAGATCGTGTATCACAGTAAGATGCAAAACTGTATTTCCATTGGTATCTGGCATATTTGGATCAGCCTTCATCGCTCGAAGAAGTCGAAAGCAATCTGTTTGATTTGTACATGCTGCAAATGACAAAGGATATTCTCCCCAATACATTTGCCCCATATATTTGGTGTTTTGAACAAGATCAACCCATTCGTGCTCCAATGAATCAGTGCGAGATGCTTTTTGATCATCGGCACAGAAAAATGAGCCATAACATCTTTGATGCACATCAGCTCCTTTTTTACATAGGAAGTAAACCATTTCTAAATCTTCGTTGACAATTGCTTGATGAAGTGGGGAGAGGCCTAGGTAGGAATTTGATTTAGGAAAATTATATTTTTTGAATATGAGTAGTTATTCTTACCATAATATTCTTCAGAAATGAAAATATCATTAACAATTTTTGGAAATCTATAAACCATTTGTTTGACGAGTTCATTCATATCTGCGGTATTCAAAAGCATACAAATATGCAATAAATTTTCACCAAGTCTTCCACGTTGATCCATATCCCAAACAAGTTCTCGATATTTGAAACTTTTTCGTCCTTTGATCATACCGCCATCCAGAACTTTGAGGGCTAGAAAAATTATGTTTAATGTGTTTTTATACGTATAACAGAATACCTTTCAAAAAATCTCCAGATGATAAGGCGTCTTGATCAATATGTTCAAGAATATTAGGGCCGCTTTTTCCTCGACCTTTTTTTCTGCGAAGAGCTCCAAGTTCTGCGTTTCGTTGCTTGTTTCGAATCATAACTAACTGGGAAATTGGAACAAGTTTACCTTTTCCACCATTGTAAAGGTAAGCTTTGACCTGAAACGAAAATAAAATGGATAATTTTTCAGAAAAAAATCTGAAATTGTTTGGAGGGGAAGGTTTTTGAGAAAATGAATGCTTTATTTCCAAGCTACAATTTTCAACCTAAACAAAAACCTCAAAACTTACCGCAGTATCTAAATATTCTTCAAGAATACTATAATCTCCTGATGATCTTGCATATTTAATCCACGGCGATAAAATACCTCCACCCTGTTCATCTACCAAAGAATACAAAGTTGATGGAACATCCGATGAATTAAACGACATTCTGGCTAACTGAAATCACAAAAATATACACGTCATTTTTTTGCCAAGAAAAAAAAGTCAAAAGAAAAAACATGTTGCTTTTATTTCACACATTTATGTAACAAACCCATTTAATCTTGCTAAAACGTTACAGAAAATTTGTTAATCCATGAAAATTGCTTTTTTTCTGCTTCTGTTTCTTCATTTTGTATTTCTTTGCCAACGTTTTAATTAAAAATAATACAAATCATTTACTACAAAATATAATATTTATTTGATTAATGAAATGAGAGGCAGATTCTTGTTTTATTATAGAAAACATATTGGGGAACTTTAATTACACATTTGGTTTTTCATCACTCTCATCATCACTATTTTCAGCAACGATTCCTTCTTGATCTCCAGGCAACATGGTCCGATCAGCTCGCTGGAAAAAAAAGAAACATGAAATAAAATATTGATTTTTAGAATTACCTTATAACATTGATAAGTTTGACTTATTGCGTACCACGAATACAAACTCAAAATAAACGAGAAAACAACAATAATCAAAGCAATTCCAGAAACAATTGCTTGTGCTGAAAAAAATATACATTTATACAGATTCCCTACACAAAAAAAAATAACTTACTTGTATCATCATCTGGGTTCAGCTGATTCATCTGATATAAATCTCTCAAATGAACATTTTCAGAATGATGAGTGATAATTCCATTTGTGGCTGATCCAAAAATACAGAGTGTTATGATGAAGAACATGAGGAATATTGTCAAGACACCCTGGAAAGTATTTGTTGAATGAATCTTTGAAATATTTTGACGTTTGGAATTAATTTTGGTATTGTTTCAGCTTCAAAATTTTTATGAATATTTTCAGTCATCCTAATGAATATTTGAAAAACCTTCTGACTGAGAAAAACACCTTGAATCGAGTTTTTGTGGGTAAAAATGGAAATTTTTGAACAAAATTGTTTTACACCTCAACTTTTTAACTCAAAACTCTCTGAATCAGGACATCGAAGTATTAATTTTAAGTTTTCCTCAAGTCTTTTTAAACTTTCAAATTCATTTCCAAACATCCCTCTCTTAATTTTTTTCAACTCACATGAATAAACAAAAATGGAACAAGATATACAGCTCTCTCCAAAAACACACCATATATCAAAACACTACAATAAATCGTGTAAAACATGCAAAATGTTGAGATCCATAATTTGTCAAACCCAAAAAGCGCAAAATTTAAAGCCGAAACCGTTAAGCATATTCCAAATAACACAATTGAGAAAAACTTGGCAGCGGTCTGGAAAAATGTTTTAATGGGTGGATTCGTTATTCTATAAAGAGAATAAAATGATTACTGTAGCATGAAAAAGTCCGCAACAAAGTTGATAATCTGGATCGGGTCGAATCAAACCATTCGGAGAATAACTTCGAATAACTGTCATTTGAGAGAGAAAAATGATCGATTGATCCAGACAGGCAAATGAAAAATTGTGAAGGTAAAGTCAAATAGTTTTTGCCATCCATTGTTTTATTTGCTTGGTTTGTGCTTACTTCGATATTTTTGTATGTGTGTCTGTTTGTATAATGGTCGGGGCAAGAAAAAGGAAGAAGAAGGAAAAAAAATAACTCCTGACCTCATCGTCGATTTCCTTTTTACAACTGTTATCTATTCTAATCTTTTATACAAACTTTGTGGTGGCCATAAATGATGTCTATTATGATAGTAGGAATACTGTACCTGTACCAAGTTTTTTCTCGAAAAACTGTGTGAGTTCCTGAAAAAATATTGGCTATTATGTACACAAAGTAAATTTTCCTTGGGGGAATAACTTGGTCAAACATTTTTGCAGATTTGTAAATTATAATTTTCATGGATCAATTCATTTGAAGAAAAAAATGAATTTTTCACTGTTGTATAGATCTGGTCACATTTTGAGGCCTCTTTGTAGTATTTCAATATTTTTTTCCCAAATAGACCACTCAAAATATTCCAATATGTTTCAATGAATGTGTTCCAATATTCATGAGTTCATTATAAGTAATCTGATACATTTTTACAAAAAAGTATCAAGTTACCTTATTCAAGATATCTTTACGTATGTGTGTATATGTATATAATCTTTTAGTATTCTGATGCATATCTTTGAATGTACGTATGTCTATGTTATAAAAACACTGAAGATAATTAAAATTTTGCAGCTGTGCTTGCTCATAAGACAAGAAAGATAATCCGATTTGAAAATGACGTATTTTTGCTGTTCTTATTACCTTGATTCTCGTAATATCCGGTGCCATTCCATCCATTTTATTATATTTCCTTCATTTCACTCATTCAGCCATTCATCCATCTATTCTCAAAAACAATTATAAGCTTATGCCTTCTCTCCGTGGAAACCAGATGTTCCCCTCATCCGATCTTGAACGTATAGCAAAATGGAAAGGCTTCTTTATAATTGGTAGTATACGTTGAGCCGCTTACACACCCATCACTAATATATATGGTGTATGTATATTTAAGTAATACACCACACCAGGTGTTCACATCGGAACAAAATCCCCCTCTAATTTTAAATAAACACACATAAGCAATGTTTTTATAAGGTTTCTGGGGGATAATTATGGGGGTTTGTAGGAGATGGAAATGGTGAACCTTGGTGGGATTGAGAAGGAAGCAAATCGAATTGAGTTTTTTAAATGATAGTGAGCTTTCAATTTTAAACAGACAAGCTGAAATATTTGGAAAAAAAAGATCCTAGGAAATTAGTGATAATTTAAAAAATAACGATTTCATAAAGGATCAGAATTCTAGCTCACCGGAGTTTTTCCAAGTTGCTCTGTAATAGCCCTAAATTTCATAGATTAGCCAGGGTGAGTGAATCTATTTGTGAAAAAATCCAAGCTCCAAACTCTACGGTAAACTAAAAAGATTCCTTGTAATAAGAAAAACAGAATTTTGTAAAGCTGTCAAAAACTTTCCATTGCTCTCTGCGTTTTTGAATGTTTCATAGAAAATTTTTCAAGTTATTCAGATTAATTCTTTGTGATCTGCTATGATGGAAACACTTCCAAAGTTGCATTATGACCGGAAATCTGCGATTTCTAAAAATATTTCGCACGATCTTTTGATTTTCCCATTTCTTTTCTTTCTAATTTCACAAGATAGTATGTTTGTATTTTCTTTTTTCTCCCATCTCCACATTTCCGAGTTCGTTGAACTTGATCCCATTTTTCAAACATTACAACATTAAAAAGAGCGCATCCAACTTTCTCAGGTTTATTCTCATTACGGGTACATTTCTTTCAAAACTCAAATGTAAACCCTCATGGAAAAAACCGAAGAAAGAGTTGCAAATCAATTTCTCTCCTCCAGTAAATGTTACCATTGATCTCTGAATCATTATTGCTACGGGTACAATGAGCTAATATTCATTCCATGTAACACATAACAAATGGTTCAAAGACAAATGGCTAACTTCAGAATAATAAGAGAATACTAATAAAATATAGAAGAATATAACTGCTGCTCGTTTTTCGAAAACGAAAAGAACACAAATGAAATGACCAGTGGCTAAAAGGGCGGGACGGGGGCCAGCAATCTTGACCACGCCCACATTTCTTCCTTCATTTTATTGTCTGCGTCTCCAAAGTGGTGAGAGATTTGGCGAAAGGAAGAGGAAGAGCTTGGAAAATTGGGAAATTGCACTTTTTGCACAACAAGACAATTTTTATTTTAATAAATATATATATATATATATATATGAATATATACACATGTAATGAATATATGTGATGTGCATCAAAAGAGATTAATAGTACTTTTGGATAGAAAATGGAGATTTGCATAAAATTAATGAAAAGGTGTGGGAAACTTGTATATATTTTTGAATAGAATCTTTTTTGTGTATAATACATATATATATAATAGCAAAAATATATAATATAGATGTGAACGAGAAAAACAAACTAAAAAAATTTATTACACAATTTTTTTTTCAAAAGTGGACGAACATTTTTTACACTTTGCTCTGACAATTTTTCTTCAATTTTTTTAATCATCGTATAGAAAACGAACGGAATGAGAAGAGGAAATGAAGGTTTTTTTGGAACCTTTGATGTTGGATGATTTCTGGTTGGCAATTTTTTGGGGTTGTTTGATGAGAGCTTCCTAGACCAAAATTTGTAAGGAATTCGAGATTTGAGAACATAAAAATTAGGCATTGTACAGCGTTTTGGATCGGGCTTTCTTTGGTAGAATCGTTTTGTTACAAGATAACTATTTCAGCTTTCACTCTAGATTTTTAATAAAATATATAATTTAGAGTAGTTTTCGACCCGCTGATCACTATTCTGTCATTCAAAATTGCAGAAATCAATTCCTAATATGAGTTATAATGTGTTAAAGTTCAAAAATTTCAAAAAATGGGATTTTTGGAGCTGAAAAATTATTTTCATGAAAATCTGATAGGATATAGTTGTTCAGTAGAGTCGATAACTTAATTTTTAGAAAAAAATATTTTTTTTTCATGGAAAACGTTAACTCGGGTCATTTTTTGCTTATGTAATCTAAGCATCTAAACTTATATAATCGACATTCCTAAAAAAACCTATAGTTTAAAAAAGAATTTTTGAAAAATTGTTTTGAGAAGAACGCTGACAATGAAAAAGTGACAACATCAAACATTCAGAATAAACAAATCAGAGAACTACTGAAAATTTACAATTTTCTTTCTGAAAAACAAACATTGCTCAAATCATCAAATGATTCCACATAACCTAAATTTAAAATTTTGCTTTCAGAAGTTATATTCCTGTTTTCTTTGTGACTTCTTGTAGTATCAAATCATTTGACTAATATAACTTTGTGATTTTTCAATAACTTGTGCACTTGTTTAAATAAACCCAACTTTTGTATTTTTTGAAAAATCATAATGGCAAAGCTGCAGTTTTTTTTAAATTTTTTTGAAAGAAAAACCATCTGTGAACATTTTTCGCTACGAACATCCTATTTGTGGTCATAAATAATTATTTTTATTTGGTTATTATTGATATAATTTACAGAAATGGGAATGAAACAGAGTAGGAAAACATTCTACATATAGAAAATAGAATGATGAGTCGGAAGCTGAAAAGTTGAAAACTTCCTCGTTTATTAGACAGCATAAGCTTCTAACCATAAGCAAACCTAATACGAAGAATTAATGAGGGTAATATTATCAATTTTCTGCAGAATTTTTCGATGGAAAAATTATGTAATTCACGGCGGATTCTGAAAAAAAATCCCTGGAATTTCAATTTTTGTGCTTCAAAACAAAAGTTCAACATTTCAACATCCATCAATATTCTATTTTCAGTCCAATGATCATGATCTCAAGAAAAAAAAACAGAAAATGCAGAATAGTCTAATCATTTTTTATTCTGAAAAATATGATTTTTTACACTCAAATCCGGTTTGATATTGTTTTCTGACCATTTATCGAGATATCATAACCCAAATTATTACAGCATATGTTAAGTTTCATTTTTTCTCCAAGGTGACCATGTTTTTCTTGTTTTCCCTCTCCATAAATATAATTTGTTTATTAACGAAAAAAATTGAAATCGAAATCGAAATCAACAAAAAAACATGAAAGGCGTGGCTTTTCACCCCAGATAAAAATCTTCTTATCGCATTGTATTTAAAACATCCGCTCTAAAGCCGAAAAAACCAATCATTTGCTATCAAATCCTAAATACAAAAATGTCTCGCAACTACTATGGATTCTTATCAATTGCACTTATTTTCACAGGTTTTCACTTTTTTCCGGATAGTTTTCCCTTTTTCCAATATTGCGTTTTTTTTCAGTAGTATTATTTATTAGTGTGGAAGCAAGATACAAACGACAAACTTATCAATATGACCCATATTTGATGTCTTATGCACATCCACATCCAGGAACAAAAGTTCAACAAGGATATTTGGCCAGATATGCACCACAAGATTGGCCAAAATGGTTAGTTTTTTGAATAGTTTTTCTGGTGAAGCTGGAAAAAATGACCCATTTATATTTGATAAATGACTTTTTGAAACTTTTTATCCCACAGAATTTCGATTTTCCAAGCGGAAATATAGTTTATTGAGATCATTTCTTAAAAACAAAGAATATTTTCTAGTAAGAATGAAAGAGATATAGAACATTTATTCAAATTTTTAAAAATTTTTAAAATAAAACCTTGCTCAGAGTTGAAGAGTAGCAAACTTCTTATAGGGGAATCGAAAAATCTTAGAAGAATATGTTCAATTTTATCTCATAAATTTTGGGTTTTTGAAAATCATTTCGTTATTGTGAAGTTATCAGAATTTGCGAAATTATAGGAAGTTCTAAAAGTTGTAATTTCTAGACCCGAAAAAAATGTTGACCTACAAGCAGTTTCGCCATTGACAAAATGCGTACCATTTGTTCCAAATGAAAAAAATTCTGCAATATTGGCCCTAATTGGATGATTCCTTCGACTAATGAGAGCACAACTAAAATTTGAATGTTTTTTTGGTTACAAACATATTTTTCCTCAATCATTTTCAATAAAAAAAAATTTTCAAGATTCAAATCAACTTCACTTCTCATTCCAAAATACCTTTATTCTTCCAAAAATCAAGAACTTTTCCCCCAAACTGAAATGCTCATTATTTTTTGGGACCAAGTCTTATGAATCCAAGCCGTCCAGTCTTCACATAAGAAACATTTACATACCTCCCCGGAAATATCAGTCAAATATAAATAATTATTTCCAGGTATTCTCGCAACATGATGAAATGGACCGGACACTCTCGCTTTTCTCCATATGAAACCAACGATGTCCGATATCCATCTTGGCACAATGATTTTGTTCATCGTAATGTCTAAAAAAACATTCTCCTTGAACTCATTCAAAATTCTGTTGTTTTTTCCACCATCATGAATTTCCACCAAGACAAACCTCCAATTTTCTCTGTGATCTATTATTATGTTTTTTTATTTTTATTTCAATTTTATTTATTGCATTGTATGTACATACATATGAATGGTTATTTTTTGAAACAGTGTTTTTCATTCAAATCTCTTTTTTTTTTGAAAAAAAGTTCATGGTAGAATGATTTTGCGCACCCTTTTGTGAGTGTATATATCCGGTAGTATAAAGGTGGTTGAAATGAATGAAAAATTTATTGATGAGGTTTTGAAAATGAATAAATATGAGACTTTTTAGAGAATGAAGCATAAGGGAGGGCTAGAGAGGCCAATTTGAGGTTTGAGGGCAACACGGGTTATTATATATGTATTTTATAGAGCTCTCATTATTTTTCCTCTTGTTTTTGTTGCTCTTACACTTTTTATTTTATACATTTTTCAGGATAAGAAAATGTGGACATTTGATCAGTTTTATTCAACAAGGATTGAGAAAGGTAGGGTGAGGGATAAGAATAATTGGGAAAAAAACTTACTCGATCAAGTTTTTTTATATCTTGAATGTTTTTCTTGATTCTTTCCTGGATCACAAGGAACAACACAAATTCAGAGGGAGAAATTTGATTTATTTGTTTACAAAATCTTTTTGAAAACAAGAAGCGAAAAATTTACTCGATCAAGTTTTAAACTTACTCGATCAAGTTTTTTTATATCTTGAATGTTTTTCTTGATTCTTTCCTGGATCACAAGGAACAACACAAATTCAGAGGGAGAAATTTGATTTATTTGTTTACAAAATCTTTTTGAAAACAAGAAGCGAAAAATTTCGAGTTAGAGCTTCATAAATATAATGATATAACTCTGATAGTTTTATATCATCAGCTTTTTTGTTAGATTAATTTAATTTACACCAAAAAATTGATAATTGTGAGAGACACAATATATATCAAAAAGAATTGGAATAGTTGCGTATCAATATCTTGTTTCAGACAAAAATATAAGTCAATTTTTCAGTTAATTTTCAGTTGGTTGATAATTATTGATAAGAACATTTTCTTTGTCAGTTAATCATTCCTACGAACACTTTCTTATTCTTATCGAAACGTTCAAATTTCTTGAAACAATTGAATATTCATAGAACACTTTTCCTAACACTTTTTCCAATTCACATTCTTACTGAATTTTTTGCTAGACTTAACAAATTCAGCGGGAAAATGTAGAACAATTTCGACAATTTTATGTACTTCAAATCTAATTTTGTTTTCCGAATGTTGAAAAAGTTTGTCTGCTCGTTCCAGTCGTTTTTTTTTGAAAACCAGAAGTTTAACTAGTAACATTTCAGAAATGTTTAGTTAATAGCTTGTGATTTTCGATTCTGTCATGTTTCAGAATATTTTGTTTCGAAAATTAATTTTCACCAACTTTCATATTCTATCTGAAAATTAAAACTTGAAAAAGATTAGCCCCGAAAATCTGTAAGTAAATTATTTTTATCAACAAAAAAAAACAATGTCATACCAACCGAATTGTGCAATAAATATCTCTAATTCTCTCACATTTCTCTACTATTCTCTCACTTTTTTTTCATTCACCAATAACAACAAAACGAAATAGATTCAATCAATATCCTCCTCGATCAAGGTCATCTCCATTTAGGCGAATTTTGCATTGGTGACAGTTTGGTCGTGTTTTTCCGCTTTCTTATTTTGCATACGTCTTCGCACTTTTTTTTCATTCACTTTATTCAAAATTAACTTTTTCGGATATCCTTAATGAAAAAGTGTATATATGTATGTATATATGTTTGTTTTGAGTCACGGCCAGAGATTTTAATTAAATTTCCTGATAGTGGGAGGTGGGAAAAAAAAGTGTTTTTTTTTCTTCAAACGGATTTAGTTTCAAAATTGAATTGAGAAAAGATGAAACTTCCGGCTCTTGGTGGTTTTTTTACTCTGAGAATGTTTGAAATCGATCTTGATGATTTGGGAGAAGGAATTGATCGTGAGTTTTGAATATCTTAAGTAGGTCAAAAATTATATTTTTTGTAACCAAGACTTTTCTCACCTCCAAACAAAAGAAACATGAAAAATTAATAACTGTGCCGGCTAATCCAAATATAACATATGTATGTATAAAAAGGAGTGTCCCTTTAAAAAATTGCACACAAATCCTACCTATGTCGAAAACGAGTAATTAGGGGCTCTATTTTCCTTTCCTGCTTGCCTATAGTCTTCCTCTTTCCCTTCTTTCATTCAATTTTCCATGACAACAAAAACCCCTCGAAAATTGATAATTTATATTTTTGGCGCCAAAAAATTATTTTCATATTTTTCTTTTCTTTATTTTTATTTCTGGATGAATGAATATTTGTGTCCATTGTCGTTTGCACTATTTCTTTTTTCCTCATTTTAATTATTCCTTATTAGTTAAAATAAATTCGCGCGAAAAAGTGTGAAAAATTTGTGGTGGTGGTGGAAAAACCGAAAACAAAAACACAATGGGTGGTCAAGGGTGGCCACCCACTTCATAAATCCCTCTTTCATTTCTAATTTTCCAGAGTTGCATAAAAAAGTAATTCGAACCACATTTCTGTTTTTCTTTCTTTTTTTCTACATTTTTTTCTAGAAGGCATCTTTGAATGTGAGACTTTTTCCACAACACAAAAATATTTTTTTTTCTACGTGTGTCAGACATATTTATAAAAAAAAGAAAGAAAAACACTAATTGAATGCCATTCATTTTTTCTAGCTAAAAAATCACTAGATTTACAGAAGAAGGAATGTCGGAAAGGAAAACGACGGGAACACAAACGGTGATTATTATATCATCACTGATTTTGTTGATTGTTGCACTGGGATTGCAAGCTGGTGGTGTTATGTCGCCTAGTTGGCAAGTTGTTGATATTCGCGAATTTAGAGCAACACATTATGTAAGTTTTTTTCGGGAATTCTTGGGAAGGAAAATCTAATTTTAGAAATTAATATCAAGTTTCTTATTGTAATGTTTCAATAAAAAGTTTCAAGATTAATGATCAAATTTGAAATACCATGAAATTTAAGATTTTCAATCATTTCCAAATATTCTGTCGATTCCTCTTCCACAAATATTAGCTTCAAATAATTTTCTTCTTGTTTTCAGCACGGTCTTTGGCTAGATTGTACTCGACCACAATTACTACTTCATAGTAGAAATCAACGTCCAGATGATCTACCTCTTCATTGCACATATAAATTCGATGTTTCCGCTACAGAGGTATATATATTTTCTAATTTCCGGTGTACTTTATGTTTTGCTCTATTATATTTTTCAGATCATTGATGAAAATATTGAAGACATTGATCAAAACAGTGCTGCAGGAGAAAGTGAACACCATCAATTTTATGGTAAAAATATAAAAGATCAGAGTTTTCTTACAAAGATCAATGATTATTTAAGGTTGGCACAAATTCACTTTGGGATTCATGCTAACAGCAATAACACTTGCCTCATTATCTCTTCTTTGTGGAATTTGTGCTCCATGTAATTCGGCTCTTGCTGTTGTTTATGCGATCCTTGTTGCCTTAACAGGTTTGTTATGCTAGAAGTAAATGTTTTGATTTATGTGTTTTTTTTTCTAGTTTTCACAGCGGTTTGTGGTGATGCCATTTTCTTCTTTGCTGCTCATCGAGTCGACAGTAGATTTGTGCAAGGACTTGTTGGAACTTATGAAGTGAGTTGATTCTGATAAAAAAGATAACGTTTTTTTAAAAATGATTGAAACATTCAGGAAAATGAGCTAGGACTGACTTTAATGGTGAATTATTAGTTTTTTCGTATTTTATCAACAATCAAGGTTGAATTCATGATTCACCTGATTGAATTAAATTATAAAGTCTGCAATTTTCCATTCCAAACAGTTCAAGTAGTTGGTTTTTATCTCTATAAATTTTTCTTAGATCTTGATGAGAGAAAACACTATGATTAGAAAAAATTAGTAATGAAAAAAAAGCCAGAGTTCACAAAGATTTATTTTTCCCCGAAAACACAATTCACATATATTCAGAATTTTGATTTTAACTTCATATCATATTCCAAAATGCATTTTTCCATCAAACGGTCTTTTCAGCAAACAATCGGAATGGCCTTCTATCTTCACATTTTCGGATCTCTCATCTCATTCCTTGCCCTAATCATGGCTTCAATCTCAGCATATCAACTTCTTCAAAACAGCGAATCTGATCGACAATCACCAATGCGTGAACTTGCTCCATTACACGAACCACGTTTCGCTAGAGTCTAATATGATCTCATTTTTATTTTATTAAAACATGATATCATACAAACACCATACGGTTCCATAATTGACCATTACTCTTGATTTGAAGTTTTTCATTTTTGCAAATTATTTATTTTTGTTTCGTGAATATAAAAACTGTGACATACTATGAAAAAAAAAAAGAAAGAAGGGAAAGAGTAAAATGAATTGAAAAAAATGCATCCCATTTAGATGGCACAAATTGGTTGGATTTATGGAAAATACAATACAAGTGACTATTTTCAAAGTATTTAGCTCAAGAAATTTATAATTTTTGTAGTATAAAATTGGTTTTTATAGAAACACCGGACAGAACAGCTTTTTCTTCTTCTTTTTTTCGTGCATCTTACAGAACTCTGTAAAAAATAAGGTTAATGTTAAAGTTAAGAAGGGTTTGAAAAGGAAATTCCAAAAATCTATGTATATACAAATGGAAAGAAAACTTAAAAAATAAAAAATAATTGAAAAATAATTTAACCAACCATCAAAATTGATTAGTCCATCTTTATTACCAACACCTTTAAAAAGACCTTGAACGTATCCATCATCGGGATGTTTCCTTTGGCAATCGGCTTGATATTGAGATAGTGAAATATAGCCATCTCCATTAGCGTCCATTTTGTCGAATATTTTTTTTAGTTCAAGCTTAGGCATTTTCTCTAAGTATTCTACAAAATATCAAGGTCTTTAGTGGATTTTTTTCCAAACAGGTTTTACCCAAATACTGACCAGTAAAATCAATAACCCCATCATTATTTTTATCAGCCACTCGGAACTTGTAGTTAATATCTTCTTCGGTTAAATTTGGATTCGCTGCTCTAAATTCTTCCTGGAAAAATGAAAAAGAGAATTATGATGAAATTTCATTCATGAATTACCATTTGGATGAGTCCGTCACCATTTGTATCGATCTTTCTGAACAGATTTATTGTATTAACAACGTGTCCGTCATCTTCCTGAAAATTAGAAAAAAAAGTTCGAGGCAACATTCTGTGTTTTTTTTTAAATTATGTTGAATCAGAGTTGAAAAATTGAAACCTTTTTTGAAATTGTCGAATTTTTCGGGTTCGAATTATATTGTTTCCCGAGAATTCTAACATGTAAGATTGTCGGCTTCATAATAAAGAACAAAGCATGTTGGAGATCTAATCGGGTTGGCTTGATTCAATAGGCCCGATTTGCCAATTCTTCCAAATTCACTCACCTCTTTTTTCTTCTTGGTGTGAAAAAGATTACAAAAGCAGTTCATATTCGTAGGAAAAAAATGAATGGGAAAATGTTGACGTCGTTGGAATCTTTTATCATTGGCCGAAGGTGGAACTGCTACTTACAAAAATAAGGACAGAAAAAGAACGCAACGAATTTTCAATCAATATCTTCGTCGATCATAAGATTTCACAATTGACCATTACTCTTATTATGAAGTTTTTTTTATTTTGGAAATCATTTATCTCTGATTCGTGAAAATAAAAAAATGTGACTTGGTTGGTTGATTTTATGGAAAATACAATACAAGTGACTATTTTCAAATTATTTAGCTCAAGAAATTTATGATTTTTGTAGTATAAAATTGGGCTTCATAGAAGCACCTTACAGTTTTTTTTCGTTTTTCATTTGATTGATTTTTAGTGTTTCTTACGATCGATGATTTTACAGAACTCTGGAAAAATCTGGAGGTATGATGGATTTGAGTTGCCAAGTTTTGATATATAGAAAGCAAACTGAAAAAAATAAACCAACCGTAATAATTGATTCGTCCATCATTATTTTTATCAAACTTTTTAAAAATAGCTTTCATGCCTTGATCGCTCAAAGAATGTCCCGATCTTTGGTAAGCGGCTTGAAGTTCAGATAGTGAAATATAACCATCTCCATTAACGTCAATTTCGTCAAACAAATCGCGAGATGATGGTGGAAGTAGATAAGCACGCACTATCCCGAGGAATTCTGCAAAATATCAAAAACTTTAGCGGATTTTTTTCCAAACTGGTTTCTAAATATACATAACTACATCCCAAAAACTGACCGGTGAAATCAATAGCCCCATCGCTATTCTTATCAGCCGAGAGGAACATTTCATTCAAATCTTCTTCGGTTGAACTTGGATTCATTTTTTGCATCACTGATCTCAATTCTTCCTGGAAAAATGAAAAGAAAAATGATGTTAAAAAATTCATTAATTCTTACCTTTTGAATGAATCCATCACCATTGAGATCGAAGTTTCTGAACAGAGTTTTTAAATAAACATCGTCTCCCACATCTCCGACATCTCTCTGGAAAGTTAGACTTTATAATTCAACTCAAAATATCAATCAGAAATTCTCTCTGAATTTTCAAATAAATGTTGATTCCGCCTATATTTTGATGACACAGGGCAATGAAAAAGTTCGAGGCAACATTCTGTGTTTTTTTAGAAATTTTTTTTTGAATCAGAGCTGAAAAATCGGAACCTTTTTGAAATTGTCAAATTTTCCGGGTTCGAAAGCCAATTTTTCTAAATATACTCACCTTGCTTTTCTTTTTGGTCTGAAAAAGTTTACAAAAGCAGTTCATAATTGTAGGAAAAATAGAAAAGGATGGAAAAACGTTGCCGTTGATAGAATGTTTTATCATTGGCCAAAAGTGGAACCGCTACTTACAAAAAACACACGAAAAAAAACGACGAAGATTCAATCAATATGCTCGTCGATCATGAGATTTCATAATTGATCATTACTCTTGATGTGAAGTTTTTCATTTTTGCAAAAAAATTTATTTCTGTTTCATGAATATAAAAAATTGTGACATGCTATGTAAAAAGAAAGGAAGAAAGGAAGGGGAAAATGGAATGACTTGAAAAAAGTGTATCACATTCAAAAGGCACAAATTGGTTTTTTTTGGAAAATACAATACAAGTGACTATTTTCAAATTATTCAGCTTATAAGAAATATATGATTTTTGTTGGATAAAATTGGTTTTTATAGAAGCACCGGACCTTATTACAGCTTTTTCTTCTTTTTTATTTGATCGATTTTCAGTTTTTCTTACGATTGATCATCTCACAGAACTCTGTAATAAATAAGGTTATTGTTTAAGATGAAGATTTTAAAGAAAAAGTTGACAAGATCTATGTGAATCAAAAAAAAACTGAAAAAAATATTTCAAAAAAAAAACTAAACCAACCATCAAAATTGATTCGTCCATCATTATTTTGGTCAACATGTTTATAAATAGCTTTGATGTCTTGATCACTCAAAGAATGTCCCATTCTTTGAAAAGCGGTTCGAAGTTCAGATCGTGTAATATAACCATCTCCGTCAACATCAAGTTCGTCAAAGACGGCGCGAAGTGTTAGTGAAATTGGATTAGCACGCGCAATCACTAGGAATTCTACAAAATATCAAAGTTTTTAGTGGATCTATAGATTTTTAATGAAAGAAAAATGTTTTGTCAATTTCTATTTCAAACCAAAATTGTTGTCTTGTAAATATATAGTTCCTGATTGAGAAAAAAACAAACAAAAATTCTAGCCAATTAGAGAAATTTTTTGTTTCCAAACTGGTTTCTAAATAAGTACGTCCCAAAAAACTGACCGGTGAAATCAATATTTCCATCATTATCCTTATCAGCTGAGCGGAACATTGCATCCAATTCTTCTTCAGTTGGACTTTGGTTCATTTTTTGCATCACTGCTCTCAATTCTTCCTGGAAAAATGAAACGAGAGAAAATTGATAGAAAAACTGAAGATGAAAAATTTAGAACTAACCCTTTGGATGAATCCATCACCATTAAGATCGAATTCTCTGAAGATGCCTTTCAAATCGTCTTCTCCGATCTCTCCGACATCTCCCTGGAAAATCAAGATTTTGTAAATCTATTTTAGTTCAAAAATAAAAATTGAAAATTTGTTCCAGTTTCTACTCACCTTATTCTTATTTTTGATGTTAAAAACTTTACGAAAAAAGTTCATATTTGTAAAAATGAAAAAAAATAATGGCAAAATGTCGCCGTTGTTGGTTTTTTATAGATTTTTTATAATTGGCCAAAGGTAGAACCGGTAAATAAAAACAAACAGGCAGAAATATAGAGAGACAAAGAAGAGATTTTGCGGTTGAAAACTTTCGATTTTTGTAAGAAAAATGTTAAAAAATATATATTGGGGCGAAATCGACACTAAACAAACATCGATAAAGTTATTCTTCTTCTTATATTTTTGTTGTGACAACGGCTGAAAATAAACACTTGAAAATATTGGAATTTTTTAGAAGTTTATTATGAGTCATAAAAAATTTTGCAAAATGTTTGATTTATGAATCTATGATTAATTTGAATTTTGTTTGTAATTGAAGAAAGACTGAAATTTCAAAACTTAGAAGACTTTCAAAGAAATAAACATAAAATATTTGATTTTGAAAAGAAAAAGTTTTGCCAAACTAAACTACAAAAATTACAACACTTTTAAAAATGTCGGATGAAGCTGAGTTTCTTGTTTACCATTAATGTTGTTCATTTTTCTACAAGAAAAATTGATTCAATTTTTTTCACAATTGTTTTGTTTTGCATTTTCTATGAATTGGAAATGAAGGTTTTTGAAGAATATTATATTCTAAAAAGCAAATTTGAAAATAATTCTCTATGAGACATTTTTGCAGTATATTACAATTCTCATGTTTTTCGACCGAACATTTATTGTTCTAATGATCATCGAACCTATGCAACCAATTATTTTTGCAATTCTCAACTTTGAAATTGTTGTTCTATTCAATATTTGTGTGAAACAGAACTAGACTATAGTCTATTGTTCTACAAAATATTGTACAAAATTGTGGTACTGGAATCAATCATATCCAAAACAAAAACAACAACAACGAGAAAAACAGGTTCTGAATAATCTCATCTCCAATTTCGTTCGTTTTTATTTTGTTTTCCAACAATGATCTGATTTTTGCCCTTCGAATATGATATAAAACATAAATTCAAAGTTCTTATCACCAAAAAAAGCGAACAAAAAATTTGAAAAATTCATTTTTTTTCACTTTGCACTGCAAACTGTTTCTTTTTTTGATTCTCCTAAATTTTTCAAAAAAAAAACACATTTTGATGTGTATTTGAATCGAACGAGTACATATTTGCGCAACGATTTAACAAGTGTACAATTTTTCGAAATAAAATTCTATTTCCCTTCCTTTGCCCAAAAAAAAAAGACCTACCTGGTTCTTTCGTTTTTTAGAAGAGCAGCAAGCACCCATTTTATGATCTAAAAATGGAAAATATTTCAAAAATGAAAACGGGGAAACGAAAAAAGTATATTTCAAAAAATAAAAGAGAACATGAACAAAAATACAGGCTGGCGGGTGGAGAAAAAAAAGAAAAAGAAGAAAAAGAAAAAGAAAAATCGACAAAACGAGAGAAAGAGAAAATTCTGAAGAAAGGAAGAAACCGTCTTACAACTAAATTTTTACAAACGACCGCCCATATTATTGTTTTACCTATCCTATCTTCTCATATTCCTGAACAAAATTTACCTTTTTTCAAATGAATAAATAAATAAATAAATAAATAAAATGAATGATGGCATGTGAAAAAAAGTGGGTAGTACGATTATAGTTTTTTTCTCCCCTTTTCCAAAAAAAGAACCGAGTGAAGAGTGAGAGAGTATGTATTGTTTGATAACTTGGAAATTATTGAAGGCGACATTCAACCAACCAACCAACAAGAAAACGAGGTCATGAAAACATTGTTTCAACTACGAGTCAGAAAAAAAAAGTTTTGGCAAAGAAAGTTACACATTTAGTATTTTATATCGTGGTTTGTAGTTTCTTCATAAGATGTTTGATAATTATCACGAAATTTCCGTGACAGAACGTTTTTCAGCTTACCGGTTCCGTGTTTTTCTGTACATAATTAGGAATTTCGCGTACATCAATCAGGAATTGTTGACGATAAAAAGGTTTACATAGCTCAACTTCTAATATGACATAGAAAATTTAGAAATTGTGAAAAATCAAAACATTGGGACACTGTTATCGGCTTTAGAGATATTATCATAAAAATCAGAGTTCACACCGTGTTTCTGCGGAGTTCATCACATAAATTCGAAGAAGTTATTCTAGTAACTGAAAGATTTTTGACAAGAAAATAAGAGCATCACCATCCTTATTATCCAAAAAATACGTGAAAGAAAGAGGTTCTACTAGCTAAGCAAAGACTGAAAACAGTGTTTTCTAAAAATGTCTTTTCTAGAAAAATCTTATCTTCAAACCACATCAATCTATCTATCAAGAAATATTGACAACAATTTTGTCAAGAAAACAGAAGACAAACCATTTCCAATTGGAAAAACAATAAAATCGGCTAAAAACAACATTCGAGAAAAAATGAAATAAAAATGAAAACGCCCAAAGTTGTTTTTATATGATTCATTTGCCCCCTTGAAATTTTGTAATAAATTTCTTATTTTTTTTTGATATCATTCATTCATTCATTCAAAAAAAATCGGAGAAAAATGTTGTTTTTGTTTTGTTGTATTTTTCAATATGTTGATGGCATTCCAGAATACGATGATAAACCCTGTGTTTGATGAGAACTCCAATAACCATTTGTCTGAAAAGAAGATGAATTGAGTTGAGCAAAAACTTGCTGAAACTTACAGAAGTTGGCATATGTACTGGATTATTTGGTGTTGGCACAACTGACGGATATGATTGATTTGTGAGACGACTAGTCACAGACATCGGAAGGATCTCTGGAAAAAAAAAACTTGGAATAAATATGGAAAAATGTCTACAGAAAAGTAATGTTTCAAAAATAGACTGGACGTGTATTTCAAAGATTTAAAAGTATTTTCCAACAATCAAAAGTCTAATAAAACTCACGATTCGAATATGGTGAAAGAGTTAAATCACCATTTTGATTGTTTGGAATCATTGCGCTTTGACAAGCTTGTGCCAATCCTTGAAAATCAAATTTATAAGCATATCGTTTCCCTTGAACTTTGGTCATTATATTTTTATCATAATAATAACGAAGTGCTCTGCTCAATTTGTCATAATTCATATTTGGCTTACTGTAATTCATAAATTATGTATGTATATCAAAATCAATGTTGGTCATAATACCTTTTCCGTTCTCCCCATTTTCTTGCCACTTCATCTGGATCCACTAATTTGAACTCTCCATTGTTTCCTTCCCAAGCAATACAAGTTGTGTTTACTGCATCAGCCAATAGTTCCAGCAAAAATTGCCAAAGTTGAATTTGACCAGTTCCTAAAATACACTTTAGTTCTATGATGTTTTTATTTTTTATTTTAACTGACCGCTATTTGGAAGACGAGAAATTGCATTGGCATATTGCATACATCCTGAAATAACACCATGTTAATTAAAAATCTTGTGTCTTATTATTTTTTCCATTTTCTAAACTATCATTATGGTTAAATTAATTTGATTTGACAGAAACCGAACTGTTTTCATTTTTTTTTGGTATTTGAGAATGAGAAAGAATGAGAATGGGGTTATTACAAATTACACTAGACTTTCTAGGTGATGTCAAAAAATTGTGACGTTTATTTTATTGTTTTGGGGGAATTATGTCTCTTGAAAATGGTTAATCAAGTTTCAACATGAAAAGGGAACTTTTTTCAGAGAATAGAAGTTTATACATTCAATTTGAAGCTTTGAGATTTATATTTGGGGCCTAATTATAGTCTGGGTGAGTTGTGTATATGTTTTTTCAACTGTTAAAGTTACCAAAACTTTTATGACGTGGCAAACATAAGTCCCGTCATAAAATCAACTCCTAGACTTCCCCTTTTTCAACTACACTTCCTACGTATTTCCAAAAGTTTCCCTGTTTTCTAATTACTCCAGTTTGAAAGTTTTTCATTGTGCTTTTCCATGTTTGCAATTATAAAATATTTCTGAAAAGTAGCAAAAATCGATAATTGCTCCTCCATGAAAAAAACCACAAAAAGTTATTATGTTTTCTTTATTTCCAAGATTTTGTCTTCTCCCCCCTCACCTTGGAGCTATTATTGGTGTTTGGAGCACCTACACATAACTTCTTCATTCAAGCATGTGTCTCTCACACATCATTTCACCCAAAATCTTTGAATTGGAATGAATTTCTTGGCTAATAAGATTTGAAAAACATATGAATACTGTATATGAAGAAAGAGAATATGAAATAGAAAGGTTGGAATTGAGGGAAAAAACGAAAGACATATTTCATTATAAAATTTGCATGTGTTAATAGATTTTTTTTTGGTGTTGATGATGAAAAAATAGGAGAAGAAAAATGTGAAAACTGACCTTCTGTGATACGTGAAGTTTCAGGATTTGAAGAAGCTAATGATGTGTCCCATTGGGTTGCTGGAGATTGACAAATATTACCATAACCATCTGAAAAAATTGAGAATGAAATTCAAATATGTAATGCGATGTCCAAAGTAAAAAATATAGCAAAAAATGCGAGAATATATCGTCCAAAGCTCGCCTTATACAGAACAGAGAAATAGTGCGTATATTCGAGAGACGCAGACACGAAACAGAGAAATAGTGTGTATGATCAAGAGACGCAGATAATTAGACTTTGGACGATATATTTTCGCGTTTTTTTTTTAATTTTTTACTTTGGACACCGCATTAATGAAATTCAAATAAAGTGTTCCTTTGGCCAAGCAGTGAACACTAGAGTTAAATAGTCTTAAGGAGTAAGCCCTAAAGCTAATTTTGGAAGTTAAATTGTCACTGCTTGGTAAGATGAAACGATTAGGGGTCCCTTAAGATTCCTTTGGTCAAACATCCTACTCTATGACTAGGTTATGTCAAGCAGTCAACCCCAGAGAAAATATTGGAAGTCAAGTTTTTGCTGCTTGGCAAATGTTCAGTTAACTAATAGTAATCTCTAAGATGTCTTTCGTCAAGAATCCAACCCTAGAGCTAGATGATGTCCAGCAGTGAACCCTAGAAAGAGTTTAGCAAACTAAGGCATCTATTTTTTTAATTTTTAACTTTTTTTCTAGTCTGAAATTGCTGACTTTTAGAACTTTTTAACACTTCAGCTTCGAAATACATAAGAATTATTTAATACTTGAATCAAGAAGACGTGTTCAATTGACTCTTGTGTTTGAGACAAGAATTCTAACTCTGGAAAAGTATTCTCAAAAGTGCCTAGAAGTCAAAAAAAGACTCGAATAAATAAAAAGAGAATAGTTTCCGGGCGATCTGGAAGGAACTGCGCCCAACACCCCAAAGTCAGTCAGGAAATAAGGTGCGGAAGCGCCTGTTTCCGTTCTTTTGTGCGCTTCTATAAGACTACCAGCTTCTCAGCAAAAACCACTTTGTTCTCTTTCCTATATTTATATGTTTTTATTTTCGAGATTTTGAAAATGTTATTAAATTTTTTGAAATTTCAAAAAATCTTTTTATTTGGAAGAAAAAACTCACTTAACGTCGATGGATACATGCTGCTTTATGCTTCTACTTTGAAAAATCGAGAGCAATAAATATTGAGAGAGTTTAGAGAAAAAAGGGCGGGTTTCCGTTTTAGCGAATCAGGATTCGGAGAAGCATAAAATGCTTGACGAGTATACGGTAGCAAACCTGCATTTCCTGTCAAATTTCCGGCCACTGATAAAGTTTGACTAAAAGCAATTATAATCCTTTTGCTATTCCAGTAATGGAAAAAATGTCATCATTTTTATCAAAAATTTATTTTATTCTATAGATCTACACGTTTTGAGAGGGATGAAAAATGCTATGATTCATTCAAAATCACTCTAGTTTTTTTCTAAAGAGCTGCAGACATTGTTTTTCATTCGGTTAAGAAGAAAAATATAAATCATAAACTAAGGGTTTAATTGTGAAATAGATTTCCAAAACTCACAATTAAGGTAAATTTTTCACAATTAGCCTATGAGTTTCAAATAAGAAAAAGAAGAAATTAAAAGAATATAGATACGCGGTAAAGCCGTTTCGACCTGAACATCAGACGGCGAAGAGGTAGGTCTCATCAGTGAAATACTCACAAGTTATGTTTTTGACATTATTTTCTTTACAATTTCAATCATAAAAAAGCTCTTCAAAATCAATAATCAAGAATCCAGAATTTATCAAAAATATTTTCAAAAAGATCAGGAGATTTTGTGTAAAAAATTTTAAGAAAAGAATTTTTTGTTCTCAAAACATCATCCTTGATGAAAATGTTTTTTTTCTTCTAAAAATCCAGCATTGAATTCGTTTCCGGTGACCTGGAAAACATTTTATTTGTATGAAAATAGGCGTTTCTGAAAAATCCAAGTGTAGACATTTTCCAACTTTTTCGAAGTTAGCTGATATTTCTCTAGGAAAAGCCGCAACACTTCGAAAGTCAATTCGGAGCAAAGTTCTGGGCTTTAGCAAATGTTAAAATAGTTTCACCTGAAGTTCATCAATATTCTTTTAATTTTTAAGAATTTTCAAATTTCGAATCTTCTTCATTTTTTTCAGCACAATAGTTTTTAAAAAATTGTTTTGAAAAAAAAACAATCTGAAACAGAGAGTACATAAATCTGGAAATAAAAATAGTTTTAAAATTGTTTTTTTTTTGTGTTGTTTCTTGTAACGATCATATCTACCTTTAATATTTTATTTTTGGTTTTTCTATCATCATAGTCTGCGGAAGCCAAAATTCTTTGAAAAAACTCGAATTTTCTCAACACCATACTTATGATTGGGTAGTCAAGTCTATCAACACCACAATTTTTATTCAATACTCTTATTCTCATTTGAAAATCACCATTTTGATATTTCAAGCACAAAGTTCTTCATCAAAATGCACATGCTAATTTCCTCTTTGAATCTCTAGTTCTTATCAGTATGTCATGTTTCGTGGAACAAAAATATGATAATCGATTTTATTCAAATAAATAGTAAGTTTATAAAACTCGTAAAATGTTTTGAAAAAAATGAATCAAAGATATGTGATCAATTAGAATAATAAACTTTGAGATATTGCGGTAATTTGTTCTGTTTCAATCGAAGATCAACATAATATTGTTGAGCATCATTTGTGATTGGATCACTGCTTCCACACATTCCTGGATAAACATATAAATCATGCTCTTCAACACTGTCAACGACGTTTAAAAACATATCAATGATATCTCGAGTTAATGATGCATTATCAAATCTGGAAATTAATTAATAAACTTCAAATAATTTTATCAAGAAAAAATGACTCACGATAAAGAGAATGATGTTTGTTTATTGATCTTAATCGATGACAAAACTTTGATAACTTGATTTTCTGAAATCTTCTTCTCAATAACTAAATTATTCAATTTTGGCATAATGCTAATATATTCGCAGAGTATATCAAAGTTGTCTGATTTAAATATGAATGTTTTAATTTGCGAAAAAAACTGTTTGAAATTTTTTGAAGTATTTACAACTGTTGACTTCTCATATATAAATGTTGATGTTTTGAAATACTTCAACGCGATTCCATTGTTTGGAAGCTGAAAATGATTGAATGTAAGTTAGAAAAAAACTGAAAAATTAACCTCTGTTTCATAAAAGTCATTTGAATCATAATCTCCAATATTATCATACTGCACTCTGACTGACAGATTATCGTTGGTAATTCTGGCATCCGAAACTTCCGATTTACCAGCACTGGAAGATTTTGATTAGTTTTTTGAGAAGGAAAGTAGGATGAATAATGAAATAAAGCCCAAAGAGCATCCAGAAAAGGGTTATATTCGACATTGAAAAATTCTTTCTTGATATTCATATTTAATTTTTTTTAGAGCTATATCGAATATGTTTTTTCTTGTGATCTCAACTTTTATTTCCATTTTCTGTGAATGTTACTTAAAGTTCATTTTCTCTTTATTCTGCTCCAGATGTTATTTTTTTCCCGGAAAAACTATCATCTAAAGACTAGGTCAAAACCTGAAAAGCGAATGTTATTAATCACCAAACAAAAAAATCTAGAAAAAATTGACCTTGTTCTATTATGAAATTATGAGAGAAGAGAAGAAAAGAAAATGTTTAAAAAAAACTTCCTTCCAGAATTGATTTTTTGATCTTACAGGGTGGGGAATAATTATTGATACACATTAAAAAAGTCCCCGTGTTCAAAAAAGGACGTAGATGATTATTTTATCCGTCTCAACTCTTTTCTAGAACCTATATCAACAATTTTGTGAAGTAAACACTTTACTAGTTGTCTTCGTTTAGGCTAACCATGCGCCGGGATCCGACTCGTTTTTCTGTCACGGTACGCACCTATTTTTGACTTCTTGAAATTTTCTTCAACTCACATTATGTTTTTTTATTCATTAGAATATGGTAATATTTCTTTTGGAAATGATTCAAGATGTCTTTGAGTAGAAAATTTCAGCTTGATATGATTTCTAAAGTTTTGGGAGACACATCTAGAATGGGGGCAATGTTTTCAACCAAGAAATTAAGTTTTTTGCACTTTTTTGAGCACAAGCTTGTGTGAAACGTTTTGAATTTTGATATATAAATTGGAACTCATGTATATAGTCCTAAAAATCAAAATTATGACCTATAATTTTATTATGGATCAGAAATCAGCACTCTGGAAGCTGAAAACCTATTTTTTGAATTTCAAAAATGAAAATTGAGAAAAGTGCATGTTAGAAAGGTGTCCCCCTCTAAGACCAGAATAGACTGAGAAGATATCTGTACTATGGATTTTGTAGAGGAACATTTGGGCTTTCAAACCCACATAATACATAAATAAAATTTAAATCATGACTGAAGTTACTGGTGCTCAAAGTCAAAAATAGGTGCGTACCGTGACAGAAAAACGAGTCGGATCCCGGCGCATGGTTAGCCTAACCGAAGACAACTAGTAAAGTGTTTACTTCACAAAATTGTTGATATAGGTTCTAGAAAAGAGTTGAGACGGATAAAATAATCATCTACGTCCTTTTTTGAACACGGGGACTTTTTTAATGTGTATCAATAATTATTCCCCACCCTGTAAAAGAATTCGGAGAATTTTGCAGAGAAAGGCCATGGATATTTTCAGAAGAAGAAAAAAAAAACTAAATTTTCAGAAACCTCACCTTGAAACTGGAAACTCGTCAATATATTCCTTAAACGAAGAACTTATAATTCGCATTTGACAAATTTGTTTTGTTTCCAGGTGCGAGAATATGATGTCCATCACACTTAAAGGTATCTTGTTCATGTTGAACCTGTAAAAATAAATATAATAATTATTACCATTTTATAATAATTAAAAAAAAAGGGGGTGAATGATAATAAAATACCAATTAGATGAGTGTCGTTTGTCTAACAAAAAAAGAGAGAATAATAAACGAATAGTTAATAAAATAGAGAAAAAAAATTGTTTCCGGCAAGGTGTTAGGAAAAAAGAACGATGATAGAGAAAAATGTGTGACTGAAACATTGGAAATAAAAATAACTAACTATTGATTCAAATAATAAAGGTGCTTGTTTATTTGTTTTCATTTGTTTTATTTATTTATTTTTATCAAAGTCACATGTGTCTTATTTGGATAATAAGCGTGTGAGAGAAACCTTAAAAGTGCTTTTATTATGCTTTTTAGTTCAAAATTCTGCAAATTCAGTCTGATTTTCAAATCCAAGAAATCATGATAATTGATAAGAGTTGATTGGCAGTTTTGGAAGAAATTTGGAAGCAGGACAAAAAATACAAAGAAATTGGTTTCAGAAGGCGGAAACAGTTAAAAATATCAGAAGATACTAGGAATATGTTTTAAAAAAAAGTTATCAAACAAATTTATAAACTTAAAAACTAAAATAAAATAGACGCCGAAAACTGCTCTTTCTTTCACCCGGATCCATTTTCAGAAAAATTTGAGACCTGCAGAAAACCTATGGGCGGAGCTTGGAATTCAACATAGAGAAACGCATCTAAAAAATTTCTCTGATTCTAAGAAAATGTTCGATACTGCACGTTCATAATCAAACGATAAACTGGAAAACTGGAAACATTGAAATATAAAAAAATTTCACCAGTTTCTGAAAATCTCCAATTCGATGTGAAAAAAACAGAGACTGAAATGCAAGGTGCATTTTTTTCCAGTCTCGAATGATAAATTGCTTTTTTGTGAAAAAAAGCGTATTCTTCCCTTCCCCTTTTCCTTTTCCAGAAAAAAAAATGAAAAATGAGCGAAAAAACCGCGAATAAACAGAGAAAAATCTGAATCTATAATAATAATTGGCTGAAACATGGCCTCAAAAAGAACATCGATTGTGTTTGCTGCTCGGCAGAGCAAATGATCTTTTGAGCAGCAGAAACGAAGAAGAAGAAAAAAAGAACGTTCGGCTCAACTAATCTCATTTTTTTTCATGTTATATATGCATTCGATGGAGGCTGAAAGAAATGAAATGGTCTTTGGAACATTTTCCCCGTTTTTTTTTAGGTTTTTATTGGAATTCAATTGGATTCTTCTGAAAATAGAACACACCTGCTATGATTAATTCGAAAAAAATCCAATCATGGACTTTTTTTTCTGAAAAAAAAACACAAGGAAGAGAAAAAGGAAATGAGTATTTGAGGATTGCATGTGTTTTAGGTTTCCAATTGGTTTGTGCTTTTGTTTGAAAACATACATGATTTATTACAAAATGAAATTGAAAGCGATATATTTTTTTGAGAATTTGTTATTGTTTGAGAAGAATCTATTCTTCCTTTTTTTCAATTTTAAAATCCAATTTCATTGTTCTGAAAATCCTGGTTGATAAACGACATATATACAGTATAAAGCCGTGGGCGAATTGTGGAAAATATATTGTTTTTGTTACATTGTTGAACAATGAATCCCAATTTTTTTTGGAGAAGATTGGATTTTTCATTGTATCCTAAAGATGATATATGTTTACAAAATCTGGTGTAGAAACAGCAGCGTATCTGTGAATCCAAGTTTAAAGTTTCCAGAATCATCCTAAAAATGTTCACATTCAAACTCAAACTTCACAAACATCACATGCTTCCAAAATTGTAAAAAAAAAAGTTCTGATTCAAAGAAATTTAGTGGATTGTTTCTTGGAATGTTTGTCACAAGATATTTTGAGGTTCTGAATCAGGTGCTTTTGTTTGACTAAAACTATGTATTGAATAAGAAAAAACACATGGGACAAAAGAGAAAAAAAGATTTTTGCTAAATTCGGAGAAAACACTCAAACTTGCAAATGTCTAGAAAAAGGGTGTCTTTTATTGTTGGAGATGATAAGGTGAGTCTGAAACATTTTTGATTTTTGAACTAGGGCAGCTTTTTTGTGGAGAACGAAAAAGAACACTTTAGCAATTAATTTTTAATGAGAAAATGAAAAATGAGAAATGAGGAATATATCAATTTGATATATGTAATGAGATCATTTTCGACAATTAGTGTTGGCTCCAAGTTTCAGCACAAATTATTTCCAGGATAATTTTTGAGTGTTTAATATTGAATATTCTCGAGATAATTCGCTGTCAAATATTTTTTTCAGTATCCGAAATCTTTGAATTTTCTAGGCCATAGATCTTCCCGTTTTCCAACTAGAAAATTATTTCATTGAGTATTCATAAAATTCATATTTCCTATCCAGACATTGTGAAATCCAAATTTCCTGACCATAAATCACTGTTTCGCCTCTCGTGTACTCTATGTTCATATTCAACAACGATCTTCTGAACTTCTCATTTTGTGTCTGTCTGGGCAAAAAAAAGTCACCGGGAACAATACTCGCTAAATGAAAGCAGATGAAAAAGTACAAACGGGAACCGTTTCATCTCGCCGACGACTTTTGAATATCGTTGAAAAGCTTTGCACTTTTAACACGAATGACACATTTTTTTCGTGTTTGAGAAAAAAAATTGCGCAACAAAAAGAAAAAGCCGAACACTACTCATAATGAATGCACTTTGAGAAAGTATGTTTTTCATATCCCTTTTTCATTTTGAAAATTGGTGAAATTTAGAATTCGAAATTTGATTTTCATGTTCTGTTTATAATATAGACTCACAAAGTTCTGAATAATTTAATACTATTCATAAATTTATTTTATTTTATTTTACAGCAGCGCATCCAAAACAAAATAAACAACGATGACATTTTGCTAAATTTGTTATTGTTCCACAAAAATATTTCATTTTTTTCATTCCCTTTGCAGAAAAAATCCAATTTCATTGTTCTAACATAAGAAATATGTACTTTTTGAAAAAGTCGACAAAATTACAGTAAATGTGGGCGGAAAGAGCCAAAATATATGTTCTATTGTTCGAAAAGCCCACGGTTTATTTTATTTTGTGTTATTTTTTGTGCTATTTTTTTTCATTCACATTTTTATGCTCTGATTTTTCTCTCTTTAAACAATGATCTCAAATTTCATACATACTTTCGTTTCAAAAAGTTCGATTTTTTGTTTTGTTGAGATCAAATTTTATTCTTTTTTACTTTTGATTGTTCTAGAAAATTTGAACTTTGAAAAATAATTACATATTATTTTCCCTGGAAATATTGTGATAATTGTTATTCATTAGAAATTTGGATATTTCATCAAAACATACTAGATTTTTGGAGAAAAAGAGAAAAAATAAATTTAGAGCGTAAATAATGTGCATTATGTATTTCCTGTTTTGAAATTCCTAGGGTCAGAGTTCAGCTTTAGCATTTGAGGACAGAAAAATTTCTGAAAATTCTTTTCAACCATAATTTTTAGCTGCAAAAATGATGAAGTAGCTACGACTTTATCGAGCAAAAAACTTTTTGAGTTTCCCAAGTTTTTTTTGAAACATAAGCTAATTTTTTTTCAGCGAGCCAAAAGGGCAAGTTGAATTCTAGAAATGTTGAAATACTTTTGAATATCTAGGGAAATTCTTTTAACCACCGAAATTCTGGAAAAGTTAATATTTCTAGGTCTTCTGTTGTCGGCATTATTCCTGATTGTGAATATTTTTTGCATTCAAGCTTGATTTTTCCTCTTCATTTTCCAATCCTCCTCATTTCTCCTGTTTTCTATCTCTGTGCACATTTTTTTTGGTCAACACAGCCCAACCAAAAAAAAAACTATTTTGATAATCATCAATGCTCATCAGCTCAGCTTGTATTGGAATGGAAATGGCGAGAATAACAAACACATATAAAAAGTGAACGAAAGGGACAGCTAAAAAGAAAAAAGAGAAAGAGCCTGAAGGTTTCCAAAATCGATAGCTTGGAGCAACAAAGAGGGAGAGACAGAGGAAGAGGGAAAGAAGAAGTTGGCTGGGTGATTTGCATGTGTGGTGGTCCGCCGCGCTGCCGCGCGCTGAATCGGACACTGGTCACTATTTCGAAAATTTCACTTTTTCCGTTTTCCCCTTCCCCCCACCCTCACCAACTATTTCCCCCTGCGTTTTTCATTTTTCGTTCGTTTTCTTCATTTTCTTTTATTATTGTGCATTTTCATTCTCATTTTTCATTTTTCAATTTTCATTTTCAAATTCCATGAAAACAACGAAAAGCCACAAATATTAAAGTCCTAGTCCTCATGAATTTTTTTTTCTGAAAATGAAATGATTATCTTGTTTTGTTTTTCACGAAAAAAGATAGATTATTAGGATTTTATTTCCGAGAAGTATCAAATAACTATAAATATCTTGCGAGTGAGTGAATAAATCAAAAAAAAAAATTTTTTTGAGACGATTTCCCAGTTGTTTTGAGAGAGGGTTAGGTTACAATATGTTTTCATATGTTATAAGCTACTTCTTTTTTTTCGTGGTGGTTGAGAGTTTGAAAATTACTTGTGAGATGGTTTTTTGAGAAGATCGGGAATTGAAGAAAAATATTGTTTTTTAGATTTGATCATAGACAAGTTTCTAGCATGCAAAATTGAAAATTCTCTCTAATTTCTAACCAAAAAAAAACTATATTCTGTGGAGTCTGAACTTTTTTTTGTTTGAGGTTCTCGTCATAAAAGAAAAAAGTACATTTTTTCTGTGAGCTTTGCACAGTGTTCTATTTAGACGCGTCTGTTCAGATGTATCCGAAAAGCCTTCATTTTCACTGTACAAAATTGTGATTTTTTCCAGAAAGGGTTTGCACTTTTATGAAATTTGTCCTTTTTGAAGTTTCAATTTGCAGTTTTCATGGCATAATTTTGATGATTTTTTTTTGAGTGAATCTCACCTTTCTTCAGAAAAGCATACATTCCTGGAAAATACCAATTTTGAAAACTGTGCTGTCAAGATTTTTCTCCGAAAAACGTCAAATAAAATAGAATCTGCACTCTTATTTTTAATATTTTGGATTGTAGTTTTCCGATGAACATAGCTGCATTCTGATGATTTTATGACTTTCTTGGAAACTGTTAGTTATCAGACAAGTTCTGCTTTTTTTTTCTAAATCTAAGTTTATATTATTTTCTCTATTCATTGCCAAAAACCTATTCTTTACCCTATTGAATTAACTAATTCCTCTCAATTTCCAAAGCAGCAAAAAAAGTGCACCCGATTAAGTTTGTCACAGAGATTCCGACACTGCATTTCCTTCTCTCTTCTCAATTTTCTGTTCCTTTTTTGCGGTCGGCCAAATTTCAGTCTTTTCTGCTAACCGAAACAGAAAAATTGAATTTAAGAAAAGAGAAGAGACACTTGTGTAGATATGTTGCGTTCTCTTCCGATTGATATAATATTTGCTCATTTCATTTCATTTTTGTGCCAAAAGACCACGTGGAAAATAAAAATGATGATGAAAATGATGATGAGTTAGCAAAAAATTTAAACATAATGTTGACTCAAAAGATTTCACTCCGACCCACCAATCCGATTTTGCTTTTGCTTTTGCTCTTTTGAATTTCAATTTTCAATTTTCATTTTATTTTTAATAAAAATAAGTTTTACATTACATAATACGTCTTTTTTGAACCATATTTTTTCAAAGCAAAAAAAACAATACCGCCCAAAAACAAAAAAACAAAAGGCTTCTGAATGACTCAAAAAAGAATCGAATACATCTAAAGAATAATGTAAACATTATAACATTTTTTGTCATTCTTTTTACTATATTTTCTTCATTTTTAAATACATATTGGTGAGAAAAAGATCTCATTTTACTGGCTCGGGGAAGAGCCAAAGTGCACATACATACTTATTTACCTCATAAAACGGCTAGGTTTTTTTGGTGGACGAGAGAAAGAAAATTACTTTTTTTTTCTGGATGTTCGGAACTTTAATGTTACTTTACTTTCTGGTAGGCATTTTGCCTGCCCGGATTATATAGGCTTCTGAACTTTTTTTTCATCATTTTTTTTCTATTTGAACAGGTGGAATGCTCTCCCACTCACTCAAAAATCCACATTTTTTTGAAAAAAAATTAGCAATTTAAATCATCTGAAAGATACATAAATTAAATTTTAATTTCTTTTCTTTTTTTTTTCCTTCTGTTTTTGTTCCGCTTTGAGGAAAAACCTCTTGAAAAAATCGATATTCTCGAAATTTTTTTATCTTAATTTTTCCAGGGTGAAATGCCGGATTCGCCAATTGTCAATGGCCACAAAAGTCCAGGAAAAGGTTAGTTGATTTGTGCTTGTACTTTACCGAAAAATTGCACTTTTTGTTTGAGAAGCTTTTGCTTTTGATGAAAAAAGGGGTATGCAAAATGTGAAAAACCAAAAATTTGAAAATCAAAATCAAAACGTGTTCTAATCGGCTCAACTAAAAATGTTAGTGTTAGAAAAAAGAATTAACACATTTTATTATCATTAAGCTTCACCTGATAACACATTTTTTGTGGCGCCAAAATGTTGCCTTTTTGTACTTTCGTATTTCTCCGAAAAATTGATTGCAAAAGCCAATGGCAATTCGTTTTTTTCTGATAAAATCTATTAATTGGCAACATTTTGCTGCTCTTGACGCTTCTGAAATTGACACTTTATATGTGTATAGATGAGGGGAGGGGGTTGTTATCAGGAAAAAAAGTATCGGAATAAAAATTTCCTATGGGTTTTGAAGCGCTTCGGAGACTGATAATACACTTTTTATATTATACTACTGTATATTTTATTATGTCAAAAATTTTGGGATTTTTTTGAAATTTTTAAAAATAAGGTGGTGTTAAACTTTTTTGGTATCTGATGATCTAGGTGATTCTGGAATTAGGGCAAAAATACAGATCAGCCCCCTTTGCTGCACAGTTTCCATATTTTGAATTTTCTAAAGCCCTGCTTTTTTGTTTCACTAAATTTTCCCCAAATTTTTCAATCTCGTTAAATCCGAAACCCGAATTTAATTAAACTAGGGTCTATTTGAAATTAAATAAAACTCTTTTCACATTTTTCAAATTCCCAAACTCTTTTTTTTAATTCTCAAATTCTCCCACTTTCAATTAAAAATTATTGGGTGTTAAAGTTTATCTAACCAGCTTTTTTACTGACCAAAAAGTGCTACTTTTTTCGCTGATAAAATTTTATTACTACCAAAAAAAAATGAATATTATTTTTAGCAAAGTGTTTTTGTTTATTGTCCAGCTGATCAGAGAAGATATGATCGATTTCTCAAAAAAATAAACGAGCAAAAAAAGTTTTACAACTCAACTCAAATCTTCTTATTCTCTGGAAGTATAACTTCTCTCTCTTTTTTGTTTTTTCTTCATTTTTTTTTTTAAATTTTCCAAATCATTTTTTTTCAAAGAAAACAAAAACAAGAAGAAAATCCTATAAGTCGAAGGTGTCAAAAAAAACTTGTTCTAAAAGTGTTTTTTCTAAAAGTGTTCTATGTAAGAAAAAATAAAATTTCCAGAGGTATTTTTCCGATTTTTCAACAAAAAAAATCTGAAACAAGTTTTCTCCAAAGATTTGCTGATTTTTTAACAAATTGTTCCATTTTATCGTGCAAACTGTTCTTTTTATCAGCTAATAAGAAACTCATAAATTCACAGTCATAAAAATTATGTATCTTTTGAGACGAAAACGTTGAAAAAATGGCTGGGTGGTTCGTGGAAAAAATGACTGACGATAAAAAAATCATGTTCACACTTTTTATTGTCCCCTTTTTGTCGTTCTGCCGTTTTTATTCATGACAAAAAATTTCGGAGCATTTCGGAATTTTATTCATAATAAAACTATATATGTGGAGAGGCTATACATTTTGGCAAATTATTTTTGTTGAAAAAAAATCTATGATTTTTTAGAAGAGTATTTTCGTGGATCGTGGAAGTTTCACATTTCAAGTGCTAACTAACATTGAGACTTGAAATAAGAAACTTTCTGAAAAAAAGTTTCTCAATTTTTTTTACCTAGTTAATCATCTAGTAATCTAAAAAACCGTGGTCGAATTCAGATATTCATTTATGATCATCGGACCACAGAACATGTTCTAAATTTCTAGTTTCCTTTTTTTCTGCAGGGTTCAAAATATCGAGACAAATGTATTTTGAACTTTATGTATCTCGAACATATGTATGTCAATAAAAATTAACCCAGAAATATGTTTTTCTCGAATCAGACATCAATCATTTCTCACTTTCAAATGGCAAACTATTTGATGAGTTCAAATCTTTAAAAATTCTGCAGAAACACTTCCAAACTCCACCCACTTATTTTTGATTTCAAATGAAACATTCTCTTATCTGTTGAACCTTGAATTCAAAAATGAAGAAAAAAAAAAGATAATGAAAATTAAAGTTCGTTTTACCATCACCCATAGTTTTTTTTATTTTTTTTATTTTTGCGATACTGACGTTTTTTTTTTGAAGTTCAGAGATTTTTGAATTCAACGGGAATTACTGTAACTTCATTTACTAATGTTAGATGTTCTTCAAATTATTTCTTCTGACTTGTAGATCTTTAAAAAATCTGCAGCATTTCTGACGTATTTTGCCAATGCCCCCTCCCTATTCTCAGTCATCAATTTTAACCCTACAAAAAATTGAGATCATTCATCTACGGAAGTGCAAATATCTTGATGATCAAATAAAAACATAAAGAATGCATCTGAACCTTTTTTTCTCGCGCAACTGAAGTGCTGCCTATCAGTGAAATATGAAAAAAAGTGGGAAAAAGATGATGATAGGATAAAAAGACAACCCACCAACCATTTATGATTAATTGGCTAGGCGGGTATTGATACTCTTAACGGGACGGCGCGCAGCACGATCACACTTGACACCTAGAAAAAGCTTTTTGTTTGATTTTGATCGTTGCATTCTTTTGTCTTTCTCACGGCCAAGGATTTTGATTTTGCCGTTTCAACGTTTCTCTTGTTCAAAATTCAAATTTTGCAGCCGTTCCCGGTGATATTGAAGACGAGGATTTGGCATCATTAGACGGTGGTCAATTAACAAACGATTTTTCATCACAACTTTCAATCAACATGGGTGCACAACAAGGTTAGTCTTTTCATGAAAACGAAAATTGGGTACAACATTTATCGCTTTTTTAATGATTTATATTGTTACGGTCGTATCATTGTGGATTGTGTCTAAAGTCTAAATGTTAAAACGATCTCATAAAAATGACCATAGATCAGAAATCAAGAAAATATTTTTATTACATTAACTGTATTTTTTTTGGAAATTAAAAAAAAAAGTGTGACTAGTAAAAACATGTGATAATTTTCTAAACATATGTATTTTATCATTTTGGAAAAGGTATTAAAGTAATCCTTATTGAATCAAAAATCAGAACATTTAGCACAGTTTGTGAATTACTTCTCGAATTTTTCAAAATCTTTTCTGAGACCAAAAATATACCTAAATATCTCAACTCTACGTTGAATTTGGTCAATATTATTGAACAAAAAAAAACTTTGCTGTGAACGTTGAGAAAGGAAAACGCGTTCCCTTGACAATTTTTCCATATTTCCTTTCAATTCAAATAAAAAGCGGGAAAAAGTTGTCCGTGGAGCATGTCTTCTTCTCTCCTATTAGTTCTCTTTTTTTCATTCTCTTTTTTTTATCATAAAAAGTTTCCCTCTCCCCACCTAACTCAATTTTTTTCCAGTTGATGCTGTGCAATTGGTACCACACGCACCAGATGGTGGATATGGTTGGGTTATTGTATTTGCCGCTTTCATGTCTAACTTCGTCGTCGATGGTATCTCAACAGCATTTTCGGAATTCAAACCATCATACAAACAAGCGTTTGGAGCATCTGATGCAATGACTTCTTTGATTGGATCACTTATTATTGGAACTTATCTTTTGGTTGGTCCAATGGTCGGAGGATTATGTAACAAATATGAGCCAAGATATGTTGTTATGCTTGGTGCCGTTATTTGTGGAATCGCATTTTTGATCTCAACTGCTGCGCCAAATATCTACATTTTCATGTTGATCTATGGAGTTTTGGGAGGTATTGGATTTGGTATGATTTATTTGCCAGCTATTGTTGTTGTCGGATTTTATTTCGAATCAAAAAGGTAATATTTCTACCTGCATTTCTTGTTGTCACCTAATAAAATAATTTGCAGAGCTATGGCAACTGGTATTGCTGTCGCTGGATCTGGAGTTGGAACATTTGTTATGCCTTTGATCTGTAACTGGGCTATCCAAACTATCGGATGGCAATACACACTTTGGCTTTTGGCTGCTTTCTGCTTCTCATGTTTGGCATACGGTCTTCTCTATCGACCACTTCCAATGATTGATCCAAATGAGTTGAGAGAACAAGAAATGGAACCATTGAGACAAGCTTTGTCGAAAATGTCGGATGGAGATGAAGAAGAAGTTTCGTCGAATAATGTTGAAAGCCCACAAGTTAACAGAGCTGCTAGTGCACAAAGCAATGGGGATAACAATTCATCAGATGGTAAGTTGATATTTTTCCTATCAGAAAACATTGATGAGCTGATTTCTTTTCAAAATATTAGGTTCCCGCAGTCCCAGTTCTTCAAAATCCCTGCAAAGTTTAGTTTTTGCTAATTCTTTTACCAAAAAACCAAATTATTTGTATTCAAAATTGTATTTGAAAATTCTTCTGACGCATTTGCGCTTAATAAATTATAAAAAATGCGGGGAAACTTACGTTTACAGAATAATAGAAAACGTTGACATCAACTTTACAGATGATCCAACCAAAGATCCAAATCTCATCCGCCTCCGTCATGAATGTGAACAAGAAGAAGCACCACAATCACCAGCTGATTCACACAAAACTCGAGCTCACACTGCTACCAGATCCCGAAAACACACAATGACTAGTATGGGAAGTGATTCTCAACACGATCTCAAATCATCACGTGGAAACCTTGCTGAAAACCGTTTGTCCCGAGTTTCAGCCAGAAGTTTTGCTCAATCTCTCTCCAAACTTAGCAAAGCTGGAGGAGCTTCGAATTTGAGTATTGCTATGAGCGGAGTTGATCCACAAGAATTTGCGAGACCAATGAACCGACAAGATGTTTTCTATGGAGGTTCAATCACTAATTTGAAAGAATATAAACAAGAGGGAAATATGTCAAACTTCCGTGCTTCAACATTATCGATTCCACGAAGTGTTATTGGACAAGCTGCATCACATATGAATTTGAGCCGTGCTGGATCTCGCCTTGGAGGATCTCATCTTGGCGGAGCTAATGGCGTTGTTGAAGAAGAAGATTATATCGATGATTATGTTGATGATGGAAAATGCCAATGGATTCCATTGTCGATTAGAAATGCTTTCGCTCAAATGATTGATTTAGAACTCTTAAAAGATCCAGTTATGATTCTATTGTGCATTTCAAATCTTTTAGGAATGATGGGATTCTATATTCCATTTATGTTCTTGAAAGATTTGGCAACTGAAATGGAATTGGACTCAAACAAAGCGTCATTGCTTGTTCCAATTATTGGAGTTACCAACACAGTTGGCAGGGTTTTCTTCGGATGGGTTGCTGATAAAAAATATATGACTGCTTTGACTATCAACAATTTATCTTTGGTCATTTGTGGATTCTTGACATTGGCTTGCCCATTGTTGACATCTTATTCCGGACAACTTTTCTATTCATTCTTCTTTGGTTTCATCATTTGTAAGTCTTGATTTTTGTGAAAACGTTTTACAAATGTGAAATTTTCCAGCCGCCTACATTTGCTTGACATCAATCGTTCTTGCTGATCTTATGGGACTTGAAAAACTCACAAACTCCTTTGGACTTTTGGTTGTGGCAAGAGGTATCGCCTCATTGGCTGGTGCTCCATTTGCTGGACTTGTTTATGATATCACTAAGAGTTATGGAGCCGCATTCTATTTTGGCGGATTTGTTATTCTTATCAGTGGATTGATCTCTTGCGCAATTCCATTTGTATTGAAACGTCAACAAAAACGAGCCGCTGAAGAAGGTGAGAAAAATAAACATGAAAATTTTAATCTTGGTCAAAATTTTTAATTGAAAAAAAATAAAATAAATCCACGGGGTTTCAGGTGATGATTTATCCAAATTCCAAGACCTTGACAATATTTCTGGAAAATTGTCAGTTCTAACTGAACGGTCTGAAGAGAATTTGACTGAATATCAGCGAACTATTCAGTCATTAAGACAACAATACGCTTTACTTCAAGGTGAAATAGATAGAGAGTATTGATTGTACTGTAGTGTTGTGGTTTTTTTTCTGAAAAACACATTGTTCAGTTTGCATGAGTGTTATGTTTTGTAGAGTTCAGTGATCATAATGTGATTCGGATTTTTTGAAAAAATTTTTTTTCAGATTTGGAAGAAGAAAAACGCAAACAAAAACAGAATGGAGTTGTTGAAGAGGTTAATGAAGAAGAAGCCGATGAAACGGTAATTTTTCTCCAAAAAAAAACATTTGATTCCAAATCCAAGTTTTTCAGGTTCCTTTGAAAGTTCTGAAACAAAACGAATAATTTTCTCCTTCTCATTTCAACACGTGGTTTTTTCTCCTGAAATTTTCTTCCTCAGGTTTATATCATTTGATTTTTTTCTTCTACAAAACAACAACCGAAAATCAATATTTTTGAAACATTTTTGATTGCATTCCATATCTTCATTTATTTTTTTCACGTTTTTTTTGATTTTTGGGTACTTGATAACTTTTTTTCTAGGCAATTTTCTATTTTCTTGTGCTTTTTCTTGTTACTGCTTTTGATATTTTTCTGTTAGTGATTTTTTTCTAGAATTTTTATTGAACACTTGATCGAATAAAATAATATTTTCAAAAAAAATATTGAAACTGGGTGAATTGGCAGGCACCGAGGATCGAGCTCGTGACCTTGTGGTTCATTTATCTTGATATTTTTTATTAGTGATTTTTTTCTAGAATCTCACTCAAATCAATAAAAAAACTAATATTCGCAAAATATTTATTGAAATGAAATGAAATGAATGAATATCACAAAACCCTCCCACCCTCTATCCTTAAAATGGGTCATTTATTTATTGAAGTCTTTCGTTTTTGATGAACAAGATGTATTTGAGATCAGTGAGACATTCGAAATAATGATTTTTGACGAGACCATCATCCAACAATTCGATCAATGACCATTTGTAATATCTTGGTTTGATGTTCCGGATTTTTTCAAGACTTTCGAAGATTGTTGGAAGTTTATATGGCTTGTTGAGAATTCCAGCGTTGATCACCTTTTCACTGGTTGGAATTGTCCCGCTGAAAAACATTATCATAAAATATTGCAGATCTAACAGTTCTGAAACAACTTACACAACATCTCTTGGAAGTTCTTGATACCAGGCGACAAAATCAATGCACAAACGATCATCCTCAGTCAACATTGCTTTCTTATGCTCATTTTTGGTCAGTTTTCCTCCCGATGGGCTTGTTTTGCCCAGAATCTTGAAAAAATGCTCTTTTGGTGAGTAGGTCACTTCTTCTTGAATGACGCCTGTTCCATTGCTTGGAAAAAGTTTGACACCTTGAGTGTAGGTGAATCTAAAAATTATATTATTTTGAAAAAAAATTTATTAAAAAAAAAAGAAAAACCAACTTTTGGGCAAATCCACCGAAAGCAAATCCAAGAACGAGAGCAGTCAAGAAAACTTTCATCTTGCACTGAATTTTTTTCGAAATTTCAAAACTTTATACTCCAAAGAAAAAACTCCTCCCATTTTTTTTTCGTTTTTTTTATTCTAATTAATTAGTCACGCCTCCTTTTTTTTCATTTTTTTTCTGGAAAAAAACAATCTGAACTTTTTGAAGGGGTGGTTTCTTTGTGAGTATTCAATTTTCGCGTCAATATTTTTTAACCAAATGAAATCACAATTGATTGTACATGATAAAGTGTGAATCCCTGGAGTGGCTTCCACAGAAAAACTCACTGAAATTTGGTGGGTGATATAATAATTTCAAGTTTCAAGAAACTCGAAATTTAAAAATTCCAGAAAAAATTCTAAAATTTCTGAAAATCTGTGATTTCTAAACTTGCAAAACATTTTCACCAAGAAACTGAACATATTCCTTGATAGCAAACTTGATTGCCCATGTGATATGTTTTAAGTTTTGTATGTTCCAATGCTTGCTTCATATCTTATTCAAGAAGCACTTTAATGCTATTGATTTTGCGCGACTAAGAAACAGAGCGAACTCACATTCAATACTTTTTTAATAAGCCAAAAAACTATGCTGCCCTTCTAACTAAACATGTTCCTAATCCTGCCAATTTTTGAAATGTTCTTTCGCTCACAAACATCTTATTTCTCAAAACCAAAAACTGAAAATATATAGTAATAAAACTACATTTTTCTTTCATTTTAATCGGATACAACAAACACATTTTGCGAATAACAAGTTTATTTCAACTGAAAATGTGAATGAATCAGCACAGGGATCATCCAGATTTTGTCAAGTTTCTTTGACATTCTTTGTAATGCGCGTGAACATTTGGTTTCTTCATGAAATATTTCAAATATTTCACATAATACGCTGGATTGTAGTCACGAATCGATTCCAATGCACGATATATCAATTGGATTCTCAATGGGCATGCAACTTGTGTGGAGTTAACAATAATGTCATTTTCTCCAAGAGGTGGTCTGAAAAAAATGGTTTCTGGGGACACAGCCAAGCCTAAACAACACACCTGTGTTCTTCGGGAAGATTTTGATACCAGAACGCGTAATCGGTGCATAAAAATGAACGATTAATAGTAACAGTTGTGTTTGTGGTCCAGTTACACGTGAAGAAGCCAGTTTTGTCAAACTTGAAGTTGAGCCCAGCTTGATATCTACACAAAAAGATACAAACAGGTTTCCAAAATATTCCATTTACACTCACCGATGCCAAATCACAATGAAAAGTACCATCACAATTGGAGATATCAAAACTATTCTTTGAAAATTATGGAACATTTTCAGATCTTATATGAGAATGTGAATGACAAGTTAGTATCTTCGTTTGCCACACCCCATAATAATTTACCCAATTTGTGAAAAAAGGAGGGAAAAAGGTTCACACAACTTTTAGGACAAAAATAAACTTTTATCGAATATATGTAAGAACAAATATGAGAGAGGTTTTCTGTGGAAAATGGCCTGCGAAACTGAAAATAAAAATCATTGCTGAAAGTTTGTGGACGGACTTTTCACAATTCACAATTTTATTATTGAAAAAATTACCATAAAATTTAACAAAAATTTGATAACCGGGTTGAAAGAAACATAAAAAACTGTGAAATATTCAAGAATCTGAATTCATGAGGGTCTGAGTTCAAAACAAACATATTCCACGTCGCATTCAATACGTTGCACAAGAAAACTTCGAGTTATGTCACAATTGCAAAAATATTTTAATCTGACGAGGAAACTTTGTGTGCAGGATTTTCAACAAGTTTTATTTTTACTATGAACTTTTCCATTGTCAAAATGATCCTGCCTTGCATCGAAAGTATCCAAAAAAACTACGCTTTCGGAGATCTACAACTAATATGAAAATTAGTTTCGTTAATATTTCAGTGCAAGAAACTGTTTAGGATAGATCATCGAACAAAGATTCCACAAAAATAGAGGAGAATTAGGAGAAATTTGCAATCCTGAACAACACAAGGAGCTGTTTGAATAATGTTGAATTTCATGAAAAAAATAACACGTACAGATATTTGTCGTCTGTTATAAAGTTTTTTTTTAAATTTTTCAAAAAAATTTAGTACAAGTTCTCACCATGTATGTTTTATATTTTTAAGTTGTCTTAAATTAAAATATCACAGAATTGATTTATTTGTGGGTTTATTTGCGCCTTGTTCATATCTTACCATTTTCCATATATGGAATCTTGACAAAACATGATTCTGATGTCAGACCATTTCAAAGTTTTTGTATTTATAATCCGACCGCAACGCACACGCGTGGCGTTCAATGGGAGAATGTTGAAAATGCTTATTTCTGAAATTTCGAATTCACATAGTTTTTTTCGCCTGATTCTATGCAGAAAATATATGTTTTGTTTCATTGTATAAAATAGACATAGTTAATTCTTTCCTATTTTGAACCTCGTCTCGGAAAATTGAGGGTTATATCATTTAATTATAATTTATATACACACTCATTCCTACACACGTTTAGTTATTTCAACCTTTATTTCTCGGTTATGTACTCGATTATGTATAAAAATATATGAAAATTTTTAATGTAATAATATTTCATTCAACAATTATCATTCTCAATTTATTTTCCTTCAAAAAATTTAGCTGTTTTCAAAAAATCAGTTTTTCCTACTCATACTTCGTTATACTGAAAAGTAAAGTAAAAGAAAAACAAGTAAAAAAGTTGAAATGTAGCGGATTACAGTTGGATTTTTCGTACTTATTTACCCCGCAAAAATGGGGCGTGCGTCACTACCGTATACCAATCTTGTCATAAGACTATTATTTTTATGGTTTATATAGGTTTTTCTCAGAGCTTATAAATTTTATTTTTCAAACCAATATTTTATGGCTCTTTTTTTGAGATGTTCTCCGAATATGTTTTTCCATTTTTGTAGATTCTGTTTTGATTTTTTTTTCAATCGCTCACGCCCACTTTCAGTTTTTTCTTTCAGTTTATTTTAGTCTTTCTCTCTCTCACTCAAATATAGGTAGTCATTATAAAATAATTTCGAAACGATGATGTTTTTTTTCCAATATATCTAACTACATACAAGGCATATCTTATTTTTTGTACTCTCTCTTTGTTTCGTGTGCTCTCTTTTTTTGCCGCGTTATATAGTTTGACCCGCATTGACCCATTGGCTATGCTATGCCACTATTTTTTGTTTTTTTTTTTTGTGTTGCGCGTTACTTGCAATTTTTTGTTTCAGGGATTTATAACAAATATAGGTATATTTTGAAAGCGTTAATTAACCTGCTGCACGTTTCTTGGGTCAGCCCGGCTCGGACAAGCCCGAAGCCTGTTTGAAAGAATGGCTTTGGCTCTGCTCGGCCCGATTTCATAGTTCTCTTGAACCCAAGGTTGTTTTTCATTTTTTCAACCAAATTTTCACCTTTGGCTCCATCGTAGAAATACGTCACTCAAAACGTAGCACGGCGAACAAATGGTGCATGCAGTGAAACTCTAGCAGTTATTTGTCATAATAATTGAACTTGAAAGCGAGTTCATAACAAGATAGCCGGATGTTTCGGATTCTATGATTTCTCAATTGTTATTTTTCTTATTCACATTTGATGTCTCCAGCTATGTACATAGATTTTTTTTAATTCGACACATAAAATGCTCTTTAAAAGTAGAGTTTTTTTGGCCACGCCCAAAGTAGGAGAAAAGAATCACGCAAACTCTCTAGCAAGACAACCTTTGTTGCCCAAACGACTAATTGGTAAAATGCTTCTATTGTCAAGCATGTACTGTATTCTAGAGCATTCTCAAAGTACTTTCCTTGTACTTTTACAATTACCAAAATATGTACTTTGTGCAAATTAGGATGTAAAGTGACATTTCTCAATTTCCTTTCTCATCAAACCACTACAATGAATCACGGATTTCTGGAGATTTTAATTTATTTTCATTCTCATCTAAATTGAATTACTCATTGTTTTTAATGAAATTTTCATTTCATTTTATGAAAATTCTAAAGGTTACTCAAATATTTCTAGAAAACACATGCGTTAATGTCAAATAAATCGTGGGTGGTGAACTTTTCTGAATCCACTTGGGAGAACAGATTGTGGCAAAAACAACTGATTCATTTAAATTTCTAGAACACTCTGGAATATTATTATTATTATCGTTTTATTCAATTTTTCAGTGTCTTTTATTCTTTTCAAACTATAATGTATAAAAATTTATTTCACATATCTTCGAAAATTTTCAAATCACTTTCATGGGTTTCTTCCAAAAGAGCGCTTATTTTTGGTGGATAATGTCAAGCTATATCAAAATATCAAACCAAAATGATCACATGGTTATTTCACATCACGTTTTTCTCCGATCTTTTTCTTTTAATTTTTTGTTAATTAATATGAACCCCGTGGGAATGAGCATTGATAAAAGAGTTGCAGCAAAATTATATCATTTCATTATTTCTATCCATTTTACTCTGATTGTTGGTGATTTTCTTGTTTACTCTGAAGTCCAAAATACGAAATTTCTCAAAATTCCAAGAATTCATCTTGAAAAAATGAGCAAAAAAACACTTTGTAGTTTTCATCCGCTTATTAATTATCATTGTTATTCACAAGTGAATTTCTTTCAGTTTTTTTCAGTAATTTCGCTCGTAATTTTCTGTGTACTCACTATTAAAATATTTTAAATGAAAACTGTTTTTTCAGTGGATCATGTCCGGAAAAACTTCAATCGACTGCTCTTACACCAAAGCGAATCGGCTTGGAATCATCATCCAATATGTTTGGCTAACTGGCGAATACGTTTCGTATGTTAACACGTGTTTGAAGGTAACATCACTAGTCAAATATTCATTGTTTTTTAAGGGAACTTTTTTGCGGGTTGTTTTGTGGGATTGGACCTACAGGAAATGGAGGAGGGGGGGGAGTGACCGAGGCTTTGATTTTTTGACAGGGAGCATGTTCTCCGGACTTATGAAAAATGAGAGCTTTTTTGGCTCAAAACCTAGATGATACATCTCGTGCGAAAAGAACGTTGATTTGAAAAAACATTACGTCATTTTTTTCGATATTTGTGTGCGTCAATTGCATTTAGGCCACGCCCATTTTTGAAAAAAGAGCAGCATCAAATTTAGGGAGTGATCGAGGCTCCGATTTTTTTGACAGGGAGCATGGGTATAGCTTGAAGGCTGGGTCTTCAAAAATATCTTGTTCTCCGGACTTATGAAAAAGGAAAGCTTTTGCGCTCAAAACCTAGAATATATATTTTATGTATGACAAAAATTGACTCGAACTATTTTTCACGTAATTTTTTTTCGACTTTTGTCAAATGCGCGATAATTGCCACTAGGCCACGCCCACTAAAGAAAATAGGAACAGTAGAAATTTGAATATTTTTTTCTTTTGTTGACACGCTAATTCAAATTTTTTGAGAGATTCCGAGCGAGACAAAAAGATATTGATATCCAGTGTGATCTACAGAAAGTTAAATTTATGTGTCTGGGATTTATGGAATCAAATTCACAAAATTACTTCATTAATTTCTGTTTTTCAGGAGTCCAATGATAAATTCTACGAAACAGTTGGTAGACAAGGTGTTGTTCAACTGATTCTCGATTCATTCCGTGAGGATTTGATGACATCATTGATGAACGAAACGTCTATGGATAGAAATAAGTTGCAACGTATTTTCAGCACGCAAATGATTATTTCAACTGAAGTGTTGAAATTGAAAAATTTCCATAATCTTGATCGTTTTGAAGCAATTATTGACAGTATTAATGATCGTGTTTTAAACCTCCCTGATGCAAAAATAGTGAGTTCAAATCAAAATATGAATCAGAACAGTTAAAAATTTGAAATAATTATTTTGCAGATTCACGACGAAGTTATGGCACAAATCCAAATGATGAAAGAAATTTGCAAGAAATCGGGTAACACTAGAGGAATAGAAATTTTGGTTGATATTGAAACGAATAAGGTTAGAATTTGTCTGAATAATCCGACAAATATAAATAAATTTACAGATACCAGCAAAAGAAGATATGAACGATCACAGTTGGCATTTGGTCAAACTGCAGATTTTGGATATTTGCAGAGTCAAACGATTTCCGTCAGGATCCACACCACCATCAAAATCTGGCAAGACTAAAGCTGTTACAAGAAGTCAATCGGCAACAGCAGCTCTGACTACTGATATGGTTTCATTGAAAGTCTCACCACCGGCTTCCACTGCCGCAAAAAAATCGTCTGTTGATACAAAGAAGGACGAGGGATCAAGTGGATTGGGTAGATTGTTGAGAAGCAGAAAAACCAAGAAAAACCAGGTTGATCACATTTTTCTCTCACATTAAAAAATTATTCATAAAATAACTTTGTATTTCCAGGATGGCATGATCGAACATTTTGATAGTATTGAAGAAACACCAAGAGCTTCAAATAATCGTACTACTTCTGTTGATGTTCAAAGATCAAATAATAGAGAACCAAGAAAGAAATCATCAACATACAATCCATGATAGCTTTTTCCAATGGTAACTTGCATAACTTTCACCAATCCCTAATCAATTTGATTATTTTTCCAGGTCTCTTCTCGTTCGTAATTTTCAATCGCATTTCCCTCCACAATTTTATAAAATAATGCAGCATTTTTTTCAATTCACCCTTTCTATTTTATTTAAATTAAATCTCCGAAAAACTTTGAAAACCCCAAACAATATTTGCGCTTTGAACAAAACCAATTCCGTCTTTTCTTTTCTTTTATTGTATTTTAATTAAATTGTGGATAGTTTTTTAAATAAAGTTTGATTTTTAAATTATTGAAAGTTTGTCCAAATTTCGCAAATTAGGAGTGTGCCAAATCAACTCGAAAATTATTAGATTATTCATGAGAAGATACACTTTTTTGAGATGAGCATCAAAAGCTTATTATAGTTGGCTCTGATTTAACAAATATAAGTTTTTAGTTTAACATACTTTTGAATATAATTTATTTTATTGTTCCCCAAAATTATTCTAAAATAATTTCTAATACCTGAATCTTATTAGAAACCTTTTTCTAATTCCAATACAACAAAGAATTTCAGATTTTTGATTTCGGTTTTAAAAAAAAATATTTTTGATTTTTGTATACCGTACTATTGTATGTGTGAAATCTCGTAAATTAAATTTTATATCATTGTTCAAGCCTTACTTTGTTGAAAAAATGAAAAATTGAACCAAATAAAATTGAATTTTTCAAATAGGAACCGCTGAAAAATTGATGAGTTTTTAGAGAAATTATCCAAAAAATTTCTAACACTGGAATGAAACTGTGAGCAGAGTTACAGAGCTTCCAAATTGGGCGATAGGAGCCAAAAACTAGGTTCTATCTCGGTTGAGAGATTCTATGAAAATTTAGAAAATTTGCGAGTCGATTCAAAACCAAAATATGCTGAATGTTAAGGACATTGAATGTTTTTTTGTAATAAGATATATTATTTCATTTTCAATAATTTTTCCTCTAAATTGGTTCCTCTAAATTAAAACAGCAGATGTTGTTTTCCAAAAAAACTATAAATTGTATGTATTATCGTAGCACGCCGTGAGTACAAAAATGGACACAAATTGTAGCTTAGCCGTAGTTTTGTTTTGTCAAGAGATCACTCATACATCCTCGTATGACTAAAAGTCGTCCTTTTTTCTTTTTTTTCAAAATAACGTGTGGAATTCTAGTTAAGAATAACTTTCGTTTGTCAAATTCATAAAAATTAGGCTCCACCAAAATTTGAACAATTTATTTTAGGATAATTGTTTTTTCAGAAAACTTCAAAGATGCCTGTTCCATTCTTCACTGAACCAGTTTGCAAATTCTTTGACTTCACTGCTGAATATTTGCATTATACCGCTCAAGATATCAAGGTAACCAATAACATCAAATATTTTTCTACGATTCATTTTTAGATGTCCATTGCTTCAAGAATTTATCTTCCGGTAACTGGATACGCTGAATTTCAATGCGTTAGTCAAGTCTTTCTCTGTGCCGACACATTACGCACCATCTTCAACATGCCTGACTTATCTGATCGTCAACTCTACGATTATCTTGCTAGAGCAATGCGTTCTGCGAAAGGACAAGATTATCCAGAACAATCAATCAAAACTTTTTTCGATATTATTATCGGAAAATGCATGGCGAATCGCCTTGAAAACCCAACAAAACCGGTATAAAATTTTGATAAAACTATTTTAGCTGAATGTGAATATTTTATTTTTTTAGAAACATGTTCGTATGTTGGAGAATCTTGAAATCATCGAAAAAATTGAATATCTTCAAGAAGATGAAAAAATATGGATTTCACTAATCGGCCAAGTCTTTGACTTCCCAGAGCAAAACAATGAACCGGAAAGAAATGAAGGTGCTGGAGAGACTATTCCACCAGGAACTCCAGAATGTTTGGAAGTACCACCAGCTACTCAAGCACCAGAGGACGTCAAGTTCTTGTCGAGCGCTCCAAGAGAGGCGAAAGCTGAAAGTATGTTTCACTAAATTTTTTTCTTGAGAATGAAAATTTCATTTTCAGACTCTCAACAAATCAAGCAAGAACAATTGGCAAAATATCAACAAGCAGAATGATTGTTTAATTGTTTTTTAGACGCTTTGATATTTTAAAACTTTCTTTTTCTGTGCAACCGTAAAATCTCCCATTTAAAAAAAAAACTTATCATTTATTCTCATGTTAAAGTCTTCCCTATCTCTATTTAAAGTAAATTATCTCTATTTGTATTATCTATTTGTAGTTGTTTCAAGTTTGTTAATAAAGATCAAAGACTTCAGTTTGGCTGGATACAGAATTATATCAGCTTGAATAAGTTCACATAAAATGTGTCTGATTTGGCAAAAAATGTATTTTGATGATAAAATGAAACATGAAAATGATGCTGAAATTTGATGAGAAGAGTTTTTAAATTATCTGAAAAAACCACTTGAAATATAGTCTATTCTGATTTATCAAAAATAATTCCCCCTTCTCTCTTTGGATTTTTATTTTACTTCCAATTATATCAGGCGCACCCAACTCGTATAAAAAATTGTTATGATGACTGGAAAAAACTAAAAAAAAATGAAAAAACTAATTGAGTTACTCAGAGAACGCATCTGGATTGTTCTATAAATACACATTTATATAATTGAAAGATGATATGGAATATTTAAGAGGAAATGAAATAGAATAGGTTTTTTTTCGGACATTGTCTAGCAAAGAAGATTATCAGAGTACATAGTTGATCATGATAATGAACTTTGAAAAATGTTGAAAATGAATAAGAAATCAATTTCTTTAACAACGGATGGTGGCGGAATCACCGAATATACTTTTTATGAAAATTTGGAAGTTGGAATACTATTCCAAAAGGTAAGTCTTCCCAAACTCCTAGGGTTCGCAGCTTGCCTGAAATAAAATAACGACGAGAAAAAAATAAGAATTTTGATCCTCCCGTGTCTAAAGCCAGTGCATAAAATAAACATTTTTCAGAAAACAATAATGTTTTTTTCTTACCGAAACGATATTGAACCAAATTTCAAAACTATTGTCTCTAAAACTAATTACAGTACACTACAAAATAAAGTGATTTCTTTATAAAATCCACGTGTTGGTGAAGTCACAAAGTGCTCGGATAAAGTTGAAAAAAAATTAATTTCCGTTTGTTTTTCGCAAAAAGTAATTTTCTCAAATTGAAATCTGAACATTGACGTCAGTTTTAGAAGAGACAATATCTGAAAATCATTTTTTAAAAGTAATTTTTTAATTTCCATTTCTAAAGTTTTCATCACGCAAAACACAAGGGTTCGGTAAGTTCTCTAATCAAGTTTTACATCTCTAGCTCTTGTTCAGAGGATCAACATTTAGGGAAGTCTCGGGAAAATTAAACCCGAACACTTGGTTTGAAATTTGGAAAACGTTACCAAGATATGATTCTCAATTCATAATCTTGAAATGATTATTTTAATTTAAAAGTCAGTTTCTTATTTCTCATATATCATTTTCCTTGGCTTCAATCTTCGAAATCAAATGTAACTTGAACACAACTTCAATTTTCCAAATAATCATTTGAAAACTAGCAATGATAAATCCGGTAGCCAAGGAACGCCTCTCCGTAGGTTTTTTTCTGGAGAAGTCTATTTAATTGGATGATGTGAACACAACACACTATGATTTTTTCCTGCATTTTTAGTGGATTTTTGTTTCTCTTTCACTATTTTATTTCAGATCGAAAGAAAAGTCAAACCTGGACAAGACAATGAATCTTCCACCAACGGATAAAGAAATATCTCTCTACTCTTTCATTTTTCGTGCAAGAGGTCTAATGACAATTCTTCATGAAGATCAAGAGGTAACCAAAACTTTCAAAATGATCTGAATTCCAAGTTTTTCAGAGAGCCATTCAATCAAATATCTATGTAACGGCATCGACAACAGAAATAACAGATCAAATTATTCGAGAAATCACCAACTGTGATTTGTTGCGTGAAATTTATCATGTCAAAAAAACTCTTCCAGAAATCATGCAGATTTTTGGAGCTATTGCAATCAGAAGTGGAGTTGTTAATTTGCATGGTTCTGATTTCCCAGGATTATTTGAGCGGGTTATTGAACTTTACTCACCAATCACTGAAAATATTCCAACTAGTTATGAAGTGAGTAAATTTTGGAAAACTATTTCGATAAATTTTTTTTTCGTTTTGCAGATGATCAACAAAACTCTTGAAAACATTGAAGCCATCATTGCATTCAGCCAAAACCAAACTGACGCTGGAAAATTGATGGTTCAAATTAGAAAAACTGTTTTCAAGTTCTACAACGATTCATTCAACGAGAGACATATTCGTTGATCTTTATCAAAAAATGATCGGAATTTTTGATAATTAATTTGAACCCCCATCGAGAAAACCTTTTTTATGTAATCATTATTTTACTCATAAGCGTTCTTGTTTTTATCCTATTTAATCTACTCTCTATCATAATCAGCGCTGTTAATTTGTTTTTTTGAAGCAATAAAGTTGTTTTTCTCGAGATTTTGAACTACAAAACTGTTTCCATCGAAACCAGCTACAAACTCAGCAAGTTCAGAAAACTTCATTCCAGTTTTTTCTCGGTTGGTTTTCAGAACATTTTTTGTTGGAGAGACTTCTGATCCAAGTTTCTTGATTCACTGAACGCTGACTTTCTGTTGGCACCAAACATCGAGCATAGTTTTGCAGATTAAGATCTGTTTTTTTTTGCAAAAAAAAAAATATTTGCAGAGCATTCAAACGTTTCCCAGAAAATTCATATACAAAACCTCATCACATTCAAAATAACGTTGCCAAGAAGATGGATAGTAATTTCCTATTTTTTCCAAAATTTTATTAGATATATTTTAGAAAGCGCATTTTGAGCATTTTGAAAATCGATAATTTCTAGAAGGGCGTGAAATAAACAGATTTCCATCTCAACATCGAGAACTTTGTAGTTAGTAAACCACCAATTATGTATTCTCTCCCATTTTTCAATGTTATTTCATTTCATAAGTTATAATTTTCAGTTAGTATTTGTGTTACTCATATATACTTTTCAGATATTATTCTTATTCTCTGAAAAATGTCGTCAATCGAACGAAAGTTCTCAACAATTCTTTATACATTGCATGCTTGGCAATTCATCAGATATCTCAAAAAACATGTGCACGTAAGTTATCATAAATTAAGAAATATTAAAAAATCTGCCTATATTTTTTAAATTTAGAGAAGTCTTCGAGATCCAGCTGTGGCTCATACAAAAGCAAACAAATTAATGAAAGAATGTATTCGAATTATACTTTTGGCTGAAAATTATAAAACAATTGAGGAAAAAGAATTGTCATCAAATTCTGATTTCAAAGAGTTGTTCAAAAAATTCGAACTCCCTGGAACAACTCCAGAAATGCGAATTGAAATTTTTCGAATTGCCAAAGAAAATGTGAAACTTGTTATTGAAAATGTTCAAACTATAAAAGAGGTAAATTATCTTCAACGTTAAAAAACCTATTTTGATATTTCAGTTTTTCGGAAATTTCTCCACTTATATTCAAGACATCGAACATTCAATTCATGAAGATTTCGAAGTAACTGGTTGGACAACTCGAGTTGATGCCAAGGTTTTTCAATTGAAATGTATAAGTTGAATCAATAACGTGTTTTTTTAGATTGCTGATGCTTGTCGGGATCTCAATGGATATTCTTTGACTTTAATAAAAGCTGCTCTTATGATATTTTATGTAGATTTTTCGAATCGAGATCGATTGAGAAGACAAGTTGCGAGAAGTCAACATGAAAGTCGATATGGAGGAAGATCAAAGAGTTTGAGTAATTGGCCAAGAGAAGTTTTCCGTAGATTCAGTCAAGGCGGATTGTTCAATAGTTTTAGTACAATCCCGAACAATGATGATGAGGATGAAGTACTTGTTGAAAGAGATCGAGGAGAACTGAATCCGCAAGTTCAGCAGATGTCAAATGCAGATAGAAATCGAACACGTCGAATGTCTTCTGTTGGATCATCGATTCCTCGAAGTGATGTTGCTTTGAATCCGAGTGATATTGAAGAATTGGAAGTTCGTCCAACTCGAAGTGACGATGACGACTTCTATTAATTAATTTTAATGTTCTTTCTTTTTTTCTCAAATGTTTTGATAGTTTATTTTGAAGTAGTGGGCCTATAAATTTAATATTTTGTAAAACAAAAGTCTTATTTTTCAATCTACATAGGCCCAGTTACGTTTGAACCTTTTTATTTAAATTTTTGTAATTTTCTCTCTACTAACATCAATAAATATATATTTGGTCACCATCTATTGTTTTTTATTCGTAGCTTGATTGCAAAATCAAACATCAAAACCAAATTCGTCACTACTGCTTACAATAAAAAATTGTGCCTTCTGACTAATTATTATAACTTTTTTGGAAAAATGGGAGTTTTTCAGTTAAAAATAGATGAATTGAAAAAAAATCTTGTTTTTCCCTGAAATAAGGAAACATTTTCTGAAATTTATGAAAAGCAAAAAAGTTGATTTCTGTTTAGAAAAATATGTGTGTTGTATGAAATATATTTTTGATCTTTGTGAATGATAAATAATTAGTTCCTGCTGAATTAGAAAATTTAGAAATTAAGAAATGAAAAATCGGAAATTCAAATGTCCGGAATAAAAACATGAAATAAAATCAAACTTCAAAAAGTCTACTTCCAGATTTCAAATGTCTATCATTTGAACTAAAACATATTGTCAAAAAAATCCCAACCCACGTTTCAAAAATTTTACAACAAACAAATCTATATGCAGAAAAAGTTAGTCACAACATCTGTGCAAATAATATAACTAAAAGTGAAACAATACCATTTGTACAGATTTTCCCCGATTTTTTTCAAAACCATGAATTGCGTATGTGCTATTTTTCTAACATTTGCAGTTGTTTTTGTCAGGTACTTGAATAAGTTTCAAAAAAATAAAAAATATTTTCTGAATGTTAAATTTTTTCAGTTCGGATGTTCATATCGCAAATGACAATTACTTTTTGGAACGAGTTAAACGAGACGGTAGAGTTTTACTGAAAAAAAATTCAGTCAAATAAAAAAATGTATTTTCAGCTACTGATTGTGGATATGGTATGAATCAGACAATTCGAAGCATTCTTGATGGAACATTGGGTTCAGGAAAAACTTGGAATTGTAGTTTGGAGCAAGAAGCAAGTGTCGTTGTGCAAGAATGTTTGACGGATAATGGTGGATTGAATAATTCAACATTGAAATTGACGTAAATTTATAATGTTGTTTTCTTAGATTTGAAATTATCTCTAATGGAGCTACAGTATTCCACGTGCCTTTGAACTTATTTTTCCAGATACACAAATTCGAACAACTTGACATCGGATGAAATATTGATTCAAAACACTGTCGGAATCACTGTCGCTTCCCAATCTATCAGTGTAGAGGTAAATAAAACAATTTTTATTATAAAAAATCAAAAAATCAAACAAGGTTCAAGAAACAATAGTGATAACAAATAAGGTGATTTTTCTGGAGAAAAATTGTCTTTCTGATCTCTGAAAATGAAAAGTCAAGTGTAATTTTTTTCGTTCTAAAAGGTGTCAAGTTCTCTGAAAAAATGTTCAATTAATTTCAGGCGTTGACAATTGGATGCTCTTCTGCAAGTTGTGATTCACGAGTTGATCTTCTTTGCATTTACCAATGAATTTTCAATTTTCATTTAATTGAATTTGAAGTTTTAAGCAATATATAAATGAATGAATGCATGAATGAAGAATAAAATGTTTCTAGATTTTTGCACTTTTCAATTTTCATTTCAATTTCCTCACACTTTTTTTGCTGTTGCTTTGAAAAATAAAATAAACCAAAAATCAAATGAATGATGTGCCAAAAGATGTGCCAAAAATGGCGCCTTTCTCTCTTTTTTTCAAGAAAAAAAGGAGAGAGTATCAATTTACATTTTTACACATTCATTCATTCTATGAACAACCACGTTTTATTTTTTTTTGAAGTTGCGTGAAGTTAGTTAACGCAACATTCCAATATATCTATCTATTTATTTATTGTTGAAAGACATACTTATCAAAAGATCGTTAATGACCCAAACTGTTGTTTGAACAATTTATTTGTGAGTAGGGAGGAGAGACATTTTCTCAAGAAAAAAATTTGCTTTTCGGATTTGGATGCTTTTTCCACGAGGTGGTTCAATGATTTTTGAAAAATGTTTTGTTTCGCTCTGCTTTGCAGAAAAAAGCTTTGGACTTTCAAACTTTTTTCTTGCTTAAACTCAGTTTGAGTTTCTAAACTTTTGTCTCAATCAGAGTATTTTTCCCCTAAAAAGAAAGATCGTGTGTTCGATGTACCCCTAGACTCTATTGTTCAAAATGAAATTGAAATTCTATTCATGCATTCATCTAATTATATTATACATAATTGACATATTTTTTATCTCGTTTTTATTTTTTTTCAGTCTTTCATCGCATCGCACCAAAAAAAAACAATTGTTCCATATGTTTTTTGGTTTGATGTCATTTTCAGGCACTATTTTTCTTCGAAATAACTTTGTAATTTAGAAAATGAACTTCGATATTCAATATTCTAGAGCACATTTGCTTCTATTTTTTGATTAAACAAATATAAGTTTGTGTGTAGCACATCATTAGGTATTCACAAAAAAATGGGTTTTGTCTGGTTGGCAAAAGATATTACTTTGATTTGAAAAGGATCAAATGTACATTAGATTTCAGATTTTTCTCTATTCTTCGTTTTTTTCTTTTCTTTTTTTCTGGATTTGATGGATTTTTTATTGAAATTGAAAAAAAAACAATTTTATGTACTTGTCTATTCTATGATCTTTCCTATTTGAAAAAAAAACAAATAAAATAAGAATAAAAATTTGAAATTTCTTATTCTTTGAACTTTCCAATAGAAAAATATTCAGGATAGAAAAACACCAAAAATCAGATACATTTTCATCACTTCGAATTATAGTCTTAATTTTATAGACATCATGAATCTATTAAATTTTTCTCTGATTTCACATTTTTCCTAGAAACCTTTACCTGTTTGATTGGTTTGTAAGAAACTCACATCATTTCAGATAGCAGACGGAAAAAATTGTTTTTTTTTTCCAAAAATCTTAACTATCCTTTGACACGCAGTTTTGGAATTAGGATAAAATTTTTTAAAAATCTGAGGAATTCTGAGAACTTTGGGAATTCCACTGTTTTTTTTAAACAAATTTGAACATCCTGAAATTAACATTAGGTATTGTTAGGGTGGAAAATCGATACTTTGGGCTGAAAAATCTGAAAACTCTTTGTTCTCTGAAAAACCTAGATCCATTTAGAAACCTTTATTTACAACAATTTTCTAGAAACCCCTACATGTCGGTTTCATTCTCCAAAACCTCACATCATTCAAAATACCATACACAACTAATTGCTTTTCGTAAAATCTTAATTTTCCATTGACACGCACTTTTCAAATTTGAAAATCAAGAATTGTGTGATCTTTAACAAGAATTATGGAAAATCTCCTGGAAACCTCCCACTGTTTTTCTTCAGAACCTCACATCACATCATTCAAAATACCAGACAAAATGAATTGTTTTTCAAAAATCTAAACTTCCTTTTGACACGCATGATTCCAATTAACCCAACTTTTTCTTGATATGAATCAATGATCAAACATTCATCATATCAAGTTTCTCTTTTTTTAGATGTGAAGAAAACACAAAAAAGAATTAACGCTTGAACAAGTTTAAAATTTCAAGCAAATCCCTCTCTTGAGCTCTTAATTTTCAGACAAAAAAAACGCTCTTCAACATGCTTTTTTTGCTTCTTACTTCTCACTTTCAACAAAAAAAAACTCTGAAAAAAAGTTGTTCATTTGAAATTCCCAATTACCCTTATTTTCCCTAGTCATACAATATAAGTGTGTATTTTTAGGTTTCAGACAACATGCTCAAGAAGAAGGAGAAGAGTTTAAGAAATTCGCGTCATATTCCCAGGGTGGTTCAAAAAATCATAGACGTGTTACTTACCCTAACTCACTTTGCTTCTGAATTTTAAATTTGTTTCACAACTTTTCTTTTCTCTTTTTTCTTTCTACTGAAACAAATGTTTGCTTCCGCAATATTTTTTTTCAAAAAAAGTGTGTCTTTGAAAAACATATGTTTCTCTTTTTATCTACATAGATAGATCAAAATATCATTCAAGATAATTTGCATTTTTCTTGACCTTTGCTATGCAAAAAATAAATAGCCATTCAATATTCATTTTTGCAGACAACATTTTGTAAAAAAAAACATATACTAGTTTATTGGTTTTTTTTGAAATATTTTAATTGAAATATATCCAATAAAATTTTGATTTTTGATCAGAGAGTTTTCAAGGATTTTTAATAGACAATAATGTATTTTTATGCAAATTTGTATAAATACATTAAATGGTCAAAAATCTAATATTTCTCATAATATTTTATTCATCCATCCCATTGAGCACCTCAAAATACGAATATTTTGCTCAAAAGATCAACCCCCGTAATATCCATTGAACTTCTGAATAGTTCCCCAAATATTCAATGATTCCAAGAAATATATATATTTTGAGAACTGTTGTACTTTTCAAGTGTTTTTGTATCTTCGTTCATTGACGTGTGAAATTGTCATAGATATTCACTTTTCTTATTCACTTTTCACTTTTTATTCAACTTTTAAAAAATATTCGAGAACTTTTGAAGTGAAAAATAAAAATGTCTAATGAAATGTGAGTTTTACCTTGTTTTTCCCTATACAATAAATTTTGAATTAAAACCCTTTTTAGTTGAATTTAGAGGTCTTAAAATAAAGATGAGCATTTTCCCAAATTTAATGCTCAAAGAATGATCATTCTGAATGATGTGTGGGATTTATTTTGTGTTAGGCTAAAAATCATTAAAACAAAAGAAAATGAGGATAAAAAATGTGCAGCTCTGAAAGTTATCGAGGTCAGAGATAAAAGTGAGCACTTTATGTTTCTCATAAAAAACATGAGTTCAAAAAATCATTCGGCACGATTTTTTGAAATGTTGAGAGAATCTGAACTTGCTCTGAAAAATCAAATCTGGTTCTGAATCTGAATTTTTGTTCTAGACATTTTTTAAGTTGAATACAACTTTATCTAAAAAATTTTGCTAAAGTAATGGTCTTTCCAAGTACGGTATTTTTCTAAAGCACACCATTGACTTTTCTTCTTTTGTAAAGTAGTTGGTGTTAGTGACGCAGAGGATATGCCGTATTTTGGCAATATGGTGGTTGACTCTCTGTATTATTTTCTTTTTTAATTTTTTAGGTTGATAATAGGTAAAATTATAATTTTCAAATTGTTTCTTAAAAACAATATGTATTCTCAAGAATAAACAATTTTGTTGTCTATTATTATTTTTTAAACGTCTTCATTTTTTTTCAAAATTCAACATCAATATTTATATAATCTTCATGTAAACAATCCGCCTCCCAAAAAAAAACATTTATTTCCCACATACACACGAAAAAAAAGCATCTTCATCATTGCTCCTCCGTAAATCTCGTAATAATATACTTTCCCACACTTTTTGTCTCTTTCTTCAACTTTTTTGTTAGGAACTACTACAAGAACCAAAAAAAAGATTTACCTTTTTCCGGGGGCCTAGTTTTTTTGTTGCTTTATCAGAAAAATTATAGTGAATGAGAAAATTGATAAGAACAAAAAATTAATCTTTTTCTTTTCATTTTTGCCATGCCATTGGGATCCAGAAGAAGAAGAAGATAGACATAACAGAATGAAAAAAAAAAGAAATGGCAGTTTGCCTAAATTTCGTTTTCTCCTACTTTCTTCTTCTTTTCCATCCTTTCTTCCGTCGTTGTCCCGAAAAAAACGAGACCCCAAAAAAATGCCCAATTTTCTCCATAAAATTTACTTACTTACTTACTTACTCACTAAAATATATACATAAACATGTTGCAGAATTTTGTCAACGTTTGCCAATTTTTTGAATGATTCCATTTCGATAGCAGCTACAAAAAATATGAGGTCAGTTTCATTTTTTTTTATTTTCTTGGTCTTTAATTAAAAAATTGTGTGTCATTGAATTTTTTGAAAACGGAAGAGAATACTCTAAAGGTCATAATTTTTTGGAATATTAGATGAGATTCATGTGTGTGAAGATCATTAGGGTCAAATCGGCGTTTTTTTTCTTTTTTGCACATTAAATTCTCAGGTTGATAAACGAAGAAAATTCCTATAATATAATCCGGTTACCTTTTAATGATCGACAAGTTTCAGAGAATGTAGGTTTTTTTTTAAATTAGCTGTTTTGCAGATATATAGAAATCTTAAACGATTGAGGAGTTCAAAAAAATCCGAGCCCTATTTCTGAATTTGAAAAAAAAACCAAAAATGACTTCCCAACTTTTTCGTCATTCAAAGCTTTGCTTACAAGGCAAAGTTACGGATAATTTTTGTCAAATGAAAATTGACATCAACAGATTAGTATATCCTGAAATGAATCCTAGGATGCACGCACAAATCACCTAAAATATATTTATAATTTTCCTAGAATATGTGAAAAACTTTAATGTAACCGAACGCGGCTAAACAACTCTTTTGAAACAGTATAAAAATATATCCTCTGGATTCATTTACAACACTTGGAAAAATAACACGTCATAACTATATATCGGATGATTCTACTAGAAAAATTTGATTTTTCAGTTTTTTTTTTTAATAAAATACTTTCTAAACATTTTTCAGATGAGAAATTCAGCTATTCCAAAAACCAACCGAATGTTTCTGATTTCTTGAATAAATTCATACTGAATTCTTGATTTCTAGAACTTTTCAATTCACCTTCCACCCTTCCTGACCGATTTCTGATTATCAAAAGGTTCTACCTCCAACAAAAATAATGAAATCATCGAAAAAACGTAATCTGTCTCGTCATGGTTGATGTTTTGATTTTGCAGAAATTTCTAAAATTATACATACAAATCAATTTTGCGCGATTTTTCGAACTCAAAAGCGTTTACTTAACGCTTGATTATTTTTCTCACCAACTTAAAAAACACAAGTTCATCTTTTTTTTGGTGGTATTTTAATTTCCGCTCGCTTGCTGACACTTTTCGGGGGGTATCGAAATGACTTTTTTGTATATACATACGCTAGAAGTTTGCCTAACTACAGATCGAAAAAAATTTTCAGATTTAGAAGAATAAAAAATTCTTGATAAACGTAAACGTCATTGTTTGTTTATGAGGGGCCTTTCAACTTTTAATTTCTGCTTTTATTTTTCATCTCTTTTGGAAATGGAATTTGAATTAATTAAGGTTTCGATTTCTTTTGTTTGTTTCGAAATTGATTTTGGGATTGCTCAGAGTTCCAAGAATTCATTTTACCGTTTTTGGTTCGGCAAACACGCCTCCTTTTTTGCACCGCCCACTTTTCATTTTGGTAAAGGTCTTTTAGATTTTGTCTATATATCACGCTATTTTATAGCCAGAATATCTCACAAATTTTACAAATTCACAAATTCACACATTGAATTATATTTGAAAGTTCCGAAGTACAATTTGTTTTTTCTTGTTATTAGTTTTCAAAACCAAGTTTTTCATATTTTAAAAACGACAAATAAAAAGTTATATATCTTCAATCTAGCATATAAAGTCAATAATTTCAGCTTGATAATTTTGAGCATTTTTGAGAAAGATGATGTTTCTCATTAGCTCCTAATTAATGAAACGAGAAAAATGCGAAAATCTCGAAAATTTTCTTTTGCCCTACACAAATTAGCAATCATTTCTCACAAGACATGTTCTTGTTCTGAAATATTTCCATTTTATGTTCTCACTGTTTTGTGTTATTTTGATCGAAATATTGAATCGTTTTCAGTGGTTTCGACGATACCCAAGGGGGACAAGAGGGAATGACGCAAGTCGAATACATTGCTCATGTTGTTGTTATGCCAGTTGTTCTTTCTATAGGTATGTGGTATTCAAAGAATTAAGAAAAGAAAATAGTTGAAAGAATTTTTTTAGGAATGATAAATCAATGTCTGAATGTTTGCACATTATTGCATCTACCATCTGGATGTTTTATGTATCTCAAAGCTTCTGCAATCGCAGATATCTTAAGTATAATCTGTTTTCTACCTTTCCTTTTGAGACAAGCTTCATTGAATGATCAATCTTGGGAAGCTGGAATGTTATATCATGCTCACGTAGAGCTTCCCCTAATTAATGCATTAATCACGGCTAGGTAAGTTGGGTTTGACAAAAAACGAACTGAATAATTCTTCTTCTGCGATCAAAGATCAATTTTGTTTTTAGCGCGCTGAATATCGTTGCAATGACAGTTGATCGATATTTGTCCGTGTGCCACCCGATAAAATTTTTCCACGCAAGCGACTCAAAAATTCGCAGTTTGTGTGTTATTTTCTTACTCTACTTGACAGCGTTCCTCATTTATATCCCATCGATTTGGCAGAAAAAAATTATCAAAGTCACAACACCTGAACCGTAAGCACCAATTTTTCCAGAAAACAATCATTATGATAAATTTAGGTTTCATTTTAAAATTGAAAGGAATCGGGAGGTAGAAGATCTTCAAATTTTCCGAATTTATCTTCTTCTTCGCGAATGTTTTACTCGTTGGGGACCTGTTATTGTTCTCGTTGTTCTCAATATGGCAATGGTTCGAAGTTTGAGAAAACTCGATAAAAGACAATCAAAATGGGGAAGAGCATCAAGATTGTCAAGAAGTGCGCGAACTCGATCAGTTCGAAGTGCAAGAGATGATCGAGGCAGAATCTCTGCATTATTGCTCGTCACCTCAACAACATTTATTATTTGCAATTTACCAGCATCTTTCCTCTCTCTATTTATATCGTGAGTTTGAAGAACACATTTTTAACAATCCTAATTATTATAAAAAATTGCAGGAATTTGCAAACTTCCCCCTCAACAGCATATCAAATATTCCGATCGGTTTCAAATCTTCTTCAAGTTACCAGTTATCTATACAATTTTTATTTGTATGCTTTATGTTCTTCGGAATATCGTCAAGCATTATGTCGACTTCTTGGGTGTAGAAAAGCAAATTCACCAATTTCAACCGGCGATTCGCCAACAATTCGAAATTCACACAATGTGAGAAGAGGGCAGATACAGTAAGTTAATCTTTGACTTGAATTTTTCCTCTACAAATCAAGAATTTTCCAGAACTGTTATTGATTTGGATCAAGTTCGCGGAGTTCCTGAAGTTGTTGCATTAACCGAAATGAATTGATTTGCCCCGATTTCCTAGAAGTCTAAATGACGTGTCAGAGATACGGTTTTAATAATAATGATCTTAATTTTTTTCATTTCCATATATTTTAGCAAATTGTGATTGACTACTTATATTTTCATGCTTTTTTTTGTTATTATTTTTGAACAAACATATCCTTGCAGCTTTTTGACCACACATTCCGCATAATTCAGAATTCCGTTTAGTTTTTATTTGAGATTTATTTTATACGGTTCTCAATATTCTTCTGTTGTTTTTTCTTTATTTTTCTTCTGTGTTAAATTGATTTGAACATTTATGTATGAATAACACTATTTTTATTCTATTATCCTGGTTTCATTCCAAATTTTCAGATTTTACTTTAAAAGTTCTGATTTCTTGATGAAGCCAATGTAAAATTTCAGAATTTCTCTTGAAAAATCATATAAATTTCGGTTTCATTATAGACCTATTTTCAAATGTTTTCATTTTTAAGAAAAACGATTTATTCTTTGATTTTTTCCCGAAGTTGTATCAAATTCAAAAATAACATTTTATAAATATCTCTCACTATCCAAATTATATGCTTTCAGTCACTGTTCAACTGAAAAATTACCTAGAGCCTCGAAAAATCTCAAAACCTCCCAAAAAGTCCTCCTAACAGCTCGAAAAAAATAGACAGCACACACAAAAAAGAGAGCGCAGAGAAGCAAACACAACTTGGCCAGCTGCCAGACAGAGTAAGATACGCATGTTGGACACACGCGAACAAATGCTACCGTAGTAAATAATAGAGATGAAGAAGAAAAAGAGGAAGAATTGTGTTCTTTTTTTCTTCTCCTATAAAATTTGTTTTCCCTAAAATTTTCAACGTTATTTCAGTGATTTTCAGACATGGGTGACATCGAAAAGCAGGTCGAAATCAAGGAGAAGAAGCTCCGCAATGCTATGCGCGAGCTTAAAATCCAAAAGCTCTGCCTCAACATTTGCGTCGGAGAATCTGGAGATAGATTGACCCGTGCCGCTAAGGTTGGTTTTTTTCTCTTTTTTATTTCAGCTCCCAGCATGGAATATTTTGAATACCTGAAAAATTTAAGAAAATTTCAAAAATTCAAAGAAAATAACGAAAAATATTCAAAAATCTAATTTTTAGGTCTTGGAATCGCTCACCGGACAAACCCCAGTCTTCTCAAAGGCTCGTTACACCGTCCGTACCTTCGGAATCCGTAGAAACGAAAAGATCTCCGTTCACTGCACCGTCCGTGGACCAAAAGCCGAAGAGATCCTCGAGAAGGGACTCAAGGTCAAGGAATACGAATTGTACAAGGAGAACTTCTCCGCCACCGGAAACTTCGGATTCGGAATTCAAGTAAGATATTTTTCCTGGGAGCTCGGAGGGTTTTGCAGATAGATCTTGAAATCTGAATCGAATTTTTTACAAAACTCCTCGTATTTTAGGAGCACATCGACTTGGGAATCAAATACGATCCATCAATCGGAATCTACGGAATGGACTTCTACGTCGTCCTCGACCGCGCCGGACGTCGTGTCTCCAAGAGAAGACGTGCTCCAGGACGTGTTGGACCAAGCCACAGAGTTCAACGTGAAGAATCCGTCAAATGGTTCCAACAAAAGGTTAGTTACTTATAATCCGGATTGTTTTCTGTTATCTAACCGATATATTCTTACAGTACGACGGAATCATCCTTCCACCAAAACCAAAGGTCAAGCGCACCTTCCACAGACGCCGTTAAGCTTTTTGTTGTTTATATAACATAAATTGTTACATGTTCCGAAAATTTGTTGTTTTTTGGGTCAGAATGAACCATCTGCTGAAGATTCATGAGTATCCTTGGTTGAGAGCAGAATCAGAATCTGAAAATGCTTATGACTAAAAATATAGATGAATAAGCCGTGTTTCTGAAAACGAGAGCAAGGGTTTTCAGAGAAAAAAATATCATTGTTGATTCGGCAAATAATGTAAATGACAAATATTATGAAAAAATATCTGAAACAGTCAGATATTTTGGGATAAAATTGTGAGTTGTATGAAATTTAATTTTTTGGCTCCAATAATCAGAACATTTAACTCAATTCGGTAGGAGAAACTTTGGAAATTTCAGATTTTGGAAATCAATAGTTCGAGTTATTATTCAAGCGATTGAATTCTTATGAAAAGTTTTTCTGCTCAACAGTGTTCAGCTAAAATATTCTTGAAAATTGGCCGAATACTTACAAAATCATATCGAAAGCAGCTGCATTTTTTGCTATATTTTTTGCATGAATAAATATAAAATTGGGGGAAAAATACATCAGTTTTCAGTAGCAGTCTTTGACGAAGACTTGGGATATTTTTTCAATAGACGGTTTCTGATTGAGAGCGAATCCAAATGCACAAGTCAAGTCTTGAACTCTGTAATATTGCACATCTGCGCCGAAGAGCTGACAATCCTTTTTCTTGGAAGATCTTCGCCAAAGCGCTATGACTTCAGTGATGATATTTTCGAAATAATCTTAATTTAGAAAACTCTTCTCTAAAATCAGTCAGAAGTTGCTTCATCAAACAAACTCTAAAAAAGAATTTTTTTTATCCTAGAAGCCCCGTCTTTGTTTCTAGAATTCAATTTATTAAAAAGCTTCATTGTGCAAGCCTTCAGGATAAAACTTTTCATAATATTTTTCAAACAAAAAGTTTACTGCACCTCAGATCCTTGCAATCGAACCTTTTATAATTTCTGATCGCTTCTCCAAAAACATTTCCAAAACAAACTCCGGAAATTTCCATAAACTAAAGACCAAATATTCATTTTTGAAAAGTTTATCAATTGTGTAATCATTCCGACACGGCATTTCAACCGGATAAACACAATTTTGTCTACTGACTTAATAGCTTTTCTTTTCCAGGGACTTGTTTTTCAAGAATATTCATTGATTCATTCAAACGGTTCGCAGAAAAAAAAGAAATAATAAGTCATCTTTCCTATATATAAAACGTATTTCAATCACAAATAAGATTCAAAACTAGAAGAGTATGTACTTCTAACCAAAAAAAAAAATAATAATCATTCGGAATGTATTGGAGGGTGGTGAAAATTAGACTGACTAAGTGAATGGGTCAAGAAAATATACAAAATTAAGGTTTCATTAAGGCAAGAAGATGTTTACTTGGCGGCGATGGATTCACCTTGAGCTGGTTCACTGTCCAATTGTTTTCCCAAGTATTCCCAGTTGTGAACCATGAGTTTTTGAACAGCCAAAAGAGCGTGATAACGAACATTTGGATCTTCAGCGGTCAAAAGTTTCATCACAGCTTGCTTTCCTTGGAATTGTTCGACCAAGCTGAAAAACATTGTTGACTCAAAAAATATAAGATCTTCAATATTTGATAATAACTCACGTTTTTCCTCTTGGATAATGTCTAACATATTCTCCGATATCGTGTGCAGCAACACAAAGAATCAATGGATCTTGGCTTCCTTCCAAAAGTTTGATAAGTGTCTTGAGAACTTCGAATTGTTTGTCATTGAATTTTTGAGCATTATCACGCCAGAATTTGTCAGATTTGTGCACTGGTGACCAAGTCAAACGTCCACTTCGAACTTCAGCCAAATATTCATCATACGAACTCAAATCATGAACCGATGACATCAATTCTTCATTCAAGAATCGAATATCTTCCTCAAGATCTGGATCATCATATTTCTTGGATTCCATCAATTCCAAAGTTTTCAATGTTTTGCATTGAACCATTTGCAAAGCGGCTTCTCTTTTGATTTCACGTTCATCGGCCTTGTTCAAAATATTGACAAATGTTGAGAGAATAATTCGGCTGACTTTTTCTTTTGTTGATTCAGAAAGGATATCTCCAAGAGTTTGGATAACTCCCAATTTTGTGGTTTTGTTGGCGATTTCCGTATTGAAAGTGAGGCACCAGAGAGCGAAGATAAGTTGGTATTGAAGTTGGAAGTTTGTCTTTCCACTGAGAGCAGCAACAAGGGCTTCAATTCCTTCGTGATCAACAAAAACATTTCTGTATTCATCGATTCTCAACATCATTTGAAGACATCTAGCAGTTGTGTTCATGTACTCATTGGTCTACAAATTTTGAAATTTTTGATAAGAAAAAAATCAGATAAACTTACTGGAGCATTTTTCAATTGCTCTTTCAAGAACGAGAAGTAGTATTGGAGTTCTTGACCTTCCATGCGAGTTGTTCCGAAGCAAGCCAACTTGGCGATGATGGAGCTCATCTAAAAATCATGTTTTTTCAGAACTGATCTAAACTTCTTTCAAAAATTACCTGGTTAACAATGAAGTTGTCTTGACGTTGAAGAATGCTGATAAATTGTGACCAGACAGTTCGTTTTTGCTTGGCAGCAGCGGAATGGAAGATTTCAACACGGCTTTTGTCTTCTTGAAGCATATCATCGAACAATGTCAAAACATAACGAACATTTTGATCTTTGGCGACTTGGGTGATCAAGTTAGCGACAGTTTTGGCGGCTTGACCATTGGCATCATTTGCAGCAAGAACTTGATCGCGCTCTTCCTTGTTCTACAATTTTTTAGTCTAAACTCTGTCAAAAAACAAAACAAAAACTAACCTTGGCTCCTTCATAAGCGGTGATGAAGTTATAATCATCTTGTTGAATCATTTGTGATCGGAAATAAGATCCCCAACTTGGCTTGTTTGCTCTAATCTATAAATTTATATGTTTTTTTTCGCAAATCCAATCAATTTTCAAAAATTACCTCGGAAGCCTCAATTTGAAGGCGAGAAGTGGCGTTGATCATATCAACGGCTGGAATAGCATGAGGCAAGTCGGCCATGATTAGCTGAAAACGTAAAAAATGTAAAAATCCGCGAAAAATTGGTAAAAATTAAATACGACAACAACTGGTTTGAAAAGACCATGGGTTAGGGAACAACAATCAACTAGGGTCGGCGAGCGTTGCGAGACCCATTTCGTTTCGTCTCCTCGCAGGGACACATTTTTCTTACTATGTCTTTCACTCTGTTTTTCGTGTGCTATTTTTGTTGAGGAAAAAAGAGAGAAAGGAAAAAGGAGAAGAGATAACAGAGTGTTTGGGTCGAAATACGGGAAACGATTTTTTGCAGAAAATGGAATAAAATTATAAAAAAAATAAAGTTTTGAAAATGATGAAGCGAATAGAAACATTGCATCTTGGATAGAAAGGTGAAAACAAGAATTTTGAATCATTCCGATCGGCTGAAACTCTGAAATTCACTTTTAATAGAGATTTTTTCTTATTTTAAAAATAAGTCTGAAACTCCGTTTGATGAGTGATCAATATTGAGAAAAACGGAGCAAAGCTAGACACCGTACAAACACATTCATTTTTTCAATCCTCCACTTCCTCCAAAAAAGTATCTAGTAATGGCGAATCTCAAGTAATTTAAGAATTTGGATGTTTCATTTGTAAAAATGTTGTAGACTGATTTTTATGAGTGATATCCGGATTAACGTTCAGTTAACTATGATGCGAACATACGTCAACCCTGATCTCTATCCTATCAATCAAAAATTATCAGAAAACTGGCACATGAACTTTTGAATATTTTGAACCTGCCATTAAACTTATGGCCAGATATCTTTGACAAAATTCAGCATAAATCGATAATTAAAGTTATAAAAGCACCCTGGATTGAGTTCTACCGCACAAACGATTCATATAACTCACTTTCCTCATAGTGCATTTTGCAGTTGTGATATATAATAACTTCGAAACGATAATTTTCTCAAATGAATAAAGTCAATATAGATATTTCTTTAGAAATCCCGAATATTTTTATTTGATACAGGAGTTGAGTCTGGTTAATTTCAGATTTTACTTCTCTCAAACAATTTTTTTATAACTGTAGACTCGAAGGAAAAATTCGATGGCGACACGCAAGTTTTTCTGTGAGTCCGAGGTCTTGGAGATCCTTGAGTTATTCTATCAATTTTTTTATTTAGGTTTTCCATTTATCAATAAAAGTTTATTAACAAACTAAAAACTGACAATACAAAAAACATAATAAGTTACATAGAACATTCAACTAGTTCTGATGAATCGCGAAAAAATAGGTGTCAGCGAGATGGTATCTTTGCGTTTTAGGTTCGGTATTCCATGGAAGCTTTTTCATCCTCTACTACTTCTTCCGGCGAATTCCGGATGCTGTTGGGTTGTGATCTTCGACAGTTTTCAGAATATCTTAGTTTTTTTTTGTTGTCCAGGAGTTTGAAATCGATGGAACATTTCAGCATTTGAGTCTCGATCGTTGATAATTTTCTTTGAGCGTGAACTGATGAGCCCGGGTTTCCGTACCATATATCGTTTCGAATTTTCTCTGCAAAACACTTTTAAGTTAAAATTAGGTTTTTCAGAAAATAAATCAAAGCTAACCAAACCTGATTCATTTCCTGATTGCAATCAATAAATATTGGGTATTGAATGAAAGGAGCATTGTCTACAGTCCACTGAAAATGCGAAGTTAAGTTCGAAAACAAAAAAAACGAATCACAAAAAATAAATGAATAAAAATAAATTTTTGAACATTTAGACTAGGCGAGCGTTGCAAGACCAGTTTTTCTTTATCTGCTCGCAGGGACACATTTTCTCTAACAATCTAACTCTCTCTCATTAGTGCAATATTTTTTCGTATGATAAAGAGAAACTACTTTTTTCAAAATAAAAAATCGGGGAAACATAGAAAAAAGATTAAAATTGCTGAAATCGATATTTTTCTGAATTCAATAATAATGCATAGGAACCTAAAGAAAAACACTGTACAAAAAACACAGTAAATTGGTGACAGTATACAAGCGATTCGTCGAAATTTTGCAGTTTTTCTATAATTTCTTCAGAAATTCTGACATGAGAATGTAAGCGTGAAAGCTAAGCTCTATAATTCATATGGTTGGAGGAATCCAGACTTTCGAATGTATTTTGCAACAGAATACTGGAGAAAAAATGAAAGTTATTTTCAAATATCTTTCTCGATTCTTCTAGATAAGACATCTTTTTATTCAAATTCTTTACAAAAAATTTATTGAGTTATGGTTATTCGTTCGTTCACAAAACATTACATAAAAATGGAAAAAAAACACGAAAAATTAACTACTTGGAAGTATAAGTGCCAGATCAGAAGTGTGTGTAGAAGAGTGAGCCTTCGAGTGCGCCGTGGATGTACACTCCGTTTTCGGTCTGAAAAATTTGTTTTATTAGGGATGAAAGAATTTAATGGAATATATTTAGAATTTAATTTGAAAAATTTGCTTCTGATTTTATCTTTCGAAAGTCCATGGATAATTTGAAACATTTGAGATGGCTTTTCAGATGCCCAGCTTCGTAAAAAATGCATTTTTAAAAATGGTTTGGTTTGGTATAGATAAATTTTCAAACTTACCATGAATCTGCGAAGCATCATATATTCATCTTCTCCGGGCAAATCACTTGGAACAGTGACAGCATCATCAACTTGTTGATAATTGTAATCCGAGTCACTATCAGTATCAAACTCCGATCCAATTTCCGATTCTTCACCATCTCCTAACAACAAATCGTCAATGATTGACACAATTTCCGATGTTTCCGAACAAGTGTCTCTTTCAGCCTTGTATTCTTTGACTACAGTACGCCAATCCTCGTCTTCCGATTCGGTGAAATTCTCTTGTTTCAACATCAAGTCTGTCTCGGAAACATTTCCTTCTTCGGATTCGCCATCTTCCTCACGCTATCAAAAGAAAAATTATCAATTTTTATTCAATTTCGAAAAACTCACATATGTCATGTATTTCTCATCGATTTTTTCAGGACCAGCAGGCATGTCGGCAAAGCGAAAATCGCAAAAATAAGACCGTTTCTATTTCTTTTCCTTTTTCTTCTCGTATTTTTCCCCCTGACTCACAAGTGGGCGGAGTTTAAACTTTATGCGATCGGACAAGAAAAAAAAAAAGAAAAATGAAACAAAGAAAAACTCCTACCGTAGGAAAAAAGAAAAGAAAAGAAATCGGGCAGTAAAAATTAGTTTGTTGTTTATGTAATATAAAATGTGGCACAAAGAGAAAATAGGAAAAGGTTAAGGAAACAATATAACTACAGTAAGTGAAATTTTTAGGTATTTCTGAAACGATCGAAAGATTCGTCATTGAGAACATTGATATATGCAATCCAGTTGTTGATGTTCTGAAAAATGAAGAAATTTGTTGAAAGTATACGACCATAAAAATGACATTATTTGCCACATTTTCCTTAATCATATTCACAAAAATCATTGCACCATTTGACCAAAAAATCATATTTATTTATGAATGTAGAAAACAGCTAGAGGGGGCCAAAAAACTATTGGAAGGGGGTAAAAAATTGAACCTTTTTTGGGATCATGTGGTCACGTCATTTGAAAAAAAGCCCCAAGAGTTCAGATACTATATCAAGTTTAGTTTTTGGACAAAATTGGTAGATCAGTAGTTAAACTCTTGTCCGCGAAACAAGCGTCAGGAGTTTGATTTCTTTCTATTCCAATGAGTTTTATATTTCAATAAGTAGCTAGCTATTACCGAGTCCCTGTTCTAATGACTTGAGAAATTTCATATCAACTTCATGAACTTTTTCACCGCTAATTCAACAAAAAAGGTTTTTCCAGAAATTCTTGGTTTTCAATATTTCATCCCATTTGCTCGATGCTTATTGTCTCTAAAAAAACCCAAATAAGCTCACTTACCAAAAGATATTGCATCAAATTGTTGTACTCAGTTTGCGTCATGAATGTCGGATCAGGAATTTCAACGTCTGGAATAGGTTCTACTGTTGGAAAAGGAACACGAGAAGCATTATTCCAGAAGGACGACGGTCTAGACCAAAACTCGGAATTACCGGATTGTGGGTTTGTTTCAATCCCAAAAGCTGAATAATCTCTCAAGGGCTCCATTCCGACGTAGTTTTCTTCTTCAATGAATGCACCTTCAAGCACTCTGTGACGTTCTTCTTCTTCTTCTCTATTCTCGTTTCTCACTCCATTTACTTGTCGAATCGGATCTTCAACGTTGTGAACAACATCATCATCAAACAATTCATATCTAATAAATCGTTGTCTGCTTTGCATTGGAATATAAGGCTCTCTATCACTCGATTCGTCATCAGCGTCTGAAGTGAGCAATGCTTCTGAATCAGTTTCAGATTCATCATCAGAATCACCGAAGCGTTCACGTTTAGGATGAGGCGGTTCAGAATCGGATTCTTCTTCATCTTCGCTTTCACGTTCCTCTACATCACTGTCATCAACTAACTCATATTCACCACTTTCCGTTTCCGTTTCAGTTGAAAAAGAACTGTGTTCTGAAGCCGGTTCATCGCTCTCACTATCACTTTCTTCATGATCATCTAAACGATCCTAAAATGAATATAATTTTTCCACGGATATCGGAATTTGAAGAAAAAAACTTACATCAACGAGAAGATCATATTTATCTCGCTCCGGCTCACGATTTTTGACTGGCATTCTGTAAAAAATTATTTTGTGAACAAGAAAATTGGATGGAAAATGAAAAACTGATCATTGGGGGGAATAATTTTTTAGCTATGAATCATTTAATGCGTTTTTTTTCTTAAAAATTGCGAAACGATGTATCTTTTGATATGCCAATTTTTTTTCGAAAAAAAAACATGAATGAACTATTCCACTACGTATAACATGTGTGAGTTCATACACATGTATGAAAAACAGGAACAACAATAATACAGATGTTCATCGAGTTTCAAGTCACGCTGATGTAGAAAAAAATGATGACAATAAGGAAGGGAAGGAGATATTGAATTTTGAAATTCTATTTGAACGAGGGTAATGTTCAGGCTTTATTTGGTAAAATGACTTGGTTTCTCATTAATGTGCTCTTTCACTCTATGTGATTCTTCAGTTTTTAGAACTCATCTTTTTTCTTTCATTAGCTACAAGGGTCAAAAACGTCTGCGTTTTTATAAAGGCTTGTAGATCAAAATTCTGCGCGGGTTTATTTTTCAAAAAACTTCTGAATAATCAACTCTTGAAATTTCAAAACTTTTTTTAATTGGTTCGGAAACAGTAAGCGATTCAATTATATTTGTAAAAGTGTATTGCAATCATTTTCCCCCTATTTCCTGTTACACTAAAAATTGTAGACGAAAAAAATAATTGTTATCAAAGAGTTCTACGAAAAACTGTTCCCTGTGAAATCAAACATTTATATTATTTTTTATTATTTTTCCTCGAATTTTTTCCTGATCATATTTGGTCTCATTCTGTTCCCCACACAACCCTCTACCCCATCCCCCAGATTTCAAGCCGTTTCACATTTTGTGTCTTGAGTTATAATCAACAGAACGATTATCGATTGAATGTTATGTTGCCCTTTCCAACAACAACATATTTTTGCGGCACTGGCAAGGGTGTGCTTTTGTCTTTTTTACAAAATATAAGGCGAAAACAGGAGGACTGAGGCGAGAGAAAAGGGGAGAAGTTGTCGCTTTTGTCTACAGAATGGTGAAAGAATGATTTGAGGGGGTTTGTAAACCTAACGAATACATTTCTGATTTATGGGGAGCGCGTGAAAACAAACTTGAGTTGAACTTTGGAACTACGATGATTCTTTGGTGAGCAATGGCTCCGGAAAATTTCAAGAGGGGGGGGTGGGTACTGTAGGTTAAGAGACGACTAGGTAAAAGAGCTGAAAATTTTCTGAGATTTCTGTAGTTTTGTTCTGACTCTGAAAAATCGTTAGGTCAGCTCAAATTTTCAAAAAGGGCATTTTCTGAAAATATGTTATTTCTAGAAAACAAACTTTTTATAGAAAAATTTTTTTTTAACATCTCAAATTCCTACAAAATAACCAAAAATTAATTTTCATGGACTCTATTTTCAAAATTTCAAAAAACTTACCCCATAAATCTCTGAAATAGGGAAGTCAGTAGTTCAGTAAGCATCATTCAAAGTTTGAAACTGAAACAATCCAAACTAGAGAAAAAACGCAGATGTATCGGTACTAATAAAAAATAAGGGAAAAATAGTTGTAAGCTGTTTTGTCTTGTGTTCTCGGTTTTCTCTGTCCCTTTCTATTCCCGGACTCCACCCACAAGCGTCTATGGCGCAAACAGAATGTCATTTTTCTGTTTCACATTTTGTTAGATAATTGTTGTGTTTTTTTATTAATCATTTTTTTTCAAAGAGTTTATTCATGATAGTATAGGAGAGACTGGATAACTGAGTGAGGCGATGATTTTTTTTTGATTTTATGATCACATTTTATATCATGATGATGAGTTGTTGGTTGACTGAGTTGATGAGGTTTGATGACTGGGGTTTGAGTTGACTTAGTTGTTGTTGTCCAATCTTGGTTTGAATTCAAACCGCAATCTGTAAAAATTACTATTTTGTTGAAATTATTTTGTAGGATTTGGGAAAAATTGTTTTTCTGGTAGAATCAAATAATTTTTGAAATTTCAAAATCGGAACAAGGCTGACAGAAGCGGGCGGACTATCAGTAGTAAAATGCTGGAAAAACCATTGGTTTTGCCAGCATAGTTAAAATTATTTAAGATAATGTTTTTCCTTGAGAAAACCAGCATTTTTTTGCATCGGCGCTTCAAAAATTGACGCCTCGGCGCTTCAAAATTAGACGCGGCGGTGCTGAAAGAGTGCCGTAATCAAAAGAATTTGGCGCGCCACTTCTATGAAAATTGCATAATTTCATCATACAAATGATTCATGTTATTTTTTCATCGAATATCGGCAAAATTTTTACCGTACCTTCTGGTGAAGTCTTGTCTAGCTAGTTCTTCTCTTTGTTTTCTTTCCTGTTCCAACTTTCTTTTTTGCTCCATTCTTTCTTCTAAATCCAAATGTTCGAATCCGAAATCGTTTTCCTCGGTTTCGTCTTCCTTTGGTTTTTGTGGAACTTCGACTTTCTTAGTAGTTGACTGAAAAATCACCATATTATATCATATCCACTAGAAATATTTCCAAAAAACTTACATTATCTCCAGAGAAAAAGTAGCTGACGACAGTACCAACTGATTTCAACCATTCTGCCATTTCTAAAAGAAACTTGAATTGATTTTTCCCTGGGAGGGAAAAAAGTAGAAGAAGAAGAAGAAAGAAAAAAGATGTAAATATAGGTCGAGAGAAAGAAAATGTGAATGAGAATAATGAGAGCCTTAGAGGCGGGCCTCACCCATCGAGAAAAAGAGCACGCAGGTGTTCACATCAGATAAAAAAATTGTTCTCGTTGTTTACCTGGGAAGGCAAAGGGAAGACCAAAAAAAAATAGGACGCTCATCTTTTTTTGGGAAGGTTTCCTTTTATGTTGGACCCCGTAGATGAGTGAGCAGAAAGAAAGAAGACTTGCCACAAAATAATCGATTTTAGAGAGAAAAGGCGTTGTTTTCCTGGCTGTTGTTGTTGTTGTTCGCTCCGTTTTGAGATAATAATTATATAATAAGTATTTATTTGGGAGGAGAAAAAAGGTTGGAGATTTGTCGAAAAAATTATTAAATTATACGGTAATAACAATAACGAACTGTGTGAAAGGAATATTGAAAATTTCATTTTAAAATATATATTTTTTTTTAAATATATTCATCAAAATATTTTACTTGAACTAGCGAATCAGAACATTGAATCATTTTAAGAATCTGACAAGGTAACTATTCAGAAATAAGATTTTTGATAACATTTATGTCAATTTAATGGATATTATTTTTCTAAAGGTACAAAAAATTTGAGAACAACTGCTGTTTTTCTTTGCGGTATTATCATAAGTGAAATAAACAGGGTAGTTTAAAAATCATTTTTAGATTTAGTTTTTTTATAGAAGTTTCAAGGAAGGTTACTAATTCTACTCACAAATTTCCCACCTGAATTTCAGAATTTTTATCATTTTTATAGTCCTGATCTAGATATCACAATCAAATCCATATCCAATTTTTGTTTAACTAGACTCTAAAGATTATTCATTATATTACAAGTGAATAACATGAAATTGAACGTAAAAAAGTGAACCTACAGATAATACTTCAAAACTGTAGTGAATGTTTCGAAAAATAATTTACTAAAATATACCTTCAATGGTTTTCCGGATTATGTTTCATTAGTTGAGTGAAAAATTGTTATTAGCCTTTAAATCTGATAATCTTGACTCTCATAATCAGAATCAAAAGGTCAGGTTTTTCCCAAACTACAAATCCAGAAAAAACGTATTTTGAAATTTTTTATAAAAAAGTGCATATTCGTTCATATTTTTGTGCAGTATTTTCAATATTTTTGCATTTCTATACTATGCAAAGCTAACCACTAATTTTCTAATTTCATTTAAATCATTAGGGAATCATTTCATAAACATGCTAATTAACTTTGTTCTAAAATTTTTTGAAAAATCGTTTCAACAACATTCCTACAACTTTTTTGAAAATTTATTACGAAATTTATACACAAAATCTTCATCACAGTAATATTTTAAAATTTCATTTTTTCATTTCCATTCTATGCAGGTGTTTGGGTTTTTATTCCTATTTTAAATAGGATTGTACATTATTTTTTCAATAGAATTTTTGAACACAGATGTTCTTCTCATTCAAAAGAGTTGGTATTTTTTGTTTCACACCTTTCTCAAATAAAAAAAACAATTTTATCCTCCCTGTGTATAGAAAATACTCTTTATTTGTATTCATAATCCTGAAAAAAACATAAGACTAAAAAAATGTAGACGCTAATGTTACCAGTGCAAACTCTCCAATAGATTGATGAATCAGAAAATCTCAAAAATTCATTATCCTCCCCATTCTCGATATTAGAATGTTGCAAAATGAACAGCGAACCCCGATATCAAATAGAAACCACGCCCTCCTTATAAATCGAAAAGGTCTATATTTAACTTGTTTTCAATTTCTCGAACTGAAGATTTGTGCTGCTACTATTTTCTCTTTCGATTGTTTTTTTTCCAAATTTTCAGATGTCAATCCAAAGTCCTCAATCAAGAATGGATGACCAACGAATCAATATGATTTTCCGAAACAGAAGACTAACATTGCATTTTCATCCAGAACGGCATCATGCAATATTCAACGATGAATTGATCAACTTTTGGGCCAACTACATGTCAACAATTACGAATCCTTCACTTAGACAGTGAGTAGATTTTTGAAATTGTTTTGGGGTGACAGATAGGTATAATCTTAGATTTCTAATCGCATAATTGTGGCACCTGCTTTTCGAAAAAGGTGTTCTTATTAATTAAATATATCCGACTGGGATTAAATGGAAATGGAAATGGAAATGGAAAAGAAAAATAAAATTATATATAATTTCAGATTTATCCACCATTGCAGATGTGAAACAAGAGCAACTCCAGAAAATATACAAAGGGTAAGAAATTCGAAACAAATGCAAAATGTGCAAATTTTCGCAAACATTTTTAATTTCAAATTTATTAGTCTGGCTTGTTTTAGAAATAAAAATCGTGTCAGAATTTATCTAATTTCAAATTTGAACAATACCGAAGTTCAGAGAACTAAAAAACCAATACTTTCCAACAAAAAATTTAAGTTTTCACTAAAATATGTCAATAACAACAAAATTTCTCGCTTTAATTTTTTTTTGCATTTTTAAAGGGTCGACTCCACATGAATCTTTTCGACAATGGTTCCCATCGATTCATTGACAGGCATCCGATCATGCTTATCCCATTCCGAACCACCGAGAATTGGTCGCTTGGTGTTATTGTAAATCCACAAAACGTCTGCATTAGAAACGAGAAATGCAAACTAATTCTGTTCACAACAAATCGTGAAGAGAGTGTTGGTTATCTGGATGTCATCAGAACCTTTTTGCTCAAAGCTCACAGAATAAGAAATCGAATGACATATCCAGAAAACATGTGAGTGACAATAATCTATTCTAATTATCCATAAGATTCCCATTTTCAGCGTCGAATTTGTTATGCAAAAACCCAAAGTGCAAGTGTTCGATTCAGCATTCTATGTGATGGCAATGATTGAATTGATCTACAAACAACCACGTAAATTTGAGGTAATTCTTCATTACATCGTTGAATCTGAAAATATGTTGAATTCGATAAGTTAACATGCCTGTACTTATCTTGTTCAATGATTTTTTTCAGAGAAAGACGTTAGTTCTCAAACATTATACTCGATATGCTGAATTACACTCCGTCATTCAGCAACTCACAAAGTCGAGCATGAGATATGTATTTCGCAGTGCTCTTCTACAATTTGAGAGAACTGTGAGTTTCCATTTCATAGATACGAAAAATTGCATTTTCTTCTAGATAAACACAACTGGGGCAATTCCAAACCGCCCTGTGACTCTTCTCTTGGATATAATCAATGATTGATCATTCTGTGTAGTTTCTCTTTTTTGTACATTCAGAATTGCGACATAAGTTTCCATATCACCAATCAACGACTTTAAATTTACATGTACCTTTTTTTATTTTTTTTTATTTTTTATATTTATTGTAATAAAAATTCTCGGTGAGGAAAATATTGTTAAACAGATTTTTCAAAAAAAAACCAATACAATACACTGAATACGGATGTTACCCAAAAAGTCTTTATTTTTTTAACAGTGTTAAAAATTATGTGAACTCGTGGCTAAATTAGAAATGCTTCCTAATTTTGCCATGGATGGAGTCATCGATCAATTTTTTGTATTAAATGTACTCGATAGGGGCTGTCAAAAAAATCAGCCCGAGTTTTTTCAAAAAAAAATCGGCCCGAGCTTTTTCGTTGGATGAAAAAAAATCGGTCCGAGTTTTTTCGTGGGATGAAAAAATCGGCCCGAGTTTTTTCAAAAAAAAAATCGGCCCGAGTTTTTTCGTGGGATGAAAAAATCGGCCCGACTTTTTTCAAAAAAAAAATCGGCCCGAGTTTTTTCAAAAAAAAAATCGGCCCGAGTTTTCTCAAAAAAATCGGCCCGAGTTTTTCAAAAAAAAATCGGCCCGAGTTTTTTCAAATTCAAAAAAAAAATCAAAAAAAAAATCAAAAAAATCGGCCCGAGTTTTTTCAAAAAAAAAATCGGGCCGAGTTTTTTCAAATTCAAAAAAAAAAATCAAAAAAAAAAGAAAAAAAATCGGCCCGAGTTTTTTCAAAAAAAAAATCGGGCCGAGTTTTTTCAAAAAAAAATCGGGCCGAGTTTTTTCAAAACTACATTTTTTTATATTTATTGTAATAAAAATTCTCGGTGAGGAAAATATTGTTAAACAGATTTTTCAAAAAAAAAAACCAATACACTGAATACGGATTTTACCCAAAAAGTCTTTATTTTTTTAACACTGTTAAAATTTATTTGAACTCATCTTTCATCTCATATTTTTTAAATTGTTTAAACTTTTCAAATGTTCTAATGGTTATTTTCATCAACAAGAAAACTCCCATCTAGATAATGACACCCTTGTTATAACCCAAAACAATACTCTCACGGTAATCCAGCTCATAGTTATTGTAAGTGACTAGTTATCTCATCTTATTGCGCAATCCCTCTTCTTCTATTTTTTCACTGTATGTGTTTCAATTATAATTGACAAGAAAATTGCATAACTTGACACAATATTTTGGGTTCATCCAATTAAATAATTGCTTGGATCTTATCTATTTCTCGCTGTTGGATATTTTCAAATTTTGCTCATTCCCTACAGTAAACATGGTTTCCCAAAAATGTGTTATTTTTTAGCTCGTAAAAATCATGCTTGGTTGTTGTTGAATCAGTATTATGAGAAAGTGTCATCAAATCTTAATCTAGAACCTAAACCTTTTCAATATAAATAATTACTGTAAATATCCTAGTTTCAAAACATCTGGTTGAATTGATGACGGCGGGATGCCTTGTTGACACATTTTTTATTGGGTGAAAAAATTAATGCTTATCAGATGAGATCAAATTTTTATGTTAGGCTAGGACCAACATATTTTGGCAGATAATTAGGTAACTTATGAGAAATAGTTTAACTCAATTTTGTTTTGAAAAAAAAGTATAAAATTCGGGATTGTCATTTCTAGCTAGCGGTAAAAATAATCAAAAATTCACTAGCATCACAATTTTATCTACAGAACAATATCATCGCACACAAGTTTTGAGTCTTCTAGAACCTTGAAAAATAGTTATTTTTTTCAGAGAAGAAGTTGAGGGAAGTTAGAGTACTTCAAGAATTCAAAAAGTTTTGGAAATACTATTTTTTCTTACAGACTTTTTTCTCTGGATCATTGTTTACTAAAGAGTTAAAAATTGAAACCAGATTCCCCCAGAAAAAATTCAAAATTACAAAAACAGCAAAACCATATTTTTCTCTAACGAAAAATACCAAATGTGAACCTCGAGAAAAATCTACAGTACCCTCCTCAATTTTCCAATTCTTTTTTCCTTGTCTTCTTTTCACTCAACCAACAAAACTATCTATTTTTGCATCTCTACGGTTTCGTGGCAGATAATTAATCACCCAGCCTCGTCTTCCCCTTTTCTCCTTCTTGATGCGCGCACACGACTTGGGTTACTGTATTCATGCAAGCAGCAACAAGAAAGTGGGCGGGGTATAATTAGAGGGCGGAGCTTAATGCTTTTGCTAGTGCTGGTGGTTCATCATAATCAATTTAGTTTAACTCTACAGCAGCTACAGAAATATGTCGTCTTCTACAAGCTCTTCATCAAGTGCTATTTCTTGGGATCAATATAATATGTATCACATGGCTCCAACTCAATATAATTATCAATCCGCTCAACTTTCGTCGAACAATTCAAATGCATCTTCAGTTAATACACCACTTCAAAGCCCAGATTTTGAAATGCCTTGTTCATATGGTGAAAACTTAAGGTAACTATTTATTTTTCTTTCGAAATTTGTTTTCTAATTAGATTTTTTTGCAGTAACGGTGGTGGAAAAGATCGAAAATGTCGCAGATACAAAACTCCATCTCCCCAACTTCTCCGACAACGTCGAAGTGCTGCAAATGAGCGCGAAAGAAAACGAATGACCACGTTGAATGTGGCCTACGATGAGGTAAGCATTTCGAAAATCACCCTCATTTTCGAATCATAATTTTGACTTCCCCCCTTTTCTCACTAAAACTATACATACATACATATATATTGAAAACAACAAACTACTGTAGATTCAGCCTTGACGCGTGAAGAGTGTCTGCTAACAGATGTTATCCTCCTCTAATTCAAAACATATAAATAAAAACCTATTATGAATTTGAAATTATTTGAAATTGATCTGATATATATCTAACTTTCAGCTTCGCGAAGTATTACCGGATCTCGATTCTGGAAAGAAGCTCTCAAAATTCGAAACTCTTCAGATGGCTCAGAAATACATTGAATGTTTGGCAGAGATTTTGAAATCGAATTCAACACAATCTACAAACTTCCAATTTAAGCTCGATTAATTTTTCCCATTTTTATTTCCAATTCCATCTTTCTCCTGAATCGTTTTTTGTCAAATTTGCGGGTTTTTGTCTATTTATTATGCATTTTCATTATTCATAAATTGTCAAATGTCAAACTCGCTTGTTTTTTCCAAGATTTCTACAGAAAATAAAAAAAACATCTTTTTGTTCCATCCAGGATCGCGGAAAAAAACAAGAAATAATAGGTCATTTAAAAAAAGAAAAAGACCATAAAAATATCTAGACACGTGCCGCAGATTTCTATCTCCTCATCCCATCGTTTTTTCTTTCGACAATTCGCACCTTGGTGAAGAAAAGGGTGATGCATAAGAAATGCAGTTTGGGAAAGCATAAGCATGATTGAGTGGTGTTTATTATTGTAATAATAATTAGTGATGAATAGGAATTGGAATATAAATATTTTGGGTTTCTGGCAAGATTCAAGAAAAATTATAAAATAGATTTGTAGTTGGGTATTGAGTGTGAATATGATTTTTTGAAAGATATTTTTCTGAAAAATTTTATTATTTTCTTTGAAGTTTCTATAACTTGAAACTGAACTGACTGGTTCAACAAATTACACTAACTGAATTTTTTTATCAGATTCCTGAAATTCTTGAACACTATTCAGATAATTTTTAAACTCAAATTGTTTTATAAAAATGTGTCTGTCCTACTTTGATTTTTGGTGCTAAAATTAAAAAAAAAAATCCAAAAATCATGTTTTGTTTTCCGGAAAACAGTTTGATGATTTCACACTTTTTTATCTGTTTGGTAAGTTTTTCGTCTTGAAAAAATTTAAAATTCAAAAATCGATATTACATTTTTAAATGCAAATAAATTTTTTTTTCAACCTTTGAAAATTATCCCAAAGTTTATGGCGCTATTTCACGGTTATTTTCAAAACGCTGAAAAAAAATAGAAAAACCTATTCAGAAAGGCTGAATGTGAGAAAATGTATTTTTTCGCTTTCACCATTAAAACTTTTCCTGGAAACTTTAGAAATGACCACTTTTTTCTATTTCAAAAATAACTCTATAAAATATTACCTACAGTATACCAAAATACCTCATTCCTCAACAATTATTAATCGGTCTAATCAAACAACAAAAGACATAACAACATAACAACCATAATCTGCTTACATAATCCAACTATTATGTTCGGTCAACCAAAGTCATCTCAGTCCATTGTCGGCTCGTTAATCCTCGCCATACAGTAATCCAGTCAATCGTAAACAGTTAAAAATACAGATGTTTTCGGATATTTTCTCGATCATCTGTCAGTTTTCTTTTGACTTTTCCCGCCCGCTCTCTCTTTTTTCGAACCCGTTAATATTGCGTAAGTCTTTTTTGACCCGATATGCAACACACACACAAAAATTAATACCTTTTTAATTGCCACCAATCTCTTCCTTTTCCCACCTTTCTTTTTGAACTCATTTGACCATTAACGTGTTACTGTACAATTAAAGATGCCGACAATTACATAATTTCTGGAAAAAGGGAGATGGAACATCTGGCTTTTACTAGTTTAGTTTTGAAATTGTGATTGCCGACACGTGGAAAATGAAAAAGTGGAGGAGAAAGTTTGGAATAACCTTGAGGTGTTTTGAAAGTTTATTTTCACCGCTCTTCAATTAGATTGTCTTGAAGCTAAACATGTAATTTATTGCATAAACATTTACTTTGAAGATGTGGATAAAAGGAAACTGTTTCTAAAAAACTATTCAGAGACTGCTAATGAAGATTTTTGATTTTTGAAATTAATTTTCTTTGATTTTTTCTAACTCATAAAAATCAAAATTTTAAGAAAAAATTCAGAAAAAATTGTAAAATGTATCATTGTCAAAAAATTTTCTCATTCAACACCAAACCACAGTTTTTTCACAGAAAAACTTCATTAAACAATAAATATTATTGATAATACCTCAATAAATAAATACATCATTACATTGAGTTATCAAAACTCGTTTCTCACATTTTTGAGATCTTCATCAAATTCGAATGGACAATAATCAGGATTGTTGTTTGGCTGAATACGATATCCCCTTGAGACCAATCGACATCGCAATTCATGCATTCGTGGCCAAGCATCTTCTGCTCTTTGTGTTTTTTCAGCTGGTGACCAAAGACGTTCCGCAACTGCCGATGCTCGAGGCCTGAGAAAAAGAGATAAATTTATCAAGGGGCTGTGGGATTTACCAAAGGCGTGCTTCAATGTTTGTGTTATCAACAAGTTCTCCCCAAATTGCAGCAATTCCTCCGAGGACAAGTTGTTTTTGTGCATCCGTTCCATTGAAGTTTGTTGGGTCACAGTAATAATATCTTAGAAAAATAGAAACATAATTTATACTTCTTTGTGAACTTCTTACCTGGAGTTCGATTTCGCTGTTCCTCCAATCTCATCCCGCCAATCTGCACCATATTTTATGTAATTCAAATACCAGCAGGAAGACACAATAACTGGCAAATTTTGAGCAGTCACATTGTGAATATACTCATAAATTTCTTCGTGTGAATTACCTTTCCAAATATGAATAATCGAATTTGGATCAGGATTATTGTTATCAAATAATTCTTGCCAGAAAATTGGTTTTCTTTTGATTTTCAACTCTTTGACTATTTTGAAAAGCCTGAAAATGAGGGTTTTTCTGATTTTTTCCAACATAAGGGATAAACTTACTTTTCAAAGAAGTAATTTTCCAACAAAACAGTGTTATTACCCATTCCTTTTTCTCTCATGAATTTCTGGATTTTCTGATTTCTCTCCCAACATTCAACAATATAATCAGACACTTCATCACCACCCAAATGCAAAAACGGATCAGAGAAAGTTTGTGTAACTTCTTCCAAAAATTCCTGAACAAAACAAATCATTTTTACCAAAGGTTTGAAAAATGAAGCCTACCGCGATAAACGCAAAATTATTCTCATTCATAGGATCGATCAAATTCGGCAGATTTGTCAATTCACCATGCTCATCAAAACATTCAGTAAGGAAACCTTTCTTTCCTCTCCAGGCTGAAGTGTGTCCAGGAAGATCAAATTCAGGAATCACACGAATTCCGTGAAGTCTAGCATAATTAATAATATCGGCAACGTCTTTTCGAGAATAAACATGTCTCGGAGAATATGCTCCAACTGTGTGGAGTTCTGGGAATCTGGCAGAAGTGTAAGGGAAAGATTCGCTGTCAACAAGATGCCAATGCAAAACGTTCAATTTATTCATCGCCATAATATCCTGAAAAATATATGTTTTCTTATAAGATTCTCAAATGAAAAATAAAATTTACCAATTGTCTCTTGATAACTTTCACACTCAAGAAATGTCTGCTCGTATCAATCATAATTCCTCGAACAGGGAATCTTGGACGATCAACAATTTCAGCTGTTCGAACTTTATATTCCTTTGATTTTTCATCGTAGAAAACAAGTTGACTGAAAGTTTCCATACCACGAAGAGCTCCCCAAACTGTTTGAGCAGTAATGACAGCTTCGCCAACACTAACTCGGAGGAAATCTGAAGGCTTATGATTTTTGATGAGAAAATTTCAAAAACACCTACATTCTTCACTTGATCCATGAATTGGTGGCCCAGTTGGACAATCTTCTTTCACACTAACTGTAATTATATAATCATCGCTTCCTCCGGTTGGAACTTCTACTGGGAATGGGAACATCCATTTGTTCACTGAAAATATTTTTCAAAATATTCAAGTTTTTCAAATCAACAAAACAATTACTGTAGTTATCAGCCATGTTAAGAAGAACATCACAATTTTTCTTGCCACCCAAATCGATTCCGATTTTATCATGATAGAGTGTCTTGTTTTTGGAGCCATAGACAATTTTATGGGGTAATGGCCAAACTCCCCCGACGCTCCAACGATCAGGCGCATCTCTTCCATAAAACCAAGCATGACTGATTGACACAAAGATAAGAAGATGCAAAAGAAGGATTAAAGGCTGCATACCTGGAAAAATGTCAGAAATATTGACTGAAATATTTTCAAAAAGAAATTTGAGCCGGCTTGGTTTTTCAACAAAAAAAAAAAAGGTTTGACGAAAGAAGAAATTCAAATTTTTTACGAAATGATTTATTTTGAACAGAAATTTTCTGCCGAAACAAAAATTTTTGGAGAATGCTCAATTGAATGAATCCAAAAAAACAACAATTGTAGAGTAGAAATAAGATAAATTTTTCATGAGAAAGAAAACGGAAGTGACAAAGCTTCCTCGAGCATCACATTGATGTTCAAAAAACCATATGTTATAAAACAAATTGAGGGAAAAGTATGAATCTTCGAACACAAGGGTCAGAAATACACGTGTTTTCGGATCAATGATTTATAGGTCAACAATTATTTGTCAGAACTTGTCAGAACTTTTTTTAATAGCCATAAATTTGAAATTTTCTTGAAAATGACGAAATGATTTTTGAAAGTAAATTTTTTTATTGAATTTTTATAAAATGTAGACTCATGATATTTTCTATCTACCAATAAATGCGAAACCTTCCTATTTTGATGGCGCTCACGAATTTGAGCCAGGAATGTATTTTTTCAGCGAGAGTTTGTATAGGGAAAAGTTTCATTTTCACAATTTTCGAGAAAAGTAGCGAATGGAATTATTTCTAGAAAACATGAGTTCATAAAAAAAAGAATGAAAATGCAACTTCTCAACAAAACAAAAATAAACAAACGGTTTGTATTGTTCAGAAAAAAAAGAAAACAGTCTTTTTCAACAAAATGAAATAAAATGAAAAATCCCGACGAACACAAAAACAGCCGAACACAAAAACGATTGTCCGAAAAAACAAAGAAACGGTTTAAAGGATGAATGCGAATGAACGAATGAAAAGAGAAAGCATCTTGAAATCTCGTGGGATTTGTCAAAAGAGCAAACAATTTGAGGAGGTCTTTGTTTCTTCTTCAGAGATGCTATTCTTATATATTTATAATAATAATAACAATAATGAAAACAAAAATAATTGTGATTTGAAAAGATTCACTCACAATAAATAGATTTATAATGGATAATGCTAATGTCACAGAATGTCATGCCTGGATAGATTCTTATCTTGAACATCGATTTTTATTGTTGGATAAGTTTAGAACTGGTTTTTTTTGTCAAATGTTATTTTTAATTATTTTTTGTTTCATTGATAAAAAATACTTTTTTTGTTCTTGAGAAAAGATTTGTATAGTAAAATTTCAAACCAATTTTTTCTTTAAAAGTTGTACTGTTGTGTGCAAAAATATTTCCAGACAATCGTTTCAAGCATAGTTTTATCACACAATCAGTTTTTTTTCCAAGAAAAAACTGATAACAGATTGTCTAACAAATATTTCGACCAAAAAATAAAAAATTGAAACTTTTGGATTATGCAACAATTGAACCTAATCTATGTTGATAAGATACCAAACCTATGTCAATCACAAAAGTTTTCATGACCTCAAAATGGTGTTAAAAAATTCAAAAGTTCAAAGTAGTTTTCAAGTGTGAAAAAAGTGGAAAATACTTGAGAGGAAAAAAAGGAAATTGAGAAAAGCCATAATTTTGCCAATTTGAAAAAATGGCAACATCTTAAAGTTTGAGAGACAACCCTTTTAAAGGTTGCACTTTTTTGTAAATTGAATTACTGGATTCATTGCGGGAAATGCATAAACAACAACCATATGTTCTTATTTGTGAAGCTATTTCTAAAGAAACAAAAATCATGCAAAAAAATAACAAACTGAATGTTTCTGTCATCAAAAAATATTTCAATTGAGGTTTATTGTCGAAAAAAGGCCAGTTTCCGGAAAAATGACCATCTACTGAAATTAAAAAATATTTTAACGTCAAACAATCAGAAAAATGATCCAATTTTGAATTATTAAACGTTTTCTGTGAACTTGCATTGAAAATTCCGTTCATTCCAGTAAAACCTTTCAATTCTTCTATCCAAAAATATAAAAATTGTGTGTTGATTATTTTGTTTTCAGTGTACCCGTTTTCACTGAAAATGCTCTTATCTTTATTGTACTGACAGTTAGTTGATTGATATTTTTGAAAAAAACGTGAACTGAAAACAGTATATAAAGATGGCTAGTGGTAATTGTAATCATTCTCATCATGAAGTCAATTATTTTGGCTTCTCTCTTGGCTGTGGCCTTTTCGGCCAGCTTGCCAGCTTTTGAGCATCAATTTGATCCAAAATCTGAATATCACTATCAATTTGATGGCCTTATTGTTTCTGGTCTTCCAACAAATCAACAAACTCAATCATCTCAATCTCGTATTTCTGCTCGTGCCCGTATTCAATCTATTGATGATCGTCATATTCATCTTCAATTGATCAAGATTAAAATGGCTTCATCAACTGAACAACAAGCTGAAGAGAAATATCCACAACTTCGTTCATTGGATCAACAACAAGAAATTCCAGAAGAATATCAAACACTTCTTGAATTGCCAGTTCGTGCTCAACTCAGAAATGGACTTGTTTCACATATTCAATTTGATGATAAAGATGCTGAATGGTCGAAAAATATCAAGAGATCTGTTTTGAACATGCTCTCATTTGTTGAAAAACAACCAACTCAAGAAATGGAATCAAGAACGGAAAATGATGAACAATTCCAATCATTCTTCACAAATGAAAAAACCATCGAAGGAGATTGCCAAGTTGCTTATACAATCACCAAAGAAAATGAGAAGAAGACAATCATCACCAAAACTGTCAACTTCGACAAATGTGATTCAAGACAACAAGTTGTTTATGGAAAACAATTCTCTGAAAATGTTCCACAACAAGAACAAGAACAATTGGAATCATTCAAACCACAAACTGTTTATACATACATTTTGGATAACGAATTATTGACTCAAGTTGAAGTTCGTTCAATTTATACCCATAATGTTAATGGACAAGAAGTTATGAAGACTGAAACTCGCTCGAAGCTCACTTATGAAGAGAATCATTCAATCAATAACCAAATCAGAAAGGTATGTGAGAATTAATTGAAATGAAAATAAAAAGAGAATAATTATAGGTCAACGGAGAACAAGAAGAAATTATGTACTCAAACAAATGGGAAAAATCAGTTGAAGAATTCTTCAAAAATGGAGATGCTTCAAAGAAAAACCCATTCGAAGAATTCCCAACTGAAAGAAAAATGACATTGTTGAAATCAATTCTTGAAAATGTTGAAGAAAATCAAAATGAATTGGAAACTGTTCATCAACTTGCTCGTATTGTTCGTCTTCTTCGTACTTGTTCAATTGAAGAACTCAAATCAATTCATAAACAACATTTCTCAACTGAAGATAACAAGGTTTGTATTTATAATTATTTAAGATCAAACTAAATTATAATTGAATATATTTTCAGACTCAATCTTTGATTGAACAAGCTCTTGCTATTGCTGGAACCAAAAACACAATCCAACATTTGATGAGCCATTTGGAAAAACAAACACCAGCTAGATTGGCTCTTCTCATGAAATATATTCAAGAAACACCATATCCATCTGAAAAGATTGCTGATATTCTTGTTAATGTTGCTAAAGAAACCAATGAACCAATGACAAAACAATCTGCTTGGCTCGCTGCTGGAGTTATTGTTCGTGGAATTGTTTCCCAAAATGTTCAACAACATCAACTTATCCGTCAAGATACTCGTCAAATCAAACAAAAATACACAAAAGTTTTCATGAATTTGTTCGAACAATCCGAAACAACTTATGAAAAGATTTTGGCTTTGAAAACACTCGGAAATGCCGGAATTGATCTTTCAGTCAATGAAATCAACACAATTATCAATGATCACCGTCAACCAATGATTGTTCGCAGAGAAGCTGTTGATTGTCTTCGTCTTCTTGACAATGTTATGCCACTCAAGATTCAAAGAGTTCTTCTTCCAATCTACAAAAACCAAAGATATTCTCCAGAACTCCGTATGTCTGCTTTGTGGAGATTGTTCCAAACCAGACCATCTCAACCAATTTTGGTCCAAATTGTTTCTCAAATGGAAAAAGAATCAAACCAACAAGTTCAACAATTCACTTATCAACTTTTGAAACAATTCGCCAAATCAACCAACCCACAATACAAACAACTTTCATCTGATTGTCTTGCTGTTCTTTCATTCACTCGTTTCACATCTGAACAATTCGAACAAGTCAAATCAACATATGTTCAACTTCCATGGTTTGCTCGTGATCTTCTTTCTGGAGTTCAAGCTGATTTCACCGCTACTTTCTCCAAGGATAATATTCTTCCAACTGACCTCCAAACTTCTCTTCAATCTGTTTTCGGTGGAAATTGGAACAAATATTTGGTTCAATTCGGATTCACTCAACAAAACTTTGAACAAGCTCTTGTTGAAACTTTCAAACGATTCGGACAAGACTACAGAGTCAGACGGGCCACTCGTGGAGATCGCGACGTTGAAGAAAAGCTTACAACTCTCAAAAATTTGGCCAAGAAATTGAACCTCAAATCCCGGAAATATCAATCCAAAGAAGAAGAAGCTTTTGCCATGACTTATTTGAGATACAAAAACATTGATTATTTGGTCGTTCCATTCGAACAAGCTCAACTTGAGAATGCATTGTTCTCATTTGTTATGCTCACCAACACAAATCCTCATAGCTTCAATCATAAGTTCGATTTGACTCAATCAGCTTATTTCTATGAATCGATTCGCCGTGTTCCAACCACTCTTGGTCTTCCACTCGTTTTGGTTGGAAAATTGCCAACAGTTGCTTCAATCAAAGGTGAAGTCAAATTTGACACCAAAAATGTTGAAGGTCTTCTCAAAGTTCGCCCATCAGTTGCTGCCACTCACATTTATGATATGAAAGTTATGACTCCATTGTTTGAACAAGGAGTAAAATCATTGAGATCAATCAAATCATACACTCCAGTAGATGTCAAACTCAATTTGGTACCAAAAGGCAAAAAACTCGAGATTATTACCAAAGTCAATGTTCCAGAAAAGGAATCAGTTTCAATTCAAGTTTCAAGCCGTCCAGTTGTTTTCACCCGTTATCCAGGATATTCAAGAAATGAATATGTTCCAACTGAAGAAAGAACTCTCAGCAATCCACAATGGGAAAAGAAAACTCAAAATATGGAAAGATCATTCAAAATTCTTGGACTCGAAATCACTACTCGTGGAAATGTTTTGAGACAATGGAATCTTCAAAATGTTCTTCATATTGATCAAGATTTCGAAATTGTTATCAGAAACCAACAAAAACAAACAGCTGAATTCACAGCTACTTTGTTATTGTCGAAAGAAGAATCAAATGGAACTTACGACTTCAAAATCACAAATCTCCTCGAAAAAGAATTCGAATATTTGAATGAAAACAACAAACGCCGGGAAGCTTACGAAAATTTGGTTAAATCATTGAGTACCGAATATGGTATCAATAAGAAGTTCGTTCTCACTCTCCGTGCTCCAGAAAACCATCAATCAAAAATTGAATGGGAATTCGCAATTGACGAAAATGTTCGTGCAGCTAAATCTGAAGTTAACGTTCATGTTACTGGTGAACAAGATTGGACTCTCACTCAACAATCTGTTGTCATTATCCCAGGCTTTATCGAGTCGGTGAAGGATCATAAGGAAAAATTGGACCGTGAAATTCTTGTTAACAATGTTGTCAGATGGGGACTTACCAAGAACTCAAAGAAAAACGAAATCAAATTGAATGCCCAACTTGGACAATCTCAATCTCAACGCAAATACCAACAAAACATCGAAAAATTGAGCAAAGCTTCCCAATATGACCGTGTTTTCCAATCATCTCCATTGAACCAATTGGATATTGTTGCTGAATACAAATGTGATCAACAAACTCAACAACAAGTCGAAAGACTTGTCGATCGTTTGAACTGGTATTTGAACCAATTCTGGACTGCTTCATCAAAACAACAAGACAACCAAGAAAACCGCATTCACATGAGATTGACTGTTGATCCAATCACTCGTCAATATGTTAACTTGACTCTTCAAACACCAGAACAACAAATCCAACTTCGCAACATTGAAACTCCAAGAATCCAACTTTTCTCATTCAACAAAATGATCCATCAAAATGACAAACAAGTCTGCACTGTTTCACCAAAAAGAGTTCAAACTTTCGATGAGATGACATATTCTGCCCCACTTACAACATGTTATTCAGTTATTGCCAAGGACTGCTCAGAACAACCAACTTTCGCTGTTTTGGCCAAGAAACAATCAAAGAAATCAAACAACATTGTTGTTAAATTCTACGATAACGAAGATGTTTACGTTATGTTCAAATCTGATGACGAACTTATTGTTAAAAAGAATGGAGGTGTCATGACTTTGAGAGATCAAACCTTGAACCAGTGAGTGAACAATATGAAATAGGTCATAAGTAATATCAATTTTTAGCATCAAAAACAATGGTGAACAAGTTCAAATCGAAAGAAAATACATTCGAGTTGTTTTCACTGGTGAAGACATCAAAACACAAGTTCCAAAGTTCACACAAAACCCACTTTGCGGTCTTTGCGGAAATAATGATAACGAGGTATTATTTCACTAATATAAATACAAAATAATCAAAATGATTTGTTACAGATTGACAATGAATTGAGAACTGCTGAAGATAACGAAACTGAAGATATTGAAGAATTCCACAGATCATACCTTTTGAGAGATGATGAATGTGAAATTGAAGAAGATATTATTTCAAACAAGAACAACTATAAACAAATCAGAAGAAATGTTCAAGAAAATCTTGAAAACTATTCTGATTCTGAAGAATATGAAAATGAAGAAAACAGAGATGAAGAAAACAGTGAGTTTACAATTATAATTTGGAATCAATCAATAATAATTGTTGAATTTCAGACTTGAACAAGAAAACCGAAATCAAGGAATTCGCTCATCGCATCTGTTTCTCATTGGAAGGTGTTCCAGCTTGCCGTCGTCAATTTGAAGAACAACAAACTGTTCAACAAAAAGTCAAATTCACCTGCTTGCCAAGACACAAATCTGATGCTCGTGTTTTGTTGAACAAATCTCGTCAACAAAATGTTCTTGAATTGAACAACTATCCAGTTTCATTTGTTGAATCTGTTACTGTTCCATCCCAATGTGAATATGCTTATTAATTATTGAGAGCTGAGCTCGCTATTCATCATTAGTTTTATTTTTCCAATTTTGTAGTAATTTTCTTTTTTCATAAGAAATAAATGTTTCTTTTTATTCTTCTTTCGTGTCAATCAAATTAAATTTTCTCACACACAAAATTGACTTAAAAGTATTTCATTTGAAATACACATGCGTTTCAAAATCTTGACACGCCGTAATAATGAAAAAGGCGTAATGCGAAAGCTATAATATATAAAGGGAATTTTTTTGTGAATTATCAGACGAACAAAAAAAGATTGAAAAATAATGGCGAAATGTGAGCTAAAAACATATTGTTGTTTTGGTGCACTAACATTTTATTTGCTTGCCACAAAAACACCATAAAATGTTATGGTGCTCTAGGTTTTTCATTTTTACTAATGTACTCTCGTTTAAAATAAAATTAGAGTGCATTACGTGGTTTGCGATTGTTTATTCAACAAATTTTTTATAGAGAGAAATATTTCCAGATTCGAAAACATCAAGAATCCAGATGTATCGTTTTCTTTCCTATCAAAAAATGTTGAGTCAAATTCTAACAACACGAATAATTATTTCAGTGTGATATTAATTGTTATGAAAATACGTTTTTGTGTGTGCAAGATTTTTTGGAAATCAGTGGAAAATAAATGATTTCACAATCAACATTCTTGTTTTGGATTTTCCGGCAATGTTCTCACTTCCCGTCCCAAATTTATCTCAAACTCAAAAACTACAATTGATCCACATCAAACTATAGACAATTATCAATGTAGCATGTTTGTTTTAGATTTGTTATCAAGGTTTCTGTTTTATTGCGTTTCAATGATCATCCTTGGAACCGATACTTGAAGTCAAAATATTGAATTGTGTAGAGAAATTTCGGTAAGATGTCTCATTTGAAATTGTGACAAAGAGTTTTTTCGAAAAAAAAACTTGACCCAGGACATAATGAAAGACAGATATCAATTTTGGAAAAACAGAAATTGTGAAATATTTTTTCAAGCCGATTGTGTTTTCTGAGTTAGAGACATAATCCTGTTTGATCTGGGGAAATATGGAAATCAAAGCAATTAACGCCTGGTTTGAAAATTATAGTTCAATAAAAAAACTTTTAAAACGTATGATTCCATTCAAACACAAAGAAGCCGTGATTGTCCGACATTTTCCAAACAGCTCCAATTTTTACAATTGTCTCTTTATCAGGATGAACTCAATATGTCCTCAATTAGTTTTTTACTTGGATCGAAGAATTTCAGATACCCAAGATTGATATGATAGCTCAGTTAAGAATCAGCTTGAACAACTATGCTCTGTTTCGCATTACTTTATGTATAGTTTTTACACACAATGTTGTTGGAATCATCCTAATGACTAATTTTATAATGCATGAAGAAATATTTAGAAGATTACAAACTAGTAAAAAAGTCAAATCAGCTTTGTAAAATCCACATTTTTCTAAAGGATTTTTTGAACAATTTTCAAAAAATGGTCCGACATATACTTTGATTTAATTGTATGATAAGAATGAAAACGCGAGGTTAATCTTATCTGTTTTTAAATGACAGTTGCATTTTGATTGAAGTTTTGCGGTAAAATGTCAATCTGGAACAGTATATAAAGATGGCTGGTGGTAATTGTAATCATTCTCATCATGAGGTCAATTATTTTGGCTTCTCTCTTGGCTGTGGCCTTTTCGGCCAGCTTGCCAGCTTTTGAGCATCAATTTGATCCAAAATCTGAATATCACTATCAATTTGATGGTCTTGTTGTTTCTGGTCTTCCAACAAATCAACAAACTCAATCATCTCAATCTCGTATTTCTGCTCGTGCCCGTATTCAATCTATTGATGATCGTCATATTCATCTTCAATTGATCAAGATTAAAAATGGCTTCATCAACTGAACAACAAGCTGAAGAGAAATATCCAGAACTTCGTTCATTGGATCAACAACAAGAAATTCCAGAAGAATATCAAACACTTCTTGAATTGCCAGTTCGTGCTCAACTCAGAAATGGACTTGTTTCACATATTCAATTTGATGATAAAGATGCTGAATGGTCGAAAAATATCAAGAGATCTGTTTTGAACATGCTCTCATTTGTTGAAAAACAACCAACTCAAGAATTGGAATCAAGAATGGAAAATGATGAACAATTCCAATCATTCTTCACAAATGAAAAAACCATCGAAGGAGATTGCCAAGTTGCTTATACAATCACCAAAGAAAATGAGAAGAAGACAATCATCACCAAAACTGTCAACTTCGACAAATGTGATTCAAGACAACAAGTTGTTTATGGAAAACAATTCTCTGAAAATGTTCCACAACAAGAACAAGAACAATTGGAATCATTCAAACCACAAACTGTTTATACATACATTTTGAATAACGAATTATTGACTCAAGTTGAAGTTCGTTCAATTTATACCCATAATGTTAATGGACAAGAAGTTATGAAGACTGAAACTCGCTCAAAGCTCACTTATGAAGAGAATCATTCAATCAATAACCAAATCAGAAAGGTATGTGAGAATTAATTGAAATAAAAATGAAAAGAGAATAATTATAGGTCAATGGAGAACAAGAAGAAATCATGTACTCAAACAAATGGGAAAAATCAGTTGAAGAATTCTTCAAAAATGGAGATGCTTCAAAGAAAAACCCATTCGAAGAATTCCCAACTGAAAGAAAAATGACATTGTTGAAATCAATTCTTGAAAATGTTGAAGAAGATCAAAATGAATTGGAAACTGTTCATCAACTTGCTCGTATTGTTCGTCTTCTTCGTACTTGTTCAATTGAAGAACTCAAATCAATTCATAAACAACATTTCTCAACTGAAGATAACAAGGTTTGTAATCAATTTGTTAATTAAAAACTAAATAATAATGAAATATATTTTCAGACTCAATCTTTGATTGAACAAGCTCTTGCTATTGCTGGAACCAAAAACACAATTCAACATTTGATGAGCCATTTGGAAAAACAATCACCAGCTAGATTGGCTCTTCTCATGAAATACATTCAAGAAACACCATATCCATCTGAAAAGACTGCTGATATTCTTGTTAATGTTGCCAAAGAAACCAATGAACCAATGACAAAACAATCTGCTTGGCTCGCTGCTGGAGTTATTGTTCGTGGAATTGTTTCCCAAAATGTTCAACAACATCAACTTATCCGTCAAGATACTCGTCAAATCAAACAAAAATACACAAAAGTTTTCATGAATTTGTTCAAACAATCCGAAACAACTTATGAAAAAATTTTGGCTTTGAAAACACTCGGAAATGCCGGAATTGATCTTTCAGTTAATGAAATCAACACAATTATCAATGATCACCGTCAACCAATGATTGTTCGCAGAGAAGCTGTTGATTGTCTTCGTCTTCTTGACAATGTTATGCCACTCAAGATTCAAAGAGTTCTTCTTCCAATCTACAAAAACCAAAGATATGCTCCAGAACTCCGTATGTCTGCTTTGTGGAGATTGTTCCAAACCAGACCATCTCAACCAATTTTGGTCCAAATTGTTTCTCAAATGGAAAAAGAATCAAACCAACAAGTTCAACAATTCACTTATCAACTTTTGAAACAATTCGCCAAATCAACCAACCCACAATACAAACAACTTTCATCTGATTGTCTTGCTGTTCTTTCATTCACTCGTTTCACATCTGAACAATTCGAACAAGTCAAATCAACATATGTTCAACTTCCATGGTTTGCTCGTGATCTTCTTTCTGGAGTTCAAGCTGATTTCACCGCTACTTTCTCCAAGGATAATATTCTTCCAACTGACCTCCAAACTTCTCTCCAATCTGTTTTCGGTGGAAACTGGAACAAATATTTGGTTCAATTCGGATTCACTCAACAAAATCTTGAAAACGCTGTTGTCAGAGCTGTCAAACAAATCGAATCCCAAAGATTTAAAACACGCGGAGACCGTTCATATGAAAGACAAATCACCAACCTCAAAAACTTGGCCAAGAAATTGAACCTCAAGACTCGTAGATACGAATCACAAGAACAAGAAGTTTTTGCCATGACTTATTTGAGATACAAGAATATCGATTATTTGGTTGTCCCACTTGAAGAACAAAACATTGCTGAACTCCTCGACAAAATGTATTCAATGGTAACATTCAATCCACAAGATCTTGCTCGTAAATTCGGATTTACTCAATCTGCTTATTTCTTTGAAACAGTCCGCAATGTTCCAACCACTCTTGGTCTTCCACTTATTGTTTCCGAAAAGATCCCAACTGTTGCTACAATTGAAGGAGAAATCAAATTGGAAAATGGTATCAATGTTGAAGTTCGTCCATCAGTTGCTGCAACCCATGTTTTCGAAATGAAAATGATGACACCATTGTTCGAACAAGGAGTCAAAACCTTGAGATCAGTCAAATCATACACTCCAATCAACTTCAATCTCATTCTCAAGAGAAACAGAGATCAATATGAAATTGAAACCAAAGTCAATGTCCCAGAAAAGGAATCAGTTTCAATTCAAGTTTCAAGCCGCCCAGTTGTTTTCACCCGTTATCCAGGATATTCAAGAAACGAATATGTTCCAACTGAAGAAAGAACTCTCAGCAACCCACAATGGGAAAAGAAAACTCAAAATATGGAAAGATCATTCAAAATTCTTGGACTCGAAATCACCACTCGTGGAAATGTTTTGAGACAATGGAATCTTCAAAATGTTCTTCATATTGATCAAGATTTTGAAATTGTTATCAGAAATCAACACAAACAACCAGCTGAATTCACATCAAATCTTGTTGCTAACAAACAAAAAATCATCAGAAACTTTGATTTTGAACTTGAAAACCTTTTCGAAAAGGAATTCGATTTCGACGGAGAATCAAACCAAGCTCGTCGTGAAGCATTCAACAAATTCGTTCAATCATTGGAAAACACAATGGTCATGAAAAACGATATTGTTCTCAATCTTCGTGCTCCAGAAAACCACAAAATGGAACTCAAATGGGAAACCGTTTTGGATGAATCTGTCCGTGCCTTCAGATACCAACTTGATGCTGTTCTTTCGGGCAAACAAGACTGGACATTCAACCATCAACTCGCTGTTTTGGCTCCAGAATGGGTTTACTCAATGGAAGAATACAGAAATGAACCACACCGTGAACTTCTTGTCAACAATATCATCAGATGGGGACTTACCAAGAACTCGAAGAAAAATCAAATCGAATTGAATGCTCAACTTGGACAATCTCAATCTCAACGCAAATACCAACAAAACATGGAAAAATTGAGCAAAGCTTCCCAATATGACCGTGTTTTCCAATCATCTCCATTGAACCAATTGGATATTGTTGCTGAATACAAATGTGATCAACAAACTCAACAACAAGTTGAAAGACTTGTCGATCGTTTGAACTGGTACTTGAACCAATTCTGGACAGCTTCATCAAAACAACAAGACAACCAAGAAAACCGCATTCACATGAGATTGACTGTTGATCCAATCACTCGTCAATATGTTAATTTGACTCTTCAAACTCCACAACAACACATCCAACTTCGCAACATCGAAACTCCAAGAATCCAACTTTTCTCATTCAACAAAATGATCCATCAGAATGACAAACAAGTCTGCACTGTTTCACCAAAAAGAGTTCAAACTTTCGATGAGATGACATATTCTGCCCCACTTACAACATGTTATTCAGTTATTGCCAAGGACTGCTCCGAACAACCAACTTTCGCTGTTTTGGCCAAGAAACAATCAAAGAAATCAAACAACATTGTTGTTAAATTCTACGATAACGAAGATGTTTACGTTATGTCCAAATCTGATGATGAATTTGTTGTCGAAAAGAACGGAAAAGTTTTGACTGAAAAGGATATGGCATATGAAAGGTAAGTGATTTTAGTTTTAATTTTTTTTCAATAACATGTTTGTTTTTAGAATTTCCATCAGAGGAGAACAATTGTTGTTCGTCACTGAAAACATCAAGATTCAATTCAACGGACAAAAAATTCAAACACAAGTTCCAATGTTCAGACAAAACCCACTTTGCGGACTTTGCGGAAACAATGATAACGAGGTATTATTTCACTAATATTAATAGAAAATAATCGAAATGATTTGTTACAGATTGACAATGAATTGAGAACTGCTGAAGATAACGAAACTGAAGATATTGAAGAATTCCACAGATCATACCTTTTGAGAGATGACGAATGTGAAATTGAAGAAGATATTGTTTCAAACAAGAACAACTATAAACAAATCAGAAGAAATGTTCAAGAAAATCTTGAAAACTATTCTGATTCTGAAGAATATGAAAATGAAGAAAACAGAGATGAAGAAAACAGTGAGTTTACAATTATAATTTGGAATCAATCAATAATAATTGTTAAATTTCAGACTTGATCAAGAAAACCGAAATCAAGGAATTCGCTCATCGCATCTGTTTCTCATTGGAAGGTGTTCCAGCTTGCCGTCGTCAATTTGAAGAACAACAAACTGTTCAACAAAAAGTCAAATTCACCTGCTTGCCAAGACACAAATCTGATTCTCGTGTTTTGTTGAACAAATCTCGTCAACAAAATGTTCTTGAATTGAACAACTATCCAGTTTCATTTGTTGAATCTGTTACTGTTCCATCCCAATGTGAATATGCTTATTAATTATTGAGAGCTGAGCTCGCTATTCACTTGTAGTTTTTCTTCCCTCATATCATCAATGAATGATTCGTAGTTTTTTTTCAATTATTTTCAAATGAACAATTTTTATATCTTTGTGTTCTTTATCGATGGTTCATCTTTATTTTACTGTTGAACAGTTTATGGTTTGGTTTAATGATAATCAAACCTGCGATCTGGTTTTTTGATTAAAAAAAAATTATATCTAGAAAATGATCTACAAAAAATGAATCTGAATCACTCGCGATTTCTGAAAGAACTCGAGGCGAGAAAAAAGATAATGAGAATTAGTGAAGTACGCGAGAGATGCTGTTTCAAACTTATTATCAGACGGCAAAGTAGAGCTCTCATCAGTAAGGCCTCTTTTAGCTAAACCTTGTAATGGAGGTAAAAGAAAATAAGAAACGTATTAAACGTAAAGGGTTGAATAATATACATTTTTCATCGATTTTTTCAATTTTTTTTCCGAAATCCTTCCCCCAAAAAACTCACCAATTGCTTCTATTTCTCAAATCACACAAAAATCATCGAAAATTCGAAAATCCCAATCAAAATCTTCGAGAAATCCAAAATCCCCATTTTTCACGTTATTGTCATTGAAACCCAATTATCCATCAATATTTCAAGCTGAAAATCAGAAACTATGAATTTTTCATATTTTCAGAGGTTCAAAGAAAAAATCTTACCCAAACCCATTTTCCATCAATTTTTCAGTAAAAAATCCAGTAATAGCACAACAGTTCTCATGAAATCCGATGTTTTCCATAAAAATTCACAAGTTTTGCGGCGGTTCCTTTGATTCTTGACCTCCCCAGTTCGAAAAATCAATAATTCCAGCTTGCTCCAAAGGTTCATCTCCAGAACATGAAGGCGGTGGTTCTGTTCAAACCAATATCCAAATATTTGAATATTCCATACATGAATAATTGACTTAACACAGTCATTCACAATATACACCTAATTGATCAGAATACTTTATGTTTGTGCCTATTACTACATTGCACTATCCAGAATCAAGGCTCTCATTAAACAATTTCTGAAAAAAAACGGTTTCAACAAGCAATATTTTTAACATAAAACTATTAAATAATATAGAGAACAAAACATCCACAAAAATACGGATTTGATATCAGAAACAATATACAATAACTCTGAATAAACCTTTTTGCAGTAAATATCACTTTACTCCTAAACTAAAACAAAAATTATATCTTAAAATCAATGCTAACTTTATCTCTTCCTTATAAATAATTATAAATAACACCTTATAAATCCCAAACCTAAAGAAAGAACGGAAAAAATAAGAGTGTATGTCAACACCGACTGCCCGCAAACACCAAATCCTACGCGCAACCTTGACGCGAAATACGCGCTGTGTGTTTTCGCGAAGAAATTTCTGGGGATTTTTAAAAATTGGGAACCCCCCCCCCCCAGATTTTAGATAACAAAAAAATATATATAAATATGAAAAGCAAAACCCTCTACAACGACACTCCACTTGCCTGCTGTTTAGCGCAACACGAGAATATTTTCATTTTTCGTTTTTTTTTCGCGAAATATTTATCGTATTTTTGCTATTTATCGTAAATTCCGCTGGGTTTCCAGGTTTCCGGGGAAATCAGTGGATTTCAGTCAAAAATTGAATTTTTAGATTTTAGACAAGGCTGGAATTATTGCTTCCAACAGAAAGTCCGAGGATTATTGAAGAAAGGTGGGTTTTTCCAGAAAAACACTGTTCCGATTGAAATTTTCGAGTTTTCAGTGTCAAACATGATATTAAATGTGAGGAGAAAAATTATTATTGAATTTGAAGCGATATTCGATAAAAGATCGGATTTCATGAGAACTGTTGTGCTATTACTGGATTTTTTACTGAAAAATTGATGGAAAATGGGTTTGGGTAAGATTTTTTCTTTGAACCTCTGAAAATATGAAAAATTCATAGTTTCTGATTTTCAGCTTGAAATATTGATGGATAATTGGGTTTCAATGATGACAATAACGTGAAAAATGGGGATTTTGGATTTCTCGAAGATTTTGATTGGGATTTTCGAATTTTCGATGATTTTTGTGTGATTTGAGAAATAGAAGCGATTGGTGAGTTTTTTGGGGGAAGAATTTCGGAAAAAAAATTGAAAAAATCGATGAAAAATGTATATTATTCAACCCTTTACGTTTAATACGTTTCTTATTTTCTTTTACCTCCATTACAAGGTTTAGCTAAAAGAGGCCTTACTGATGAGAGCTCTACTTTGCCGTCTGATAATAAGTTTGAAACAGCATCTCTCGCGTACTTCACTAATTCTCATTATCTTTTTTTCTCGCCTCGAGTTCTTTCAGAAATCGCGAGTGATTCAGATTCATTTTTTGTAGATCATTTTCTAGATATAATTTTTTTTTAATCAAAAAACCAGATCGCAGGTTTGATTATCATTGAACCAAACCATAAACTGTTCAACAGTAAAATAAAGATGAACCATCGATAAAGAACACAAAGATATAAAAATTGTTCATTTGAAAATAATTGAAAAAAAAACTACGAATCATTCATTGATGATATGAGGGAAGAAAAACTACAAGTGAATAGCGAGCTCAGCTCTCAATAATTAATAAGCATATTCACATTGGGATGGAACAGTAACAGATTCAACAAATGAAACTGGATAGTTGTTCAATTCAAGAACATTTTGTTGACGAGATTTGTTCAACAAAACACGAGAATCAGATTTGTGTCTTGGCAAGCAGGTGAATTTGACTTTTTGTTGAACAGTTTGTTGTTCTTCAAATTGACGACGGCAAGCTGGAACACCTTCCAATGAGAAACAGATGCGATGAGCGAATTCCTTGATTTCGGTTTTCTTGATCAAGTCTGAAATTTAACAATTATTATTGATTGATTCCAAATTATAATTGTAAACTCACTGTTTTCTTCATCTCTGTTTTCTTCATTTTCATATTCTTCAGAATCAGAATAGTTCTCAAGATTTTCTTGAACATTTCTTCTGATTTGTTTATAGTTGTTCTTGTTTGAAACAATATCTTCTTCAATTTCACATTCATCATCTCTCAAAAGGTATGATCTGTGGAATTCTTCAATATCTTCAGTTTCGTTATCTTCAGCAGTTCTCAATTCATTGTCAATCTGTAACAAATCATTTCGATTATTTTCTATTAATATTAGTGAAATAATACCTCGTTATCATTGTTTCCGCAAAGTCCGCAAAGTGGGTTTTGTCTGAACATTGGAACTTGTGTTTGAATTTTTTGTCCGTTGAATTGAATCTTGATGTTTTCAGTGACGAACAACAATTGTTCTCCTCTGATGGAAATTCTAAAAACAAACATGTTATTGAAAAAATTAAAACTAAAATCACTTACCTTTCATATGCCATATCCTTTTCAGTCAAAACTTTTCCGTTCTTTTCGACAACAAATTCATCATCAGATTTGGACATAACGTAAACATCTTCGTTATCGTAGAATTTAACAACAATGTTGTTTGATTTCTTTGATTGTTTCTTGGCCAAAACAGCGAAAGTTGGTTGTTCTGAGCAGTCCTTGGCAATAACTGAATAACATGTGGTAAGTGGGGCAGAATATGTCATCTCATCGAAAGTTTGAACTCTTTTTGGTGAAACAGTGCAGACTTGTTTGTCATTTTGATGGATCATTTTGTTGAATGAGAAAAGTTGGATTCTTGGAGTTTCAATGTTGCGAAGTTGGATTTGTTGTTGTGGAGTTTGAAGAGTCAAGTTAACATATTGACGAGTGATTGGATCAACAGTCAATCTCATGTGAATGCGGTTTTCTTGGTTGTCTTGTATTTTTGATGAAGCAGTCCAGAATTGGTTCAAATACCAGTTCAAACGATCGACAAGTCTTTCAACTTGTTGTTGAGTTTGTTGATCACATTTGTATTCAGCAACAATATCCAATTGGTTCAATGGAGATGATTGGAAAACACGGTCATATTGGGAAGCTTTGCTCAATTTTTCGATGTTTTGTTGGTATTTGCGTTGAGATTGAGATTGTCCAAGTTGAGCATTCAATTCGATTTGATTTTTCTTCGAGTTCTTGGTAAGTCCCCATCTGATGACATTGTTGACAAGAAGTTCACGGTGTGGTTCATTTTTGTATTGTTCCATTGAGTAAACCCATTCTGGAGCCAAAACAGCGAGTTGATGGTTGAATGTCCAGTCTTGTTTGCCCGAAAGAACAGCATCAAGTTGATATCTGAAAGCACGGACAGATTCATCCAAAACGGTTTCCCATTTGAGTTCCATTTTGTGGTTTTCTGGAGCACGAAGATTGAGAACAATATCGTTTTTCATGACCATTGTGTTTTCCAATGATTGAACGAATTTGTTGAATGCTTCACGACGAGCTTGGTTTGATTCTCCGTCAAAATCGAATTCCTTTTCGAAAAGGTTTTCAAGTTCAAAATCAAAGTTTCTGATGATTTTTTGTTTGTTAGCAACAAGATTTGATGTGAATTCAGCTGGTTGTTTGTGTTGATTTCTGATAACAATTTCGAAATCTTGATCAATATGAAGAACATTTTGAAGATTCCATTGTCTCAAAACATTTCCACGAGTAGTGATTTCGAGTCCAAGAATTTTGAATGATCTTTCCATATTTTGAGTTTTCTTCTCCCATTGTGGGTTGCTGAGAGTTCTTTCTTCAGTTGGAACATATTCGTTTCTTGAATATCCTGGATAACGGGTGAAAACAACTGGGCGGCTTGAAACTTGAATTGAAACTGATTCCTTTTCTGGGACATTGACTTTGTTTTCAATTTCATATTGATCTCTGTTTCTCTTGAGAATGATGTTGAAGTTGATTGGAGTGTATGATTTGACTGATCTCAAGGTTTTGACTCCTTGTTCGAACAATGGTGTCATCATTTTCATTTCGAAAACATGGGTAGCAGCAACTGATGGACGAACTTCAACATTGATACCATTTTCCAATTTGATTTCTCCTTCGATGGTAGCAACAGTTGGGATCTTTTCAGAAACAATAAGTGGAAGACCAAGAGTGGTTGGAACATTGCAGACTGTTTCAAAGAAATAAGCAGATTGAGTAAGTCCGAATTTACGAGCAAGATCTTGTGGATTGAATGTTTCCATTGAATACATTTTGTCGAGGAGTTCAGCAATGTTTTGTTCTTCAAGTGGGACAACCAAATAATCGATATTCTTATATCTCAAATAGGTCATGGCAAAAACTTCTTGTTCTTGTGATTCGTATCTACGAGTCTTGAGGTTCAATTTCTTGGCCAAGTTTTTGAGGTTGGTGATTTTTCTTTCATATGAACGATCTCCACGTGTTTGATATCTTTGGGATTCGATTTGTTTGACAGCTCTGACAACAGCGTTTTCAAGATTTTGTTGAGTGAATCCGAATTGAACCAAATATTTGTTCCAGTTTCCACCGAAAACGGATTGAAGAGAAGTTTGGAGGTCAGTTGGAAGAATATTATCCTTGGAGAAAGTAGCGGTGAAATCAGCTTGAACTCCAGAAAGAAGATCACGAGCAAACCATGGAAGTTGAACATATGTTGATTTGACTTGTTCGAATTGTTCAGATGTGAAACGAGTGAATGAAAGAACAGCAAGACAATCAGATGAAAGTTGTTTGTATTGTGGGTTGGTTGATTTGGCGAATTGTTTCAAAAGTTGATAAGTGAATTGTTGAACTTGTTGGTTTGATTCTTTTTCCATTTGAGAAACAATTTGGACCAAAATTGGTTGAGATGGTCTGGTTTGGAACAATCTCCACAAAGCAGACATACGGAGTTCTGGAGCATATCTTTGGTTTTTGTAGATTGGAAGAAGAACTCTTTGAATCTTGAGTGGCATAACATTGTCAAGAAGACGAAGACAATCAACAGCTTCTCTGCGAACAATCATTGGTTGACGGTGATCATTGATAATTGTGTTGATTTCATTGACTGAAAGATCAATTCCGGCATTTCCGAGTGTTTTCAAAGCCAAAATCTTTTCATAAGTTGTTTCGGATTGTTCGAACAAATTCATGAAAACTTTTGTGTATTTTTGTTTGATTTGACGAGTATCTTGACGGATAAGTTGATGTTGTTGAACATTTTGGGAAACAATTCCACGAACAATAACTCCAGCAGCAAGCCAAGCAGATTGTTTTGTCATTGGTTCATTGGTTTCTTTGGCAACATTAACAAGAATATCAGCAATCTTTTCAGATGGATATGGTGTTTCTTGAATGTATTTCATGAGAAGAGCCAATCTAGCTGGGGTTTGTTTTTCCAAATGGCTCATCAAATGTTGAATGGTGTTTTTGGTTCCAGCAATAGCAAGAGCTTGTTCAATCAAAGATTGAGTCTGAAAATATATTTCATTATTATTTAGTTTGAAATTAAATAATTGAATACAAACCTTGTTATCTTCAGTTGAGAAATGTTGTTTATGAATTGATTTGAGTTCTTCAATTGAACAAGTACGAAGAAGACGAACAATACGAGCAAGTTGATGAACAGTTTCCAATTCATTTTGATCTTCTTCAACATTTTCAAGAATTGATTTCAACAATGTCATTTTTCTTTCAGTTGGGAATTCCTCGAATGGGTTTTTCTTTGAAGCATCTCCATTTTTGAAGAATTCTTCAACTGATTTTTCCCATTTGTTTGAGTACATGATTTCTTCTTGTTCTCCATTGACCTATAATTTTTTGTTGATTGTTGATATTCATATATTTTCATTTCTCACGTACCTTTCTGATTTGGTTATTGATTGAATGATTCTCTTCATAAGTGAGCTTTGAGCGAGTTTCAGTCTTCATAACTTCTTGTCCATTAACATTATGGGTATAAATTGAACGAACTTCAACTTGAGTCAATAATTCGTTATCCAAAATGTATGTATAAACAGTTTGTGGTTTGAATGATTCCAATTGTTCTTGTTCTTGTTGTGGAACATTTTCAGAGAATTGTTTTCCATAAACAACTTGTTGTCTTGAATCACATTTGTCGAAGTTGACAGTTTTGGTGATGATTGTCTTCTTCTCATTTTCTTTGGTGATTGTATAAGCAACTTGGCAATCTCCTTCGATGGTTTTTTCATTTGTGAAGAATGATTGGAATTGTTCATCATTTTCCATTCTTGATTCCAATTCTTGAGTTGGTTGTTTTTCAACAAATGAGAGCATGTTCAAAACAGATCTCTTGATATTTTTCGACCATTCAGCATCTTTATCATCAAATTGAATATGTGAAACAAGTCCATTTCTGAGTTGAGCACGAACTGGCAATTCAAGAAGTGTTTGATATTCTTCTGAAATTTCTTGTTGTTGATCCAATGAACGAAGTTGTGGATATTTCTCTTCAGCTTGTTGTTCAGTTGATGAAGCCATTTTAATCTTGATCAATTGAAGATGAATATGACGATCATCAATAGATTGAATACGGGCACGAGCAGAAATACGAGATTGAGATGATTGAGTTTGTTGATTTGTTGGAAGACCAGAAACAATAAGACCATCAAATTGATAGTGATATTCAGATTTTGGCTCAAATTGATGCTCAAAAGCTGGCAAGCTGGCCGCAAAGGCCACAGCCAAGAGAGAAGCCAAAATAATTGACTTCATGATGAGAATGATTACAATTACCACCAACCATCTTTATATACTGTTCCAGATTGACATTTTACCGCAAAACTTCAATCAAAATTTAACTGTCAATTGAATAAAGATAAGACCAGCTTCGCATATTCTTCTATTCTTATCAGAAATATAAGTCGAAGTTCATCTGACCATTTTCTTGGAATTTTTTTTCGGTTGAACATTGATAATTTGAGTTTCATCAGACTTTGATCATTAGAAATATTTCTATTTTTTGAAGGTTTGAGAGCTCTAACATAAGTTGAAAACCAATAAATAATTCATATATTTTCCGAATAACAGATAAGTGAGATACATTTTCAAAAATAAAAATACGTTTAAAAAAATTAGCAGATAAGTTGTGTTCCTTGGTCATCCCTGGATAATCGAATCGGTAAAAATCCGATTTCTCCTTTATTTTCACCAGAATTTTCAGCAATCACTCGAAGCTGAAAAAATATTTCAAAAGTTAATAGGAATCTGATTTTTTTTCAATACCTCATATGTTCCTGGTGGCAATTTAGTGCATCGAATATTCCACTTTTTATTTTTCTGCAAATCTTCTCCCATAGCCAATTCAGTTTTCTTATAAAAACAATCCATTTTGTCAGTGCAAACTGAGATTGAGAGTCCTTCAGTTGCATAATATTCATAAAAACAGAAAAATACTTCTTCAAGTAGTGGAATATTGAGTTGTTCAGAGACCAGAGTATAGCTTGTGATGTGTGAATCGAAAAATGGGGCGACCAGGAATTTTTGGGCTTAAAAAATTATTGTTTTTCATATTTTTTTAAAAAAATTTGCTATTTTTTTGTCACAACTTATTCGAAATCTTTACTTACCAGTTCCTGGAGGCAAATGAATTCCTGTTAGTGGATTTGAAACTCTTCCAGAAACACCAATCTCCCATCGATTATTTCCAGCACTTCTCCAGAACTTGCAACTCAAATCTGATGGATTACAAGATAATGCCAAACACGATTCAAAAAGTGAAGGGATTTGTGAAATTGGGGCATTCTCTACTACAACTTGTTGAAGATCCATACTATTTGGATTTGCATCAATTGCTTCAAGTCCAGCTCTCTCGATAGCTTTTATTGGACCAAGTGATTCTGAGAAACTTCGCTTTTCATTATCATTAACTTTTGCTCTTGTTGGTTCAGATATTGTTTTTGCTTCTTGTTGCACTAAAATCGGATGGCTATCCAAAGTTTCACCATTACAACTCAATTGTCCATCAATAACAATATCTTGCAAATATAATGCTCCACCTTCAGCCGCAATAAAATTGTTACCATAAAACACAATTTGTGCAGGAGTATTTGGATTATTTGGCGCCGGAATGTCCATTGACATTGGAACACCATTACGAATATCAAATTCGTTGCAATTAACTAGCGGGAACTTTTCCTCGTTTGTATTTTTTGTGCAGATCTAAACAATTTTTATTATAACATTTGAAACATCTATTTTTAAAATAGAATTCTCTTTTTTTACCTGAAGTTTTGGTTGCTCACTAACAGCCCCAAGTTTTGATTTCCAAACAGTTGCGGTAACTTTGAGCCCATGATTTATACACGGTAAAGGATCGGAGACAAGTTGACCACCTTCCCAACCTTTTCTAGTAGCAGAAGTCAAAACTCCAGCTGCCAAATCTAGAGAAAATTTTGTAGGTTACTATAAATGATTCCCTTAGAACTTACCTGGAATGGTTTGCACACCCAATGTTTGTAAAAATGCCATTGCTTGCTCATTTTCACTCAAAGTACTCCAATCTAATTCTTCCTCTTGGGTATTTGCCCATCTACATTTATCACTGAATTTAGCGCAATTCAAAGTCGACACTGATTTGATCTCATCAACTTGTGATGCAAATCTAGGTTGAACTGGATTTTGTGCAACGCCTGGTGCACCTTCGGCTGATGGTCCACGTTGAGGTTCAGCTCGATAAGGTCCTCTGGCAAATGCACCATAAGGGTTATAGGGCACGGCGGCTGGTGCATAATAACCACCATAGCCCGGACTGTAACCCATAAAAGGGTTGGGTAAACAAGCAGATGCTAGAAAATATAGGATGTTGTGAAGTTTTAAGATCTAAAATTAAAATAATCTTACCAATCGCTATAAGTAATGAGAAAACTATCATTGTTGAATTATGAAATCGGTAGAAATGAAATTCGGAATTTGGAATTCGGAAATTGAAATAAAAATTCAAATAACAATAAATTGGGTTTAGCTGTATAGTACTAGTTGTTAAAATGGGTGGAGTGGGGGGAGAAAAAGGGAGGAGGGGGAACACAGTAATCCGCAGCTAATATGTATGAGCGGCGGAATGGGAAAAATTGAAAAGGATGAGTTTTTTGAACTTTTTATTGTAATGTTAAATGTGAAGGGATGGAAGGTAGAAAACTTGGGAATATGGAAACATATCAAGGATTCCTTATGAGAAAAAAATTATCAGAAACTTTTCTGAAAGTTTTCAAGTTATCAGAACTCAGACTAGTTTATATTTTTTAATTTTATAACTTTTGCGAGAAGAGATCCAAAAATCAATATCATGAAAAAAATATCCAGAAATCAAATACTCAGAAACTTGAAAATCGCTTTCCATTTTTCTTCATTAAAATTTTGTTTATCTCGGATTTTTTTGCAATCTTCCATATTTTTATCCATTTGTCTTGTTGGTTATTCAATCCACTATTGTCACAAAAAATATATTCTTACCAGATTAACAGTAATCTGCAGGAAATTATGCTTTCCACATTTCAAAACCACAAAAAATCTTGTTTTTTCGCAACACCTGACTTCCGATATATTTTTTATTATACAACATATTATCCAAGTACAAGTATGACAAAAAAAATGTTTCAAAACCACCTGATCTTCTTTTCATCATCATCAGCATCATCAAATAATAAACGAAAAACCGAAGCCTTTTTTCATCGATACCGGTTCATGGGATTAACTAACAAACTGCTCAATTTTCGCTTTCAACTTGTCCAACAAGTTGAAAGCCCCCCATATTATTATTATTTTTATTATTTTATAGGGTGTGTCATAAAAAAAGATAACATGTTTCATTTCAAAAATAAATACGGCTTTGTTTTTATTAGAAGCTTCAAACTTTGTATGTACATTGAGCAATTAGGGATTTTTTGTACTTGGAAGATGAATTTCTGAAAATAAAACATATTTTTTGCTTCTCGATCTATTTTTGGCTTACTTTATGATGTCATAGTGTTGAATTCTGTTCATCGGAAGATGTTGCGCCTTCAGCTTCCAAGTCAATGTTCACGATTCGGATTTCAACACCAGCCCGATTTCGAGATGATGGTTCCTTTTTGAAACGTCTCATTGTTTGGCGCGTCGTAGACCACACTTTCTTGGCGACCGTTGGTTCCGTCTCAAAACAACAATGTTGTTTCTTTTTTCTATCACACTTTTCTTCTATTTCAAAAGTTAACACAACAAGACACACCAAAAAAGTGCTAGTCGACGAACGCGCAAGCAATCAATGAGAACGCAAAAAATTGAAAATTCTACAAACGGAAAACGGAGGAAGCTAACGGACAAAAAACGGGAATTTGAATTACCTGCTCATCTGTGCCAACTAAACAAAATGCAAGAACCACGACAACAGTAACAATTGAGACAAGAGCCTGAAATTGAAAAAAAAATTAGATTATTTTTCAAAAAAATTATAATTGATGTTTAATTCTTTAATTAAAAATTAATTGCAAAATATATTCATGAGAAACATGTGATGAGTATTATTTATTCATTTATTTATAATTGATACTCAACTTTTTAGAAAAGGACGATTTTTTTCGGAACGATTGTAGTAACAAAAGCAGCCACTGCAACTCGATAATTTTTGATTATCAAAATTACAGGAATTGGATCTAATGCTGGGAACAAAGCAATTGTTATACAAATTACATAACTTGCTCTTCCTATATCAAAATCCAACATTGAACAGATTAAAATCATGAAAGCGGGCAAATGCATCAACACTATAGGTATAAGTGTTTGGGTGACCAGTGAATAGAACAATTGAGATTGTAGACGACTTATGTTTTCAGAAACATTGTCAGTTTTTCCAGCGTAAGATGTCATTTTAAAATAACATAAAACTGCAAAGCTAGGGCTGCACGATGGGGCGTGGGGGCGGCCCCCTCGCCCCGCCACGCTTTTGCCCCCTCGCCCCTTCGCCCCCTCGCCCCGTCGCCCCCTCGCCCTGTTGCCCCCTCGCCCCGTCGCCCCTTCGCCCCGTCGCCCCCTCGCCCCCGCTTGTAACTGTGTGCGCGCTTCTATCTTCTTTTATTTCTTCACCACACACAGTTACAAGCGGGGGCGAGGGGGCGACGGGGCGAAGGGGCGACGGGGCGAGGGGGCAACGGGGCGAGGGGGCAAAGGGGCGAGGGGGCGAAGGGGCGAGGGGGCGAATGATTTTTTGCACGGTGTTTCATCGCGGGGTGCCCCGCGTGCAGCCCTATGCAAAGCAAACAATCAAGGCTATTGAGACGAGGAGTATGAGAACAACAGAAAACAATCCTATTAAACATTTCACGTTCACTTCATGATCTCCGTTTTCCAATTTTGGATATAAATATAGTCCAATATAACAAACTTCTTGCATTTCTAATCCAAGTTTTTCCAAAACGTCTGAGCTTATGACACTATCAATTTGAGTGTTTGAGTCCATTAAAAGAAAATCAATAGATCCCCAAATGACGCCACAAATAAGAGGGATTGCTATCCATAAAATGATTCGAAAACCACGGAAGTGTTTTATGAAAGGTGAACTGCAATAAACAGTTTTTCTTTCGTTTTTTTTCTCTGAAACAACCTTGAAGTCACTAAATATCTATAAAAATATTGCAAAGCAAATAATCCCATGAAAAAGCCAAAAAAAGCATTCCAAATAATTAATAGAAACAAATTGACAGACTTTGAAAAATAAGAGTTTTTGATATCTACAACTACAATGAATATTGATCCGTGTGACAGAATAAGAGGTTCTAATATAGTATCAATCAAAGAATAACACAATTCCAAAACCGAAATATTGATCATAAGATATTTATAGGGTCCCACTTGTTTTGGTGTTTTTTTCATGATTAGAATGAGAAGGAGAGTATTTATTAAAAACGAGAATAATGTTGAAATTTTTTGAATAACTCTGATAGATGTTGTCCAAGACATCAATTTAGCAATGTGAATTTGATATTTTATTCAAATTTGTAGCACACGGGGAATCTAACAAACTGATTAAAGACAACGATCAAACCGTTGTGGGTTGACAGGAAATTGAGATTATTGTAGATGTGTACTTTTTTTTAGGAAAAACATGTGTCTGAACAGTGAACACGTTGGGGTTTTCCAATTTGTTGAACAAAAGTGATCAGTGTTTTCCATAAACACTCTATTGCGTCTTTATTACTTTATATTTCTTTCTTTTCTTATTCATATAATTTAGAACGGGTAGAAAAGTTTATTCATATTCATGTATATCACTGTTAGTTTGAAGTAAACTGACAGGAAATTAAGGTTTTTGTACTTTTTTATCAAAAATATTTTTCTGAACTTTTTCGTTGGAAAACGATCTTTGGAGCAGATTTCCTTTTAATATGTGCATTTTCATTTTTATTCGGAAAATTTCACAAACTCTGATATTGACGTATTTCAAAAATATAAGACTTACCAAGTATAAACCACTTCCATAGTTATTAATATCATAAATAGCAATACATAATCCAAATGTGAAGCAACAAGAACTCACACAAAATATAAAAACTAACGGATTCGGTCTCAATTTTTTGCAAAGATTCAAAAAGCACATCAATTTTTGTCTGAAAATCTGGAAAAATTATCTTGCCAAGAAAAAAAAAACAGAAAAAAGAGATTAGAAAGCAAAAAGAAAAAATAACAAAGTATCAAAGAAACAAGGTGACAAGATAAAAATCACATTCATTTGAGGCTAATGTTATCACACAAAACTACATAGATATTTTTCCACATTTTTTTTGTTTTCTGCACCTACTTAAAATAATGATGATGATGATGAAAAAGAGAATTGAACACTCTGTTTTTTTGTTGCACACGAGGTTGGATGTGATAGAATTCTTCGTTTTTTTGTTTGCTTTTAAAAATGTGAAAAATGACAGAAGAGGAAGAATTGGAAGAAGAAAAAGAACATTTTGTTATTTTTAATTATATGGTAAGCTTGGGAACATGAATTATGTTTTTCATTTTCACATATTCATTTATGTCACAAAGTCATGTTTACGAATGTATTGCTCGAAATTTTCTGAATTTTAAAGAGTCTATAGGATTATTGTTTTTAATAAAATGAAAAAAAAATATCATGCCCGACAAAAAACCGATAATATATTATGGTTTCAAACCTAGAACTATAATTGAATGGAACAACAATCTAGTAAGGTCCCAATTAGGGCTGCACGCGGGGCACCCCGCGATGAAACACCGTGCAAAAAATCATTCGCCCCCTCGCCCCTTCGCCCCCTCGCCTCTTTGCCCCCTCGCCCCGTTGCCCCCTCGCCCCGTCGCCCCTTCGCCCCGTCGCCCCCTCGCCCCCGCTTGTAACTGTGTGTGGTGAAAAAATAAAAGAAGATAGAAGCGCGCACACAGTTACAAGCGGGGGCGACGGGGCGACGGGGCGAAGGGGCGACGGGGCGAGGGGGCAACGGGGCGAGGGGGCAAAGGGGCGAGGGGGCGAAGGGGCGAGGGGGCAAAAGCGTGGCGGGGCGAGGGGGCCGCCCCCACGCCCCATCGTGCAGCCCTAGTCCCAATTAATATTGGCCCTAAAAAAATATTTTTTTCATATTGCCCCATGATTCTATAATTTTGCCAGAAACGAACTTTTACAAAGTAAAACTGACACTCGAAAACAAAACCGAAAAATCTAACACCGAAACTGACACTTTTTTGACTAACAGGCAATTTGAGATCCCACACAAACTTGCTAGCGCGAAAAATTAGATTTTTCTATTTTCCTTTTCTTTTTGGATCTATCAGAGCGAAAATGGATTGGGATGAAAATAAAAAATGAAACTGGGAGAAAATGGGGAAAAAACTTCTATCGAAAAAGTATAACAAAAAAAAAACAAAAAAAAATAATTGTTTAGATAGATAGATGTTGAGAGCAATTATTCATTTATTTTTATTTTTCCTATTCTTTTTTCAGTTCTTTATTTAGCATGGAAAAGGAAGAAAAGGTCTTTTTCATTATCTTAAAAACATACATACATAAAAATTTTCCAGGGAGAAAAAATAAAAATAAAAAAAGAGGAAAAAACTTGAACTTCCCACATTTCTTTTGTTAAGCTTGGAAATTTTTTATTTATATTACAAAATGAAAACATGAAAAATGAGAAATGAAAAGATTATGGAGAAAATGTGGGAGATTTCAGAAGCTGAAAGATGCCAAGGGTCTTGCCAGGGATATTTTGGTGCCTTATATGGAGGGTCATGTCGACCGATTTGATCGATTTTGCAACAATTTAGACCACAACAATATTCTTGATATCGTTGACATCTGGAAAATGTACTTATTGGGAAAAAGTTTCAAATAATTTTCACTATTTTCAGTCTTTATTTATTTTTCATTTCAGTTTGGTTTCCAAACCTGATTTCTCGTTTTCTATTGCAAAAATTGTTTTTCTCTAAAAACTAACTGATAAATGATATCAAAAATCGGCGTATTATCCTCTTCATAAAATAAATGTTGACGTTGTGTTTCATTCATCCGATACGAACAACTATCCCTTGTTGCCAGAAAATATTTATTATCCTGTAAACAAAAATTAATAAAAATTGTTGATGTTCTTGTTATTATTTCGAAAATCATCTTTTTTCGCAAAAGAAACAACAAACCATATAATAATAACGATCTCCTAACCAATAATTTCTTCGTGTCAAATAAATAAACGATCTGTCATTATACATTTTGATTTTGAATATATTGAAACCATCCAAAATTGTTAACATAAATAATCGATATACTTCATCGTTTATTTGAGGATTTCCATCAGTTGCGTAACCATTATTCAAACTCCTGAAAAACATGATTTTCTATAACTTAAAATGAATTGAAAGAAATACCTTGTCCTCAGCGGTGAATAACTTATTTCTTCATCTGTAATTTCTTGAACAGTCTCTAAAAGTTCTCCAGAATACACAAATATCGAGAATTCAAGAAATATCAAAATAAAAACAAAGAATTTCATGTGAAACGACGAGTCATGAGTAAAATAGCTAGGAGGTCACTTGCTTAAGCAAACAAAATATTCAAAAATCGATATTTGTATACATTGCTTGCTTGTATGTAAGGTGGACAGAAGAAATATGTGTGCAGGAGTTGAGATGTGCATTTGAATATGAAAGAAATTTTAGAGAATTTGAAGATTCCGAAAAATGTGTTACTAAAATTGAAAACCGAAAAAAAAACAGAAACATTTCTGGAATCGATGGAATTTTTCTCACTTTTTTTGTTAATTATTTATTAAAAAGAATACGTATCAAGAAAAATTATATTTTTTAAAATTCTTTCCAGTGTCTAGAGAAATAGTTCCCGATGTTTAATGAAAACATTCACACAACTTGTCAACTATCAAAGAACATCCCGATTTGGCTTCTACAAAAAAATTTCCATTCTTTTTCACAGGTTCATATATCCGTTTCGAGATGTTTCATTGTCCGAACTTCTATCAAATTAAATCTAGCCTCCCTCGTCAACCATATCCTCTCTGAACAACAAAAAAAAACTTCATCCACGAAAAAAACAGCAATGTTCGAAACGAGACGAGATTTGATAAAGATGGAAACTTGTGATAATAATTTTCTCTTTTTCATCTTCTTTATTTTTCTTTTTTCTAATATCTAGCGCAATCCGTAAAAGAGGTTAATCGACAATACACAGACACACAACAATTGTATCCCGAACGAATTGACCGATTGATAGATACTCTCATTTTTCTATACATATTATTCTTTCTCAATTCACATTGTTATTGTTTTCAATTTTGATTTCGTAGAATGAAGACAAAAACAGCTTTCAATTATTTTCCATTACTGGTTTTCGTGTTGATCGCCGGTTCTCAAGGTTAGTTAAGTTGATCGAACATTTTATCCGGTTTATTCGAATTTCTTTAGCACAAGCTCCAGGATGCCCAAATGGACAAGAGCCAAAATTGGACAAAAATTTGAGACCTCTTCAATGTCTACCAGGTGAGGAATGGAGGCAGGTGAAATAATCTTTGATGTTTGTTTGAAATTAAATTTTATTAATTATCAAACAAAAAAATAAAGCTCTAGATTTCAATTTGTTGTAAATTAAAAAATTAAATGATCAATAATAATTTTAAAGGAACATCCCAACATGCAATCTGTGGTCCAAACCATAATTGTTACTTCACTGGTCTCAATTATATGTGCTGCCCATCAAATGAACCAACCGTAGATAATCAACCAAGTTGTCCATATCCAAAATTAACAGTATTGGATCCACACGGACTTCCAATGAAATGTTCACCAATTGCTAGACAATGTCCAGAAGAACAAATGCATTGTTCCGATGTTGGACTCGGTTATATTTGTTGTGAAAATCCATCATTTCAAAGAAAACATGACGAAGAGGAAAATGCGAGAAGCACAGTTCCAGTTAGTAAATATAGAGTGAGAACAACAACTCCACTTCCAGAAGAGGAATTGGAATGTCCAGCTAAGTCAATTGGACTTCTTCATTCGAATGGGAGTCGAGTGATTTGTAATTCAAGAAATCCTTGTCCTGGAGATGATACTTTTTGTTTTGGAGAATATAAGCGATCAATCTGTTGTCAAAGATATTTATTCGCTGGAGATGTTTTGAATGATCCAACACCAAAACCAACACCAAAAAATGCATTAAGACCAAAAAGTATCACATTGACAAAACATCGAATTCACGATGGTCAATTCCATAAACCAACTACAACTACACGAGCTCCATTTGTTGATGCAGAGTTCCCTCAAATTGCTATCAATAGTATTGGAGTAAGAAGGTTGGTGTTTTCTTTATAGGTGGTCTGAGAAAATGAGAGGGGAGAAGGTTATTAAAAGTCGCAATAATAGTTTTATGTTTGGAAACTCTTTGATGTTGCCGACTTTTTAGGAGTAGATAACAATTTTTGCGAAATGACACGTGACATTATAGTTCAAGAAAACAAATTTACAGAGCTGGCTCGGTTGCTTCTACTGGTACTGTCATCAAGCCTACTGAACTTGGAGCATCTGAAAGAACATGGATTCCAAGATCATCTTTCCAATCACCACCAGTTCCAAGAAGAACAACCCATAAACCAGTTACAACTACCACTTCAACCACTACTTCCACCACAACAACAACGACCACACCAAAACCAAAACCAGCTGGCTTGTCGAGACGTCATCACTTGAATGGGATTCAAACTGCAACATCAGCCGATTTCAAACCATCAAGTTTGAATTTGGAAAAACAAGCTAGTAATCAAGAGGTAGTTTTTTTCTATCGCATTATAAATTCGATTATCTTTTTTCCAGGACCGACATGCTTTGGCACAAAAGCTTTTGCAATATCAAATTCGAAATGGTTGGCCATATGATGAGCGATTTTATAGACCTGATGTTGAAATTTATACCGAAGAACAAAAATCGGAAATTGCACGAATGAGATTTTTACCTAGGCAACAATAATAATGAAATCCCTTTTAATTGAGTTCAATTTATCATAACTTCCACCTCCTCATCTTTCATTTCATAGCTTTTATGAATTTTAAAAGCGTGTATCTCTCAATATTCAACTTATTCATATTTATAAATTGCATAATAAACTATAATAATAATTAATATAATGAATGAATAAATAAAACACATTTTTTGCATCCTCGTCCACTCTTATATTGATTTTCTCTGCACTCTCTTCATAGCCTTATACTCTCTCAATTTTTCTCATTGATTCTGCGCTCTGCTGCACCATTTTTGCTTCATTTTGTTGGTGAAGTGAGGATACGTCATTTTTTATTTTATTTTATTTTTAGTCTGATTTTTTTGTAGTTTCAGATAAAATTTGTTGGTTTTTCCAGACGAAAATGGGAGCACAAGGCAGTAAAGTAGATTTTTTGCAAGTGGTCATGAATTTGACCTCCAAACCGGGTAACAAAGTGAGTTTTTTGTGAAATTTAATAGAAAAAGTCTAATGAATTAAAGTTTTCTTTTTCTTTTTGATCGATGAAAATTGTGATTTAAAAAATACCAAAAATTTTTGTATCATTTCATGAATTTTTGAGTACGAAAAACTCTAGTTCCAAACTCGAAAAAAGGAAAATTACTCTTTTCCGGTAAAAAGAGTCATTAGAGAATTTTTGTTTCAGGATGACGATAGTTTTTGGGATCAAGTTTGGTGGCCAGAAACAGTCAACGAAATTTTCGCAATGATTCCTGGTGATGATATTCGCAAACTGCGTGATGATCACCCAAAAAATCTTGCGACTATGACTTATAAATGCGTCGAAAAACTACAATATTCTCGGGACCATCCAGCTAGTTTGAATGTGAAAAAGGTAAGGTTTTTAATATTTGAAGGTGGAGCCTGAATGAAAAAATGAGTTATGATCATAAAAAAAGATTGTCTGAAATGTCTAAAACTTACATATTTGCAATTAATTTGTCGGACAAAACTTTTAAAATAAAATACAATCAGAAAAGTGATTCATAAATCATCTCATACTCCACTTCTAACAAAAAATCCCTGAACATCCAACAACAAAAAATTTCAGACAATAAATTGTGTTCGCCTTTTGACTCGAATGATGCCTTATATGTTAGAAGATGCTGAGTGGCGTGGATATTTTTGGTCACCAATTCCAAATGGTGATACTCAAAAACCGTTGGCAGCATTATTGTTAGAAATTGTTTCGGATTTATTGTTTTGCCCTGATTTTACAGTATCAAGTCAGAATTCCAGTGCTGTAAGTTCCTTTCAGAGCCGTTTTCATTCAAAGCTTTAAATGAACTTTTTTAGGACAAAGTTGATGATTTATCAAACATTGATCCATGTGAATATATTTGGGAAGCTGGAGTTGGATTTGGAAGCAAACTTCCAATGGTCGCACAACATTTCCAAAACAGATTAGAAATTCTGAAATTGTTGCTCACCTGTTTCTCAGAAGTGATTTATTCCCCAATCACTGACGAAAATCGTCTTCGATGGGTTACACAATTTACATCAAGTACAAATCGACACGTTCTTCCAATTTTCACAAGTTTGCTGAATGTTGTTTGCGCCTATGATCCAGTTGGTTATGGTCTTCCTTATAATTATCTACTTTTCAATGATTCACGTGAACCTTTGGTTGAAATTGCTTTGCAAGTATTGATCGTATGTCTCGATAAAGAAAGCCAGGGGAAGAATGATGACACTGGATATCTAGAAAACTATTTCATCAATTATTTGAGTCGAATTCACCGTGAAGAAGATTTCGATTTCATGCTCAAAGGAATCACCCGACTTTTGAGTAATCCAATCCAATCATCCGCATCATATCTTCCAAATTCAACAAAGAAAGTGAATTTTCATCAAGAACTTCTGGTTCTTCTTTGGAAATGTTGCGAATTCAATCAAAAATTCATGTTCTACGTGCTCAAAACATCAGATGTTCTCGAAATTCTCGTGCCAATTTTGTATCATATTTCCGATGCTCGAAATGACTCAGCACGTGTTGGTTTAATTCACATGGGTGTATTCTTGATTCTTTTGCTCAGTGGTGAACGAAACTTTGGAGTTCGCTTGAATAAACCATATACAGCAAAAGCAGCTATAAATGTGACAAGTTTTACTGGAACTCATGCTGATTTATTGATTATTGTATTTCACAAATTAATAACTACGGGTAATTATCGACTTCAATCATTGTTTGATTGCTTTTTAACTATCATTGTGAATGGTGAGTTTTTTCTGATTTAATTGGGAAAATTTTTCAAATTATGATTTACAGTATCTCCATATCTGAAATCGATCTCAATGGTCGCCTCAAATAAATTATTGCATCTCGTAGAAGCATTTTCAACACCATGGTTCCTTTATTCTTCTCCAAGTAATCATCATCTCGTATTTTTCTTATTGGAAGTTTTCAACAATGTTATTCAATATCAATTTGATGGAAACTCAAATTTGATCTACACAATCATTCGAAAGCGTCACGTATTTTATCAATTATCAAATCTTCCCACAGATGCAGCTTCTATCTCAAAAACCCTTTCCGGAAGAAAATCCAAATCAACAAATCGAGATGAAATGGTAGATCAATTGAAGAGTCCAACTGCAACAAGTCCCCCAGAACTTCCAAATTCGATTACTGGAACAACTGCTGCTGCTGGACTTGCTGCAACTCCAAGTATGACTGGCGGAAATTTGGATGAAAAATTGGGAGGAGAAGAATCTGGTGAATGGGTAGCGAGCCAAGATTGGGCAGAAACTTGGAAAGCGAAATTGCCATTGCAAACAATTATGAGATTATTGCAAGTTTTAGTGCCACAAGTTGAGAAAATTTGCATCGACAAGTATGTTTTTTCTAGTTTGATGAGAGAATTTGAACATTTCAAAGTCCAAAAAACAGGATATAATTTTTACAACCTGTCAGACAAACGTCAATATTTTTTCTGATAACAGAACATATTTATTTTTATTTAAAAAATTATATTTTCAGGGGACTAACAGATGAATCTGAAATTTTGAAATTTCTACAACATGGAACTCTTGTCGGACTTCTCCCTGTTCCTCATCCAATTCTAATCAGAAAATATCAGGCAAACGCTGGGACAAATCATTGGTTCCGAACTTATATGTGGGGTGTGATCTATCTTCGAAATACTGAACCACCAATTTGGTACGACACAGATGTCAAACTTTTTGAAATTCAAAGAGTATAATGATTTTGTAACATACATATGTGTTTCTTTTTGGTTGTGTCATCCTTCCCTCTCTCTATCCACCTTTCTCTGTCCCTTTAAATGGTTTTTTCATGTTTTCCTTTTTCGTGATCCCCTGAAGGCATATCTTTTCTTTAACAAATCAAAATATAGAATAAAAATTGAAAAACAAATCTGTACAAAAAAAATTAATTTATGAGTCAGAGGATGATTCACATCGTTTTTATCAAATATTTACGACGATGGAAAAATATATGTGTTTTTTTATTGTTATGGTTATCAAATGGGGTTTTTTTTGAGTAAATGTTTATTGGAAATTTTTATGAATCATATTGAATATGTATGGTTTCCGGTGCTGTTTGTGGATTTTTTTGATTTTAGGAGTTTTGAGATAATCTGGTTTTGAAACGCGCGTTGAAACTAGTAATTTTGAAATATGGTTAAAACCTGCGAGGTCTGAAATTGAAAAGAAAAATTAGAATTTTCAAAACGACATAATTTTCGAAGAAATTTAGGAATTACCAATGCCGATGCGAGTTTTTGAATTCAGTCAAATTTTAATGTAAGCATCCAGTCTGATAATTTTTCAAAATATATTCTAAAACTAATTTTTTCAAATTCAGTATGTAGATGTGATTTTTTTTAATTCAAGAACCATAATTCTCATCAAATGTTTCAATTTTTAAACTGTAGTTTGTAATATTTTTCAAATATTTCACTAGTTGAAATGTCATTTATTAAACCATTCTTTGTCAGTTTTCAGTCAATCGGGCGTTCCCATCCCAAATGACCTTCGTTATATATTTTTTACTGACTGATACTATCTCAAATCGATAACCAATTGTATGGTTCATTGACTTCTCGCATATAAAATCAGAACCATATAAATATATACATATGGCTACCGTTTTTTTTTCCATAATGATTATGAGGTAGTTTACCAGCGGGAGATGTTAGATAGTAAGAGAGTTCCAGAGAAAACGATGATCAATTCATGATGAATGAAGAGGGAGCGCGCGCGCGCAGGCAGGCAAAAGAGACACACACACATATACACACAAAACATTTTTAGCTAGTCTCTCCTCTTTTTTTCCCTTTGGTCGAGTAGAGCCCCGCCCATCTCCCAAATTCCATTCACCGACGCAATTGCACTTGGCAGGACCTTCCCAAACATATTTCAACTTTTTTTCGGCGACTTGTTTTTCTTGTTGTTATTTGTTTGTTTGTTTTTGGTTAGGCGATGAGTTACAATCATTTATTCAAGGTTAGTTTTTTTTCTTTCAAAACTAGTGGGATTAGGGAACTCCCGGAGAATTTTTTTGAAGCCAAAAAATTTTTTTTTATTTTTTTAAATTTCACATTGTCTTGAAATTATATTTCCGAAAAAAATACTGATTTTTTCCAAGTTAATTTGAGATTTTAAAATTATTGTTTTCAAATACTGAAAGAAAACACATTGTTTATTTTCCTGCAAGAGAATTTCGAAATCTTCAAATCATTTCAACATTTTTTTCACTAAAAATCAATAATCCCAAAAATATTTCAAAAGTAAAAAAAAATCATTTCTCCATCTCCAGTAGTAGCTCATCTAATATTGACACAACGCCCCAAAATATACTGTTTCAATCGAATTGTCAAATAAAATGCATTTTGTAGTTTTCCACAAAAATAAATTTTCCGCTTTCGAAGAACCTTTTTGTATACATACATTCATACAAAAAGGGTAACTTTCACTCTTTTCAAAAAGGAGTTATAATAACTGCAAAATCCTCGAGGGACCCATTTTTCGTCGTCTTGTCGAAATTGTTTTTTTTCGCCTTAAATGAACGAAAAGAAATAATGGGAAGCAATCAAAAATGAATAGTAATTGTAAAAAACAATAATAATAATAATAATTACATGGGACATTGCTTTAATCGGATTAAGGCTAAGTAGCCTTTCCCCACCTGTACACATAAATAAATTCAAAAAAAAAATTCTTTTTGCAGATCGTTGTTGTTGGGGATCATAACTGTGGAAAATCATGCATATTATTGAGATTTGCTGAAAACAATTTTCGAGTTGATCATATAAGTACACTTGGTGTGGATTTCAAGTTGAAAACAATCAAACTTGGAAGAGATAAGGTACTTGACTTTTTTCTCTCTTTCAAATAAAAAACTATACTGTATTTTATTGTAGATCAGATTAGAATTATGGGATACTGCTGGAATGGAAAGATATCGAACAATCTATAATTCATATTATCATTCTGCACACGGTGTAATGTGTGTCTATGATATGACGAATGAAAAAAGTTTCGAAAATTTGGAAAAATATTGGTTGAATGAAATCAAACAACATGCACCACAAAATGCCGTGTTGATGTTGGTTGGAAATAAAGCCGATTTGGACAAAGAGAGAAAGGTTTGTACTTTTGGGCAAAAATTGTAATCAAGGTTGTATTGACATATTTTTAATAATAAAAAAAATAAAAAACCTATTCAAACCTACATTTATTTATTCATAATCGAAGTAAGCCTTTATTATTCTACAGGTGTTCAATGTTCTTGTGACTAAACACAGCTGTTTTTTCCATTAATCTATGTTTTCTAAAAAAAAACCCGAAAAAATCCATCTTCCAACACACTCAACATTAATGATTCATCATTTTTCATTTTTTTCCTCGCCGTAAAAGGGCATTATTTTGTATATATTTTTTGCAGTCTGGGTGAAATTCGAAACGCTCACAGATAAATAGGATAGGGTTCCAAAAAAAGGTCGTCCTTCAATCCTATTAGCCCAAATTACATAATGGTCTTCTTCTCCTTCTTCCTAGTATTTTTCGTCTTCTTCGTTTTTCTCGTAACCTTTCTCTCGGTGTTTTGCATAAATGTACATATTTGTACAAAACAAAAACAAATATGGGTTAGGCTTTGTGTTATATTTACAAGGAACACATTTTTGAGGAAACGAAAGGAAAAGGGGTCGGAGTTCGTACTTGAAGCAAAATCATTTGTCTATTTGCTCAATGTGTGATTGGAATTTTATATAAATATGAGCTTTTGATTTGTTCACTGATGTACGATTACACTGTGTGAAAAAAATGATACGATTTATTATGATAAAAATTTTGGATGTGAAAAATTGAGGCTGGGAAAAGTGTAACAAAATTGTGAAACAGTATTTTAAAATAAAAATTTTCAAGGAAAAAAGGGAGGATGAGAAGAAAACAAATTATATCTTGAAAAACATACGGTTCACCTTTGGAATTTTGGGAACTTACAATTAGTTCAGATTCTGAATCTTTTTTTTTCTGAAAATAATACGCAAGAATCATCTGATAAAATAAAATTAGAAATCTACGACCAGAATTTTTCGTTTTGAAAATATTCCATGAAAGTTTTCCAGCAATTTTTTTTTCCAAAACTATTTCCAAATATCCACCACAAGTCATTACAATTTTCTGAATTACCCTAATTTTTTCAGGTTGATTTCGATCGCGCCGAACGTCTCGCTTCACGTCTTGGTGTCTCCTTATACGAAGTTTCTGCAAAAACGGGTAAGTGCAATATTTCATATTGTATGTAATTCTACACGATTCTTCAATTATTCATAAGATGGACCAATATATATGAAGATTAGCTTTTTCTTTTTTTTTTAATACCAAAAAAGAGTCCACAAAAAGAATAATTTGATGTTTTATCTTTTAGGTATCAATTGTGAAGAAGCTTTCCATACATTGACAGCAGCAATGCGTGAAAGGTTAACAGCTGGAAGTATGCACTCGGATGATTCGGACGACAATGAGGTTAGCACTTTTCGTTGGCTTGTTTGAAAAAGGAAAATCAGAAAATCAGAAAAAAAAGAATGAGCGAAATCTTGTCACGCAATAACAACATCTTTTGTTCGCTTTGACACTTACTTAAAATGCAATTTATGCTCTTTTTCGCCTTTTTTTGTATGTTTGCAAAATGCTTGAGAGGGTTCTTGAAGACGCAAAATATTGAGATTTTTTTGTGATGAATGTTTTTAGCGCGTAAAACTGATTAATGGGTGTATGAATTGGAAATATGAGGGAAAATGTGGCGATTTTTGATCGGAAATTTGAAAATCTGGCTTTTTGATTGATCATGGGAAATGAGTTTTGAAAAAAAAATGTGCTCGGACATCGTAGAGAGAGAGGAAACAAAATGAATTCCTTGAAAATAATTATTTTTAACGAAAACTTTAATTTAATTTATTCATTTTTTTTTCAAATTTCTAAACTTTTCAAGTTTTTTCAACGCTTAAAATAGAGAATCAACGGAAATTAAATCGTAAAGATTAACTCGAAAAGTATATGTTTTCAATTAATAAGGACTGTATAGGAAACTCATAAGTAAACCATGTTTCAAACAAAAATTTATTTTTTTTCAGGAATTCGCATCAGCTTTCCACGTCGACGGAGTCATCAGAAATGAAAAATCAAAAATGGGCGGATGTTGCTCAAGCGGCCCAGAACCAGCCTTTGTTTGAAAGAAACTGTGATTTCTTATTCAGAAAAACGTGTAATAATTTCAGCCTTTCTTTTTCCTCTCTCTCATATTTTTTTTCTTTTTTTGTGTGTGTGCCAAAGTTTTTTATTGAACCCTCAGCTTTAAGCTTCTTCTTTTTCCCATCTTTTTTGTTAGAAATTTTCACAATTTTACAAAATATTTATTCGGGTTATTCGAGAAAAAATCAAAATGTATTAATTTTCACATATGATAAATCGTTTCCGATATGTTTTAAAGCTCTACTCGAAAATACTTTTTTTTTAGAAAAATGATGAAAAATAAATATGGAATGCTCAAAATATTATAATGCAAGAATTTTTGTCACACAAAACTAAATGGAAAAATAAAATAAACAAAATACAATTAATCATGTCTGGGTGGAAGATTCGAATGTCGTCTAAGCGCCATATTTTGTTGTCGTTTCTCTTGGTGCAACATTCTAGCGCGAACATTTTGCGCATCCAAATTCCATTCCCCCCGATGATCCATTTCCGCTTTTCTCTTCTCTACTTGCATACTTTGTTTGTAGTTGAGATATTTTTGTGGCTGAAAATAATTGTTGTAGGGCAAAATATCACGAGGTGGCTCGCGTGCGTCATACTAAATACAAAATGATTATTTGTTTTCTTACCTGTACAAAATTATCAGATGGTTTTTTGACAATTGAAGATGTTGGTTTCAAACGTTTTTCTGGTGATCCTCCGATGCTCATGGTTTCCATTTTCTTGTCAACACTGTCTGTTGATGGGCTGAAATAGAACAATTATAGTTTGATTCAAAAATGAGCGTTCAACTGATGTTATATTTACCGTTTTCCAACTTTGCTCATTTGAAACGATTGATTCGACGCAGAAAAATGTTCTTCTCCAGAAATTTCAACTCCTTCATCAACTGAACTACAAACTGTAGATTGTCGACTCATTCCCATTTCACAAATCGAACCACCATTTCCACTATCAATTGTAACACTGTGTTTGGCCTCTTTCAACAATTTCAATGATGGATTCTTTTTATTTTGTTGAGCCAATCTTGCCTCATTTTCTCTTTCTTTCTCTCGTTGTTGAATTTGATAAATTGACACCAATGTTTGATCGAAATAAATGTTTCTGTACTTTTCCATTAGTAAATTGTACATTCCGTGGATATGATTGTAAGTTCCACCAAAAACCGATTCAATAATCTTTTCTTTTTTGATACCAATTTTTTGGATGAATCGACTTGCTGATTCTTCCGATGCTCCATGACTCAAACAATAGAATGTTCGAATTTCATTTCTGATTTTCTCTTCACAATTATCCTCTCTCATCCAACGATGTCTTTTGATATCTTCCATTGTTGCACGACGTCTTGGATTTGTTGTCAACATTTTTTTGATAAGATCTTCACAATCCATACTCATATAAAATGGAACCCGATATCTTCCATCAATCACACGATCTCTAATCCACGCAAAACTATCACCTTCAAATGGCATTGTACCAGTAGTCATCACATACAAACAAACTCCAAGGCTCTGTAAAAATTAAATTTTTTATGTGGTTGCGATGTTTTCAAACTAACCCAAATATCAATTTGAGGTCCAAAATATGGTGCTCCTTTGAAAATTTCAGGAGCTGCATACGGTGGACTGCCACAGAATGATGTTTGTGGTTTATCGTATTCATAAAAACCAGAAAATCCAAAATCAGCTATTTTAATTCGATCATCTTTGTCGAGAAGAACATTTTCAGCTTTCAAATCACGATGAACAATTCCACGATTATGCAAATATTCAACAGCTGAAATGATTTGCCAGAATTTATATCTTGATTCACGTTCTGTATAGCGAACACGATTTGCAACATCATCTGGAAACATTTTTTTAAAAGATTTCAGATAGTTTTCCTGAATCGATCTCACCATAAACTTCGCCATTCTCTGCAAGTTCAGTGAAAATATAAATTTTCTCATTTTCCTCGATGACTTGATGTAACTTGATAATATATGGATGATCAACAGTTTTCAAAACTTCAATTTCTTTTCTTAATCTTGCTCGACTTGAATGGTCCAAACGTTTTGTGTCAATTATTTTTACAGCGACCTGAAATTAAATAAATATATTTTTTTATTGTTTTGCGGTGGCATGCAAAGTTAATGAGGCTTCAGGGAAAAAGGAAGAAAGACTACTGTAGTCTCGCCTCATTAGGGTTTGAACTTTGAATAATGAGCTACCGTATTTGTTTTGGTTTCTGATTTTTTTATTGTTCTGACCGGAAATTTTGAGCTAAAAATAAAAACAATCTTGATAAAAATTATGTGTTAGATTTTTTTCTGGTTCTGAAAACCCTGTGTAAGTTGGGCAAAAAAAATTTATTTGAATCTCTAATTTCTGGTAACTTGAAAATTTTGAAACTTTTATTTTGCATGAAATTCAAATTTCGTTTTCAACCTTGTCAGTATGTTGAAAGAGATACATCTAATTCTTTTCTGCAAAGGGTTCATTAGTGACTTGTTCAAACTACATACTTATTCATGTTTTCCCATTTTTAATTGGATGATTTATTACTCCCCCAATTCCCAAGGTTGCAAAAAACTGCATATCAAAATAATCATCTGCTTCTAATTTTTTGTCATGAATCATTAAAACCAAAAATCAAGATTTGTAGATTGCAACCTGCTGTGCTATAATATTTAGACCATGAATCACCCTTGATTTGGAAACATATGTACATACCTCATTTTTGATATAACGATGTTTAGCTTTTCTCACAAGTCCATAATTTCCTCTTCCAATTGGATAATAGATATCATAGAATCCGACACTTGCCCAAATTTCACCGGTTTCATCTCGAATTCTTGCTCGTGGACGATGCTCTTTTCTTTTATTTTTGCACGCTGCATCATTTTCATCTTGTTGTTTGCGACGTTTCAAACAAATCGGTTCGGATTCTCGTCGCTGACAATAACCGGGATAACGTCGTCTCGACCGAATGTTGTTCCGCAATTCTGGCGCCGAAATATGGTGCCGTCTTCGTGTTAAAATAGAAGTTGGATATGTTGAAAAATCTTCGTCGCAAAAGGAGGAGGAGTTCATTTTCGTTTCTTTTTTTTTGCTTTCCTCCTTGTTTCGTACACCCGTGTGCCTGGCTTTTTCTTTTTTTCGGCTCGTACGGATCCTTTTTTCTCCTTATTTCGTTCTGCAATTTTTTCTATTTCTATATATAATGAAAACGAAAACGTACAAAGATTTTCGAGGAAAATGAGCGAGGAAATTAATTGCAAAGGGAATTCTTTTGAAGTTAACACCTGCCAAGATTTGAATAAATATATTCAAATGAAAAAAAATGAGGGCGGAGTTTAAAGTCATATGGGCTGGACTCCAATTAGTATGTTATGATTTTTTCATAGAAAAAAACTCAAATATTTTTCACGCTTCCGGGTTGAAAAGATGACAAAAATTAAACACAAAATAAAAAAAACTTGGATCAAACTCAAAAGAAATAAAGAGCAGCTCTTAAAAAAGGAAAGCAGCTGGAAAAATATGACGTTCTGAATTTTTCAGAAAAATGTTCTATATTATCACCTGACGAAATGAAATGGTTTATGTTTTGTAAAAAGGACATATGTCGCTGAAATTATTTTACAAAAATGACATGAGACGCCCCCTTTTTCTCGCTCACAAGTTTAAAACGCGTTAAAGCCCACTCGAAAAGATCAAGAACTGATGATGAACTGTTTAGCGATGACGGGATAACTGAAAGGTCACAGACTGGAAATTCATCAAATTTTTTGAGGTCTGGCACAATCTTGAAAATGGATGTGAAATCGACAAGATTCAACGTAAAATGAAGAGGTTTATGAAAAGTATTTTTGACCTGTTCAAAAAAAATTTCAGAAGGATTGAGGTTTTTTTATGAATTAAACAATGCGAGGGTGTAAAAATGAGAGAGATGATTTTAGGTTTTTAAATAAAACCATTATCTGAAAATGTTTGAAATTGGGCCAAGATACCTGAATTGAATTAATAAGTAACTCTGTTCCAATTCAAACATTTTCAAAATCAAGCCCGTTGATCGAACTTGGCTCAATTCCTATGACCTGCTTCAAAAACTCCCCAGAGGATCTATGTGAAATAAAAGAACTTTGAAACTTTGGTTATAATTTTTCTGGAGCAGGTGACGGATATAACGACAAAAAACCGAGGGAAAAAAGATGAAGAAGGAGAAAAAATGAGTGAGAAATATTCGAGGAATTTGTTCAAAGAGTTCCGAATACAATTTTTTTGTGTGTTCTGGTTTTGGACGAGAACTTTTTAGAGTCCAAAAAATGTTTGTCTGAGAAAATATGAAGAAGAAGAATTAAATTTTGGTTGAAAAAAACCTGAAAAAAATTACATTAATTTTTTTTGATATTCTTTTTATCAATTGACTGAAAATTATCAGAACTATACGACTATAAAACATATTTTTTTTGTTATTTTTTCTGACAAAAAAGGGATACTGTAATATAAAGTGCATTCGAAGAAAATGACATCTGTGTCTCGAGACAAATAAGGACAACATCTGTAGTCGTTAGGTACTGTAGTTTTATTTGATTCACTAGAGAGTTAGTCTAATTATTTTTGTGATCAACGGAAAAAAATAATTTTCAAGAAAATAAAAGAAGGAACACAAAAGACGCTGAAAAGATGGACGCTGTCTTAAAGAATAATTGAACATGAACACACAAAACAACAACGAAAATACAGTCGGGGTCGGGTCAATTTACGTCATCGGTTGGGGTTTTTTGGTTGGACGTCATTGATGAAAAGAAGGAAAAGTCGCGGACAGAGAGAGATAGAAGTTTTTGGGGCTGTTGAGAAGAACAACAAAAAGAAAAAAAACGAAGAGGCAAAAAAGATAGATAGCTAGATAAATTGAGCCGAACTGAGAAGAGCAAACAGCAAAAAGAGCAAATGAAGGAGATGGGATGCAAAAAAAGCAAAATCGTTTTTAAGATGATTTTTATTGGAATTGGCTCATTAAGATTTGTGAAAAACCATTAGATATGAAGAAAAGCATCCCCCTTTCTTAAAGCAAAAAAAGGGAGAGAGAAAGAGAAGGAGAAAAACTGATTGTCGTACTTTCAAAATGAAATTTCCGGGTTTGTCCAATCAGAAAAAAAACTGTGTTCGATCATTCTGATAGACAACACTTTTCATTTAATTATAAAATTTATCTTGAAAGTAAAAGGTACTTGAACAGTTTATTTGACTTTTTTTGAAACAAATATGATAATTCTGCAAACTTGAAGCTCTTGAATAAAAAAATCAAAATAGATAATGGGAACTTTTAGTTCAAAGTTCAGACTTGGGTTGAAAAATTAGTTGTCCTACTGTCCCTGAAAAGATTTTTCAATAAGACTCTTGAAAATATCTCTAAAAATAACCAAACTATAAAGATGATATGGACTCCAGGTGGTCTATCATATTATGAAATGATCAGACTCCTATAACCTATAGAAAAAACCTTGTCTGAAAATGAGTTGTGTCAAGAATCAACAACACTTTTTTGCACAAATCAAATAAACAAACACTAGAGATCAACAAAAAGTCAAAGACGGTTTTGAAATTAACCGCGCGAACGCCTTTTTGTTCCAAATGTAAACACTATTTATTTTTTGGATACAAACTTTGCTTTTTCACAAAAAAAAAGTGAAAATGAAAATGTGTTTGCAGTTTACTGGAATGAATGATGAAAATTGATTTGAAACTGATCTGTACAGCAATTCAATACCATTATCAGAAAACTGATAAAAAATGTGTGACATCAAAAAATTCTTGGTTTTTTCTGTCTTTCCTAAAAAAAATTCTGTCGTCGCTAATAATTAATTAATTTTAATTGGGTCCGTCCCGTTTGCAAATAAAGATGAAGCGAAACTAAAAAATACTTTTTAGTTTAACAGAAATATGAAAAACAAATATGTTACAAAGTGCACTTTTTCACACGTTTCAAGTAAGAGATATGATTGAAATTAGATAAAGATAAATAATTTTGGGTCAGATTACTCAACTAGGTGGTCTTTGAGCATCTCCGCCAACTCAGGAGGTCAAGTGATATAAGTTTTTTCGAGGAAAGATAGAAAAAAAAAGGTTTTATCACAAACACAAATATTTTATTTTGATTGTCTGAACACTAAACATTCATTTTGTTTGCATGCAATGACCTCACTGAATTTTAAATAGCGCGCTTTTTTTGTTAGACAACAGAAAAATTTGGAAATTTTTTTGTTGGAAAAAATATTTTTGAGCTTGGGCAAAGACTAAACGATATCCAATAACATTATTTTTTGGAAAAAAAAAAGAAAATGCGAAGGAGAGATCTTGTACCTTTCTGTGTCTTGGAGTAGTTTCAGGTTTAGAAAAAAGTTTCAAAATACACACGTTTTTTTGCGCCAAAAGGGGTGATGGCTTTAAAAACATTTGTCTCTTGTGTCTTTAAAAGTCTAACACATTATGAATCTTTTTCAGAATTTGTTTTGGGAGCTAAAGAACCTGTTTCATTAAAAAATTTGAATTTTGAAATGATGTTTCACAACTTTGATTAAAGACTAAAATTAACAAAATGCGAGAGGAGTCTTCAAATTCTAGAAAGTCTAGGAATTTACCTTAACTTTAGATATAATATAAAATGAGCCCTACCCCCCCCCCCCCCCCAAATAACTGAAAAATAATGGTTTCGACTTTGAGTTCATAATTTGATAAATTATTGTCTCTGCCCACTTTTCTTATTATTTTATAGAGAACATTATCAGAAAGAACTGTAGACTATAACTGTTGACAAAAGGCTGTAATAGAAAAAAACCAGGAAAAATATCAGTGTCGTCGTAAATTGTCTTGATATGATAAGTTATTATCATACAGCGTTGAAATCACAAAACAATTCTTATTCGCATTCTCAACTCTCAAAAACCAATTTGTATACCTAGAACTATAAAATAACCTAAACTCTCCGAACTCTTTTTTTTTTTAGCAAAACGAGAAAAAAACTGTCAATCAATCGTAAACTTGCATAAATGCATGTGTTTTATTGAAAAACCGACAAGAAATTTGTCGGCGAACTCTTTTAATCTGCGTGAGAAAAAGTGAAAATGAAAATAAATTTATACATATACAAGAGAGACTAGAGTCACATTCAGACATACAAAAAAAGACAAAAATAAATAATTTTTTCCTCATTTCAAAGAAAAATATTCAATGGGGTAAATGAATGAATGGCAAGTGGCGACCCGTAAAAATGGATAGATGAATTTAGAAAAAAAAACGGCAAAAAATGACACTGGATGTTGAAAATCAAAATGAGGGAAATCATACATGAGTTGATGTTCTACTTAATGGTCTTGCAACTTCAGGAGATGCTAGAAAATTATAATTTGAAGTCTTCGGTGTTTCAACTTCTTGAAGAGTTTCCATCACAGGAATCTTGTCACCCATTGAAATTCCATACATATCCGAAATTCCACCAGGTGTTGAAAGACCACTTCCAAATGATCCATATGAATGATCATATCGATTACAGATATATTCAGTTGTTGAACCATTCAAATATTTTGGATAAAGGCTTCCTGGCCCAAATGTTGAGGGTGGGCCTAAATAATCCAAATCTGGATTATTTTGAGGAATTGAAATGTAATCTTTTGTTGAAAGATGTACATTATCCACTGGACTTGAGCTATACATTTCTGGGAAATATTGACCATCCAAAGCTTCACACTTCACAGTAACATCAGATTGATCATCTGAAAAACATTTTTTAATAAGAATAGAACTAGATTTAGGGAAAGTCAAACTTACCAATGAATTTCGTCTTTTTCGATACACAACTATTTTTACAAATGAAGAAGCAGCAACATAATAAAATCAAGAATAATCCGGCACAAATAATTGCGAGAGCAACGCTATGATCGAATTTCACCATAAAATCTGAAATTTGTTTTTGATTATTTATTCATTTTCCTATTTTCTTTGTGAACTTACCGAATAGATCAACAAGGCTTCTTTTCTTCAAATAAGTTGATTTGCTATCTCCTCCCAATCCATTATTTGCAGAACAGTTGAAAATTCCGAAATCCTCCTCTTTCAAATCTTTAATTTTCAAAACGCTCTCCATTCCATAAGATTTTGTCTGTTGATAAACAGTAATTCTTCCATTGTTGAAATTGATCTCTCTTCCATTATGACTCCATTTGATATTATTCGTTGTTGGTCGACCACTAACTCCACAAATAATTTCAACAGATTCATCAAGTGAACTAATCATTTCCTCCCGCATTGTGACTGTAGATGGTCCACGGATATGTAAATAATGCGAAAGAGTAACTCGTTTGAAACCATCAACAGAAGCTGTACAATTATATGCTCCTTGTTGCCAAGAGCGAACACTTTCCAATGTCATATTTTCACCATGTGTGATAATTGTATCGCTATCAGCGCGAGTCCAGAAAATTGTGGCTTTTGGATTTGAAAGTGTTGCGCAATGGAAGAACGCGTCGTCAGCTTCATTCACCTCTTTATCTTGAGCAGTTGACATAATTCGAGGAGCAACTGAAAATTCAGGATTGTATTTTTTTGTTCACATTTATATTTTTCAGAAACTTACAAGCAACATTGAGTTTAATGCTTCCTCTTGTGGTTCCAATTTGATTTGTAGCTTCACAAAAATATTCTCGATTATGATCTTCCATTTTCAATGTTTCGAATGCCAAAGTATCTCCAGTTTCTCTCAATTTCTGATCTCCACGATACCAAGAAATCTTAACACCTTCTAATGGTTTTGCATCAACATTACAAGCCAGCAATGCTGATCCGTTTTCTCGAAGAGGTTGTTTTGACGCAACAGTTATATTAACTTGTGGTGCATAGGTTAGTGCAAGTTTGACAGTGTCAATCTCAACTTTGTTTGGGAATGTCATATGTTGACTAATGCATACCAAATATTTATTATCGTGTTGAGGTCGAGGAATGAATCTGGAAAAGTTTTCTTTTTTTTTTGTTATTTTTTTGCTTCTCGGTAGCCAAAACTCACGTTAAATTGCTCATAATACTATAAATATTAGTGTCTTCACGACTTGAATGACCTGTCACTTCGATTTGTGTAGTTTCGTTAACATGAGCAATTATTGTGTCTTGAGTAATCTCGGTGGTTTCTGCAAAAGAATTGTTCGTGAAATACAACTATGTAATATAAGATTCCGAAAAATTGAATGAAACTTACTGTAAACACCTCCAAATTTAGATTTTGATTCACCGAGCCAGGCAATAATGTTTTTCCCATTTTCATCAGATGAAATAGCCCAACCAATTGCCGGTGGCGGTTTTCCTTTTCTTGAAACGCAGGTTTGGGTTATTGTTTCACGAGCAATTGCATTGATTGTATGGTGGGTTTTTGTGATTTTTGGTGGTGTTGGGCGGACTGAAAAAAGTTTAGATTTGAAAAATCGTGTTTCAGGTTCAGTTAAGGTTAATAGGTTGAACTGAAAATTGAGAAACTAGAAAAATGATTTTTCAAATTTTTAATGAAACTGAGGCTCGAGAACTTGTTACGAACAGATTTACATCTAGAATTGCTAAATAATTTTTTTTACAGTAAACATTCTGAAACATTTTTGAACTATAATCAAATGTTTTTCATTTTTTTTTTAACCCTATCCTATCTATTTTTGAGCAATTTTTTTTTCTCAAATCTCATATTTTCCCTCAAAAACTTGTTGTTCTCGAAGATGATGACGACAATTGGCGGTTTTGTTTTTGACACCCATCTTATTTTTTATTATTACGATTATTATTATCCCGCGTTCGCGTTCTCTCATTTTCTCTTGAAAGCAGCTGCCAATTCATCCACCAAATACCAAACGACAAGATAAATTGGTGTTGACAGGCTGGTGGTTGTTGGTTGGGTGCACCCATTGCACAGCCACTTGAACGAGAACCGCCGAGACTAATTGGTTTTAAACGCGCGAAATAAATATATATCATCATCCTCATCATATTTATTTTAATATGGTGAGGATTGGTTAGCAGAAATTGGATTTTGCGTTTTGAAGTACTTACCCAAGACAGTTAATTTGGATTTTCCGGAAACAACTGCTTTTGCATTATCCGATTCGGAGATTTGGCAAGCAAAGTCGTCGTCGTCTCGAAGAGTAACATTTTCAATCTGAAATTTGGAACTTTGATATTTGCTCAAGATTTCACACAGAGAGGGGGACATTTTCTGACTGAATTTTAAGAAAAACAATTTTAGGTTACAGGTATATTTGAATAATTTTTAGGTCGACTTGAATACAAGCCCCCACTCCAGATATCTAGTTCCAAAATTTACCTGTAAATTATATTCCCCATTCGCCGAACTTCCAACCATTCGATATCTCTTGTTCCCTGGAAGTGGTTTATCCCTTTCAGTTCCCAAACCAAAATCATCTTTCATCCATTGAACGGGTCCTTGCTGAAAAAATAATATAATTTTTGTGATGTTCCCACTCCTCCGCAATCATTTTATTTTCCCGAATTCACAAACAAATGTAACCTCGTTTTTTTTGCTTTCTTCAATTTCTTCACAGCAAAAAAAAAAACTCATAAAATCCCGGATCTCATTTAGAACATCATTAAAACCACCTGGACCACAGAGGCATTTTTCGACTCATTTCAAATTCTTGTTTTTCCAGATTTTGATTTTCAATAAGAAAAAAAGCTAACCTGATTTTCAACACGGCATGTTAAAACTACAGTATCTCCGATAGAAGCCAGTGTATCTTTTGGTCCTTCAACGATTCTTTGTTGTTGGCACCAAGCCAGAGATAAGAATATAGTTGGCCAAAGCCAGCGCATTCTGATTGAAAATGTTCTGAAAAAAAATGAAAATTCATTTTTCAAAAAAAAAAAAAATAATAATAAGAGAGAAAGGAAAACATGAAATTATGTACAATCAAAGGAAATAAAAGAGTAGCGTAAGAAAATTCCCAGAAAAATGTAAATGATTTATTGTTTTTTCCTCAACACAAAATTTCCATTTTGTGTTGCTGTACCACCTATACATTTCGCCTCGTTTTTTGGTTGCCTCACTCATGTCAAAAGCCTTTTAGGGTCACGGATTATGTGTGAAAAAATCAAAAAAAAAGAATGGGGGGAAAACGATGTAGGAGAAGATTCAAGTGGTGACGAGAGGTCTTGGAAATCTGATTAAATTCGAATGCAAATATTTTGGTCGGAGCCGATGTACATGAGAAATGAAAAGAAGGAACTCACAATGTTTTGGCGGGAAATTTGATTTTCGAAAAAAAAGTTTTTTGTCGGCGAAGGGGTTCTTGGCAAACAAAATATGAACAGACAGGTGGAAAAAATATTTTCAGGTGTTCAGGATGGGTGTAAATAGGTGAAATGTCCCCAAGATCTCAAGGGACTTGATTTATTAAGGTCACATAATTTTAACAAATTTTTTATAAATTTATTCCGCGCAAATGGTATTTGGGTAAAGGTTCTCACTATAATTTTAAGCAAACACGTCTCAACGCAACTTGAAATCCCAACAAACAAAATATGAGATCTTCAAAATTCAAAGCTATTCATGATATTTTTAGAAACAATATTTTTGATCTACCAAAAAACGTTCCAATGTCTAGAAATTCAAGGTAGGCTATCACATAATTTGTGACTTCTGTCACCCTATTCTACGCTTCCCAGAAAAAAACACAAAGAGCAAGATGAGCGAAAAAAAACCTACTTTAATATTAAGCAACACGAAAAAAGTGGCATCAAAAAAAGCAGCGAAAAAAAAGAAGATCCATTTTTGGTTAGCCAAGCTCATTTGTACGCTAAACTTGTCAAACATGTTGCAAGTTTCCGAAAAAGTCGGGTTTTTGCAACAACACCAAAAAAAAACGAGTTACATAATTTTTCAAGATTTTCGAAATTGATAAACGTGAAAAAAGTGTTTTTTTCAAGAACTAAAAGAATACAATGAACATCCGGAAGGGTGTTGGGGGATAAAACATGAGTTTAGTGCATACGAAGTAAAGTTGTCGTAAATATATGCTAATGAGGTGTAAAGTACTACATATGCATGTTTGTGTTGACAAAAAGACAAATTGGTCATTTGGGGGCTCTTCTCATATTTTTTCCAGATCTTACTTTTAAAAAACATGAGGAGGGAATGAAAAAAAAAATAAACAGGCAAGCAAAAAAAATAAAAATATGTTCTTATTATGTAATTGAGGAGGTCGATAGTCTTACGGTTGACTTATTTGTGACTACGGTAATTAGCGAGCCCAAAACCAGGGAGAAAAAAGGAGAAAGGATGGAAAGATTTGATGAATTGGGCGTGACATGGTGGAAAACATAAGTAGGAAGATCAAAATATTATAACGAAGCTTGACACAATTAGTTCATATTAATCATTGTGAGCTGCTGAGAAGCGAAAGAAGAAGAAGAAGAGAAAATATGAGCTTTGGAAATATTTTGAAAGGAGAAAGAGATTAGAGATATGTATTTGTGTTTGTATAGATGTGAAGTTTGTATAAAATATTGTGGTTTCCCGAATGAAAACATTGAATTTCTAAATTGTTTCCGAGGATTGTGGATCATGGAGTTTCTAGAAAATTTAAGCGCTGGGTGGGCACAGGGATTTGAAGGTTGACAACCACTGCCACTAAACTAACTTTTGAACCAGTTCATGTTCTAGTATCCGGGAGGTCTAAAAAACAATTTTCCCTTTTGCAAAACCTAAAAAACTACCCAAACCTCAAGTGCTCTTCAGCTCAACAAAATTAAAAAATGCCTAGGTTTTTCCTCATCTCACTGAACCTCACATTCAGATTGGAAAAAAATATATATTTGTCAACTTTTCCCAAACAGAACAACAAAAATAATTGGCGGGTTCACACCAATGACCTAATGAGGATGAGGGAAGGGATGCTCTTGAGGAACATGTTATAATTCACTTTGACATTTTTCCACTAACTAACTGCTTAACTAACTAAATCACTAACAAAGTTGCGCAAGATGAGTTAATTTATGAAAGATTTGACGAGGAATTCTTGTTTTGTTTCTTTTTTTTTTTGGGGAACTAGAAGAAGAAGAAGAATGAAAAGTCAAAGACAAAAAAGCAGACAACACAAAAAAATGCTATAGATAAATTCGGTTTGTGTATCATAATCTTGTTTTCAATGAGCAAGAAGGAAAAAAGGAGAAAGGAATTGAAGGCAAAAAAAACATACGGATGCCTTTAAGACACACATGGCGAAAATAACACTTTACGTTAGTCGACATGGAAATAATGATGATTTTTGGGGGAGGGCTGACATTTTGGGTTACGGTTAATCGATAGGATGCAGTTTTTAGGGGCTTTAAGTTTTTGCACGTTTCAAGGAAAAGAAGTTCCAAAAATGTTCACACTTTTGTGACTCATTTCTCAAGGGGAAACGTGTTTTTTCAAATGTTTGAAACTTTAACCGAGCAGTAGAACAAAAAATTAAAAATTGAAAAATCATCTCAGGATTTCAACAAAATTGAACGAAAATTCAAAATAAAAATTACTAATTTTCTATGTATGTATTTCTAAAAAGGGTAAACTTGGATTTAAAAATTAAAGGCGCTTGGTTTCTTTTTTTTTCAGAAGCATATTATCACAATTTTTCGAAAGTTCACGTTACTAATTATTATTTTCAAAACAATATTTCTCAAAATTACAACCTTTAACAAAAAAAAACTCACAAAAATTGCTATTCACTCAAAAAACATAAATATTCTCTTACAACTGCTAGCTAGCTAAAAAAAATCAAAAATCTATGTAAGTAATCGAATATCATTGTCAATCAAAAAAAAAAGAAAACGAAACTCTTGGTGAGGTCAAAAGTGCGTCGAGTAGGTAAAACTTTGTGTTCTTTCTTTCTACCAGGCGATCATCTCGGAAGGGGAGAAAAGCAAGAACAACTGTTCGCTTCATAGAAGAAACCTTTTGGATCTTTTTGTGTTGTAATTATGAGAATATGTATTGGTTGGTTATTCACCCAATCTTTTCTTTTCTTCAAAGTGGATCTATTTTGTTTTGGTTTTCTTCTTCTTATCTTAATGTGAGAAAAACACCAATCCAAATTGAAATTTAAAAAGAGATAAGGAAAAAACGGATGAAAAAAACTTGATGGGTGGCCGTGGATTACTGTGGATAATTTATTTATTTTTCCAAAGTTTTTGTGAGATAGGCAAAGAGCTAGGCTGAGGTGTGAATTGACACATGTTGTTTCGAGTGATTTGTTAGAGTAGAATTATTCGAAAAACAAGTGGCTTGCAAGTTCCAAAAACTATTTTTTTTATTATGGGGTTTTTCCTTTTGATAATGAGCATCAAAAAAAAAATAAAAAAGATCATAAAAATGTAATTTATAGAAGCATCATCCAAAAAACCTCTGGCATGGAGGGTTTCTGTGAAAATGAAGAGTTTCAGAAAAAGGTATACCTTAAAATCTTCTTTTTTTTCTTAAAAACCCCTGAAAACGTAAAGGGCAAAAAGTTTTTTGATAAAAATGCAAAAAAGTGTGTGTATGTATGTGTATGTATCTGGTGTTAGTCGAGGCGAAATAAATGACATATGAATGTGTCCCGAAGGGATTTTTGTTGCTCGTAAGAAAATTTTTTTCTTCCTCCGAGAATATTTCAAAAAAAAATTCGTGCCTGGAACAAGGCTAAAATTTTGAAGAAAAAAAAAAATAATAATAATGAACAAGAAAAGAACCCGAGATGAATTATTCAATTTTTTCGTGTTTGTGAAAAAAATGTTTGCTGGGACGCGGAATTTTCGGAGATTTTTTAGGAAGATACATTTTTTTTGCTCTTTCAGAATTGTTTTTTTTGTGAAATCGAGCAAAAAAAAAAGAAAAAAGAAAAAATAGAAAACACTTGAAAAAGGTATAGAATTGATAATTTTTCGTGAGGGAAGAAATGGATCTCGGCAGATTTTTTGGAAGAGGGTGTCTTTTGAATATTCTAGTAGGTGCCGTAAAATTAGCCGGCGACCGAATAGATGACACGTTTCATTTCGTTCTGGTGAATTTTATACAATTTGATTGACACATTTATGTTCAAAGAGATTGAGAAAAATGGCTTGAAGGAAGTGAAAAATTAGAACTGGTGCTCTTGAATCTAAAAACCTACAGTAGCCTTCGAGAAAAAAGTAAAGTGAACAAAAAATGCCGGAGGATTCACCAGTACAGTGAAAATTATTTTCAAAAATTATTGGTGTTCCACATTTATGAATCTGATCTTTGACTTTCATCCAGATCCAATCGGTTAAAATAAAATGGCTAAATTTTGAGATCATGAGAATTAAACTTGGAAAAGGATCGGAAACATCAAGGTTCTAGACTTGACCATTTCAAAAAAGAGCCCAATTTCCTGAGTCTAGCTCTAAAAGTTTGCACTGAAATCAACTACGAATTTCAGTTCCTGAATATTTAGTCCAATTCAAGAATTTCCAAAAAAAGTGCCAAGAGTCTTCAAGTCACCTCAAGCAGAAAGAAACAAAGCAATTCATCAAAATCGCGAAAACCAAAAATAAGAACAACACAATAAAAAGAAAGAAGGAGGAATAATAATTCGAAACTTGTCCAATTACCAACTCTTTTACTCATTCTTTCATCTTCTTCTTCTTCTTCTTATTCTTCTTCCAGTGCACAAAAATTTGAATAAAATAGTAGTAAAGTGTAGAAGAAGAATAAAGAAAAACGGGAAAGAAAAAAGGCGGAGTAAGTGAGGATAGGATAAAAAAAGAAGAAGAAGAAGAAAAGTTGACGAAAAGCCGGCGATTGAGTTTTGTTTCGACAATGGACAACAACATCCCCGGGAGAGTAAGTATATAACATCTCTCTTTTTTCTGTTGCTCGACAATTGAAAATATAGGTTCAAAGTGGATTACCTATATATGGATATTTTTCATATTATAAAAAGTAGTTATTATTATCCGTATAGCGAGATGGGATAAATAAGAATGCAATATGTATTGAAATAAACTAGCGTTATTAAATAGATTTTCGAAAATATTTTCGTACAAGTAGGTAACGTTTTTTGTTTGGTTTGGAGAAGCTCTGTGAAAACAAGATTTTCAAGTTCAAAATTCAGATAATGTATTTAGAAAAGATCAAAAACTGCAAGTAATGAATCAAGTTTAGAAAAAAACAATACTGAATATGAGTCAACATTTCAAAATAAAAAAAAGTGTATATAGCCAGGCTCAAAAACTAATCCCAATCCAAAATTCTAATTAAAAATGTTTCTGAAACATTTTTTTTGACAATGTGAGTCAACACTTCCCAATAACAAAAATGAAAAAGATTCTAGCCAACTTCAGAAATTAAACTCAATCTAGAATCCAAAGCTTCATCACTGACTACATAAACCAAACAATTTTATAATACGGAAAAAAATCGAGATATACCAAGATAGATAAATAAGAATAAAAGGGTGTGTGTGGGTAGGTTTCAAGAGTGTTTTTCGGTTGGTACCTCATACTTATACAAACATCCACATCTCTTTCCTTACCTTGATGACAAAAACCACCCAAAGAGACGAGGCAAAAAAAACAAAACAAAGAAGGCACAGTTGGGTGCCGCTCGGCTTTTCTCACTGGTATTTAGAAGATCATCAACGAAAATTATAATAATATTAATGTTATTAATTAGATGGGAAGGGCGTTTGGCGGAAAAATATTTGGAAATAAAGAATTTCCAAAAAAAAGCACAACTACTAGTAATACTATCTATCTATTTACAACAATAACAATAGAGAGAATTGAAAGGATGAATAGCCAAATTTTGTTGGGATGTTCTTATTTTTTGAAAAAAAAAAGGAAGAGAGGGAAGATTGTAATAGAGTTTGATTTGCAATAAAAGTGACTGGACTATTTCTGGAAAAATATCTGGTTTTTGATGGCTATCTTGAAGATCACAAGTTCTACTTTTGTCAAAACTAAAACCAATCATAGATTTTCGCACTCAAGAATAATTTGAGTGATCGTTTCTCACAATGTTCAAGTTCGTAAAATTTTCAGAGAACAGATTAGAGTGTTGAATGGGAATATCAGGCTTGTAGACTGAGCTCTCAATAATTTTCAGAAGTTGAAAGAACATCCGAAAACAATAATTGAAAGAAAACCATTGAGAGGTCAAAATATTTTAAAATGAGTTATGACATGGCAAAATTACCATTGTGGCTAAAAATAGACCTTGTCAGTGCTCTAATGATTTTCAGAGAAATTGGTTTCCCAAGGATGATCTAGTAAGGAGCTTCTAATTGTAAGTGTGATATCACAATTTTGAACAATTTCCTATTTTCCAAATATCAAGTTCTTTTCAGTCAAATTATGAGTTTAAAAAACTGGAATTCAAATTGAAAAATGTGATGAGACAAGCTTCCTAGAATTAAAGTAGAATTATAAATAAACAATTTATAAAAAGCCATCAACTACCGCACTCAAAAGTGGTAATCTATCCAATCGAACATTTGAAGAGGGTCAAAAAGTTGGTGGTGGGAGAGTGGTATTATTCTTCTTTTTTTGTATATTGTTTAGGCTCCTCTATCCACCCATTACTCATTTGTCTTATTTACAAATATACTACTCACTAATTGTCGAACAATAGAATGCGTAAATGGACAGACAGGTAGTAAGATGATGGTATTGTTTTGTTTTTGGGTGAAAAACGACTTGTTGTATTATATTAGGAAAGAAGAAGAGAGAAGGGCACCAATGAGTATTTTTTGTTTGTAAAGCAACAATGATAGCCACTTAATGGTGTATTATGTTAAATAAATGTTTTTAGAAAAAGATGGGACAAAAATATGAAAATGACGGGATCACACCCTTTTAGTCTTATAATAAAACAGCAACGAAAAAACACCCAAATATTAGAGAGAGAGAGAGTGCATGACATGCAATTTTTATCCATAGGGCGCACTTCCATTTTTACTTTTATTTTATTGTTTTTGTTTTTCGGAAATTTTTCGTTCACGTATTTTTTTTTGAAAGGAAAACTCAAAATTCAAAATATGAGCTTACAATTTATAGAGAAAAAACGGCCAAAATTGTTTTTTATTTGATAGTCTTCTGGAATACGTGTTTCTAAATTTTGTCATAAATATAAAAAATTTTGAATATTTTTCAAATGAATTTTTCAAAACGATCTATAGTTTCAAAATGAGAGTATAGAGCAGCTAATAAAAAATGCAAAATTCGAGTTTCCTTTTCGTTACATTTCATTGCACTATCCGAAAATGGATATCGGTGAGAGAACGGCTCAATTACAATTGAGTATATATGTATGTATAAACACACGTTTGGATTACATATACATAGTAAATATTAAGAATATTTGATCAAGGAAAAGTACAACCCAAATTTGTTTTTGGAAAAACTATAAAGGTGTTGGATTTCGGTTGGTTGAATAAAACTCGGCGGGTGGTATCTACCGAAAAAGGCTTCAAAACAATACGAATTAATTCCGGTCATATATACATATGTAGTATGTATGTATAAAAAAACAACACACACAATTCTAATTGTGAGCAGAAAAAAAAAGAGACAAGTCGAGGCATCTGGCAATATTGCGTAAGATAAACTTAGAGTATCATAGTTTATGATAAAGAAGGACAATTTATAATTTATTGTCTTGGGATAATTGTTGTTTCTCTTTTGGAGCAATAAGATAAGGCGGGCTCTTTCTCTACTACAAAAATACTCTTGGGTGAAATGAAATGAATAACATACAATAAAATAAAATGAAACGAGCATTGAATTGAATTTGATGAGGCCAATTTGTCACAGACGATTAAAGAAAAAGGAAGTGCATAAATCCCAAACAAAAACAACAATTGGATGGGCATGTGTGGTAGTGGTTCGTGGAAATCTATTAGTAGAAATAAGAGGATGAGCACAGAAAATGAGCACGGAAGCAAAAGATACTTGAAATTTGTCGAACAGACGGCTGATTACGCAACCTGTTTATGGCGGGGTTTAAAAATGGTGTGAGGATTAGGGGGAATTGTGTTGACAGGTTTTCGGGTGACAGTGAACTATGGATTCGGGAATCGCTTTTTGTTTTGATTTCAAATGATTGATAGGGGATTTGAACGGCCAATTTGCTTGCTTTTGATCTTTTTATGGATGGTTCCGGTGGGATGGGGTAGATTTTTTAGAAAATAATAAAGAATATAGATATATACATAGATTTATAGGGAGAATTGTTTAGTTTTTAGAGTTAAGGTTGAGAAAAAAAATACAAAAATTATCAGAGTTGAAACCTTTTTTTTACTTTTCAGAATTAATTTCTAAAGTTTTCAAAAAAATCCTATTCAATTTTCTAATTCAAACAATAATTGTGAATGTTAAACCTTTTCACATTCTATGACAAGAAATATTCAGATAATCGGATTTACCACATGAATGATGTTCAAGGTTCAGAATGTGTCAAATCTCAAAAACAAAAAAGATTCTCCTGAATTATTACTGAATTATTTTCAAATTACTTTACATCTAATTTCCTAACCGGAAAAATCAAAACAATTGAACAACACAGCTACCAAAACATCTGAATAAAAAAGCAGGGTTAATTGTTTTTCCTCATCGACCACCCAGCCTGCTAATTATCATCATATCCCCCACCAACCACAAAGAAACCGACCACCCAGAAGATTAATATCCCGGAACAGGTGTTTTTTAATGAAATAAAAAAACAAATAAACGATTGAACGAACGAACGAACGAAAAAAAATCATCGGAATTTTTATGCACCGATCATCATGTGTAGATGGCAAAAAGAGAATGAAAAAAATAAAAAATAAGTCATGTTTGAAACTCATCGGAGAAAAAAAATGGGGGACAATTTAACAAATTATGGCAATTGATGTGAGAAATTGTGGGGGCAAATTGCGAATAAAACTAACTGAAAAAGGGGAAAATGAGAAAGGCACAGAAAAAGATTCGTTTTGGAGCAAATTTAAGATGCAATGTAGTGAAAGAATAAATGTTGAGTGGGGGGGATTAAAAAATGAAAGTGAGTATTTGAAAAAAAAACAAGACTAAAACAATAGAAAATATTTTTTAAATTATTAATTTAGGTTTCTGATAACATATCGCCGACAAATCCACTTAAGCTCTTGCTCATTTTTAAGTTTTGCATATTTTGACCAGAGTTTACACGTTCATCAATTTCCTTGAATATCTGAAAAACATGGAATGTTGTTTGCAATATTTTTTATTGTTAGAACTAACCTGTGAAAAACATTTCTTTGATTTTGCTGATTCTCCGTTATACGGTCTCATGAGCGGTTCAATATTCCGGAAAAGATCAGCGCCAGTCATTTGATCAGCTGGTAATTTTGTGAGGAATTCAACGCAATCATCAAAATCCATGGCTAGAAGTTTTGATTCATACATTTTCAAGATTCCTAGTGCAGTTTTGAACAGAAATTCTTCGCCATCTCGAAAATAAACATCCCAAATCCGGCAAGTTATATCCAATGGCAAAGACTTGGCAAAAATGGCAAAAGTCCATTCAATCAAATATAAATCAGGTCGAACATCGAGTTTGTCCAAATGTCGGTGGAGAGAAGGTAATTCTTGTTCTAAATATCTATCATAAGCTATGAAATATTCCGTCATTTGTGGTTGTTTGAGGCCGAAAAATGCAGATTGAAGAGGTCTTTCGAGGAGATTTGCAAATGCTATAAAAGCTGGATATGGCTCGAGTTGAAGAAGTAGAACAGATGCGATGAATGTCATTGATTGAACATATCCGATATGTGGACGGAATAATGAATATGCTCCTGGAAAATTTCAAATTGTTTGTGATGAAGAATGTGTCAAGGAATACTGTGTTTCACAAAGATTTTTCGAAAAAAAAATCAGTCCAGGTAATTTTTTTCTTAATTTGCAGTCTGAATTTTTCAGCTCCAAAACTTATTTATTTCGAAATCACAATTTCAAACTATAAGTTCCCCTGAATATTCAAAAAAGTTTTTTGTTCATACAGCTCTGCACTTTCTGCTTAATTAGCATAAATTTTCAAAAACTCAAAAAAACTGTTAGCTAAAAATAATTACCATCAGAAAAATTCCCCTGAATCCAAAACTCAAAAATCTTACCTAACAACTTCAGAAGATGCTCATAATATGGTCCATCTTTTTGAAATATTCCCAAAGTTGAGAAAGTTCTTGTCGCATCCAAGCTGATATCTTCAAGCTTTGATTTATCCATCACAGCTTGTTCAATCAATGTTTCATATAACTCTTGTGTGATTTCAATCTCATTTCCAATTGTCAGCGACCAAACTTTTCCACGAACTTTTGCCGGTATTCCTTGCCACCATAATTCGCGGCAACGTTTTGAATCTCGCCTAAAATTTGTGTGTTGAATTGAAGAGAGAGGTTAGAGAAAAAAAGCGTTCTCTCTCGCTAGTTGAAAAACGAGAGAAGAGAAATATCTTCAACATTGCTGCAGGGAGAAATGTCTGCCTTATTGGCTCAGTGGCAGAGCGTCTGTCTAGTAAACAGAAGGTCGCTGGTTCGATTCCAGCATAAGGCACCGAAAATTTTTTGCAATTTTTTCTCTTAAAAAAAAACTTACATCTCATCCCATTTTGGAAGTATCTGCTCGGTCCAAACGCGACAAGCCGCTGCAGCTTGTTCTTCCAGCCGTTTTCTTTCAATATTCGCTTGCTGTCTCTCTTTTTCAGCACGGATTTCTTTCTTTTTTGCTTGTTCCAGAATATTCAGATACATTTGTTTGTGTTGAGCTGCTTCTTCTGCATTTTTGCTCGGCAATCCGCTAGGTCTTTCTTCCAATATCAAGCCAGTTACAAGATGTTTGGGATTGTGATTGTTGTTATGGTTTTTGCTGCCAAACATTCGCCAACCATTTTTCTGCTCGTCTTTTTCTTTGCGGGAGAATAGATTTCTGAAAGATTTTTTGATGAGTAAGGGACTTCATGGTTTTTCTCTGAGAAGGGAATATTTTCCAGAATTTGATAAAAATTTGAGAAAATTGTTTCAGTCGCCAGATATATTAAATTTTGTTGGCCCAAAATGGATTTTTTGAAATTTGGAGCTCTATAATTTTCAGTGTTCTAATCTCATTTTGTTACTGGAAAATTTTTGAGGCTTTAAAGTCAGTTCCCTCATACTTTCTTTCCCCTTTTCATGTATGTTCTTTCATTCATCCTGAAAGATCTTTCAAATAGATAAGTTAACCCAACTCACTTGGGGAAATTGAAAAACCTCGACTTTGTTGTGGTGGTCACTGAACTATCGGATGTGTTTGCAGAAACAGAATCAGCCGATGTTCCAGGCTCATCAAAATCCGACAATTCGCTTTGACGATCCAACGAATTTGGTTTAGAATTTGAATCACAAAAAACTCCAGAATCCGAACAATGTTGATCTTGTGAACTTGACGAACTCGATGAACAATCAGCACGTGCACTCATTGAAGAAGAACAGAATGATTCATCAAAGCACCTGCAAAAACGAACATTTGAATTATGTATAAAAATTTGTACAAGGAATAAATGAGGAAGGAAAGGGGGGAAAATAAAACGCCAACCAAACACTTTTCGTTTTTCTTCTTCTTTCTTTTTTTTTTCTGCCTGCCGGCTAATATAGATATATAAATATATAACTGGTTTTTCTCTTGCCAAATGGCTGGCTACGAATTTGTTCTACAGTGATTTTTTGTGGTTTGAGGAACATTTATTTATATGTAGAAAGCAACAGAAAAGAAAAAATAATATTTTCAGATGAGTCAAATGTTGTTTTTTCGGGGAGAAAGAGAGAGGGGAACAGCTGAATTACGTTGACGTCAAGCTGAATATCTCCAGGAAAAAAAATAATGGGAAAATATAAAAATTGCCATGAGAACTACTTTTTTAATGTGGTTTTTGATTAGCGAAATAAAAGTATATCAACCTTCGAGAATAGTGTGGTTTTTGCAAGGAAAAATAGGTTAAAGGAAAATTGAAATGAAATCGGAGATTTGAAGTTTATTTTAAAAAACAAAGCGCCTTTTAAATATTTGTATAAAAACTGTTCACATTCAATTTTCAATAAATCGATAAAAAAGGCTGGAGAGAAGTAAGGACAAATTAAATTTGATTAGAACAAATTTACTAACAAAATGACTTGGGTTTTAAAAATTAATGAAACTTCGGAACTTATTGAAAAAATGAGGTCTGAGGTTCTTTTTAGGTCTTCACAGGATGTTTTGTTTTTCAGCTTAACCAAGGTTGCTTTTTGAATTTCCAATTTTCAACAATAATATATAATCAAACTTCCTTCCCTCATTTGCATTGTTCTAATCACTATTTAACATGAAATAAAATAATAATCTCGAAGCGTGATCTACTTGAAACAACAATAACACTAACGCGCTTTCTATTCATCTTATTGTGTTCATATATTTGCATAAAAATATTGTCTATTTGTTGTACAGATGTATATGCTCATATCACACGCATCAATGTTTTCCCAAAACTCACTGTGTTGATGCAAGTGCCGGTGTTCCATTTGCCGTCGTAATTCGACGTGCAAAATTCAGTTGAATTTGTGCCGATTCGTATGAACTCCTTCGAATATGACCACGTCGAAATTTGTTGTTCTCTGAAATAAAACATCCCTCGTTTTGTTTTTTTTTGTCTTTACTATCAACAACCCAACACAACAAAGAGAGAATGCTTGTTGTAAACAATTTCACACATGTTTTATGATCTACATTCATTTTCCATTAGTCGGGGGGAGAAAAATCGTGATTTATTGTTATTATTTTTGAGATGTCTTTATTATAAACAAAAACTTTTTTTTGTTTCTTGGTTTATGGTGAACATTTGAAATTTGATATGTTATCACAACATGTGTGAGGTCTGGTAGCCAAAACATTGTAAAATTTGACCTCTCCAAGTCTACTGTATGTGTGGAAATTTTGTTTGGTTTATTGCTTGAAATTTGATATGGGATTAGGAGTTATAACAACATGTGGTGATCTGGTAGCCAAAACATTGTAAAAAGTGACCCTTCAAAGTCTACTGTATGTGTGTGGCAGAAAAAATATTTTATGATTCAAACTCGGATTTTTGAATTATGAACATTAGAAGATTCAAAACTTTTAGAAAAGCCGAATTTCTGAAACCGAAATTCACAGTAGAACAATTTGGAAGCATAAAAATCTCTGAACAAGAATTTTACTATATGAATTAATCCTCAGAACTGACGTATTTAGTCCCAAAATTTTGATAGTTGAAAATATTTCCCGATATGAATTCAACAACAAAATTGGTCCGCTGGGATATAAAAATTTCCTCGAATTCAACTGTTTTAAAAATTTTGTAACCTATTGATATTTATTTTGAAAGCCCTAAAATCACCCCAGAAAAAACTCACCAATTTGCGGCGATCCACTTCCTTCGGTCCCCAAAGACGGTGTTCGATCCAAGCTTTTTGTATCCGTATTATAAGTGAGCGGCAGATTCTCGACTACTGTAGCCAGAGAACTGCTCTGCGAGCAATTTCTTCCCGCCAGTTTTATTTAGTGTCTGAAAATGGAAGAAATGCGAATAAGAAGTTTATTTATTTACATAAATTTATATTAAAGAGGGAAATAGATGGAAAAAAAAAACGAAAGAGAAAGAAATATGTCTTAATGAGAGAAAGAAAAATGAAATAAATGATCATAGTTCTTAAAGGCTTTGAAAAGTTATTTAGAAACAGTAAAATAAATATAAACATTTTTTTCTTGAACATGTGATTTAGGAGAAATCAAATTAAATCAACAGCAAATTCCGATGACTCAGAGCAAGAAGAGGAGAAAAAAGAAGAGATTTTTGAGAAGAAAATGTTTATTTTTTCATTTGGAGACAAATGGGCGGAGTTTTGAGAGGGGTCAAGTACAAAAATGTGGTGGTTTATAATTCCAGATGTTAGATTCTCCAAGATTTGAGGTGTCTGGCTGGTGTTATTTTCCGATAAACAAATGTGAGAAAAAAAAAATGAGAGTACTGTAATTTTGGGTGCTAAAATTTCAATGTGCGAACGAATCTGTTGATCATTGATCAGAAGAATATAAAAAAGCAGAGATTTTTGAGCATAATTAATGGTTGAGTTTTCGGTAAACAATCAAATTATCGCGCGTTCTCAAAATTTCAAATAGCAAAAAATTTGGGCACGTGAAAAGATGAAAGAAAAAATTTTGGAAAATTATTAACGCATGGGTGGTCCGAATTCTATTAATCTGCCCTATCATTTTTGAAAAGAAACAATGGACAAAACAACAGAAAAAAACGCGAGAAAGATAGAAGTGACAAATTTGATAAGAAGGCGCAAAATATTTCATCTTATTTTATTCTTCATCTTGATGACAGAATCAAATTTATTATCATTAAAAAGAATTTGCAAAAAAGAATAAAAATTAAATCATATTCATATCGCTTCTTGACGCAACAAACAAACAAAAGATGCGCAAGCAAAAACGAAACAACGAAAAAAAGGCCAAAAAATCGATATAGTGACCAGTGTTGTTGTGTTTGGACCGACGGACGAAGCAGCGCAAGAGGAGAGAAAAAAGGAGATGAGAGATTTAGAGAAATGAGAGATGAAAGAGATGGACTACTGCGGTTTGGTTTGAAAAATGATGAAGCAATCAAAAACAAATGTTTTGGAAATGAGCCAGAAGGAATTTTTCGAAATGATGGGAAAAACAGATGAAAAATAAAAATAAGAGATACATACACATATTTTATAATGATGATAATATGTTATATAATAGCAATTGTTCTTCATGGGTCATTTGATGAATTAAATGAGATATACAAATGGCGCTGGGAGTCGATTTTTGAACCGAAAATGAATCTTTGTATTAGAGATTTCGGCTTTGCTTCAATTGGGGAGTCTACATCACAAAATGTTTTTTTCGGCTCATAGAAACTTATAGGAAGATCTGCTCACATTATTCCAAAGCTTTGAAAGTAAATTAAAAAGTTCATTTCCAGAAATTCATAGATTTCGATTCCAAGTTCTTGTTCCAAAAAAAAAACACTGGGTATGATTATAATTCATTTTCACAATGGAAGTTCAGAAAAATATATTCAAAAAGTTCTTCTGAATCCTGTTTCTGGAAATCAAAAATTCTGAAATAATGAACAGGAAAACAGTATTCAAACTGGTAAAAATACCAGACAGGCGCCAAAGAATTTTGAAAATAGCTCAAAATTGTTACAACATTCAAAAAACCAAACTCTGATCCCATTCTTTCATACCAGAGTTATTTTTGTTTGCCTTGAGAACATCAAATTGAAAATCCTAAATTTTGAATTATAATTGTTCACTTATCAAATGTTCTATTTATTTCTGAACACATATACACTCCATCAAAGTTTTTTTTTTTAAAATGAATGATGCTTTGAAATATGATGTTTTCAAAACACATGGGAACTCTTTTTTTTCTTGAAAATAAATTAATTTGAAAAGGAAATCGAATTTTTAAATTAAAATATTTCAAAAGCAACTAATATGCCAAAGTGAATTGAAATAAAATCATCCGCCTAGTTCCCAATAAGGGCAAAAAAATAAAAACTTTGGGTTTTTTCAATTATATAAAAGCTGTGGATTTTGTAATGTTGTATCTTGGCTCAAAACATCATATACATTGATATATTCCTATGTTTTTCAAGTGACCCCTTTTCAAATTCTCATGAATTCAAAATTAAAGAGACAATCTTTAAAATTAATAAAGAATGTTTCAAAGTTGCAATAACTCCAACATTTTAGTAGTATTTATAACTGTATTCATTCATTCATTTATTTACGATGAAAATATACCGTTAGAGAAAATAAATTTCAAAAAACGACATGAAATTAAATAAAAATAATCTTATTATGAATCAGCAACTTTTTTTGGTCAAAATTTGTAAATCTGGAAAGTTTACCAGTTTTAAAAATTCTTTTTTTTCGACCCAAAATGCATGATTTCAGTCTGAAATTTATATTATATCCTTTCTTGAGCCTTTTCATGATTACTTTCTTCAACATATACTCTTTTTCTGATCAAATTTTTTTGTCCCGGAATTCACAAATAACGTCTTTCTTCCCAAATCTGTAATTTTTATTCCTATTGTATTTTTCATCTGTTTTTTTTTTCGATTCATATGTTTGACATAAATAAACATAATTTATTGCACACTTTGAAAAATAAATAATAAAAAAATTTTGAAAAAATAAAGTACCGAGAAAGTGGAAGAAATAATAAAAATTAAAAGAAAACAAAAATTGAGAAAAAAAGTTTGGATTTTTTGAAAAATGTTTGAAACATAAAAAATTTGAACTTTCAAATACAATCAGAAAAAATCGCGGAAAATACACACGTAAAAATTGAAAGCCCGTAAGTGGTTGTGTGTAAATAATTGGGAGAAATAATTACAATTATGAACCAGTCATTTGAATGGTGAACAGAAATTTCAAAATTTCAAAAGAGAAAAATGATGTCAAGATTAGAGAAAAATGTTACAAAACGATTAGGAAAGGTATCCCAATTGTTTGAATATTGCTACTTGTTGTTCCAATATATCATTCTTCTCTTTATACAATTTGTTTTCAGCTTCCAATGAATTGACCTTTTCAGCATGATATGTGGCAAGGCGATTCAAATCCAATAAACTTTGCAACGCCAATAATTGATCCTGTGGTTGAATTTGTGGAGCTTGATTTTCAAATCCATTCAACAAGCTGAAGACAGATGGTTGAGCAGCAAGTTGATTTCTTGAACTGCTTTGTACAGTTGTCTTTACTGTGTTATTCTGTGGTTGAGTTGTCATTGTGGTGTCGCGATTTTGAACAAGTTCCAATTGAGCATTGAAGTATCTGAAACAAAATGTTTTTTTTGAAAAATTGCAAAGTTTCAAGTAGTTTTTCGTAGTTGTTCTCAATAAATGCCATTGAAAAATCATTCGAAAAATGCACTAATTAGCCTCATTTGTTTCGCTTTTGAAACAAAAACTTACGTATTGAGAACGCCGAAAACAGTGAAGAGTGCAGAAGTTCCAAAATTGTGTGTGAGCATTTGGAAATTGGTCATTTTTGCTTCAACTTCTGAACTCGTTAAAACATCCATCAATTCATTAATCAATTTTCTAGCTGTCTTCAATTCTTCCTCTCGAGTTTTCCGATTTTTCTCGCTATTCACATCAATATTTTTGCTCAAAGAAACGGCAGCCAAATCATTTGCCGGAAATTCGTTATTGCAAAGAAAATCAAAATCTTTCGCAAGATGTTCCGCTTCACCCTCAATCATGGAAGTGAATAAAGTGATTTGATTCAATTTTCGTTTTCCAGCCGGCAAAGCCAATCCATAATCTTCAAGTGCTGCACGAAGCTCTTTTCCACCGTTTTTTGATTTTGCTCTTCTCAACATTGCTCCAATAATTGATGCATTCAAATTCTCTGGTGGACTCAATCGACGTTGGAGCTGTAAATAATTTTTTTTTCTATGTGAACCTATATAAGTGATGACTCAAAATACTCATAAAATATATTGAATCATCAAACGAAAAACCCGCAACAAAAATTACCTCAGCTACAGTTACTTTATATTTGTTAGATGACGTCAATACAGATAATCTTCCTGGAACAGTTGTAAATACATCATCCGGTTTTATCAAATGAACCGGCTTCATAAGCCTTGCAATTGGTGCAGAAATTTCCGACTCATCTAAATCTTCATCTTCTTCTTTGATACGTTTCAATTGAGAATCCAAATCTGATTGTGAAGCTGGTCGTTTATTAGCACCACTTTGAACACTCGAACATGATGGACTTTGAATTGCAGACGTTGAGCTCATTGAATCAGTCGGACTTAGGCAAGAATCTGTCTCAACTTTTATTGGAGCAGAAAGTGTTGTTGTTGTGTGAATAGGTTGAGCATTCCCATTTTGTTGAAGAAGGGATGATATTTGATTGATAATTTCACCATTCATAAGACAAGGCAAGATTTGGTTTAATGAATGATCTTGCATTATTTTTTCTGGAAAAAAAGAGAGAATATTTATTTATCAAGAATAAAAAATTGAAAAAAAATCAGTGAATACTGAAAAAGCATAAAAAATAATGTGAAGCAAGAAAATACGAAACAAAAAAAACTGAATGTCTTTTTTATACAATTGTAAAACCTAGACTAGCCCACCAAAAAGAAAAAGAACGCGTCGCTTTTTTTATGCGCGCGCACACACTGTTTTTTTTTGCCTGTGTGGCTTGGTTAGAGGGGGGACGCATCTGAGAGGTCAGCTCAAAGCAACGGTGCAAAGGGGGCAAATCAATGGTGTGGGTGGGAGAAAAAAAAGGGAAAAGGGGGAAAAAGGGGGTGGCGTAACCATATGTCATCAAAAAAATGCATATATTTTTTTGGTGCTGTCGACTGTATGCAATTAGAAAAAAGAGAAGACAAATGGAATAAAATAAGGGAAATGAGAAAACGCTTCGGTTTTATTTAATGGCGGGGGGTCTCGCGGAAAAAAACCAACAATTTAATTTTATTTGAAATGAGCTAAATCTGTAGGTTTTCGTGAGGCTCCAAAAATGACAAAAATATTTTACTCACGTCAAATTTATAACAACCAGATTTTGTCACCTTGGTGCGAACTATTTACGTCAATGATGAAAATGTTTATTCTTTTCTGAATGTGTGATAAAAAAAGGAGATCAAGATTTTAAAAAATAGGTACTAGACAGATTCAGAAAAATTATGATATGACTAAAAACCCGGTAAAAAATGTGTTTAAATCTGAATTGCATCACAATAAACTATTGAACTTGAAAAACCAGAGGAAGATACATCACAAAGATCGATTGATTAATCATCACCCATGGAACGCATACAACTTGGCATATCAAAATTCGTTCAGAAGTGAGCCAACAACATCCGCAATCTCTCCGTTATTCACCGTCAAATTTGCCGCGTTTGCAGTTGGAGTTGATGAATCTTGATTTTGGACATCATAATTGGAATCGGTGATTTTCAAGATCTTGAACTCTCTGAAAAATAAAAAAGTTTTTATGAAAATCACGAAAAAAACATCTCCACCAACCCATTGAGTTTTTGAACATTTTCCAAAGTCGACTTTTCAGCACCGCCAGCAGTTTTCAATTCATCATTAATTGACATTACACTCATTTTTTGAGTTAATTGACGAGAAGCTGAGGATACGCGCAAAGTCTGAAAAAATTGAATTGTTTTGAAACATAATAGGACATTTCCCAATAACAAATACAATTTCATGTTGGAAAAAATTACCTTCTTTGCGTGTCTTTCATCTAACTTCAATGGTGAAAATCGATTATTCTGCAACGAATAGAATTTTTTTGGTGTTATAAGCTTTATTGGCTTCAATTGATTATCATAACCAGCCAATTCGCCTTCTTCTCCTGTTTCATAAGTTTTCGACTCATTTCGGTTTCGGATGCGTTCCATCTCCTCGCCTTTTATGAATCTTGGCGACAACAAGTGAGTATAATCCATAGTGTTATCAAAGTTGCCACAAAATTTGGTTGGAGTTGGAAAATTTGTAGAATCTGATAGCCGGGGGCAGAAATCTGTGTCTTGAGCTCCATTCCCATTTGATTTATCATCTCGCTCATAAGTCGATGGAAAATGATTGAAGTCTTGATGGTCCATTGATAATGAAAATGATTCTGGTTTACCTGAAAACATTGATTCGAATGAATACGAAGAGAAAATAGAGAAAAAACAAAAATTCAGGAAGTTTATTGGAAGAAAAAACGAATTTAACGTAAAAATTAGACATTTTGTGGCATTTACAAAATATCATCGTCAAAATTTATGATAATAAATTTGTCAACAGCGGTTACAAACTAATAATAATAGTAAAAAAGTGACACCTTGAAAAGGACCGCATCAGAAAATTACTACAGAACATCAATTGATTGTTTCTTATGTGTCAGTTATTTTTTTGAACTTTCACGAAAAAGTGAACACAATGATAAGAAAACAACATTTAACTTGAAAAAAATGACCTAAACAACAACACAACTCATGAAAAAAAAAACAAAACAACCATACTGGGAGAAAAGTGACGCTCCCTCCTTCTTTCTGTTTTTTTGCTCACCCAGTTCCCGCGTAGGATTTATTATGTTTGTGTGAAACTTATTGTTAGTACTATGAAGAAAAAACTTTTGGAGGTCTAGAGTCAATTAGTTGTTTGATTCTCAATTCTTGGTGTTTCCGAGAACTCTTAAGAGAAAAGGATTATTTTTTTAATTAGGGAAAATGTGTGAATGAATGAAAGTTTTTCTTTTGAAATATGTATTTTTCTTTCTGAAATTTTTTGTTTGTTCTTATTTCAAAAGAACAATATATTCCTTTGAAAAATTGTTCCTTGTCAGATACAAACGCTGAATTTGATACAATGAAACCGCGCTTCAGAAAAGAATGAATGGTGGAATGTAGGGATAGAAAAATCTGTTCTATTGAATCAACCTTCATTTCGAAATTACAAGGGACATTTATCTGGCTACGATCTGGTTTTCTGAAATTGAAGGGAGGGGTAATCTAGGTTTATTCTTGGAAGTAGGGCTTTCAACTTTTGAAAATTGTTAGGTGTTTCATGATTAGAAATTCAGAATTTATGAATTCTTTTTGCAACACAAACTTCACTTTAAGTTCACCTAGAATTTTCATCTTACAAAGAATCAACAAGATAAATTAGGTATTTCCATAAATCAAAAAAACATATGAACTTATTTTCTGACTATTCAAAAACGTGATGATAAAAATTTGAAATTCTCAGTAAGCCTAATTCTTTTTTTAAACAAAAAAACAAGTCTTTTCTCTGAACAAAATCATGTCTAGAATATTTTTATCAATATAACTCTTCAAATAAAATAAACGGAACTTGAAATGCCATACTTGTTACAATATAACCTTTGGGAAATGCTAGGTTTTCGGAACAATATTATACTGGGTAATATAACATCTGGCAAAATCACGCAGTTAGTTTATTTTTTTATTGTTAAGAATCTATGTTTTTTTCTCGTTATTTGAATTATTATAGTTTTTTTTTCAAAAAAAGCTGATCCCTTTGGTCAGATTTAGTCATTAGGATAATTGGATTATGATTATTTTTAAATAACTCCCTAATGATTCAATAGATATATTCACATACTATTTTTTTGGAACTCTGAACATTTGGAACGGTGTAGTTCTCTTTGGGACAAATATGTATATTTAAATTCAATTTTTTCCGGAGAAAAAACTCATTTCCATACATATGCATTCGGTTTTTGCGTCACAAAAGGGCAGAACCGTTTTGTTTTCAGAATTTTATAAATTGTTGATCAAAAATTTCTTGAATGATTTATCACCTCAAACTTCCAAATCAAAAATTTTTACAACCTGTCAATTATCAAACCCGTGATTCCAAAAAATCTTTTCTTCCCAAAAAATTATTTTTCCAGTTCATTTATGTTGTTATTGTTGTCAATTTTTTGCCATATTATTTCTCAGGTTTCACTTCACTTCTCATCTTTTCTTATCATTTCCAAGAAAAATGACACCTTTTTGTTGCTTTTTCCTCTTTTCTTCTCATTTCTTTTTTGTGGTATCGATTTCTTTCCAGTTGTTTTTTTTCGGGGCATAAAGGAAATATTCATGGAAGAAGAAAAAAAAACAATTTACTGCGAACGAACCAAAAAAAGCTGTGTAAAATCGATTTCATCTCACATACACATACGAGAAAATGTGAAGCGAAAAAAAGAAGAGAACTAAACTAGTGTGGATCGAAATAGTGCGCAACACGTGGAGAGCTCTTTTTCTCTATCTTTTCTCCATGTCTTTTTGTGCTCTCCCCAGACAAGCAAAGAGGTCCTATATGTTTTTTTTCTTGCCTATAGGCTTCGGTTTCTTTTGGGTTGGTTTGTGTGACGAAATCGAAATCTATACCCAATTAGGGGTGGTTTTGGTTTTTTTGTATTTTTTTTTGTTAAATTCATCATCATTTCCTGTGAGTCATAAGTATTCACTTCCCATTTTTGGTCATTGTCAAACTGTTTGTTCAATCATTTTTTGTGTATTTTCGTTTGTTTTCTCACCATTCGATCGCTCAAAATGTCAAAAAACTTTTGAGAAAGAAAATACCGTACCAGGTTGGTCCTTTTTTCTTATTGTTCAAAACTTCTTCTTCTTCTTCTTTTGATTTTCATAGGAGCTAATTAATGATATTTTTGCTAATTAATCTGACACAAGATCCAAATTATTCCTCTCATTTTTGTATTCATTTTCGTTTGCAAATGTCATTCATCTGACCCAATTGCACCAGAATGGCGATTATTCTAAAAAATTTGCATATTTAATGAAGAGGGTCTTTTTTGAATTATGAGTTGTCAATTCGACACATTTTTCAGAACCAGCTGATGGTTTTCTATTGTAAATTTTTAATTATTGTTTTTGGGTTGGCTAGGGGTGGTTTTGGTTTTTACTAACTTCCCTGTGAAATTTTTTCAAATATTTTCTTTGATTTTTTTTCTCGATCCGAAGTGGTCAACTGTTTAGTTGATTTTTGATGATCTCGAATTTGTTCCATAATTTCCTCATTAATTTCTTGTTGCTCAAAATTGTTTATTAATCTATTAGACACTTCAAAAAAATGTTTCCTGCTCCTTTATGAAAAATGACTGCATTTCTGCATTTTTAAATTTCCTTGTTTCTGAAAATGCAGGAAATTTTTGATTTTTTTCTCGAAAAATGTAGTTTTTCTCATTGTCTATCCTGAAACCTGATTATCAAGCTTGCATTTTTCAAAAGGTTGAGCAGATTTTTATTGTTGCAAATTAGAATTTCTCAAAAATTCTTAATGTTTTTTGAGTTTTTTTACCGTATCTCTAAAATTTTTCGCCACATTCACACATACGTATATACTTTTTATAGTTAGTACAACTTCAAAATTTTCTCTTTCGTTTCAAAAAAAAAGTTGTTCAAGTATGAAAAACCTCAAATTATTCATGCTTTCTTTCTATCGCATAAGGTTTTTTTCTTTTCTCTCACACCGAAAAACTTCTCACTCTGGGTCATCTTTTGGAATTCAATGATCCGAAAAAATATTTTGCGATTTTTGAAATATGATAAGCCCTCTCTCTTTTTCTTTTATTCTCACAAATTGAATTACTTATTTCTCTTTTTTCTTACAACAACAGTTTTTTTTGTAATTCTATATATATATTTTTCAAGTTATTACGTATATGTATATAGATGTATGTATATTCATATAATAAGTATATTTTTCTTGCAAAAAAAAGGAAATTTGTTTATTTCTTTATTTCAACTAATTATTTATAAACATGGAAAAAAAGTTTTTTTTCGGAGAATGAGAATGAAAAAATTTCTCTCACAAGCTCTCAAGAAAAGCTCAAAAAATCTGACACATTTCTCTCGTTTCCTCGTTTTTAATGTGAAAAATGAAACTTTTATTCGCGAAAAAATGTTGTGTTTTTTGTCATGTTCAGATGTCATGTTGCGAAACAATTGATGATGATGATGGTAATGATCAAAAATCATAGTATGACCCTTTGAATCTGTGCTGCCTCTCCCTATTTTTTTTGTTGTCTATGTATGTATTTTCTAGCATGCAAAATCTAATTTTTTTTCCTCGTGTTGTCCTCTCGATTAACCTCTCAGAACAAGTGAGCAAGAGCAAAATGGCAATGCGTGAGAAAAAATGTGGGGTTTTTGGAGACATTAAATATTAACAGGGCATTAAGTGAGCGCAAAAAAACGAAAAATGCGGCACGAGAAAATAGTGGGTGAGTGCATTTTCAGAACAACCAATCATAAATCTCTAGTCCTTAAGGCTACTGTAGATTTTTTCTGGAATTGTTAACCTATCTGAAAATTATAAGTTATAATAAGTAAATTTTCTTTAATTTTAAATTCCAATCTATATTTGAACTTCAAAAATAATTTATGAACTTTTAAAAATTACGAGGTAACTTTCTGAGCACACGGCCTAGATTTGAGCTCAAAATTCGATCACAAGATAAGAAGGCTCACTCGTTAATCATATCTGCAGTATTTTCTAGATATTTTAAAACCTCTGGGCTACTGTAGAATATTTTCTTCAACTTTTAAATTCAATAAATCACCTTGTGAAAATAATCTAAAAAATTCTAACAATCACTAATGAATTTTCTCCAATTTTAAACCCTATACAAACTTTGGAATAAACGTTTTCTCATATATTTAACCTTTCAAAAAAAGCCCATAAACTTTTAGCAATCACTCAATCCAATCTACAGTACTATAAATATTTCTTTTTTTCCCCATAAAATTTTCTCATTTGTTACCATGTGAACCTTTTCCCCCTCTTTCTTTCTCTGATTTTTTGTTTGGCGCCAAAAAGAAAGGCCCAGCCCAGCATCTCTTATTTCTGACTCACTTTTCTTTCTCCGAACATATGTTTATCGATCTCCAGAAACAAAAAAAATGCCCTCTTTTCCCGAAAAAAGTTTCAGCTGTTTTTTTTTCAATTCAAATCCCTCTTTCTCTTTTTCGTTTTCTTTGAAATGCACCTGCTTGAAAATTAGATTTTCTTGAAACAAGCCTTCAAATTTTATGTGTGTGTATAACCTTGGTTTTTTTTTTCACTATGATTTCATTGTCCTCGATTTATTGAGGTGTACATACATTTTTATTTTATCGAAAGCAAAAAAAACACACACACATACACAGAAAACAAAAACATAAAATCGATTTACTACTGTCAGAGGTTGATCCTCAATTTGTTATTTATTTTATTTTTTGTTGTTTATTTATGATTATCATTACTATTCTTATGAATTGTGTAAATAAAAATGAATAGTAATAAATAATAGTTCTAATCGGTCAAAATCGATAACATATTATATTATATTATCATAATATTCATCTCCTCCTCACATGTCTCCTTCTTTTGTTGCAAATAGATTATTCTTGTATCTTTTTCAGATGAATTGTTGTTGAAAAGTGAAAAATAATCATGGTTAGACGGAATAATGATGAAGGCGGGTGTTCGGAAGACGCTGAAACGCGATCGTGTCCTGGTGATTTGGGATCGAATCAGAGTCAGCCGAAACCGAGAATTAAACGGTGAGTTTGAAAATGGGTTTGAATGAATCTCAAAAATTTTTTTGTTCAATTTCACTTAAATCTTTTTATTCAAAAAATCTCGAAAGTTTATGAAATAATTTTCAGAACTCTCCGATCAAATTCGCAAAAATCTAATTTCCGAATCTGAGAATATTTTTTTCATAAACTGGAAATTCAAAACTTTGTACTCTTCAAGCAAATCATTTTTTTTAGAACATTTCCATCCTCCCTTCTTGAAAAGCACTTTATTTTTGGTTGTAAAAATGGATTTCCAATTTTTTATATCATCGAAATTTTTTTTTCTATTTCTGAAAAAAATCATTCCACTTGAATTCATTGACGTCATCCTTAAAAATACCAAATTAAGGGGATTACACATCTGAAAAAGTACAACTAGAGAGAAAAACAGCAATGACGTTGAAATAATATTGGAGCTTCATTAATTAGGTTGTTCGCTCTTTTACCCAAGAAAATATAATTACAGGGGAAATATGATGAAAAAATGATGTCAGAAACCTAATAAAAATTTTCAGAAGTCATATGCGACAAGCATCTCAAGGGGTCCCACAACGACATGTCGAGCGGCCACCGCGAAGAAAAGAAGTTCGACTTCCAGTAAGTTCATTTCACTAATGTACAAACATAAAAAATGCATATTATGTTTTCTAATGTCATCGTATTCTGCAACATTTTTTTTCATTTTACGAATATTTCCATTATTTTTTCTATTCTTAAGGAATAGTTTTTGATTTTTGCAGGCTCAACACACCGAATTAATCGAGCGCGAAATGACTGTGCTCACTGAAGAATCGTTGTGTGGAATTGGTAAATGGCGACCGAAATGGTTGCAATTTTTGGGTAATCGATTCTGGATGTTAGTTCTACTCTGTGTATATTGTAGTATGCAGGTAAGCTAAAACAACGTGTAATAATTTGATATCAAAAAAAACTATTACGATTCCAGGGCATGCTAGTAAATGGTTTAGTCCCATCTGCAATCTCTTCAATAGAAAGACGTTTTCAATTTTCAACAAGAAATATGGGTAGTATAGTACAGTTTTATGATTTTGGTTATGTTCTTCTCTGCATTCCTGTCTCTTATTTTGGTGGTCGACACAGTAAACCAACAGTTTTAGCTGTCGGTTTAGCATGTATGGCGTTTGGCTCATTTTTATTCTCAACTCCACACATGTTATCCAGCAGTTATTCGACGTCTCAACCAAATACTTCTAGTGGAGTTTGCTCTATTGAACATTGTAAGTTTGTCTAGCTAGATGTTTCGGATTGAAACTTTTTTTTCAGTGTGGAATGAAAATTTGACGATACCTGGAGCTGTTCGAAGTGCGTGCGAAAACGAAAACCAACATCATCCCCCATCAAACGCACTATACTTCAATATTTTTTGCCTTGCACATTTTCTTCATGGAATTGGAGCCACCCCACTTTTCACCATTGGAGTTTCATATATCGATGAGAATGTCGGAAGTGCTCTTTCTTCACTCTTCGTTGGAATCTTCTACTCATTCGCTGTTTTTGGACCAGCTGCCGGATTCTTGACAGCTGGAGCACTTCTCAAATACCATACTGATTTCTGGCATCTCCCACCTGAACAGATTATCAAAATTTCATCGGATGAATCAGATCCAACTTGGGTTGGCGCTTGGTGGTTGAGTTTTATTATGGCTTCAGCTCTTGGATTTGCTGCTGTTGTTCCACTGGTTTGCTTGCCAAAAGTATTACCGGTTTCACTGAAATGGCATCGAGCAAGATTGCAAGATGCAGCACTTTCGAATCGGAGAAGAACGCCTGAATGTTGTGGAATATCTGGAACAAATAAAACAGCTGCTTTAAATATTGATGCGCCAATTTCTGGTGAGAATTTTAATGATTGAATAGAACTTTGATTCACAGCTGATAAATTATCAGCTGTTCCAGTCAAAGAAAAAAATTGTTTTGTGTGACTCATCGAAAAATATTTTTCAGAACAAGCAACATTGCTATATTCTTCAATTCCTGCTAGAGGTCGAGGTCCTTTGTGGTACAAAATTTGGCTTGATGTTCGTCACATCCCGATTGCAATCTACCGTATTCTGACAAACGGTCCATTTATGATTATCACCATCGCAATGGCAGTTGACAGTCTAGTTGTCACTGGAGCATCATCGTTCATGTCAAAATATCTAGAAAGACAATTTTCTGTTGCACCAAGTAAAGCAAATGTGTTGATTGGATGTATTATGGTTCCAATGGCTGGTTTCGGTTGTATGGTTACTGGATATATCGTCAATTATTTCCGTTTCAATTCATTAAAAATGCTCAAATTTGCGATTGGTCTTCTACTTTTATCGCTTTCTTTCACACCAATGTATTTGATATATTGCCCACATCATCCATTAATAGGAGTTGATTCGCCATATCCAAATTTGAATGATAATAATTTTGTGAACACAACAAATGGAGAATTCCAACTGATGAATTCATGCAATCAAATGTGTCGATGTGATCCAGCAGAATATCGACCAGTTTGTGCAACACTTGAAGATGGAAGTCAACTCACATATTATTCACCATGTTTTGCTGCGTGTTCAGATCCATATACATCACAAAGAAAAACCTACGACAATTGTGAATGTGTTCCACAAAACACTATTGGAAAACCAAGACAAGTCAAAAAAGGGGTTTGTGAGACAAGATGCAGTGGCCTTGTTGGATTCTTGACATTATTTGCTCCACTATCATTTTGCACATTTGCAGTAGCTGTTCCAGTTATATCCGTCATTTTGAGGTTGGTAACGAAAGCTTTAACGGCTTTAAGTTTTAAAAATCAAACATTTCAGAACTGTTGACTATAATGAAAGATCGTTTGCATTGGGTATTCAGTGGATTATGATTCGAGCAATCGGAACAATCCCAGCTCCAGTGTTATTTGGATGGATGTTTGATACATCGTGTATCAAATATCAAACTGATTCTTGTGGAAAATCATCGGTAAGAAAACCACTAATTCTAAAAATAAACATAACAATTTCCTGTTGCAGAGTAATAATTGCCTTTTATATGACAATCAAATGTTGGCAAATCTTTTTATGACATTCTCAATTATTGGTCAAGCAATATCAATGGCAATTCTAACGTGTGTATTGATGTTCTATGGTCCAACTCTTCACGATGATCCAGTTGATGAAGTTGCACCTCCAGAATCTCATCCTCTTGAAGTTGGAGATGTGCCAAGAGAACTTGAACCGGAAGATAAAACTGTGGCTTCAGTGAATTAATTGATTGTGATATTTCCTTGTTTCTTGTTTGTTTTTTTTTTTGCAAATCTGTCCAAAATTAATAATGATGCTAGTCAATTTCTAGATTCCAAATTTCTATATTATATAATATTTATTCTTGTTATCAATAGACGCCAAAAATTTGCGTGGTTATTTGTGATCTTCTTCTCATCATTCTGCTTTTTGTTTTTTTTTATTTTTCTTGCTCCCTTCGTATTTCCCCTTCCCGTTTTAGTCATTTTTTTTGAATTCCTTCTTATTAACAAAAAAACATCGAAAAATCTTTAATTTTCTTGTAATCTAAGAAAACCGGTGATAGTAACGGTAAATAATTGTTCCCGATGTTCAAAACATGCATATTCTTTTTCTTTTTTTTTCGACTGATTTCTAGCTTTTCTTTGGTCTTTTTTTTCATGGATATTCAAAGATTCATATCGAAAAATTCATGTTCTTTTGAAATAAAAAAGTTATTTATATTCGAATAAATCTTTCATTTTTTTTTTGAGTTTTTTGTTTTCTCAAGGGAGGTCTTATGAAGGTCAAAGTCAACTTTTTGAGAAATATTGAACATTTTCAGGGCTGAACGTTAGATTTCTAAAATGTGAAAACAATATTGATGTGAAAATTCTGAAGCTGTTTGCAATTTTCGAGAAAATCCTAAAAAGATAGACTGGACGATCAAAAACAGAAATGTTACCATCAAAACATTTTTTTTAAATTATCTGACTAGTTCCTTCAAACTAACCTTTTCTGGCTCAAAATTTGTAAATCTGGAAAATCTTCCAGTTTTACAAATCCATCATTCTAGAGCAAAAATTTATGATGTTTGTTTAGCACTTTTTGATTGCTCTCTTCAAATTTAATATTGTGTTTCTAGTTTGGTGTTCCCATTTAAACAAAAATATCAAACTCCATCTTCCAATAAATTATTGGCAGTTGTCGAAATTTACAATGTTTGTTGCGATTTATTCTTTCATTTTTTTGGAAAATCATTTATTGGACGGATTGGAAGAAATTATTGGATAGAATTATATTTGTTGAAACTAAATTATTAGGGATCAAGTTGAATTATTAGAATTAAAATAGGGTTCAAAGTTATCATATATTATTAGAAATTGGATTGCATTATTATTTATATTATTATATAGAAGGGAAAAAGGGAAACTACGGGTTTTTGTTTGTAAAATTTTGTGGAAATTAAATTAAAATAAAATAGTGTCCAATATGATTTTCAAGAATTATTCCAATTCGACGTTATCCAAATATTGTTGGAAAATAACATCGCAAGCCGAATTGAAGACATAATCAATGCTTTTGGTGTCAGTAGCTTGGGTGTAGTGCGAGTAGATTTTTTGATTTCCACCAGCGCCCTGTTTTGAAAAACAATCAATAAAATAATAATTAAATTTTCGCTTTTTTATACCTTTCTAAACATGTTGTCAATGTACGAAGTGACAGTGTTGAATTGATTATCCGGGATCAAATATTTGGAATAGTCTGGGAAATAGTCGATGAATTTCAAAGCCTTCAATTTGTGTTCCAAAACGTCTTTCTTGTTCAAGAAAAGCATGAAGCAGCTGCGATGAAGGAAATTGTTCTTGAGAACCGATTTGAAGAGTTCAACCGAATCTTGGAGACGATTGAGAAGTTTTGAAGCATCGCTGCTAGCAGAGCGAATGAGAACACGATTCTCGATGCGGTTCAATGATGTTTCCCACTGAAAAAATTTGATTTCAATTTATTTTATATGTTTAAAAAAAATATTTTTGTATTTTTGCAATCTGTAATTTTCACCGAAACTAAAACGACAGGATTCGAAGAATCCGTCGCTTTTCCTTCCTCCTCAATTTCAGTTCTCGCGGTGTCATCCAAAACAAATTGATCAAAGCAGGAAAGCGAAGTGACAAACATAACGGCAGTCACGCCTTCGAAAAAATGTATCCATTTACGTCTTTCGGTTTTTTGGCCACCGACGTCGATCAATCTGAAATGATGCGAGTTTTATGAAAACATGTTTTTATGACGTTTGGTTAAACCTGATGACGTGTTTACGGAAATCGAAAGAGATTTCATGAACTCCAAGAGTTGTTGCACGCATATGAATCATATCTTGGATTGTTGGAACATAGTTGGTCACCAAGATACGGTGGAGTTCCGGGAAGAAGCTACAAAACAATTTTTTTTCGAGAATGTTGCGGGAGATTATTCCAACTCACTAGAAAATGTTATCCGGAACCATTGGATGACATTTATTGGTCCGGAAAAAGTCCATGATACATTCAAAAAAACGGAAATCATTGAGATAAGTCAACTCATCGGTCTCATTCATCATTTCAACTTTTGAAGTTTCGTAGGCGAAAACATTGAGAACAGCTTTTTCATTCTCCGCAATTTTCGAACCATTTTTCAAAATGAGAATGCTGACTTGTTTGAAAGCCTCGATGATGTTTTGGCGGATTTGGAAAATCGCGTTGATTATTTCAGTATCATTAAAACCACCATCGTGGATTTGTCTGGAAATTATTGAGAAAAAAAATTATTCGGAACTCAAACATCGTTATTTGTATTCTGCTTATTTGATATTAGAAAATTATCATACCGATGTCTGTTGTCCTCACTATAGTAACCCATTTTTGAAAAGTCAATAATATTTTTTGTAGCTCTTGATTTCATATTTTCATCAATTTTTTTTTGTTTTCTAAAAATCATCCCTCCAATCTCCCTCTGTATTCTTGAAATTCTAAACATCTGCTCATCCCGTTCCTAGAAGCAGATGGTCCATGGACCTCCCCTTAAACTCACCTCATTTGTTTCACAATGGTGCTTTTTCCAGCATCCGAAATACCAAGCAACAAAAACTTGATCTTCTTTTGTTGTTCCTTTTCATCCTTGCGAAGTTCGTTGTCGATTTTTTGATTCTGTCGAATCGCTTCATCAGTTGGTTTGCACACCGCACTACCCATATTTCAGAAAAAGAAGAAGAGTGGTTGGAATATGAATAGTAATAAATTCCAAATGAGCCGCTCTGCGCCGAGAAACTTATATTTCAATACAATGTCGGTGGACTACATTCACCTACCGTACTCTTATTTTTTCCTTAATCCGCAGGCGGGCATTTCGCCGAATTTTGTAGTAGTAATATCGAATTTTTTCTATACTAATAGTACTATTTCGCTTTTTTCTGGGAATTATGAGTAGTTTTTCTTACTGAACGAAAGAAAAAAGAAATCCAATAGACCAAACATCTGCAAAGGAATATGGATAACTTGTAAGGGAAGCTTTCGACGAATTTGATGTAGATTCCAATGAGACTTGCCAATTCGGTATGAATCTCAACTTCAGCGTTGAAATTGAAAACCTTTCTGCATCCGTGCTGATGTTGAGCAAATCTGAAAGGCAGGTCAAGAGCTTCCAGAATTCTGCCAATTGTAAAACTATTTCACAATGACACTGAACAATTACAAAATTCTGAAACTGTGGAATATCATGATATACATGTTTCACGTATTGATGTTAAAAATCAAGGCAGACCTGTACAGGATACTTCAATCAGAAAACATTCTTATCAGAACCGATAGAAATCAGTAGGGTTAATATTTGCAGAGAATTGAGCTTCTAATACAAGATTTTTTCTTAAAATTTAACTTCTGGAAATTTTTATTTTGAGATCAATAAATAAAGAGTGTGGTTAGAAAATATTGTCATCAACTTGATTTTTTAGTAATTCACAGCTACGTATTCAGCCAATTTTAAATTCACATGTGTTTGATGTTATGAAATAATTTATGATGCTGATGTCATCTAGTAAACAACTACCATGAACAGTCATTTAAAACATCGACTACAAAAGTCTTCTATGTATATTTGCAACATAATTTCCCTATCCTTAAAATATATGCACATATTTTTATCCTTGCCATCACCAATCAAAGTGCTAATCCTTTATTTTTTCCCCAAATACGTCACAAAATTTTTGTGTAAATATCTATTGACACAGTCCATGTTCCAATTATATTGATCATACTTTGAATGACAAGTTCACACTCGATGATTTTTCCCAAAAAAGGATGGAAAAATCAAGAACCAAAAACCATGGGATTATTATTCTTTCTCGATGTTCTTATGCTAATACACCTTTTTGTTGTGAAAGTACGTGACAAAATGTGTATTTTGTTGATATTTTGATGAGAAAAGAGAAGAAAGCATTCTTTTTTTCTCAAAAAAAGTTCAAGAGGCCGAGTTCCCACTCATTTCTTTTGATTGTAAAAGAATTGAGAGGCAAACCGCTGGTTTTTTGATGATTTTTGTGCTGTTTTTTTGTTAGTTTTGAAAAAAAATGTTAGTTTGTCATTTTGGATTAATCTTTTCCGGTGTTTCGGCTTCCTAATCCTGATTATTTCTTATAAATTCTGATGAATATACATTTAGAAAAACTCTAAAATCTTTCTTTGATATTCCTGGTTTTCTTGAAATTTTGAACTTTTCTGCAAATATTTTTTCGTATAGTTGAAATCTTTTTTTTCTTGTTACAATTCTTAAAGTAAACATGTCTGGAAATTTCCAAATAATCTTTGGTCAACAAAGTTTGAAATCATCTACGATTAATTTCAGTTGCTCTTCATTTTTTTGAGTAAATAAATTTGAAAAAACCTTTCAATTAAAAACAATCTTCGATCTCTAAAGTTGAAAATTATCCCCCTTCAGATTTATCTAATTCTTCGCTTTTTCTCAAACGAGCAAAAAGAAAGAAAAAAGTGAGCGAGAAAAATGATGAAAGAGATTCTAGTGGATGTCAGACACACTTTTTCTCTGCGTCTCTTACTCTTTTCGAACTCTGACATTTTCTATGTTTTTTTTTCTGTTTTTTCCGGAGTATCTTTCTACTAGTGTAAAATAAATGTTTTATTTGTTTGTTTGATTTCTTTTATACCTTATCAATTGTTTTTTTTTCATTTCAGGTCGACAGAAAACCATTAAAAACATACATATAAAACAAAATGGTTAGTTTCATTTCTCTTTAGTTTCAAATGAAAACAATTCAATTAATTTTTCCAGGCTCCAATTGATTTGACACCATTGAAGACTGCTAATGTCCCAATTTTCTTCATTGTTGGTTAGTTTTTTTTTTCTGAAATCTGAATTTAATTTTAAATTCAAAAAAAATATGTACAGTGCGTCCAATAAAGATAGGACCCCCTAGAATTTGAGATTTCCAATGAAACGGTTATAGATGACTGATATTTGAAAATGGGAATCGTTTTTGAATTAAAAAATAACCCAGGAAACACATTCCTATGATTTGTGAGTTGTTTCATCTACACGTGACGTGAAAATGCTGATTTTCGAGCGTCCAATAAAGATAGGACCCCCACCAAAAAATGAGAATTAGCCTCGATTGTTATGAATATTGAATTGAGTTACCTAGATAACGATATCGACATGTGTTTTGAATCATAAAATTCAAGATATAGTTCGCTCCGAACTTGTGAATCAACATTTCATAATTATTCAATTTTTCATCAAAAATCAGTATTTAAAAGCTAATCTTGATTGAATCACAGTTTTTATGTCTAATTCATCACTAAATTTGCATTTTGAACTATTGTTAACAAATTCCGATGTCAAATTTCGAATTTCTGATGTTACGTTCCAGTCATGTCCACTGATCTTTTCGATTCTAACATCAAGAACATCGATTAATTTTACATTATAAAGCTGAAATTGGATGAACAACGTATTTTGAACCATATCTAATCATTTAAACATTACTACTGAACTTATTCACGCCTCTTTGAGATTTGTTTCAAGAAAAATCCATTTCTCTTTATTTGCATCCTATTTTTAAATGTTTCATGCCATGATTGAAATAAGTTGAATAAGAAATGTTCAAAATGTAGTTTGTTTGTTGGAGTAAAATTTTTAACGCTCGCAAACAATTAATGAGCAAATTCATGATCCAAAATTTCAAAACAATCATTGTTCTTGATGTTAGAATCGAAAAGATCAGTGGACATGACTGGAACGTAACATCAGAAAATCGAAATTTAACATCGGAATTTGTTAACAATAGTTCAAAATGCAAATTTAGTGATGAATTAGACATAAAAACTGTGATTCAATCAAGATTAGCTTTTAAATACTGATTTTTGATGAAAAATTGAATAATTATGAAATGTTGATTCACAAGTTCGGAGCGAACTATATCTTGAATTTTATGATTCAAAACACATGTCGATATCGTTATCTAGGTAACTAAATTCAATATTCATAAAAATCGAGGCTATTTCTCATTTTTTGGTGGGGGGTCCTATCTTTATTGGACGCTCGAAAATCAGCATTTTCACGTCACGTGTAGATGAAACAACTCACAAATCATAGGAATGTGTTTCCTGGGTTATTTTTTAATTCAAAAACGATTCCCATTTTCAAATATCAGTCATCTATCACCGTTTCATTGGAAATCTCAAATTCTAGGGGGGTCCTATCTTTATTGGACGCACTGTAGTACGTAGAAAAATCCAAACTTGTTGACAAAATATCCCCATCTTATGAAAAATTAATCATATTTTCCAGGAGGACCAGGATCCGGAAAAGGAACTCAATGCGACAAAATCGTTGCCAAATACGGTTTCACTCATCTTTCATCTGGTGATTTGCTCAGAGATGAAGTTGCATCTGGATCAGCTCGTGGAAAGGAACTCACAGCTATCATGGAAGCTGGAGCACTTGTCCCATTGGTATGAACTAAATTGGGTTTTGGTAAAAAAAGAAAAGGGTTTAGAAAAAATAAAAAAAATCTATTTTTTACAATTAGGATATTTTTGAAAACATTTAAAAACATCTACAAAATTCAAAACAAATCTCTTCATTTTTTCCAGGAGGTCGTTCTGACTTTGGTCAAGGAAGCCATGTTGAAAGCTGTTGCCAAAGGATCCAAAGGATTTTTGATTGACGGATATCCAAGAGAAGTTAGCCAAGGTGTCCAATTCGAAAATGAGGTGAGGTCTGATTATCTTCCCGCTCAACAAAGAAAAAAACTTGATTTTTTTCTTTGATAGCTTTTTTCAATGAACAGATAAATTTTTCATCCTAAATTAAATTGTTTCTGATGTTTGTTTTTATCAACGTGTTTCATTTGTGATAAACTTGCCAGACCACCCATTGGGAAAAGAGTGGAGGGAAAGGAAAACGAGAAATTGATTAAAAGTTGGGGCTCTTGAACTTTTGAAAAGCCTAGAACTCTTGAAGCTTTCCGAAGGTTTAACTTTTCAAATGAATTTTATTTCTTGGCTCATCCAACTTTCAATAAATAAATAAATTTTCTCCAGATTCAACCAGCCAAACTTGTTCTCTTCTTCGATGTCGCTGAAGACACCTTGATAAAACGTCTTCTTCATCGCGCACAAACCAGTGGACGTGCTGATGACAATATTGACACCATCAAGAAACGTCTTCACACTTTTACCACAGCCACCAAACCAGTTGTTGATCACTATGAACAACAAGGAAAACTTGTCAAGGTAGACATTTTTATTCGGAAGAGGGAAAAGCTTATATTCATCTCACATATTTGCAGATCAATGCTGAAGGAAGCGTTGACGATATTTTCGCCGTTGTCACAACAAATTTGGACAAAGCAACATCCAAGATCTAAATTTCATAGATTCGCTTTTTTCACATACATACATATTTCAAATACATAATAGCATGTAATAAAATAAAACAAAACAAAATTCAAATAATTCGCTTTGGCAGTTTTTTTTTTGGATAAATGAGGATGACAAGAAAAAATCAAGTTTTTTTGCGTTTGATTTGGAATCGAATTGTTTCGAGATAATAGAAAATAAAAGGGCAATACGTCATTATTGAACAACAAATATAATCGGGCATCGGATATACAGTTTTTGGGCATGAAATATGTGATTTTTCCGGATGAAGAGATAACAAAACTAGTGTGTGAATTGAGTGTTTTCTGGCTGAACATTTTGGGAAATGGTTAAACTTTGTAGAGCTTCCGGTGCTGTATGGAAAAATTGAGATTCACAGAACCTCTCTCTTTTTCTGGAAAAGCTATTGATCACAATACACAGTGGTACCATATCATCCTGAAAACAAATTTTCAATCATAGTTTAAAAATCCCAAATCTCTCATATTTTCCTCCAAACTTTTAAAAAAGTGAAATGAACTTTCTCCAAACATTTTCCTCCTCTCACTCATTATTATCTACATATGATGATCATTCATTCAAAACAAAATCGAGAATGAGGTCATCCGAGAAGAAAAAGTTTGAAGAGGCAAATTCTTCTCGCTCGATTTTGTTCTAACCAAAAAAAAACAACCGTTGAAAAATGAAAATGTTACTTTTAATCATCTCTGTTTATTTGCTTGTTTTTTATTTCGTTCAGGCTGAAGATGTAGTTTTCGATGAGAATTTTTGTGAGTTTTTTTTGTGGATTGAGAAAGAGAGAAATTTCAAATATTTCAGTTTCTGAAATGAATGAATGGAAGCTAAAAACATTGCACGATTTTATTCGTGGAAGAGGTCGACCAATTGTAGAAAGAGTGCCATTAGATACTTCGGAAGACAGTGAAACTCTTGGAAAAATTACTTCATCTGAATCTTCAGAACTTATTGATCTAATGAATTCCGGAATCATGTCACAAGGTGGAATGATGGTACGTTTTTGATATTGAAAAATGTTTTCTTAGAAAGGATATTTTCAGAAATCTGAACCAAAAGTGGCATTTCCAAGTCCACCTCAACCAATCACTCAAATAAGTAAACCTGAGCCAAGAAAAGTGAAAAAGTTACGACCTTCTTCAAAATCAACAGAAACTTCGAAAAAGCCAATATCTACGGATGATTATAAACAACTTGCCAAATTTATTCAGGTAATTTTTCAGGTTTTGAAAAATAAAAAGTTTTGGGGAACATCTTTTAGTTTCAAACCACATTTAAGCTTTAAATTTTGTCATCAAAAGTTTGGCCTTCATAATCATTTTTCCATAAGAAATTCGATAAATAACCTTCAATTCTCTCCAGAAGTCTTTTCCCAAACAAATCCTAAGTCCATCTTTTAGATGTATGTTGATCAACAACAAAAAATCAAGCAATCAACCACTACACCAATGGCGATCACAACAACAACCCCAATAAAAAGTGTATCCCAGAAAAAACCTCGAATAATTGTTTCTCCAATTCCTGATAATCAATGGACAACAATGGAAGAAGAAAATGAAGATGTTGTAGAAGAAGAAGAAGATATCACCTCATCTTCAAAAAATCCAAGTCTGTCATTTTTTATCCATATATTTTTGTTATGGCATCTGATGATCAGACAAAGGCATCCTTCTTATGTAAAACTTGTTCTACGTCTACGATTGCGCGCGCGTCTCACCCAAAAAAACTCGTTCGATAATAACAAAATCCTAGTTTTTTTCCAGAGACAACAAAAATGATTTCAACAGAAGAAATACACAAACAAAAAATGAACAAATTGAGCAATGAACTTTCGAAAGTATTGAAACAATTGGGAGAATCTCGACAACCACAAGTTCACGTTTTGAGAAATGTAAGATTTTCATAAATATTTTCTGTTGTGTTTGATAGTTTTTAGGGTTCTGCTGAACAAACTTCAAATGGTCAATATATATTCATTGCAACTATAACCCTCATAAAAGATGGTGATAAATATGTGATGGTTGATACTGGACTCGGAACAAATATCAATGAAAGAACTAAATTATTACAAGCAATCGAAAATCTTGACATAACTCCAGAAGATATCAATATAGTTGTTACAACTCATGGGCACCCAGATCATGTTGGAGGATTACACGATTTTCCAAACGCTTTACACTATCAAAGTTTCTATTCACATTATCACACGGTATTCAACTTGACATCACTTTTTGAGGCAGAAAGTTTGAATTTGTCAGAAAATATTATGTTAGTCAAAGCAAAAGGTCATACATCTGATGATATTGCGGTTATTGTTAGAAATGCTAAAGGATTTGGCGATGTTTTAGTTGCCGGTAAGATATGATAACAAATCAAAAGATCATTTTGAAAAATGAAATAATTTTGAAGACTTTCCAAAAACACTATATTCCTCTAAAAAAATCTTGCAGGTGATTTGTTCATTCGTGGAGAAGACATTGATCATCCAATGATGTGGAAACCATTATCCGCCGATATTGTAAATCAACGCGATTCTCGTCGTCGTTATGGTTGCATTGTTGATTGGATTATACCTGGACACGGAGAAATGTTTGAAGTCACCTCAAATGTAAAACGTCTACTGAAATGCTAAATAGACTGTCACATGTAGATCAAGATTTTTATTTAAAAGCTTAGATCATATCTTAATAATTTCTCTTATCGAAATAAAATTTCAAACATCAAGCTTCAAACTAGAAATAACTTTTTGAAAGTTGAAAAATCGAAAAACGAACAGAATTTGCAGTAAAAGTCTTTGACCCCAATCTGTATAATATTACTCTTCATTTGGTTTATCTTTTCATTGTTGTTCTTCATCTTTTTTTTGGTCTTCCTCGCTTTATATCTCAAATTCTCTTTTTCTTGTAAAAATGAAAAAAAAAGAATGCGAAGAAGAAGAAGAATAATAATAGAAGAAGAAGAAGAACTGAAGAAACCCGATAGAGAGACAAACGTATTCAACCCGCGACGAAAAATTCAATCCAGTTTCCTCGTTTTCTTCGTTGTTCCCACCCACTAACATCAAAATGCCATTTCCATTTTTCCATATATTTATCAATGGATTTTCTGGGATAAATCCTCAGAAAATTTCACATTTTGCACTCCCACTTTTTGGTTTGCCATGCCTATAAATTCAAACCAAATTTCGCATTTCATTCATTATTCCGAAAAAAATTTCGATTTCATAGATCTTTTTTCCTATTGTGATTTTATATCATCTTATATATATTAAAAAACGCCTCTTTTTTTCAAAAAAATATATTTAAGTATAGTTTTTTCACAGTTGCATTCATAAATCCAGAAATCTTTTTTGATAAAGTGAATCAATACTCACTTTCACTAATTAAAATCGCATCATTATTTTGTTTCTCTTATCCGCCAACATTCTTTGTTCATTTATTTTCCATGTTTTTTTTCTCTAAAAAAATCTTCTATCTTTAGCAAATCAACCCTCCTCCGACAACAAATCAACAATGGGAGATTCTCAACCAAGCTGTGTTTTGATCACCGGAGGATGCGGTTTCATTGGCTCAAACTACATCAATGTTACTTTCAACAAATGGCAAAACACCAGATTTGTCAATTATGATAAATTGGCTTATGGTGCATCGCCAAATCACGTCGAGAAAGATATTCAAAATTCTCCAAGATACAAGTTTGTTGAAGCTTCTTTGGAAGATCAACAAACTTTGAATCGTGTCTTGGCTGAGAACGAGGTAAATTTCAAATTTTGAAGGTTTCGAAGATTATCGATTTATTTTCAGGTCGACATGGTTATCCACTTCGCCGCTATTACTCACGTCGATGAATCATACAGTGATAGAATCGGAACCATCAGAGATAACGTTATCTCAACAACAACTCTTCTTGAGAGTATTGTCAATAGCAATTACAAGGGAGTCACCAGATTGGTTCATATCAGCACAGGTATGTAGACCAGAAAGAATAAAATAACAAAAAAAATAAAAATTTTAGACGAGGTTTATGGAGATTCTTTCGCTGATGTTACCCCAAAAAATGAGGCTGTTTCATTGCCAAATCCAACAAATCCATACGCCGCTTCAAAAGCTGCTTGCGAAATGGTCATCCGATCATACTGGCATTCTTACAAGTTACCATATGTTATGGTTAGAATGAACAATGTTTATGGACCAAGACAAATTCAAACCAAACTTATCCCAAAATTCACCAAATTGGCATTAGAAAATAAGCCATATCCATTGATGGGTGATGGATTGCACACAAGGTAATTAGTAATGTTTTTGAGGGTTTCATCTAGTGGTTTTATAGATCGTGGATGTATGTTGAGGATTGTTCTGAAGCTATTAGCCGTGTTGCTTTGGACGGAAAACTTGGAGAAATTTACAATATTGGAACTGAATTCGAGATGACAAATATTGAATTGACTAGAATGATTCACGCAACTGTCAACAAATTGATGAACCGGTATGTTTTAAAATACTACCTTCTTTTTTCTGAAATATTGAATTTCCAGCGATAACACCGAGCCATCATTTACCCCAATTCCTGATCGACCATACCACGATCGCCGTTATTATATTGATTTCTCAAAAATTAAAAACGCAATGGGATGGGAATGCACAACACCATTTAATGAGGGACTTATGAAAACAATTGACTATTATATTAAATTGCATCAAAAAACTGCTCGTCTTCAAGGTTAAACAAAATATTCGTCAACGTTTTTCTTTCAAATCAATTCATTTTTGCTTTCATTGATCTTGTATTATTTTATCATAACTGTTAGTGCAATTTGTGTTCAAATAATTTATTTTTGCTTCTCAAAACATACAATAAACCTATTGAAAAAGATCATAATAATTTAAAATAACCCATAAGAAACAATTCAAAGATCAACCCGTTGTTATTCTACAAAAATTCAAAAAAATTGTTAGTTGTACTTTTTCGCTTTTCCATTTCTTCCTGATTTTCGAATTGCTGAACTTTTTATGACATTCGGACTAGATTCAATACATTCTGTGTTTCGGAAGCATGGAATCGGAATTGGAATGCTATATTCATTCTCGACTTTTCCAACCGATCCATATTCAAAGAACCATCCAAGTGGGAACCAAACTCTCATTCGATCATCACTGGCAGTTATATTTGCATGGTTATAAGCGTAAGCGTGATAATATAAGAACATACGAGAACTTATATAAAATGCTGGAAAAAAAGAATGTGAGGTGATTTGTGGTTGGAAAACATGGATGAAAAGATACTTACCAATAAATACATCAATACTATAATGCTCGTGAGCAGCGAGAATAAGGAAAATTGCAAAACTATTGAGAACCCATGTAATTGTATGAAGACCATTCCAGGTAGAAGGTGTGTCTGGAAAATAAAAAGGTTTGAGGATTTACTGTGGGAATTGAGATCTCTTGCTGATCAAAACACATGTGATATGTTTCTTCAGATTGGCCCTTTTCTTTTATGAACATTTTCAACCATCCCAAAATTAACTCACATTCAGTGATGAAATGACAAATCATCGTGATAACAGTTGTATGTCCACTGAACATATAATCTCCACAACTTCGAACACCGTGTAAAGACATCCCGAGATTCGACCAAATATGAAGAGCTTTTGTGATTTTCTCACTCATCGTTGTGTTTGGCTGAAAATAAAACATTTTGAGATAAGATTTTGAAAGTATTGTGTTTCTGGTAAATTCCACAAATATTTCGTTATCGTGAAGAAAAACCTACCCTCGCTTCACATTGTAGATGAATTCCTGGCACAGAGAGCGATGTGATCATCATAGTAAAACATCGAAGCAAAAATACGGTTCCAAGAAGTGAAAACATTCTACGAGCAATCACGATTCTTTCCTTGTGGAATAATAAAATTGTGAACCATATAATCGACAGAATCATTCCAATGATTTCACACATATCAAAAGCCCATGGAATATGTGGAACATTATCGAGAACAATATCAGGAAGTGGTGGATATGTTTTGGTGTCTGGAAATGTTTTTTTTGAACAAAAGATAAAACAGGTGGGTGATTTGATTTTTGATCAGAATGTAATTTAGAGCCATTTAATGTCATCAAAATTTAACCCATGATTAAAAATTTTCGAATACGTAAAAGCATTTTGACCAAAGTACCTAGCTTACAATACATCTATCTAGTACCTGGATAGATAAATTTGATTTCTTCTTCCACCCTTCAAAAAAAGCTAACCTGGAACTCTATCATGCACCAAAACCATAACAAAAGCAGTAATCAAAAACGATGATAATGAATAGAGAAATGCGATAAATAATTTGGCAACTGATTTTGTCAAAGTATCCGGACTTTCAACTTGTCGAATAATTTCATCTCGAGAAATCAGCTGAACTGTTGAAAGACCATCAACACTTCGAGAAAGTGTATTGAGAAGAGAATCTTGATCGCTAACAACTTCAGATTTTCTTGTTGTTGTTAGGATATCTTCGCCGGATATTTGCACATGGTTTTGCTCGTTGAATTCGACAAGAAGTTCGGTCTACAAAATAATTTGATTGTGTGAAGTTAGGGGCATCAAAACTTTGAATTTTTGTTTAAAAAAAAAAGACTCACCGCTGCTCTACTTCTTGCTGTTAATTGCTCAATTCCGAACATAATTTGTTTAATGTCACCCAAACATTTTATTGCAACTGGTGGATTTTTCAAATCCTCATCAGTTATACTCAACAAGCACTTGCCATCAACCTGAAAATATATTCCTTTGGAATTTTCTCACAGAAAAATAATAACCACAAAAATACTCACCTTGTGTTCATGAACCAGCAATTTTGCATATTTTTCCATTTTTATAGATTTCAACCAATTTTCAACATCATTATAGGACCAAAAACTAACATCTTTATCAACGACTTCTTTACCCATTTTTGTCTTTCTGAAAAAAAAAGAATCATAATAAAAATATAAATTCAAAAAAGAATAAAAAAGCGGAAGAAACAATAAAATAATAATGTTTCAAATATAGTTTCCATAGAAAACATGAAAAGTACGCGCGCTAAACAACGGGCGGTTGGGTGGAGTGTCGTTGTTTTGTCCCTGTAAGAAAGGAGAAAGTGCAAGAAATTTTGCAAGAATGTTATCAAATAGATAGTTTTTTCTTATATTACGATAAAAGGGCAAATAAAAAAAGTTGTGTGTGAAAATAAAAATGAATAAATATGAACTTGAATCATATTTTATTATATATTTTTTCTCTCGAAAGAAAATAGAATAAATTAACTGGGGGTTAGTTAATCTTCTTTTTTCGCACCATCAACCAAAATAACGTATTTGACCAAACTAGAAAGGTCAAACTAGAAAAAAAACAAAATAACTTTATTCATCAAATTAATAAAAAACCCATAAAATATCACAAAGAAAATTGCAACGAGATCAAAAATATATAATATTTTTTTTTCTTGGAAAAAATTACTTTTTGAGAAAAAAAGTCTAGCTAGGTTTTGAGTGAGTGGTGAGTGAGACCCAACATTATTTGTCTCAATTTTTGCTGAATTTGAGAAGATGAAATGAAAAAACCAGTTTTTCAATAAAAAATTAAAAAAATAAGAAGAATTAGATGAAAAAACTGAAACAAAAAAAAAGAAAAAGTAATCTAATAGTCACTTCGGCAGAGTCGTTGCATTGCAGAGACGCAGAAAAATAGGACGAATAGGGATCCAAAAATCACACATGGCACAATTATAAGCATTTTCCCACCAAATGTTGTTCGATCTTCTTCTTCAATGTCCGTGTTTTCTTCTTCCTAGAAAAATATCAGTAGATTTAGGGGTTCCTATTTAAGGTCCTCTCAATTTAAAATTTGAAAATTTTTCCACTCGAGGACCTATAGAACGGTTAGAAGTTATGGCCCCTCTTCTTCTTGATCATGAGATCCAAAATAAAATCCCGCTCCAAATTTCATCCTAAACATATCAATTACCTGTTGAGGGCAATACCATCGTGGCATCATCATATCTTCGGAGTGTTGTTGATTGCATGTTCCACGGCATCTGTAATATTCAATTTGAATGTTTAGGTTCTGAAGTTAAGTTGTGATAGCATTTTGTAAAAATTTTCCTATAGCTGATATTTCCATTTTTCATTTTTCATCTTCCAAACCCTAAACCTTTACCTTGATGAGCACGATTCTCTGGTATCAAAAGTGTGCACAACATTCAAGTCTTGTCTTGCGTTGATTGGAGAATTACGCGCCAAAACTTGAACCACGGCGAAGCAAACAACAAAAAACCAAGCAAGTTAAAGGCCTCATTATATTGTGTATCTGTAATATGAAAATGTATTGTGAGTATCAAAAATTCGAATAGGAGATAATTAAAAAGCACAAATATATGTAGATGGAGAAATAAGAAATAGGAAAAAAAAGAACACGAAACAAGAAAAAAATATTTTTAATTTTCTCTTTCAAGCACCATCATTTGACCTTCTTTTATTTTTCAGAAATATATTTTGAAGAAAATTTCTGTACTGAAAACTAGAAAATTAATATAACCTGATATCTAGAATAAGAAAAAGAATAGTTGGGATCAATTAAAAAACAACAAACAACAAATTTAAAATTAGTTTGAAGACTAAAAAAAAGTAGGAGCAAAATAAGTAGAAGAAAAAATGAAAAGGAGAAAATGACAGAAAACCGGTGAAGCGCAACGTTTGTTTCGAAATGGATATGTCTCATCAAATTTGTACATATTTTTGTGCAACAAACTTTGCGCAAGACAAAATTACAGAAATCAACAAAAACATGGATTTTATCTGGATAATGAATATACATATAACTGAAATCCGACTTCTCTCAAGTTATGTATATTTTTTACTATATATAAATAATCCACAGAAGCAAGCATATCATAGATTTTTTTTCTAATCATAAACAACAACAAGATAAATTTACGAGTTTTTCAAAGAAAGAACATAAATAAATATTGAGTGAAACAACAAATTAATTTATTTATTCATCTGATGCCAGTTTTTCAATTTTAAATATTCATTGTTTTCGTTTTTACTAGCTGTCGCCTTTTTTTGAAACGAAATAAAAAAGACTTGTGTAAAATGAACCTCGTGAGACTTTTTTTACTGACTGAAATGAATAAAAATATTCTCTCTATTGAAAACATTTAGATAGATATTTATCGTTTTGAAAATGAAAATTTTCGAAAATAAAACCTTGGGACAAGTGGCATCCTGGTTAGTCGAGTAAAAACGGATCAAATGACAAAACATATAGTGATTTATTTATTTTCACATGTTTACCGCAAGAAAAAGTATATATTTCTTTCCCGCTGAAATTGGTTTGGTTGGAAAAAAAAGAAAAAACCGGCAATTATATTTTTTTCGGTTTTTTTTCAGAAATATAAAAAAAATCGGGTGAGAATATTCTATATTTTTTGGAGAAAAGTCAGTGAGGAAGGAAGGAAGAAGGAGAAGAAAAGTATATTTATAAACAACAAGTCCAATGAGAACATCATAGAAAATGGTAATTTTTCTAGCATAATTTGCATTTTTTAAAGTGCATGTGACTCAAAAACTGAAGGAAAAATGCTGGCTTAAAATCATCATTATTGGGTTCAATCACGTTTTGCAGAAAATCATGAGAATGTATCATTTGAAAATTAAATATGACTAATAAATTAATGAAAAAAATTCGATTTCATCGAAGACTATTTAAATTTGACTGAAAACAAGTAAATTTTGACTTCAGAGTTCTGTATGTGCTCAAAATGGTCCCCAGTTTTATTAAAAGTTAATTTAGGGACTTGAAAAACTTTTTGAATTTCGAAAATTTTTTGAATCAGCCAGATCTAAATTTTTGGTTTCATATTAAAATTCTCTGACTCAAATTCCAAGTATCTATAATCGTTTTTGTTGAAAATATGTTGTCAAATTCGAAATCCTTCATAGAAATTTCAAGTTTTCGAAAGAATTTCTCTATAAATTTGAACCGTTAATAACACATCTGAATTTGATAAGCAAGTATTTGGGTTCCAAAAAATTCAGTTGTCAAAATTTTACGACAAGCATATAATCATCTAGAACTTCAAAAAACGTTGTTCTCTGTAAATCGGAAATACAGTATTCCAATTTCTAAGTGTTCATGATTTTCTCAAACACCATAGAAATATTTCTGAAAAATAAAATCTCTCCGGAAATTCGATGTTCCGGGGAGTTTCTACGCACTTTGAATCGATTAATCTTCTCAGCCGAAAAGATGAATTTTCCGAAAATTCTATATTCTAAATTAGTTTTTTCTTCATCTTTTCTCGTATCCGCAAGCTACCGCGAGAAGTCGCATTGAAAAATGCACGAATACATGAAGAAGTGAAAATGGAATAAGTAGTGAATAATTATTTTCATTTTTTGTCGCTTCTTCTTCTTCTTCTCGCCCCGTTTTTCTCAGTGTGTTAGGAGAAGAAGAAGGAGAAGCTTCTCCCTGGTGGATTATCGCGCGGCCGCGAGAAAAGCAAAATATGTGGATTAGCAAATTGATTAAATTGGCCATCGTTTACACTATGCACATTTATTTATCAAAATGAAGTCTTATGGATTATCCTTTCAGAAAAAATGGGAATATTTTATTTTTCTAGACGATTTTCATTGGATTTTTGAGAAATGCGAAAAAATGAGAATGATAATGTGAACGGAAGGATATTGCACGATGGGATTAGTGGGGAGATAAAAGGACATGTGTGTAGAAATAACGGAAATTTGAAAAAAAATGTAGATTACACTGGTAATTATAGCCCTACGTAAATGCAATTCGCAGAAATTTCAGAGAGTTTTCAGATTGCTAGATGTTTTTTTTGAAAACAGAATAGATGGAATAAATTGAATTTCAGATTTGAAAAGAATTGGGTTTTGTGAATCAGAAGAAATATTGTGCTAGACAAACACTGAAAGAAGAATTTGTGGTAATTTGATACATTTCACTTCCGTTTTTGGTATGGTTAATTTTTGAAAGATTTAGGAATCAGAGAGCAATAAAACAGTTGGACTTTCTGAATGAGGAGAAAGAAAAATGTTGATTTTTCAGAAATTCTTGAAGAAAATTGTGAAAAAATAGTTCAAAATAAAAGAAACCAGTGAAATAATCTCGAGCTGAGAAAATTCCAAATTTTCCTTAAGCTTTGAGAACTGATGTTTAGAAACACAACGAAGTTTTGCGTACAGTAGGATTTTTTTTCGCGAAAATTAGTAGTTTGGCTGTAATTTTCAGACAAATATCCACCGATTAACTATTAATTTTCAACAAATTATTCCAAATTCAAATAGGTAACAATTATGATACTCAAGAACTTTGAAATGTCATCATTAGAGAATAAAAGCCAAAAAAATATCGAAAAAAAAGACAAAAAAAAAAAAAATAATACATACAGCAGGCAGGCAAAAACTATTAAACGACTAAAGCGAAAAGAGCTAATCTACCATGAAAAAATCTTTCTTGGTTGGTTTTCTCTCCTATTGTTTCGTGCTCGAAAATTGTCTTGTTTTTGAAAAGGAAACAGAACCTTCCTATTTCCCAAAATTACCTTGGTTTGAGATTTATTTTCATGCATTCTGAATTGAGCGAAAAAAATTGGAATAAAAAAAGTGAGGACAGCAAAAATGAGAGGAGAGAAAATGCTAATTTCTCTCGAGATTATTAGATTTTCCTAATTCTTCTCACTTGTAGAACATCAACTTGACGAAATTTGTTATTTTTTGCATATTCACATCGTATTTTAAAAATGGAAGAAGATTATCGTGTCACTCAGAGGTTCCTGAGTTTCGGTTCCGAAAAAAACAAAGAAAAAAGTTATTACTATTACTACTTTCAAAAACTAGAATGTCACATTCCACATTTGGCCATTTTTTTACGATGCAACATTTCTCTTTTTTTGAAAAATATACAAAAAATATGTGATGGTGGTGGGGGAGGAGAAAATCTACAAACTTTTTGAGGGGTGTGTCAAAATAAGATTTATGAGTTTGGAGAGTCCCTTTAGTGGTTGTTTAGAGTCGGAGTGGTTTTTTTTATTTTGCTTGGTTACATAGATTCATATGGGAAAAATGAGGACACCTGAATAAAATTAATCGAAAAACTTTTTATTCAAAAAATTTGAGGGATTTTTGTTGAAAGAAATCTATTTTTTCTAGTAGGAGTTCTGGCCCACTGATCAAGAATCCGTGGACAAATTCTACCCTAACACACCCCGAAGATTTAGAATCTCGAGGGTACTTTTGTGAAAAATTTGAACGTAAACTTAAGGCTAAAATTAGGCTGTCAAATCTCTTCAGCTCATTCTCAAAAAAAATGAGCCGCCAACAAAACTTGTCACAAAATGTTTGCCGGTGTCCTTTCTCCGCCTTTGGCTTTTTCCTCGTCCAAATAGATGACTAGATAATGTAGAATGATAGAGTGTCGTGTCCGTGGACGAAGAAAAATGAAGGAAAAGAATTCCTGCGATTCCCAGAGGGCATCCCTCTATCTATCGAGTCCTTTTACTTTGTCCTTCTCCTAGTTTTTCTCATATCTTACAAAAACCCATAAAATAACATGTGGATGTGTGTGTGTATGATGATCAAGACTAATTTCATCCACACATCAAATTCTTTCGAGTATTTTTTGGTAGTGGGGGTTTGAAAGATGGTGTGGATGGTGGGAAAGGGATTCTTCAAAAAATAATTTGGGCTAAAGAATTTTGATGTGGGCCTTTCTAGGCCTAAATATTCGTAGAATCTAATAGCCTTCAAATCGGAAAAAAATTCTAGAGTGAAAAGAAATATGTAACATTGCTTCAAATTAAAACCTCAAACAGAATGCTGTCGGGAATCTGGTATTCAGAAAAATTATGAATCTGTACATAGATATCCTGAAAACAGAAAATACAATTTAGATTTTGTATAAATAAACTATTATTACATTCCAGAGCTTTCTGAAAAATCTAACAAATACTTTTTGAGCACTGGACAAATTTTTTTTCACCTATGAATTTTGAGGTTAAATTTTTCATGGAGCTCAAAATGAATTTCAGAAATGCAGAAAATTGTCTGCCAAAAATCTGTAGGTCAAAAAAAAACGATGGAACCCCAAATATTTCTATTACATCAGTTATATTTCGATACTGAAACTCTCAAACACAAAAATTAGAAAAAGTCAAGGAACACTTTCCGAATGACAACTGACATGATTTTTTCTGATACTTCATTTATCTCTGACACAAGATGACTAATATAATTACGATGCAGAAAACAAGAAAAAAATCGAAAAATAAAACCATTTGAAATTGCTAATAGCATGGATTCTCATTTTCCAGAAACAAGAAAAAACGAGAGAAAAAAAAACTAATTTCCGGCGTGAAAATTGCAACTAATAACATTTCAAGAAGTCATCTATCTATCTTGCAAAAAATCTGAATTTTTTCTTCTTGCTTTCGCAATTTTTGCTAGAGGACTACCAAAAAGAAAAAGCCGGAAAGTCGGCGAGTAGAAGAAAGAAGTGATTAGGTCAGAAAAAGAAAAGAAACAAGAAAAAAGCAAGAAAAGAATCATCCGACAAGTTTCCAAATTATTTTAATCTTATTTTATTTTAGTTTATTTTGGTTGACTGACTGATTGAGCCAAAATATTTTCTCGTCTGGTTTTCAATGTTTTATTTCAAAGGCGATCATTGACAAGCAAAATTTACGAGCTGTAAACCGAACAGCTGTCACTTTTTCACCGGCCAAAAAAGTTTGAGCTCAAATTTCGTATTTCTAAAAGATTCATTTTCTACATCACACAATACACATTTCAAAAAAAAAAGCTTTTTTGAGTAGGGGGAGAAACAATAAAAATAATAATGAAAAATAATAAAATAATGGTAATAAAATGAACACCGACTGAGAATTCGCAAGAAGACTTTGGAAGATTATATGAAAAAAAGAGAAACAATGTTTCTTAGTTTAATAGGTCGATCGTATTGAAGTAACTGCAGCGTGAGCAACAAGAAGTTCGACGAGAAGTTGAGATTCTAATGAAGCACGAACATCAACAACCCAGTCTCTTGCAAGATTTGCTGGTTGACCTTTCAATAATTGAATGATGCGGATGGCTTTATCAAAATCTCCATTTCTAACATAATATCTGGCGCGTGCGAGTACCTGAAAATTTGAATTTATAAAAGGAAAGCAACTAAATATTCCCACAAAAAAAGTGTCTCATTTTTTCAAACATTACTCAAATCCCTATTAAAAACTCACATCAATATTTCCAATATTATTCACATCAATTGGTTCATTATCAGCATATTGTCTTGGCAAATCAACCAAAAACAAAGATCTCACATATGACCAGAAATATGAACCCAAAGATCCACCATTTTCATCGATTGTCGATGTTTGACGACCGACTTTGTAAAGCTTCTCGAAACGATTTTTTAAATCTTGTTCAGTATATGTTCCACTTGTTACCGCTTGTTGAGGGAATGACGCAATAACCGCGTTTACAAATTCATCTTCTGGGTTTACCTGAATACCAAATTTATTGTTTTCGTTCAATTTCCACAAGAAAAATAGTTACCTCTTTCAGCAAATTCAAAGATTCCTTCAATGATAATCTTCTTGAATCAATATCATTTCCAGCCTTATTTCCATATCGAATTGTGTCTAACAAATTATGGCAAGCAATCCAGAATTGTTTTGTGCGACGATTCTCGTTATCCAAAGCGATTCTGCTTCCCAAAACTTCTTCGATACCATCTAATCTACTGATTGCAGCACCGATTTGAGCACTATGAAGGTCACGTTCTTTTCCAACAGCTTCTTCAATTTTTTGGTTTTGTTCAATTTCGAAAAGTTGACGTTGAGTTCTAATAACTTGTTCTAAATGTTCAGAATGAGCATGGGTTGTACGTTTTAATTGATCTTCCAATTCATTGTTCCATGATGAACGGCTTTGAAGAACCTGAACAAAAAATTTCGATAATGATTAAAAATCAAAAAAAAATAAACTAACAGCTTGTTCAATATCAACTTCTCTTTGTCTAGCAACTCTATTCAATTCAAGATTCAATTTATCAGCTGAAATTCTCTCATCAACATGTCGTTGATTTTCGAGAGCTTGAGCAATGTGTTGCTCTTCTCTGACTTGTTGTTCAGTGAGTTGTCTTCTCAATTGATCAACCTTCAAATGAGCATGAGCAATCAACGCGTTCAATTCATCCTCATTCAAATTCTTATCCTTGGCACTGATATCAACATTTGGCAAAATGCTTTTCATTTCCAATGCAAATTGTTGACGAGATTTTTCAATCAAATCTTTGTATTGATTGAGAACAGATGATTCTTGGCGAGATTTATTGACAAGTGAATTGATCTCATCGAGTTGGTAATCAAGTTTGTTGGCAGTTTCTTGAGCATTAAGAAGAAGTGGGTTACTAGCAGTGATTGGATCAGTTTTTCCTTGTTTGACAATCTAAAACAATCGTGTTGATACGGAAAAATTAGGATAAGGATAATTTTTTGAAGGCCTTCATCATCTAAAACAAGCTTTAAAAAAATAATACAAACCTGTCTCAAAGTGTCGATATAATTACGACCATCAACTTCGAATCCACTGTCAATTTTAGCTTCATCTTCAGCTTTGCGAAGCGCGGATGTAACATTTTCCCAGTTGGCGTTTTTGGCATCATCAACAGTTTGCTTCAAAATTGAGGCATGATCATTGATCGCATTGATTGTGCGAAGTTTGCTTTCAGTTGCAGCGCGAACTCTTCCTTCGGCTGAGTGAATTGCAGATTTGAGACGATCTTCGAGTTCTGAAATGAGACATTGTACATAATTTTTGAGAATAAGTGTTTAGTTTCAACTGATTTCGAAATGATAATTGTTCAAGATTGAGTTTTCAAATTCGGTGTGATCAATTTATGAAAAATTATTCGTGCAGTAGATAAAATTTTGTATGTAGAGCTCTCTCTCTGTATTTTCAAAACAATTCTTAGAAAAAACTTACGTCTATTTTTCTGTTCAACAAGTTGAGCCGATGGCGGAGTAGCTGGAGTATAAGATTGCTTCTTAACATCAACTGGTTCAATATGAACATTTGATTTTCTCTCAATTGGTGGCAATGGTGCAAGTTCCAATGGTGGCAAAACCTTCTCAACCTTCTTCACAGCCGACACATTTTGGATTTGTGGTTTTGATGCAATTGGATTTGCTGGTCCAATAATTCCATCAAAAACTTGTTTGATTGGTGGAACAGTGGTTTCAACTTGTTTACGGAATTCCGGATCAACATATGCGTATCCAACAACTCCACCAGCTCCAGCAACAGTGATTCCAACAAGTGCAAGTTTACCCCCACCTCCACCTGATGGTTTTGGCGCAGCTTTTGGTGGCGGCGGTGGTGGAGCTGCGGTCGATTGTTGACGAGCTCCTCGAACCGAAGTTCTTTTCTAAACATTCATTTTTGAAAATTATTTGAAATCAAAAGTATTTGTGAAAACTTACTGCAATAACCCGAAGCATTTTGGTAATCCCTGCAAAAAATCAATAAATTATCTCTATTTCACGAAGACAATGAAAACTAGAAAAAAGAAAATTCAAAAATTCTCAAATTAAAAAATGAAACAAACAAAAAAACAAACAAGAAAATAAAAGTAATGCGCGATGTGCACAAAAAAGACGTCAATCATTGCCAGCTGACACATTTGCACCTCACAGGGACAAATATATTGGTTTTGCCACGATTTCTCTGTTCGTTTGACGCTCTCCTCTCCCCACACACTATTCTTATGTCTCTCTGCTTTTCCATTGATTCGTTTTTTTCATGTTTCTCGGCTGACTTTTCAGGAAGAAATGTTCTTTATTTTTCAACATTCCAATTCTCATATGAATTTTATTTTTTTTAATCAAAATGAATTATATTTTTTTAAATAATAGTATTTTTACAGGGGATGAGTCGAGTGGCTCATATATGTCAAACTTTGCTAACAAGTCAGACAAATTTTCCATCAGCAGTTTTTCATTTATTTTCAGCTGCCTTGGTGAGTTTGTCCCCCGAAAAAATCAATAATTTTTCATTGAATTTTTTTTAGGCAATAGCAGCATTATTATCAAATGATTGGATAATTGTTGAAACTTATAATCAAAATGTCACATCTCCTGATTATGACATCAATGATATTTTGACAAAGTTAGACAACTCGGAAAAATGCGACACAATTGGATGTCGCGATTTCTGGCGGCCAGCGAGATTTGGAGCATTTATTGATCTTGCTGGAAAATCACATATTGCTTTTCATTCGAATGGAAGAGGTTAGTTTCCAAGAAAGAATAGAAAACTCATTTAAATTTTAAAGTTTTTTTTGTTTTAAATTTTAAATTTCTCAAGCTTTGTTTATTTTTTTGAACCAGGAAGAGAAAAATGTGCTATATTGATATACTGAATTGAAAAATAACAAGGAATATTTTTCAATTTATTTTTCTTCAAAAAAATTGTTTTTTGTATTTTTTTCTGAATGGACACAATTTTACTGGCTACAATATAGTTTTGAGCTTTGTAGACTAACAAAAAAATAAAACAATATTCAGAACCAACATCTGAATCTAAAAATTTCAGTGATTGTTGATTGCATCACCCCAGCAGTTGCCAATCTTTTCTACATAATAATCGCATTATGTTTCGTAATTGCTATAACTTCATCCCTCTCTTGCTCAATGAATCTTGTTCCACCACCAGCTGGATTCCTCTTATGGGTTCGAACCAATTCAATTATGGAAATGTCGAATAGTGAGTTTAATTTAAAAAAAAACTTATTCAGAGAATCCAAAACAAATCAATTTTTCAGTGATGTTGACACTTTGTACATGTGTAACTGCAATTGTAGCCCAAACTGAAGTTGCTGCTCAACGTCCTGATGATGAAGTTTCAATTGGATCTGGGGTTTTTATGGTTTGTATCAGTGGATTATTGTGTTTTGCGGCAGCTATGGCAAGTATTAGACATAGCACTCAACTTAATCGAATGCGTCGGATTGATAATCAAAGATTGTTGTGTGCTAGATCTTTGAGATCGTGGAGAGATGCTGCAAGACGGCCAGATGATACTAGACCAATTGTTGATTTTGAAAGGTATGTTGATGGGGGGGAACAGGACCGTTTTCTCTTGTTAGTTTCATAATTCAGAAAATTTTCTCATAAAAAATCAAGTCACCTTGAACATCTCGGGGATTGAAAAATTGAATTATTCAAATCTAACGTCATTTCGTGGAACTTCTAATTAACTTGATTACCTTCATAATAACATAGGGTATTTTACTCATCATTTATTTATAGAAACATGTATTTTTTCTAGGATTCATAGGTTTCTAAAAAAAATTTAACTAGAAAAGCAACACATATGTTCTAACACATTCAAAAGTTTTATTGAAATATTTCTATTTTTTCTGATAACCAAACTATTCTTATGAAATTTTCTTCAAAGTTACAATACTTTTGAAATTTGATTGACATTCTGTTCCTCAACTATGCTGAACTAAAACTGATTAAAAAAACATTTTCAAAAAAGTGACATCACTGCAGTTCCTTTGTGTGACGTCACTCAATTTCCGAAGTTTTTAATAAATCTTTTTATAGCTTTTTTTCTCGAAGCAATTATTTTTATGAAATAAAACGATTTTGTTATTGGAATTGAATTTTAGAACTGATATGATATGTATGATAATTAAAAAAAAATATTTGTGCTCTGAAAAACTTCGAGAAAATTGATAAGGATTGCTTCTGCTTCATTGAAATAGGTTTTTCTGGAATATTGTAAATAAAAAGTTTAATCAAAAATCAATCGCTACAAAGAAACATCTGAATAAGGTTCAAAATTTTTCAGATATCTCGATGAATGCGCTGAAGAAATGCAAACTGTTCAAACCACCAATCACACTTCTGATGTTTAATTTTCTGTTGTCAAAATCTTATTTTACTGATTGTATTAATTGATTTTCTGGTAGCATGTATATTTTTAGCTTTTAGATCTCTTTTTGACTCCCTGAACCCATACACATTCCATAGGTATTCTTGTCACATATAATGCTGTTTTTCAAATTCCAAAAAAACTGTACCCTAGTCATGTTGGATCTTTTTCCTTTTTTTCCCTGTATGAATTTCTGCATTTTGTTTTTCTTCCTTTTCTTGGTAAATTCGGTCCTTGCTTTATTCTGTAAATAACTTGTCAAATAAAACTTTCCTTTCCATTCTATTCCTTATAAAAAACAACAGAAAAATTATCGATTCATCAAATGACACTGAAAAAAACGACACCCATGACCAAAACAAAACACGCACATAAAAGGTTTTTTTTGGCTCCGACTGATAAAGAAAAATCACCTTTCTCTCTCTTTTCATATTTTTTTCATTTTTAGTTATACATAAAACTGTCGGAAAGTTGAGATAAGAAGTTATTTTTCCGCACAAAATGGGAAAAATTATACTTTTCTTGTGTTTGGCGTTTGTTGGAGTGAGTTTTTTGTGAAACGTTTTCGTTTTGGTGGTAGAATTTTTTCACAGAATCATTTTTTAGGTTGGAGCCAAGATCATTTTCAGAGAAAAACCACAATTTGAAATCAGTGGAAAAATCGAAAAATGTCCAGAGGTAATTGTAGTTTTCAGTGCTCTTAAATATGAAATAAATCAATATTCTTCGATTTCCGAAATTCGAAAACGAAAAAATCTCAAAATAGATATTTCATCATCGCCTCAAAATAGATTCACCAAAAATTGTTTACAAGTTATTTCTCAACAATAATTGATAAGAAGTGAAGTCCTTAAGAAGATTACTGTATTTATGTTTTTACAGGGTGAATATTATGATGCTTTCATCGAGGAATGTTTTGCCTGCTCACAATGTTCCAATTTCATGTATGAGATGTAAGTTCCTAGATAAATCTCTGAATAAAAATCCGAAATCGAATTCATAGAAAATCGTGTACTCCAACAAACAATGCAGTCTGTGGCTGGTGTGGAAATCATCCAGATGTTGAGAAAATGTCGGAAAAGTTTGTGATAAGCTCATTTTTATTGATTTTTTTTTCAAAAAAAAATTTAGGGTTTTGGTGTCATATCAGAACAAATGTTTGATGTCAAGTTTATCATTTGTTGATTTTATGAAAATGGAACCAGAAGAGATGGAACAATTGAGACTTAATTCGAAATATGCGGAACTTCTTGATGATGATGAGGATGATGAAGAAGAAGAAGAAGATTGGAATGAGGATGAAAATTCATTTGAAGATTCAGTTGAAGAACTTGACAGAGTTCGTTGAATACATTAAATAGGGCTATAGAGATTTTTCGAAAAAAAATAAGAGAACTCTATTCAGATACGGAAAATCGAGAGACTTGAGATACTGAATTTCTAAAAACAACATTAAAAATAGATCCTGTTTTCTGAACTTCCCTTTAAGATAATTATTTTTGATTATTCAGAGACACATGTTCGTCCCAATTAGTGAATCCGATGAACGACAAAATGCAGATCTTGAAGTTTATGATTCCTATGAGTATGATCCAAAATCACCAGAAAATGACGAAGAAGATTCCCAAGCAGCTGATGACAACGATGAAGACATGAAAATTGTTCGAAGCGAAATCAAAAAATATTTTGATTTGAAAAAAAGTATGCAAGAAGATGATACCGAAGAAATTCTCCCACTCAAAATTGCATTCGATGATAATTCTGATTCTGAAGAAAACGATGACGACTCAAAATTTGACCAAATTTGGATCGATGATCGTGTTTTAAAATTTGAATTGGGAAGTGACAAAATTGACAAAGAAGAATGGAAAAGACAAGCTGAATTGAAGTGAGACCACCGCTTGCTTGCTTTGTTTTCTTCTCCTCAAAAACATTAGTGAAATTTTCAGAGAAAAATTGATCATTGATAGTATCAATGCTCAACGTCAAAAAGCAATTCATCTTCGTGTTCTCTTCCTTTGTGCATGCTTTCTCATTATCGCACTTTTCGTTCGTCATACTTGCAGACGTCATCCAACTTTCCGAACTGTTCATCTCCATCATATCGATGAGAAAAGTAAGCAATTATGAATTTAAGATTTTTCTTAAATGTAATCATAATTTTCAGTTTTGAAAGAAAGTGGAGCTAATGCTGAGAAAGCCAACAAATACGCTTACGATGGACCAGCTGAAGCTGTTTAATTAATCAACAAATATTTTTCCAAGATACAGTAAATACAAAAAAAATAAAAAATAAAGTTTCTATAAAATGTGATAAATGTATGTGTATATCTTTTCATAAATTTTTATTCAGTTTTAAAAAGTCCTTAAAGATAAAAATCGTTTCGATTTTCAGAAAAAATTGAATATTCATTCAAACTGAATTAACTCCTAATATGATTATTTTCAAAATATGAATGCAGTACATGGTTTATAATCGATTTGATGGATTTTAAAAATTAATATTTTAAAAATTTTCTTCCAAACTTTTCTAATTTTGTAATCATCTGATTTGTTTTTTGAGTATTGCAGTCTTGCTTCAAAAAACATAGTAACTCACTTTTTTTGGAAACTAGAAATTTCATAGAATTCAAAAATTTCAAAATTAATAAATTTTCTCAAATTTTCGGAATCTTTTATATTTTTCTTGTAACCTCAGACTTCAAATTCATTTTTCTTCAAAACCCGAAAAAAGTCCCGTTCCAAAATTCTGGTTTCTTACCTCAAAGCTACAAAAAATCCCATTCAAATCCAATTTCCTGTTTTTTATTCAGTCCCGATTCCAAAGTTCATCTGACCTCTATTTTATTTTCTCTTCAAACATTCCCATCTGATCACATTTGATAAACCTATAGATTAACATCATCTTCTTTTATTTTAATAGTCATTATCCCAAGCCTCTTGATTCACTCTCAATTTCATCAATATCTATATACATATGTACCTTTTTTCGGACAAAACAAATACTTATTTTTGTATATTCATTTCAAATGAAACACATACATACAAAGAGAAAAATAAAGTTACAATTGAAACCAAAAAAAATAAGTTATTGCCTGAGACCAAGAAAAATGCGAGAAATGGATGAAACAAATAAAAAACATTTGGGGGTACCCGGATGAGGAAAAATGAAAGAATGGAGATTGATGAATTCGAAAAAAAAACAAGAAATTGTGCCAAAAACATAGAAAATTAAAGCGACATGTAAACAAAAACGTCAGATTTTTGTACTTTTTTTGAGCGTGAGTTCGGCAAAATTGTTGACGTGAAATATGCGATTGTTGATGGTTGTAGATAAAGAAGTCGTGGATGACTGCTTCGTCTAATTTGCAAATAAAAATTATAGAATTTGAAAAAAAGCGACAAAGAATGAAAGCAAAATAATAAGCACATGCTTGAGACACTGTTAGGACATAGTTAGATTTCAGACGGTTGACATGCGTGAATCGCAATAAGCATCTTGAACAGCCAAATCGTAGGCGATGGAGTTGCTCTAAAAATTATATGGGTGGCAAGTTAGCAAATATAATTAATTAATTCGGAATAAATTGATTTTTTCTAGGAGGAGGCAGGGGAAAATTATTTGGGGTAGGTGGTCCGGTTAGACAACAGCTTCGCGGCTCACATACAAGCCATACGAATCGCTAACCTCTGGCGGATGTTGGTTGAACAATCGTGGTGCATCTGGACTTGGATCGTAAAAGTTTTCACGTGAATTGATGCTGAAACTGCAAAAAAACATTATTTTCTTTTTTTCGAAAATTGAACTATCTTAAAATAAACTCACTCTGCCTTTGCTTTTGGTTCATTGTAATTGTTATGCTCCTTGATTCCTGAAACTAAAAATTCCAAATATTTAAAAAAATATATGGGAAAGAGAAAAAAACTCACTTTGTCGCACACAAATTGTCACCAAACAAATGAGCACCAACGCAACACCCAAAGCGATAACAATTCCTAACCACCATCCAGAGATTTTTGACACCATTGTAGTGTCGCCACCAAGAAGATCATCAAGGCTGACTGGGATACTGTAAGAAAATTTTATTTGAAAAACTGTTTTATTATAATTTGGACATAATTTTGACTTTTCTGAACCTTGTGATCAAATTTCAAAGGGCGCTTCCCCGCCATTATTTTTTTCAAAATTACCCATATTGTTCTAATTATACGAAAACCCTCTCAAATATAATCCATGGTGTCAATGGCCCTTTTGCACTTAAGGTTTTCTACCCCTGCTCTTTATACAGTACTCTTTTGTTCTCCCCCTTTTTCGTAACGGACCATAACAAAAAACCTCATTCCTTTTTGCTCTTTTTTTATTTATATTATATATATTTTATGAGGAGGGTTAGAGGTCATCAATAAAATTTGAATAGAGTATGTATTGTTTGCTCAAAACAGGCATACCGTGACCCATTTCCCTTTCACTTATTATTATTTACTACTATTTTTTCCTTCTTATATAGATGACTACTATGTAAATAAGGGAACAGGATTAAACTTACAGTTTGGTGCCGAATTGATTTTGCACTTTTAGGGTGATTTGACGGTATTGATCTTCTTCTCGAACTGGTGAGATTTGAAGTTTTGCAAGATAACAATTTGGAACTGTGTTGTTCAAAATAGCCGATTCAAATCGATAGTTTTGCCAGATTTGTCCAACTTGAAGATCATTTTGATCTACACTGAATACAACTTCTCTTGGTGGTCTTGGCATTGGTTCAGCGCAATAATGTACAGTAACAATGGCATCATTTCCGCGTTGCTCAATACTTGCTGGAGCATCAGAAAGACTTGGTGCTCCAATAACTTGAACTGTTAAACTGGATGATCCTGGAGTGTCTCTTGATGGTGAACATTCTGGTTCTCCTTGGCTGACTTGGGAACAGGCGGCACACCAATATTGTCCGGAATATGAATAATTTGCGATTCTCAATGTGCAGAGAGCTGATAATTTCACGATGTTTTGACGATGTCCTTCTGGTTGAATTTCTTGATATTGTCCTTCTAATCCTTGTGGGCAAGCAGCATCAACAACATCACCATTTGGTTTTCTCAATTTCCAATAAACAATTGGTCGTGGATTACCTTCAACTTGACAACCAAGATTAATTTGTTGATTGATTTCAATTCGATTATTTGCTAAAAATGGAGATGTTGCTTGAAGTTGTTGGAAATTATCTTGAATAAGTTTAGCCGATGAATATGGATCAATTTGAATCGCTTGAGAGGTTGGCATTTCAGAATCTGGCAAAAGTCCATTATTAGCTTGACATTGAATCGATTGTCCAATCATTTCTGTTCCAATCGTGATTTCAGCACCAGTTCCACTTGGCGAACCATTTTTCAACCATCTGTATTGAGTTGCAGGTGGATGAGATTGCACATTACACTTAAGAGTCTTTCGGCGACCTGATTGTTGGCACATTCCATCTGCTCCTCGATTACACTCAACAAAGAAACGATATCCTTGATTGCTGATCAAGATTGGAGCATGACCATTTGAATCAACAACATGGGGTTGTTTCATGTATCGAACATCAACAGTAGCTGGCGCAGAATCGACAGTACCTACAAAAAATATTTATATGGAAAATATACCTTTGATTTATGTTTTTTGCTGTTCAAAACCAGCCAGAAAATTAGCACCCTTCGCATTAAACATCTGTTGTAATCCCTCATCGGATCTATCTCCAAAAAAATCCCCCTTCCCCTTCCTCAAAAAAATTTGCATCTCTTTTGTTCAATGTCGGCGACCCCCAGGTGTACCCAATAATTACCAAAATAATAATTATCTCAAAAAAATAATTCTTTTAGACACATCCTTTCTTACCTCCATTCAGAGCAGCTTGGCACATAATTGTGGCACCAGTCCAATTTGCATTGACCGCAATGTTTTTGAGGGTGACCGTCTGGAAAATAATGATGAAAACTAGAACTTTTTCATGTTGTTTTTCGCCTCATTTATTTTTGGTTTTTCCTACAGGATTTCAGGATTGAGAGGGAAACATCGCTTTTCGCAATTATCATAGTGCAAAACGGTAGTAGTAGTAACCTTGAGCGATTTTCGCTTGATAACATCTTATGACACATTAACCGCAAAAAAGTGCTTGGCTAGCCAAATGATTTTTATCGGGAGACACAAAAAATGTTTCTCAAGAGATTGCGCAACTTAAATAGAAAGATAAACCATGACCTATTCTCTCTTTCTCAAACAAATATGGATAATTATTGGATGAACCGATCAATAAATCCCACCATTTTTTTGTGTTGACCTTGAAAGATTGTTAATCTTCGAATGGCGGTAAGTGTTTTTGAAGAGGAGAAAATCCCTCATGGAGCATGAGTCAAGGTCAATATTCTTATAATAAAAAATAAGAAGAACTTACCGGAAATCCAACACGTCGTGTTAAATCTTGTGCAGAATTTAGAACATGAACCATATCAGTGATATTCTTCTCTAAACAATCGGTGCATACAAATCGGAGTTGTGAGACTGGAGCTTCAGAAACACAATAAATTGTTTCTTTGGTAGATGTTCCTAGAAGTGTCCAAACAACTTGATTTAGTTGTTCAGCATTTGCAACAGGGAATGGTTCATCAGTTATTTTAACTTGAGCTAACATCATATTTGAAAGCATTTGTGTAGAACATTGTGATATCAGTAATGGTAAAAAGAATAATAGGTTCATATTCTGCAAAAAAAATGATTTTGAAATAATGAAACACTTGTTTTCGGAAGAAAAAGTTCACAACAGGAAACGAGATACTGTAGGTTTAATACAACATACTCCAGATGAAAAAAACAGGAAATAACCCATAAACTTCTAGAAACCCCTTGATAACCAATTAATTGATATTTTCAGACTTCGAAAAAAAAAGAACACTAAAAAAGAAGAAGAAAAAAAAGAAGAACGGTGTGTGGAAGGAGAAAGGAGGCAAAAATAGAAGGGAAAGAAGACGAAGAAAAGAAAAGTGAAGAGACAAAAAAAAGGGGGCGGAACCGTAATTTTTGTCTGCGCACTCTCTACAGTACACCATACTGTCTCACCTTTGGTGTACATACATATTCGATGAGCATCCATGGTTCACAGGCAATATAATCGTGAAATTATCATTTTTTGTTCTGATTCATGTATACATTCAAAAATCAAAGAGAGAGGGAAAGAAAGAGATTGTATTTTTGTTGAAAAAGATAGAATCACCTTGTAATGGTTTTGTGTAGCCTTTTCCTCAAATGGAAAATTGGATGGAAGGTCAATGTTTTTTTTTATATTATTAGTGGTGGAGTGGATTGAATTGCTAGTGGTTGTTGTAATACATAAATGAATAAAATTTATATCAAGAAAATCTATGCCATGTTTCTTATGTGATTGGTTTTGATGGACAAGTTTTGAGGAGATGGTTACAGTATCTTTTGATGAATCACTTAAGACATTGTGGAAAGCAGGGTGCCTGAAGCTTGTTCTAAACTAGAACGAACTTTTGGAGATGTGAAGGTTCCACAATAGATTTAAAATATCACCTAATTGAAATTGCACATCTCATTTGGATGGTAGATCAAACTGGAAAAGTGTTGACCTAAACAAAAAACCAATCCAAACCTAGATAGGCGCAGTTCGGAAGCCTGCACTTAAAGTAACGAGGTAGATATTTTCAAAAATTCCACTTGGAAAAGGTCTAAAGCTAAGAAAATTTGAAAACATATCCTTTACTACTTTTTTTTACTAAAATCTGAAAAAAATCCTAGAAATCAAAATTTCAACAAAAAACGAAGAGATAAACATCAATCAAAAACTAGATGTCGTTTTTCTTCTGTTCAAAGGTAAGGTAACATTTTTCAAGTAACATTTGAAAAGAAAATGCATAAACTTTCTCTTTCAGAATGTTCAAATAAATGGCTATCAACCTATGAACTTTTTTCTTCAATTTTCCGAAAGAATTTGAATAAACATACAAAACTTTCTCCTATTTCTTGTTAATGTGCATCAAAAAACAATAGACCATATGTAACAAAGAAAAACAATCAATCGTGAAGGCCGATTTATCTCTCACTAAGGTGACAATTTAATTAATGGGTGTTTGTTTGTATCGTATGGTGTGAGTTTGGGAAAATTGACAGTAATAATGAAGAAAAACAATAATAGTAAGAAGAAGAAGAAGAACAATTATTATTATTATTAGAAGACTGTGAAAAAAAGATGGCCGTAGCAAGATCTTTATCGGGATAAAAAGGTTTTGGCGAGAAGAAGAAGAAGAAGAATTGTTGTGAGATCCGAATTCAGATTTTTAGAATGATCAAAGAAGTTTGAAATTGCTGCCGAATGAGTCATGAGATAAATATTTCTAAAAGTTATTAAATTATATTTAGTTGCACTCTTGTAACAAACAATATAAGCCTGTTTCTTCTGATTTCACAATCAGTAACGGAATTATAAAAATTCAGAAGCCCCTAAAATTTTTTTCATTGGAGAACTTGAGAATTTTATATTCATGTTGAGTAAAAAATCCCCTAAAATTTGCAAAAAACGAATTTCTATTTTTTTTTCTTTTTTAACTGTTTCATTTTTCCTATAAAACATATCTTCATATTTGAAAATAGGTTATTTCATACTCTGAATCTGCGTCTCTCAAACAAGCATATATTCTCTCCCTATCTTATCCGAGCAAACCGTACAGGATTGACGCGTTTTTTGTTGACCTTTCACCCCCCCCCCAAGGTGTTTGTTGTGATTTGCATCATTTGCATATACATACTCGCTCTTATTTTTTTATAGTTGTTGTCAGTATTTATTTTGATAATGGCTCATAATCAAAAAGAAGGTATTTTTCTAACAACACTGAAAAATGTTATTTAATTTTTATTAATTTTCAGAAAGTCTCATTCCCGTTGGCGAACGGGCCAGTTCGTCTCGCTCAAACCGAGTCTTGCTCAAACCGCCGTGTTGCCAAGAAACAATCGCCATTTTAAACGCTGGATATTGGATTAACTCAAACTCTGTTGAACATTCAAGCCCCACTCCGAGCTCTAATAGTGCGAAGTTTGCCCAACATTCCATGGACAATTCGTCAGGTGTTAAGTCCCCTCAATCATTTGCTAGTTCAATGTGAGTCAAAAACTTGAAAACTTGCAATACGACGTCCAAAGAAACAAAAAATCACAAGTTCAATTTATGTTAAAACTAAAATATTTTTGTTTGGACAGGCAAAAAATTAAATTGATTTGCTCTATTATTTAAAAGAAATCTTATGAAACGAGAAATACTCAAGAGAGAGTAAAGGCGAAGTTGCGTTTTGTAATTAATTTTGGTAGTATCGGGAACATTTTTAACTTTTTTGGTGATTCACAAAAAATGATATTATTTTTTTTTCGAACATCTGCCCTGATTAGACAATTTCCAGATTTTTTCATTAAAAATTAAATTTAGAGGATTTCAATTTAAAAAGAAACCATGTCTAAACACACTGAAAATAATATAAAAATTGGAAATGTAGTCTAAATGCTGAAAAAAATAATTATACAATTTTCAGCACTTCAACTCAAGCTGAACAACAAAAACAGCGCGTGGGTCAGTTAAACGAAGAACTCTGCCAGAAAGATGAATATATCAAAGAACTGGAGTCCCGACTCCAAAATGTCCTATTCAGGTAAGTTTTTCTGAAACTTCTAAATTCTCAATAATCATCAAACGGTTGTCTCTGTTTCTTTTTCAAAGCTGACAAAAAAGTTGAATTAATCGTAGAGGTACGAATTTAGAGAGACACTTTCTTAAGAAGCACAACAGAATCTTTAAGAATGAGTTTGATGCGTATCTGCTGCTTCTCTTTCAAGCCCAAAACATTGTCTTCACACTTCAAATTCAGCGCATCTAAAGATTTTCAAAAAAAAATGGTTTTTTCAGGGATCGGAGTGACTTCTCGCAAACAGCGGAACTATTTGATACAGTGGAGAGGCAAAATCAACAAATTAAAGAACTGTACAAAAAGATGTACGAAATTAGAGAAAATAGAGATCAAAGTGAGTTTTTGGAAAATTGACCTATTCTTTTACAAATATATAATGTTTTCAGTCGCGGAGGAAAATTTGAAGTTGAGAAAAAAGCTAGCTGAATTGAAATCTGCACAAAAGCAATAGCTTGCACAAGGTTGTATTACTTCATACACATGTTGTTGCCTTATCAGCTTTATAATGTTTTCTTCTTCTTCAAAACACTGCCGCTGTTTAATTTTCTCCCTCCTCATCCCAAATTGAATGAAACACCCGGTTGTATGATGTCATTATGGCAAAGAACACCGATCCCAACTCATTCTTAATTTTTATTTGCCACATTTTATATATTCCTTTGTTTTTGCTGCGAACACCTTCAGTGTCGTCATAAATTATTATTATAATGTGTCTTTTTCGTGCCTTTTAATCGATTTTCTCGCATTTTTTGAATCTTAAAGTGTTTCCCAATTATTTTTTATGTTCTATTTTTAAATTTATTTATTCGCAAATAAATTAAGAAAAAAATTGTTGAAAAACACACATATGATAAACAAAGATAAGATTGAATTGAAAAAATGAAAAACAAATCACAATGTATGACAAGAAATTCTCAGGTGTTTCGAAAATAAATAATCAAATAGTCAAAGAAAAATGAAAAGCGACCCATGAACATTTTAATTATGAGATTAATTCTGAGCATTGATTAAAAAATAAGATTACAAATTAGAAATAAAAAATAAGAAAAACAATTTTGGCAAGTTTTGTGAAGTTTTTTTTTTCAAAGAAAAACATATGGACACGAATCTGAGAACAATGAAATAGTTAAAGGGAATGTGAGAAAATTGAAAAACACCTATGATATTTGTCTTACTTGGTAAGTACTGTATTTCTAAACAATTGCCCAACGTGGATCATCTTCTGTTTCCGAATCGGATAATGGAATTGAACCGGGTTGGGCTTGAACTACACGAGCTGATGATCCATCACGATCTGATGCAAGAACTACTGTACTTGCTGCATAACGTCGAGGAGAAGTTGGTCCACGGTATGACGAATACATCTGGAATTTGTTTCAATCATGAATTGCCTTACACTTTATGAAACATTTGATGAACAAAAAACTTGAAATAGATATAATAAATCACCTGCGCCTATCAGTATTTTATATAATTTTATAGATATTCTAAATCATCATGTTTATTGGGCAAATAATTTGATTTTCTGGGAAATGTGATTTTTGGCAGAAACTTTTTGTTTCTTAACAGGGATTATTTTTTTTAATATTCTTAATAATTTTCTAATTTCAACTCACATCGGGACTTGGACTTGGTATTTCATAATATTGTGAACTCCTTGGTGTATAAAAACTATGACTTGATCTTGGTGACATTAATGGCGACAAATTGAGCATTGGTTGATGATTTGAATGTGATGAATGTTGACGCGATGAAGAAGGTCCTCCACTTCCGCCATATGGTGGATTGTAGCGATGATTTGACACTGATTCATAATGTGTTGGCATAGTTGCTATAAGTGGAAGTCTTCTTGATCTAACTGCCATTGGCATTGGATCATCTTCTTCGCTGATATCTTGAGGTGTTGAATCATGATATCTTGGACGGTAATCACGATCGCGGTCTCGATCTCGATCTCGCTCTCGATCTCTTCTATAACAATCAGTTCCACTTGAATCATCAGAGTATATTGGACTTCTTGAATATTGATTAGAATTCTGATATACTCGATGGTATTGATGATTTGTTGAATCATATGAGGGTCTTGAATGATCATACATATCATATCGATTTTTTCTGATTATTGGATCTCTAATTGACATTGGGAATTCAGTTCTTGACATTGGTGGTGAATCACTTCTATATCTTGAATATCGTTCGGCTGGTGACGGTGGCGATGCTCTCGCCATACTACGATATCTTGGAGATGTTGGTGAACGGTTATCTTGAGCAAGTAACAATTCCGTCTGTAAAAATATGTTTTACCGTTTTTGAAGCAAATTTTCATGCTACATATGTATGTACTAAAAAACCGGGATATATATGAATATGATATTAAAACATTCACATGCTAAAACTACCCTTTCCCATGCCTGATTTTTTTGTCAACTTAACTGATATGATGAAAATGAAACTCAGTTTTTTCACATATGTTGAAAATTTCAACTCATTTTCTATGGGGATTTTTATAAAAAGAAAAGCGATAAAGAAAATCATGCTATCATATTGTTTTGTTCACAACACAATTTGTACAACACGGGCACACGTTTAGCAGATTGATTCGGTTTTCTCGACATATCTTTTGTCTAACTGGCACAACACAAACCTCATCATATCGTGAGCCTCTATTGCGACTGCAACCGAAGCGGTTCGAATAGTTCTAAAAATATGGTTTACTGTTTCAAGAGATTTAATCATCGTTAGTTAAATGGAACTCCAAAAAAGGAAAGAAATGACACAAAGAAAGATAAATGCGATAGAAGTTTTTCGTTTAATTTTCTGGAAATATATATTTTGGGACCCATTTTGGATACAGTGCGACACAGAGACAAGTTGTGTTTGTTTATCATCAATTGATTCTGTGTGTTTTCGCCGAAAAGAAACCGCCTTTGGTGATGTGGGTGTGAGTCAGAAAAAACAATGAGGGGGAGAAAAATGACGTACCTGGTGTGCTTGATGGTCGGCAGAAGGACCGCGGCGTATTTTTGAGAACATGTCAGAGAGTCGGCGGCCTGTGGTGACTGATTTTTCCGAGTAGTCACTGAAAAAATTTGTTTTGGTAAATAGGGGCTGATGAAAAATCTGGGGAGTAAGGAGATTGACTTTTGACGGTAAGATCCTCACATTTAGAAGTTTGGGAATTTTTGATTATTCAAAAGTTCATCTCGGAAAAGAGGCCGAGAATTCGTAGCCAAAGGTTGAATCTAAATCTGAAAGCCCTGAATCCACAATTTTTTGATCCTACCTTTGTTGAAGAGGATCATATTGCAACGGAGTTACTTCATCTTCACTTTTAGCTTTGATTGTATCCACCAGAGTATTGAAAAGCGAATATGGTCTTTGTCCACCTCCAACATTTGCCTGACTTATTGAGTTTTGTCTTGGCTGCTGTTGCTGTTGCTGATGTTGTTGCTGAATAAGATGATTCTGCTGAGCGTGCGAAATCATCGGTGTCGTTTCTTCAGCTGGTGGTTGAGGTGTATGTGAAGTTTGTTGTGATGCTTTTGCGGCAGCAACCAGTGATCGTAATCCTCCTCCAAACAATCCGCCACCGCCAATCTAAAGTAATCTTGTTTTTTTCAAAGTTTTTATTATTCTGACTCTAGTTCAAAATAATCATGCTTTTCCTATAAAATTAAAATAAAAAATGACTCTACACATCTATCGGGTACTTTCTACTAATTGTGGTTTGGATTATTTATATTTTAGCAATTCCGTTGAAAAAAAAATCTCTACAAAGCGCACACCGTCAATTCTAAATATATAAATAAATATATATTTCATATAAAAACACACACATGTAACCTTTTTGTATTGTCCTTTTTTACATTCATAATTTCATATTTTTTTGACTCATTTTGTTAAATGTTATAAAAAACATCCAAATTTGTTTGTTAGTCATGAATGAATGAATCATTTCATACATTTGTATATTTTGAGGAGATTTTTTTTTGTTGAAAAAGAGGGAACCGCTAAAAGGTTTTTTGTTGGATGGTCAAGGCAGGCGAAAAAAGATAAATTTGAAAACGGGAGGGGGTTTTTGACCTGTTCATCCGTATTTGACGAATCTTTCGAAAACCATTGAAACACTGCATTTCGTCGCCGTCGAAGCAATTCGGCGGCACGCTGTCGTTTCATTGCCTCTAGCTAATTTTAACCTTGTACCCCCAACACAAATTTCATGTCTCCTAACTAAATTTTTTCTCTTCTCAAATATAAAACCCCGCTGAATAGAGAACATATATTAAAAATGGAAACTACTATTGAGAGCACCTCACATACCTCCGTGCCACTCTTTTTGGCTCGATAATTTTCGAGGATCAACAAACCGGCGTAGATTTTACCAACCGTCAATTTTTGGAAACAGAGTTCTGGAATTGTTTTTGATATTATTTTCAAAAAAAACTAAAAAAAAAATTACCGAAATTTGGTGGAACAACAAGATCAATCATATTTTTCTTCGCTTTCAATGGCCAAATTTTTTTCAAAGTTTGTCGAAGTTCTTCATCAGCTTCATCCATTTCTTCAACAGGTCTCATTTTGATACTCAAACTTTCTCGAATCAATGCGAATAGTGTTGTTGTAAAATGTACCGTTCCATCTTCAGATACAGGCATATTCATTCGAATCAGATGTTTATACGCAAGACGATATGGACATTTTCGACCAAATCCGACAGGCGGTGCTATGTTTCGTAACATGTCATACATATCAGTATAATGAATTCGACCTCTGCAAAAATCTATGTTTGGGAAACAGAATTTTTAAAAAGAAATCTTACGTTGCTGCTGGATCATAGTCGGCCCAAACTCGAATAAATTCGTCAAGATGATGGGGTCCGAGAATTGAAGAATCTCTTGTTAAATAATCGAAATTATCCATGATAACAGCGACGAACAAATTCAACATTAAAAATGAGGAAAGGAAAACGAAACTGGTGAAATATGCATAAGAAACATTGCTTCCACAAGTGTTTCCCTTTAATGCATTATATTGTTCGGAATTTGCTGATGCACATTCTTTTCCTTGAACTGCAGCCATCATAATATCTTGCCAACCTTCACCAGTCGCACATCGAAACAGTAGAATAACTGCATTGAAGAATGATTGGAAATTGTTGTGTCGATTGATTTCGGTTGCTGCGTTTAGCCAAATATTACCAAAGACTTGCATTCCAACAATTGCATAGATGAAGAATAACATTCCGATCAATAAACAGACATATGGCAGAGCTTTGAAACTTTGAACAAATGTCCAGAGCAAAATTCGAATTGTATAACCTTGTTGGAGTAATCGAATAAGTCTTGCAGCTCGGAAAAGTCTCAAGAATCCAAGTGACACGAAATGTCCACCAAATTCTGTGACCAAAGCATCGGTTATAGATCCAACAACTGTTACAAAATCGAAACGATTCCAACCATCTCGGAAATAGTTCTACAAAAATTGAGATTTTTGAAGAGCAGTTCGAAATTAGATAAATACTTACCCTAACACCAAACGCCAAGATTTTCAGAATACTTTCCACTGTAAAAACTGCGGTCAATGCCGTATTGAAAAACCGCAAAATCTCTTCATAAAATTGTGGATTTTTGTAGAACTTCATCATCAAAATAATTGTGTTACAACAAATCATCGTCATAATAAAATATTCAAATGGCGCAGAAGTGACAAGCCTCCATATCCGATATTTGATTGAATTCTTATCTTCCGGCATGAATAATGATCGAGGTCTCGCATTCAATGCAAAATCAATACATTGCTTTTGATTTTTGTCAAGATCTCCTTCACTCAATTCAGCTTCACCTTGTTCTTGGAAAGTGATGATAATCAACGCAACGAAAATGTTGACAAAGAAGAATGGGAAGACAATGAAAAACATCACATAGAAAAGTGCAACTTCGACTCGGAAAAATGGACTTGGACCTTGATCTTCGAATGTTGTGTCCATAGAATTCTGACGGATTCCAGGCCATCCTTCACCAGTTGTGACCACGAATAGAGTGAGCATCGCATTGATTGTATTGTCATAGTTGAACGGGCGAAGACGCCATTCACGTTGTTCGACACGCGGTGGATCATTCTGGAAATAATGTTTTTTTTTAAATTGATTATAAGGGTCCAGTTTGAACATTTCAATTGTCCAAAACTCACTTGACTATCATAAACAAAGAATTGACCATGACAATTTCTTGCAAACTTCCTTGTTTTGTCTGTGCAGAAAAAGAATTTTCCATTAAAAAGTTGGACAGCAACGACAGCAAAGATGAATTGAAACAAGAAATATACAATCAAAATATTGAATACGTTCTTGAGAGAGTTCACAACGCAATCGAATACAGCCTAAAACTTATATTGGAATCTCTTGATTTTCTATATATAAAATTATACCTTGAGTTTTGGAATTCTTTTGATAGTTTTCAGTGGACGCAACACTCTAAGAACCCTCAGAGATTTGATAGTATTGAGATTCTTTCCAGCACTTCCTTCGGTTCCCCTGAAAAATCATCGATTAAACCCGAACTGAGCAACATTTTTGCAGAGAATTTATGACAACTTGCAGAAAAATCTTTTGCAAAATTTTAAAGCAAGCCATCATTCTCCACTCTGTAAAATGATATTGTGCAAATTGAATAAAAAAGGGCTGGGAAAGCTTTTTTGTTTATTTTTCTGTTGTTTTTAGTTTAGGAGATTGGGAAATTAGTTAGTTGTTGGAAAAGGGAATTTGGGAATATGGGAATTTGTGTTTTTGTGAGGGTTAGGAGAAGTAAAACTCAGTGATCAGGGAGTGATCTTTTTTTATTTTTAAAATTTTTTTTGAAAAAATATTTTCGCACAATTACATTTATGGGCCTAGGCTGATTTATATTTTGTGACAAAATTAGACAGGAAAATACTTTTTATTACAAAATATATATCTTCAGGCCCATTACAAGGGAAGATTGCTCAAAAAAAAAGTTTCGAAAGTTTCATCAATTTTTTTCTTCAATTTCTAACATAAGTTGGCAATCTTCCCTTGTTAATTAAAAAGCACTACAATTTCAATAAAAAATTCCGAAAGTTTTTAAAAAGAAAAACAAATAAGCAACTACTGTTTTTGTATCAATTTTAGATGATATGGCTGTTAACTTACGTGTCTGAACTGCTAAAATGAAGTGATTAGTAAAGAAATAACGAACTATAAAAGAAAAATCGACTTACGCAAATCCAAAAGCGAACAAAGCACAGGTGACAACAATTCCATCAAGAATATTCCAGAAATCTCGACAATAAGAACCAGGGTGGAGTAGGATTCCTTGATCGATCAACTGAAATTTCTTTTTTAATTATCACTCGAGCAATTTTAATATTGAAATATTCAAATCAATTAAAAAAGGAAAAACCAACCTTCAATAACATTTCACAAGCAAAAACTCCAGTGAAACAATAATCCATATATTGTAGCACCCTATTTCTAGGATTTTCCTCATCAACTGGATCTTCTGCAGCTAATGAGATTGATGATAAGCAAATAACTGCCATAACCATCATTTCGAAATATTTGGTACATACAAAACTATGAATAAGTACACGGAATGGGTTTGTTGGTGATAGGAAAAACATTGATGAATATGGTACCATTGGTTTTGGTCCACCAAATGGACTTTCCTCCTCTTCACATTCTTCTTCAACATCTATCGCACAATGATCATCTCCTTGATATTGTTCATCTAATTCTTCAGATTCTTCTTCGATTTCATTTGCTTTTTCATCAGCTTCTTCAGCCGCAGTTAATTCTTGTGCATTTGCCAAGTTATCGACAGCGATAGCCAAGAAAACATTTAGCAATGTATAATTACCGAAGAGCACCAAAACAATGAAATAAATCGAATACACCATTCCACCGCCATAAATTCCACCTTGTGATTCAATAGCCAAATACATTACTTCATTCCAATCTTCTCCGGTAAGAATTTGAAATACTGTGATGAGAGCTACTGGGAAGGTGTCGAAATGTGTATAAGGGTGCATTGATGGGAAATTGAATTTTCCTCCGAAAAGTTGCATACCAAGAAGTGCAAAAATAAGGATGAACAAGAAAAGCAAGAACAAAAGTGAAATAATACTTCGCATTGAATTCATTAAAGATCTAACAAGATTACGTAGAGATACCCAATATCTAGAAAAAAAAAGAATTTTGAAATAAATCAATCTGAAAATGAATTAACTTACGATGTCAATTTAAAAATTCTCAAAAGTCTTAACGCTCTCATAACCGAGATACCGAACGAACCACCATAAACAGCAGCCCAGACAACTTCAAGAGCTGATCCGACGATAACGACACAGTCAAAGCGATTGAATTTTGAGGCAAAATAGGTGCGAGAACCCATGGCAAATAATTTGAGCAACATTTCAACAATGAAAATTCCGAGAAAGACGAATTCGGCATATTCTGGAAAATAGAATATTGAAAATATATAGGACTTAATTGAGCGAAAAACTTTTTGTTTGAAATTAAATTCAAAATGATTATATTCGAAAGTCATTCGAAATTTTTTTAAATTTCAAAATAAAAATAGAATTTGGATAGTCTTTTCTGAAATGAATTTCGAAATTTACTTCTCAAAAAACAATTTCAGAATGTTACAAAAACAGTTCTGTTTCAGATTATGGCCCCCAAACTCACTCAAAAAATCAGTGAACCATTGTGGTTGTCCATAATGTTCACTAGCAACACAACAAGTGTTCAAAAATACCAGTGTGATAACAGACCAGTAGAAAATTTGTGTCTTTACCATTATCCGGATTTGGACCCTACAAAAATCAATAATTTTTCATTTTCCACGTTTTTTTTGGAAATTTTGCAAACCTCAATTGTCTGGTGAATTTTTTGGAAAACATTACAACATCCTCGCTTTTTTCGATCAGCTGAAAATCAAAAGAATATTGATTTTTCATGGTGCTTTGAGTTAAAAGTGAAAACTATTGAAAAACAGTTGTAGTAGTAGTAGTAGTAAAAACAGGAAAAAAACAGCAAAAACACCTCACCCCAAAACGTCATGCCAGCAAAAAGTTATTTCAAAAAATAAAAAGTAAAAACTGTGTTCCAAAATTGTCATCATCACACAACAATATCACTTCAAGTCAAAAAAATCACTGCAAACTGTATTTTTCAAACTTTTCTTTTGAAATCTGAAACTCTCAAAGAGAGAAAATCATGCCAAAAATTAGAAGTGTAGAAGTAGAAGTAGAGTAGAAGTTGAAAAAACGTGCGTTTCTAAAATCGTAAAAAAAAGCAGCACACTGCAAACATTTTTTTTGTTATTTCAAAATTCTTCTGCTTTGATTTCAGAATTAGTAATTCAGTCAGTTTTTGATGCTTTTGAATCAAAAAAAGGCATGCGAAATGTTTTGGTAAAATGTTCTTGCCGAATTCATCCTCGATGGCTCCACCTTCATCCACATATTCTTCTTCCATCTCATCTTCTTCTTCTTCAAAATCTTCTTCGGTTTCTGTTGATTGTTGTTTGGATGCTTGTTTTAGTTTCTTGTTCGCAGCTCGACGTCGGGCTAAATTATGGATTTTTTGGATTGGAAAGAAGTTGGTAAAATAATTTTTTTTTAAATGTAGACTTGACTTCAAAAAATCATGAGATAAGTTTAGCAAATTTACTTGGTTTTCTGAAAAAAATCCCGTGCAAAGAAGAATATGGGTTCAAGTTTTTCGTTTTTCTACTTGAAAACTCTAAAAAAAATGTTTTCGGCTAGTTTCAAGAAAATGTTTTCTCACAAATTTTTAAAATACATTTCTAACAATCCAAAAAACCCCCACCTTCCATGATCGCCGCTTTTTCTTCTTCTGTCGTCCGATCTTCTTTCAATATAACTTCTTCAGCGGTCAAAATCCATTCCAAATATCCATTCAATTCTCTTTCAATTTGTTGTTGTCGTCGAAGTTTGAGAAATTCTCTTCGATTTTCAACACGCTCTCTTTCTTTGGCAAACTCTCCGGACAACACTCCGAGAACTAGATTAAGCATGAAAAATGATCCTAGAACAATGAGTGGAATAAAATAGGCCCAATTGTAAGTGCTTCCTAATGAATCATTAGTCTGAAAATATTGCGGATTATCTTCAATATGCTTTTGTGAATTTGAAAAATAAAAGCAAAACTTACATAATACATAACAGTTGTCCAACCCTCCATAGTGATACATTGAAAAACCGTGATCATAGCAAAGGCAATATTATCGAAAGACGTAATTCCATAATTTGGTCCTATCCAATTTGGCAAGCATTGTGTTCCTTGCACAGCACAATTATAAACTCCTAATGGTGATGTTTTATTGGTGCACGGCATTGGTCGATCTGATAAATTCTGAATTTCACCTTGCGCATTATAACAAGCCGAATGAAATGCTCCTGAATAGAATTCAAGACCAATAATGGCGAAGATAACAATAGCGAACAAGACGAGCAATCCGATTTGGAGCAGTGGAGCCATAGCACAAAGGATTGATTTCAAAACGACTTGTAAACTGGGAATTCCAGAAACTAGTTTCAACGGTCGCAACACTCGAACTGCTCGAAGTGTACGTAAATCGACTGTATCCACATTGGCGTTTTGTGTTGTATTTGTTGGTGAAAATGGTAACATTGTTACAACTCTGGAAAATGAAATGATTATGTTTTTCTCATTTTAAGATTGACGTAGGTGATGATTATTTTATCTACAAAACTATGACATTTTTGAAATCAGCGACCTTTCGAGAATTATTTTTTTTTTGAGGATTTTCACATATCGCTTTCAAATGTAATTTACGATTTCAAGATTTTTTTTGATTGAAACAACTCACCCGGAAACAACTACAATAAAATCCATAATATTCCATCCTGAGCGTAGATATGACCCTTTATGTAAAGCAAACCCAAATGCGACAACTTTCAAAACACATTCCAAACAGAAAATGCCCATAAAATAGGGCTCTGTTCGTTCAAGCATTTCTGACAGCGGTTTTTTGTCGTTTTTTGGTAAATGCTGCTCCATTGATAATACCACACAGTTGCCTGGAAATATGCAAGTTTGAGAGGTTTTCAAGTTGCTATATTCTTATTGTGAAAAAAATTAGACAGTTGGAATTAAACCGCTTTCGTTTAAAAACTCAATTTTCATCGTTTTATTGCAAATTCAGTACAAATTTGGAGGAAATGTCTGAAAACATTTTTTTCAACTATGTGGTTCTCACACCTGACGAGAGAGTGTCCCAAATTTTTTGTGCAGTGTGAAAATTTTTTCAAAAAAATGTGCAGCGTGAAATTTTTAAGTTTTTCGAAAAAAAAAAACTCCGCGGGCAGGAGGATTCGAACCCTGGTCTCATGCTCGCCAGTCTAAAATGCTACCCTCTCGGCCACATCTCTCTTTTTTCTCGAAGGGCAAATGTTGGTGGAAAGGAAACTGTTTTCAAACGAATGCGTTGCAACGTTGCTCAAAATTCGAAGTTAGGATAACTAAGCTTAGGCTTAACGGATATGGTTGATTTTTTCCGATAGATTGCTAAGGTCATAGGCAGTGTGGAACTCCATGAGTGCAGTGTGGAAATGCTCTATTTCCGCTGTTATTTGGAGTGTCCATTTCAATGGTAAATATGGACATTACAAAGAATCGGGCGGCATTTTTTTCCGAGCACATATCAAGGGTTGGTATATTCAGAAAGTTGGTGTATTTTAATGCGTAGTTTTTGAATTTACCCATGTGCAGTGTGGAATTTGACGTTTTTCCATAAAAAGTCAATTTTTTTGAAATTTCAGTGACACTATGGTTTGCTAAGCAGTCACGTAAATTCCACACTGCACATTGTGTTACTACACTAAAACGAAGTCTGCTGAGTTGATTTTCACCGAGAAACTTCGAAAAATTAGCAAGCTGAAGTTGTTTTTGAAGTTGAGCAAAAATAAAAAAAAAGTTTAGTTCGAATGAAGATTCGAACCTGGGCCTTCTGAACACTAGCAAAATGGCCTACCACTGAACTAAATGCGCATTTATTTCCCCAAGTTAAATGTTGGTGAAAAGGAAACAAAGTTTTTTTTTCGAAAAAAATGCAGTGTGACTTTTGAGAAAAAATGTACAGTGTCCTTTTTGGACACGTCTCGTCAGGTGTGGTGGTTCTGTAAGTGCTCAATGCTGATATGTTTTCAACGTTGTCAAATTAGAAAATTTCACAAAGTTTCATTGAAATGTTTTTTTCAGACTCCAATCACATCCTTTGTGGTTTCTCTTAGAATTGTCTAATTTTTTAAAACATGTTTCTGTAGTTTCTATTTTACCTATGATAGTGAGAAGAATAAAATATTCGAACGGTCCCCATTCTATAATTGCCTTTGCATTTCGTCGTATAATATTATCCTCGGCAAATATAAATAGTGAAGATGGCCCCTGTAAAAAATAATATATTTTATTTTTTTTTGTTGGTTCCACTATTTCTAATTTCTTCTCCCCATTTTCCCTTATTCGTTTCTCTCTATTTCATAATTGTGTTTAGTATGTGTGCTTCTTCTGTTTTTCTCCTTCATACGAAGGAAAAGCGAGGAGAAAAAACTGAGTTATAAAACAAATGTGCAAATTTCCGTCCCAAGGGACTCATTTTTCATGTGAGATTTGTGAAACTTTTTCGGGTTACCCGAAATCTATCCCCCCGATTTTTATGCTGCAGAACACTGAAATTCAGAGAAGAAAAAAACAATCGGAGAAAATTAGTTTTTGCTTTGCTTTTTTCTTATCTCCTAGCGACAATGTGGAAAAATTAGTTTTTTTTGCTATGCTCGAATAGGAATTCTTCACTCTCTTTTCAGTTCTGTGTGTGTTGTGTGTGTGTGTGTGTGGAAAAAGCTCAAATTTCACATACTCACTTACTCGCAAATGGATTTTTCTCTGTTTTAGCGCGAAACATTTTTTTTGTCGGTCGCGGCTAGGAGGGTACACCAAAAAAACAACACTAAATTTGAAATGCATTCAAGTTGAGTTGTCACGGCCCCCTATTGCTATGAATTATGGATTTTTTGGCCGAGTAGTCAAAGAGACATATGAATATTTGAGGTGGAAAAAAAAGAATGGAACCCATATATACATTGATTGTTGTGTCTGTGTGTTTTTTGTGGTATGGCAGGATTTTTTGAGAAGGGCTCAAGTTGCACTTATTTGAGGATGAAAAGACAAAGAATAATTGAATTGGGGTACTGTAATACATATGCATCTCATTACTTTTTTTCGGTGGATTATGAACTTTTATGAAAAATTGATCACAAAATACTTTGAAATTTGGGCATCTTAAAAACCTGGAAAATGTTTTCAAAATTTCTAGATCAAAATTTTCTACATGTCTTCTATCGTTTTGTCCAAGAATTATAAATTTATATGAAAAATTTGAAAATTTGCATTTTTCTGGAACAATGATTTATATCTCATTGTGTTTTTGACGGAATTTTTTTCAAAATCTAAAAAGACAAAGAAATGGGATATGTTCAATTTTTTTGTTTTCGGATAATAAATTTTTTATATGAAAATCTGGAACACTGATAAATTGCTCTTTGTGTTTCTAGTCTCATTTCTAGAATTTCCAGAAAGGCTCAAGTTTTTTTTTCTAGAATTTCCAGAAAGGCTCAAACAAAAAATAATTGAATTAGGATACTGTAATACATATGCATCCCTTTCTTTTGTCTATGGATTATAATTTTATATAATGAAAAAAAAACAAAATGATGTGTCACGTCATTTTACCTTTTTCTAAATGTCAGATATCGAGTGTCAAAAAAAAAAGTTGTTTCTCCACCAAGCAAGGTAAACACATTTCCGTGTTCTCTAATTAAAAATTCACCAAAAAATTCGGTGATGACGAATTCCTAGAAAACGTTTTCGATGATAATGCACTAAAAAACTTGGTTGTTCTCCCTTTTTCTGTCATTTTTCAATTAAACTTCAATTTCAGCTTGGTTTTTCTTCTCCGTTTTTTTCCTCGCTGCTTCTGCTTATGGCGCGCGCGCGGCGCTCATTCGCAATTAACATCAGAAATTCAATTAGAACGTTCAGAGAGGGTTACTAAAAGTGCAGTTTTTTTTTCTCTGAGGCCTTCTGAGGCCTTTGAGGGTAATGACAATATTTGGAAGAGGATGAGCGAAAATCAACAATAGTTTTCAAAACACTCACTTTTTCTTTGATCGGTGCATTTGATGATAGTGTGGTTTTTCGGACAAATGTTCCCGAATCGGCCTTTTGTTCTCGACGCGCTTCTTCTGCAGCTAGCCTGGAAAAATTCAAGATTTTTGAGGGAATATGGAATATTATGAATTCTGGAAAAATAGTTTGGGTACTGTACTTCTGGAAAAATATTGATTTCGACCTCGATATATTTTGAAAAAACATTTCGATTTTTTCCGAACTTTAGCTGAATAGAATCAGAAGCCAAGTTTTGTTTTCAGATAAATCTGAATCACAACACAACTAGTTTCATAAAAATTTCAGAAAAAGAAATCTGTAAATTTCAGAAATTCAACAAAGCTTCCAAAAAGAATCTGAATCCAAAAAAAAAAATCAAAAGCCAGGTTCTGTTTTCAGAAAAACATCTAAATTACAGAAAAATCTGCTCCATAAAAATTCCAGAAAAAAATTCTGTTCTCCCAACATTCGAAAATTAACAAGGCCCCTCGAAATTCCAACAAATAATAATTCTGAACCCAGAAAATCCCATCATAAATTTGCAACATTTTCATGTTTCCGGTCATTTTCATGTTTATCCTCATTCAAAAAAGCCCATATGCCATCTGTTTATTTTTTTTGTCGAATTAATCAACCTCAATTTATAAAAAAAATATATTCTGGCGATACGATTCTATTTCTATTTCAATAAAAAAACTGGCATAAACAACATTAACTATAATCCATAATATTATTTTTCATCTTCAGAATTATTAGCTTTTCATCCATATAATTTTCGTCAGAAACCGACAAAATTTGCACGTAAAAACGCAACACTCGAAAATCCCCCAAATGTAGGATACAAATACAAAAATTGTAGTCAATAGTGCTTACCTTGCAATTTGGTCAATTCCCAACATTTCAGCTTATTTATTTAGTCAGTCAGGAAGTCGAAGGAACCATCTATTTAGCATCATTATTAAGAATAGTGAAATTAGGGAGAATCCGTAAACAATACAGACACAAAAAATTAAACTTGGAGGTCAGTGCGACAAAAATGGATACACTCTTCTCCTCCTCCTCCTTCTTCTACTTTTCCTTTTTCTTTTTCTTTTTTCATGCACACATACATACACAAGAAAAAATGGAGCAGTCAGTCAGTTAGAAGACTCTCTTCTCAGCTTCTCCTTTTACTTTTTTTTTGGTTGTACGAAGAAGACGTCAGTGTCTTGAAAATCAATAGCCTAGAAGCTGCGTCTCTTTGTTTTTTTTTTTCATTTTTCGTCTGTTTCTTCAGCGTACACGTTTTTTCTCTCAATTTCTTCTGGATAGGGATATGTGTGTGTGTATGTGTGTGTGTATACAAGAGAAAAAGCGGTGCTTTTGGTTTGATTGGGATATTATTCAATTTTCGCCCAACGCGTTGACACGATGCTTTTGCTTTTTATGTGGTTTTTTCTCACTTTGCCCAAAAGAATCTTCTTCTTTTTATGGGTAGATTACAAGTTTTTGGAATGGGGAAGAAGACAAACAAAAAAATATGGAAGAAAGTACAAATCCTGGTGCAAAATATAATTATATCCTTTTTTGCATTTCTTTCCTTTTTTGCAAAACATATGCGGTTCAAAGAAGGGTCAAAGGGAAACTGAAAACTATGTACGAACACAGAACATTCATGAAATAAACTTCTGAGAAAATGATTACAGTATTCAAAAATACAGTACTTCTGCAAATATACAGTACGCTTTATTTTTTAAATATGGGATTAGAACGAGAAGCTCAAGAAACATTGATGTGAATTTCAAAATTTGGGATACTATAGGAACATTCATCCAGAAATAATGTGATATAAATATTGTGGATACAAAAAAATTGGACTCTTGGTTGAGAGCCAAATCCAAATTTACCCAGAGAGCAGATTTTTAGAATTTTTGAGACAAGTTTTTCTGGCTGACTTCAAGATCTGAAATCTTCAATAGAAAATATAAACATTTCAACTACAGACTACAAAAGTTTCAATTAAAATTAATAATTTTCAAGTCTGGATTCTCCAAGGAAAAAATTTAACAAAAGTTGAAAATTCAACAAGAATAAAGAGAAAGAAAATTTGGGATACTGTAAAAATAAATCAGAAAATTGTGGTCATATATATTTCCAGAATACAAAAACTATTAGAATCTTGGAAGATAGCCAAAACGACTGGAAGTTCAGAATTATCCTACAGAACTGTTAGCAGCATTTCGGAAAAAAGATCTGTTAGATCTACTGCACTGCTCTATTTTTTTCAAATTTAAAATAAAATTTGATATACTCAAAGAATTCAGAAAACTGTAAAAAATGTAATTTCACTATAAATTTGATAAATGTAAGAAACTTGCAAAATTTTCTCAAAATATGGTTATTTTTCTTCTTTTCAAAACCCTGGTTTCCTTTAGACCAAAATAACAATTTGAAGTCAGAAAAATACAATTCATCACTTACAGCTACAAATGGGTTAAGGGGAAGGGTGAATGCAAACCAAACTAGAAAGCATTCAAAACTTCACAGATATAAATATATGTGACTTGAAAAACTTACTGGATTTAAAAATGGTTACAAAAACAAATAACGTCAACATGGAAACTTTTGGTTAATTTCACTGCATTTTTTTCACATTTGTCAAAATCAACAATTGTAAACTGTTATTTTAAAACTATATTCGTTTTCATCAAAAAGTTTAGGAACTATATCGAAATTTAGGTTAAAAGATTTCTCAATTTTTTATCAACTTGCAATATTCACTTTTGAAAAATGAATTTTTTTCAAACATTTTCTATAACTTTCATGAAGTACTCAATCAAAGTAATCCTATTATACTTTCATAAAGCTATTTATGAGTCAAATGAAAACGTTTCAGATTGTACAAATGAACTTACCTATCTCTTCTTTTCCACATATAACTATAATAGAGCAGTGTGAAAGAATTGGGCTTTTTGTAAGCATTTTTATAACTATGAACCATCTTGAAACAGTTGTATAATTTTCTCAATATCTACGAATAATTTCAGAATAAAAAATAGAATTCAACAACGATAGAAAATCTGATCCAAACAAAAATCCTCTTTCAAGTTTGGCATCGACTGAGCATAACCTAAAAGTGGTGCTCCCCCTTCCACTACATAAAAAAGTCAACGAATTTTTGGTTTTGTGTCAAAAACAATCATCCAATTGTATAAATTGATGCAATTTGCTGCGTGTTAATGGATGGGGGGAAACAACCAACCGACAAAAGTCGCTAGAAAAAATGACTGATTTTGGTTTTAGGTTTTTTTTGCAGTTGAAGATAGAGTACGGTAGTTTTAATTTAATAAAAATAAATTGGTTTTTGTTATGACAGTGATGCGTTTGAGTGATGTTTTTGAAATTGGAACGTTTGGTGTCAGATTTTTTTTAATTGAGAAAATTATAATTCTGAATCTGAATAAACGGAAAATCGTAAACATCAAAAATCTGAAGAAATAATATTTTTGTGAATTCTGATTTCTAAACAAAAATTACTAAATCGCGTGATAATTCAAATAAAAAACTTATCTACCTGAAAAACAGAATTCAATTTTTCTGAAAGTCTGGTGAGAAATGTCGAAAAAAAGCGAGATGAAATTTAAATCCTGTTTTTTCTGAGTACGGTATAACTCTGCGTCTCTAACTTCGTTTTGAGATCACCTTATCTGACAGAGAAACAAAGTAAAAAGCGCGCCTAATTCAGAGAAGTATATCTACCAAATCTGAGTTTTTTTCTGTATTTTGTTATTTTTTTAAATAAAGCTCTAAGAACTCAAAAACTGTTAAAAAATCCTCTTCCATTAAAACTACCGTACTCTTCTACAAAAAAAAAACCCAACAAAAACCAAAAAAAAACAACTGAAAATGCAAGCTGGTACAAAAGTAAAATATTCTATTAATAGTGGTGTCCTAGCCTAAACAAGTATTTTTTCGTTGTTTTCAAAGCTTTAACTCTATGAATAAATATTTCTACAGAACAAGAGAGCGAGAGAGAAAGTCACAATTTTCATACTAAAAAAATAGTTTTTGAGTTTTAAAAAAAATTCGTATTTTACCTGGGTAGTGCTGGCCAAACCGCCATTTGAACAGCTTCTTTGATCATTTCTCCAGGTCTTGGAGTTCTCATTTCAAAAAGTCGATCATTTGCTGAGATTTTTCGGGGTTGAATTGGTGATGGTACCGTAGCTGTCATTGGCAACATCCATGGTTGAAGTCGATCGAAGGTTGGTATCAAATTTGACATTGATAATTCTTCCGAATCTCCGCCGCCACCACCATTCATCATATTTGACACAGTTTATTGAGATTTTCTCATATTTTTTTCAATAGGTTCAGACATTTTACAGTCTGAATAAAACTTCAATTGTCACTCAAAAAGAAAGTAAGAATGAAGTTGAAGTATAAGCAATGTGAGCAGAATAACAAATGGGAAATGAATAGAAAAATGAGAAGAAGTTGAAGAAAAAAAGTTCCTAATTAATTTGCGACGACAACTTGTGGAACAAGGAAAAACGAGAAATGCTGAATATAATATGCGTTTTTTTCTGGGAAGAAGAAAACCGAGAGGCCGTTTTTTTGATACGCTCGATTGATTTCACACTCTTGTTTATTGGAAATGCCTCAATTAATCTTGCTTGTGCACAAAAATTTTGTTTTTTTCATCTTCACATAAACATGACTCAAAAAGATATGTGAAGACTATCTGATCAAAGTCGACTTAAGCAAAATTGGTTTTGTTGATCGTAAAGGCTGATTTTGAGAATACATTTTCTATCAGCGCTCATGTACGTAAAAAATTGTTTTGAAACTGAAAATTATAGATTTTTAAATCAGTTCTGGAAAAAATTTCAGTTATTGAAAATAAAATTAAAAAGTTTTTCGCCAAATTTTTTTCTAAATATTCACATTTAGAAATAGAGAAAATTTTAACTCAATACTCATAAAAAACGAAGTAAAAAAACTTCTCGATAATAATTATATCTTATTTTTCGAAATTATATGACGTCAAGAACTCTGAAACGTTCAAGATAATGATGTAATTTATGTGGCTAATGTGAGTCATGTTTCAGATTTTTTTAAAATAATTTCTAGATGAATAATTTAATTTAAAATATTTTGACGTTCTAATTTGAATAGTTAAAAAATCGAGTTCTACAGTAATCTACAAAAAAATTATTTTCTTTAATTTAATTTGAATTTCTACAGTACCTAAAAACCTTATTTCTGTTAAAATGTTTCTCAATGCTAAAAAAATTGACTCCGTAGAAATGAGTAAAATGTCTTCAAAATTTCGTTTTTTGGCCAACCGCGAGAAAAAGTTTCAAATTTCAGGTCCAAGAAATTCAAAAAAAGTGTTCATCGACTAATAATTGTGTGCTGCAAACATGTGCACAGAGCCAACAAAATAAAAACGTTAACAAAGATTCACAAGTCCTTTGAGACATTTTTCCAAACGTATGTCACATTTCAGAGAAAAAACGAAGAACAAGAAAAATTCTCGGTGTGTTTTCAAGAACACTGCCGGATTGCCCTGCCTATAAAACTTCTTGAGATTCAATCAAAATTTGCAAGCAGGTCAAAAGCACTTTGGGACGATTGAGGCAAGGGTGGAAAAAATGCGAAAGGAAGGGTGCGAAAAAAATGAGAATTGCTAAAAATGTCAGCGGTTTTTTTTTGTTCGCAAAGTGTCTGGTGGTGAATAAAACATTGGGGAGACGTGGAATATATCTATCTATACATAAAAATTTTTGAAAAATGGACATTTTTTTGAAAAAAAACGAAAAATGGAACAAAAAACACACTTTAAAATGTATTACTATCTCCATTCTTTTTTTTTATTTTTCATCCAGCATCGTTTTTTCTTTTGACACACACGCCAAAAAGATATCAAATAAAATAAAACAAGAATGATACACCGGCTATCGCCGGTGTTCATTCTTGTTTTGCTACGCAGCCTTCGGCTGCGGTTATGGAAAAATTAATTTATGTATATCTGCAAGGTTTTCTGAAAGTAATCACCTTCCTAGTTTGCAAACCAAATTCAGAAGTAAAAACCAAAAAGATATTTCCAAACTTTTGATTTTAGCCACTCAATTTTTTTTCTGAAAATAAGGCGATTTCGAAGAATTCTAATTTTCCAATTAACTTTACTTGAAAGTTCCGGAAAATACGGAAAGTTTTCGGCACAGGCTTTAATTATAACAAATGTTTTATGAAAATTTTCCATACATAAAATTGGTCCTTAGAATCAAGGTGAGAGGCTTAATTTTTCTCAAGAATCTAAAGAAAATGGTACCTAACTTGGCCACTCTTCTGCTAATAATTCACAGAGTTTCCATGATTACAAAAAAAATCTGTAGTTGTCGAACAATGATTCACAAACTTGTATTTTTCATTGAAAAGTGCATTAAATTTCTGAAATAGCGAACACGGGTTCCGGAAAATAGCTGATCTTCATATTTTTCTTTTAAGAACAACATCTTTTCAAAAACTTTTCAGATAGCTTTTGTTTGCATTCTCTTTTTCAAAATATGAAGAGCACCTACTTTTCCATGTTCCATTTTCACACACTTTCCGAAAATCCAACTATGTAGGAGATGTTTCACTTTTTTATGAAAATTACGTCGCTTTTAGTCCCATCCCTGATGGGGTGATTCAAGTCGAAAAAAAATTAGTAAAAAAATTTTTTTGACAAAAATTTCGATTCAGCAAATGTCAAAAAACTATATTTTTTCCTATTTTTGACATTTTTTTACATTGCAATATTTTCGCTTTGAGATATTTTTCATTTTTGTGTGGAAAAAATGTCAAAAAATAGAAAAAAAAAACATTTTTTTTGACATTTGCTGAATAGAAACTTTTTGTCTAAAAATGTTTTTTATTATTTTTTTTCAACCTGAATCACCCCATTAGTTTGTGTCAGGTCTCAAAAAACTCGAAATTTTTTCGGTCGTAAATTACAAACTGTGAAAATGAAATGTTCGTAAAAATTCTTTGTAAACTTATCTTTTGGAGTCAGATCAAAAACATTAACTTAATAGCTCTGCCCAAAAATACCAAAAGATGACACTTTTATGAGAATCAGGCAGATAATTATGACTTCACTTCATAATTCAGGTAAAAGAGTAACACTCAAGCGAGTTTGATAGTTTAGTTCAATTTCTTACGGTCTCTTCATCCGGAACTTAGCAAAATTGAAGTGGAATAAGATCATTATGTGAATATGTGAATTCTTTTCGGAATCTTGAAATGAAAAAAGATTAAAAGATTTTCACGTCTGAATTAAAAATTCGAAAGTGGGGCATTTATATAGGTCAAACGGGACATAAGCCCAATAATATATAAGTATGATTTCAGTATCTTATTTTATTGGTTGGTTGGTTGGTTGAAAATCAAAAGGCTTGTGAGCCAGCTAAAGAAAATGAGAATAAACCAGGAAAGAGAAAGGAAAGGATTGTAAAAAAAAAGCGGAAATATACAAATTATTGACATGTCTCAAAAATAATGTTTTTTTCTTTTTTTGGGGCTCTTCAAAGAGCCCAAGTCAAATTTCTGAAATTTGGTAACCTAGAATATGGGGCCAAAAATGTGTTGAACCTATTTTCAGACATATCGGGATAAGAGCCCCGGGGATTTTACTGGCATACGATAATTAAAAATTTTGAAAATAAATCACTCAAAAGTGAGAGAATGACAAAGAAAATCAGAAGCACAAATCGGAAACATTTTTTGAACCTAAACGATGTTTCAGAATCTGAAATTTCTAGAGCATTTAAAAGAAATTGACTTGAAATGTTTTCTAATCCTAAAAATTTGGGCACTTCACGATATTTTTCATGACTGATTCTGAAATGAACTATTTCGGGTCACCCAACCAACTAATTAAATTTTCGAGATTCTCAACAAGAAAAAAACACGTCGTTAGAATTTTAAATTTCATTCTAAATGACATCTCAAAAACCACGAAATCTTCATGTATATTTTGTCTATGTACAAATGAAAAATTAGCGACATTTTCCAACAAAAACAAACTTTGTTGTTTTTTGTTGTTGTTGTTGTTGTTTGGAGGAAATCCAAACGAAAAAAAATATAGATGCACATATATATCTTTTTTTCACAGAAAAGAGAGAGTTCGAAAAAAAAACACGAAAAGAGATAAAAAATTGCTTCTTTTCTACTACAACGTTCATTTTTTTCCTTGCTATTCTTGAAGCCTAAAGCAAAAAGCATAAGTGGTTGAAGATTGCCGGAAAAGGGCGAGTCCCAAACAGAACCCTTCATACATTTGATACTTTCTTTTTATTCAGAAAATTTGCTCAAAAAACGGCCAAAGTCATAAACATTTTATGTTACTTATACATGTATAGTTTTGAAAAAAAAACGAGTGGAAACAAAAAGTTATGAGTTAAAAAGGAATAGGAAAGTGAGTTCAGAGTTAAAGTGGGCTCTTGAGTTTGAAAAAACTAAACTTGTGAATTTTTTTGGCTGAAATTTGAATCTGAAATCAGAAATCAAAAATCAAAATTCACACATCAAATCATAAATGTGGGGGAATATTTTTTGTCAAAAAAAAAAATCCAGAAAAAGTTTCCAACTGGCAACAATGCTATGAATATTTTATGAAACTAAATTTTGAAAAGGGCATCATGTTGACCTCAAAATAAAAAATGTGGCATTATAACCAAACATCAAGAAATGTCCTAGGATGAGAAAAGTGTTGGGAGAGTTCCAACCGGCCAAGTTTTAAGTTTTGCCAAACAAATTTCGAAAAAAATCTTATTTCAGAGATAAATGGTGAAGTTATAGGTTTATTGGAATCTCAAACATTACCGAGAAAATTGAGAAAATAATTTTTTGGTTGAAAAATACAAAACAAAAATTCTAGAAACATACATAGCATAAACATTTTTCAAACCTGTATAAACTTCCCGGAAACAGTACAGTACCCATAAACCTGCCAAACCCAAATAAAATAGAAAAAACACTCACTGGCTAGGGGAGGGCAATTGTCTACTTGCCTCCTTCATTCTTGTCAGCAACAGTGCACATGTCTTATGATCGCTGTCATTAACCACCCTGTAAAAATTTCATTTTTTTTGAAGAATCAAGAGAAATACAGTGAGAAATTGGCACAAAAGAGAGGTATAATATTTTCGATCAATGTTTTTGTTCAGAAGAGACGACTTTCGGGAGACTGCGGGGTGGGATTACCAAACACACCCCAACTGATTCATTTTTCTCCCTCATTTTCGTCGTTTTTTTTTCATGATTATTTTTGGTGCTTTTTTGGGAGACGAGGAGAAGAAAGAAGATAAATGAGTGGTGGTTATTATGAGTTTTGAGACTTTTAGGAACTTCATTCAGTTTAAAGAAATCGTGAGTCTGAAATTTTCAACTGATAATTCAAAAAGAATCACTCAAATTTTTTATTACGGTTTTATTCTGATTCTATTACTGTGAAATTTGGATGTTATGTTTCTCGAAAATCCTATCAGCAATATATTTTTACGTGGATTTTTTAATAACAAATAAAAAACCAATCAGTCAGATTTTTCTGTTGTACAAAATTTTCTAATTTCAGAAAATTTTCCAAAAGCATCCATGAATTTTAGTATTGAACATGTCACTTTTTCAAAATTTTTAATATTTTCTGGAAAAATTTGGAATTTGAATTTCTTCACCAACATCTAATTCACCGATTGATAATTCAATAAAAATTTTTAAATAATGAGATTCGGGGTCCAAATTTGACTTTTTCAAAAAAGTTGGTTAGTAACTTTGGGTGTACCAGATTTAAGAATCCGCCCCGAGATTTTTAATTTTTTCTTCTGTCCTACAGTATGATTAACAACTTTTTAGATCTATCATTTTGAGGAGGACTAGAATGTGACCAGTTGCAAACTTTTAAGAAAACCTTAGCAAAAACAAAAAGCTCATTTCAATGAAAATAGTTTTTCTTTTTTACTTCGCATGTTTTTGTTACGCTTCTTCCCATTTCTTCTTCTTCTTCGTTTTTTTTTCTTTAAAGGGGCTGCTCCTATTTCTTCTAATTAACTCAAAAGCAAGTGAGAATAGAGAAGAATAATAAGACGACGACAACGGAAAAAAAAGAAGAAGAAGAAAAAACACTTTTCCTTAGACACCCCAGATAATCAGAAACATCTGGAATTCACAGATTTTTTCCTATTCAACACCACGCAAAAAATGTGAAGTTCACATATGTAGTTGTCAAGCTCACGGTTTGGACAAATGTATTATTAATGAGTGTTATGAGAGTAGTATATCTCCCCTCTTTCCTCTATATATATGTGAATAAATAAATAAATGAAAAAAAATATATTGGGTGAAGGAAAGGAGAAAAAAACCGGCGAAGAAGAAGAGTTGGGAAGAAGAAATAAGAATGAAGGAAAAATATAACAACAAACCTTCTTCGGAGCGGGCTTGAGAACTTGCGCTCGTCGATAACAAAACTTGATGAACAACTAGTTGATCGACTTGTTGATGAATATTGTCCGTGTCCTGGTGGTGCGGTAAGCTCGGCTGCTGCTGCTGCCGCCGCCGCCGCCGAATTGTTGGCTGGTGCAGACTGTCCGAGAAGTGACGCCCGTAAGGCAGCCTGCAAAAATTGAATGTTTTGTTTTTTGAGAAGAAAAGAACCCCTGAACAGGTGGAAATGAAAGATTGGTACGAAAAATTGATATTGTTTTTCACATAAAACCTAGACACCTGAATTATTTTTTATATACACGCAAACATTTCGAGATTCTATAAATTTCATGGGTTTTTTGGATGGGAAAGTGATACGAAACAATTTTTTGAATTTGAGGAAAAATATGGAAGAAAATTGAGATAATTGTGAGAAAAAATATGATAGCTTTGAAGATCTATGGATATTATAAGATTCTGAACCTTGAAGGTTTTCAGAATTAAAAATGGTTCAATTTTGGATTCTCAAAAATGATATTGATTTTATCAGAAAAACAATAAGATGAAATTCACGACATTTTGAACTATTTTTGGATTTTGGAAATTGATGAACCAAATTTAAAAATTACCAACACAAAGTGAGAGATTCAGAGAACATTATTTTTGATCTACTAGATAGTAAACTACGCTGTGAAGCCCAGATGTTCAAAATTCATAAACAAAAAATTTCGAGTTTTGAATTTAAGCTAATTCGAAAAATCCTACAGTAATCTTCAAAAAAAAACTCTGGATTCTTACGAAATCAATGAAAATGTACTCTTTTCTCAGTGTTGGAGCGTGCGCACTTTCCGCTCAACAAATTTTAAACAATAGATAAAACTTCATTCATATTCAGAGTGCTTCTTCGTTTTTTTCCTTGTTTCTAACATTTTTTCTCCTCCTCCTCCTTTCCTTCTTCAACCATAAAAAAATCATTATTATTATTAAGAATAATAAAAATAATGTCAGTAGCTCAGAATAACTACCGTAGTCCGAGACCACCCAAGCATAAAAAAATTCGGGAAGTTTATTTGGGATTTTTGTGATTAATGAAACTTTTGTAAGGATCAAAAATGTATCAAAATTAATGGGATAACAAACAAGATAAAGCGTTTTTGCTCTGTGAATGAGCATTCATCTTCATTTTCTGCTTTTTTCTACTCCTTACGTATGCGTGCGCGTTTTTCATATATATTTAATAAGAAAATGAGGAAACTTCTTCAAATTAATTATACCATTTTTTTCTTGAAATGTTTGGAATAAATTTATTGTAGACTCAATAATTTGTGATCTGTGAAATTCTAAAATTTTTCAAAAACAAAATTCCGCTGAAAATCAATGAGAACGGCTCTCGGAATAGCCTTTTGTTGGAATGAAAGCTCATAGATATTCAAATTCTGTGAAAGCAGGACCTCTCATAGAAATATAAGCGCCACTCCGAAACAAAGCCTAGTGAGAGCCTGTTAACCTAAACATCCAACCTCCTGATCTCACAAAATCCCCTCCTATAAACTGTACCTCATAGTAAGCCATATAGAAAAATACTAAAAACAATGTTTTTTTTTTCAACAAACAAAAAAATAAGACAAGTCTAGGAAATATGACAACTATATCAAGCTAGATGTTTTCTAACACATTTTTATTCAACACAACAGAAAAGAGAAAATCGGAGAAGACTCGAATATCCGTGTAATTTGACCAATTATTGAGAGGCTCGGCTCGGCTCACGCGCGCGCGGGCGGGAAGAAGCCAACACAAAAAAAGATAGAAGAGCAATTAAAGGGATGAGTATAGGAAGTGTAGCAAAAAAAAACACACACGAAACTAGAAAAAAAATAAGGAGAAGAAGAAGAAGACAACAACAAAAACTTCTTTGCTTTTTAGAATAAAGTAAAAGTAGAAAATACGTGGATAAAAGGAGACAGAGAGAGAGAAAACAAACAAGGGCCGGGAGGGAGAGAGAGGGAGAGATTCTACGCTTCAACAAATTCGAAAAGAGTTGAAGAATCTTGAATTTGGAACTGGAGAAAATATATGAAGAAAAATACGTGTGCGGGCGGTGGGGGAGAAGGAAAATAAAAAAATAAGGAAAAAAATGGTGACCACAATTTTGTTATTTCCTTTTTAGAAGTTTGCAAGACCAATGACAACTTCCAAAAAAATTGAGACCTACGACGTAACAAAAATGGGTGGTCAAATTTCCGGAATCGAGAAAGAGTTGCGATAACTTGAATCTTGAAAGAGGAACGAAATTTTCGAAAGATCAGAAATTCACTACAGCTTTTGAAATTTCTAAACTTTTGCATGAAAACAGAGAATCAAAATTTCAAAAACCGTTTTCAATGTATTTCTTTATTCAGAAAAAAAATGCTTCTTTTTAAATTCTACAACAGTTTATTTCTGAACTCTAAAAAAATATGGTTCACAGAGATCGCTTCATTTGAATATTGTTGAACTTGAATCTTCAACCTAGAAATTCAGAAATTCCAAAAATTCAAAGATGATAAATTTATCATGGGTTCCGAAATCTCAGATGAACCATATTTTTCCAGAGTTCTGGAAACATGTTTTTCTATTCAGCCAAGAAAACTTCAGAAAATATAGCGTATAAATGGTTTCGCAATAACAGGCTGAAAATTTGATAGAGCACATTCTAAAAATAATTTTTATTTTTGCATTTTTTTTTGCTAATCCTTGGTTATTGTGATCGAGTAAAAATAAAAAATTCCAGATTTGCACAAAAATTTCTGATTTTGATAGAACCACAGTACTTCAAATTTGAAATCCAACATTGGAGAAGAAAAGTTTGAGCATCGGAAAAATGAGAAAAAAACTAGACACATTCCTGAAGAAATTATGCAAGAGAGAAGAAATAAAATAAAAGCGAAAAAAAAGTTGAATTGAATTCATAAAGAGGGGTGGTAAAATAAAAAAAAGGAATACTTAGAAGGAGCGCAAAAATTAATCAATTTTCATTACTTCTCGTCGCCGTGTCAGTGTTCCAAAAGAATTACACGACTGGAAAAAAATGGAAGCTCATACATATCAGATCAAGAAAAAAACTGAAAATAAAAAAAAAACAAGGGGGGAGACAGAAGAAGAAGAAAGAGACAAAGTTTCATTATATTTTTTTGCGTGTGTTGTGAAAAACAAACGCAAAAATGAAATTCAAAGTGGCCCCAAGGGTCCTAAGAGAATATTTCAAATTGTTCTCCGGTCGGACGGAGAAGATGCAACCAAACAAAAAACGTTTGTTTTCTTCGTTTTTATTCTTCTTCAGCAAAAAAAACCTCAATCTGTGAATATGTATGTAAGACCCAGCAAAAAAAAGATATAGATTTTATTTCATGAAATATAATTTTTTTCTCCGTTTCAAGATGGACAAAGTAAACAAAACACGTGAGAACATATTGGGAAGATGAGAAGATTTCTTTTTTTTTGTTTCATAAGCAACATTTTTATGTTTCAGGTGTTTAGAAAACCAAAAAAATATTTTTTATAGAATAAAAAATTAATATTAAATAAGAGTTCGAAGAGAAACATGAGCACATACATAATTGATGAAATATTAATGAGTTTTTTTGGTGGTGTTGAATATCTTGCGATAATCATCAGAACTCTGAACCAAAAAATCAACTAATGGAGAATACATCACTACCTCTAGATCTCAAACATTTTCTGGTAGATCAAAAAAAAAATCTCTAAGTCTCTCAGCTTTAAGTTGACCTTAGCCCCACTTCTAAGGAAAATTTTCGGATAACAAACTACATTCTGTGAGAACGCGAACATGAATTGTTAAAATTTTAGAAATGTCACAAACATTTTTCCTAAAAAGGTGCAATTGGCCACCAAAACTTTCACATATATTTTTTTGAAGGTTTGACCTCTGGGGACATCCAGTAACATCGTTTCCTTTTCCAAAAAAAAACTTTCAAAAAAGGAAAAAAAAATGAAATTCGATCCGTAAACAACCCTTTTACGTACCTACGCAAGTAGTTTTCATTAAAATGAAAAGTAGTACTGTAGAAGAGAAGGTGGTGGGGGTGCTATTTTTGGAGTTTCTAGGTGAGATTGAAAAGCAAAAAGAAAACATGGAGCGAGAAAAAAGAAGAAAAAAGGTTTGTGTATATGTATGTATTTAACGTGTATGCTGCTTTTGGCGAGTACGTACGAAAGAAACGACCGAAAAATTGAGGAAGTTTAATAAAACATGGATAGAAGACGAGTTGGAGAAAAAAGAAGAAGGAGAAAAAACGGAGACGCTGAGGCATCTTCCCGACCGACGGACGGACGGACGGACGAAAATTGCAACTAGCTGAATATAGAAAATAAAAATAAAGAAGCAAAAAAAAAACGAAACGAAACGGATGAGAGTAAGAACAACAACAACAAAAATTGTCTTGTTTTTGTGGTTCTCTTGGTGCCTGGTGTATGTGTATTTTTTTTTGCTGTGTTCTTCTGTGTTGGTGGTAGGCCATGGCGCCAGCCATCTAATACCCAAGATAGCATGTTTGTCATATCTCCAAAAAAAAATGGCGCGTTTTTGTTTCGAAAATATGAATGAATGAATGTTGGCCCAAAAATATATCTATTGGGTTTTTTTTACGAAAATTGGGAAAAATAGTTTTGTTAGGATACTGTTTTTGGAATAATGAAGAACACGCAATGGCAGATATTAAAAATATGGAAACTGTTGAAAACTATATTAATATCAAATTAGAGTTGCAAGAAATTTTGAAAACCAAATTTTCGGTAGCTGATTTACCAAAACTGTAGGAAAACTATGAAAAAAGGTACTATGGACAAATGTCAGTTTTGCCACGTCATGACTAGATTCAAACAAATTTCGAACAATTCATTCCTGCTCCAAGTTGATCAGGATTCATCAGTTACCGGATCTAAGGAGAATGCGAGACTCGACTTCGAAGCAAAAAAAATTGTAGTTCAAAAAATGATATGATATCTACTGAAACATTAAGGTACTGAAAACTTTTAAAATAGCGTTTTCTAAGAAACTTAAACACTCTGTATTCTCCCAAACATCTATTTTCAGAGCTTTCAAATTACTCTATCATTTTTGAATTCAATTTTCAGGACATCAATATTTACTTCAACGAAGTTGCTAATCTTCCAGAGTAGTATTAGAATATTATACTAATTCCACCGTATCCATCCTCAAGATTCTATAAATAAACTTGCGATATACTGAATTATGAAAATGGGATAATGCAATATATATGTACATACATAGAAAAGTATAACACATACGCACATAACCTAACCAGACAATGTAATAATGATTATTACATATGAACACATCAATAATTCTCAATTATATGTACAATTCTACTTCTAACCAAGAAGAAAAAAAACTCGAGAATACCACCCAGAAAGATACAAACCTAAATTTTTGCAGAAGAAGCGAAACAAAAAGGCACGAAAAAATTAGATTAACCTCGCCTTCTTACAACTTCCTCTTACATTGTTTCGTTTTGCCTTTCTTTCTTGTTATTATTACGCCGACACCAACCACAAAATTGGTGTGGAAAAGAAGAAAAAAGGAGAAAAGAACTAATCGTTTTTTTCTTGCTCTCGAAAAAAAATAGAAAAAAATGTTTCTACCCCCTCAAAAATAGCGTACCTCAATAACAGCGGTTCGAAAATCAATGGATGGTCGAGATGTGTAATTGTGAACCAAATAACCATTTTCATCGTGTTGTGGTCGATGGTATTGGTGATATGTTTGTGATTGTGAAGATGGCGGAGCATGAGAAGGCTGTGGTGGGGCTAATAGGTTTTGTTGCTCTGGTTGTTGAGTTTGAGATGGTGGATGGTGGGATGTTGAAGATGTCGAAGTTTTGGGTTCTGAAAAATTATTTTTATCATATTGTGAGAACTTATGATTATCTAGACTCGAATAAATGGTTTTAGATATTCTTAAATTTTCAATTTTGTTTTGCGAGTGAGAGGAATATCACTTTGAATATCACATATTCATTTTTAAATGAATCAAACGAAATTTTTAAAAACCGTTCTTTCTATTTCGAAATTCAGAATTCCAACTGAACTTAAATAATATTTTTTTGGTATGTTTTTAAACTTATTAAAATTTTGAAAAATCTTTAGGCCTGGCTCACAATCTGAAATCGAAAAAACGTTTCAAAATTGTTCAGCGCTGCCAAATTTTCGTTCATCCCCAGTCCCTTCAACTTCAAAACATCCCGCTTCTAATTCATCAGAAATGTTAGACTACCGTATTTTCCATACACCTCCAATGTTTTTTTCTAAAAAAAACACCTGCTCTTTCGAGAACACAAATACTACGGTATTTTTATTTCAAAAACCAACTTTTTTCGCTGGACAAACTGGAAGAAATTGAATCGGAAGATCGCAAATTCGACAAACTTCGATTCAATTGAACCGATTTTCTCGGTCGATGCGTAGATGTTCGAATCATCCATCAGACGTCGAATATTTGAAATAATAATAAAGATAAATTCTATTTTCGAATCAGATACCAAATAAAAACAAATGAAAGCGATTCGTAAGAAAGGTCCACTTGTGTGAAAAATATACAGAGATGTATCAATTTGGTGGGCACTTCACACACAAAATAAAAGAAAACAGAAGACGATGAAAAAATAGCGGAACAAACCTATTGACATTTTGTTGTGTTCTGGGTTGTCAAGTGAAATTTCGAAGAAAAAACTGGCGTTTTTGGTGAGAATAGAGAAAAAAAAAGAGTTCCCAGAAAAAAAGGTAACAAAACAATATTCTTTTCAGTTTTTTAGAAGCAAAATATATATAAATATATATGTTATATGTGTATATTTTGCGGTTCACCTTGCTAAACGAAATGAATGAATGAATGAAATAATAACCGCAAAAAAGTAACAAGGAGAAGGCAAAAACAATACTAGAAAGAAAAAACGACATGTTTTTTGTTTTCTGAAATGAAATGAGACGAAAAAGTGTTCTGACGGTTTTTTTGTGAAGCATAATTTCAAAATCACGACGAGATTGAAATCACTAGTTCTAATTTTCAGTCATTATGACTAAATTTATCATGTGAGTAAGCATGAAACTGACAAATCGAGATTAACCTAATATTTCCAACAAGTCAGAAAGAGAATGATGGAAAAAACATGGCTAACTAAAAAAAATCATAATTTTCCTATGCAGAATAAACAGTTTATTATTTTTTGAGTAGAGTAGAGAAAACGTGAAATTCAGAGAGTGCAGACAAAACAATTGATTTTACGAACAAAAAATACAAGAAACTTTGTTGTCTGTCTGCGCTCTCTCAATTTCATGTTGTCTCTACTCGAGTATAATAAACTGTATATTTTGTTTACCATTAGAAAAATTATGATTTTTTGTATTTTTTATTACAAAATTTAAATCTGCATAGACCTATAACCCGGAGAGAAAAAATCACAGAAATAGATTTTCTATTTCGTGAATTTTAAAATAGCATCAAAAATCTCCTGGGCATTCACCGTAATTTGAAAGTAGACAATAATATGACGTCAGTTTTCATAGAAATTGGGTGGAAAAATGAAATTTCTCAAAATTCTCAAAGTTATTTTGAAACGATTTTTCTAGATTTGAGTGTGGCTAAAAAACAACTGCGACACATAATTTTTGCAATTTCAGAAGTATCTTTTGTCTCAAAATTATTTCTGTGAACGCTATTTTGGCTGAAAGTTCAAACATCGTAGGTAGTCTCCAGTGGCCCGCCTGCTCGAGAATTTCAGAAACTCAGAACGAGTTCGTCGTTGATCTGTGAAATATATGGTGCAACTCAAAACAGAATCAGAAACTTTCTTGTTTGAGGTACGATTTTAGAGCATATCTGAGGTCGAGCTTTTAATGGGCCCTGAATTCATGATTTCAGATATACTTGAAATCAAATACAATACACCAGCTTGTCTTTTTTTTATCAATTCATAGATTTTTGATTCGAGTCATACTCAACTGATAAACTTCACAACACTTAAAGTTATCCGAACTTACGTGATACTGTTGATGGTTGTTTTCTGACAGCGGTAGCGACTGGCGGCGCCATCGATTGACGACGTCTGGCAAAAGCCCGGCCAACCATATTTTCTTAGGCCAACATCATATCTCATACGCTAGACAAAAAAAGAACAGTTTGAGACGCAGAAATAATATATAAATATTTAGAAAATCCGACAAAATCTTATAAACAAATTCGAGAAAATGTAAGAGTTCATGATATTGATTTGAAACAGGTGAATTAATGAAAGTGTATAAAAACAGGTGAAAAATGATGAGATTTTCAAAAAAAAGAGGGGTTGATTTTGAAACTTTGTGAGTTGCGTGTGTAAAAATAATTATTGAAAAAGGAAATTATTTAGGATTTCCTAGATTCTTTCTTCTTCTCCTTCTTCTTTTCTATTTTCTGAAAACAAAAAAAGAGGAAATCTCATCCCCGCCACAAATAATACGAATTTTTAATTGAAAGTGATGATGAAATTTTCAAACCCCGTATTTTGTTAGCCAGAGCGTTTTTTTTTGCACACAAAAATAATAAAAAAGCTTTCTCATCAAATTTGTAAGATGTGTAAGATATCTATAATAAAATGCGTAGTAGGCATTGAGAGGGTCTTTTTTGTCGTAAAAAGTTATGACATACTATTTCGATCAAATTACATTATTGTGAGCTTCGCTTCAAATGGAAGTTTCAAGCCAACCAGCCAGTCAGCCCACACAAAAACACAACAACACAAAATGAAAATGAAAAGGAAAAAATGAGTATGATATGAATGAAAATGGAGAAAAATTGAATTTTTTGAGGATGGTAGACCTACTGAAGCAATAAATTGAATTTTAGATATATGAGAAAAGGAAAAACACGTGCCCAACAATGAAATTACGGTGTACTCAAGTGTATATATTACAGAGTTGTAATAAGTTCTTTTCATTTTTTGTTTCGAAAAAATATTCTGTTTAAATAATTTATAAGAATATACCACACAGAAAAAAGTTTCTACATAAATTAATTCAATTTTATGCTTAATTGAACAGAGTTCGCTTTTTTTTTCTAACCAAGAGTTCAAGTTCTCAGAACGCTTATATATACATAAATCAAATAAGTTTCAGAAAATAATAACGTTCCCATGATTAGTGATAATTGTTTACACAGCATAAAAATAAAACAAAATGTTAATATTTCTCTAGGAAAATTTTTGATCTACAGCAAAAAAATTTCAAAATTTGAGGAACCGTAGTGAATAACACTATGAATTCTGGAAAAATAATGAAATGCACTTTCGGAACTGAACAAAAAAAATATTATGTTTTTGGGCCGTTCTGATTTTCAAAATCTCCTAGGAAATGTTATTTCGCGAAGAAATATCTGTGTTTAAAAAATAACCGGCAAAGTTGAAAATAGGCAGAATTTATTCACGCACAATTTTATTTTTCTCATTTCTAAAATGAAAAATTTCACACTGCCAATGAAGAATGAAAATGCATTGTAAAAACAAAACAATATATATATATATTTATTTAGATTATGCTCTCTTGCCATTATATATCTAAATTTATTTATTTTTTAGATATAAAAATATGACAAATTCGTATATAATTGAAAAAAAAGAACGCAATTTTTGTGAGCAGAATAAATTGGACGTCGTCGCCGCCAAAAAAAAAAAAGCTGAAAATCTCTTCTCTCTACTAATAAATTGGAAGGAATCCAAAAACGAAAAACAAGTTGAAATATGATATTTTTTATTGTTGGAATTCATAGAGAAAAAATTCTTGGCAATTTGTTTTTTGGACCTTGTAACATAACATTTTTCAATTTGAAAAAATTTCAGTGATCAGCAAAATGTTTTTCTTGATTTTTGGTTAATTTTTCGCATTAAGTTAAGCATAATATAATTTTTCAAAGAATTACATGTCAGGTGTTCCGAACACAAAAAAATAATTTTAGAATCAATAACTTTGGACCTAAATTTTCAAGATGTATTCAATTTTCATCCAAATAATCATTGGTTTTAGAACACAGTCTACCCTTTTCCCTTAAAAAATTCTAAAAATTCCATAAACCAAACTCACGTTCAGTAGTTATTGACGTTGATATACTTTCAGGTTGTCCTGGAGCTCCGGGAGTTACAAAATTCTGAACATGCAAATTCAAAGTGACACATTTTTTATTGTTCGGTTTCAATCGAGCCCGTTGATTTGCTGAAAATAAACAATTATTGATTAAAATAATTTTACAAAAACCCTACATTGTGAAAAAGTAATTCGACAGGAGCGATTTGTTGGTCCGCGATAAGAAGATCGATGAAGTGGATTCATATCTGAATGTGAATGAAATAATTTTTCAAAATAAAATCGAACAACAGAAACAAGAAATGAAATTTGATCAATCAAATAGTCATCCATTTTGTGTCGAACGAAAAACGTTGACAAAATTAGTTAGTCTCAAAACATATGGAACCAATACGTGACACAACGATTTATGATTTTTTCTAGTTGAAATGGAAAATTGTTGAATTTTCGGGTGGTTTTTCGAGAGTTTGGGAAAAAAAAGTTTTTTTGAAATGGAGCTAATGAAATTTAATTTTTAAAACTTATTATTTTTCATATATTGAAAAAAAATAGAACGGAAAATGTCGTATTACACATTTTTGCACAAATACTATAATTACACACATGTTGCAATTCTTAACCTCGTATTATTACGATTTTTAAAAGTTTTCATCTCAAAAGGTTAAAAAAATTATTATTAATAACTTTTTTGAAATTGTTCAATTTAAATTATTTTTAGCACAAGTTTTAGTATAAAACTATCGCAAATTAACTGAAATTATGTTACTTGTACTAAGAAAAAGAATAAATATGAATTTTCCAACAATTTTCATTCAAATTCATGAAAAAAAAACAAAAAATATGTGAATGCATGTTTTCCAAACAACAAGAAAATAAAAGTAAACATGGAAGTGCGCCCCATTGATAAAAATGGCATGTGTCGTGCTCTCTCAAAACTTTTTGTGTTTTGTCGTTGCGAATAAAGGGGGTTTTCCGAAAGTTTCTGATTTTTTTGTAGTGTCGAAAAACGTTTCCTTCTGAAATTTCATTATTTTTGAAAACCTTTTTTTTCATTGAATGTTTTATTTTTTCTGAATTCTTTATTTTCTCGCAAGCCTTTTATTTTTGAGCCCTTTCAATTATTCCAGACAAAATCAAGTATCTCTCCTTATCGTTTCCTTCTTTCTGAAAATAATAATCCTCTTTTCAATCACACGAAAAAAGTAGTTTCAACAAACACAATTTCTTATCATCGTTTTTTGTTAAAAATACTCTGTGACACCCACATGTCAATCTGAAATATGACAGTTCGTTTTTTGTGTTCATTTTTTTAGTCTCTATGAAACTTACACATGCTATATTATTTTTATTATTCACTTCTATTTATGGAAGTCGAAACTTTTTGAAAGTAGGAAATGAATATGTTTATCGATTGAATAGTTTCACATATTCTGGACTTCTGACTTCTATAGATACTGAAACTGCGAAATCTCGAATTGATGCGATTATCAAGATCCAAGTTCATGATTCTGAAAACATTGCCTTATTTGTTGAAGATGTTGAGATATCATCCAATGTAAATAATCAAAAATCCAATATTTCTTCTGATACTAACTTATTTCTCTTGAAACCTGTATTTGCAAAAATGGATCAAGGATTTATATATAATTTGTATTTCAATATTGCAGACACAGATTGGTCAAAAAATTTCAAAAGATCTATTTTGAACATGTTTTCGATCGCAGAGCAAAAATCAGTACAGTTGCTTTATGAATCATTTTTTCTCAACGAAAAAACTATCGAGGGAGATTGTCAAGTCGTTTATACAATAAAACAGAAAAACAATGATACAATTATCAATAAATCTGTGAATTTTGATGAATGTATTGGTCGACCAGAAATAATATATGGAAATCAAAATATTGAAAAATCACATCCAAGAACAGATTATACATTCACACTGAATAATGGATTATTGAAGCGTGTGGAATTTCAATCTATTTATATTCATAAAATGAAAACTGTTACGTACTCTCGTCTTGTTCATATGAAAACCAGACAAATTGAGAGCAAATTCAGAAGGGTTGGTTACTCAAATCTTTTTTCTTCCCAAACATTAACTGTTTCAGGTCAATCTTAGTGAAGAACCAGAAGATCTTGTTTATTTGCCAAGTTATGAAAGATCGGTTGAAGATTTTTATAAGAATGGAGATGATGCAAAAATCAATCCTTTCAAATGTATTTCTATTGATGAAAAACTGAATATTCTCAACAAAACTATTGAAAAGTTCGAAAAAGATGAATCTCATCAATTGGTTGATCTTGTAAATTTGCTGCAATCTTGCACTTTTGAACAATTAGAAGACATTTATGATAACATACGTGGCAGAAACAATAAAAAAGGTGAGGAAATATTTGAATTTATGTTTCATAGATATTTCTAGATGAAAGAAATTGCTGAAAATGCATTTGCGATAGCTGGAACAAAGAATACTATTGAATATTTGATATTTCTGATTCACAACAACAAATTTAATTCATTGAGATCTGTGGAATTATTAAAAATCATTCAAAGCACTATTTATCCATCAATGAGGATTGCCGATTCTTTAATTGAATTGGCAAAATCAAAAGTTTCAGAAGATTCTGAAAGTATCCAACAAGCGGCATGGTTGGCTTCGAGTATTGTTGTAAATGGTATTGTCACACAGAAATATCATCTTTTGAATGAAAATACACCAGAAATGCAGGAAAAGTATTTTGATCAATTTTTGAAACTTATCCAAGATTCCGATAATAGTTATTCACGAATTTTGGCATTGAAAGTTCATGCAAACGCTGGATTGACAAATTCAGTGCATCTTTTTGCTCAAGTAATTGATGATGTTCGAGAACCAATTTCAGTTCGACAAGAAGCTATTGAATCATTACGAAATATTGGTGATATTATTCCACTGAAAATAATTAAACTATTATTTTCAATTTATCGAAATCACAAAAACCCAACACAACTTCGAATTGTTGCATTGAAAGTGATAATGAGCACAAAACCTACAAAATCGATGCTTGAAAAAATTGCAAAGTTCACGGAAACTGAATCAAACCAACCAGTAAAGTACTTCACTTCCAATTTGCTGAATCAGAGAAATATCACAGTGAATTGTTTGGATTGCCAACCTTATTCAATCGAGTCAATAATACAATATTTTGCACCTGGCGTCAACTTCAATTCATGGATACTCGAAACCGTTTACACAAAAATTCCAAAACAACTACATTTACAATTGAAAAATATGGAATTTGGGTTTTCGCAGAAAAATTTGGATCAATATTTGAACTATTTTATTTCGAAATATGAACGACATATATTGTCACCAGAAGCTTATGAAAGATTGGAGTTATTGAAACAGTTTATTAAATTTGTGAATAATGGATTTGAAAGTGATGTATTTCAAGAACCTTCGATTTCTGGCTATGTGAGATTGAAAAGTATGAATTTCTTATTAGTTCCAATTAATCGAGAAATTATCGGCAAGGTATTGCGGAATTTTGTGAACAACGGTCTAAACTTCAATGAGAAATTCGACTTGCACAAAAATTTTGCGGGATATTTTCACGAAACTGAACGAATTATTCCAACAACTTCTGGATTTCCGATCACAATTTCTGAAAAGTTGCCATTTTTCTCTTATATGCAATTGAAAATGAATAACTCAGAATTTGATGTTAAATTATCTATCAGAGCTATCGATTCGATTGAAATGAAAATGAGAAATGTTTTCAATACACAAGGAGTAATATTCAACAAACAACTCACTCTTGATCTACCTCTTAGGTTCAGTTTTCGTTTCAAAAAATTATTTGCACATGAAATTCATACAACCTTGAACATCCCAACAAATTATTCGGCTGAATTCCAATTGTCAGAATGCTCCAAAGTATTCATTGGAGAAGATAAAAATATTTCAATTATAAGCCAAACAAATAGCAATACAAGATTGGAAGACGATGAAAAACAAATATTCAAAATTTTTGGAATGGATATGATTACATATTGGAGTGATAAAAGACTCGCTATTTTTATTGATAATATGAATCAAGCAATTGAAATGAGAACTATTGTTGCTCTGACACACAAACCATTTGATATTCAACATTTTATAACAGCAATATGTCGAAGAGCAAGAGAAAATCCATTTAATCTGAAAGTTGATGATCTGAAAAATTTTGCATATGAATATACAGCATCCATAACTATGACAACATCAGTTGGGCATAAAATGATTCTGAAAATTATCAATCATCGTGATAGTTCTGACAAATACTCGTTATGGGATATTGATTTTCATCGATTATATATGCGATATGGTTATAAATATATTGTTAGCAACCTCAAATCATCACTTCTTATAACTGGTTCAACACTAAACATGAACACAAAATGGGACAGTACTCCACAATGCTTACCGAATTATTTGAATATTTATGGAGAACTAGATCAAACCTCAAATATCAAATTAACTACTGATGTTTTGAATCAACTCCGAATTGTGGCAAATTATAGATTTGAAGAGACAACTAGAAATCGACTTGGATACTTTTTTCCCAGATTTCCAGATTGGTACACTATTGGGGATAATCAAGTTCATGCCAATTTTACTGTCGATCCAACAAAACGCAATGTGGGATATTTGACGACTAGAAATTGTTTCACTGCAAACAATTTCACATTCCAAATTCCAATCGTTGATCTTCCCACCATTTCTAACCTGAAAAATCCAATTTGTGAATACACTTTGGACAAACTTTATACATTTAATGAACATATTTTCACACCTCCACAAACTACATGTTATTCTGTTGTGACTGGAATTGATGGAATGTTTGAAGTTTCTGTGAGAAAAGAATATAAGAATATGGATAATATTATTGTGAAAGTCGAAATCGTTGATGAAGAAATTATTTATTTATTAAAAGTTCAAGACTTTTTCTCGGTCAAAAAAGGCAACAAAATCCTTTCAATAACGAATTATGCAGAAAACAGGTAATTTTTATTTTCATATTTAACAAAACATCAAGGTTTCCCTTTTCAGAATAATCCTAGCCAACAATCGGTTGATCTTTGACATTCATCACTGTGTATTAGAATTTGACGGCCAAAAGTTGAGAATTAAAATTCGCCCAAATCTTTTGGGTGGATATTCGTTGAATGGAATGTGTGGAGATATCGAAGATCAAGTGAGTTCTCAGAAAAATTATCACCACTAAACCAAAATAAATTGCAGAATTCAAATGAATATTTTGTTGAAAAATATCACAATGATCTGAAAATTTTCGCAAAAGAAACAGAAGATTGTGATATTTCCAAGAATCATCATACAACACATACATCTCTTGACTATGAGGAATATGATATGAAAAGTAAGTTCTTCATTTAAAAAAAGGTTACAATGGCCAGAAAAAACTGATAATCAGTAAATTTTTGAAAAAAATATATTTCAGCATTCGAATATCGAACTGTTGTCCGAGAATTTGCATACAAAACTTGTTTTTCAATCGAAGCTGTTCCATTTTGCCCGAAAAACTACATTGCCTTTGATTTCCGACGAGAAGAAATCAAGTATACTTGTTTTTCAAGAAAAGAAACAAGAACTCGAGGATTTTTGAATGACATCAAGACTGGAACTGTTCTAGAATTCGAAGATCCTTCTATTTCGTCAGTTGAAATGTTCTCAATGCCTTTGAAATGTGTTTATAACAGTTGATTAGTGCATAGAGCATTCAGTAATTATGTATTAGAAAAAAACTATAGATTTTGTTTTCCCTTTTCATTGTCAGATTTTTTTTCCAATTTTGGGTGTTCTAGAAACTTTTTTCATTAAATGTTGGATTGGCTTTTCCTTTCCTTTCTTTTCATTTTGGTATTTATTTGCACAAATACGTGGGCAAAAAAAGGATGTTTGGCCTTGAAACAACAGAAATAAACAATAAGGAAATGTTTTTCAATACTTTCAATGGACATTTTCACATTCAAAATGTGGGAAAAATAAGAAAAAGAATAACAGGTGTGGAAGATTGAACTTGAAAAATGTATTTCTAAAGAATCTGAAAATAATTGGAAAGATGGAACATATTTTATGGAATCTTGGAAATTTGAATAGTGACTTTGGAAAAGTTTTAGATGTTTTCAACAATACAAAAAAATTTGAAACGATTGCGAAATCCGAAAGATCTTTTTGAATTTTGTGTTTTTTAGAATGTTAACTTTTCTGAGCTGGGATAAATTTGGCAAGGTTTCAGAATTTAAAAAAAATTTACTTTCGAATAAAATATTTTCTAGTTTAAATTTTTTCATAATTTTTCAGCCAACTGCAGAGAACACATTTTTTCGTACACAATCGACTGATATCTTTCCAAATTTGATAATTTTATCCAAAACTTTTGACTGAAAATCGCGTAAATCATGTAGATCTGAAAATTTCCTGTAAGCCCCTCCCCTTCCAACAAATCAACTTCATCAACAGAATGATCGATTTATTTTGTCAACATAGAAATCGTCATTTTAAAACCAGACAAGCACTTTTTTAAGAACTTTTAGCATGGAAATGTTTCTTATTGGCTTCGAAAAACAAGATGAAGTTCAAAATCGAAAGACAGATGATGAAGATCAAGAATAAGACCAACAACGCAGCCATTATTTTTTGTCCAGTTTCAACATTTGGGTCATCAATCTAGAAAAATCTTTCTGAATGTGAGTATCGAATTCTGAATTTGATAAATAAACTAACCAGAAGACCCATTGACGTCAAAAGATTATGCAAAGATAGATGGAATAAAATCAAATGTCTTTTTTTAATTTTGAATGAACGAGCAATGTTTTTTTGAGAATTGGTTTTTTTCATTTTGGTGAGCCGAAAAATCAACTTTTCTTCCTTTTTGCTTTCTGCAAATCCCACCTCTTTTTTCCAATTTCGTATTTAATTTAATTACCAAAAAGTTTATGAGAAAATTCAACAATACAAAAAAAAAAGAGAGGCATAGGTCAAAAAAACGTTCAGCAAACCGGGAGCTTGTCGGGATTCTGGAAAATTTTAGCGGGAATATGTCTATAGCAACAAATAAGGAATCATACTGAAGTTCAGAAAAGTTCACAAAAATGGAAAACGTGTGAGGCAAAAAGTTCAAGATCTCGAAAGAATCCCTGATAATCATGTAGCTCAACCTCGGTTGGCTGAACGAAAAAAAAAACAAAAACGGGGATGGTAAGGGATTTCGTACAGGGGAGTTTAGGTACTTCTGTCCGCATATGACAAATGAGCAACGTGGTATTCGAAAAAAAAAACTAACAGGGGAATAATTCGAGAAAAATCACGGGGGAGTTTAGGTGAATCTCTCGATGAATAAATGTACACAATAAAACACTACTTTAAAAAACTATGGGCCGGGATGAGAAATTGTACATGGGAGTTTAGGTACAAATTCTATGTTGAAATAGTTGGAATGAATGTAAGAGAGAGCAAAAAAACACAAAAATACATATCAAAATTGAAAAAAAACGCTACGTGGAGAATAGCACACGTTGTCATAATTAAAGTTGTTGAGCATGAGATAAGGAAGAAATTGAGGCGGAAATCGAGAACTGAAAAAAAAAGATTTTTCACAAGAAGGCACGTGAGAAATTTGGATCAAGTTGCGATGAAACCCAGCCACCCACCCCAAAAAAATTAACCTTTCACAGATAAAAATCGACTTTCCCACAATTCCAGGTTTAACCTTCGTCACAGAAAGATTTGAAGACGACCACGATGGTTCTGAAAAAATGAAAAAGTTTTCTCTAATCATATCTTAAACTTCCAACTAACCGAAAATGTATCCATTTTTCTGGTCTGACTTCACATCCTCAAATTCCAAACGGTGAGAGCAAAAATATGTGCGAAATAGAGATATTTCAGAGTACAAAGCGACTCAATTGAAGACAAATAAAAACAACGAATTGAAACATAATTTTATACAGAAATGTAGTCACAATAAAAAAAAACAGGATGAACATTAATAAATATATATTTTTGATCTTTGATAGTGAGGTAGATTTGATTTTGATAAAAAGTAAGATTGAGCAGTCCAGGTGTTTGTTTTTTGAGTTGAATTATCTAATTACCTGAAAAATCGATAATTTTTATAACAATAGTGAACTTTTGATTCTAAAACGTACAGTGAAACTATTTTCGATTGGCCTAGTATCTCAAGAAAGTTGAAAGCGTCGCATCTTCTAGACGTTGAATGGGTGAATCCAACAATGATTGACAAAGTTCCGACATCGAAAAAACTCAATGGAACCTTGATTAGATTAAAACCTAACATGTAGCAAAAACATCAATGAAAAAGGTAAAACAAAAACATTGAATATACAATCAAATAACAATCCAAAGAATTGAAAAAATTAAACATGCATAAAAAGTAATGTCAGTATATGATAGCATGAAATTTAGATTATATTTGAAATGTTCTTTTTGTGTTTGTGGTGTTTGTGAAGATTCCTTTAAATGTAAAAATATATATATCAAACAAGTTTTGTTTCCATAATTTTTCAAATTTCAGCTTCTTTAGAATCAAACTTATTTAAAAAAAAAAGAAGTGATCCTACTCCTTTTTGAAATTCCCAATTGACATATATCTATTCGATATTTCAATTCTAAAAAAATCCCATTCCCTTTTCCCAATTAGTAAAATCAACTAACCTTTCCTGTGCATCGGTTGATAATTTTTGTGAATTTTTCAATCGAAATATCAAAATTGTTTTTGATGGCTTCTTTGGGAATTTCAGCAGTGATAACTTTTGGCAGTTCACAAACACAAAACTTCGGACACATTTTCATACGAACCGCATAAACACGACTTTTATAATCAAAAACTTGGCTTTTTTCTCCAATATTGTGAGTACAATCAAAAATGAAGATGTAATTTGTGAGCCCCTCGAATTGAATGATTTGCCGATGTTGCGGATGAATCTGAAATTATAAATTATTTTTGGTTGAAGTTTCTGAAGTTTTATTGAAATTACCTGGGGACTGAACTCAACTTCCCAGGGAAAATCTTCCTCCGAATAACAATATTGTTGAGATATTCTAATAATTCCAAGAAAAAACAGAAAACGAAGCATCTAAAGAAATATGATTTTTGACAAATCAAATATTAGACAAAAAAGATATTTCAGAGTTGTCAAGCAACTTCTTAAAGACTCCAAAAATTATGATCATGAGTAAAAAAAGTTTTCATGAAAAAATTCAATTCAAAAAAATATTAAATAGAAAAAAAATTACAAAAACAGGGGATGGTATGGGATTCCGTACAGGGGAGGTTAGGTACTTCTGTCCGCAGATCAATATGACAACGCCGATTCAAAAAAACTAACAGGGGCAGGGGTCTGGAAAATCACGGGGGAGTTTAGGTGAATTTTCCTCTTGAATAACTCTATAATATTAGAACAAGATAACACACTTTGAAAAAAAAAACAACTACAGGACGGGAGAGAATTTGTACGGGGGAGTTTAGGTACAACTTCAACGTTAAAGTAAGGCCACATGCGATGAACGCGATCAAAAGTTATGATTAACTTTTTTGAAGAACAACAAAAATACATATAAAAAAATGACTAAAAAAACACTACGTGGAGAATTGCATACGTTGCTATAAATTGGATGTTGAGCATGCAATGAAGAAGAAACTGAGGCAAAAATCGAGATCTGAAAAACACAAAATGAAATGTGTTTGGAAGAAAATCTACTCCGCCACATTGGCAAAAATCAAACTAACCTTTCACGAAGAAAAATTCAACTTCTCCACAATTCCAGGCCTTAACCATTGTCCCAAAAAGATTTGAAGACGACCACGATGGTTCTAAAAAAATGAAAATGTTTTTTATCTTTCAATATTCCAACTAACCGAAACTGTTTCCAATTCTTGGGTCTGACTTCACATCCGCTGATTCCAATCGATAATAGCAAAATGTATGCAAAACAGAGATATTTCAGAGTACAAAAGCGACTCAATTAGATATATATAAAACAATTCTCAACATTATCTTATTCAATTTTCACAACAAAAACCAGGATACCCATTCCAAATATTATGCAATGTCTTACAGAATTATATAAACAACATCTAATCCAAAATAAACTAATGAAAACTATCAAATCAAAAAAAAATATACCGTTTTTTTGAGGCAGTTACTGAAAAGAATTGATGGAATGGGGTGCATTTAAAAAAAACGGGGCACAAAAAGTGATTTCTGTTATATGTTATAAAATGGGATGCGGTTTTTTTAGGGACAAACTCAGGAAATTATGATAGATAAAACCTTACAAAATGACTGAATTTTAGATAATCCCATACAGAAATACTTTTGTCTCACCCTCTTTGATAACACTTCTTTTAACCCTTTTTTTTCAAATGTACTTCATTCCGTTATTCTTTTTCAGTAACTGCCATTTTTTTAAAAGTACTTCCCAGTTTCCTATATTTTGACTGGTTGACAAATTAAATAATGATACATATTTTGCGTTCGGGACCCTTTGGCTAACTAACTTTTTCGAGAAAAATTGATAAATAATACCAATTTTAGTCTATTGCGTATTGACATTTTTTTATAAATATATGTTTCGATGATTTGATAGTGTGGTAGATTTGATTTTGATAGACAATTTGATGGAGCGGTCCAGGTTTTTGTGTTTGTTTTTGGAGTTGAATTATCTGGAAAATCAATATTTTAAAGAATTATTTTGAGTTTCATTGAGTAACTTACAGTGAAAATTTTCTTCTCCGATTGGCCAGTACCAGATTCATCTTGCCAGAAGTTGATTTGAATTCTTCTTGATGCTGAATGCTCAAAACCAAGAAGATCGACTTTCTGACAATATATGAAATATCTAAATAAAACATTAATTATAAAAATAAATGAAAATTTTCAGAAATTTCAGAGTAGCCAAGCTTCTCTTTGAAAACATCAATCAAAAAAAACCAAAACAAAAATATCATATATTGTCATTCCGAAAATAAAAGAACCCCCGTTTGAATTGGCGGTCACGTACAGTAGACTAAAAATGACGTGACACATGCACATCAAACTGGTTGGCAAATAGCCAACGTGTAAATTTCGCATTTTATTTTTCAAATAGACTCCAAAATTTTGCGAAGTCTACTGTAGTCTTGGTGTCCTAGGCCATCTCGATTCTCTTCCAAGTTCTTATTTTTTCGGAATGACAATATGTGTGTACAATAAATTACAAATGATTACTTTTTACATTAGGAATCTATAAGAAAACCAAATCAATGACAAAAATAAAAATGCACAGAATGCAGTTTGAATATCTGTTGCCAGCATTCTCAGATGATGATTGATATCTTCGTTTTGTCCAGATCCCTTCAAATTGAAAAAAAGAATATTTCAATTTTTGAAAAGTTTCAACAATAATCTCTTACTTTTTGATTTAAAAATTATAAAATAGCTGTTTTTCATTCGCTCTCAGATTTTTCGATTATTGTAATTAATTCTGGCTCGGACCACATAATTTGTCTGCACTTAACCATCCAGAAGAGAATATGATATTCGAAAGAAAGTTCTGAAGCAGACCATTTCTAAAATGTGGTCACTTTTTACAAGATTCAAAATTATCGTTGAAAAAAAACATAATTTTTTCTAGTTTTCGCTGAACAACTCTCCAAAAGGCAGCAAAATTTTGAGCCAAGTGTCGAAAAAATTCGGAGAGTCACCCAGCAAAAACTGAAGGTGGTATGTTTTCAACATAAAAAATTGTAGCAAACGATTTTTTTTCAAAATACCTCACACACTTCATACGTTAGAAAACACCCTCTCCCTTTCAAAAATCAACTAACCTTTCCTGGGCATCGATTGACAATTTTTGTGAATTTTTCAATTGATACACCGTATTTATTCTTGACAACTTCTTTTGGAATTTCCACAGTCGTAATGTTTGGAGGTAGACAATCACAAAACTCCGGGCACATCTTCATATGTAGAGCATAAACACGGTGTTTATAATCAAAAACTTGACGTTTCTCCACGATATTGTGAGTACAATCAAAGATGAAGACGTAATTTGCGATTCCTTCAAATTCAATCAGTAGTCGATGCTTTGGATGAATCTGAAATAATAATTTTATTGTCAGTAGTTATGCCCTGTTTACCTTCATTACCTGAGGACTGAGCTCAACTTCCCAGAGAAAATCCGATTCCGAATAACAATATTGTTGAGAAATGTGAACAATTCCAAGGAAAAACAAAAAACGGAGCATCTAAAAAATATGATCTTGAGCAAGTAAAAAATGAAACAAAATAAAAGATATTTCAGAGTTGTCAAGCAACTTCTTGAAAAAACAAAATATAATCATTATACAAAAAAGCATATTTAGTTTATTGAAAAAAGAACAGAAAGGCAGTACAAAAAACCGTCAAAAAATATGTGAAATCGCAATACTATGTGTTGAACTGACAATGAGAATAGATTTTCAAAAAGTACACGAAAATCAGAATGAAATTTTTACAGAGAGTGAAAAAATAAAAGCTGATGAGAAGAAGGAAGAAACGAAAACTATGGAGAAAAGTTCAATCAAAATATCTCAACAAAAGACCGAGGAAAAGTCTGAGACTGAAAAAGGCAACGAATGCAAGAAAAACCAAATAAAGAACCAATGCATATGGTCTACCTTTGAACATTCTGTGGACGATATCGTGGAAATAAAGAATCTCGACTTCAAAAACGCCTGAATCATCCTCCCGAACCTGGAAATATTGATTTTGGGGTAGGTTCCAGTTTTAGAAAAACAAAGTTAGGGAAATTATGAAAATCGGAAAGCAAAGTTTTTTGAACAAAACATGTCAAGAATCGGATTAAATCCTACTTCTCGATGTGTGAATTTACCACCAGAAACGATTCAATAAGAAGTTCAGAAAAGTTGAAACCAACCTCAAAATTATCGCGGCAAACATCATAGGAAACCATGAACTTTGCAATACTGACTCCTTTATAAATATCCAACATCTTCGAATGTTCGTAAGTCTTTCTTTCAATCTTCTGGCAATCGCAGCTTTCGGCGCACATTTTTTTGTGAACAACATAGATTTTCTCTTTCGGAACAAAATATTCTTCTTTCTCGAAGAGCGCATCACAAGAATACAATTCGAAATAAACTTGGATACCAGTTTCGGTGAGATTGTACTCCTTGATTTTCTGCAAGAAAAAAATATTGGGGGTTCAGTTATTTGTTGAAAAAACTCACTGCATCTGGGAGAGAGACAATCATTTTTCCATCTCGATGTTCGTAGCAAGCATTTGCTACTGTGAGTGAGAGAAGACACAAAAACATAATTATCATGTCTTTAACCCTGAAGAAGTTATTATAAGTTGGGAAGATTTTAAGAAAATATTTCAGAGTTAAAGAACTCTTTTATCTCTTCAAGAAACAGAAGCTAATAGATGATACAAAATATTATTGATTGATTGAAAATAAAAATGAAACAAGACAACAAAATAATTCGTTATTACATAGATTGAGCGACTATCGCATTAAGTTGTTGTCGAAAATGAACTCTCGAGTTCTGAAAAAAACTAAATGTTAGAGGAAAATTGAAGAATCCCACAAATATAAAAGCTTATTTCTTATTCAGATATTTCAAACTAACCTAGAGTTCATTTTCTTCTTGGCAAACATCAACAGAAACCAAGAATTTTCCAATTTTCACTCCGTCATGATCTTCAATGAATTTTGGATGCTGATAAGTTTTATCAACAAACGATTTGCAATCGCAGTTGTTTGGGCACATTTGTTTGCGAACAATGTAGATTCTCTTGACCGGATCATAAATGTACTCCTTTTCCAATTCAGCAGTGCAGGAATATTCTTCCATAAAAATGTTCACACCATTTTCTTTGAGATTGTATTTCTCAATATCCTGAAAACACACAAATTATTTAGATTTAGTTTCGCCAAATATTAAACTTACTTCATCCAACATTGATACAAACATTCGTCCGTGACGATAATCGTAGCAAGCATTAGCCAAAGTGAACACAAAAAGGCACAAAAAAAGGATCCGCATTGTCATATTATCTCAACCCTGTATAAAATTGAATTTTTACCGTTGTAGAAAAAAAATTGTTAGATATTTCAGAGTTATTGAAACTCTTAAGAGATCAATAAAAATTAAGAAAATATATGTTTTGTGTTTATCGAGTTATAGAACCGTAAGATTTTTCGTATTGGAGCCATTCCCATTGACGTTGAAACGATAGTGTTTGTACTGTAAATTTAGAATTTGAAAAAAAAATCAGAAATAATTTTTATAAACCTAACCTTAACATATTTGCCGCATTCATGACGAGAAGCCACAGTTTTCACAATTCTAATTTTGTCTTGCCTTGATTTGATTTTGTGAACCACATAAGTTCTTTTTTCAAAATGTATACGATGGCAGTTATGTGTGCACAATCTTCTACGAACAACATGAACTCCATATTTTTGTGAATAGTGATGTGTGTCCTCGTCTTTTCCATCACAAATATATTCATCCATAAAAATTCTGACATTATCTTTCTTGAAAAGGTAATTTTTGATTTCCTGAAAGCTAAATTGATTACATTTTTCTAATCTTTAAACTCACATACTGCGGGTAAAACATGGAGTTTCGTAGGATCATGTTCATAGTTGTAACTGGCATAAACTGCAGGGAGCACGAAAATCCATATCATTGAAATGTGCATTTTTTCTCATTCCTAAAGAAAATTGAACAACTGGAAAGATATAATAAGATATGACAGAGTTTTTCGTTTCTGATTTGATTCCTCCCAAATGAACTCCCAAGTTCTTACCAACAAGGAACTGTGGATAATACGTGATAAATGTCATCGATTTTCCAGCGAACTTTGGGTTGTAGCAATTGCAATTATTTGGGCAGAGTTGCTTTCGAACTTGGTAGACACGATTAGTGAGATTGAAAGAGTGTTGAACATCGGTGGCAAGCTTGTCGCAAATAAAAGTCTCGATGTAGTTTTTAACAGTTTGGTTGATTGGGATAAGCTGGAATTTCGTAATTTTATTCGAGAAAAAAACCAGAAGGAATCTTACCTCTGGCTTGATATCAATCACCAATTCTTTGCTCTGTAAGTGAATGCAAAGTTCAGTTGGTCCAAAAAAGATAAAAAGCAAAAAGACAATCATTTTTTGCCTTTCTGAAAAGAAAATATCTTCGAGTAGGCACACAACTATGCAGATTGACGAAAATAAGTTGTGCGAAACAAAAGTGGGTGGAACATCTGAATAAGTAAATATAAACATATATATACACTAATCAAAACAAAAAAGTTGTGAAGAGTTGCCGATAAAAACACATTTTTTATTGAGATGAGTTAGGATGTGAAGATAATATAAACAATTGGATTTGAAGATAAATTGTTTCGGTTAATGTTTTTGAAAAAAAAAAGTGAAGATGAAAAAGTAAAAGATATGTATATAACGTGGATTTTTTGTGTCACAAAAACAGTATTCTATAAGTTGGCAATTATTATGTGTTGTAATAATTACAAAAAAATGTGCATTGTTTTTTTTTTTTTTGGTTTTTGCAAACATTTTTATTTTGCTGGCCAAACGTTGAACTTTTTTTAGTGTGTGCAACACATTTTTAGGCTTGAACTTCCAGATTGATTATATTTGAAATTGGGTTGGCTTCATTTTTAAGTACACAGGGTTTTTCTTTAACTTAAGGCCATTTGAAGCCCAATTACAGGCTTGCGTTTTTTCGATATTTTGAAAAAATGTTCCAAAGTTTTCGAATCTAATTATCTGAAACTCCTACTTTCAAATTTTTTGGCTTTCAACTTTCGGGCAGAAGCCATCCACGTATGCTAAACAGTTTCACTGGTTCCATGTTATATAATTTTTAAAATGATATTCAACTTTTCTGATTGCCTTAAAAATCTTCTTGGCCTTGTGCCAACAAGTATATCTACCGTATCCGCCAATCATATACATCTGGCAATTTTCCCTTGCACTTTTTCTATTTACTCATTGCCAGGGTCAAAAACAACAAGTGCAAGATACCGTATTCATCTCTATCTCTTTTTCTTTTCAATGTTTTTTTCGGGCGCCAACGGCACCTTCTATTATTCACTATTTTGTTTCCGATTATCGATTCGGTCACAAGTTGTGTTGTTGAAGAAAAACGGCGCCGTGGGCACCCTGCCCGCTCGCGCGCGCGAGAACACATCTGCCCCTGCACATTTTGAGAGGGGGGAAAGCGGTGTCTCTCTTTTTATCATTCAAACCACGAGTGAGTGAACAAAAGAAAAGTGCACTTTTTATGTCATGTGTAGAAGCTTGGGTTGTTGTTGAAACGGGCGCAAATTTATTAGGGACTACTGTAGTGGGTGGAGTGAGAAGGCCGTGGCGAATGTTGATCAAAGTACGCTGTTGGAGATATTGTTGAGGGAAAAATTATATGAGAAATATAGGGACCAACTAGGTATAGAAAAGACTTGAAATATGGAATTCTGACACTATCTTTATGAATGATGAAGTATGGATTTTCGAGCTTTGGGCTGCAGCTCTGAACTATCTGTTATGGAATTTGGAAAATGCGAAATCTGGATCTGAATTTTCGAATTGATAATTTTATTTTTAGAGCAGTACAATTTGACTGCACCAAAATCGAATAATGTAAGGAAGTCTGACAGAAAACCGCCACATACTTGAGTCCAATTATGATTCTGATGCTATCAGACTACATAATATTTTTTATTCTATATTTTTTTACGATTCCGAATATTTTTTATTCAGCCAATTTGAAATCAATTATTCCGTGTACACTTATACTTATATATCCAAGTTCTCCTAACACCAAAAACAAATTCTACATTAAGAATCTATGCATTCACTACTGTCTACCACCAACCATAGAAGCATACGCAAATTTTTGACGCCCCTTTTGTCTTTCATTCCCTTTTCTGGTTTTCTCGCTTTGTAGATGCTTCATCATTTGTTCTCTATATGAATTTTCTGACTTTTTTGTCGGACTGATTACGGTTACAATCTCTATCCTCCAAATGTTTTAAAGAAAATGTCAGAGTTTTTCAAGTTTCCAAAAAATTAATTCTCTGTTTGGTTTCTTGATAATTTGACATTTCTATCATCACTTACAGTATCCCTTTTCCTAATAGTTCCCATCATTTCAGTGACCTTTCCAAACAATTAGCTTCCCATTCACATGACTCATTTTAGAGCACACATCACATAACTTTTCTTGTATGTACTTTTTTTTTTTGAAAAAAGAGACAAACGTTGAGGGTTCTTCCTCATAAATCAATCAATGCTCCGAATTTTCGCGCCTAAAATGTGGTGCGCAAAAATCTTTTGTGTCACTTGAGACAAACCATATGTATAAAGAAACATCAAAAGAGCTCGGTGGATGATAGTAAATCATAAATAAATAAATATTTTTCTGCAGATTGTAAAGTGTCCGATGTTTTTGTCTATATTTTTATTTTACAAAAAAAATATCTGCTCATCTTGATCAAAAAATCAATAACCTCTTATGTTTCAAATTTTGCTCTGATAATTATCTGCTATTTTACGTGTTATTTTTTCTCAACTTTGAAACCGTCAACCAACATTTTTTCAGACTTGGGTTCAAAATGGCTTCAAACATAACTATCAAAGTTCATCCTTTGGTTCATATGACAATTGTTGATTCATACATCAGAATCACAAAAGAAGCGACCGATCCAAATGATCACAAGAAAACACTCGGAACTCTCATGGGATTCTATGAAAAAGGAATAGTTCAGGTATATCTGATTATTCAACCATAAAATATAGAAAATATTTTTGTTCAGGTCACCAACTGCTATGCGATTCCTTTCAAGGAGGATCCAGAACATCCAGAAATCGATGACAAATTCAACAAAATGATGCTTTCGATTCATGAACAAGCAACACCACATGAACAACCAGTTGGATGGTTTTTCACAACATCGGATATCACTGTGAGCTGCGCAGTATATCATGATTATTATACTCGGATAATCTCGGAGGTTTGTTTTTTCAAATTTTTTTTTTCATTACCTCCCGATTTATTCTTCAGATTCCACAACGCCGCAAAAATGTTCCAATCATCTTGATCACTTTCGATGTAACTCTTTCTGAAGAAAATTCCAACAGTTTGCCGATGCGAGCATTTTATCGAACAAAAGCTGGAATTCCTGGAGGAAGAGAGCCACATTGTGCTATTTTCAATCCACTTCGCATTGAACTTTCTACTTTTGAAGGAGAACGTGCTACTTTGCAATTCCTTCAAAAGGCAACTGGCTCGGCTAGAAGAGGAAGAGGAATCACTTTGGAGGATGGATTCAAGAAGATTGAAGAGACAACCGATGATATAATTGGAATGTTGGAGAGATTGTTGGAGTGAGTTTTTGTTTATCGACAAGAAAAATATCTGGAAATAAAAAGAAAATCAGTCTCTTCTGAACATTTTGAAAAATTATACAAAAAATTATTACTTTTTAGGTACGTCCAAGGCGTCATTGCCAATGGTGAAAAACCAAAAGATATCTTGATTGGAAGACAAATCAAGGAAATGTTGAACTCGTGCGCTATTCATATGGATACTGAGAAAATCGACAAATTGTTCTCCAACAGTCTCAGAGTCAGTTTTTTCTTTGTCAATTTTTTGCATAATTTTGTGTTTACAGGACTACCTCATGGTTCAAAACTTGACAGAGTTGGCAAAAACTCATCTCAACCTTCACCATTTCGCCAAGTGAAAAAAGCTATACAATGCGATTTTTTCACTCAAAACCATTTAATCTCCAGGTTTCTTAATTGTTAATTGTTCGTCATTCTGGTATTTTTTTAATGTTGTGGTTTGTTTTTGGATACAGAAACACTTTCAGAATGAACAATCAGACAATCAAATGACAAAAGTAAAATCAATACTCGAATTTTGAAAAAAAAACTGGGATAATAAAATAATGAAGTGACATAAATATGACAGAGTTATCATAACTTGTTAAGTATAGTTAGAGAAAAAATGATACAAAAAACAATCAAATTCAAAAAAAAAGAAGAAAAAACAATCAAACAAGTGGAACTTGTTCGTTCATGTAGTTCAAGCGATAATCGCATTCTGTAATGATTGGAGTATCTGGACGTGAAACTGCTCGGTGAGCGAGTAGGCACACAACTATGCAGATTGACGAAAATAAGTTGTGCGAAACAAAAGTGGGTGGAACATCTGAATAAGTAAATATAAACATATATATACACTAATCAAAACAAAAAAGTTGTGAAGAGTTGCCGATAAAAACACATTTTTTATTGAGATGAGTTAGGATGTGAAGATAATATAAACAATTGGATTTGAAGATAAATTGTTTCGGTTAATGTTTTTGAAAAAAAAGTGAAGATGAAAAAGTAAAAGATATGTATATAACGTGGATTTTTTGTGTCACAAAAACAGTATTCTATAAGTTGGCAATTATTATGTGTTGTAATAATTACAAAAAAATGTGCATTGTTTTTTTTTTTTGGTTTTTGCAAACATTTTTATTTTGCTGGCCAAACGTTGAACTTTTTTTAGTGTGTGCAACACATTTTTAGGCTTGAACTTCCAGATTGATTATATTTGAAATTGGGTTGGCTTCATTTTTAAGTACACAGGGTTTTTCTTTAACTTAAGGCCATTTGAAGCCCAATTACAGGCTTGCGTTTTTTCGATATTTTGAAAAAATGTTCCAAAGTTTTCGAATCTAATTATCTGAAACTCCTACTTTCAAATTTTTTGGCTTTCAACTTTCGGGCAGAAGCCATCCACGTATGCTAAACAGTTTCACTGGTTCCATGTTATATAATTTTTAAAATGATATTCAACTTTTCTGATTGCCTTAAAAATCTTCTTGGCCTTGTGCCAACAAGTATATCTACCGTATCCGCCAATCATATACATCTGGCAATTTTCCCTTGCACTTTTTCTATTTACTCATTGCCAGGGTCAAAAACAACAAGTGCAAGATACCGTATTCATCTCTATCTCTTTTTCTTTTCAATGTTTTTTTCGGGCGCCAACGGCACCTTCTATTATTCACTATTTTGTTTCCGATTATCGATTCGGTCACAAGTTGTGTTGTTGAAGAAAAACGGCGCCGTGGGCACCCTGCCCGCTCGCGCGCGCGCGAGAACACATCTGCCCCTGCACATTTTGAGAGGGGGGAAAGCGGTGTCTCTCTTTTTATCATTCAAACCACGAGTGAGTGAACAAAAGAAAAGTGCACTTTTTATGTCATGTGTAGAAGCTTGGGTTGTTGTTGAAACGGGCGCAAATTTATTAGGGACTACTGTAGTGGGTGGAGTGAGAAGGCCGTGGCGAATGTTGATCAAAGTACGCTGTTGGAGATATTGTTGAGGGAAAAATTATATGAGAAATATAGGGACCAACTAGGTATAGAAAAGACTTGAAATATGGAATTCTGACACTATCTTTATGAATGATGAAGTATGGATTTTCGAGCTTTGGGCTGCAGCTCTGAACTATCTGTTATGGAATTTGGAAAATGCGAAATCTGGATCTGAATTTTCGAATTGATAATTTTATTTTTAGAGCAGTACAATTTGACTGCACCAAAATCGAATAATGTAAGGAAGTCTGACAGAAAACCGCCACATACTTGAGTCCAATTATGATTCTGATGCTATCAGACTACATAATATTTTTTATTCTATATTTTTTTACGATTCCGAATATTTTTTATTCAGCCAATTTGAAATCAATTATTCCGTGTACACTTATACTTATATATCCAAGTTCTCCTAACACCAAAAACAAATTCTACATTAAGAATCTATGCATTCACTACTGTCTACCACCAACCATAGAAGCATACGCAAATTTTTGACGCCCCTTTTGTCTTTCATTCCCTTTTCTGGTTTTCTCGCTTTGTAGATGCTTCATCATTTGTTCTCTATATGAATTTTCTGACTTTTTTTGTCGGACTGATTACGGTTACAATCTCTATCCTCCAAATGTTTTAAAGAAAATGTCAGAGTTTTTCAAGTTTCCAAAAATTAATTCTCTGTTTGGTTTCTTGATAATTTGACATTTCTATCATCACTTACAGTATCCCTTTTCCTAATAGTTCCCATCATTTCAGTGACCTTTCCAAACAATTAGCTTCCCATTCACATGACTCATTTTAGAGCACACATCACATAACTTTTCTTGTATGTACTTTTTTTTTGAAAAAAGAGACAAACGTTGAGGGTTCTTCCTCATAAATCAATCAATGCTCCGAATTTTCGCGCCTAAAATGTGGTGCGCAAAAATCTTTTGTGTCACTTGAGACAAACCATATGTATAAAGAAACATCAAAAGAGCTCGGTGGATGATAGTAAATCATAAATAAATAAATATTTTTCTGCAGATTGTAAAGTGTCCGATGTTTTTGTCTATATTTTTATTTTACAAAAAAAATATCTGCTCATCTTGATCAAAAAATCAATAACCTCTTATGTTTCAAATTTTGCTCTGATAATTATCTGCTATTTTACGTGTTATTTTTTCTCAACTTTGAAACCGTCAACCAACATTTTTTCAGACTTGGGTTCAAAATGGCTTCAAACATAACTATCAAAGTTCATCCTTTGGTTCATATGACAATTGTTGATTCATACATCAGAATCACAAAAGAAGCGACCGATCCAAATGATCACAAGAAAACACTCGGAACTCTCATGGGATTCTATGAAAAAGGAATAGTTCAGGTATATCTGATTATTCAACCATAAAATATAGAAAATATTTTTGTTCAGGTCACCAACTGCTATGCGATTCCTTTCAAGGAGGATCCAGAACATCCAGAAATCGATGACAAATTCAACAAAATGATGCTTTCGATTCATGAACAAGCAACACCACATGAACAACCAGTTGGATGGTTTTTCACAACATCGGATATCACTGTGAGCTGCGCAGTATATCATGATTATTATACTCGGATAATCTCGGAGGTTTGTTTTTTCAAATTTTTTTTTTCATTACCTCCCGATTTATTCTTCAGATTCCACAACGCCGCAAAAATGTTCCAATCATCTTGATCACTTTCGATGTAACTCTTTCTGAAGAAAATTCCAACAGTTTGCCGATGCGAGCATTTTATCGAACAAAAGCTGGAATTCCTGGAGGAAGAGAGCCACATTGTGCTATTTTCAATCCACTTCGCATTGAACTTTCTACTTTTGAAGGAGAACGTGCTACTTTGCAATTCCTTCAAAAGGCAACTGGCTCGGCTAGAAGAGGAAGAGGAATCACTTTGGAGGATGGATTCAAGAAGATTGAAGAGACAACCGATGATATAATTGGAATGTTGGAGAGATTGTTGGAGTGAGTTTTTGTTTATCGACAAGAAAAATATCTGGAAATAAAAAGAAAATCAGTCTCTTCTGAACATTTTGAAAAATTATACAAAAAATTATTACTTTTTAGGTACGTCCAAGGCGTCATTGCCAATGGTGAAAAACCAAAAGATATCTTGATTGGAAGACAAATCAAGGAAATGTTGAACTCGTGCGCTATTCATATGGATACTGAGAAAATCGACAAATTGTTCTCCAACAGTCTCAGAGTCAGTTTTTTCTTTGTCAATTTTTTGCATAATTTTGTGTTTACAGGACTACCTCATGGTTCAAAACTTGACAGAGTTGGCAAAAACTCATCTCAACCTTCACCATTTCGCCAAGTGAAAAAAGCTATACAATGCGATTTTTTCACTCAAAACCATTTAATCTCCAGGTTTCTTAATTGTTAATTGTTCGTCATTCTGGTATTTTTTTAATGTTGTGGTTTGTTTTTTGAGTTTTAAAACATTTTTTCTTGTAAGTTTCAATAAATATGTTTTCTGATGTTTCAGAACCATACATCGAACATTCAAAAATTTCGTATACTGTGTATCCGAAAAAGTTTCCTCTCAATTTTCCCTTGATTTTAGTCCGCCCGCTACGCTACAAAAATCTATTCACAGTGAGTTTCAGCAGAAATTCTGATAAAAATTTAATCGAAACATTTTATTTCATCGAAAAAATGTACCTTGTGAATAAAATAAAACAATGAAACGATACTCCGCATGCGTGTTGTTTATCGTAAATTGTTTTTAGTTTTTTCTCGCTTTTTAGTTGCCAAAATAATTCTTTATATCATATTATATTGGAAAAGCCATATTGGGAAAAATGTCATCTCGGATAATTATGAATATTTGAAAGGTAAGGTATTTTTTATTTCATAAAAAACATAAAAATGTGAAATTCAGGATAAACTCGGCGCTACCGGAAAGCTATATGCTTATCGTCGTCAAAGAAAAACCAATAAGAAAGTTGGAGAAATGCCACTGAAAGATAGATTTCTTGGAAATGTAGAATCGAACATTCAGAAAAAGCATTGACTGTCTTCGATTTGAATTTATCAATCGTATTTCCGAAAAAGAAAAAAGAATGTTGGAACTGAAAGAACCAATGAAGATATTTGGTGATAGTCATGGGCAATATGACAATTTTTTTTGAAGAACCTTTTTCTTGGTGATTATTTGGATCATGGAAGCATTCGTTGGCAGTTCTCCTCCTCTGTCTAGCATATAAAATATATTATTTCAAAAGTCTCATGCTTCGAGGAAATGACGAGACCAAAACGACTAACACAACGTTCAACATGAATTTCATTATTAGATATATTGGCTCAAGAGATTCGAAGAATGTGCAGCAACAAGAGGATTTCTTGCAAAAGGACATTTTATGGCACTGAATTCGAAATCACACGTAATATTGAAGCAAGATGGTCCAGATTTTCAGAGAAGTAGTATTTTCAAGCTATATGCCGGAAATCTTTGTTTTGAAGGTAAAATATTGTCTTCGGTAGCAACTAGAAAAACATTAATTTTCCAGATATTTTCTCTCGTGCACTAACAACGAATTTCTTTGAAATTTGACAAATTTCAAAGAATATGGTTGGTATGCAAAAAATAATGAAACAATTCATCCAACGCTTCATATGATTCCGTGTCAACGTAATTTGGTTTCCCGAATTCGGTGGCTGTCATCGATCAAGTTACAATAACTTACTCTACATTGAATTTATGAGCTTTTTTTAAAACTTTTTTTTCTGTTTTCAACACTTTTTTTCAAAATTTCATTATTTTATTTGAGTTTCCTTGTTTTTTTTCCATATATATTAGTTTTAAAATGAATTTCTCAACATAAATTAAAGCTTTTTTTGTGTTTCGAAAAGAATATGTGATTTGATTTCCAAACTACAATTACAAAATCTAAAATTATTTTTGGAAGAAAAAGTTGCCGTTATTCATCACTTGATCCTGCTGATTCCTTCCATCTGTTCCCAGATGACTTATCACGAGCAAACTCGACTTATTTTTACACAATTTCTCTCTCTTTTGTCTTTTTTCGAGAAAAAAAAACTGCTGTTGAATCTCTGCCAAATGACCTCAACAAAGAACAAAATTATGTCGGCTGTTTTTTGTGTGTGTCTAGTTTTCGTTTTCCTTTTCTGACCCAGAATCAAAGTGAAAGTCTGGCAGGTCTGAAAAAAACTCGAAACTGGGTCATTTTTTCCTCGATTTTCCTTTTTTCAAGATCAGCAAAAACATATCAATTCAGTTTTATTTTGCAGAAATGAATAAATAAAAAAATACAAAGAATGAATAAATACATTTTAGATCATTATTTGGACCAAAATCATTGCACGAATTGAAGAAAAATATTATTTGGAAAACAATTTGAAACGTTTTGGATTATAATATCAATTCACCACAACCCGCTATAAGTGAAAGAATATTTCCGAGGATAGTATGCCCAAAAAAATTACAAAACAAATAAATTATAAATGATAGAAAAGACCGCAGGAGGAAGGGAATAAATTAAAGGAGAGCACCTACAATACAAAAAATCAAAAAATATCGGAGAGTATCTACCGGTTTCCGAGAGTAAGATTATCACAAGATGCACATTGAATAGGATTATGGGAATTTATACACATAAAAAAGTGGTATTCCATAACAGGAGCAAGAAAAAATAGAAAAGAATCGTGAGTATGACTAGGGTACGTTTTCCGCCGCAAAATTGGGGAAATCAAGACTTTGTGCGAAAATAATTTAGGATAAAACAGGGATTTCTTAACAAGCAGCGGTACGCCGATGCCGGCAAACACCTTCTTCACAACAACAAACTCGGATGACTCGACATCCACATCCAGAAGTCAAACATTGAGAAACTCGAATTTCCTTAAAAAAATAAAATTATGAGAATCCAAGAGGATGTCTTTCATTCGAAACATACCTCTGATGTTTGTGAGCTGCCATCTTTCATAATTGGAATTGGCCTAATTAGACTAGCTGTTTGAATAATTGGACTCGTTTGAATGTTTGCCAATGGTGGTAAGGTTTTGACATCTTTTAGATTGATGATGGCAGGTGTTTGCTGTTGGTGTGCTTGAATCAGTGTCGGCTGTGCAATCGTTGCCTCTTTTGGAATGTGATGTGAAGTCGTTGAATTGACCAAATTACTTTGTGACATATTTGTTGGCAATGGGTGTTGAACAGGTGCGGTGGCAGCCTGTGGAATGTTTGGACCTTGTTGAAGTTGTTGCTGTTTTGACAATGCAGCGATTGTTGATAAAACATCGATTCCACCGTTGATAGGATTCAGCATATTTGCCCATAACATTGTCATCGGATCATCTAATCCCATCCATGGATTGTTTATTCGATTTAACAGTTGTGTGGTTTGCAATAAATTGGTTTGCTCGTGTTGTGGTGGATTTGGTGTTGGTAGAATTGTTGGCGTTGATTGGAACGGTGATTCAACTTTCATCATACTCAAACCATTATTGAAAAGTGGCAAGAAACATGACATATCGTGCTCAATTTCCATCTTTGGGATTTTATAATCTTCTTCTTCTTCAGCCTAAAAACATTAAAAAATTATGTATTTTCAGTTAAAGATTTTTTTGAAAAAGTCTTACATCAGCTTCAAATTTCATTCGTTTTAAGGAATTTGCCAAACGATTTCTTGGTTTTCTCGGTTTTCCATCCTTTGATCTTGCCGAAACAATACTCTTCCTCACACTTTCCTTATTATCAAAACAAACACCTTCACTCAAATATAAACATGCTTCATTTACGAGCTCTCCAGCATCCAAATCAGGGTGTTGCAAAGCGATATTGAATAATTGACTCTGAAAAAACATTTTTTGTGTGTTTTTGAATTCGGATAACTTTTTTTCTGGGTTAAATGTGTGGAGGTACCGCGTGCCTGCCAATAGAATTGGCGTGACCTTGGCATGAAATCTCTCTCCTCTCTCTCTTTTTCCCTTTTTCGTGGATGAACAACAACAACAACAACTACAGTGACCTGGTATTCTCTGATGATGATCGGTGAGATGACCAACATTTTTCGACACACACAAGAATAAATGTGTGTGTTTATGCGATGTGTTGCAAAATGGTCGTGCCTTGTACTTCCAAATGACCTTTTGGCATTATATAATTGACATGAAATCTCTTCTTTTTCAATAAGTGTATTCAAAAGAAAAAAAAGAGAGATACACACGAAAAACGGTTTGAACTTTTTTTTTTCATCCCTCCCTCCAGGCCGATAAAAAAAGTCAGCTGGCCGGACAGCTGTGAAGTACACGAACTCACCTTGATAAATTCGATCTCGGCGGCATGATGTCTTGGTGGATGATTGTGCACACCTTTGTTACAGGCGTTTTTGTCGTCTAAAGTGGTTTCAGCACGGCATTTACACCATTGTCCAGAGTCGGACATTTTCTTTGCGCAAACACATCGCCAGGATTTGAAATTGCGTTCTTCAGCGATCTGAAATTGATAAGAAAATTACGAAATCTAATCACATGGAAGACGATTCCCGAAAAATGATATCATTTAGCTTATCCCGAAGAAAACTAACCTGATAAATATTATAACGATATCCCTGATACATTAATTTCTGATTTCCTTTAAACGACGTAACGATTTGCGGAACATCCGGGTTATAGCGAACAAATCCAATCTTCTTTTTCGTATTCATTAGCATTATATTCTGCTCGGTTTTATCTGGAGATAATGGCATACTGCTCACACTTATCGGCGAAATCGCCGATGTGTCTGTCGAAGACGACGAGATATCAGAAGAGCCAGGCTTTTCAAGACTAAGCATCTGATCTGCAAAAAAATTATATGATGATTTTTAAAAAGGAAAATAAGAAAAAGAAGAAAAAACGAAGAAAAATCTGAATTTCAGGAAGAGTTCATCAATGAGAAAAAAAATGAGAAAAAATGAGAGAAGAACAGAAGGTCGTTTCTATTTCTCTATGTCTCCAAACTAACAATTTTTTGAACGGACGAAATCAGCTGATAGTGTTTTTGTTTCGTCCGTTTGTCGGTCGGTCCGGCGCGTGCCTGCCATTCAACCTGACTACTGATAAAAGAAGTAACCTATGTTTCTCTCAAACATTTTCCACAGAACAAAAAAAAACAAAACCCTCCAAACAATTAAGGCTATCTTCAAATCGTGGCAGGTACAGGCTGCCAATATAACCTAAATTTATATATGGATGAATGGGATAGGGATGTCTCTTGTCCTCTGTTTATTTTTGTAAAGGTAATAGAGATAATGGAGGAGAAGAGACGCAGACATATTGTGGGGGAAAAACATATAATCTGAAAAGGCAAAATAAAAAAAAGTTCAAGAAGAGTTATCAGTTTGATGGAAAAAATTGTTTGTTTACAATTTGAGAAAAACAATATATATATTTTTTGGGGTCAAAAGAATTTCAGAAGTTGGGAAAAGTCAAGAGTGAGAAAACGAGAACTTAAACATCCGGAAAATTCAAACACTTTCACATCATTTTCATTCTCATCCTCTTTTTTCACTTACTCACTCACTCCTAATTAGTCGCCTAACAACCAACCAAAATCCATCCTTTTTGGAAAATACAGTACACGACCTCTTCATTCATTCATTATTAAATCAACACTATGGAAAAAGATGATGATGATGATGAAGGCGCAAAAAAAAGTTTTTGACCCAGAATCCATCGGCGCGACGCGCGACCGACAAAAAACGGCTACTTTCTCTCTCTCTCATAATTTTTTTTTGGTTTTAGTAGTGACCGCTTTCACTTCATTCATAGAGGTGAGGAATGGAATTAACCGTTTTTTTTTTGCGCGAGCGCCGCTGTTCTCTATTATATTCATTCGAGAGAAAGTTTTGGGTCACTTATCGAAATAGTGAAAGTATTGTTGTTTTTTATTTTCATTTTTTTTTTCAAAACATTTTCCCTCTCCAGTTAGTACCACTCTACCAACATCGGAACAAAATTTTTTCTTATCACGGAAAAACATGGAGAAATGGCGCGAAATCATCAACAACATAAAATGTCAGCGATTTCTGGAGAGCAAAATAATACAAAGCGAGAAAAAAACATACAATTTTTATGATATTGTACAGAAAAAAAAGGTGGCCGACGGGAGAAAATGATTATTCTTTCTTATATGAAATATGGAATTATTGCATGCCTGGCACGGTCAAATAAAAATAATATACAATAATAAATTTATTATTATTCATTTTTTATATCTTTTTGTATATATGGTAACTTACTGGTCAAAGGCAACTACAAAAAAAAGTGAAAAAAAAGTAGGCGGAGTGTATCGCGCGGGGGGTGGCTATCGGGGTCAGGTTGCCTGCCACGACGAAGCGCCGAGATACACGGCGTCGGGTCTCCGCGAATAGGCGGACGGAATGGGGCGCAATGAGGAAAACATCCGCGAATGGAAGAAGATGAAGATCGGTTGTTGATGATCCTTGAATTTCTATCTCAGGAAGCGGCAGGGCCTAACTGTTTTAATGATCTTTATGGCAAAGTTGAATAATAATAAAATAGAAATTGTTTGAATAGCGGTATGGTTTCTCGCGCATCGGTGAATTTGACCAAGGAAGCGGGTTATTATTATTATTAATATTATTATATAAAAATTTTATTTATTTGTTAGGGATATTGTTTACTGTTTGGTAAATGACCGGTGGTCGCGAGCGAAAACGAGAGGAGGAAAATAGGAAGAAGAAGGAGACGAATATTGTTTGCTAAACGCAACTTTATTTGAGTTTTCGGGTGTTGTTACTACTGGAATAATTGAAATGAGACGTGGAGCATTCAAATATACAGTAACCCGGGATCAGAAATTTTGATTTCAAAGTTGGTTAGGTGGTGTGAAAAATTCTGGAATGGAATTCTCTAAAATAAATGTGTCAGAACAATTCTGAAACAAACTTTCATAATTTTCTTTTCAGAAAAGCAATTCTGAACAAAAAATAAAATCCTCTTTTTTTAAATCAACCAAACTTTCTATTTCATTTTCAGAAAATCGAAATTGAAAAAAAACTCTGATGCAAAATTATTTTAAAGCTAAAAGGATCCCAGACTTATGTCGAAAGGTCTCAGGCCTCTAGAGAGGATAATTTTTTTGAAAAATTCTTTGATGCTTCATCTCAAATTTTCAGACCCCACTTCCATACAAGAAAAAAATAAATCAACAATTTTTTGAAAAAAAATTTCAAATAAAAAGTCACGAAACCAGGGAAATGAAAATGACGAGTTCCAAAAAAATTAAAAATAAATTGCAGCTGCTTTTTTTTTGAATTCAACTTTGCAGTCACTCAATTTCGAAAAAAAATATTGAAAAATGGCACGGTATAGGCAGAAGCCGTTTGAAAATGAATATGTATACTTTTAAAAGAGGCGTGGTGGTACAACAACAACAAAATAGAGGAAGTACAGAGAGCGGCAAACAATGACCCCTCCGGCGGGAAAAAAGAAGAATAAGGAGAGGGGGGAGAGAACTGTTTGACATTTCGGTGTGTGTGTGTGTGCGCGCGGCGACGGCGTACAGGCACACTGGCACGTAACGCCACTGACCACAGCCAAGTGCAAACTTGTATACTATTGACATATACTATCTTCTCATCGCATCGCATCTCTATCTATCTTCTTTTTTTCGTCTGTATTGCCTCGGCACCATATATCGTGTGTACAAAATTGTTATGCCTTAAAGTGCATGTTGCGTAATTTAGCGCACCGCTGCCTGACACCACCTGATTTTGATTTCGATTTCGACTTCTTTCGATTTCAAATTTTGTCTGACTGTTTTTGACTCATGCAATTTTTTACAAACAATAAAGTTGTATTGTGTTAATTCATAGTGTTTTTCAAAAAAAAAATTGTTGCAATTCCCGTGCCGACCGGACACATTCAAAGGTCGTTCAAATGATTTGCTGTTTTGATAAATTGGTTACCAGGGTCATTTAGAAAAACTGGGGGAAAGAGATGAAAAAGTGCAAGGGGGACATAATAAACAATGGGAAAATTAGATGCCAATGGCCTTTTTTTTGTTTGAATGTATGTGAAAATATATAAAAATGTTACCAGAACTCCAGAACATTCAAAATCAAAAATAAAACAAAGAAAAAAAACACGCCCTTTTATACCAACTAATGTTACCTAATTGTGAGAATTTTCAAATAAAAAAATGTTGAAAAAAAGTTGATCATGCCTTTGGCACCAAGTTACCGTGGGAACCATTTTTTTCTGCGAAAAAGAAAAAAAAACTACACACACACACGTTGATAGAAAAAAAGTGTCCGATAAGATCTTTGCCGTTCTATCGAGATCAAACTAGAATTCTTGTGTCGAATTTGGATTTTCGAACTAAAATTTTGTATTTCAAATTGCTTACGTAGATTCCACGATAATATCATTCTGTATTTTTTGTGAGAATGAAATGACGTGAAATGACTATTATGTCTACAAACAATAATTGAATTTTTGAACACAAAATGACAGTGTCATTCTACTTACAATCGTAATATAAAATGACATCAAGACAGACAGACAGATGTCTGGGATGTGAGAAAAGAAAAAAAAATACTGACGTAAATTGAAATTCTCAAAGGGGTCGATGGCATGCTTTTTTGGTAACAATAATAATTGGGAAAATAGAATAGGGTGATCTAAGAAACAGTGTGGGTGGGTTTTTGATGTGAAATTAGTGTTCTCAAAAAAAAATTCAAATTCAAAAAAAAATATTTCAGCATCGGCTTTAGAAGAACTTGCAAATTAAAAAGAAAAAAATTGAAACCTGCTGATTATTTTCAAAAAAAAAAGCTTACTCTCACAAAAAGTCAAAACGAAAAATATCAGAAACAAACATTTTTGATTGAAACAGTGAAAATTGAACCAACGAACTTCTTGAAAAGAAAAATCGATGTAATGTGAAAAAATTGGTTTTGATTCACACCTGACGAGAGAGTGTCCCAAATTTTTTGTGCAGTGTGAAAATTTTTTTCAAAAAAAAAAATGTACAGCGTGAAATTTCCAAGTTTTTCGAAAAAAAATTCCGCGGGCAGGAGGATTCGAACCCTGATCTCATGCTCGCCGGTCTAAAATGCTACCCTCTCGGCCACATCTCTCTTTTCTCCTGAGGGGAAAATGTTGGTGGAAAGGAAACTGTTTTCAAACGAATGCGTTGCAACGTTGCTCAAAATTTGAAGTTAGGATAACTAAGCTTAGGCTTAACGGATATGGTTGATTTTTTTCCGATAGATTGCTAAGGTCATAGGCAGTGTGGAACACCATGAGTGCAGTGTGGAAATGCCCTATTTCGCTGTTATTTTGGAGTGTCCATTTCAATGGTAAATATGGACATTACAAAGAATCGGACGGCATTTTTTTCCGAGCACATATCAAGGGTTGGTATATTCAGAAAGTTGGTGTATTTTTAGGCGTAGTTTTTGAATTTACCCATGTGCAGTGTGGAATTTGAAGTTTTTTCATAGAAAGTCAATTTTTTTGAAATTTCAGTGACACTATGGTTTGCTAAGCAGTCACGTGAATTCCACACTGCACATTATGTTCCCACACTAAAACAAAGTCTGCTGAGTTGATTTTCACCGAGAAACTTCGAAAAATTCGCAAGCTGAAGTTGTTTTTGAAGTTGAGCAAAAATAAAAAAAAAAACTTTAGTTCGAATGAAGATTCGAACCTGGGCCTCCTGAACACTAGCAAAATGGCCTACCACTGAACTAAATGTGCATTTATTTACCCAAGTTAAATGTTGATGAAAAGGAAACAAAGTTTTTTTTTCGAAAAAAATGCAGTG